TTGGGTTGTATGGTCGTTTTGGTGTGACATGTGAGATAGAGTTACTTTGAACAATAATAGTGGTCAACCCTTTCATATTCTAGCAAATCATATGATTTATAAATTAGGGTGTCCCCTTAATTATTATTGAAAAATACTCTATTCAATGAATAAAATATTGTCCTTTGACTAATAGTGGATAGATAGCTAGATAGAGAGTTAGATGGAAATATTCATTTTTTTGGTTGGTTAAATTAAAATACAATGAATCAATTACTATTTCCATTTTTATATTCAAATTTGTAATTATTTTAGAAACATAATAATCCCATTTCATTTGTTCGAGAAAAGAATATAGATTTATCCATTCTTCTCAACACCAATTATAATTATTATATTGGGTTCTTGTTGGTTGTTACTTTGTAATAAATCCAAGATAAATAAAATTACTTTTTCAAAAAAATAGAATCAAAAGAAATAAATAAAAAAACCTGGTTTATTCTATTAATTTCCATTTTACTAGTAATAATGTTTCAAACTAGTAATCACTAGACACTGACATACAATATTATATAACAATTTGATTCTTTGAATTGGGTCTTTGGTTTGGCCAAACCAACATATAAGTTTTTCAAAAAAACAATTCATGAAAAAACAAGATCTCTAAAATTGACCAATAATAAAAAAATTATTTATCGGTTTTCAACAAAACAGCAGCTACTGCAATGGTGATCATCACACGTTTTAGATTAATGAATGAATGAATGATGTGAATATTAATTAATTGAATTCGTTCATTGGATTGTTATTGTTGTTGTCGTGTCACTCGACAACAGTGATATATGGGGAAGTAAAGTGGAGATCCATTGATCACCCCATTTCCAAATTTGTTTATTTACCTTTTTTGTAAATACAAAAATGGGAAATTGCAACAAACAAATAAATAAATAATAAACATTAATGACTTGAATTGGTTTCCCATTCCTAAAAAAAGCTGGCTATAACTAGATAATAAGCTACCAGAATCTGCTGTCCCTTTTGATGGATGATCATCCATCCACCGCCCATTTCATTGATGATTGTATTACCTGTTTTTGTCTATTGGTGTCTTCTCCAAATAAAGTAATACACACTACTCGACCAACCGGTTGATGATACCATGTGAGACAAACACACATCTCGGGTTTGAAACAACTGAAACCCATCCGAAAGTTTCATTGCCCTCCTTATATATTCCATGATCTCACCTGACTCAACGAGTTGAACATGCATGGAGTTGAGAGTGAGAGATACAGCTGCTGCTGCTATGGAGATCTTTAATACATCATCGCGTCTGTCTGTCTCTCTGTCTGTCTGTATGACGCTAACGATCTATCTCCCTCTTCTCTATGGGTGACGACTTTTCTCTTGTCGAGCCCCCCTCGCATCTCGATCTTTGATGACTATTGTAACCCTTGCCTTTGCTCTTTGCTTGACGATAATACTGATTCGTTTGAACTGATATCCTCTTTCTCCTCAAACCACGCAGTGTTAAAAATAAACTCAAAGCGGATGGATTGTTCAAACAAAAAAAAAAAAAAAAAAAAACTTTATCTTAATCGCGCTTTGTCTCTAGGCATGGTTTTTCCTCTTTTCTTTTGCCGCCCTGCAAAGATAACAGTTTTACTCAAGACAGATCCAATTTTGGATTGCATTAATTGAAACAGTCCTGTTATCTTAAACCCCAAAAAACCACAGTTGTTGTTGTTGCAACAAGTCTCTCTTCTTGACAATGATCATGCAATTTAGATGAATCGAATGTATCTGACGAAAGAAAGGAACACTTTATAAAGTGGGTGCAAAGATAGCGTTTATTTGGTTTAGTATTCAAGCGCTTCACCAATCAATCAATCATTCTTCACACACACAACCAACTCAGCCTACCTACCTGCCTACCTACAATAATTTAAATATATTGTGTTCTTTCGGTTAATATATATACTCACACACACAACACACAAACATATAAATCAACCAACCAACCAATCAACCAACCGATCAACCACACACAACAGATCATCAAACTTTATTTATTGGTCAACAAAGTCCTTTTTACAAATCTCTCTAATGTAAGTAACTTCATCTATCACATATATCCCAACACAGTCATCAATACTACTTTACATTTCAAGTAGTTGATGACATCAAATCACTCATTCATTCACTTTTGCCCATCAATCAAAAAAAAAAATCATGGAAATGATCACCCCGACATATCTATGTTGTTGATGTTCCAGCTGACGATGATCATCGTCAAACTTTTGATGTTCACAACAATCGGCGGGGCGGCGGTTATAGAATTATCAGCCTCGGTTATACCACCCACGTTGATCCGGAATGATTTGTAAATGGGAAGAGGAAGGACATGGTGGCTCCTCCATATATATATTATATTATACACCTACCTTTTAAATCCAAAGGAATAGTCTGTTCTGTGTATGTGTCTACAAACAAATAATCCACCTACTAGTAGTGTTTCAATTTCAATTTAATTTAATTTGTTGGCACCGACCACTTTTACACATTTTTAAAAGAGGATGGAATGCTTTATTCCGGAATTCATCTCACACACCCAACCTAGTCTCTTCTTCTTCCAACCTTTTTAAACGCCAGACTTTAACTGTTTGTGTGAATATCCAATCCACCCACTCATCCATCAATCCATCAATCAATCAATCAATCAATTAATTGATTAGAGGGTTAATTAATTAACAAACTAATCGTTGTTAACAACGACACGGGAGAGAGACGTCAAAAACATTAATCTCGAGTGCAATCCTTGAAAAGACTAGAGGGTTAGTTTGTTGGTTGGTTGGTTGTCGTCATAATATCAACAGGTCAACTTTGATGTTCCTCCTATGGTCAATCACCATATCAGATCAACTTTAAAGATGATTCGAGTAGTGTGCATGTACACTACTCCCACTCTCTTTTACACATTTTCATTCTCAAAAATAACCTCCCCCCCATAATATATCACATATCATAGTTTGTTTTTTTTTTTCTAACAACCCACACAGACTGAGCACGACAAAGACGATCATCACAACCCCTCACACCAACTGTACCACCACCACCACCACCACCACCACCACTATCACTTTGCAAACAACAACAACACAACCACAACCACAACCAAACAACACTACCAAAAATAATATTATAACAAATCCAAAGTTATATTTTTAATATCTTTGTGTTTACCTTTTTTACAACACTTTAATATCATATCAAATCCATCCTCCATTTCTTTCTATTCTTCCTTCCCTTCCCTTTCACATTATAAATCATCCATCTGTGTTGATTGTTGGTTGTATTGTATGTAAAAAATTATTTATATCCATTCCATTTCATTTCATTTCATTTTCCAACCTCCCTGTCTTTTGTGTGCACAGACTAATGTGTGTACTTTGTTTTTTTTCACAATTCATTGTTGTGGGGAGGGAATCAAAACAAATCAAAACAAATCAGTCAGGCGTCTGGGTTTCAAAACACACACACATACACACAGTCAGTTGGAAGAACGACGAAAAAAGTGATCATTCATTAATTGTAAAGTCAATGTTCATTACTGATTGCCAAGGAACGGCTGGATTGAAAAATCTATTTTAAACTACTGTGCGAGTAATACTACTCGTCGTTCTACTCCTCCTCTTCTTCCTGTTATTTTTCAAGTCGGGAATGGACGGTAGGTAGGACATTCACAGAACCAACTTCAAAACCATAGCCATATCAATTATAGATACCTGACTACACTCTATTGATTTCTATCGCCATCGTCGTCGTCGTCGGTGGGAGACAGCCCCAATGATGTTATTTTTAATCAACTTTTTAATTGAATCATCCATCCTCATCCATCCTCCATCCATCCATCCATCTTATCTCCATGATACGATGATCACGACGACAATGATTTAAGGCAATAATAATCAACTTAATAATAATATTAATTAATTAAACCCAAACCACCAACCAAATTCTGTTGATATTCAAACTTGTGTTTGTTTGTTTATGTCCACACTTCCGATAAATTCATAACCTTTAAAAAGCATCAAATCAACATTACATTACTATTAATATTTATTCAAACTAAAAACAATTAAACTAATTTATTTATTTATTTATTTCCTTTAAATTCTTTGTATTATTTATTTATATATATATATAGATATATATATAGATATAGTCGATTTTAAAACAAACATATTCTATTTGTATATATTAATATATTGTGTATTTTTAAAACAAAAAATTATCAATTCAATTAATTATTTATTTATTTGGAAAAAATCAAAATCATCTTTTAAAAAAAAAAAAAGATAGAAGAAAGAAAGTAACCCCGAATTTAATACCACCTCACTTGCTACCTACCTCTAACATCCACATCCACACAACACCCCTACCAACACACACTCAACAACTTCAACAAACCCGAGCAATCATCCAAATCCATTGCATTCTTATTTTATCATTTTCCCAAAAACTATATTTATTTTATTTTTACACCTGTTTGTTGTTGTTGCTGCCGTCCACCCACCCACAATACCAATTCCATCAACACCAACACCAACACTACTACTACCACAAATATTTTAAAGATATTCGTTTTGCATCAATCCAATCACCAATCAGTATAGTATTTTATATATTCCACCCCCACAACACTCAATCTTATTCCTTATTACTATATTTATCGTTTTGGCAAAACCTAACTAGCTTGTAAATAATAATTTAAATATATTTTTTTTTCTTTTTTTTGATCAAGTTTTAAAACTCTATCAACTCACTCAACCATCTATTTATTTCAATATAACAATAATAATAATAATAATATTCTGTGTATTTATAAATAATATAACAATCAAATAATCATTCATTCATTTTCTGTATCTTTTAAATAATAATAATAATAATAATTTATTTATTTATTTATTCCGTCCGACATTTATAAATATATATATATTCTTCTAATCGATTGAAAAATGTATTCACCAAGGGATCAGTATATTCCAATGTCCCAAAATAGCACCCCACCTGCTTTTTTGCACCATCCACCACATTACAACATGCACCAAGCTGCTGCTGGCCATCATCATCATTCTGGAATGGTCATGTCACCTTCTCCCTCGCCGTCATCGTCGCCTTACTTTCTCGACTTGTCACCTCGTGATATTGGTGGTGGTGGACATCAGTCACCCCCCTCGACCATCTCGCCGCGCCATAGCGTCTCCCTCCATGACTGGCCATATCCTCGTCCACCCTCGGATGGGTTCAAGTGGACCAATGGCAAGCCCAATGTCCAACAACCCTTCCAACAACAACACCACCACAACCAACACTACTTTCAAGGTAGCTCTGCCGCTCCACTACCACCACCACCCAACTGTAACATATCAATCTCGCCACCACCGTCCCCACCCAATTCGTATATCCAACCCAGTGCTTCCACATCACCATCGTCTCTAAGATCAATGATCTTGAACAACTACAAACATCAACAACAACATCCAGCCTCTGCCACCAATCATCACCACAACCAACAACAACAACAACAACAACAACAACACCAACATTATTCACACGAGATGGAAATTCCATCCAACTCGACACATCAATCCTCCCTACTCTACTCTTCATCACCAGTATCTTCATCATCTCCCATTGCCACCTCCAGCACCACCTCTATTAGCAACGCCGAAAAGAAGCTAATGAGTCGTGTCATTGTACCATTGTTGAATCTCAAGCAATCACGTCCACAAGAAGCACCGACCGTTTCACCCAAATCGCCATGTCTGGTTCCCGACGAAACCATGATGTTCCACAACAACAGCAGTCGCGGTTCACCAGGACAATCACCACCTGGATCACCAGGTGACTTTGGATCATTCTTGATTGCCAACAACAACAACGGACGTGTCCGTAGCAACTCAACCTCTTCATCAACAGCATCGACACCACGTGGTGCTCAAGACCATCTATTACTATTAAACTCGACTAGTAATCTTACACTCTCATCTGCCCCAAACACACCAAGAAACACCTCTTCCACAACCACCAGTACATTTACAACTACAACTACCACTACTAACAACAACCAAAACCAAGAAGATACTAATAATAACAACAACAATAATCAAAGCACCGATTACCTTAAAAAGGCAGAAGAGCAATGGAAAAAGTTGGAATACTTTAGTAATGATTTCAATCACTTTGTATTTGAAATCATCAAAAACAAGGAATTCCATCAACTATCAGCATTGAACTCTAAACTTGGAGAGATTACAAGTACCGTCCAAGAGATTGAAATTACAAATAATATATTTAAAACGTATGTCTTCTAAACTATTTTAATATTAATATAATAATATTTAAATATTAATTTATTAAATTAATTTCTTAATTTCATTATTATTATTTGTTTGTTTGTTTAGATTACCACCACAAACCAGAGCAAGAAAGAAAAGGGCGACCAAGGCTGAAAAGCTCAAGAAATCATCTGGTGGTGTTTTAGGTGTAAAGAGAACCTACGTTACTACTCCAAAGAGTAAAGGTAACTACTGTGTATTTTGTGGAACGATGGAGACTCCAGAATGGCGTAAAGGACCAGGTGGTCATAAAACGTAAGTTATCCAAATCAATCAATCCATTAATCACGACACAACGCATCGTCATATGACACCACCATCCTTTCTATTTTCATCAAACACAACAATGTACATTACAACAGTGCACCGGTGGTATGTGGGTGATTGTTCTCTTGTGATACGGCGATCTTTATCAATCGTGCTTCCCCCACAAAAAACCTCTTCAACCTCAACCGATTCTATTTTTTCATAATATCTCTTCATCTTTGTCATTGTGCGGCAGATGCTGTTGAGTTGCCCAACAACACAAATCAATCAAATAATATCCAAAAGTATCCTTACTTCCTTCATACTAATCAAATTATACATCATTTATAGATTGTGCAATGCCTGTGGATTACATTATGCCAAGAATCTAAAGAGAGAAGGGGCAAACAAATCCAAGACCAACAACGACAACATTGCTACCCCATCCAATACTACAAACAAAGGTGATTCCAACTCATCTGCCTCCTCGTCTACCAGTAATTCTCCAACTTCTTCCTCGATGAATGTTGCCTCATTGCTTGCTAGTACCAACTCTGATGACTAAAGTCAACCGAAACGCACTCCTTTCCTCCAACCCAACAGATAAAACCCTCGTTGTATCAACCAACCAATCAACCAAATATTAATATCTCTTGTACAAAATAGAACTAACGAATTACCACCCCAATACAACCTATTAATAACCCAATAATGTTATACTTTTTCTTATCTATCAAACCTCCAGCATACAATTTAGTCAGCAAATATCATGCCCCTTTTTTTCGTTACCAATCAATTAATAAAACCTCCAATCTTGTTGTATCATCTCAAAACCCCATGAACTGACTTTAGCAAGAGAGAGAAGATCACTGAGAAATGATGTCATGATCGCGAACTCATTAAATATTTTGTCGGAGCTGAGATCCAAGAGATTCATTTACGAAACGTTTACGATATTTTTTGGTTAGGAATCGACCCAATTAATATATCCCCAACACTTGCCTCTGATCGTGTTGCCGAATGGTTGATGAGGATGATCATCCTGTAAAGTTTATCTGTTTCCCAAAGGGCTTTAGGAAAAGTTTGAGAGTGTTGTTGTTGTAAGGTTCCGTTTCTTGTACTAGATATTGGAGATCATCGTTTTGGTGAATAATTGCATGACTTGTGATGATAGAACAAAACTTGATACTTGAACAAAGAAGTCTAAGTTTGTCTTATTAGTTTAAAATTCTCATGTTTTGTGTCTATCATTTGTTCTTGTTTTAATAAAAAAGAAAAAACAAAGTTATTGCTTGAATAATGAGTACGTTTCCCAAGAGACGTCTCTCATCGTGTATAGGTTACAATTGTTGGGGAGATGACCATTTGGATCTAACACTAGATCCTTCTTAATCAACGATACGACGACGTGTCTTGTGTGAAAGACTCGATAGATGAGATTTTGACCTATTTTAACAATTTTCAATGAGATCGTGTCACTGGGAAGGCCGCACAAGAGCTCTATTCTTGTCGCTGTTCTGTTTGCGAAGGTTGATGTTAATTAATTTATAAAGGGGGTACTGCAAACTTTTTCAGTTAAATAGACTCCTTGGTTAGAGCCTCGATTCGATACCAACATCAACCCTCATTATAGAGTGAGCCCTATGGCATTGGCGACATCATTATTTGAAAATGGTAAGGCAGAGCCCAAAAAAAGACAGCAATCGACTGAAAATGTGTTGAAGGTTGCGCAATCATAGCAAAACGGACGAGATTTTACGATTGTCCAACGTCTGGTCAATCTTCTAGAAAACAGCACCCACACAACAACAAACACACTTGCTGAAAGGGATCCTGCACACGATGAGCTATTGCGATGCACAATTCCATCGATCACGTTGTTGCACAAGTGGAGGATCTAGGGTTACAAAGAATGAGGTTGTGACTGCCGCCGTGAAGAGTTTCTCATAAGTGAATCTTTTCGTAAATATGAGGAGTGTTGTAGCTGTTTTTGATCAAGGTCTCAGGGGGTCCCTGAGAGAGAGAGAAAGAGTGAGTAGAGAGAGGTTAGGTGTTGGGGTTGATGTGAAGTGGAATCAACAACATTCACAATACAGCCCATTCTCTAGCCAAGAGTTTTATTCTTCTATCGCCTCCTCCACTCCTTTACTTTATTCTTACACATCACATCGATCCCCTTATTCTTTATTCGATTAGATACAGACAGACAGATACACACACACACACAAACACAGAGAGACATACATAGAGACAGATATACAACAACATTAAAAATTAAATTAAATTAAATTTTAGAAAAAAAAGGTAAGTTTGTTTGGTTGGTCTTCTCACATACACCACTCACGCTCCCCACCACCACCACCCACAAAATATAATGCAATATAATTATATGAGCGATCTATACCAATCGGCGTAAGGATTCCTCGGCATGCTTGGAACCACAACTTTTTTAAAATAGCACCACACTCTTCCTCCTCATCCTCCCCCATTCACAGTTTTATTTGAGGATGTGGCTTGTTTTCTTTTCATTATCCCTGCCCTCACTCCCTTCCCTTCCCTGCTCCTGCTCTCTATACCGATGATATTTTTCAATTAAAATTATTATTATCTTAATTAAAAGGAGGAGGTTGTTGGTTGATGAGAGTTCTCATCATACCTACCATACACAACTTGTTATTCACTTCATTTTTTAGTTTAGTTAGATAGATAGATAGCTTTTGTGTGATATATAACATCATAACATTACTTTAAAAGTTATAATTGTTTTTTATTTTATATATTCTATTCTCATTCGTTCTCAACTTCCGCATCCTTTCAGGAACAAAAGTCGCGATTAGTTGGTGTCCCTTCAGTTTTTCTTTTTTAATTTTTAATTTTTTTTTTTTTTTTTTTTAATTATCCACAAAATATTAGTAGTTCCATTTATTCGATAGATAGTCTCATCTTCATCTACAAAAAAAGAACCTATATAACAGAGACACACACACACAAATTGTACATTTACAATATATACTCTTGGACTATTTATTTATTTATTTATTTATTTATTTATTTATTTATACATTACCCAAATATCATTATTATAATTATAAGAATATAGAATAGAACGTCCTCTTTTAAAAGAAAAGAATTGTCAGAAACAATAAGAAAAGACTATTAAAAGTTTAAAAAGGTATAGTATAACGTTTTATTATCAGATCATATACACCATCAACAACAGCCAGTAGTAGTAGTAGTATCGGCATCTTATCCATCAATCCATCTATCTATCATCGTTGCACAAATATATGATACAATGCATGAACCATTATTACCAAATATAGTAATATATTATAGTAATAATAATAAATACAATTCATCACCATCGTCATCTTTCTTTAACTGCTGCTGCTGCTGCTGAAACCCAACTTAGAAATTCAACATGCAAAAGTTTAAACTGCATTTATATAATACACCAACCAACAACATCAACATCAACATCTATGGTTATATTTACTACCAAACATAGATTCGATTAATATATGATCAGAAACCGTAGCAATAACAAAATGTAGCAAGTAAAAGCAAATCATTTTGATTGAACCAATATCAAAGTATACCAAAAAAGGAAATAGTTGGTTTGAAAAGGATGTGTCATTCATAACACAGACAAATCATCGATATGATTTGTCGATCGGTTTGCTCACCCCCTCTCCTTTTAATGTCCTAATTTAGTATACTTTTTGATCCTAGAACCCCCCCCCCCCCCCACACCCACAAAATTTCACCATTCACCATTCACATTGATTTAAATCAAACCACACTTCATTTGGTAATAGATCGATTTGGGGATGAGAGATCTCTATTGCTTGCTACAGTAGCTACCTCTTTCTTTCTCTCTCTCTCTCTTTCTTTCTTTGTTGATTCGAGTGTGGGTTGGTGTGTTATTAATAATAATAATTATTCCACACTATTTGTATTTAAATTACATCGACGACATTATCACAACATATCCAACAACAATTAATCAGCAAGCAATATTACAACCACATTTCCATCGATCCATATAAACTTTGTCAATATAAATTCAAGTAAGATGACCTATACTGTTGCCATCATGATTTCATTCATTTCAACACTCTGACAGAAGAATAAGCGCAAGAAAAGATATACAAACTTGCCACCAATATACAACAACAACAGAGCAGGAATCGATTTAAACCTGAATCACATTGTTGTCAAATTAATTAAATATCTGTCACTCTCTTCTGGTGGTTGACGATACGTTCATATATAACCCACATCACCCGCATTTTCATTCTTTTGGTGTACCAATATAACACACACAGTTGTTATTTGCCTATCACACCCCCCTACCACTCACCACTAATCAACTTGTCTTGTTTTGGTTCGTTTTACCTGGCAGTCATCTCTTTTGCCACCTGTTTGTACCCATTTACATGCTATTAATTACAATTGCATCATAAAGACATCATGAAACTAACACCCTTTTCTTATATATTTTTAAATAATACACTCACATCTGATGAATTTCCTTCCTACCCTTGTTCATTACGACGCTGTCTTGATTGTTATGACTGCATCTCTTCTTGGCTACTTTTCTTGTCTGCTTCCAGAACATATCCCATTTGGTAAAGTAGGCTACTGCTCTACTCTTCTTTGCTAGTAAGCAGCTGTTTTATATTTGTGGCTGGTTGACACAAACCAACAACAACAACAACAACAACGCCGGTTTTGATTTGGTAGTGCTTGAATCAATCAATTAAAATTAAGATTCATTTGTCGATAGATAGAGATACTCCTTGGTTAGTCATAAGAAACAAGAATCCACCAATTACAATTGTGTCCCGCCAAGTAAAGTAATATTACGACTATTCGACGACATCCAACAACAAAACACATCCAACAACCAACAACAACTATAATATCATATTTTCATGACCCTTCAGCAGCAGCTATTATTATTTAGTTTACTCTCTACTCGCTGCTGCAACAACAAAAACCTACAAACTTCTTGATACTTGTTTTATTGTTCATTATCATCACCATCAATATCGATCGTTTTCACATCATATCCCCACACAACAATCATTTACAACCCAAAGCAATAAGTGTCACACTTAATCATCACTCTACACTATAATTATTTTAATCATTAATTATTTTGAAATATCATTATTTCCAATAATTTCCAAACATGTTATCCAACAATAATAACCCTAATCATCACCATAGTAATCAATCCTCGTATGATGATTGTTCTCATCCACCTTTAAATAATAATAATCCATTCTATTTGAATCAACAACAAATGTTTAGACAACAACAACAACAACAACAACAACAACAACAACAACAACAACAATTATCTTCCTCCAACAATGGTGGTCAAATGACACATCTTCCACCTCCACCACATTTCTCGGATTATCAACAATATGCACATATGCCAATGGAATTTTCCAATCATCAACAACAACAAATTTCACCACCAAATTCTCACAAGAGATCACATAGCAATAGTTTTAATCCATCCAATTGGACCATTGCAAATCAATTATTAAGTATGAGCCGAGATATGACCAGTAGTGTCGATTCAAGTCCGGTCTCTTCTTCGTCACCACCAACATCGCCATCACTTTCTTCGAGTGGAGCCAACAACCAAAACTTGTACTCGTCCAACACCATCTCACCAATTATGAGCCAAACTACTACCACTACCACAACTACCACTTCAATGCTCCAATATCCACAACAACAACAACAACAACAAATCCAAAGAGGAAAACTTTCAAGTAATGCTCTTAGACCAGATTTGTCACTTTCATTGTCTGACGACTACAACAATAGAAACTCATCGCCTAGCAATGACTTGACCACAAGCTCACCACCACAGTCGCCTTGTGCTTCACCAAGATTCTCTCTAGGAAAAAATAAGCACTATTCTTCTGCCAACATTGAAGAAGACTATGAATACCTCCGTGGCTCCTGGGTAAAGGCTCGTGAAATCTCTCAAGATATCATCAAAATTACCAAACAAGCCACAAAATATGATTTCACTCTTGTAGACTTTTATCCTAGCCTCCAAAAGGAATATGAAAATCTTGGTAACCTCTTAAATTCAATGGTTGAAAAGGTTGATGTATTAAAGTCTGACGAAAGACAAAAAAAGAAAAGAAAAGAGTCTGATAGAAATGCCGAAAAAAGAGTAAGAAAGAAAAAAAAAAAGGAAAACAAACTTGATCAAATTATTAATAATTAATTTTATTTTATTTTACTTTTTATAGAAAAAGAGAAGAGAAGCAACATTATTATTAAATAATGTATGTAAAAGTTGTTTTACAACTGATACACCAGAGTGGAGAAAAGGACCTGATGGTACAAAGTCCTTGTGCAATGCTTGTGGTTTACATTATGCAAAGAATCTCAAGAGAGAAACTTTAAATCAAGCACCACAAATCCCAACTCAAGGAACTGGCAAAGAATCCATGAAGGTATTGTCAATCCTCAATTAAGTTAAAGCTTATTATATATTTAGCTTTTCTTCCCCCATTCTTTCTTTTTCCACATCCACATATATAATTACATAATAGTTTAACCATTTGGTGTGTGAGTTATTTAAATAGCTACCTTGCACACATGGCATCAAACTATCAAGGCATCTTCTTCTTCCTCTTCTTTTTTATCAAAACAATATATAACTATTTTTATTTTTTTTCTATCTATTTATTAATTTTCCTCCTCATCCTCCTCCTCATCCCTCCTTCAACTTCTAACAATATAACAAAAACCTTTTAAATCCAACCACTTAGATATATTATTAATTGGAAGATTTATCAGAAAATCAAATAACAAATAACAGTTATTTTGCATTCACAAGAACAAAACGAAATCGACCAATTCATTGTTCCAATAACTTAACATACCAGAACAACAATAACAACAACAATTAACAACAACAATAACTGTATAAATCCCCCCAAAAGAAAATAAAATTAAATTGGGATTATCAACTCCCTGGCCTTCAATCAAAACAATTAAATTATCTATTTATTTATTATATATTTTATTTTCTAATTCATTTTTCAAACTTTTACATTTTTATAAAACTTTTCCATATCAATTTCCCAAGGCAGATAGTCATCTTTTCCAAAGGAATATTGTGAAACATCAAACTTCATTCCTTCAAGTAAATACTTTGTGAAACTGTGACAATTTGTTATTTCATTCCATTCAAGACCATGGTTTAAAACAAAGGAATGAAATCTTGAATGAGCCCAAAAGGAGATTGATACTGCAGAGCTTGAAGCAATATTGAATTTCGATGGCAATTTAAATTTCCCAATGTTTGTTGATTTGATGATTCTAGAGTCTTCAATCTTTGGTGAGTATCTGATACATTGAACATCGACAATTTTGTTGAAATTCATATCTGGTATGATCAAGTGAACCAATAGACCAATTGGATGATTACTATCAGTAGTCTCTCCAAATGGATCAATGATAATTCCATAGTGTCCAATATCGATATCATCATCTTCTTTAAGATCGGTTGGTGAAAATATTACAAAATATACATTCCAAGCAATTATAGCGTTTACAACTGAATTAGGGAAACATGCAAATCCATTTGACATTGGATTGGGATAAAGGTCGTGACTACTTGATAATAAATTTCCCATTTTCCAATTAAATAAATAATAATAAATGTAAGATGCTGAGAGGTTCGAGTTGATCAACACTTGTATTTAAATTAAATTAATTACTTTTTTTTTACATTTAAAGATAGTTTTTTAATTTTTAATTTTATATTTTATTTATTTATTTATTTTATTTATCTGTACAATTTAGGATTTAATTTTTTGTTTGAAGATAAAGATTCTAGACTGTCACCACGTTTAAGAGCAGCTTGGATAGCGTTTGCTAGGACTTGATCCTTTTTGGCAATGATACAAGTGACAGTTCCCTTTTTACCTGCACGAGCCGTACGTCCAATACGATGTAAATAGTCGATTGGGTTGGATGGGAAATCGAAAATGATGACATGGTCAACCGAGCTAACATCAATACCACGCGATGCAATGTCGGTCGATACCAAAATCGACTTTTCATTGTTTAGGAATTGTCTCCAATTTTTGGAACGTGTCTTTGGTGGAATCTCACCGTGCAGTGAAGTTGCATTGAACCCATTCTCTGTTAAAAAGTATTCGGTTGATCGACATGAATTGGGTGAATTACAAAATACCAACACTCTTTTACTTTGTGATGGCTTAATGGCTCTCATTAATGCCTCGTGTTTATCACCACCTTGAACAGAAATAAATTGTTGTTCGAGGGTATTGAGAGATTTGTGAATGGTTGGAGTTGCAAGTTTGACAACATTTGGGAAAAGTGATTGAACGTTGGACAAGAGTTGTTGAGTGAGTGTTGCACTACAAATGGTTGCATAGATTGATTTGTATCCTTCGACATGCTTATTCTTGAGTCTATATTCAACTGGAGCCAAAATCTTTTTCATATCATCATCAAAACCTTTTCCTTGTGTAAACATTGAATCGGCTTCATCTACAACAATATTCTCTAAATGTACCAAAAAATATTTGTTCTAAAAAAAAAGATAATTAAATTAAATAAATTAATATATAGGAAACATGTTTTGTTTTGGTTGATTAATAATACAAACTCTTTTCAATTAAAGAAATTAAAATACCAGGAGTTGAAACTACAATATCAACTGGCTTTGATCTAAACATTTGTAAATATTTTGTAATATCACCTCCTCCACCTGAAATACCACAACATGATACCTTTTCATAATGTGCCAATTTTTTAACTACAGCCTAAGTTTGAGAATACAAATAAATATTGAATTGTTAATAAATATGATCGTTGTCTTTTGGTTTGTTTTCCAAAAACACATACAGTTACTTGTAATACCAATTCTCTGGTTGGTACTAAAATAATAGCTCTTGGTCTTTTTGGTAATCTTGGTTTCATTTTAATCTTTTCTTCTTCTTCCTCTTTTACTTCTTCTTTTTCTTGTTCTACTTCCTCTTCTTCTTCTTCAAAATCTTCTTCATTTTCTTTGATTTCCTCTTCTACGATAGATTCATCTTCAATATCTTTAATTGCAGTTGTATTTGTTTGTTGTTGTTGATGTTGTAGATTTTGTTTTAATTGTTCTTGTTCAACAATATATTGATCCAGTTCCAACTTTTCTTGTTTCTTTATATTTTGGATGATGGGTAAGAGATAGGTCAATGTCTTGCCAGTACCAGTCTGTGATACAAATATAATGTCATTGTTTGCCTTGATGATTTCTGGAATGGCAAGTTGTTGGATGAGACTTGGAATAGAAATGTCCATCTCCTTTAGACCTCCCATCAAGTTTTTAGATACACCCAAACGTGCAAATGCAGAACCAGTGCCCTTTTGATCGGGTACAAAACCATCTACATAGGTTGATTTGTTTTGGAATACCTTTACATCGTCGGTTTCCTCTACAATCACTTTACTTGAATTGAAATTGACAGGATTGGAAGAGTGAAAGTGACCTGTCTTGGGTCTATACTTTTGACTTGAAGAATCAAATGATCTTCCTCCTCCTCCTCCTCCTCCTCCTCCTCCTCCTCTATTATCTCCTCCCAATCTTCTTTCACCTCCTCTATTGTCTCTTTCTTGAGGTTGTTGTGTGAATCTACTCTTTGTCTTGAAACTTGTAGTATGTGGGTCAGTATTGGCCAATCTAAATCTTGATGACGATGATGGTGATAATCTTTTTGAATAATCATCTCTATTTCTATCTCTTCTGTTGTATTTATTGTCTCTGTTGCTGCCGCCATCTCTATTGTCTCTGCTGCTGTCTCTGTCATCCCTTGATGATTTGAGTGAACCTATTGATGCAATTCTTGATTTTCTACCACCATCGGTGCTTCCATTACTTTTGCTGGATAGTCTTACTCCTGTTGAATGAAAAGATGAAGATGAAGTATTTAAAAAGGATGCAGACAGTGATGTGATTCGATTCGACAATAAGATTCTATTAAATGTTGATGTCGAAATCGTTGTAGTCGTCGTCGTCGTCGATCCTACACTACCACTACTCAAAAGAGGAGTAGATGTAGTTGTTAAAAGTTTGATTAATCTATTCATCTCTATTTAACAACATAATAATAATAATAATAATCAAACTCGAGATCAGATGATTTGTGCCGTTCTACAATGCAAACTTAGTTTCTCGTTTTTTTTAAATTATTAATATTTTTTTACAGAAATTCCACTGCAATCCTACTGTATTACATTTATATTTAGTATTGTGATTGTTTACTATTAATGTTTAATGAATATTAATTTTAATATGGAAATTGTCTATCTATCTATCTATATATAATTACAAATACAATTTATTTTTTTTTGGATTAATTTAAATAATTTAATTTACTTTCCATTGCTTTGTTGTATGCTCTTTTTCTTGCGTTTGATCTGTAAAAGAGGATGGATGTAGTGGCAACAGCTATAGCAACTACACCAACCACAACGACAATCACAACAATCTTCCATGTTGCAAATGAATTGTCTTTGTCACACCCAGCAGAATCATTGTTGTCGACATTGATCAATGCTGAAAAATCTGGATCGATTAAAGAGTATTGTGCATAGGGTATATGTATACCTACATATAAATCTGATTGAGGAGAGAGTTGAGTTGTATCATTTAATAATTCGTTACGACAATAGGTTGGGAAACCATCGTTGATCGATACTTGTAGGAATCGACCATTGAAAAATGTACCGTCTCCTTGAAACACTGATAGATATTGAAGTGACCCATCTTGTCCAATGACTACACTCTGTCGGTCATTACCACATTGATCCGATTGGTCACCTAGTTTGGTAGTGAATACAATTCGGAGATGATTCAATCTAGATTGGAAGTTCCATTGATCGATGGACATTGACACTTTGATACTATTGGGTGGTAGTTGTTTGGTGACACCTGCAAATTCAAATGATCTAGATACATTGGCATACTCTATAATCGACATGATTTGGTTGGCGTGTCCCTCGATTTGGTTCAATCTATATTCAACTCTGTTGACAGTATCATTCCACGTGTTATTGGTGACTGTCCAATTATTGGTAAAAAATTGGTAGATGACTTGATCGTCAAGGTCGAGTTCTTGGATTGACACGATTGTAAAGTTGAATTGATAGTCACCGATTTTATAAGACACGGTTGGTGTGTCTGAAATGACTGGGTTGGCATCGGGGTTGACCGTACCCTGACACTTGTCACCGTAATACCCATCAACACATTTACAATAGTATTCCAATACACCCGCAGTAGTCGAGTTGGTACATGTCCCATGAGTACCGCATCCATCTTGACCACATCCACTGGTTGTTGGCGAGCTAGTATTTACAATAACGGCAAGGTTACTTGATTGAAACTTCCATTCTCCAACATTGACAAAAACATTTGCACTTCCAACAGATAATACTGCGTTTGCATCCAATTGACAAACAACTATTGTTCCATTACCAGACACATCTACAATATTACATAGATTATCATTAATCTTGATTTGAATGGGTGTATTTGGTAATTGTCCAAAATCACCAATCATTGTAATATTTGAATTATTTTCAACATTTATAATTGTTGGAATTGATGTTATAAATGGGAATCCTAAAAAAATGATATTTAATTAATTAAATATATAATTAGTATTATTATATTTGTTTGTTTGTTTTGATTGTTAATTTTAATTTTACATACTTGATTTAAATGAAATATTTGTATTTTTAGATGTCATTTGATTCGATAAGAGAACAGTGACATTTCCATCTGGTAACATTTGATTCAATATACAAGATGCCAATGGTGGATAATCTGATGAATGGTCGACGAGACAGATGACACCATCGATTCGAATAGCTGGTACCAATTCAATGGCAGTGAGGGTAAAATTGAATCTAGTTCCATTGTTTGCTTGTTCACTCGATGTCGATACGATGTCAATATCGGCATACACCCAATAAATAGTTTTAATGTATCCATAGGTGTTTGAAAAAGATATGGTAGCACTTCTTATGCCAGCACCAAATCTATAATCAAACATTGAGTTTGCAACTTTCATTGTCAAATTGGCTGATATATCACCTAGTGTACCCCATCCGAGGTTTCTACCCGTAAGGGTTATAGTCTCATTATCAAATGTTCTCCATAATGTTTGGCCAAGTAAAACCATTTGACCTTAATAATTAAATAAAATAAATAAATTAAATAAATCTTATTATTATTATTATTATTATTATTATTATTATTATTTAACATACCACAATTAGGAGGCATAGTGACAATCAAAGAAGTTGTAATGGGGACACTACCAGGGAAACATTTAAAACAATCTGGAATATTTGTGATTGAAGTACCAAGTGCATTAAATCCTTGGAATTGACAAAAAGATTGTGGAACATCTCCTGTAATATTGATATTGGATGAAAAATCTATATATGCTCCATAAGCTCCAAGTGCAAATTGATCTGGAATGATTCCACTCAAGAAATTTCCAGATACCGATCTAGAATAATAATAAATATTAATTAATTTAGTCTGTATTCCACAAAAAGTAGGTAAGTAAGTTTAACATACATCGTAGTAGTAGTTCTTGACCAAACTCCTAATGGAAATTGTGTTAAACTTCCTTTAATAATACTATAGATTTTTTTTAAAAAAATATATAAGAGATGATATTCCAAATTTTGTTTTAATAGCTATTAATAATAATAATAATAATAATACATACAAGGTACCTAGATTTGGTGGATAAATAGTAAAACCAAGTGAAGTCATATCCAATGAATTGGTAATATTGATAACAGTCAATGCTGTGAGATGACTTAGATCAGGTGGTGATATAGATACTGATTTGGTGTTAATCTTGAGTGTTATTAAACTGGGCGCATTTACAAGATTGAAATTTACATTTCCAGTAACTGTTGGTTGTGCTTCTTGACTTGAAATATTACTTTAAGAAGAAAAAGAAGAGAAATGAAAAAAAAGTTAATTAATCAACAGATTGTTTGTTACAAACTATAACTATAGTAACCACACTTGTCTTCATTCTACATACAATTCAGTTAGATTTGGTAGATCGATGGTATAAGTAGATGCACCATTTAAATCAGAGAGAACTGCACTTAGTTTGAATAAAGATTTAAAGTTGGTTCCACTCAAAACAATATCGGCATTTTGAGAGTTGGTAATATCCAATCTTGTCATGAGTGTATTGACGGTCGATGGTAATAATTTGAGTGAAGAAACATGACCAATAGTACTATATATATATAGAAGGTTAATAAAGACACTCTTAATATTATTTTGTAATTTAACATACGGAAATTCAATAGAACTGTCAAGAAAGAAGGGATCAGTGAATTCAATACCACCAGTAACATCATAAAAACTAAAAGTATGGGAATGTATCTATTAGATATTGTTTCAACATCAATTTGTGATTATTCATTATTTGTATATATAGTTACAATGATTCAATGGCAGGGAATAAAACGGATGGATTAAAGGTTAATGGAAGGATGGGGGTGAAAATGTCCATATATGTAAATGTTTTGAGTTTGGGAAGCGGATTGTTTAACATGGCAGAGACACTTAATGAATAATTTGCAACAGGGTTCATATTAATAATATAGAAATCGGTCAATTCTGGTAAGTTGAATCCTTGTAGTGTGTAATCTGGCATTCCAAGCCCATTAACAACCGTGGCTGAATCAATATGACTATAATAAAAAGAATAAGTAAGTATATATATATTACAAGTTTGCTATTTTCTTGTGGTAAAATACATACAGCTTCACTAAATTACCTGATGCATCACAAGAAAAAGCTGGGTTTGCACATATTGCTGTTGGGCCAGGTAATGCAACTTGTAATTGTTTTGATAAGAAATCGATAACTTTGACTATAATATATTTGATTGATTGTTTGATTAAGAAGAAATGAAAGGAAGGGTGTTAATGAAGCAATGTGTTTTGTTGCATTGTTGAAAATCTACGAACCTCCATCAGGTGTAAGTGTTTGAGTATTACAGCATTGTAATACAATCAATCCAATAAAGATTAACACTTGAATCAGTCTTGTCATGACTGTATCTATTCTGTATTTCTATTTCTAATGATTGATTAGGCTCATGCCTTGTAATGACCATGAGGTAGGTAAGGTTTGAGCAAGTTGGGAGAAAAAGCGAGATACGATTAAAAGTATTAGCTCGTTTTCCATAAGATTAGATTTTTAGATTAAGATATTTTTTTGACGAGCTTTGAAAAGATGCGAAATCTCGATAGAAGAAATAAATAAATAAATAAATAAATAAATAAATAAATAAATATATATATACATATATATATATATCTCTCTTCTCTGTCTATATATATAAATGGTTGTACTTTTGCAAATGGTCGTATTCCCTTGTTGTATGTTTTATATATATTATATTATATTATTATTTTTTCTTGGCAGCAACGGCGGCACCAGTGGCGGCACCTTCACCTTCGCCTCCAGCAGTTGGCATAATGGCATTGACGAGTGAAATGAGAACCAATGGAACAATAAAGTACCACTAAAGTATACATTTTAGTAAAAATAAATAAACAAGAGAGAAAATTAATAATTATTAATTGTGATTAATTCCATCCATCCATCCATTCTTTTCTTTTTTTTTGTAGACTTACATATTTTCCAATGAATGATTGTTGTTGTTCTTCAGCTTCCTTTTCTGTTTTTGGAGGTTCAATCGCTGGTCTAAATATAAATATAATAAATAAAGATGGTTTGATTGTTTGTTAGTATTGATTGTATTGCTTCTAACCAATCTGCGTGCATGCAATTCAATTTCGAATTGTTTCTACATACTTTTGAGCCATAGTAGTAACTGAAATTTCAACATATACAGATTCCTTTGGAGTATTAGAGACTGGTGATTCAGTGAGATAATGACTGACTCCAATTAAATTTAAATTGGTTGCATCCAAATGCAACTTGACGGTTTCATATTGCAATGAAGAATCGTTTAATATACGTCTTGGGAGTGATGCCAATACTGGTTTACTATCTTTTGATGTTAAATCTGATTGTATAGTAGTGGTCAATACTTCTGCTTGTTCTTGGTATTCCTAAATGAAAATAGTCAATCAGTCAAGTCAGTCTTCCATCAATCAATCAATCAATCGATCTATCTATCTATCTATCTATCTCTGTTTCAAGCAAACATACAATCTTTTGTTGTGGTGTCAATGGAACACAAGTAGTAGTGATAACCTTTCTCTTGTCATTAGAGTTCATCAATCCGTTGTTTTCATTGTTACCAATGACTAGTCTTGCTTTAAAGGTGATTGTGCAACGTGGTGTCTCACTATTCAAATGTTTGACTGTATATATTATATCTTTGATCTGTTGTTGTTGTGTTGGTATAGTTGGTTGTTGTTGTTGAGTTGGTTGTTCTTTTGTTGCAGCATTTGATGATTGTGCAAATACAACCGACAAGGTTACAAACAAGATGAATAGAGTTATTGATATTTGTTTCATCATCTTTATCATCCTATGATCCTTTTGTACTTGAGTTGTTCAAAGTAAAGTAAAGCAAAGTAAGTAAAAAAGAAATGAAGTGCATCGTCATCAATAAAATTAATTTTGTTCAAACTTGTTAGTTTAATTTATTTAATTCAAAAGAAGATACAAATAAATATAGATAGGAGACAGATAGTAATGGAGAATCGTCGACGATTGGTATTACTGATATTGACATTGTTGGTTATTGTCAACTTGTGCAGTTTATTGATTCATCCATGTCTCGCTGTTGAACAAGTGCAACAACAACAACAACAACAACAGCAAGCCGTCGAACCCGTTGTTGTTATAGTTGGTGAAGAAGCTGATGCAGGTGATAATAATAATAATAATAACCCATCATCATCATCAACTCTACCGGTACATACAAAGGATGAAGATAATCAACAACCTACTACTATTACTAGCAACACAAAGAAAAGAAAGGAACAACAACAACAACCAATTAAAGTAAATGTAAAAAATAAACCAAAGGAATCTCCTACAACAACAACAACACCTACAACAAAAACTGATCAACCAACCAAACTTACAACAACTACAACAACAAAGGTTGACCAACCAATCAAACCAAAAGAAAAAGAAGAAGAGGAGAAGAAACCAAATATACCTGTTGTTGTGGATACTACCAAACAAGAAGAAGAAGAAGAAGATATTGAAAAGGAAAAGAAAAATGAACAAAAAGCTACTGCTACAACTGGTACACCATCATCATCATCATCATCATCATCGACAACTGAAAATACTGGTAGTAGTACAACTGCTGCTACTGCCAATTCTAAACCAATAAGAAAAAAGAAACAATCAAAGTTTGAAGTTGTGATTGGATCGATTACACAACGTTCACATCAACAACTTTCACAACACTTGCCAATTGCAAAGACTGAATATCGTGATCGATTCATCAACAATCCCAAATATGAAATGATGCCAATGGCATTGGCCAACGGTTCGAAATACGAGTGTTATGTACCTGCAGTGTTGGAGGAATACAGAAATACGTGGGTACCTATCCCAACAGCCGCTGAATTTGCAGAGCTTCTCTCTCCACTCGACGGACACTGCATGTACAAACCAACCAATGGTTGGTGGACATACGAACTATGCTACAACAAGGGTGTTAGACAACTACACTATGACAAACAAAAGATCGTCACCGAGTACAATGTCGGTCTGGCACCTGAATCTGGTGAAATCAAAGGATTGGATGCATCATTTATCGAACAATACAATAAATATGGAGAAGCACTTCAACACATGACCAATGCACAAATGGAGGCATTCGAGCCACCAACTCCACGTCAAGTAGAGGCTGGACAAATCCCATACTATGTAGAAATCTACAATGATGGTACAGCCTGCGAAGTATTGACTGGTGTTAAACGTCAAACAGAGGTTCGTTTCTATTGTAACGCTGATAACCAACAATCCTATATATTCGAAATCCAAGAACCTTCAACTTGCATGTACTATCTTAAAATTTATACCAATCTAATGTGCACTCATCCATTATTCCGTCCAAGACAAGATGCTTCAATGGATATTGAATGTTTCGAAGCAAAGAAATAGATAGAGAAAAGAGATAAATAGATAATAAATTAATAATAATAATAACAACAACAACAAAATAATAATATCCTAAATAATAATAATAATAATAATTAATTTATTATTTTGATTTATAGAATACCATCCAAGGTGGAAGAGGATGCTTTGATTTAAGGAATGGAGCAAAAACAGTACGAAGTGCAGGAATATCGTCTGGAATACCAATCGAATCAAATGTTTGGTCTGTGTAGAGATATAGAAATTCAATGGTAGGTGGTAATCCTCCTTTGGGAATACGATAGTTGTATTTGGGAGGAAGTGCATATGTTTTGAGGTTGGGAGGAAGCACGGAAACATCGATTGGATGGCTAAAGAATGAAGAATCTCGAAGTGAAAGATGTTCAAGTGTATTGGGTAATTGTCCAATTGTAATGGGTTGGTTAAACTTTACTCCAGGTGTTAATCTGGTGAGATTGGGTGGAAGATGGTTTAGTGGTTGGTTAAAGTCATGTGATAGTTGTAGATTCTGTAACGAGTGTGGAAGAGTGTTTGGTTCGAATGCATAGTTGTATGGTTTGGGGAGTGTTAGTTTGGTGAGTGATGTGGGTAGGACCGACTCTTCCAACTTGTGACGATAGTGACTTTCAAATGACAGCGACTCGAGTGTTGCTGGTAATTGACCAGGTAGGATGGGGTGGTTGAATACTGACCCATTTGCAAACGTCAGGTTTTTGAGTGCAGGTGGTAAACTCTCAAGTGGAAGGTTGTAACTCGATCCAAAAGCAATCGTTGTGATGGTTGGTGGTATTAACCCGCGTTCATCAAGAGATTCATCAAATCTGTCCCAAAAGAAGATCGTTTCAAGTCCCATTGGTAGCATACCCGGTAGAAGAGTGTACTGGTAGCCGCAGTTGTACAACATGTCGAGTTTCTTGAGTCCGGAGGGCAAGTTATCGAGTGGGTGGTCGAAATACGACTCGTCCGAGATGATTAGGTTGGCCAATGCGCTTGGCAGCTGCCCAGCGACAAACGGCTGGTTGTACTTGGCACGTTGTGCAAACAAGAGTGTGTCTAACCCCTCGGGCAGAGTACCCACGGGGATTGGAGAGTTGTACTTGCAATTCTTGCCAAACTCGAGTATCTTTAGTCCGGCTGGCAGACACCCAGGTTCCATCGGGTTCCTGAATCCAGCGCCATCACCAACATACAAGTTCTCCAACGTCGATGGGAACGCACCTACCACAAACTGTTGCTGTTTGGTGGTTGTGTACATGGTCAATGTCACAAGACTAGTATGCGCGATAACACTTGGGTCGCTCAACGGGATGGTAATCTCGAGATGAGTCATGTTGGCAGAAATCGAGTTGGACTGCAAAAAGGTGTTTGCACCAAGACAATTGTCATAAACAAAGTAGGTGATACCTGGCAGCACGCTCACAGCCACTTCAGAGAGTTGAGCTACCACAACCATGCGCTCTACATAGGTCGGTAGTGCTGGGAACTGCTCCCACGCACTCAGACGTAACCCAGTAATCTGTAAGTGTCTCCACTTGGTCTGCGTGTACTGCTTGCGTGCCAACACCTTGAGAAGCTGCTTTAAACTGTCAACACCTTCGACCGACAAGATGACATAGCAATCCAACAAAGACATTCGATTGTAAGTGTCGAATCGTTCCTCTGAGAAATAAAATGCATCTTTCAACTCGAGGCAATGTTTCTTGTGATACATCCATTTGCAACTATAATACAATGCAATACGGTCTGCATCCTCTGGTAACAAATCGTATATCTCTCTCCATAAAAGGTCTGGTAATTTTGAAAAGATTGATGATGATGATGAAAATGACTTTATCTTCTCCACAACATCTGCACCTGCAGATATAGTAGTAACCAACGACGACGTATGATCAATACTACTACTTTCACCGGTTGTATTTTTGACAGCATGGTTGAAACTTGTATTTTGTAGTAACGATTGAATGACAGGTTCAAAGTTCTTGGTGACCATTATATTTGATAACCCAAACACCTCTTTGTTTGCTTGTAGTTGTTTCCTTTGTTCCTCTGTTACAAAGGTGACTTTGATTGTCTGGTCATGTATCTTTTCAAAGTTGGTTATTAAGCATTGTTGAACATGTTGATAGCTGTTGTCGTACCACAGTCGCTTTTGACAATACGGACATGTTATCTTATCCTCTGTCGTATCCATCATTGTCGTTCTTTGAGAGAGTATTATTTGTTATCACAACAACAAAGAAAAGAATATAGCTGAGAAGCAAATGAGACCCATTTTTACTAATTTAATTTTAATAACTGATTAAAACGGAATGAAAACAGAATTTCTATTATAAAATATGAAAATTATGTTTGTTTAATATTTTATACGATAAGATTCAGAATACTCGAATACATAAGGTCATATGATGTAATAGAGTAAAAGAGTATTCTATAATAAAGACAACGAGATATATATACAAAAATAATAATAAAAGGGTTGTGATACAAAAGAAACAGATTACAATGAAATGTTCATAGTTTGGGTAAAAAGAATAAGAAGTTTTTATTTAATTAATATTATTCTCTGTAAGATATTTAAAATGTTGATCTTACATGTATACTAGATATGAGTACATTTTTTATTATTATTATTAAAATAAATGATTTTAATAAACTCATAAATGAACGCACATTGATATGGTTGAATTTAATTTTTTTTGTTTTTTATTTTTGTTGATCTGCCGATCTGCCGATCTCTCACTCGTTTGTTTATGATCCTTAAACGTAAACCTAGTGTTAAGACTTTTTGGAAACAAAAGAAACAAACATTCACTATTATAATTATATCATGTTTGAATAGAATGTTTATTGGATTCGTGTGAAGGAGTAGGATGAAGTTGAATTGTTGGTAAATGCAAACACATATTCAGAACCAGCGGGGATGATTGGTGTAACGCCGCCAACTGGGGAGAGACGCCAATAGATGGTGCCGTTGACGGTTGATGGAGTTAGTCCCCACATACTAACAGGCTCGATATTTGGATCAGACCTAAAGACTGGATTGACAATGTCGACGGCTCCATCGTTGGAGAGGGTCCCAACTACATTGGTGTAGTTGAATCCTCCTGCAATCCAATATCTGGTGATATTTAGAGAGATTGTAGGATGTCCCAGCTCAGTTTCAGTCCAGCCATGGCAGAAGGTTTCGAGGTCAAAGGCAAAATAACTCCGATGGTATAGCATGACAGAGTCTATCGTGTCAAATTGGGTCCATGGAACTGAGCTACCTGTGGAACAGTTTGGTTGTTCGGTCAATGGGCAAACGACGAAATGAGGGAACTGAAAAGGATTCTCTTCGTAGTCATCGAACCACACCTCAGTGCTGACATGGGTGTAGGTGGCATCGGCTCCAAGGAGGTTGAACACAGGTAATGGGAGATGAGGAATTGTGTCCTCGTAGTTGACGACTCTGTAGCTTGAATGAACATAGGAATCGAAGCACACCTCGAAATCCTCATTTCCAACTCTGGGCGACCCATAGGTGTACACGGTCATGTTTCCATAGGGTGAATATGATAATGCGAAATCCAAAGATGCAAGAGCTAATGAAAAGTTAATAAATGAATATTATATATTTATATTTTATGATTACCTACTTGCCATGGCTCCACCCAAACTGTGACCAAGGATGGTTAAACTATCGATGGAATGTTGCTCAATGATATCGACCACCCTTGAGCGAAGGCCACCGCCCCCAACTCCGTACCAAGTATCATAAAAACCACTAGAGACCTTTGGGGTGCCACTGGTACATGGTATCGACGTGGCACTGGGATCTGGATAATTTTTTTGGGTGACAAAATCCAAATCTTCAAGGTCATTGAAAATGCTATCGGTTCCCCTGAATACCAAATAATCTGTATAATGATAATAAAAATATATTTTGATCAATTATTTTAAATTGATCTGATAATTCTATTTTAAAAACTTACGGTTGGAAAGGTGTTGAGCAAGGTAGAACAAGCTTCCATAATGCCCCGGGTCTACATGAATGAGATTAAAAGTGTTGGGTTGACCAGAATTATTGAAAAAGCCATGGGCCAAGGTCCTTTCGCAGATCTCGGCAGGACAGGTCCAAGAGGTGACATTGTCACCAAAACAGTAAGCAGCATAACTCATGACGAGTCCTTGATAGGCCAATGGTTCCTCAAAATTTAATTGGCTCTTGGCTATAGAGATGCATAAAATAAATAAACAAATAAACAATATTTTTATCGACATATCTGATATATAAATATAAGTTGGTGTATTTAAATTTGTGGCTCATTAATGCTATCATTTAACAGCTCCACTTGTCAAAAATATTATTTGACAGAAGCTTGTGAAGAACGAGAAGAATTACATATTGTTGTAATAAAAAAGATATTTTGGTCGGGTCAAAGGGTCCGATTGGACCATGTAACCATTGATATTTTTGTTCTTTAAACAAAAAAATTGTCAAAAGATTCAGAATCTGAAGATTTTCTACTTTTTTTTCAACATTTTGATTGACCATCATCTGGTTTCCTTCACTCAATTTTCTTTTTATTTGTTTTGAAAGAAGAAGTATTACCTATTAAAATGAAGATACAAGTGTTTACGGTTCTGCTAGTGTTGCAGTCTCTGCTTGGTGTATCAATAGCAGCTGTACCAACAACTCTTAACGTATTTGATAATACTGGAGTATATTATGCCATCAACATATCGAGTGGAGAACTCATCAGTAAACATCGTATAAATTTATTCTTGAGTGACTTGGTAGAATTGAATGGTGTTATTCTACCCATGTCAGCTAGCGATGACTTTCTACTTATCGGAGGTAATATTACTGATGTTGGTGAATCTTATATTCCAATCATTTGGTCTTATAATGTTCTGGTATGTAATCCCACGATACAAATAACAACAATATAATAATTATTAATCGGTTTTATCTCTCTTGTTTTCTCTATCTCTTCCTTTATCCGCAGAACAAGACGATTGTTCAAAAGTCATTCATAAATGTAAAGTTTCCACAATTTGATTACCAATGGAGTCCTCAGATCGCATCATATGATTCAATCAACAATATTGTTTACTTGAATGGTGATTTAAATGGAGGTCCTGTTTTGCTCAAATTTGATTATAATCAACAAAAAGAGTAAGAGAACTATCTATTATCTATTGCCACTAATGCAAGCTTAATAACTAACTATATTGATATATAATTATTATTTTAGAGATGTAATAACTTTACCAGGCATGGGATGGTACATACAATCAACTTACAATGAGACCACCAATATATGTTATATGGGCGGTCAGAAAGATGTATTGGGTCAATTTGGCCAGATGCTAGTTGTCACTTACAACTCTGTGACTGGAGATATATCATCAAACAACATTAAATTTGATATTCCAGATAGTTGTTACTACTCGACAGTGATGTATCAATATAACTCCAAGTTTTATGCTGCACTAACCGCTGACACTGGTGATTGTTCAGCCTACGTCTTTGAGGTCGATATTGTTGGAAACACTACGACACTACTGGCCTCCATCCCAAATGATGACACTGTTCAAATCGATGGATACATGAGCTTTGTATTCGATCCTGTCAATGGCTATATTGTCATGGTTGCATCTAGTGCTGAGGATTATACAAAGCTGGAAATTTGTATGGTCAATCTCAATACCTATGACGTTGATCTATATGCTATCCCCAACGCACTTGTCCAGCAAATAGGTAATGATGAGGATATGTTCATGACTCTATCTTAAGATAGCTAATTCAAATATAAATAATAAAATAAGGTACCTTTTAAATTAATTTATTATAGTACTATTTATTTGTATGGAGCTGGAGTTGATTGTATACATAGTGGGTATTCACCATGAATGGTTAGGTAAAGTGGAGGATAATTATAATTACCATTGATCTGTTGTTTTTGTTGTTTTTGTTGAATGACTCCACCAAATAATGATTTGTCTCCAACTACCAATACATTTGCATTTTTGCTATCCAATCTTCTAATAGATAATTGTACATGTCTATCAGAAATATTTGTATATATTGTCAATTCCCCTACACTAGTTTGATTTATAATTTCATCTAATCTAAAACTAAACAATTGTTTGTTGTTATTCTCTATTTCTGGAAGAATTCTAACAATCAACTTTTTTAAATTATTTGGTAAAATATTATTATTATTATTATTACTATCTGTGTGACTATTATTATCTAATTGGTTAATTGATGGAATGGAATAAATTGGAATTTGTATACCAATTTGTTGTTGTTGTTGTTGTTGTGGATGAATGATTAAATCTAGAGTTGTTAAAGTTGATGGAATAGTATTTATATCTATCAAACCACCTTTTAGGTATTCTAATTGAGGAGGATATGAGTGTAGTGATAATGGAGTCGTTGCTGCTGCTGTTGATACATTCCAAGTTAAATTCTTTAAAGATTGGGGAAGAATAGTAGTTGGGTTGTTTAAAATATCTGTTATAAATGTGATACCTTCGTCATCATCATCATCAAACATATTGTCAGTCTGGCCATTATACTCTAGAGTAAGAGACTCGACAGTATCGGGTATGGAACCCTCCAACAGACCGACATCATAAAACATAATGTCAAGTGTTAGATGAAGAACAGTACGAGGAATAAATCCAGGTGGTACAGACGTCAAACAATGAATGGTTAACCGTGTCAACGATGTTAGATGAGATAGTGAGATACTAGAGTAGTCGTGACCACCCAGCTCTACCTCCAACTCGATCAACCCAGTTGGAAAGAATTGAGTTGTCATTGTGTTTTGACCCAAGTTACAGAAATGGCTCAATGCAAGTGAAGTCAGATTGGGTGGTAGTTGGATGTTGGATGCATCTATACTACATTGTTTTGGTACGAGTCCCAAGGTGAGACTGAGTTTTCTGAGGTTATGTAAATGATTAAAGTTGATAGTTTGACAATGATCGAATACCACCAAGACAACCTTTAACTCTACCAATTTATCCAATGATTGAAAGTAGTTTGGCGATGTCAGTTTCTGCATACCAATGTCGAGTTGTGTAAGAGTTCTCGGTAACAGTGTACGGTAGTCTGGGTCATCTGGCACTTTTGGAGCGTCGGCATAGACACTGCTAGTCGTGAATGACTCGAGAGTATGGTTGTCGAGCACACCGAGAAACTGTAACGGCAAGGTAGACTCGAACTGAAAATTAAAGTGTTTGAGACGAGGAGGTAGGGATATTCGATCGACAAACGAATTCAACCCTTTTATAACCAGTGACTTGGTAGCTACAAATTCGGCCAATGCACTTGCGAAATTACCCAATTTGACTAGGTCAAGGCACACATACTTTAGATTATCAAAGAATGGGTACATTGAGAAAGTGGGTGGAACCGTTGACCTTCCCTTAATGTATATACGACTGATTGATATTGGTGCATTCTGATATCTTGTATGACACTTGTAACCATGAAAGTTCATTTCCTCTTGTGCATATAAATTGATCATCAAACTATTGTTATTGAATGAGGTATCGTTATCATTATCCTCCTTTTCTGATATTAACAATTGATTTGATAATGCATTCTTGAATAAACTTTTAAATGATTTTAGTTTAAACAAAGATGATGCATGACGAACATCAACACCATTGTCCACCAACCAATGTGATTGAACATCAATATAAATATATCCAACACTACTGAATGTAATATGATGACTACCGACAATCATACCATACAATTTCTTACAAGATAATGATAGACATATCAAATCTACATTGTTTGTCACTTGTCTAATAATATGTAACAATACAATATTTGGGAATTTAGTAATGTATTCCTTTTGATTATCTTGATTATCTTGTAAATTATTATTGATCATCATTATAGAAATGAATTGAATCGTTAGTTATATAGTTAGAAAGCTAGCTTGATGAGATTGATTGCAAAATGATTTTATTTTTCTTTTCTTTTCTTTTCTTTTCTTTTTGAACATGCAATCTTACTATTTTATATTATTATATGCTTGCTTGAATAATTATTCTTCATAAATTCCAATATCTTTGAGAGTGTCTAAAAGTTGATTTAATCCACCTTGGCGTAAACTATCCCTGAGGGTGTCTCGGTAGAGGTTAAACTCTCCTCTAGTTTCGATGAGCCATTCGACAGCTCCCAAGTGTCCGTTTTCAGCAGCTAGTCGGATTGATTTGTTGGTACATTCTACAAAGATATTGGAGTGTATCCATGAACACATTTCTACATCACCATTGGCAGCGGCATACTCCAAGGCCAAAGACGAGTATATGTCATCCTCGAATACATTTGAATGAATCCACTTGACCATGTTTAAATGGCCGCTTTTGGCAGCTATATCGATCGCATCGTACAAACCAATGTTATCATGGTCTACACGCTCATACATCCACTCCAAGACATCCACATGACCCGACCTGATGGCACTAGTCATTGCATCGTCGGATATACGGTGATCATATTCTCCAAACAACCAAATGACGACATCTAATCGTCCACCTGACGCAGCACCAACCATTGCACACTCGATCCCAACTCTAGTCACATGGATATGACTATGAGCCATCCATTGAATAAACTCTAATGGACAAGACCCTTCGCAGGCACTGATAATTGCGTCTTCAGTCATACCTTCTTTTCTCTTTGATTTTAACCATTTCACTACTTGTATGTGTCCACCTTTTGCTGCCCAATCGATAGCATCGGTTGTGCAAATACCACTACTATTACTAGTACTATCACTTCCAAATCGATTATGTAACCATTGAACCATTTCAAGTCGACCTGATGATGCAGCATAATCGATTGATTTGGCAAGATGTAAAACACCCAATGAATACTTGGTCATTAAGAATTCAACAATATCAATGTGACCAGCCTTGCATACCATCAATACATTGATTGTTTTCGATAACATCTTGTCATCTCCACACCATTCTATCAGCATCTTGACAGTTTCAAGTTGAGCATTACCAAGTGTACAATACTGAGCAATACTATCCAATTTACACTTTCTAGTAAGTTTCTCCGGCACAAGATAATGTTTGACATAATCCCAAGTCATTCCAAACTTTGAAACCATTACAAGTTGTGTATTTGGTTCATTTGCTTCTTTGATTAAATATGATCCTTTGGCAAATGTGATTTGTCCTTTGTTGTGGCGAGATACACGGTGATTGATTTCATAAATTGATTCAAATACTTTAATTCTAATAAATGTATTTCTTAATAAATCTATAATATTCATCGTAGATAAATACAAATAAATAAATAAATATTTTTGAATAAAAATGAGTTTAAGAATGAAAATGGAATAGCTAGTTTGTAGCTGTTTGTCGAGGTCGAGGGTTATGATTATTATTATATTTTTTTTATTTATTTTTTTTAAAGAACATTGTATTTTTTACTAATTGCTTTTGAATGTTTCCTTTTTGTTGTCAAAGACAAGAGAGATTGTGGAGGATATACTATCCACCACAATTCGCAGGCTTATTAATGGATGGGAAGGATGAATGAGGGAAAGGGAGAGTTTACAAACAAAATAATATTGGGATCGATGGTTTAAAGGTTGGACTGGCACATTGTTTCGGGGTTGGGGAGGGCGATTTGTATTTGATTTGGTAGATGGTTGGTTGGATTTTAATTTAAATTGACAGTAGTGGTGATTATATTAATATATTGGGTGACGGTGATTGGGTTGGGTTGTTGATATTATTATTATTATTATTATTTGATTTAGTCAAAGAATCTTCTGGATGGGTTAGCACCGTAGAGGGTGTTTCTAATGACTGGAGTCAATTGTTCGAAAGCAATTTCGAGACGAGCGTCCAAGGTGTTCTTGCAAATGATTCTACCTTCGAGGGCAGTGACAATGACACCACCGGAGCAACCCTTTTGGTCACCCTTTGGAGCGGGTGGGAGGAAACGGACCTTGTCGACGTCGACGTGGACAGAGAGCTTGGTCTTGGTCTTGTATTCAGCGGCGGCTTGTGTGACGGCCTTTTCGACGAGGGCAATATCCTCTTGACGGCAGACGACGAGAATCTTTTCTTCACGCAACTTCATCATACCTTGGAGAACGAGATTCTTGAGAATGACAGTGTACTTCTCCTTGTCGTCTGGAATAGTGATCAACTTCTTTTGGGCATCAGCAACTACTTCACGGAGACATTCTTCTCTAACCTTTAAAACTGACAAACGTGCCTTATTTAATTCGTTTGATAAGTTACTAAAAAGTAAATAGAAAATAGAAATGAAAATAGAAAGGAAATGATATATCAGTTTCAATTGTCATTATTGTTGATTATTGTCATTAATTGATTGTTTGTGTTTCTGACATACATCTTCTTTTGGACTTCGATTTGCTTTAACTTCTTTTCATAGTCCTTGATGATCTTGAGCTTCTCAGTTTGGAAGATTCTACCCTTTTCAGAGGTGAATTCTTGAGCAGCCTTTGACTTGATTTCTTCAGCCTTGTCGTTGGCTTCAGAAAGAATGAAATTCTTCATTTGAGTGAGTTGAGCAGAGATTTGTGTGTCATCCTATAATTGATCAATCAATAAATATAAATATAAATATAAATAAACAAGTATAAGTATATTATATTAAGAAGGTGTTCTTTTCCAATCAATTGCATTTTGGAGAGTGACAGAGGGAGAGAAGAGAGATATTTTAATTTTTTTCGTGTGTCGACGTTTGTATGGTTGGTATGGTATGGTATGTTTGTTCATCATCGCGATAGTAGTTGAATTGGAGAATGAATCACCATTGGTATATTATTTGTTGTTGTCTATTTCTAAATCTAAATCTAAATCTAATCACTTTTTCAGATATATCTGTGTATCTATGTTGTTGAATGAATGGTTATAATTGTTTGTTGTTTAATTAACTGCTTGTTCTCCTGTGTTTACGAGTTTCTACATCATTCTATATATGCTGGCTGATATCATACAAGACACCAATGTTGTGTGCTACTATAATCATTCATCTATTTTCTACACTAACTATGATTACTTGTTGTACTACTTTTGTGTGATGTCATAACTTCACCACCACACCACCATTATCGTCTATACGCTGTTGTTGTTGTTGTTGTTGTTGTTATAGAGGAGTTATATAGAGTCATACCATTTTAAAATTAGTATTAATACTATTGATATTATTTAAATTAAAAATAAATAAATAGAGCTTGCAAAAGAGAGTGAGAGAGGGGATTTGAGGTAAGTGAAGGATCGCGCTCTTTGAAAAAAAATAGAAAAAACAAAACAAAAAAAATCAGCTGAAAAGGCTGTCGACGTTATCACCAGCGCCCTGGTTTGTCAGTTTTCAGGATAGGATTCGACTGGTCAAAAAAACAACCCTGTATCAAACGACTCCTTCTTCCATCCATCATGATGCATTTAATTTAAACAAGAGAGATAAGATATTTATTAATAAACTAACGATGCTAACGCTCTGTCAAACTAAATGTCTATTATAGTAGTAGCAGTATTATATATATATATATATATACGCTCACAAAAAGAAGCATCATGATATACAAATAGGTGCACCCCTGCTACGAGCGAGTATTGTACCTTGGTTGGTTGGTTGGTTGAAGTTCAACCAATATTATTTTGGATGACAGGCAAAGAAGCAAACTGCCAATATATGTATATAAAACGAGGATGGATGGAGTACTGCAGTGAGTGAGGTAGAGGTCGATGTAACATTCTTGTGTAGTATTTGTGTTGGGGTTGACCTTAATGAAAGTATTAAAATATAATATGTATCCGACACCACTCCATTTTTAGTAGTTCTGTGAGAATGGAATTAAAAACTCTCACTCTCTTTTGGAGTTGGATATTATGTGTGGGTGACTAGTACTACGACTACTACTACACTGCAATAAAAAAAGAGAAGTTCAGTTGGAACAAACTTGATACCTGGCAACGACCGCTTTACTACTCTTCCAAGTCATGCCATGCAGTGAGCTAGCCAACAACCAACTTACCACTACTAACATGCCAACCAACCATCCATCCAGCCAGCCAGTACTTTTATTATTTTAATATATACAACTTTGTAGTAGAGAGATATATAGTATATTTTTTTGATTGAATAGATAGAGATATAATATATAAAAACCCAAACAAATAGATTATAATATTACAATTTTCCATTATTTATTTATTCATTATATTCTATAACTAACTAAAACTTCGAGGTTGTGATTCAGATTCAAATATCCTACCTACCTTTATTCATTTAATAAAGAATATAAATTCTTTTTATTTTTGTTTTTTTAATTTAATTTTTTTTATAAACACTCTCCCCACACAACCATCTCATTTTAGTTTGAATCAAATCACAAGCAAGAGTAGCAAACTTTATCTATCTATCTATCTCTGTTATTATATAATATATTAAATATATATTAATTACTATTTTACAAATCTAAAATACTATTTATTTATTTATGTTAGATATTGCATTCACACATTCTTGTACATATATATATAACTTCATATTTATTTATTTATTTAAAAGCAACACATTGTACATAGCAGCAACACAAACCAACTTAACGAATAACAAATAATACTCAATAAACAATGGATCTCAACGAAAACAATCTATTGGAATCAGATGATGATGAATTGTCATTACAAGATGTATTGGTTCAACAAGATAATGATCTTCAATTCTTTTCAAATCATAATCCTTATCTTTATAATAATAATAGTAATAATAATAATAACAACAATAATGGATTCTTACAAATGCCAGCTCATTTACTTGGCAATGAAGAGTTACAAGTTGATGAGAACCAATTCTCTGTAATGACTGGAATGAACAATCAACAACAAGACGATAACGATGATGAAGAAGACGATGAATATGACTCTGATAGTGACTCTGACCAAGATAATAACAATACAATGGATGTAGAAAGTAATAATAATAATAATAATAATGGTAATGGTAATGGTAATAGTAATGGCATATCAATACAGTTTCATTATGAAAATCCTTATCAACATTATTATGACTCTAATCAATCAGGTGACCATTCTCCTATTACTCATTTTGGTTATGAACCTCAACAACAAGATACAACATATAAACCAACTCAGCAACAACTACAACAACAACATAATAATAATCAATCAAAAATACATCAAGAACAACAACAAATAATAGATTATTTCTCAAATATGCCAATTGATATTATAATATCAATACTTGTATTTTTGGATAATACGTCACTTCAAAATATCATGCTTGTTTCTTCACTCTATTATGACCTTTCTTTTGATTTTGAAATTTGTAAGTAGAAATATATTTGACAAACATTGACATTGACATGTATATAGAATTCTAATATTAATAATAATAATTAATTTAGGGAAACCAAAATGTAAACTTTCAAATCAAAGTGTAAATAGTACAATTACAAAAGCAACCTTTTTAACACCTGGTTTTGCATCTGGTGACAATCAAAATAATCATCATAATCAAAATAATAATATTCATATTAATAATAATCATATGGTAAATGAACATGGAGGAGGAGAGAATTTATCACAACAATTATCATCGTTGGTCATGTCAAAGAAAAAGGTTCGATTTTATAACAATGAGTTGGAACCATCAACAAATGACAGAGGATCTTGGAAACGTCTATACAATGACTTGGGATCTATTGTATTATACGATACATACGATTTATTGTTAGAAGCAATAGAATCATCTACTCAAGACACTGATGACCAATCCATTGAAAACACACTTCAACCAAACAAAACATTTTGGTCTTCCAAAGGCAGTACAGTCGACTCTAACGAATATCTCATCTATAAACTCGAACAACCCATATGTATAGTATCTTCAATTCAAATTCATGTTTATAGAGCTTTCTTTCAACCAAGGTATGCAATCAGTGATTAGAGTATTGAATATTCTATATTATGATAGTTACTAAACTAACTATTATTATTATTTATATTTATTTAGTACACCAATTTACTCGCCACAATGGATTAGAGTATCAGTTGGATTTTCACCATTTAATATGCATTATACATCTGATTTATTTCAAGTTGAATTAACAGATGAGCCACAAACATTTACATTTGAACCTCGGTTGGTGGTAGGAGGATACATTAAAATCGATTTAATTGGTAAACAACAAACTCAAATCAACGATGGATTGTATTATACTGTATTAAGATATGTATGTGCTGATGGTCGGGCTATTGGATCATTATACAATTGTCCTGATTTGTGTAATTCAATGATTGAATTTGCTATGAAATATCAGTCATTGGAATCTCTTTATAAAATGGTTGTTAGCAAGTCAGCGTCGTCCTCATCATCTACAACTACAACCACCAGTACAACGACGACAACAGATTCATCAGCCATGACAACTCCAGTAATGACATCAACTACTGATACCTCCACCACTGTCACACCTTGTATAGGCACTAGTTCAGCCATTGCAAATACATCTAATCATTCACCATCAAACCTCCTTTCACTGCTACGTGGATTAATTTCACCAAAGTTGGATAAATCAAAATTATATCGTCATCAAATGGAATCTGTATTGGGGTATATTCTAGATGGGAAATATGAAACTGCAATTAATACAGTTATAGATGTAAGTATAGAAACCAAAAATAACATTTGAAAGAAGATACAGGTATTAATATTAATGTTTATTTTTTATTTATTTTTTAGCAAAACCTAAGAACACCAAAAATATTTAAAATGTTTTTATCAGTACCAAATCCAAGTGCAATTTCACAATACTTTATTACATTGTATAGTCATTCGAATATGTTGTTTTCACAGGATGAATCATTGTATGTTGTGAGAGAGATGTTTGAGTCACAACAAGAATATCTATTTTCACGATTGGTCATGTCTGGCAAATTGTACATGTCGGAGCAACTTGGTGACTTTTTACTCTTCTCTGGACACCCCTTGATTGCAGCCAATGTATACAATCGATCTCGTGTCTCTGACAAGATCATCCAAAGTCTATTTATCTCTGAACATCACATTGAAACCATCAATCATGTAGTTGAATTATTAGAAGATAATTTTATTGATATTATTCATTTAATTAAATTGTATGAAACCAAAAAAAATCAAAGAATATTATAATATATTAATATTAATTTTTATTTATTTATATTTATATAAAGATTTAAAAAATATTCATTATATCAAGCTTTTAAATTCACCATATTACTTTTGGAGAGAATTCCAGAACCACCATTTACAATGGATCAAATCAACGATCAATTTGACAATTTAAATGCAACAGGAGTACCTGATGCAATCGACAAACTCAAGATACTTATGGCACAGGAAGAAGATTACAAACCATCGATCATTGTCTACAAGGACAAATCTTCTCTTGGTCCATTTTTCGAATTACTAGGAAGATCCATTATCTTATCTAATGGTCGAGATAATAATTAATTATTAATAAATTAAAATAATAAATTATTATTTAAACTAAAGTTCAAATATTATTATTATTATTTCCCTCTCATTTTTTCAGAGAACCAAAAAAAATTCCCTGGTTTTCAAACTATACATAGCATAAAAATATAGTGATTTTTACACTTTTTATTTGTTTTTCATTCATTCATTCTTCATCCCACATCATCATCACAATTTAATTGTGAATTTTCTATTCAATTTCAAAAGTTTATACATTCCATTTATACAACGTTGCTCATAGAAGGAATAGATTAAAGAAAAGAAAAGAGAGAGAGAAGAGAGTAGTCTCACAAAAGTAAAGAGTTGTAGAAGAAGAAGAAAGAGAAGGTTGAGATATACAACATATATATATATATAGAGAGAGAGAAGTAGAAAAGTAGAATGTATTTAGTAGGAGGAAAGTATAAGAGTGGAATACTCTTTGCAAACTTTAACCAAGATTTTAGTTGTATATCAGTTGGTACACCTGAAGGTTTCAAAATCTTTAATTCAGAACCTTATTCCCTAGTTTATAATCAATGTTTGTATCAAAATATATCACATCAGAATACAATTCATTCATTCATTCATTATTAACCATTGTTCAATATTGTATTGTTATATTATATTATTAGCAAATGGAGGTGCAGGTATGATTGAAATGTTATTTTCAACTAGTTTGGTATCAATTGTTGGTTCAGGTGAAGGAGGATCATCACAAAGAAGATTATTGATTAATAACATAAAGACTGATACAACCATTTGTGATTTAAACTTTGTAACAACCATTCTTGCTGTAAAAATGAATAGAAAAAGGTATGTATATCAAACATTAATTTAGATAATATACCTCCTCTTATTATTGAAATATAATATTGATTAATTTGATTCAATCATTCAATCAGATTGGTAGTAGTTATGGAAACAAAAATACACATTTACGATATAAATAATATGAAGTTATTAGAAACACGAGACGTGGAACCTAACCCAAAGGGTCTTTGTGCTCTTTCACCATCCAACACCAATTTTATGGTCTATCCAGTCTCTCAAAATTGTGGGAATATACTGGTACTCGATGTATTGACCCTTGAAACTGTAAATTTAATCCCCGCTCACAAAGGTCCAATTTCTCAAATCGTTTTAAATCAAACTGGTACAATGTTGGCTACTGCATCTGAAAAGGTATAAAAAAAAGAGATGAAAAAGAATAGAGAAGAAAAAGAAATTAATTATTTCTTGGTTATTAATTAATATTTATTATTTAGGGAACTGTGATTAGAGTTTTTATGTTACCAAATGCAAATAAATCAATTTCATTTAGAAGAGGGACATATCCAGCCGTTATTCATTCAATGACATTTAGTTTTGATTCAAAATATCTATGTGTTTGTAGTGACACTGGAACGATTCATATTTTTAAAGTCGATTTTACTCAATGGTAAATAGAGAGAATCAAAACAAAAATCAAACATAATTTATTAATAATTATTTTATTTTATTTTCTTTTCTAGTGGGAGTAGCAGTGGAGTAAGTTCATACTTACCAGAGGTACTTAGTCAGGTATGGGAACCATCTAGAGATTTTGCTCATATTAAAATTACACCAGGTGTTCCAAGTATATGTGCGTTGAGTCAAGACAACAAAATAGCAATGGTTTTGACGGCTGAGGGATTCTACCCGCAGTATCAATTTGATGAAAATGTTGGAGGTGAATTGAAACAAATCAATGAATATTCACTATTGATGGAACCACAAACTGTAGAGGTTAGTGGAAAAATATTGACTGATCAACAACCAGCAGCTGCTGTACAACAACAACAACAACAGCAACAGCCACCTCAATCACCAAGCAATAATACAAATTTGTAAATCTTTACACCTTATACCCCCCCTTACCCTTAATCTCTCTCTCTCTTTCTTTTTAATTTTTTAATTGATAATCATTTTATTTTAATTTAATTTATTTTAATTTATTTTATTTTATTTAGTTTTAAAACTAAAGGTAGTATAATCAATACCACCAACGGTGATACTCTTCATTGTAACTGGAAGATTTGGATTTGGATTGGATGGGTTGAATTGGAATTGAGTGAGAGCAATGTTGGATGGTGATGCGATGGCATAGTAAACGGTTCCGACAGCAATACCCTTGACTGGACTTTGGACAATGAGTTTGGAATCCTTGGAGAATTTGATACTATCTTCAGCAAAGATCGGTGTTACAGCGTAGTTGGTGACAAGGGTGGAGAGGTTGAGAAGAACAGATGATGCATCCCAAACATACAAGAATTTGGTGACAACGAGTTGACCATCACCAACGACCAAGCTGGCTCCATTGACAACCTCGATTTGGGTGAAAATAGTGTAATCACCAGTGACGCTGACTGTGGTCTCTGGATCAGTCACGTAAATGGGAGCATTTACATCGGATTCAAAGATGGCGCCGAATGCTCCAGAAGAGAATGTGATGACGCTGCCACCAACGAGCATGGTATCGTTAAAGACGATCGTGGCACCTTCTCCATTGGCAGAGATTTGTGCTTTGGTGCCAAGAGTGACTTCAGAGTTTGTGAAATTGAGTGTGCCAGATGGAGAGACAAAGACTTGAACATTCTCGGCATTGAAAGTGGTAATAGAGGTGGATCCTTGGATTTCGACGACGAATGGCGATTGGACACCTGGTTGTGCTAGGAATTGGTCAATGGCGACATTGGTGAGAATGAGGTTGGTTTGGGGATTGCTATTGTACACCTTGAGAATAGAGATGTATCCATTGCCGAAAAGGGTGGTGGCATTGTTGACAAAGGTCTGTCCGTTTAATTGAACAGAGTAAAAGGTGGTCAAGGCACCGCCGGTCACTTGGACAGCGCTGGATTGATCAGATGTGAGGTATCCGATATAGTTGGTAGATTGGACACTTGAGATGTCAAAACCAGTCAACTGGGCAAGTGTGATGGTTTGTTGGACATTGACAGTCGAGACAAAGACGGAACTGGCAGTGATGGCAAGGACACCATTGGTAGATTGCAAGACTGACACTTGACCAGATGATTTGGTGATTTGGAATGTAGAGTTGAAAACAACTACACCAACTTGGAAAGCAGAGCCTACAAGTGAAGAGTTTCCGAAAAACTCGAGCATACCGTGAGGACCCAAGACGTTACCAAAGATTTCAGCTTGAGAGTGTGTTGAAAGGGAAGCAGTACTGTTGAGGAAAATAGTGGTATCTGGACCAAAAATAGTGTTACCAAAACTAATCAATTCAGCGTTACTGTCGATATTGAATTGACCATCATCAAACCAAACATATTCATTGACGACGAGGACAGTGTCTGGGTAGAGTTCAACATCGGATCCAATGGAAAAGAGAGCACCAATCTTGGACGACTGAGACAATTGGAAAATAATAGTGTTGACATTGATCTTGGATGTAATGTTGAATGTAAGACCAGAGATTTGTGATTTGGCATAGATATATTGTTGACCTATGATTTGAGTGGCAGAATAATCAATGATGATATTTTGACCAGCAGTTGGCACTTGACCACCAATCCAATTGGCATCATCAAAGAAATCACATCCATATTTACAATCTGATGGGGAAAATATAATAGATTGAGCTGCTTTGTTTACATCATCATCTAAATGTAATCTTGCTGATGATGATTTAGCTTGAATTGAAACAATGAAAAAGCATAATACTAAAATGATTAAACTTTTCATTTTTTTGAAATAATAAATAATAATTTGTTGTTGTAGTAGTTGTAAGAAGGTATAATTATACTAAAAGAAGACGATGATTTAAAGTAATTTGATTGATTACAATTAAAGAGTGACATCATCTTATTTATACCCATTGCAAATGGAACAGATATTTCCTTTGGAGTTTTTAAAAAATCCAATAAAAAAAATGTGAGGCTATAGAATTTAGAATCACCAAAAAGAACTCCCCCATCTTGGATATAGCACCCCTCTGTTGAGTGCCAGACCTCATCTATTCCGACCAAAATATCATCGGAGACTAATGTCTTTAGAATAAAAAGTTCGAGAAACTAATAGAATTTACACGAGATATTTTTTTTTTCTTGATGATGTGAGCAAACTACTAATCGATATATATGACATTTCATCTTATTCTTCAACAAACTATTCTTCACTTGGCACTCTTATTTGAATTATTCGAGATCTAGGATGTATCACATTTAATTAAAGAAAGAAAGTAAATATTATTAGAGTTATCCAAATATTATTCTTTTCCTACCTCTAAACTCCTGGATGTTTGAGAAGAATAAAAAATGGTATTAGTAGGTGAGGCTGCTCTCACCTCATTACAAACACAATGGACGCAGTGAAGTCAAAGTAGGATTTCTGTTGATGAGGGGACAACATTTTCTATTGTTTTTTTTTATATAACAATTTTTTGGTTTCAAGCTTACCAAAGAAGTAATTGACAAAGATTTATTGGAAGGATACTATGGTTTAGAGGGTTCTGCATTTTCCATTCCACCAGAAACAATGGCCACCAAGTACACCAAGGGTATCACATTTTAATTGTGTATTCAAGGTGTTACATGCCCAGTCATTGTTACCAAGATTCTCCTCTTCAGAAAAATCAAGGACGGGCTCTTGTGGGACGATTGGTTCAACTTGAACTTGTTCTTCAGTAAATGGATTGGAAATGCACTTTCCATGTTCCCAAATACAAACCTAAAATTACAAAAATTGGAATTAAAATAGTCTTTTGTTAGTATATTGATTATTTGATTTGAGCTTGTCTATCTACATACTTGACCAGCCATTGCACAGAAAATTTCAGACTTGATACGTGGGCACATTGATGGCTTGGTTACATCAGTAACGATGGTGGTTGGGGTAGCAAAAGCAGATGCTACTAATATACAAACTAAAATTACTAATACAGATTTCATTTTTTTCCTATTTGTTTGTTGTGTTGTAAGTGATGATCAATAATATATCAAACGAAACATTTTCAAAGGACTCCATGATCGTTTGCGTTTGCCTCATTTCTGAAATCAACCCGAAAAAATTAAAAAGAAATATGTAAAAATTAAAAATATCATATCATCAACCGAATCCCGTTGGATACCAAGCCTTGGCACATCCGTCGATTTCAAAGCCCTGGGAATGCTTTGAAATTGGTGTCGTCTTTTTCCAAAAAAAAAAAAAAAGTTGGAGACGATATTTTTATTTGAATACCATCATATATAATATCTTTGCATTTATTGTTTGTTATTATTATCTTGTTGATTTTCATGATCATCTTGAATGCCTAAATTTTGATCACCTGTACCATTATCAATGCCTTGTTGATCATGAGAGAATTTACAAAATTTACCACTTGGACATGACCCATCATCTCTAATTCTTTTACATAATAAACTGGCGGGGGACTCTTTTTTTGATCTGTTTTTACCTTGATTCTTTGCTCGCTTGTCAATCATTGATTCGGATGGACTGGCATTGCCACGACCACCGGTGGCACGGGAACCTGGTCCCCAGTTGTCCTTGGGGTTGGGGAGGTATTTGGGAACGTTGGGGGTTTCACCGCTGGCCTTGGGGTGGAGTGTAAAGTCGATGGTGTGTTTAATGTCGGTCTGCAAGATGGCTTGTGCAGGTGATTGGGCAGCTATGTTTTTGGGCGGGTTGTTTTTGGCGTGTGTCTTGTAAATGTCCCAGAGAAAATCTTGGGGTGCGTCGGTCTTGATACATGGTTGTACGTGGCTGGATGAGACGCGGTAGCCGCCGTTGAGGATGGCCGAACGAATGACGTTGCCTGGAAGACTGGTGGTATGGAGGACGGCTGAAAAGTGGTCGTTTTTAAAATAGAATAGTGCGTCGGGCAACTCCTCGGCGGCGGCGGTCACCATACCAAAGATCTTCTTGGCCGTGTTGAACTTGGCCGGATGCTTCTCGACAAATGCCAATGCACTCTTGCAGACGTCGACGTTGTGGATGGGAGCCGACCAGAAAGGTCCGGCCACGTGCAACCCCTTCTTGCAAAACTCGCAAGTCGTCGACGACATGTGGCGGTTGAGCATCGGTGTCTTGTACTTGATGTTGCTGCCGTCGCGCTTCTCCACGCCGCCATTGCCGACAATCTCGAGCTGGCCAAGCGGCACGGTGCGGAAGCTACCGCACCCGACGCAGCTGTAAATGTTGGAGAGACGTGAAAACGACTTTTTGCACTCGAGTGGCGACGAATAGACGCGCACAAAGACACGCACGTAAAAGTCAATCGACATGGACAACACTGGCACAATATGTCGTTTGTATCGATTGGCATGTGTCTCGATTGTATGCAACAAAATACGTACTGCCATCTCATGACACGCATCACCTTTGAGTGGGACCGACCCATACTTGGCATAACATGTCTCTGGATAGTTTCCACACAAAATGGCAGCATCTGTTGCCGTCACACAAAGCAATCCACCGTCTGCAACAGATTGCACAGCACCATCGATAAAGATACTTGGTGCTCCATATGGATCCAAATCAACAATATCAAATTGTTTACGTGGATCACGGTGTTGGTACATGACCATGGTAGCATCACCAAGGTTAGGTATAAGCAGATTAGGATCGACATTGTTGTAATCTCTATTCTTTTTGATCGATTCGACTGCAGCAGGTTCTATATCATTTGTCAAAATCGATTCTAATCCCTCGATTTCCTTGGCATAACGAATTGATCGCAGTCCAGTTGCAGACAATGCTTCCAACAATTTAAACTTTCTCTCTGGCTTCCCCTTTTCCTTTAATTCCTTGTTTCGCTGTTCGATGAATAATTGAATCATCAATATCGACAAATCTCTATTAAACTCTTGTACCGGATTATAAAATACTTCATTTTGACTATTATATACTATTGTTGCTGATCCTTCTGTAATTGATATAATATTCTTTTTTTCTTCAGTTGAAAGTGTATCAGTTGAAGTAGTTGAAGTAGTTGAAGTAGTAGTTTGATCAGTTAATTCAATATCATTATCTTTTGTCGTAGTTGTTGTAGTTGTATCCATTTCTTTCTTTTCAATTGAACAATAGTTTCTTTTAAAATAACTATAGTTTGTTTGTTTATAATATGTGTTGTCTTTGTTGTTGTTGTTGTTGTTGTAATAGTTGTTTATACAAGTATTATGATGATTGTTGTTGTTACTTGTTTGAAATCGTCCACGAGTACTTGTACTTGTGGTTGTTGTAATAAGTCGTAGTTGTTGTTGAAGTTGTAGTTGTAATAATAATGATGATTTCAATAACAATGATCTATTATTCATGAAACATCAATCTATTCTATCTATATATATCTATTTATATATTATATGTATGTGTAGGGTAGTTCAACTAAATGAATTAAACTTAACTTTAGTTTCACTCGTTTTTCACAACAATCTTCCTCATCATAGTTAGTGTCTCTTCACACTTTTTATTAAATTAATTTTAAAATCAAAAGATGGAGTTGTACCAAAAGTTAAATAGTTTAATTGAAAGTAATCCAAATATGTATGTTAAATATGAATGATGAATGAATGATTGATTGTTAATCTTATCTATCTATCTTTTATTTAGAAAAGAGTTAGGATTAATAGTATCAACAAAAAAGTTTGATGGAGAAGAAGAGAAACCATTCTTGATGGTAGAGAATAATCTAGCTGTCTCTTTTAGATTCATTCCAGCTATTTATAGGTACTGCTTTGAAACATTGAACAAATTGTTGATTAGTATTGGTGATGATTTTAGAAATTATGATGGTAGTTCTAGTAATAGTCAGTCGCAGTCTACTACCATCAACTTGTCAGATGATACAATACTAGAATTAAATCATTTATCTAGAGCTATATTGTTTGTCAATGCAGAGAATATAACAGCACTCAATGTTAGAAAGAAACTATTGTGTCTGAGCAACTACACGACTGCAGAACAAGAGATCAAATTGTTGAATCTTGTATTCACCAAACATCCAAAGAGTGGAGAGGCATGGTGTCATCGACGTTGGGTACTTAATCACGCTCCACATGCATTCAACCTTGAATTGGAACTAGTAGTGTGTAAAAGAGTAGGTGAAATCTACCCAAGAAACTATTATGCTTGGACTCATCGTTGGTGGGCTTTAAATAGGCCAAATCAATTAACTTGTCAAAATGTATGTAAAAGAATGAAAGAAAGGAAAGTAAAGTGATTTAATATTATACTTACAATTGTAATGAAAACTCTAGTTGATAGAAGATTTAAATAGAGTTGAAAAATGGGTAGAGAGGAATGTATCGGATCATAGTGCATACCATCATCGATATTTAATATTGGTGCAATTGTTCAAGGATCATGTTGTGTTTGGTTGGACTTTGAATCAAGTCTATGAAATCTGGACCAATGAAATGCGATTCACCGATAAATATATTCATCTTTATCCAGCTCATGAATCACTGTGGTGTCATAAACGCGCACTATATTTATATTGGAACAAAGAAATAATAATCACAGTAACAACATCAGATGATATATGTAATATAATGAAACGTTCATCACAAATTGAATATTGTAATCAAATCATTCAAGATAAAGATACCTCCTATTACGATGACCAGGTTAGATTTACAAATGTTTATTTAAAATGGATAAACTCTTCTAGCTCTTCCGACTCTTCCTCCTCTAATTTTTTGAATAAATAATGTAATTAATAACAATAACTGCTTGCTTGTATATATTTATATTCTTGATCCCAATCCAATAATCTATTATTATCATCATCCAGAACAATCTCCAATAATGATGGTCATGACATCACAGGACAACGACGTTTATATCTATACCAAAAGTTCAGGAAAGAATTTATACGCATTCCGAAGAAGAAGAGCGAGATATCTAGATCCTGAACGTGTCGATTTTTTCATTGGCTTCTGGTGTTCTGCTTGACTTCAGCTCAGTCGTCTTGGCTCTTTGGATTTTTTTTTTTTTTTTCAAAGTCTATGGGAGCATGTGTCTGTTGACCATTGGTGATTTAAAGGTCTCTTTTCTCCACGGTTAAAAAATCATATTATATTCTACACAAATATAAATATACATACAAATAAATAGAAATGGAACCAACTACCACTACCGCCAGCTCCAAGAAGATCGCTGTCATCATTGGCTCAGTGAGAACTCACCGTATTGGTGACACTGTTGCCAACTGGTTCGTCCAAGCCTCTGGCATTGAATCATCATTCACCGTCGAAATTATCGATCTCAAGACATGGAACTTGCCATTGTATGTACTATATATATATATCTATTTATATCCTTTACAACAAAGACTCTTTTTTAGTACTTTTTACTAATCGCTTTCTTTCCCTCTCCTACCTTTTATAGATACGATGAAGCTTACCCACCAATGTACTTGAATGGTGCCTACACTACTGAACTCGCTAAGCAATGGAGAGGTATGTTATTTATAAATACTTGATTTTTTTTTTTATATATTTTCCCAGGTTTTTTTTTGGATGGTCTAACTTTTATCTTTATACCTATAGACAAGATCGCTCAATTTGATGGATTCGTATTTGTGACCTGTGAGTATAATAGTGGTTATTCACCCTCAATTAAAAACGGCATTGACTACTTGTTTACCGAGTGGAACAAGAAGCCAGCACTTGTTGTCTCTTATGGCTTCGTTGGTGGTGCCTCTGCCAACAACCAACTCTCACACGTCTTGGCCAACTCTGGCCTCAAGATGAGACTTGTCCAACACAAGGTTGAACTCACTCTCTCCAGAGACATGTACGGTGCTGATGGCAAGTTGGCCGATATCAATACCTCATTTGCCAAGTTTGCTCCAGAAACTGTCAAGGCTGTCGCTGAATTACTCACCATTGTCAACACTCCACTCGAAAACTAAATACATTCAACTAAACAATACAATACAATAGTGGATATCCAGTAGCTCTGATTAATAGAATGCCATCTACTTGTTCCGACCCCGACCGCGATCCAAAATATGATTCCTAATTAAATAAATTATAATATATTACTAACAACCCCCCAACCAACCAAAACTATAACTATAACCATAACTATAACTATAACTATTTCATATTTATCTAATTAATATTACAAGATATATTCTCATTATTTTGAGATCATTGGATAGAAACCCATCCCATTCGGGGTTTCAGCCACATTGTCCGAATTGGGTTATCCATCGTCCCCACTTCATTTTTTTTTTTCATGATTTTTTTTGATAGATAAACACACGTCCGCATAGTGCTAATCATTGATTGTCCTATCTGTCTGTCTGTCTGTTCAAGACACAATATATATATAAATAATATAGTTAACAGTTATCATAGTAGACAGTAGGCACAGTGCACAGTTGATAGTGGAGAGAAGAGAAGAGAAATTGAATGCATTAAATCATTCATCAACCAATCAATCAATCGGAGTAATAATTAAAGAGAGAGAGAGAGAGAGAAAGACATATATTGTCGATTATGTATATAGAATTAGAATAGAATGGATTTCTTCAAGTTCTTTCAAAAGGAATCTGCTAAACCTCAATCACCTGAGATTCTAAATGAACAGATTAGATTAGTTGTATGTATTGTATTGTTGGAGGAGGATGATCCCGAGAGACTAATAATATAATATATTTCTTCTTTCTTTCTTTCTTTCTTTATGATTTTTAGGCATATCAAAATTCAGCATCAATATTATTTGATACATTGTCAATTGATAATATAAAGAATAAGAATGGTGGAGTACAACCGCAGCAGCCACAACCACAACAACAACAACAACAAACACCAAACAAGACAATGGCCAATGGAAAGGGTAGTCAGTCACCGGTCAAACCAAGAGGCAAGGTTGAAATGTTAAAAGAGATGATGTTTGGAACGGTGCCAATGAACTTTCAAGGCACTACTACCAAGATACACTATCTTCCCGAAAACAATCAAATGTTGCTCACTAAATTGTTTACTTTAAACTTGCAAAGAGAAGAAACTAAACCACCTACATCACCCCAATCATCATCGTCATCGACAAACAACAACAACACCACCAACACAGGTCGTCCATTAACAACCATCATCACTCCTCCATCACCTGCTTCAGCAGCACCACTTGAAGAGATGAAAAAGTCTGCTTCATCGGCAACTCTACAAGATCTATCTAAACAAGTTGAACATGCTCAAGCTGCTGACCCAAGTTGTAGTAGTGCAAAAGATAGTAATAGTAATAGCAATTCTTCTACATTGACAAAAGATGATACTGTAGCCGACTTGAAATCAAATGTACCAAATGTTGTCAAACCTACATTGACAACAAGCGGAGGTAATTTACCAACTTCCTCAACATCTTCACCAAACAAGACAACTACAACTACAACAAACACAACAACAACAAACAATTTATCATCATCAACTAATAATGCAAGTACGATGAGATCAAGATCATCTTCGACAATGGGAGCAAGAGTCATGCCCAAATCACCATTACAATCTCAACCACAGATAAAAAAGGTGACATTGGCACTTTGTATTATTTTTGGACCACGTAATGACAGTTTGACACCTGTTTCAGAGGCTGTTGATAATCCCATTTCAAGATTCCATCAATTCATCATGACCCATTTTGTATATATCGATATGAGAATTAAACCAATCATCAAATTATTAAAGAATCAAATTTATTCAAAATTTACTCAAATGAAACCATCAAATCATGGTTCTGTAAGTAGAAGCAAGAAAAAAAAAAAGAAATAATAATTAAATATTTTATAATATTAACATTCTTTTTTTTATTTTTATTTTGTTTGTTTAGTTGTCTGGATTTGGATTAACAGAAGTAAATCAAATTTATAGAGAAGTAGAAAAATTTAGACAATATATAAAGGATTTATATTATGCACCAAGATTAGAGAAACCATTATGGATTGATAGTTTAAGTCACCCAAGTACAAAGAGACAATATTTTATTACATTTTTGGATAATTTACGTGATTTATTACCTTTATATAATACTCCAAAAACAAAATTGTAAGATGAATCAAAACAAAAAAATCAAAATATTATTTATACAAATATTAATTAACTTTTTCTATTTTATTTTCTATTTAGTTTTTTAACAACAATGATATCATCAATTTTAACATATAATTTAACATGGTTGGCAAATATGTTGGCAAGTTGTACCAATTCAACTGCCTATCGATGTACAGCAGACCGATGCAATACACTTTATAATTACGAGAATCAATTTATCAATCAAATGGCTGAGATGGTTGGTTACACTGGATGTCTTTCACCACAGTGTCGAAATGTAAAGGCACAACAACGTCTATCCAAACTTGTACTGATTGCACCCAAAGAAGATGTTGCCAAAAAGTTTTTACAAGTTATTAGTTATTTTTGGCGTTCCTTTGAATTGGTAATCAACAAAAATAATATAAATAATCTTTCAAATATGTATAGTGGTGATGATCTTGGTAAACCTTTTATTTTTGATCAATCATCAAATAATAATAATAATAATAACAGTAATACAGCAGAACATCAACAACAAGGAACTCCATCTTCTTCATCTGTACCAATGGGATCATCATTTAATAATAATAATCAAACATTTAATAATCATAATAGTCATACACCAATGAAATATTCAACAATGCCACCTATTTATCAACATGGTAATGGGACACCATCAAAATCAACTCCAACATCTCCACCACCATCAATTCCATTACCAACTACCAATTTCAATATTGGAAGTTATGATTCCACAGTACCATCTTTTATTCACAATCTACCTAGATCAATGTTGGGTGGGTATTCGACCAAATATGTTAGTGATCAATCTATCTTGGCCGTTCCCAAAAACGATTTTTTCCCTCAATTGGTAGATGATCTTAGATTATGGATTGATTATCATCCATTCCCTTCTCCAGTCAGAGAATTTACTGCTATTATTGCTGATACTACAAAATCGTAAGAAAACACAAATCAAAATAAAAAATAACCAATATCTAACTCTTTTTTTTTATTTATTTTAGATCATGTGAATTAGTAGTAGTTAGTAAAGAAAATCTTTGGAGTGATACAAATCCAATTACAGTGAACCAAACATCATATCCAGATGTAAAGATTTTAAAAGCCAACTTTTCAGAATATGTTTCATCGATTTTAAATACTATTGTTCATTTTTGGACGATTGGAATGCCACCAGAATCATGTATCATCTATCTTGAAGACAAATTACGTGAACTTTTTGTAAAGACTCTTAGATATCACGAGACACTCAAACACTACATTACACTCAACCAACCAATACCATCAACCATCAATCTTTTACCAACTGGTGTCAATTTAAATATCCCAACAATTCAATCAACTCTATTAGCAACACCTCTAGCTTCACCTCATGCATCAGTTACCAATTTTGATGCTATTAAACAATCGTATGTTAAATGAAAAAAAAACAAAACTGTTGATATTATTTATATTTTATTATTAACAATATTATTATTCTTTCTTTTCTAGATTATCTGGTGACCAAATATTATTAGAAAGTATTTATACATATCTTGTAAATTGTCAAAAACCAGAAGAACCATCAACCAAATCATCACCAACAACTACCAATGATTAAAAATTGATCAATATATTTGATGATTTATTATGATTTAATTTTAGAGTAAAAAAGAAACAGATGAGTAATAATCTTTTCATCAATACCGGGGTCAAAATTAGTGTCAATGCTCTAACTCCGAATTTGGCTGACAAAGGCATCTTATTTCTTCTCCAAATTTCATCAGTATTGTTTTGATAATTATCATAAAGAAGAGATATAATATCAAATCTACCTTTTTGGATTGCTTTTTAAACCGCCTTTAATGAACATTCACATTTAACAACTTGAGCAAGATATTCAACCGTTTCAGTGTGTCCATTTGTAATTGCTTTTTCTAGAGCTTCGGTTGTTGCATCTTCACTACGATCCTTTACGATCATAAAGGAACTTTACAACAATTAATGGATACATCATCAGATCTATTATTGCTCATCAGATCTATTATAATGTAGAAATTCAACGACATCTAATAATCCTTCTTTTGCTGCATTAACCATAACCCCTTGAGTGAATACACCTTGATGTTTTCTTGACCATGAAGAAACTATTATAAAATAAAATAAAAAATGTATGTTAATATAGGTAGGTTGATGCCAATAAATAAATAAATAGTTTTAGTTAATGTTTGGATGCAGTTTATATTACTTAGTATTTGTTATTGATCTTACCTCCATTGCACCAGTAGAACTACATTTCTTTCATGTAAATACTTTAAAATGTCAATGAATCCTTTACTAGCTGCTTCATACATTGCATCATGATCATTTAGTAGTACACTCTTTAGTGTGTAGAGTAACTTGATTGTCGAGAGATACCTCTCTTACATATATCACTCAACCTGATACGTTGTTGATTCTCTAATGTGTGTGGATAACTCTTGATGATGAATTCAACCAACTCTATCTTTTCATTTTCAACATGTCATCATCACCAGATATATAATCGGGTGCCCATTCCAATAGATATTTGAGTGTATCCAATGTTGCATTGGGATGACAACAATATCGATCGATTACTTGTACTTTTCTTTGAGGTAATACTTGATCGGTTGATGGTAGATAATGGCGAATAAACTGTAATGGCATTGCATACCTTGATATCATTGCAAGTGGTAATTGAATGATATCTCTTCCTTTGGACCCATATATCTCTTTGCATCAATTCTATTTGCATCACTTCTCTTTTCGTCATACTCTACTTTGAATATTTGATCGATATGACTGAATATCAATGATCTGATATATGTCATTTTGATATACATCATTAAATGTTGTTGTTGTCGTTAAAGACATTGGTTGATTAAAAGTATAATAGGAAGTACGTACTATGCTATAGCAAACAAATAAATTTTTCCGAAAGCATTAGTCACCTCCAGAAAAAATAAAGTAGCGGAACAGACAATATAATTTATTTACAACAAAAAAGAAGGTTTGTATCTGAATTTAATTTGAATGAATACAATTATCTAAACTTTGTAAAATATTATCAATGATTGTTTGAATTGTATTTTCATCAACTGATCCTTTTTGCCAAGTACAAGTTGCTCTACTTGATCCACAAACAGATACCAAATTAATGTTGAATGTTGATCCGTATACATTTGCACTTTGTGCATAGGTTGATGAAATTAATTTCCATTGTTGTGGTTGACTCGTTTGTTGTTGTTGTTGTTGTTGTCCCCATCGACCAACATCACTTACTTCAAAACTACATGATCTACCCATTGGAGTTGATGTCAATTTAGATGTCCAAAATTCTATCCATTTAGATGGAAAGTCACCAACATAATGTAACATGTTTGTACTTTTAATTGCACCTATGCTGCTTGCTGCCAGATCAGTTTTGTATTCTCTACAAGCTTCCCAAAATTGGTTGGATTCCCTTAGGATGGTTGCAGAGTATGATTTGGATCTGTCAAATGATCCTACAAAGTTACCAACCTCTGATTGTGGTGCTTCGGGGACACAGAGTGATCTAGCGTTGATCGGTGTACATGTACGTAGTGACATGGTGTCTTGTGACAGTGCAATGAGGTTGGCCAAGATGGTAGAGATGTAGATGGCAGCGTGTGGAGTTGTCTTTTCCAACTTACATTTGTTTAATAGTTTGGTAAACTTGTCAGCTGGTATTTCAAAGACACGAACCAATGTATTGTGCGTTTGTTTAACAGCGGGTGTTTGACCAGCCCAAAAAGGTACTTCAAAATATCGAGTGATAAACGATGGTAGCAATTTATGTTTAATAATGATTGGTAGTAGATCCATTGCAGTTGGATGATGTGGTGTACGTTTATCCAATGATTCATTCAATTTTGTACTATTATCAATGATTATGTTGTTGTTGTTGTTGGTTGCTCCATCTTGTCCATTTTCATCATTGTCATTTGATTCTGTTTCTGTTTTTGTTTCTGGTTGATTTAACAACTCTAATAAACGAGATAGAATGATAGTAGTACTTAATCCATCACTAATGACATGGTGAACGGTGAGAATGACAAACAGCTCAGTTGATCGGTCTTGATGTGTGAGGATGTGTAATCTCCAGAGTGGAACAGTCTTGCTAGTCAAATCAAAGTCTGTTCCAATCTCCTTTTCTAATACACTGGTCAATACGGTGTCGTCAAAGAATGCAATACCATGATCAACAGTAACCAAGTCATTGTAATCTATCGAATCAATGGGATTGAAACGTGGTGTGGTTGTTTCAATATCTGCAATCGTAACCGATAACAATGGTTGTTCATTACATAATAGTTGAATAGCTCTTGACAACTTGTTGTATAGATATCTATCTACATTGTCATTATCATTGTTATTGTTATTATTATTATTATTAAAAGGAAGAGGATAATCTAATTGTATATGAGCAGATAGGAGGAGTGTACCATAAACATTGGCTAGTTGTTTTGATACTTGATATCTTTCTAATAATCCTAATCCTCTTGAATGATTTAGTTTTTCTCTTGTTTGATTATTATTATTACTATTACTCATTGTTGTATCTGTTATTGTAAAATGAATAGCCTAGTATCCATCTTTGCAATTTTACGCAAATGCGTTGGTGAAAATATCTATTTATTAATTTAATTATTAAAGCAGGTAGGTATAAGAACAGAGATGGTTAATATAGATTTAGATATTGTTGTTACCTTGTGTTGTTGCAGTAAGGGATGATCATCAGTCGACGCAAAGTAAAATGTTGTATTTCATTCGAGTGATAGAGGAGTAGTAATACAAATGTACAGACCCAATGAAACGCAACATTTTACTCTGCACCATCGTGACTTTGATGAGTTGGTCGGCTATCTTGATGAGTGTACAAGAGGTACTGTTTGTGTGAGTGCAGGAAGGATGATCGTATTCGTTGCTTCTACTTTTATATCATTGAGGTTTTCTTTTATGTCATCTAGATTTATGGTGACCAAACCTATATCTACTTTGATTGTCTGAGTATATAATAATATTATTTAATGATTCTTAACCTTTTTTGATAATACATCAGATACAAACTACTCGAAGATTAATTCTGCTAATATAATATATTAAAAAAATAAATACATTGGTGTATATTAGTGTAGATAGCGCAAGTGGTAGAGAGATAGAAGTGTATCGAGATGATAAGACAACAATAAGACAGAGTAAATATGAGGGAGAGATATGAGATAATATACGTATGTAGTAAGTAGATATGAGTAATGTATTTCATGACGTTGTTGGTGCTTGACAATCGATATTCAAGAGCCTTGAATTTGCCATAGTAGTGACCTTCAAACTTTCCCTCGTCTTTAATTCATTCTTGCCCATACGATCTTTGATGGTTTGGAGGATGCGACTGTCGAGTTGAGTGATGGCAAGAGCATGACGATACTCTTCAAGATTGGTAGTATTTTCGATGATGTTACACCAATCTTTAATTGACAATGAATCGTTGTTGAGTTTAAAGACTACACCTTGAGCTAATCGTTTCGTGCCTCCTTCCCTAATGTATCTAACACTTGAATACTGTAATAACTATATAGATACTAGGTAAATATATAATTAGTTTGAGAGGTATTAATAATAATAATATATAGATATATGAATATATAGATAGTAATAATGACTTTAGATTAGATTGTAAATGATTATTAATTATAGTAATAAAAGATGAATATAGAATGTAGAATGTCTCTTTATTGGATTATTCTAATCCTTTTTATAATTGTTGATCCAGACGACTAACTGACGATGGTTAGTCGTTAGTATTTTATCCAAAATACTTTGCATATTTGACTTGTCCTAACCAGGATTGAGTATATTGAGTTCAATGAGATATCATTGAGATATCATTGATTTTAAACAATCTAGATCTAACAAATACTCTTTTCCTTTAATGTTTGAGTGGCAGGGTATTGTAAAGTTGGCACATCTTGCAATGCGATATCGCAGTTTGCAATACGATGGAGCTTTATCAAACATTATCTACCACCACCAAGAGAAGGGGTGTTGATAAAGAGAAAAGTGAATGAAATCACTCTCTATTGTTCACAAATGCAACATTTCTCAAAAGATAATAAGGAATGGAAACAAAGATATGTTTCAGTTCTTTGTCAACACCTATCCAACCACCATTGATTACAAACGATCAAGACATCAATATTTGGATGATGATGATGAAAGAAGGTATGTAGGTAGGTATCTAGATATTTGATTATCAATTATTTATTTACACTAATGTATATTTAACAACAATCACCGCGATTACCACGACCAATATTAATATCAATATCAATATCGATATCAATATTATTACCACGATTGCGACGACCACCACAACATCCTCTACCTGCAATCATCGATTCACCAACTGTTGCTGACACATTGGACGATTGGTAAGATGAATTTTGGATGGCACGACCAGAGACTGCTGAAAGTTGTGAAAGATTCTCTAAAGAAAATAATAGAGAGATTGAAATGAAAGAGAATTGGAAATTGGAATGTTAGAATTATACAGATATCGATGGATCGATGGATGACAATGATTTTCGACAAATACTTAATAACATTTTGTTTGTTGGTATATGATTAAAAGTAAATAATTAATATTGTTTATTTGATGAATTGAATACTCTTTCGTGTCATTATTTATAGTTTAGCAACCAACAATAATTACTCTAAAAATCAAATCAAAATCCCAATCAATATTAAATATTCCTATTTTAGAGTTGGGGGGTATTGGTAATCATTTTAGAATAATACTTTAGGATTTTTGATTGATTTTAACAACCATTTTACATCATTTACAAACTATAAATATTCTACTTTTTACACTCTTTTAATTCATCAAATCAAACAAAGTATAGAAACAATTATTCTTTCAATTCTATTACTCGCATTCTAAAATGATCTTTAGTATGTATACAATTATAAAGTACAATTTATAAATATTACAGTTATTAACCATCTATCTCTTCTCTTTCAATCCATTCCTTCACTTTTCGTTTCTCTCTCATTAGAAAACCTATCCAAATTATCACCAATTACCAATCATGGAGCCAATCAAAATGTAACAGTCCAAAGTTATTCAGATGTATCAAGTGATTCTGTTAATTCCATTGCTTGTAGACGTCGTCGTGGATGTTGTGGTGCCAACAACATTGATATCGATATCGATATTGATATTTGTATCGACAATGGTTTTGGTGGTCGTCGTGGTGCTCAATGGTGGTAACCATACTATTAAATACCATACATCATCAACGATTATTTTTTTATTACATTGCTAATGTGAGTTCTAAATATATATATGTCTCTAAAATGGTTATGATGATGAAGCTCGCGGGTTTGGACTGATAGTAAAAATATATTATTTTAATATTAAAATTTTTATTATTTCTTCTTCTTCTACTACTATGTTACATGTTCTTCTCTCTAACATAGATCGAGCATCATTATTCAGTGTATTTAGATCACTGTATCTAAGACAAGAGATATTCAGTCATGTTGAAGAGATAAATAATAGATTAAAAGATCATCAGAGTGATGGTGGTTGGATGAGACCAAGAATAACAAGAAAAGGAAGAGATATCATCAATTTAGCACATCTTGCAATGATATCACAGTATGCAATGCCATGGGAGTTTATCAAACATTATCTGCCACCTAGAGAAGAGGTATTGTTAAAGAGAAGAGTGAATGAAATCACTCTCTATTGTTCACATCCCAATGCAACATTGGATACACTATTACATCTATTGAAATGGTCTGGTGATTATAATCCTACACTTGTTGAAGGTCAAAAAGTAAACATTGAAGAGATAATAAGAAATGGAAACAAAGATATATTTGAATTCTTTGTCAACAACTACCCAACCACCATTGATTACAAACGATCAAGACAATGGGCAGCTGATAGTGGACATTTATCGATTCTCGAGTATATTGATTCTTCTCCTCCTTCTGCTGCTCAAGTAGAGTTTGACAATATGATCAACTTGGATTTTCCGGCAGCATATGGACATTTACATGTTTTAGAGTATTTGCACAATCGCGGTGAAGGTGATCGAGGTAATATAAAAGGAGACAATGCAATAGATAATGCTTCATGCACATCCAAATTGGATGTAGTAAAGGTATGTAATTAAAATAGATAGATCAATCACAATATCCTGTATTAATATCTCATACTAACCAACTATCACCATTATTCAAATTATTTAGTTTCTTCATTACAATACAACTAATGGATGTACTACCAATGCAATGGATTCAGCCATTTTATATGGAGACATTGAATTATTAAAGGTTTGCATTGTTAATAATAACAATAATAATAATAACAACAACAACAACCTAATAATTATTATAGTTTCTTCATTTTAATAGGACCGAGGGATGTTCGGATAATTCAATCGATATAGCATCAGAGTGTGGTCACCTTGATATTGTTAAAGTATGTTTCTATATGACACTTTATCCAATAATGAATCAACTAACCTATTAATTAATCTAGTTTCTACATGAACATAGAAGTGGAGGATGCACAAAAAGAGCTATGGATAAAGCAGCAAAGAATGGATTTTATTCAGTTGTAGAATGGTTACACCAAATTAGAAGTGAAGGATGCACAGAAGATGCTATGGATATGACAAATAGCTTTGAAATCGTTAAATTCCTTCATACCCATAGGTCAGAGGGATGCACAACATGGGCAATTGACTATGCCGCATGGCATCAAAATTTGGATATCTTAACTTTCCTCCATCACAATAGAACTGAAGGTGCAACAACAAGAGCCATTAACTGGGCTGCAGAAGAAAATAACATCAATGCTGTAAATGTATTGTATAGTATGGTGTATACAAGATATTATGATATTTATTATATGATTACTAATCTTTAATTTTTTATTTATATAGTTTCTTTATGAGAATAGGACAGAAGGATGTGATCCTAATATTATAGATAAAATTTGTTGTAAACCCAATGTTGGTTTGGATATGATCATATTTCTACATGAAAAGCTCAACAAACAATGTAGTGCCAAAGGATTAAAAAGTGCCATAAAGAATACAAATTTGGATATCATTCAATATCTCTCAAAACAAACACCACCTGATTTATGGACACAAGAATTAATTTTTCCTGCAATCAAAAGAGGTGATTTAAATATTGTCAAGGTATTTATTTATTTATTTATTTTAAAATAGATTTATCGATCACTCATCTGTCTAACAATGATAATATTATCTTCTCCACCACCAAAATAGTTTATACTTGATAGTCGACCACATCTCAACACTCACAATGCTATTGATATTGCCTCTATTCAAGGACACTTTGATCTTGTTCAATATCTTCATAAACATCGCGCGGAAGGATGTACCACTGCTGCGATGGATCAAGCTGCTAGATATAATCATTTTGAAATTTTAAAGGTACCTTTTGTATAAAGTTAATTAATTTACAGACAGACAAAGTTTTATTTATTTACTTTTATTATTCTCTTACTTTATAGTTTCTTCATTTTAATCGAACAGAAGGGTGTACAACCAATGCTATGGATAGAGCAGCACATTCAGGATATTTGGAAATAGTAGAGTTTCTTCATAAACACAGAACTGAGGGATGCACTGAATGGGGTGTTCACCATGCTACACCTTCTTTCAAACCCAATTACAATGTTGTAAAATACCTATTGGATAACAAACTTGTACCCAAACATTTAATCAAACGTGATCAAGTCAATACAGTATGCTTTGAAGTTGTCGAACTTGTAAATCAATATTTGGATAATGATGATGAAAATCAATAAATTAAATGAAATGTATGTACAATCAATCATTTTAAATAATCATTTATTTTGATGGTTGGTCACAATGATGATGAACAAATTATAATTTGACCAATGTATATTTAACAACAATCAGCACCACGATTACCACGACCAATATTAATATCAATATCAATATCGATATCAATATTATTACCACGATTGCGACGACCACCACAACATCCTCTACTAGCAATCATCGATTCACCAACTGTTGTTGACACATTGGACGATTGGTAAGATGAATTTTGGATAGCATGACCAGAGACTGCTGAAAGTTGGGATAGATTCTCTAAAGAAAATAATAGAGAGATTGAAATGAAAGAGAATTGGAAATTGGAATGTTAGAATTATACAGATATCGATGGATCGATGGATGAAAATGATTTTCGACAACATACTGAATAACATTTTGTTTGTTTGTATTTAATTGAAAGTAAATAGAATGATTTGATTTGAATAAATTAATATTTGTTGATTTAATGAATTGAATACTCTTTAGTGTCATTATTTATAGTTTTAGCAACCAGTAATTATTCTCTAAAAATCAAATCAAAGTCCCAAACAATATTAAATATTCTTATTTTAGAATTGGGGTGTATTAGTAATCATTTTAGAATAATACTTTAGGATTTTTGATTGATTTTAACAACCATTTTACATCTTTTACAAACTATAAATATTCTACTTTTTACATTATTTTATTTCATCAAATCAAACATATACAATTAATATTATCAACAATTAAAAAAAATTATTCTTTCAATTCTATTTACTACCAAATCAATCAATTCGCATTCTAAAATGATCTTTAGTATGTATAAAATTAATAAGTATAAAAAATTATAAATAATTTATTAAATATTAATATTTAACCATCTATCTCATCTCTTTCAATCCATTCCTTTCATCTTTTTTCATCTCTTTAGAAAACCTATCTAAATTATCACCAATTTCCAATCACGGAGCCAATCAAAATGTAACAGTCCAAAGTTATTCAGATGTATCAAGTGATTATGTTAATTCAATTGCTTGCAGACGTCGTCGTGGATGTTGTGGTGCCAACAACATTGATATCGATATCGATATTGATATTTGTATCGACAATGGTTTTGGTGGTCGTCGTGGTGCTCAATGGTGGTAACCATACTATTAAATACGGTCACCATGGTTATCAATGATGAATACTAGATAATAATAAACTATTATTCTCCAACTTCTTATTCAAATGATCTATCTACAAATAATACAAAATAATTAATATTTAAAAATATAATAATTATATTTCTTGTCTTGTTGTTGTTGTTGTTCTTTATACGTATTATTTTGTATCGAGTTGGTTCCTATAGTAAGTAAGGAACATTGACGGCGACGAGAAGTAAAATGTTGTATTTCATTCGAGTGATAGAGGAGTAGTAATACAAATACAGACCCAATGAAACGCAACATTTTACTTCTCGTGAACATGACTTTGATGAGTTGGTCGGCTATCTTGATGAGTGCACAAGAGGTACTGTTTGTGTGGGTGCAGAGGAAGCTGTATTGTTTGAGCATAGTTTCATACACCATTAACAAGTCTACTACTCGAACCGTTGTTTTGAACAGAGCCAAATTGGAATCGCAATTAAAACCTCGGGTCGAGGCTATCAAAACAGACAAGTTTGATGATCTATTTGCAAGAGATGCTTTATGCATATCTTGCGATAGGAATGTGACAACTTCATCCACCTTATGGCTGAATATGGTTGGCAATATCATTTTGTTGAAACGATGCGAAATTCCTACTTTGGTTGAATCAGATGCTAAATATATATATAATGCTATATATTAGTTTCATGATAACAAGTGAAAGAGAACAAAGTGATGGTCTTTGAAACAAAAATTAATTTTTTTTATTTCTTTACAAATAAGATGACAGAAAGAGATATAGCATCATTATTCAGTGTATTTAGATCACTGTATCTCAGACAAGAGATATTCAATCATGTTGAGGAGATAACCAAATTAAAAGGGCCGGGTTGGAGAAATAGAATAACAAGAAAAGGAAAGGATATTGTAAAGTTGGCACATCTTGCAATGATATCACAGTATGCAATGCCATGGGAGTTTATCAAACATTATCTGCCACCTAGAGAAGAGGTATTGTTAAAGAGAAGAGTGAATGAAATCACTCTCTATTGTTCACATCCCAATGCAACATTGGATACACTATTACATCTATTGAAATGGTCTGGTGATTATAATCCTACACTTGTTGAAGGTCAAAAAGTAAACATTGAAAAGATAATAAGAAATGGAAAACAAGATATATTTGAGTTCTTTGTCAACAACTACCCAACCACCATTGATTACAAACTATCTAGACAATGGGCTGCTCAAAGTGGACATTTATCGATTCTCGAGTATATAGACTCTTCTCCTCCTTCTGCGCAAGTACAGTTTGACAATATTACCAACTTGGATTTTCTGGCAACAAATGGACATTTACATGTTTTAGAGTACTTGCACAATCGTGGTGAATGCATATTTATAAAAGAAAACAATGCAATAGATAATGCTTCACGTGCATCTCAATTGGAGATTGTAAAGGTATGTAATTAATAACAGATAGATAGATCAATCAACAATAGCCTGTATTATTTCTTACTCACCACCATCACCATTATTCAAATCAAATTATTTAGTTTCTTCATTACAATACAACTGAGGGATGTTCGACTGATTCAATGGGATCAGCCATTTTAAATGGAGATATTGAATTATTAAAGGTTTGTATTTGTCTCTCTCTCCTCTCTCTCTTTTATTCAATCACGATGATCTAATTATTATTATTAGTTTCTTCATTTTAATAGAACTGAAATAAGTCCAGACCCCAATGAAATCGATATGGCATCAGAGTGTGGTCACCTTGATATTGTTAAAGTATGAACACTTTATATGACACTTTATCCAAGAATGAATCAACCAAACTAAACAATTTATTCATCTAGTTTCTACATGAACATAGAAGTGGAGGATGCACAAAAAGAGCTATGGATAAAGCAGCACAGAATGGATTCTATTCAGTTGTGGAATGGTTACACCAAAATAGAAGTGAAGGATGCACAACTAGAGCCATGGATATGACAAATAGCTTTGAAATCATTAAATTCCTTCATAATAATCGGTCAGAGGGATGCACAACAAAGGCGATGGAAATTGCAGCGTGGCATGGGAATTTGGATACAATAATATTCCTTCATCAAAATAGAACCGAGGGATGTTCAACAAGAGCCATTAAATCGGCAGCAGAACAAAACAACATGAATATAGTAAAGGTATAGTATAGTGTAGTGTATAATATCAGCTACTAACTATAAATTATTAATCATTTTTCATTCTTTTTTATTTAAATAGTTTCTTTATGAGAATAGGACAGAAGGATGTGATACCAATATTATAGATGAACTTTGTTTCAATGATAGTATTGATTTGGATATAATAATATTTATACATGAAAAGCTCAACAAACAATGTACTGCCAAAGGATTGAAACGTGCAGTAAAGAATGGTAGGTTAGATATCATTCAATATCTCTCAAAACAATCATATCAATCTCCTGCTTTATGGAAACAAAAATTAATCGACATGGCAATCAATAGAGGTGATTTAAATATTGTCAAGGTATTTATTTATTTTAATTATTTATTTTAAAATAGATTTATCGTTCACTCATCTAATTAACAATGATAATATCTTCTCCACCAAAATAGTTTATACTTGATACCCAACCACATCTCAACGCCGAGGTTGGAATCGATATTGCATCTGCTAGAGGACACTTTCATATTGTTCAATATCTTCACAACCATCGCACAGAAGGATGCACTACCAATGCCATTGATAAAGCTGCTAGATATAATCATTTTGAAATTTTAAAGGTAAAATTAATTTATATTAAGACTGAACAAAGTTTTATTTACTATTATTACTTTTTACTTTATAGTTTTTACATTTCAATCGAACAGAAGGATGTACAAAAGTGGCTATGGATCAGGCTGCTCGAGCGGGATATCTGGAAATAGTAGAGTTTCTTCATAAACACAGAACTGAGGGATGCTCTGAATGGGGTGTTCACCATGCTACACCTTCTTTCAACCCCAATTACAATGTTGTAAAATACCTATTGGATAACAAACTTGTACCCAAACATTTAATCAAACGCGATCAAGTCAATCCAATATGCTTTGAAGTTGTCGAACTTGTAAATCAATATTTGGATAATGATGAAAATCAATAAATTAAATGAAATGTAGGTAGGTAACTATTTGATTATCAATTATTTATTTTGATAAAAGTTTGGTTGGACACAATGATATTGATATTTAACAACAGTCAGCACCACGATTACCACGACCAATATTAATATCAATATCAATATCGATATCAATATTATTACCACGATTGCGACGACCACCACAACATCCTCTACCTGCAATCATCGATTCACCAACTGTTGCTGACACATTGGACGATTGGTAAGATGAATTTTGGATAGCATGACCAGAGACTGCTGAAAGTTGGGATAGATTCTCTAAAGAGAAATTAAAACAAGAAGAGATTTAAATGGAAGAGAATTGGAAATTGGAATGTTAGAATTATACAGATATCTATGGATCGATGGATGACAATGATTTTCGACAACATACTGAATAACATTTTGTTTGTTGGTATTTAATTGAAAGTAAATAGAATGATTTATTTGAATTAATTAATATTGTTAATTTAATGAATTGAATACTCTTTAGTGTCATTATTTATAGTTTTAGCAACCAACAATAATTACTCCTAAAATCAAATCAAAATCCCAAACAATATTAAATATTCCTATTTTAGAATTGGGGGGTGTATTAGTAATCATTTTAGAATAATACTTTAGGATTTTTGATTGATTTTAACAACCGTTTTACATCATTTACAAACTAATAAATACTCTACTTTTTAAACTATTTTAATTCATCAAATCAAACATATACAAATATTATTATCAACTACCAAAAACAATTATCCTTTCAATTCTAAAATGATCTTTAGTATGTATACAATTATAAATAATTAAACATATTTAATATATTCACAGTTATTTACCAACCATCTATCTTTCTTTCTCTTATTCCATTTCTTTTCTCTCTTTAGAAAACCTATCCAAACTATCACCAATTACCAATCATGGAGCCAATCAAAATGTAACAGTCCAAAGTTATTCAGATGTATCAAGTGATTCTGTTAATTCCATTGCTTGTAGACGTCGTCGTGGATGTTGTGGTGCCAACAACATTGATATCGATATCGATATTGATATTTGTATCGACAATGGTTTTGGTGGTCGTCGTGGTGCTCAATGGTGGTAACTATACCATTCACCATACATCATGAATGATGAATAATAGATAATAAACTATTATTCTCAATTTCTTGTTCTCAAGAATTGGATGTTTAAAAAAGTTATTATAGTTCAAATTGGAACAAGTTGTATAGTTTTTATTTATTTTTGCAACATAATTATTTACAAATATTATATTTACAGCTATTTAGAGAATGATTAATTGAATATATTTAGTGAATATTAATTTTAATATGTTTTGGTGGAAGTTGTTTCTTCTTTGGAACAGTGATTTGTAAAACACCATCAGTATGTTTGGCTGTGATTAATTCCAGTTCGAGGTTATCGGTCAATTCAAATGATCTACTAAACTTTCCATAACTAATCTCTCTACGATGGTATTGTGTTGTTGATTTTGATTCTTTCTTTTCACTATTATTATTATTGGTAACTGGAATTGATTTACTTGAATTATTGTTATTATTATTGGAATCGGTTGATGGTGATGGTGATGCTTTGTTTGATGATGGTGTCAAATCTTCAAAATCTTCTTCGACTGTTGGTAATTCGACATCATTGTCTGATGAATTATTGGCTACTGGAATTGATGGTGAAGATGGAGTGGATTCCAATGTTTCATAAACAACTTGCTTCTTGTCACCAGAGATGGTTAAAACATCCCTTTCAATATTTAAATTGATATCTTCCTTTTTGACACCTGCCAATTCAGCATTGATAATGAATTCAGTCTCTGTCTCGGCAATCTCGATTCTTGGTGACCATGACGATGGAGTTGGTGTTTGTTGACTCTTTCTTTGACAATGTGATTGTTGTGCTCCAGTAGTAGTTGATTGTCTACTACACGATCTTGATGATGGTGAGGATGATGATTGAGAATCACCGAAAATGAATGGATAAATGTATTGGTATTCCATGATTATTTATATTATTAATTAATTTGTTAGATATTTAAAATAGTTAAAAATATTATTATTTAATTGATGTTGTATTTAATTGTATTTGAATTGAATGATATTGAAATAATCAACAATTGTCTACTATTTATATTGATCGAATAATTTTAGATTAATTTAAAAAAAGTAAATATTAACGTCGAATGGTTGGGAAATATTAAATTTGGATGAAAAGTAGTAAAAAATTAGATGAAAACTCGTTTTTCTCATCGAGAATTGTAATTTTTTGGATTCCACAATTCTACACATAAACAATGCATGTCATAATATTCCGTGTAGAGTCATTGAATATTCTATGAATATTAAAAAGAAGATTGATTCTATTCTATTTAATTTTAATTTGTTTGGGAGGTGGAGGTGTTTTCTTTGGAATTGTTATTTGTAAAATACCATCATTAAATTTGGCTGATATATCTTCCAAGTCTAAATTCTCTATCAGTTTTAATGATCTACTAAATTGACCATATATTATTTCTCGATGATGATATTTTCCAGGTTCTCCAGAATTCTTTTCTTTTTCATTAATTAATAAAAAAGAATTACAATCACTATTTTTACTTGTACTATTATTATTATTATTATTATTATTATTATTATTATTATTAGATTGAATGATTGGTTGTTTTAAAATAGGAGCAGTAGGAGGAGGAGGAGGAGGAATAGCAGAAGACTTTAAATCTTTGGGATCTGAAGATGATTTATCAACTTTTGATTTTGTAACAGATGGAGGAGAAGGGACAATAAATGGTATGGTGGAAAGAGATAAAGGAGGTTGTGAAGATATATTTGGAGGATAATCCAAAAAATCTTTCCTAAAACCTGTAATAATCAGGAATCCCATTTCAATGTTATCAAATTGATATTCTCTTTTTTAACACCTGGAAGTTCTACATTGAGAATAAATAATGAATTTAATTCTACAAGATCTACTCTTGGCGTCCAAATGGGGAAAGTATCCTTGATACCGTGTCCATATGGCGACGTTGAAATGACATGATCATTGATACTATTATTATTACTATGTTGTATAGGAGTGGTTTGACAAGAGTTATATTGGTATGTTTGGTTTCTTGGTACTTGAACAAAATTATGTAATGTATGGTAGGGATCATAAGGAGATGGAGATTGAGAAGGAGAAATTGGAGGAGGAGGATGAGGATAATAAGGGTGAGGAAGAGTAGATGTAGAAGGAGAAGTATGATGGAGAGGAGGAGGAGGAATAGGATTGGGATTTGGAGTAATATATTCTGAATATTTAAATCTTTTAGTTGAAGGATTGGTATTGGTATTGGCACTATTATCTACCGATGTTGTTTCAAATGAATCTTGTTGTTGTTGTTGTTGTTGTTGTTGTTGTTGTTGTTGTTGTTGTTGTTGAACAGGATCATTTTTAATCCATTTTGGCAACTCTGATTTAGCAATCATATGTTTGATTTTCGTTACTAGTTGGTCTATTGTCAATTCAGTAAAGTAGCTATTCTGTTGAATTTGTGTAGCCAATTGACTAATTGATATTGGTTTACCAGCATTTGCTTCTATTCAATTAAAAAAATATATTAGAAAGATTAAGATTATCATTTTTGGGAGAGAGAGATAATAGGCAATAGTACTGTACATTTATATACATACTCTTTATTTTCTTTACATTTGATTTTAATTGTTCAACCATATCTGATGTCCATTTTACCTTTGCCATTTTTCTAAAAGATTATTTTATTATTAATTATAATTTACTTTCTTTTTATTTTTGTGCTCTTCTTCTGATGATGATGATGATAATGAAGAAACTTTAATAATGAATCTGCAAGAGTTTATCCATAGCATCTGACAGACACCACACCCCTTTTAACTAAACCACACCACCCCACTTCATCATAAACAAAATGAGGAAAAAAACAAAGTTCTTGAAAAACTATTATTATATTTATTTATTTATTTATTATTTACAAATAACATTTTGTTATTATTATATTTAAATTTATATTTATACTATTATAACTATTAATAATATTTAATGAATATTAATTTTAATATGTTTTGGTGGAAGTTGTTTCTTCTTTGGAACAGTGATTTGTAAAACACCGTCATTATGTTTGGCTGTGATTAATTCCAATTCGAGGTTATCGGTCAATTCAAATGATCTACTAAACTTTCCATAACTAATCTCTCTACGATGGTATTGTGTTGTTGATTTTGATTCTTTCTTTTCATTATTGGTAACTACTGGAATTGATTTACTTGAATTATTATTATTATTGGAATCGGTTGATGGTGATGGTGATACTTTGTTTGATGATGATGACGATGGTGTCAAATCTTCAAAATCTTCTTCGACTGTTGGTAATTCGACATCACTATCTGATTCGTCGTTCTCAGTTGTGGATGGAACTGGAGGTGAAGATTCAATCGTTTCCTCCAATTGGGCCTTTGATTCATAAACAACTTGCTTCTTGTCACCAGAGATGGTTAAAACATCCTTTTCAATATTTAAATTGATATCTTCCTTTTTGACACCTGCCAATTCAGCACTGATAATGAATTCAGTCTCTGTCTCGGCAATCTCGATTCTTGGTGACCATGACGATGGTGTTGTTGGGGTCTGTTGACTCTTTCTTTGACAATGTGATTGTTGTGCTCCAGTAGTAGTTGATTGTCTACTACATGATCTTGATGATGGTGAGGATGATGATTGAGAATCACCGAAAATGAATGGATAAATGTATTGGTATTCCATGATTATTTATATTATTATTATTAATTAATTTGTTGGTTGGGTAGATATAATAATTATTATTATTTAGTTGATGTTGTATTTGAATTGAATGATATTGAAATAATCAATAATTGTCTACTATTTATATTGATCGAATAGACATCTTTGAGTTCCGTTATTTCGAGACTTATTAACTTTCTTTTAGATTTCACTGAGATGTGCAGAAAAATTGGATGAAAACTCGTTTTTTAATGAGACAGTATAGAATACTAACTATGTGTCACGACTACGACTACGTTCTACCACTCCTCTTCTACTTCTTTGAATATTCCAATTGTCTTCCTTTCATTAACGATATGATTCGTTAAATCATGACGTAGATATACTATGCAATGACTCAACTCCACTCATAGAGAGTAGATAGTTAGTTAGCTAGTGCATGCAATTAACAATAATCTATCAATGAAGATCACACTGTATGCTATTTGTTTGATTTTACTACAACACTAACATTCTTCAACTACTTCTTCATAAACATAATACTATTATTATTATCCTAATCAAGTCTCTATTAAATTATATATATAACATATTATTATTAACATTATTATTATAACTAAGATGAGGAGTCGACTGTGAATGAAACCAAAAAGGGTTTTTAAAAATACTATTATTTGTGTGATTATTTATTAATTTAATTAATTGATCTAATTAATTTAATTATCTAAAGTGATTTTATATAATACTATTGTTGAATTTGGATCATAAATAAAAGGTGAAGGTTTGACGAGTGAACAGTCATTTGTAATGTCGACAGTAGTGAATTTAAAGAGCTCCAACTCTTTTTGGAATACTGTAAAGGTGTCAATGTTTCGAATAGTCGATGCAATATAGGCAACCGTGTTGCGATATCGTGTGCACAATTGGTGTAATACGGATACAAGGTGTTTACAAAGGAATGGGTCATAGACAACATCTGCACCAACGATCACTTGAGGGTCTCCCAATCTCTCGTATTCCTTGTCTGTAATCTCACTCTCCCAATCCAATATTCCAATTGTACATTTATGTTTTCTTGTTGTTGTTGTCTCTGATACATCTAATTGAATTTCATCATTTGATTCAATATTGTCTACACGGCAAGGAGAATCAAGAGAAATGAAAAAAGAATAAAGAATAAATGAAGGTGAATGGGTATGTTCCAAAAATATTTACTTGATTCCATTGGATCAAGTATTAATAATCCCAAATATATATATATATATATACTTATATACTTATATACTTACTCAAATCCATGTTTTCCTTTAAATTGGTCAATACAAATGGAGAATAATCGGTTAGCATGACTTGTGAAGGTGACAAGCAGTCTAGTGCCAAACCAATCACACCCGTCCCACTTCCCAACTCCAAGACACTCTTTTGGTCGAATAGTCGACGATTAGACAACATAAAATCAGCCAAGAAATAGGAAGCTCCCCAAGTAGTCATACCAACCAAATTATATTGTAATTGATTCTTGAGTGTCATCCATCTACCATCCATCAAATATGATTTAAAACAATATTCTTTTGTATCATCATTATTATTATTATTATTATTATTGTTATTATTATTGTTGTTTCCAGACATATTCATATTTGACATAAACTTTTCAAGTAATTCTTCATTTATCTCCTAGATTGATTCAATCAATTAGTATCTATATATTCTTCTCTCTCTTTCCTTCTCTTTGTTTGTTTGTTTATTTTATTTACATACAGTATCATTCTTATCTAATGTATCCATGATGGTTCTAATGAATTTTGAACAATAAGGTTTGGTTGGTCGGTTGCTATGAGTTACTATTTCATGGGTGATGTAGTGTTGCATTTCATCAGTGATGATGATATCTTTTAGAGAGGTAAACATGCTAGGATATTCAGTGTGCAAGATATCCATCATCTTTTGAATCGGTGTCATTTGATGATAGAGTATTCTCAATCGGACCAAAAATGATTCGATTGTCTTGCTATCATTTGTATTTACATAAATTATATCTTGTGTCTCTTCAATTGACATGTCTATTATCTCTACCCAAACTCCTCTCTATCTCTATCTCTATCTTCCACTACTATATCTAACTATTAATCAGAATAAACCATTTTTTTGGCACTGTCTCACAAGGTGTGTCTCTTCAAAAAAGAAAAAGATTCATTATTAAAAAAGAGAGATATTAAATTAATACACACATATTTGTTATAACTATCTATTCTTATGGTTTTCTTGTACACGTGTGCTATGATCATCAAAGGGAGTGAGTGAAGAAGACACACCTTATCACAAAACAAATAATAATAATAATATACAATAACAAACAATATGAATAGTACACCAACAACCTTTATAACTTTACTTCGATCAAAGTATATTAGGTATTTGATATTTGATCAAATCGAACAAATATCAAAACAAATAACCTATTATAACAAATACTATGTACGATATGAAAACCAGGTTGGTATATTTAGAAAAGGTAGAGATATAGTCAAGTTGGATGACTTGCGAATGGCCTATATCTTTGGTATGCCATGGCAGTTTCTAAAACACTATCTACCCCCAATAGAAGAAATATCACTTTCAAAAAGATCGTATGCGATTAGTAAATACTGTTCACATCCAAATGCAACTTTAGAGACTGTCATTCAACTATTGGATTGGTCTGGTGATTATGCACCTGAACCTTATCAAATAGATATGGATCCACTCAAAAAGGATATATTCGAGTTTCTTATAGAGAAATATCATACACGTATCATTTGTCATCTAAGTATGTTAAGAATTGTCTATCTACATGCAGCATCAAATGGATACCTAGAGATACTACAACGAATAGATGACAGACGAACCTTGTGGATTGATTGTCTTGGTGATACAGGTGTCCTTCAAGCTATTAGAAATGGTCATATTAAAGTTGTAGAGTACTTGGCAAACAAACTTGGTAGTAACTACACTAAATCATTTTCAATCGATGATGCTACCAATTTTGAAATGGTCAAGGTATGTCACATCAATAATCTCTATCAATATATATTGACAAGTTGACCAAGTTAATTAACTTAACGTTATATAGTTCTTACATGATAATATAGCATATTCAATATGTTCAAAAAAATCAATGGACCGTGCTTCTTCCAGAGGTGATATTAAAACAGTAGAGGTATGTATTGTATTGTAATTAATTCGATTGATAGATTAATCCAACCCCTAACTCTATACTCTATACTTGTCCCTTTATTTAGTTTCTTCATTTTAATAGAAATGAGGGATGTACAACTCAAGCTATGGATAAATCATCAACTTTGGAAGTCACTCAATTCCTTCACACGCATCGTGGAGAGGGATGCACAGTCAATGCGATGGATAGAGCCGCCAAAAAAGGGAGATTGGATATCCTAACATTTCTCCATAACCATCGAACTGAGGGATGTTCATACCAAGCTTTTCGTTGGCCCTATCATTATGATGTCGCAAAGGTATGTATATTTATAATAATAATAATTATAATAATAATAACAACACGATCCAACCAATGTAATTATTAATTAATTAATCACATTACATTTCTAAGTTCCTTTATGATAACTTGGACAACCTTACCATTTACAATATCAAATATTACCGTCACATTAAATCTCTTTGTCAATATATACAAACAGAGAAAAAATAATAATAGATGGACGGGTCAGTGTATTGACGGAAAATAATATTAGACACACTACACTCTCGAGATATTACCCATTCAAACACCAATCCAGCAAAAGAACAAGAAAAAACCATAGTATCAAACAAATCGAACATAAAAAGGGGAACAACTAGAACAGGAAAAAGAGAGTAGTTAGAAATTTAATTAACAACCAAACAACAAATAATATAATAATATAATGCAATGAATAATCCAACAACACCACCACCACCTCCAACCTTTCTAACTATATTTAAATCAAAGTATATTAGATATTTGATATTTGGTCACGTGGAACAAATGTGAAAAGTCAAAATCATCGAACTGAGAGAATTGTGAGTGGCTCATACAAGTTTGTATGACAGACTCTGAGTTTTTCAGCTTGTTTGTTTTGACTTTGCACAAATATCACAAGAAATCATAGATTACCTAAAATATGGTGCAACAAGATGTAATTATAAAAAGGGAAGAGATATCATCGAGTTGAAAGATCTAGGAATGATTCATATCTTTGGAATGCCATGGGACTTTCTCAAAGACTGTCTACCACCAAGAGATCAAGTACCGCTACACATTAGATCGTTTGCCATCAGTCAATACTTGACACATCCAAACCTAACAATGGATACACTTGCTCATCTATTGGATTGGTCTGGTGAATATGAACCTACACCTGACCAATTAAACTTGAGTACTGTCCAAAAGGATATATTGGAGTTGTTCATGGACCGATTTCAATCCCTTGTCATTCATGATTTAAACACTCTTAGATCAGCCTATCTAAATGCAGCAACAAATGGATACCTAGAGATACTACAACCATATTCTACTACCCAAAGACTGATAGTCTTGGTTCTACAGGTGTCAGCCAAGCCATTAGAAATGGTCATATAGAGGTTGTAGAGTACTTGGCAAACAAACTTGGTCGTAACTATCGTCAATCATTTTCAATCTATGATGCTAATACTCATGAAATGGTACAAGTATGTAGAATAGACATGTACAATATACAAATTTGCATTTGACTAACTTAAATATTAATTTATATATATATATATAGTTCTTAACAGAATCTTTTTCCTTGATGCAAATAAAGTACCAACTTTTGAAACAACAACCAACATATATATATCTTCCATTTATTTCCACTTCCCATCAGATCTGATTTAAATATTATTAAATTAGAATTATTATAGATAATAATAATAATAATCTTGGTGGACTCTCTTGGTTCTTTCTTTTTTTTTAAAGTGTATCGCGACATGTTAACAAACCATAATTATTGACATTATCTCTATCGTTAGAGTATCGTATTAAACAAACATCCGTCAAAATGCAAGCATACCCAAAGAACGACCGATCGACCAACCGATTGACCCACCCGACCCAAACCTTCTTGCTCGCTTTCTTGCCTAGGACGTTTGTCAAACACCAAGTACAAGAACAAGAAAAATATTAAATCGCGATCATTCAAAGGAGAGCAAGATCAGAGAGTAGTTATGAATAGAAATCAAAGGCAACAACAACAAATAATAATATGCAATGACTAGTCAACCAACACCAACACCAACACCAACCTTTATAACAATATTTAAATCAAAGTATATTAGATATCAAAACAACTTGGAACACGATTGAAGCGTGATTATAGAAAGGGAAGAGATATAATCAAGTTACAAGATCTGGGGATGGTCTATATCTTTGGAATGCCATGGAACTTTATCAAACACTATCTACCACCAAGAGATAAAGTATCGCTTGAAATAAGATCGTATGTGATTAGTAAATACTCTACACATCCAAATGCAACGGCACAGACTGTTGTTGGTCTATTAGACCTTCGAAACCTTCAAAAGGATATATTAGAGTTGTTTATGAATCGTTATCAATCCCTTGTCATTTGCGATTTAAATATGTTAAGAGCTGCCTATATAAACGCAGCATCAAATGGGTATCTCGAGATACTACAACGAATAGATGAACACCAACGAACATTATTTTACTACCCAAAGACTGATTGTCTTGGTGATACTGGTGTCTATCATGCCATCAACACATATATGTATAGAATAATATATTAATATAAATCCAGAAAGAAAATAGATTGTTTTAATATTTCTATTTTTTTTTTTTTAAACTCCCCAGCTTGGTCTTTTTACTTTTTCTTTTTTTTTCTTTTCTTTTTTTTGTACAAGAATGTCAACAAACATTAAATTGACATTTATCTCTATCTTTAGAGTACCGTATATCAAACAAGTAATATTTGGTCAACTTGATTTAAACAACAATGACAACAACAACTACAATGGTTCAAAATACTTGAAAGGAAGAGATATTATCAATTTACCATGTCTTGGGATGATATCACAATATGCAATGCCATGGGAGTTTATCAAACATTATCTACCACCTAGAGACAAGGTATTACGTAAAAGAAGATTAGATACAATCTCTAGATACTGTACACATCAAAATGCAACATTGACAACACTATTACATCTATTGGAATGGGAACCAGATTATGATCCTCAAGGAAAACAAGATAAATCTTATTACGAATATCTTGTTTTACATATGACACGATTTGGTAATATGCAAGTGGTAGAATACATTGTCAACAAGTACCCAAACTTGGACTATACACGTTTAAAACAAGTAGCTGCTGAATTTGGTCGTCTCCCAATCGTCAAGCTACTAACTAGATTCAAACCAAAGTTTGATATCAATGCAATCGATTTGGCTGCTTCTAATGGTTATTTAGATGTTGTACAGTATCTACATGAGATTGGTGAATCTTGTTCAAAAGATGCAATGGACAGGGCAGCTTCAAATGGTCACATTGAAATTGTCAAAGTATGTATCAAATCAACAACATATGCATTTTAATAATAATAATAATAACCAATGGTCATTTTATAATTATAGTTTCTTTATGAAAATAGAACTGAAGGATGTGATTTTGACAGTATTCTATCATCAGTAGCATTGAGTGGTCATTTGGAAGTAATCAAAGTAAGTACATACATAGATACATACCCCTTTATTTCATTTACTTGATTATTATTAACAAACTTGTCATATGTAAAGTATCTTCATTTTAATGTACCACAATGTAAAGCCGATACAAAAGCAATGGATTGGGCTGCATCTAGAGGTTTCCTTGATGTTGTCAAGGTAAATATAAATATTAACCAAACTAAAATATATTTATTTATTTGTTTATTTATTTATTAATAACTCTTTCTCTCTTTTTTTTAGTTTCTACATCAATATAGAACTGAAGGATGCACTTTGAATGCTATGAATATGGCCTCAACGGCAGGATTTTATTCAGTTGTAGAATGGTTACATTTTAATCGTACAGAGGGATGCACTACTATTGCAATGGATCATTCTCCATCATTGGAAATCACTCAATTCCTACATACCCATCGTACAGAGGGTTGTACACGTCGAGCCTTGGGTAACAGTATTGCAAAATGTGATCTTGAAACTATCAAGGTAAGTAGTAATATAGTCAATCCAATAACCATTTTGTACTTCTCAACACATCTCTAACATATTTGAAATTAATTGATCTTCTTCTTTAAAGTTTTTGAATGAGAATCGTACTGAAGGATGTGAAAAGGGTGTAACAATAGGGTTTCACGCAAATCAAAATAATAGTTTGGAGATGATAAAATACCTATTTGCCAATGTTGTAAAGGTAAAATGTTCAGATGATGTAGTGTGTCAAGCTGCGATATGCGGACAATTAAATGTATTACAATATCTTCATCAGCTCTATCCTTTAATCACTGGATCAAGTCAAGCAATGGATCTGGCATCATACAATGGTCATCTAGAAGTTGTCAAGGTAAATATTAAAATTAATAATAATCATATTTAATCAATTAATTTAAATTTATTTATTTATCTTCTTCTTTTTGTTTTTTTTTTACATTATTCTACTAGTTTCTTCATTTCAATAAAACTGGTGGATGCACTCATGATGCAATGGATAATGCCGCTAGAAGAGGGTTCCTTGATATTGTTAAAGTATGTCTAGATGTTTGGAAATTAAATTATTAAAATAATAATTAAAAAATCAACTAACCAATTATTAGTTTCTACATGAACATCGTACTGAAGGATGTACAACGGAGGCAATGGATAATTCTGCCAGTCTTGATGACTCTATGGATATGTTAAAAGTGAGTAGTAGCTCCCAACCATATAATAATAATAATAATAATAATAATAATAATAATAATAATAATAATAATAATAATAATATTTATCAAATTTATACTCCTACCGGAGTATACTCTTATTCTACTATAGTTTTTACATTATAATCGAACAGAAGGATGCACAACGATAGCTATGGAGAATGCAGCCAGAAAAGGAAATTTAGATATGGTTATATTTTTGCACAAGAATAGAATCGAGTATTGCACATTTGATAGCTTTTGGCTAGACGGTTTCAAACATTATGAAGTGGCCAAATACCTATTCGATAACCAATTAATTAAAAATCGTCATTAAATGCAACATCAAAGAAGAATAAACAATGTCAAGTATCATCATCATCATTTGATTTAATATGTTTGCTAGCTTGAACTTCACACAAAACTGATTATAAAAAAGAATAATTAAATTCACTTCATTTCATTGATCTATTTATGTTTTTGTTTGTTTGATAGATAAATTAGATATATATTAGATATATTAGATAGATTAGGAAGAGATGGTGAAATTAGCAAATAGTCAATTAAACTATAATCAATATAGAAATACGATCATAAAGATTGCAGTTTGTAGTAGAATATTGGTTTGGGTGTACTCTGTTTTGGTAGCTCAATTTATGACTAGCTTTGATAGTTCTACCTCTCTCAACTCTGTCAATCCACTCAATGAAACGTTGGTACATGACGCTACACTTCAACAACAACATCTTACATTGCATCCTGCCAATCTCATCGACTCGCTCATTCGTAGAGTATTTGTTAAATGGGATAGTATCTATTATGTCAGAATCGCAGAGTATGGTTATGAATTTGAACAAAATCATGCTTTCTTTCCTCTTCTTCCTTTAATGATGAGATATTTATCATATTGTATGTACATAAAAGTATAATAGTTGGAATGTAATATATTGATCAATATAATATCCCTTTTAATAATCTAGTCATTTCAACGATTACATTTAATCAATTATTAATGAGAGATTATATAGTACTATCTGGTTTCATCATTACAAATGTTTGTTTTGTTATTTCATGTGTTCAATTATTCAAGTATGTAAACATACCCATTCATACCTACATACATACTATCTATATTGGTACTAACTTTTAACTACTCGCCTATAGACTTGGATGTATTCTATTTAAAGATCAAAAATATTCATTTATAGCAACATTATTATATGTTATTAATCCAGCTAGTATATTCATGTCGGCAATCTATACAGAGAGTGTATTCAACTTGTTTACATTTAGTGGATTGTATTATTTGTATGGAGCAGGGTTTTATTTAAACTCTTCTAAATCCATATCGATGGATGTTATGCCTTTGAGAAGAAGTGTACTCCTTAGTTTTGTGGCATCTATCTTTTTTGCATTGGCCACTTTTACACGATCCAACGGTATGTTGTTGGCTGGTTTCATCGTGTTTTATCACTTGTCTGGTATCTTTTTCCCAATTTTTAAACGTCTCTTTATCATGGCCAATAAGATTATGCGTGGTAATTCACCTATTCACCATACATCACCAATCCTTAAATCAAAGAATCTTCATCTTCACAGGTCATCTTCTTCATCCTCTTCATCTTTATCTTCCTCATCATTACCATCTTCTTCATCTCCAACCATCATCTCTTATATTATTGGATTTGTACTAGTTGGTATTCAAACTTTGATTATTATATCACCATACCTTTTATTCCAATATTATGGTTATTCAAGATATTGTGTAGGAGGTTCAGTGACAGATGCAAATAAATTTGGAGAATGGCCTAGAAGTTGGTGTTTAGAGAATAGACCAAATCTCTATGGATTTGTTCAATCACATTATTGGAATCAAGGATTCTTCAATTATTATGAACTTAGACAGATTCCCAACTTTTTATTGGCAGCACCTATTGTCATATTGGCCAGTTGTTCCGTGTTGAGTTACTTGCTCTACTTTATCGATCATCCAAACGACATGGCATCTACCATTACCAAACTCAGACACCGTGCCTCAGTAGTCACTGGTCGTTCGGCACCATCGCCATACTACACCTCTCAAATCCTCCCATTTATCGTACATCTTGGAATACTCGTTGTATTTTGTACCACGTTTATGCATGTCCAAGTAATCACTCGATTCTTTAGTCATTCACCTCTTTTATTTTGGTATGCCGCCTCAAAGTTTTATACTTTAGATAGTAGTAATAGCGCTGATGTAAATACAACAGGTTTTAAATCACGTAATTTTATTTTGGGATATTTTATTCTTTACAATATACTTGGTTGTGTATTATTTACCAATTTCTATCCTTGGACTTGAAAGTCATCAAAAAATAATAAAAAAAAATAACATACCCATAAATTTTAATAAACACAATAGTACTCACCCAACTCGGACTATGGTGATCATAATTATTATCTTCATTCATTCACATTGCAATATTAATATACATTTTTTTTTTTATTGCCTTTCTATTTTATTCATATATAGGTAATAGAGATAATAAGAACAATGTAAATAGTAATAAGAATAGAGCCTCCAAACACAATTCTAGAAGTTCCTTAACAAGTTCTTAAAAGCTTTCTTATTAAGAAAAGCGGAGGATTGGGGATCAGTCACTCACACATCAATCACCAAGGTCGTCCTAATCGAAGATCTCATAACCAATCACCTCGAACAGGTCAGGGAATTATACAAGGATCCAACACTTCATCAACAATCACATCAATCCTCTTCAGCAGATCTTTCAGCAATAGAGATAGAGGATAAGAATAACAATAATAACACTAACGAGTTATTAGTACTTAGGCAACAAATGGAAGTGCTAAAAGCACAGTTGGAAGAATCCTTGTACGCAGCAAGGATACCTCCTAACATTAAATGATGACATGAAGATAATAGACGATCTTGAAGATCCTGATAATTTCATTGCTCAATTATTAAATTAATAAATACCAACGCATTTCGCAAGTACTAAAAGGTGCCTCGATCTGATTGCTACTATTGTTCAATTTCAATGTGTCTATTGACCAGATCTCGCTAGATCTTTCATTGTATAAACACCTTGAAATTGAACAACAGTAGCAAAACACCTTTCTGGAACAACCAAAATGGGTAAGCATAAATTAACCGATAATAACTAGAACCTACTTACCATCTTATCTTTTTATGTACTCTTCTCTACTCTAGCACGTATTTATTTATTTATTCCAAACATGTAGCGCTAAAAATGGCTCTATTAATAAATAGCTTTCTATGACAATATTTTTTGAAATTGTCAAAAATGTTCATTTGGTTGTCGCGACATCCATTCGTTCTTGTCCCTCTTGTCTTTTTGTATCCCTACTGCCCATCTATCACAACAACGATGTTAATTAATTTGACATCAACAACTTTTTAATTAATTAATTAGGGGCGAGTCTTTGAAGTGGTGGTTACGAGCTTGTCAACCTCGAATAATCTATTAGACGAAAGAGAGGAGGGGGTGTGACGATTGCCCTTGCTTGATCTTTTTAAAGGAACCACCAGTTTTTTTTTTAAATAATAATAATAATGTTGTGATTATTGTTTGCACCCATTTTTCTTATAATGATAATTTAATTCAAACAAACGTTGTTTGTGATTAGAAAACCCATCCCTCTCTTATCACACTACTCCTCCTCCACATTGTTGTTGTTCTTCACCTCACCTATCCCTATCTATCATACACCACTTCATAGAGCTCATTTTTTTGAAGATATTATACTTACTATTTATTTATTTATTTATTTAACTATTTGCACACAGAGAAAAGCAAGCAAAGCAATAAAGCACTATTAAAAAAAAAAAAAAGTAAGAAGAAAGTAGTACTCCTCTCCTCTCTTGTAGTTTCAGAACTACAGTGGATTCAATTCGAGGTTGGCTTTGTGTTGTGTGATTCGGTAGTAGATCATGGACTCTGTGAACGACCCACGAGATACACTGTGCGCAAAGTTTGATTTTAACAAAAAGCGAATGCCAACACAATTTCTGTTAACCAAAAAAATGGGAATTTTCATGCGGATAAAAGATCATGTTCCTCTTGTTTGCAAAGAAAAACAAAAAATATATTTTTGTTGTTATTTTTATCTCACATCAGTACACAGCAGCATAGAATAGAATATACACCACCGAACTTAACTTTGTATCAGGATAAAAAAAAAATAGTAATAGAGTAGAAACACAACAACAACAACAACAACAAAGTAAATTATAGTTAGTTGAGGTCTATCTATTATTAAGATAAAGTAATATCACACCAACAACCATTACAATAATAATAATAATAATAATAATAATAATATCCACCCATCCCAAATCAATTCAATTCAATTCAATTTTAAAGTAACCGTGTTTTGTGTGTTGGTTGTGAGTGTGAGTGTGTGTTTTTGTTTGTTTTAAGTACTTAATTCTACTTTGCTAAAATATCATATCATATCACAATAATAATATTATTATATCTATTTTATTTGTTGTAAAAGAAACATAATTGAACAAGAAAGAAAGAAAGGTATATCTAGCTAGAGAGTGAAAGAAATCAGAGATTGAGATATACAGAGAGAAAAGTGTGTTGTCACACAGAGTGAGTGAGAGATATTATCTTGAAATCTTTTAAGGTTCAAATCTGTCATCACCATCATCATTATTTGAACAAACAAACATTTTCAAAGTTCATTTTATTAACTGTCTTCTTTCTTTCTTTATCCATTCTATCCTATCTTATCTATCTTTGTTCTTTTAGTTTTTAATCAATTATATTTATTTATACAACTATTATCACAACAATTTATATATATATTTATTAATTTATGGAACCAAAGAATATGTCTGATCAATTAATGGTAGATGATGACTCGGATGTCGAAGTGATCGACTCGTCCGACGACGAAGAAGACTCAAAGAGAGACAAGAAGCAAGACACTGTATCATTAAAAGAGTTGAGCTTGATGCGAGAAAAGGGATGGATGTCTGATCCACGTCTCGGATCATTGTTGGATGCCAAGCCAGGTCGCAACTCGTTCAAGGACGACAAGTCATCACCATGGTTTGAAGAACGTCAAGTCATTGCCGTACTGATCCGTGCTCGTGTCACTCTTCGTGAACTCATGCAAAGAAAATATAACGACGATCGATTAAAGTCAGGCAACTTGAGAGTATGCGAAATTCAAGACCTACTCAACAAACAAAAAGAAGATACAGAGACTGATTGGATCGCCGAGATTCAAGAGTTAAAGAGAAACATGATTGCTGAAATTCGTCGTAATCATCTATTAGAAAGAGATCTTATTAAATTAGATAAACGTATTGCTTTATTAATTAAACATAGATCAAATATTAAAGTAAATAGCAAAGGAAAATAGAAACAAAAAGAATACTTTTATACTTATATATATTTCTTTTTTTTCTATTTTCTTTTCTATTTAGGAATTATTATTAGAACAAGCAAAGAAAGCAAAAAAGAAAAAAGGAGATGAACATGGTGATACAGTATCATTGGATAGTAAACAATTGGAATCATACCAAAACCTTTTCTATTTGTTGCAAACTGAACCACATTACCTTGCCAAACTCGTCACACTTGTTCAATCAGATCAAATGGATATATTTTTAGATACCGTCATATTAACACTCTTTGGTGATGCTTTTTCCCCAAGAGAAGAATATCTTATTCTTAGTCTTTTCAAGGTAAATTATAAAACAAAACAAAACAAAACAAACAAACAAATATTATATGTTTATTTACTTTTTTCCATTTTTATACTAGTTGGCAATTGAACAAGAAATGTCATCAATTAAATCAGCAGTTGATTTAATATCAGTAGATTCAGTTGTACCAAAGATGATTATTACTTATACACGTCGTAAACAAGGACACGAATTTTTAAAGCAAATCATAGCACCCATTTTGGAGAATTATGTCATTAATGTACCAGACCTCAACCTCGAGTTGAATCCAGTGCAAGTGTACCAAAACATGATCAGCGAGATTGAAATTCAGACGGGTAGCAAGAGTACACTCAATAGAGGACTTGCCGAGGAACAGATCATCCAACTCAAAGAGGTGCAAGACATTTTGGCACCACGTGTCGAAAAGTGTATTTCCATCTGCGAACGTTTCTTTACTGGTATTGTAGAGTCACTCAATCGTTTGCCATATGGTATTCGTTGGATTTGCAAGCAAATCAAAAACATCTCTGAAAAGAGTTTTGGCAGCAAGCCAGAAGAGATTGCAAAGGTCATTGGTTACTTTGTCTATTACCGTTTTATGAATTTGGCCATTGTTACACCAGACGCTTTTGAAATTATCAACAAGGAGTTGTCGATGATTTCAAGAAAGAATCTTGTCAATATTGCAAAGGTGTTGCAGTACTTGTTTACATTAAAGACTTTCCAAAACCAAGGTGGTGAACGTTGGATGCAACCCCTCAACACTTGGATCCTCAGCAAGACTGATATTGTCAAGCAGTACTTTGAAGATCTCGTTCAAGTGACTGATCCATCGGAATACTTGCGTGTCGACAAGTACAATGAACTTACCCTAAAGTTGCATCCAGTCGTTGTCATCTCACTCGGTGAAATTAGTCAGACTCATCGTTTGTTGCTCTCTAATTTATCGTCACTCAAGCAAAAGGAAAAGGAAGACCCACTCGAGTTGATCCTCAAGTCGTTGCCACCCGCCCCCATCAATGTGTCGGAAGAGAATGACCGTGAAATCCAACTCACCCTCACCAACCGTTTCAAGGAGCATATGGAGCGCGAGATTTCCACATCGGCATCGTTGCTCGCCGAGACCAAGGAACTCGTACTCAACGTCTTGCGTTCCATCCCACAACAAGCACTCAAAGACGACAAGGACGACTTTGTCGCTGTATTAAAGTCGGCCGCCCAACATGGCCACCAGACATCCAACCATCAACTCGTCCTAAACTCTGAAAAGATCCTCGAAAATCTCAAAAAGATGGAGGCTGAAGGTTCAGTGTCTTCAGTCAACCAATACGAAGGCTTTATCCGTATCATTGCCATGGAAGTGATCAATCGTCAAGAGATTCGTGAGCACCAACGTAAAGAACGTATGCGTCTCACCATTGCCCTCAGAGACTTGCGTAAGCATCAGTCCTATCTCAACGAACAAATTCAACATTACACTTCCTATCTCAAGGATGTCCTCCTTCATTACACTTCCAAGGATGGAAAGAAAAAATCCAAGCCAGTCAAGATGGCCTACAAGGAACTCAGCAAAAAGGGTATCATTGTCGAGTCGGAAATTCCAAAAGCTTCACATGGCTCGACCAACTTTTACATTTCTTCTGATACTCCAGGTATCTTCGATATAGAAGCCAAGATTGGAATTATGCCAGTTGGCTCTGTTAATCTCGAACTCGATGATCTCTTGGAAAAAGCTGCTGCTGGTATCCCTCACTTGAAATTGGATAACATTGTACTAGATGTAAATATGACACTCCATCTCTTGAATAGACATTTCTTGAAAAAGATTAAATAAAAAAGAGAAAGAGAAAAAAGAAGATGAAAAAAAAGGAAAAAGGAAAAAAAAATATTATAAATAAAATTAAAATGATAATCTCTAATCAAAAAACTATTAATGACTAAAAAAATATAGAGTTAGAGGAAAAAAGGGAAAAATCAAATAGGTATGAGTCTTCAATCATCAAGCATAAGAAATGGGTTGAAGAGTTGATGATGAATAGGAGTAGGTTACTACTTATAGGTAGAGACGCACTATAAGAGGTGTCTCTATCTACAAGTAGTAACCATAGTCTAATCATGCCACGAGTGGTTGCGAAATGATGAATGATGAGAGGTGGTGCATAGACAGGAGAGGTGCAGTGCCTCTCCCCCATCCATGAGAGGCACCCTCCACCTCTCTCCTAGCCAAGAGGTGCCTCCCTCTCCAGCCAGCCGCCTCTCCCAGCCATTGAGAAGGCACCCCAAGCCAAGAGAGACACCCTCTCCCAGCCATTGAGAGGCACCTCTCTCTCTCTCTCTCCTCTCCCGAGGTGCACCCCTCTCCTAGCCAAGAGAGGTTCCCATCTCCTCCATTGGCCGTCAGAGGCAGGTACTGCTCTCTCCTCTCCCGAGGTGCACCCCCTCTCAGCCAAGAGAGGCACCTCTCTCTCTCCTCTCCCGAGGTGCACCCCCTCTCAGCCAAGAGAGGCACCTCTCTCTCTCCTCTCCCGAGGTGCACCCCTCTCCCAGCCAATAGAGGTATTACTCTCTCTCTCTAAGCCTCCCTCTCTCCATGGCTGGGAGGTACCACTCTCCTAGCACCTCCTCTCAGCCAATAGAGGCACCGCTCTCCATCTCCCAAGCCAAGCCCCTCCCCTCCCCTCCCAGCCAAGAGAGGTGCACCCTCCCACTCACAGCCAAGAGAGGCACCCCTCTCCTCTCCTCTCCTCTCCTCTCTTCCCAGCCAAGAGAGGCACTCCTCTCCTCTCCTCTCTTCCCAGCCATGAGAGGCACCACCCCTCCTCTCCTCTCCTCTCCTCTCTACGAATTGAGTGTCTTACTTGCAGTGATGAAGAGTCACGCACAAGCGATGAACTGTATATATTACAATAGTAGATTGGGAAAGAAAGTTAGTTATGTGCGTATGGGATCTCCCCTTCACAATAGTAGCGATGAGAAGAAATAGAGAGAAATAACAAATCAAACCTAATCATCAAGTTTGTGTGAATACATACAACTATCCAGCTCTGATTAATAAACTGTAATACTATCTACAAATACTTCAAACTTCTCTTTACATGTAATAATTATACCAACAACAATAATACGAAACAAACAACACCACCCACACAACATTTTATGAATAAATTGGTTAAAAAAAAAAGGCAAAACTAGAATAGACATCTGTCAGTCCTCCTCTTCAAGAAAATGGGTTGATTTTTCTTTCTCTAATAGATATCAAGCAATATCCTCATTAAGGGATGGGTTGAAGAGTTGATGTTTACTCTATTAAACATCAGTGTCTCAATCATCAAGCACCCTCGAGATGGGTTGATATTTCTACTAGAAGTACTTCTAATAGGCATCAAGCACTCTCCTCAAGGGATGGGTGTATGACGTTCAACTTATCCTCATCTCCCTCCTCCTCTTCCTCCTCCTTCCAACCTATCAACATTGGGGTTTACAACAATAAAGGGATGGGTGTATACGAAGCATCCTTCAACTTATCCTCATCTCCCTCCTCCTCCTCCTCCTCCTCCTCTTTCTAACCTATCACAATAGAGGGTTTACAACAATAAGGAGATGGGTGGTATACGTAGCATCCTTCAAATTATCTCCTCGCATGCCCTATCAACAACAGAGGGTTGGGTGAATAAAGAGATGGGTGTATACGAAGCATCCTTCAACTTATCCTCCTATTCTACAACAACAATAACAACATATTATACATATTATAAAAAGTAAGAAATACAATTAAAAAAACAAGTATAATAAAAAGAATCAAATTACTAATTATATTACTATAAATATAGAAAAGGATATAGAATATGATCGAGAAGATGTCCTAGAAATCATCATGTCGTTCTCAGAGGTGACCAACGTGAGAACGCCAATTACAAGGTTATATGATTCTCCAAGTCATAGGCCAGTCCAAGTTGGCTAGTCCATCCAACAAGTCAATGAACAAGAATCTTATGAACAAGAGTTTATTGGTCATCTTGTCTAAGATGAAACGCCATTGTCGACATGTATACTGTACGAGAATGACGTTTCCTCTTGGACAAGATTATCGTAAATGTTTAAGTTGCCATATTGATGCCAAGAACAAGGCGTTCTGTTACCGTCACTGGCTAGATGATCTTGCTCGCCAAAGAGATAAAAAAGCGGTGGTACCAATCGTCTCACCTATCAATATGGAATCAAGTGGTGAATAAGATGATGAAAACAATGGAAAGAACTTTGCAAAAGCCAAGAACCACCAAAAAGAAAAAAATCAAATAAATAAATTACTGTAGGTTTGTACATTACATTATGTATTATAAAGAACTGTTTATTGAACTTATATACATTCCATTTCTAACCGCCAAAGAAGAAACGACTTGAGACATGACCACAACGAATCATCGAAATCAAAAGTAAAAAAATTTCTGTAGAACTACATTTCTTTACAATGAATGTCAATGAACCATTTACTACTTGCGATCGTTATACATTTACAAAAGTAAACTTTTCTCGAGAATACAACCTGTTCCAATTGGGATAACAATATCGAAAAAATTGATTAATATTATTTTGTTTGTGAATCAATTATTTTGTTCTTTGTGAACAAAAAAATTCATTGAAATTGTGTGATCATTATTAGCATTGGTGAAATGTTGGCACATTTCTTTGTGATCGTCAAACACTCTCTCTCTCTCAACTCCACAAGATACTAGATCAAGAATCAATCGATTGAAATGAGTTCAAAAGACTATTAGCATCATCAATACTGATTCGCCGACAATGTCGGTTGACAATTGATCAGCAATTAGATCGACAGATACACAGTTGTGGGGTTGGTGCCAATGGAATGTGTGTCGACACAACACACTCTGACCGAAAGTCATCTCTCCACATTATTATATTAATCAAAAGATATCTTTACCCCTCTATACTCTATTATACCCACCTCGATCAAAACTTTAATCGGGATCGCGATTTCAGGGCGTGTACCCACGAGAACCACTTTAACGGCATGCCCCAAACGACGCTCAAATCGATTTCTGTGCAACTTTGCTAATACTATACACACGTGGTATTGTATCAAATCAAAAATAGTTTAAAAGAGAACACAAAGTAAGCCCAAACAAACAACTATAAATATAAGAGAAAAAAAGATCTCTTCAAACCATTCTAATATTATCTTTATTTTAATTAAAAAAAGATGTTTTTTACAAGTAAATTATCAATATCAATACTATTAATTACACTAATCTTCATCTCAATATCAAATGCTTGGCTTGATGATGATGAAGTTCGTAAATACCTTTATCCCTATATCACAGTGTATGTAAAAAATTAAATAATCATTAAAGAGTTTGAGAAAAAATATTAATTAATTATTATTATACTTTAAAATATCACTAGTGATACATTAGAGAATCAAGATCTAAAACATGGACAATATGGATTTGTTATCTATGGACCAACTAGTTATAGTTGCGAAGTTAAAGTTGCTGATGGTATGGGAGGCATGAGTACAATCACCAAGATGTTGCCTACATCGGACGCTAAACTTTCCGCCAGATTCCCAATCACTTCGAGTGCTCCTGAAAGCTACAAGACCTTCGATGTTGGCTTGCACGGATACTATACCATCGACTATGACCAAAGTGAAAAGACCAACAATGTATTCCTATCCTATGCCAAAAACTATGCCAAGACTGACCTCTACAAAGTACCACTCTATGCTTGGTACGCCAAACAAGCAATCTGGAAGGAATACGATACTCCATTCCATTCTGAAAGTATGATCCTCAAACAACTTGATCTAGCAATTAATGATGCGTATGTATAAAACAAAAAAATATTAATAATATTTTAAATTAAATAATAATTAATTATTTATTTCTCTTTTTCACACAGTGATATTCCAGACATGTCAGTTCAAGATAATATTTACATGTATACACAAAATTTCCCATGTTCTATATGTACATCCAAACTTGTGACCAAGGAGTTTGTTAATAATAGAAAGGCCGATTATGAATTATCCAAACAATTAAATGGTATTGGTGATTTCAAAATTGTCCAACCAATCAATTTCAATGAACAATTCCTCTCTGTCGATGCTGCCTATGGAATTAAAAATAGACTTCTTCCTCAAGATACTGAAAAACAAAGAACTTATCTTTCATTCTCAAGGTAAAACAAACAATCAATCAAAAGATTTCCATTTAATTAATCAAAACTTTAATTTTATTTCTGTTTCTATAGACAATGGGATAATGATTATTGTCATTATGGTAATGTTTTAAGTTTGTATCAAACTTATCAAGTTGTAGCAGCACCAATTAATCGTCATTCGTTTGTGATTGGAACTGCTCAAGATGTATTATTAGAGTTTGTACTTGGAAGTACCAAACTATTCAACCTTCCACAAAAGGACAAGGATCCTTATTTCAGATTCAATCTTCGTGCTCAAAGTCAGGATGCTCAGACTGCCGCCTTCAAGTACATGATCCAAGATGCCTTTAGATATTTCTATGAAGCCAAGATTGAAAACTTTAGATCCTATACCAGTTGGCAAGAGTATCTGGGTGAATTCGGTTACCCAGAAGCAATGAAAGAAGTAATGAAAAATGCTCTTGATAAATTCAAACAAAAAGATTGGTAAAATAGAAAAATAGAAAAAAACAAAACTAACTATTTTTAATTATTAATTTTTTTTTTTTTTATTCTCTCTATTTTTTTAGTAAATGGTCACAATCAATCTATAGATTAATGGGAGTAAAAGGAAATAAAAATGGGATGCCAATCAAGAGAACAGTTATGCCAATTGCACCACCACAAGGACTCAAACCACCTGCTTGTGCAAATATGGAGAGATTCCCATGCAAGCCAATTGAAAAGCTTACCTATTACAAGGTGAGTCAATTGTTCTTAAACTACAAGTACCCCGTATGCGAGATTTACAAGAAACAAGGCTACGAAGACCAATTCGGTGAAGTATTGGTATCTTCAAGTGGCATGAGCAACCAAGAACTCCAAACCACCGATCTCACCAAATTCAAAGACTCTAAAATCTCCGAGTTTATTACAAACTTTGAACGATTCTATTATGTCAAGCGTAGAGGTGACCAACTCCGTCCATGTGCTCAAGCTGCCTATGTTCCAGACAACAAGGATGAAGATGATGAAATTAGTCCAGAGTCTGATACCGATGCCGATGATATTGCAGAGAATACAAATGTTAATATTGATGTTGATCTAGATTAAAAAAATAAATATAAATTATTGGATGAATAAACTAATTAATTAGTTAATTAATTGATGAGGGTAAGTCTCGATATCTTAGTGGTATTCCTAATTGGGCATCCAAAATGGTTGATTTGAATTGATCAATAAATGGAGATTGAGTTTCAAAATATTGAATCATTTCATATTGATTGACACAGTAACTCTTGATCTTGATTATTGTTCTCTTTTGCAATGTGGTAATGTTGAGTGATAATATAATATGTTGGACAAATGCAAGTCGACCTAAAGCAGATGCTGAAATGATTGCCTTTTCAATGTTTTCTTGTTGTTGCACTGTCAATAATCCTTTTTCCTCTTTTTCTTTGATGAGAATATCCACCAAGAATGAAACAATCTCAATTCTTGAGTTGAAACAAGATGATTCCAGTGCTCTTGCAATGTCTACTTCTTCTTGTCGATTGTTGTATAAAAACTAAAAAGAGAATAGGAAATTGATATTAATATTAAACATAAATATTAAAAAGGACTGTACATACTTGGACCATTTCAAAATGACCATTTGAAGCAGCACCACACAATGCTTTATGTGTAGCACCTTCAGTTCTATGTTGATGAAGGAATAATACAATATCCATAAATCCAAATTTACATGCATTATCTAGAGCATCAGTTGTACATCCTTCTTGACGATGTTGATGAAGGAATAATACAATATCCAAGAATCCTAGTTTGGCTGCTAAATCCATGTTATTTGTCTTCCAAATATCATCACTATCATTATTGTTTGGATAATTGTCATAAAGAAGAGATATAATATCTAATCTACCTTTTTCGATTGCTGTTTGAACTGCAACTGATGAACATTTACATTTAATAACTTGAACAAGGTATTCGATCGTTTCAGTGTGTCCATTTTTAATTGCATTTTCTAGAGCATTGGTTGTGCATCCTTCTTGGCGATGTTGATGCAAGAACTCTATAATTTCAATGTTGCCCATTTCAGCTGCATAATCCATAGCCTTGGTAGTTGCACCTTCGGTACGATTGAAATGAAGAAACTTTACAATTTCAAGGTCTGAACAAAGATCCATAGCATCGGTAGTTGCACCTTCAGTACGGTGCTCATCCAGAAACTTTACGATTTCAATGTGTCTTTTTGAAGCTGCCCGATCCATTGCATGGGTAGTTGCACCTTCAGTACGATTGAAATGAAGAAACTTTATAGTTTCAAGGTCTGAACAATAATCTATTGCTCTTGTTGTTGCACCTTCACTACGATTGAAATGAAGAAACTTTACAATATCAAGTTGGCCGTACTTAGCCGCTTCATCCATTGTATCAGATGATGCACCTTCAGATCTATTATAATGTAGAAATTCAACAACATCTAATAATCCTTCTTCCGCTGCAGATCTCATGATGGAATGATTGAATACGTCTTGATGTTTTTCTTGACCATGAAAGAACTGGAATGAATCATAAATAAATAAATAAATAAATATAAATAAACCACGAGAGTTAACTATTTGTGATATACGAGCATACTTTAACAATTTCAAGAATATCATTATTATCTTTGGTCATTGCACAGAGGGTACCCGATGAACTTTCAGCACCTACAGTATAATGAAGATACTATTATAAAATATGAAATAATATATTGTAACTATTAATATTATAGGTTGATTATAATAGATAGATAGATAGATAGATATTGAATATAATGCATACCTTTATCATCTCTAAATTAAGACAACCCTAAGATAAATAAATCAATAGTACTATTAGTTCATTATTATTATTATTATTATTATATCTTGATTAATAGTACTTACCATTGCATTGGAAGAATCTACATTTCTTTCATGTAAATACTTTACAATGTCAATGAACCCTTTACAACTTGCAGTATTCATTGCATTACGATCATTTAGTTTTACATTCTTTAGTGTATAGAGTAACTTGATTGCAGAGAGATACCCTCTCCTACACAATTCACTCAACCTAATATATTGATTGGTTAATAGGTATGGATAATTCTTGATGATGAATTCAACCAACTCTATCTTTTCATTTTCAACCATTATGTTGATCATGTCTCTATCAACCGGTTTACAATCCGATGACCATTCCAATAGATACTTGAGTGTATCCAATGTTGCATTGGGATGACGACAATATTGATCGATGACTTGTGCTCTTCTTTGAGGTAATACTTGATTACAATCCGATGGTAGATAATGACGAATAAACTGTAATGGCATTGCATACTTTGATATCATTGCAAGACATGGTAATTGAATGATATCTCTTCCTTTGGTACCCATATATCTCTTTGCATCATGTCTCTTTGCATCATACTCTACTTTGAATATTTGATCGATATGATTGAATATCAATGATCTGATATATGTCATTTTGAATACATCATTAAATGTTGTTGTTGTCGTTAAAGACATAGTAATATACTAATACTATCTATGAATTAATTGAATGAAATACATGTATTGAAGATTGAAGATGCATTATGTAAGAACTTGAAAAAAATTATAAATATTAATAAAAATAATAATAGGTTGCATCTTCCTAGTCTGTCTTTTTCTTTTTGTTTTATTTTCAAAGGTTGATTTATCTATACCTACCTATTAAAGATGGAAGACGATAACAATGGAGCAATCATGGAAGATGATGACTATAGTGATGAAGAGACTAGAGCAAAGAAGATGAAAGGTCCTCAAGGACTCAAATATCAATAGTATGATCAATATCATCATCATCATCGTAGTTTAAAATTAATGATCATAAACTAATCTCTCTCTCTGTTCCTCTCAATGTTAGTAATGTAGCACTAGATTTCAAATCGAATCAATACGCTACATTTATTTGTAATTCATTAGAGGTTGATAAGGAAATCAATCTTAATACCTATAGAGAGTATACTGTTCAAGATACAAAGTTTAATGTGTAAGGTTAAATATATCTATATCTATATCATTTACTAAATGATTTTAACATACATCTAGACTTTATGCCTCAAATAGTGCAGATGATCTTAGAAGATCAGTCAATGGATTCTATGATATGTTATTAATGGCAACAAGAACTTTAAATTCATTCTGTTAACTCTTGTCTTGTAATAATACAAGCCATAATCATCATATCATTCATGGACAACAACAACAACAAAAACAACAACCATGCATCCTATTAATACCTAGGTTGGTGTTGACTTTCAATCTCTGTTGGAACCAATTAATCACAGTTGGAAATAATCAATCTATCAAGTCTTATGGTTGTTTCAAACAAAATATTTGTTTGGAAAGATCTAGATCTATATTATATTATTCTATTACAATTAAAAAGAATATATTTATATTTATATTGAATATATATTCTCTCTTTTTTTTTCCCTATCCCGCCCTTCTTTTATTATTATTATTATTAAAATATATGATTATTATATGTATGTATGTATGTAAAATAGAGGTTGTATGTATATATATATATTATATTAAAAAGTGAAAATGATTATTATAATTATTATTATTATTATTTTGATATATAAATAGCCGATCCTTTGACTCTGGAATGTTGAAAAGTTGTTAGAATATCCCATTCAAAGGTAATTGTATTGAATCTGTACACTGTCGAAATATTTTCTTTGGTTGCAGGACTATGACCACCGACAAGATAGACATAATGATCTCCATCAAAAAAGGTTGAATTGGTAAATGTCATTCTTTGGGGAATTGGAGGTTCAACCACTTCCCATTTATTATGTTCAATTGAATATCTTTCTACTCTATTTAAAGTTTCTAGAGAAAGAGAAGAGAAGAGAGAGTTAATAATAATAATAATAATCTATTTATATTTCTTTGCTTACCATTATTTTGAGAATTAAAACCACCAAATACATAAATATAACCATTGTTATTATCTATAATAGCACCACCTGAATACATTTCATGATTGAGTGGAGATAATTCAACCCAACGATTTTCATCGATATCGAATCTGTCAAATGTATTGACCGACGAGCCAGATATATTGCAACCTCCAATCGTGTAGATCGAGTTGGTCGTGGCGTCATAGACAGTTGACATTTTCCAAAGTGATTTCATCGATGATAGTTTTGTAAATTCTTCAGTCACTAGATTGAAACGCAGTACTGAATTGGAGCGTGGGAATCCACCCAATAGATAGATGAATTGTTTTTGGTCATACACTGATGAATGTAGGAATCTACCACCCTCGGGTATTTCCGATGACAGTATCTCCCAACGATCCTCTGCAATCAGGTATTTGGTGACCTTGCTTGGTGTCAGACTACCGCCAAAGTTGTATATACTATTTCTGCCATCATAGTGTGACGTGAAGTCATTGTCCATCTGATGGAGTGGTTTGAGTGTACGCCAACGTCCCTCTTTCATATCGTATCTTTCTAATGCATACTGATCAAATCCATTCAAGTGTCCACCAATCGAATAAATATATGATTGTTTGGGAAGCATTGCTGAGAGTTCTCGGTACTCTGGATGAGCACGTTTCTCAAATCCAAGTTTACCATATATATTGACTTCACGTTCCCATCGTCCCATACCATTCACACCACCACCACGTCTCGATACATTCTCCATTGACATTGATTTATGTAAACTATTACTATTACTTGCACTAAGACTAATACTACTTGCAGAATCTTGGTCATTTCCTCCCAAACATAAAGATGATCTACTTTCACCATGTTGATAAGATGCAGTACTCATCTTTATATTTGAAGATGAAGATGTAGACACACTATCATCATACAATGATCCATCATTACTACACGAGTCATCTACATCGTATCCTCCATGACTACTTCCAGCTTGACGCGGAGACAATGGTTTGGGAGTTGCAATGACACGTGTTTTAGTGGTCAATTGTTGAAACTCTGGTACCCACTTCCATTCAATAATATCGATTGACTCTTTGAGGATGGCCAATTGATCCATCTTGAGGAACGCATCGGCACCAGAATCTGTCATTAAATCCAGTGACGATGTTGATTTGCATAGTATTGTCGGAGTGGAAGCACTGAGATTTGAGCCTGCCGACGATGCTTTGGACAGTGACGAGCTTCCTCCTCCCGAAGATTGTGGTGATGTTATGGTGATGGTTGGTGACAGTGATCCCGATCCATTGACCGATGATGATGGTGTTGCGCTACTCCCATTATTGGTTGGACTGTGTGCTCTACTACCACTACTACCCCTCAACCTCTTTTCAAGTGACTCTATCAATTGTTGAGCCTTGTCTCTATTCTTTTCCAAATCTTGTTTGTGTGATTCTAGTTCGACGGCCAACTGTGTCAACAACTCTATCTTTCTGTCGTTTAGGTATTGTATCAGTGTATCAAACTCTTGTATGATTGCCTTTTTCGTGTCGATAAATGATTGATCGCATAGTTCCAATGTTCGTTCACTCAACTCTTTATAGTATTCCAAATGTTGACAATTCCTAATTAACAATCCTTCTCTACTATTTGATAATCCATTATCATTCATCATCATTTTTTTAAAATTGTAAACAAACTTTTAAAACAAAGTATAACTAGACTAAAACTAAAACTAAACTAAATAAATAAATTAGTATACATATACATGAATATTTTATAAAAATGGATAATGATGATGATGATGATGATGATGATGGTGTGGGTGAAGACGAGGAGGAGGAGGATGAGGAAGAAGAAGATAAAAAAGTGGTAACTCACTCAGCTTACACCTTGATGTTTTTTCCAGTCCGGGGACAAACAAACAAAAAAAGTTTGAAATGTTGTCCAAACCAATAAGTTGAGTTGCAAGGGGAGTATAGTATACTGTAAAAAAAAGGGGTGTAGGTAGATAGTATTATATTATTATTATTTATATATATATATATATATATATGAAGATAAAGATGATCGGGGAAGAATGTATATTACAAATCTAGTTTCCCAACAAAATTAGTTAAAATGGTTGTGGTTTGGTAAATAAATAATATTATTATTATTTGATTAATCTTTGAGGATGATGATGACCAATTAATAATAGTAATAATAATAATAATCCTGGATATTAGAATAAATAATGATTTGTTGTTTTGATTCGTTGTGTGTTTGTGGATGATGGATGACGACGATGGACAATAAATAATATCTTTAAAGGGGGAGCTAAGGAAGTGGGTGATTTTTTTTTAAGGTTGACTGGATTGGATTGTTTGTGATTGTGGATTATTATTATTATTATTATTATTGTTTAAACCTTTTCTCTTTAGCTTTTCCTTTCTTTCTTTTGTTTGTTTGTTTCGACGAATATATTAACTGACTGACACTCTCCTCTCCTCCCTTGTTCCAATTCATACACACAATTTATACCATATTTATATTTATATATATTTATATATTTGCATATATATATACCGTTTATCAAATTAATTTATATTTCAACCACTGTGTTTAGCACTTGCTTTGTGTTGTTGTTTGTTTCACCTCTACCACCCACCATATTGGTGTAACGATGGAATGGTGATGAGATATAGCTGTGGGTGTTGGTGTGAGTGAGGTAGTAGGGGTTCGTCGTCAAACAAACAAACAAAACTTTCACTCACAACTCTCTTTTTTGTGTGTGCTCATTGCCAAAGGAGGAATGGATGGAAGAGTGCAAGTCTGACTGTATGAGCTACTGTCGCTGCTGTCAATTGACATCATCACTATATATTACATTTCATATTGTGATATTTTACCTTTAAATGTTTTGATTGGAATTGTTTAGTTGTTTGGTTGATTGGTTGATTGGTTGATTGATTCAAATCACACTGCTCACAGCTCTGTGCAACGCAGTCTTTGTGTGTTGACACGTCAATCTGTTGTTGATGACGATGTTGATGTTGATGATAATATTATTGATTGCTATATCAATCGGTCAATCTCTATAGAGGTGTGTCAAACAAGGTCAGAGTCTATTTGTTAGTGAATGTGTTATAAATATATATATGCTAGTGTAAAAATAAATAAAAGAGTGATGATTGGATCACTTTTGCAAAGAGGAGAGTACTCTTTTCTGATCAGTTGTTTGCCCTATGATACTTTATAAAACGGCTAGTCACCTTAAAAACCCAAAATCCGAAAAGGTAGATTGTTTCTTGATTCGGCAGCCCATTAACTGACCTGACCTGCAAGCCTTCTATCGCATCTGACAACATAATCCCGATGTTATACATCTATCTTTATTATTATTATCTTAGAGACTTAGTTTCTTGAAGAAGGAAGGAATTGAGAGAATTTGAAATTAAAAAGAAAAGATATCTATCAAAAGAAAATGTATTTATATTGATTTCTTTTTGTATAGATCTATAAATATATTGATAGATACGATCAGTACAACTCATCATTTTTCTAAAATGTATTTAGTCATTCATCTTATTATTATTATTATTTATATTCATTATTATTATATCTTTTAATTTTTCTTTCTCAACTTCTTGTTTTTGGTGGTGGTTGATAGAGAGTTTCAAGATCGTCATTCATTTTTTTTTAAAGATACATATATGTACAGCAATACAAATATGTATCTCTATCGACGAAACTACAACAACAACAACAACAACACATGATATAACATGAGTAATAGAAATTACAATACATCTAAATCTATTACTTCTAAAGATAGTGGAAGTAGGAGCAACGATGCAACAGAGACATCCGCGTTAAATATAAATACTACCACTACGACTTTAAAAGATAAGAAACGATCGTTGAATATGTCAGCAACGACAACTACTACCTCTGGTCAAGATGATAATAATAATAATAACAATGAATCCCAACAACCACAATTATACAAAGGGATAAATAAGAACTATAAACTCAAATCGATTCCAACAACAACATCATCAACAACCTCTACTACGACAGAAATGAATCTTAGTAAACCTTTAAAAAAAGTTAAAAAGAATACAATCTTGATTGAATCACCAACCAAGACTAATACTTCAACAGCTTCATCATCATCTAAACTAAACAAGAATTATAATCCTAATAGTAATAACTTGACTAAATTATTCGAACAACAAACTTCATCTTTTTCATCTTTATCTTCAAGTAAAACAACAACAACAACAACTATAGAACCTGAACCAATTTCAAAGATAGTATTATATTTACCACATATAATACAAAAATATATAATAGAATTTTTGGTACAACAATGTTATATATCATTTAGACAAGTATCAAAGTATTGGCATAGAGTTTCAGATTCGTTGATTGAGAATCTTGTTATCTACTTTACTGGTATTACAAGTACATCGTCGGTGGTGGCAACACTCGAATCCTTTTCACACACTATTACGACCAATCTAACGTCACTTAGGTCACTGTCATTTGTCAATGCATCGAAATACCTCGAATTCCCAAGATACTATTACAACACGTTGGTACATCCATTCATCGTTCGAGTCATCAAACACAACACTATATTTGCCAATCTTACCATCAAAGGTTTCCCATTGCTCTGTCAAGAGGTTGGAGGAAACATTTATGGAGGATCCAACACACCGTACTATGACTCTTTTTCAAGTCCGAGTCAACCAAGCAATGCAGAAAAGATTGAAAAGTACAAGCAACGCTCCAAGGTCTTTTTCGATTGCCTCTTTTCGCCGTCGAGTGTAGTCACTTCGATCAAGTTTAAAAACGTATCATTTGATACACACTCACTCTACCTCTTTTTCAATTCACTTCAACCACATCGTAATCTAGAGTCACTCTCTATCGTCGATAATATCGGTGTTGAAGGTCCACAACTACTCTCACAAATCATTCAAAAGGGTGGTCTATTGAATCTCAGAAATCTAACCATCTCAAACAACACTCAATCCGAAGAATTGACTCTAAATATTAGAGATTTAATCTTACATATGGTAAAATCAAATAATCAACAACCGATTCAATCCATTACAACCAATGGTACAACAGTACCCTCCTCCTCACCACCCGTCAATATTATCAATATATTATCAATATTTAAATTAGAGTATTTGGATTTATCATCAAATGCATTGGATGATAATGCATTGATGAGAATGATTGGTGCGATTGCTAAACTAGAGACATTGCAAACATTGGTACTATCAAATAACAGGTTGTCACTTGATGAGAATATTACATGGTCGCCTATCAACTTTGGACCGTATATCGTGACGTTGAACCTATCGAAAAATAGAATATCAGGTACTACTAGAATGACAGAGTATCTGGCCACTACACATCATCTAAAAAACTTGGATTTGAGTAGTAATATATTGGGACATGGTGGATCAAAAAGATTGTGTCGATCGATTCTTGCCAATATATCAATTACAGAGTTGGATGTATCGTGTAATCGAATAGAGTCTATTGGTGCCGCCAGTATTATCGATGCAGTCTGTGCCAACAATATTCAACGACTCATACTACATTCCAACAATATCGATAATACTTGTTGTAAATTTATTGGTCATCTTTTCACTCAAAAACCAGTTCCCATCACTTTTCTCAATCTTTCAAACAACAAAATTGGTTTAGTTGCATTTAAAGATATTATTAAATATATTTCAAAATATAACAAAATTCATTTAAAATTGGATTCCCAAATATATTTTAATAATTATCAAGAAATTGAAAAACTAAAAGAAGAGGAGGTAGAGGAGGAAGTGGAAAAGGAAAATAAGACAAGTCAAATAGCAATGATGGAACAACAAGAAGAAGAAATAATGTTGGAAGAATATGTTCAAGATTTGGAATATTCTTTAATTAATCAAACAACATCAATAGAATTAACAGAATCAATAGAACACGAACCAACAATATTAGAACAACAAGTAGAAGAACCAAAGAAAAAGAAAAAAAAAGAAAAGAAAAAAAAGAAAAAAGAAAAAGAAGAAGAAAATAATAATTACAATGAAGAGGATGATACGCAAAATAATATTAATAATGAAGATAATAATGAATCCTTGGAGTCACCAGAAACAATAACAACGACAACAACCACAACTACTTCCACAACAATAGAAAAAAAGAAAAGGAAAAAATTAGATAAAAGTGATGAATCTATTAAAACAAAGAAAAAGAAATCAACAACAGTCCCAAAAAAGAAAAAGAAATTATTGATTGAACAATTTCATCAAAAGGAACAATTAACGCCCATATGTCATATAGATCTATCACATAACAAAATTCAATTAAATGGAGCAGAAAAACATGTTCAACCATATCAAGGTCCAACAATTAATGAAACCTATAAATTAATAGATATAAATGTTTAAAACTCCAAATCATTACACATATGTATTTATAATATTATTTTCTTTTTATTTATTTAATTATTTAAATCTTATTTCTTTCTTTTCCTTTTTAAATTTGATTAATAAAATTATTTAAGGAATCTTTATGATTTTCTTTTTCAATTTCCGAGTTTATCTTTTCTTTAAACAATTGTTGTTGTTTGGCATCCCAAGATTTGTAGATTTCTTGAGCTTCTTGTTGTTGAGATTCTTCTTGTGGATTGTTGGCAATGATTTTGGCCATGAGAATGGTGGAGTGGTAGATACCGTCGGTTCTCTTGACAGAGGGGAGGTATGGAGCGAGAACGTCGAGTGCTTGTTTGGTGGTGTCAGAGGCAAAGGAGCCACGGAGGATGGTCTTGACGGCAGCGCTACTGAGGTGGACGCGTGGGTCAGCCAATGCCAAGAGCGAGTAGATACGCTCGGTGTTGTTGGAACGTTTCAAACCATAGGCAATATTCTCGATAAAGATGTTGGAGAAGCCGCTGTAACGGACGAGACGGTCCTGGTACATTTCGATGGCTTTTTGGGTAGCCTCTTCCGAATCGAGACGGAGGAGGTGGTAGATGGACTTGGAGACGGTTTGACCCGAGGCAAAGATTTGAAAGGTGTGAGTGTGTATCAATACGTCGGCCCACAACATCACTGCATTGTTGCGTTCAAATGCATAAAAGAGCAATGAAATCTGCTCGTCTGTAAAGTAGTCGGGACGATCGTTACGAATAGACTTGTAAAAGAGAAGTGCTTGTTCGAGCTCGTCTGTGTTTTCGGCCTTGCGGAACAATGTAGTCATCTGTGAGTTGGCAACCACTGCATACTTGTTGTACTTGTCACGAAGGTTATTCAAAGCGTCTTCAAACGACAAGTCTTGAATCGAAAGACGTGAAGCTTCAATAAACTTTTGTTCTGCTGCTATCTTTTCTGCACGCTTCTCTTCATCTCTACGTTTCTTAATTGCTTCAAATTTCTTATCATTAAATGTTGCATAGTTTCTTGTTGATGTAGAAGTAGTAGAAGTAGTAGTCTTATTTAAAGTTGTTGTTTGAAGACCAACCAATGATCCCATTATATTTGTACATTTGTTGTTGTTGACTAAAACATTTGATAATGATCCTAAAACATGTAAAGATAAATAACACTAGAGTGTTAGTTGTTACTTTCTTTTACCTATCTATCACTGTTTGTTTGTTTATTCACTTACTTGTCTTGTTTGCAAGACAATATAAACCTCTTTGCATCATCTCCAGTAGTATATATCTATATTGATTCAATCACAGCTACTTTGACCCCTGAAGCAATGATCACATCTGACCATTCTCTCGTTTTTAATAAATATTTTTTTTTTCATTCATTTTCGTCACAATCATCACATTCAAAAGTACTGGTACTTGCAGTAGTAGTAGTCTATTTTTAAATTAAAGAGATAGAGAAATAGAGATATACATATATTTGTAATCTATGGCAAACTCAAAATATGAATATGTAAAGGCATTTGAAATGCCTGATACTTTGATACCAAATACTTGGATAGTGGTTCGAGTGGATGGTAGATCATTCCACAAATTCACAACAAAGCATGAATACGCCAAACCAAACGACGATAGAGGTTTGAATCTAATGAATCGATGTGCACTTGAAACATCAAAAGAATTTACAGATATTGTTCTTGCTTTTGGTGAAAGTGATGAATATAGGTAGGTTAATAATAATAATAATAATAATACTGTTTACACAACTTTTGACTTATCTATTTCTCCTGTTTTAGCTTTGTAATTAGAAAATCATGTAATATATTTGAAAGAAGATCAAGTAAAATATCTTCATCTATAGTATCATACTTTACAAGTCAATTTGTGTATCGTTGGAAAGAGTATTTTGGAGAGTATGCGTTACAGTATCCACCGACGTTTGATTCACGTGCAGTGTGTTATCCAAGCGACCAAAACATGCGAGACTATTTGAGTTGGAGACAGGCAGACACTCACATTAACAACATGTACAATACGTGTTACTGGGCATTGGTGTTACAGGGTGGATGCACACCCAAAGAGGCTGAGCAGACATTATGCGGAACACTGTCCGATGCCAAGAACGAAATTCTATTCACACGATTCAATATCAACTATAACAACCTACCACAAATGTATCGCAAGGGGTCTGTAATCTACCGAAAAATGGTCACCGAACAAGGCATCGATTCAAGGACCAACGAACCAACCACCAAATCTAAAAAACGTCTTGTCATTGATCACATTGATATCATTGCTGACAAGTTTTGGAATGATAATCCTGATCTTTTAAAATAATAAATAACAAATAAATAAATAACCAATCAATCAAATTGATTGAATTAATGTAAATAATAATAATAATAGATAGAACAAAAAAAAAAACAAAAAAAAGTTCTCGTTTGTTTTTTTGTTCCCATGATCAAAGCATGGTCCATGGGTGTTATAGCGAAATTGATCATATGATAATAGTTTTATGGTCTCTTGGGCTTATCGGGGTGCAGATCAAGTCTTCTTCACTGTAGACAGTGCCACTTGAAATGCAAGTTCTTTGTAGAGCAAGTAGACGGTAGGATGAAAGAATAACACCAAGACCTCAGAGTAACAGGTAACTCATAGTACCTCGATGCGTTCTCCAACCGCTCGGTGTCTCCAGTAAACCAACAGTAAAATTTACAACCCTTTAATGAATGAACATAAACAATGATGATTTGATTTTGATTAAAACTAATAGTATAGTCATAATAATAATAATATATTTGAACATAAATTAGAATGGTCACACTTGAACATCTATTGGAATGGCCACCAGAATTCATAACCCGCTACAAATTAAAGATAAGATATTTATTTCAAATGGAATATTGATATGGTTTGTCTTTTATGATATGTAAAAATAAATAGATTGGATTTATAAATATTATTATTATTATTTTGATTAATTTAATTTGATTTATTTTAAAGATAACTTTTTAACTTCTTCATAGACAATGATAGATATCATTGAATAGGGAGCAGAAGTGATAAGAGAAGGAACAATACCTTTCCAAAGTGCTTTGACACCTTCTCTTTTGATGGTATCTGTAAATACTTGAAGGAAATGTGAATGTCGAATGATTGACCATCTCGACGACGACGACGACGACGTTGCATTGTTGCTAACGTTGGCTGTTGTTGTTGTTGTTTGATTATTTATAATAGATTGATATGACCCAGTTTGTAACCGAGTTTTAATAACATCGAATGGATTACATAGGACGGTGGATATGACGGCAGAGGTGAAACCTGCAAACATGTGGACTACAGGGTCCTCATTTTCGACCTCGTGGTCATTCTCTGACACTGCCAGATACTGTGTGGTGCTGCGTTGTGGTAGGCCGAGTTTGGCACGAATGTCAATCTTGTGTAAAATGTCTTTAGAGTGTTCGTAGGTACCCCACCAAATGGCACTGTAGGGCACGTTACGGATGATCGTTGCACCAAATCCTCTGTACAGTCCTCTAACGCCACGTTCATTGTACGACTGTTTAAATATTTCATAGGCATTGACATATTTGTTGGTTTTACCTTGAATCTGACACTTTTGTGTTGTCACATCGAATGGTACCCAAATGGCCAACGATGATAATTCTGCCAATGCTCCTGATATATAAGCTACAATTAAAATAAAACATTGATTAATAATGGTCAGAAGAGGTAAGTGATGCAATGAATGAATACACTGTTTCATGATTTCTTACAAGAAGTATGACCAAAGTTATTATTCTTTAAATATTGTTTTGATTGTTCATAACAACCAAAATAGACCATTTTTGATGATAGATACCCAACTTCGCAATTGATAAAACCTCTATAGAAACCTTTGTAGCCTTCCAGACGAGATATGCTCTTTAGACCATCCCACGTACCGTTGTAATGTGGAAAGTTTTGTGCTACAATCGACGATCCCTGTACTTGCAGACGAGTACGGACAACGTCGAGTGGATACATCATGCCATCAATAGCCAAACAAAATATCATATTATATCCATAGTATTTCTTGGGATCCATATCATCCCATGATATAGTACTCGTTGAAGTTGGTCTATGACGATTATGTTCTGATGGACTACTTGTAGTTTGTGCATTTGTAAAAAGATTATTATTATTATTATTATTATATACAGGTTGTTTTGAGGTTGATGTTGTTGATGATGTTGATGAAGACGATTGATTTAATTCATTTTCTACATGAACTGAAGACATAGTTTAAAACTAACTCTCTGTCTCTCTATTTGATTTTAACCTAAACAATCCACTTCTTCCCTTTTTTTCTTTTGAGATCTTCTTCTCTCTCTCCTCTCCTTCTCAATATATATATAATATATAAACAAATATAAAGGTGAAAGATATATCAAAAAAAAATAAAAGTAAAAGAGGTAGAATGACACTTTTGTCTACAAAATAAAATCACTCTCGTCTTTTGTGCCGATTTTTCACTAAAACTGGGGATGTGCGTGTCAGAATTATGTGTTAAGATATCTTTTTAATTTTAATATTCCTCTAATCTCTATTTTCTATTTTATAAATCTTGATCTTTCGATCTATAACTAATTATTATTTACTATTTCTCTTTATTATTATTATTATTATTTACTAACTATACTATTATTTACTATTATTATTACTATTGTTATTTTGTTGTTGTTGTTGTTGATCAGGATTATAAGGACAACCAGACATTTTAGATAATTCTTCTGGTTTCATAACACCTTTATGACGATCGATTTCTTTTTCTTGATTGGCATCGGCAAATCGAATCCAAGTTGGGTATCCCGCAATATTGTGATGTTGACATTCGTTATTCTTGAAACACTCGACAAATCTAATATGTTTCCATGGTGAGTTTGCCTCGTCTTGTCCGGTATAGACAAACAGCTCTTTTTGTTTCTTGCATGCGTGGCAACCATCCGATCCGTAAAACACCATGTGTCGTTCACCAAGACATCGTGCAAATGTATTCATGATGGGTTCGCTTGGCTTTTCCGGGGTGGCTGCCCAAAACAATCCAACAATCACCAAGTGTACCAACACTATACTGATCAGCATTGGTCTGAGCAGCGAGGCAGTTTGTGATAAAATGGGGGGATTTCTTAAATCATTGTACAATTGGAATGAAATGTACATCATTATTACATTGATAACATGTACAACTGTACAAAATGGACATAATGCTCCAATTATAAATTCTGCTGCAACCTAAATAAATAGTAGTAGTAGTAGATAGACATATTGATTGAATTAATGAATGAATGAATGAATGAATGAATGAATATATATTTTTGTTTGTTTGTTTGTTTGTTTGTTTGTTTGTTTGTTTGTTTGTTTTGTTTTGACATACAAAATAGATTACAAAGCCAATACCTATTGAACACCAAATATAGATAAATGAAATATAGTGAGGAACCTTGTCATCGATGGTGACTCTCCAGACGGTAAACAATAGGACGGCATTCCAAGTGAGACCAAATATAGCGACGGGGACACCCAAGATCTCTGCAAAGCTACTCTTTAATACGGTGCTACAAGACACCTTGGCTGAAATGTCACAAGTGCCACTCTCAATGTTACCAAAAGCAAGATAAAAAGAAAATGCCAAAGATACCAACCCAAGTACACCCATCATATGAATGCTATTGTTGAATAGACCACCTCCCTTTCTATGACTATAAAAGTGTATATTTGGTATACTACTACTAATGCTACCATTACTATTATTCAAATGATGATGTCCATTTATATTGTTTATACCAGTACTATTACTATTTATATTATTATTGTTCAAAGGTAGATAACTATATCCTCCATCTCTATCTCTTCTTGATGTATCATCTACATCATCTGTTGTATACATTTCACTCTTCATTCTCATCTGCCTATATTCTATTCTATTTTTAGTATAGTATTATTATTATATTATATTAATATTGATGATATTGTAGTGATACTCTTTCTAGCTATTCACTATCTATCTTTCTCTTCTTTGGCAGTATTAATATTATTATTATTATTATTATTATTCTTATTCTTATTATTATTATTATTGTTGTTTCATAATTAAATGAAATGAGATTAGCAATGCATACAAATTTAAAGTTTACCCAAAAAAGGTGTGCTTGTGGTGAAGTTTGTTAATATTTTGTTTTATTTTTCTTTCCTCAGTTTGTTTATTGTGATATTAATATACCAACAAAGAGATAAATAGATCAAGAAGAAGAGGAAGATACCGGTGATGAAACTAACTCAATATAACCAAAGAAAAGGACCCTTTGACATGTGATATGAAAGATTTGTCCTGCCCCACATCCATGTTATTTGTTTCCTCACATTTGTGATAAATTAAAAAGTAAAGTAGGTAGGTATATATTAATATAAACTTTATTTATATCATGTCCAAATGGAGAAATATAGGGAATTTGGGGAATTCCATGTTTGAGTAGTGTCTTTGTACCGCGGTCCGTTAAAAATCTTATTTGACAAATACCTTAATAATCTTTTCTTTTCACCAATACCCACCACACCTTTACATTCAACAAAAGAATGACTCATAGAGGATGACCATCACATCAATGATTCTTTATTCTCAAAATGACAACAACAACAACAACAACAACATTTATCTCTATTTTTAGAGTACCGTATATTAGACATATCATATTCAATCAATCACTAAAAGGATGTACTGACCAAGGTGAAAATACGAACTATAATGAAGTTTTAAAAGGAAGAGATATTATAAAATTAGCACGTCTTGCAATGATCACAAGATATGCAATGCCATGGAATTTTATCAAACACTATCTACCACCTCGAGACAATGTACTACCTAAAAGAAGATGGCATACAATAGCAAGATACTGTTTTCACAAGAATGCTACATTGTCAACATTTGAACATCTATTGGAATGGTCACCAGACTTTAATCCACAAGATCAAGTTTGTTCATATCTCGCTAGAAATGTTGGACATTCTGGTCATCGTGATATATTGGAGTTGTTAATCAAGAGATACCCAAACATTGAAGGATTGAACAGAGCCAAACAAGCAGCTGCCGAACAAGGACACATTGATGTGATGGAGCTATTGAGTCTATACAAAATAGAAAACTACTCTTCCGATGCAATGGAACAAGCAAGTAGAAACGGTAGATTAGATGTAGTCATGTATCTTCATAAAAATGGTGCTACTAGCTCTGATAAAGCTATTCGTTGTGCAGCTCTTGGTGGTCATTTTGAAATAGTAAAGGTAAGACGGCAAAACTAATCAAACCATCTAATTAATCAAACCATATCTAATTAATTATTAATTCTCCTTTCTTTAGTTTCTTCATTACAATAGAACAGAAGGTTGTGATCAGTATACTTTTGGTGCAGCTGTTTATGCTGGAAATTTGGAAATAGTAAAGGTATATTTTAAATATCATGATCGCAAACTTTAATTGTAAACAATCATTAATATATGATATATCTATATTTCTTTAGTTTCTTCACTTTAATAGAAGTGATCCAACATCTTTTGGTAAATTTACAAGCGCTGCTACTCAAGGTCATTTGGATGTTCTAAAGGTATTTATATATATATATTATATCTATTTATGTGTAGTTTAATATACACTTAGACTTATATTTATATGTATTTAGTTTTTACATGAGAATAGAACTGAAGGATGTAATACAGATGCGATGGATAGAGCCTCGGAGAAAGGATTCATTGATATAGTAAAATGGTTACATTTTAATCGTACAGAGGGATGCACAACTATTGCTATGGATTCCTCAGCTTCATTGGAAATCACACAATTCCTACATACACATCGCACTGAAGGGTGCACATCTTTGGCTATGGATAATGCCGCTCGACACAATAGATTGGATGTTTTGAAATTCCTACATGAAAAAAGAAGTGAAGGATGCACATCAAAGGCAATCGATGATTTAATGATATTCCTACTTCCTGAAAAGAGGAAAAAGGAAGCACATTCTGTTAGTATGGAGATTTTAACATTTCTACATGAAAAGCTTGGAGCTGTCCCAACCAAACTAGCTGTCAATCGTGCGGCTACTCAAGGTCTATTGGAATTTATTCAATTCTTTCATAAACACTATTCATCTTTAAATATATGGACTAAAGCTATGGATTATGCTGCTACCAAAGGCCATTTAAATATAGTTAAAGTAAATATTAAATTAAATATTATTTAAATATTAAAAAAAAAAGAAAGTCAAAAAAAAGAAAATAATTTATTAACTCTAATATTTAATATTAATTTTAAATACTAGTTTCTTCATTATAATCGTACTGAGGGAGGCACAATAACAGCAATGGATTTTGCGTCAAAAAATGGGAGCTTAAATGTTGTTGTATTCCTTCATGAAAATCGTACTGAAGGTGCATCAATTGATGCAATGAATAGAGCTGCTTCTGGTGGCCATTTAGATGTTGTTAAAGTATAGTATATAATTATAATTTATTATCACATATTTATTTTATATTTCTAATTCAAAATATTTATTTATTTATTTATTTATTTATTTAGTTTTTACATTATAATCGTACAGAGGGGTGCTCAACTAAAGCTATGAATGGGGCATGCCGAGGTGGACATTTAGAAACTGCCAAATTCCTATATTTGAATCGTAGTGAGGGATGTAGTAAAGAGGTACTTGCTCCAACACATGATTGTGAAATTATCGATTTCCTTTGGTCAAATAATCTCATATCTAAAACTCAACTTGAACAATTGGATCACTCTTTGAATGACTCTATTTATTTCGAAACTCAACATCATATTCGACAATTGCTACGTCAAGGTAAATCAAAATTTATTCTTGGTCCTGATGAAATATAATTTTGAATCAAAATCAAAGACATATATATATATATCATTAAATGATTTCATTATTTATTTATCATATTGATGATACCAAAAAGACATTTCATCTAAAAAAAAAAGATTGGTTATAGTCCAAGTATGTATACACAATCAGTGACTCTTTTATTTAAATATTAATATTATTTTATTGACATCTATTCCCTTTTAGTTTTTATACAACAATCGACAAGAAGAAGTAGACATTGCAAGTGCACTGGAATCATCTTGTTTCAACTCAAGAATTGAGATTGTTTCGTTCTTGGTGGATATTCTCATCAAACAAAAAGAGGAAAAAGGATTATTGACAGTGCAACAAGAACAAAACATTGAAAATGCAATCGTTTCAGCATCTGCTTTCGGTCGACTTGCATTGGTCCAACACATTATATCATCACTCAACATTACAACTCTTCAAAAGAGGACAATACTCAAGATCAAGAGTTACTGTGTCAAACAATATGAAATGATTCATTATTTTGAAACTCAATCTCCATTTATTGATCAATTCAAATCAACCATTTTGTTGGATGACCGATTGGCAATACCTAGAAAATATTGGAAACGAGGTTATTGAATAATAAAGATCCATAATATTTCAACTGTATATGTTTAATTAAATAATATATCATCTGATGCTTCTGCTTCACTCCAATCAGTAACATAACAATTTTAATCATTTCTATAAAAATATATTATAAATATTTATTATCCTAGTTTCCAATATTTTCTCGGCAATCCTAATGAACGTCTCGAATAGGTTGATTTGAATTTAGAGCCAAACTTTTAGAGGGAGATGATTCAAATTGGTAAATTTAAATAACAAAATCAAGATTACTAGGTTCGAATCTTGTTCGATATCCTTATCAAATTTGTTTATTTATTTTTATTTCATTTATATATTTCATTTTTATGGTGGTGCACTGCAATAAATCGTCATTGATTGTTCTTGTTCAACTAATCTATAGAATTTTGGTGTGACTACACACGGATTGCTTGTCCATCTTCAGATTAACACGTGTACTGTTGTGACCGCCCAGACAATCTTTCGTTGACTTTTTACAACCCGCCCCTTTTTTGGCCTGAGGGAACAGGACTATGAAAGACTTCACCGTTTATGCGTTTATTTTTCTCGTGTGTCTCGAGAGATATTATCGATTGGGTGGGCAAAAAATATTTGCATATCAAATATCTAATACTATGCAAATTAGAATAGTAAACTATTTAAGGAGAATTCATTCACTCTTTTAAATCATCAACATTTTTATTTCAAACGATTAATAGATATATTAGAATAGAATGGCAATTGACAAATTGACAGTAAGAAATGCTTGTCCTTTCCCGGTAACCTTCTTTGCTATAGCAGGACCAACCTTTGAATTAAAACCTAATTCAACTCAGTCCCAATCGGCTTGTGCTATTTGGTTCACCACCAGAGTAAGAATATTAAAGATATCACCTGTACAAACTTTTGATCTGTCACTAATTAGCTATTTTTTCATCATTCTTTTTAAATATACAAAAGGTAAAAGGACCTGGCGCCGTAATGAACAAAACCCAATTTGGATCTCATCGTGATGATTATCAAAGCGCTTTGGAAGCCCAAGGCTATCAGATGAGTTTGTATTTCATGAATTATTATTATAATCACTTCAATCATATTAATTCTTTATTTCAATTTATCTATAGACGATTGGGAGGAAGGTGGCTCTGGAGTTGCCGCAGGATCATACTTGGGACTTGCTGTTGGAGAGATCGAATGGGTATTCAAGGTAACTATATATTCTCAATGATGATTTATTATAGATTCACCTAATCTAATTCCTTTACCATTACCATATATTTAGATTCCAAATACCAATAATTATGTCGATGCTGGTATTTACTCACATTTATATATTTGATTTTATAATACCAATTTAATAACATTTTTTTTTCAAACATCCATAGGTGTAGAATGTTATTTTGGAGGCAAGAAAGAAGGTGTTTATGGTCATTCCAATCTAGTCATCTTGGCAGACTTGGATCCAGCCCATGTTTTGGACGTAAATCATCCCCTATGGTGGCATCTAAGAATTGAGACTGATAATGGACAACAATTTACCCCTATCACCAATCAATATGTCTACACTACTCCAAATCTTGATAAATATTCTGGTACATATATCCATCGATATTATTTTTATATTTAAGGAATAATAATCCTTTTTTTTTTTTTATTTAACCTTTTTTTTTTCTTACTATTAGATACATACTTTTTAAGAGTTAGAAATATGGAAGGAGGGGCAACAAGAGGTACTTTCCTTACCGCCCAAAGTCCAGCCAAGGAGAATAATCCAGTCTATTGTACCGAAGGAAGTTCAATTCCCTATGATCCACTGAACCTTGGACAGTATTGGACAATAGCACCAAATCAAGCAGGCGGTTATGGTATCACTTTGATCAACTCGTTCAATGACAAGGACAGTGGTAGAGTTCAATCAAGAACTTTACAATGGTCCAGTGATTACTCTATCAAAACCTCGACTGATCAACCCGATGATGCACACAAAATCAACGCCACTGTCGTTCAGCAAAATCCCTTGACCGTCAAGGTTTGGGCGAGTGGATCCAGTGGTGTTCTAACCGCTGGTAATCCAGGAACCCCTGTCTGGTTCACAGTAGAATCTCCCACCAACATGCTACAACAATGGTTGGTTGAAACCTACACTGTCGATATCTCTAAAATTCCAACCGATAGATCATTTATGATCAAGCATTGTAAAAGTATGTAATAATAACAATAATAATAATAACAAATTAAGAAAACCATTTTTACTAATAGTTTATTTTTATTAAAAAACACCAATTTTTTTTATTTGCAGCTGGACTTTACTTGAACCAGACACAGAATAATGATGCACCATGTATCAATGATTATGATTATAATCACGGCTTTTTACAATTTAATATTGAACCAGCACCCCAAAGCGGCACCTTCTATTTGAGGGGCTTAGGAAATACTTACTGTGGATATGCACCAAAATCCTTGGTTTGTCAACATACCCAAGATGGATCTGCAAATTTCCTTTGGCAATTTAAAACTGGTAAGATTCAAACAGCTACACATCAATCACATACTATACTAGTCCCTAGCTCATTTAATTAACTTAACTTATTCCATTGAAACAATTCTATAGTATCCCATCACGCTGGTTTCCAAATCATTAATCTTGGCGCCGCCAAGGCGTATCCTTCTACACCAGGCCAAGATCCCCTCCAATACCTCTTTTATAAGGAGGGTGCGATTGGATACTGGAACGGACTATATGATGATCAGGTAAATTAATTGGAATAAGATTTATTACAAACCCCTATATATATAATATTAACTATCTTTTTCATTTATAAAGTTGTGGGTTGCTCAATTTTAAAAGATTTCTAGTACATTGCTCGATTTTTAGTATATATTTCTGGGCCTAATTAAATGAAAGATCTGACATCTTTTCTTTCAAAAATATACTAAACGTAAATAAAGGTTTCATATTATTCTCTTTGTTCGTTCACTTTATAATACTATAGGTTGCTTATTCTTCCTACTTCTTGACAAATATTGGAAAACTAGAAAATAATTGAATAATAATAATACAAGCGAGTATTAAATCAAACATTTAATATAAATGCACAATTATTGATGTGTTGAAAAAACTATCTTTTATATACAAAATGGTTTAGAAGAATGAGGCAAGTTGATTGAGCATTATATTCATGCAAAACTCCAATGGTTGGCCAAATACATTCTTTTTTGGGAGGGTAGGTGTTGGTGGTGCTATCTTTTTGACTTTTTGTTGGATTTTAAAATAGTTGTTGTTGTTGTTGTAGTTGTAGTTGTTGTAAAGTTGAAAGTATTATTGGCAGTAGTTTGGAGGAGTGATTGAGGAAGGGAGAAAAATTATAGTATTCCTGTTGAGAGAGGAGGGAGGAGAATTAACTAAATGTCTATTGGGAACTTTGTCTTTGTGTCGTTATCGTTATCGCTATCGTCATCGAGATTTGCATCAGAATCATCGTCTGAATAGGAACTTAGATCACTTTCCGACTCGCTGTCTTCTTGTTGACTATTCTCTGAAGCATATTTATTTACAAATTCTAGAAAAATAACCAATATTGTTAATAAAAGTAAAGTATAAAATAATGTATCATCAATAATAATAATAATAATAATAATAGTTCATACCTTTAACTTTTTGTTTATATTTTTCTGGTTCTTTTAATAATAAAGAAGCAGCTTCACCATTTAAAGGATCGGATGGATTTGGATATAATAATAGTTGGGGAAGGAATACTTCAAAAATATTGATGAGGTCAAACATTGGACTCCAGGTTTGATTGATAACGTCCAAGCACACAGACCCCGATGCCAAGTCTACATTTGGATGATATATCTTGTTGATGAACCCTATCGATGGAGATTTATAGGGATAGTTGGGTGGTAATTCCACTCTAACTTTCCACGAACCACCATGATACGGTGAATCAGATGGTCCAGTAAACTTTACATAAAACTCTGCCATTGATTCTGCTGCCATTGTTACTTCATAATTACTCATCATTCTAATTGGAAAAAAAAAACAAATATATTTTTTTTGTTTGTAAAGTAGAATGAAAGAATCACCACCATAGAACAAAATTGAAACGATCAAGAAACAAAAGAATGAATGAAACAGAATTGGTTAGTTATTATACTATTGATTATTTATATATCTAAAACTTTGTGTTTACATACAGCTTTGTGAGATCAAGGTCTCTTCTTCTATTTGGTGAAGACATTTTGTTTTGAATAGAATAATGATTTTTGAAATGATGCTGCTACTATTGTTTGTTATTATTGTTGTTGTTGATGTTGTTGGTAGAGGAGGAGGAGGAGGGAGGATTGATTATTACTAGAGTATTAAATAAATAAATTAAATGTACAAGAGAGGTATAGGGAGGTTGAAATATGCGCTACGGTTTATCTAGTGATGTAAAATATTGATTGTATATATGTTTGTTGTTGTTGTTGGTCCAAGATGATTCGATGTTTGTATATTTATATATATATATATAACTACTGTGATGTTGTTGTTGCTGTTGTTGAGTATTCAATTGGTTGAGAGAATGGTAATTGATCTCTACTATAAATTATATTATCTTTTCTTTGTATTAGAGTAATGATGATGATGATTAAAGTTAATGTACAATGTTAATGTTTTGTGTGTATATATATGAATACCAAGTAGTTGTTGATGCGTATAAAGACAAAAAGCGGTGGTGTATTAGGTAGGGTTATTGATTAGTTTAGTTTGAATGCAGTTGAAGCAATTTCGGTGATGGTCATGAATGAGTAAAAAAAAAAAACAAAAAAACAAAAAAGAATTAATATATATTATTTTAATATATGACTGTTGTCAGTCCCAGGGTTAGGGATATTTACCAAATTGTAAAACATAATTAATATATTATTTCACAATTTTATTTTTTGTAGTGTTGTTTCTTTAAATTTAAGGATCTATTGTCATGTGACAAAAAATATTATTATTCAAAAGATAAATAATATTATTTTTGGATTAATATATGTGAGATCAAGTTTAAAGGGAGGGGGTGTATGATTTATTTATTTAATTTATTGGATTCTATGGTAGTGGGAATGATGATGGGATCTGACTCTGCCAATTATCAACATGAAAAGAGCACCGATAAAGACACCACCAATGAAACAACCAATGATAATTCCAATCCACATCTTTTCAGTCAATGACTTGGATGATGAGTTATCTTCAGTACCAACAGATTGAGGAGCGTCGGCATAGGTTTCGTTGGAAATGAAACGACGAATCATATCAAATGTAAATTCTGGTTGATCCATTGGTACCTAAATAAAGATAAATAAATAATAATAAAGATAATAAGTAAGTATACTAATACTAGTATGGAATATTTATATATATATATATATAAATATATAATTTTTAACATACCATATGTGAACCACCAAGTACCAACAAATAAGTCAAGTTTTGTGAGGAACGGGTATAACCTGCAGTTTGGGTGAAACCGTCCTTTGGAGCAGTCCAAACACTAGAGTTGGCAGCCTTCCATTCAGCAGCACCTGACCATTCAAGAACATCCAAATATTCAGTTGTTCCAACATGATTACAAATTAAATCAAATTGTCCATTGTATCTAAAATTTTAAAAAAATAAAAAATTATTAGGATAGTTTGTAATTAAGATTATTATTATTATTATTATTATTTAACTACATACAACAAGACACGAATACGTGCGAGTAAATCTGGGAAAAGGTATAAACTAGAAGCATCTTGACCGAAAACAACAGAGTTGACAGTGTCGTTACACTCGGCCCATGGGTGTGGGACTAAACTGGCGTGGATGGCTTCACGAACGATTGGATTGTTCAAATAGTCGGCTTCATAGTCGACACCTGGGAGTGGCCATGCAGATCCACCAGTTGGATCGTACAATCTAATATCATAGACATTGACAAAGGTGGTACCTGGGGCACCAGAGTCATTGGACAATTGACCCATGACATTGTCACATTCTGGCGAGTCCAATACGTTGTTGTTGATTTGGTCTTGACACGAAGAGATTAAAGAGTTGTAATAGTTGACTTGCTTGTTGTTGATGATACCGGCGGCATAGGCAACAGTCGAGTATGATTCGTATTGAACAACTGGATGAGTCCAACCATTTCCAATTGCAACACCCTTCAAATTAATGATGGTGCCATTCAATGAGTTGTTTTGGATTTGATCATTCATTGTAAGAATGAAATTTGAATAATGTGGAATATAATGTCCAGCATATGATTCTAGAAAAAAACAAAATAGAAATTCAAAATGAATATAAACTCTTATTCATAAAGATATCTATCTTTCAATTTATACATACCACCAGAAATGTAAAGATCATTGCCAGTAAAGTTATCAAAAACATTGTACCATGATTGAAGGAAAGTGTAGAAATCAGTTTCCAATTCTTCATCGGATGCTGCTAAACCACTGTCATCATCAACATATGATAAACCAGTTCCAACAGGTTCATCTAAAATAATAAATTAATAAATATGTTAATATTATGTATTAAATCAAATATCAAGGACAATAAAACAAACATTCGTACCAATGTATAGGATATTGGCAACATTATGCCATGAACTTGGGTTAATGGAAACGGTGAAGTTGGCAGATTCAGTATCATTTGGTGAAAGACGGAATGGACCATTCTCAAGGAATAAACCATCCATACTTGAACAACCAGGTCCCTACAATATTAAAAGTAAAGATTAATCATTATGATACTATATATTATATTATATTATTATATATTGAACTTACACCATTAATCCAAATAGCAACTGGAGCAGTTTCAGGGTTTGAAACATTAGCTTGAATGAACCAAAAGAAGATATTTCCATTTGAAGTTTCATTGATGTTGATGAGACCGGCATAATGAACAATATCGGTTGATGGGTCTAGACCTGGAAGATCAGTGACCAAGAAACTGGATTGGTTGGCTGGACCGACTTGTTGACGGAGTCTAGCAAGACGTTCGTTCCATTGTGGTACCTTTTTGATAATGTCTTCCTTGGTTCTAGGTTCCCATTTGCCTTGATTGGGTGCTTCCTTGACAGGCTTGAAATCCTTTAATTCATTACCACCCATCTTGAAATATTTCTTTGATTCTCCCAATCCAACATTTAATAATAAAATGCATACTATAATTGATAGTATTAATTGAGTAACTTTCATCATTCTCTCTCTCTCTCTCTATATATAAGTTGTTCTTTACTCTAAAGTAGTAGTATTACAATTATAGATAGATATAAATAATAAATATATACTGATAAAATAATGATTTGATTACTAAGTTTGCAAATAGAAAAGAATAGAATGAGTGCGCGAAAGATTGATGGAGTTTGAATGATTTGCAAACGACAGTTTTTAAACAGCAGGTCTACCCCCCTCTTCCGCTCCATTCATTAAAAATTTTAAAAAAATCAAATAAATATCTCACTTCTGAAGCGTGTCGTCGTGGATTTAACGACTTCCACGCAACTTCGTTTGAATGTTCTAAGCGCCCAATACCAAGTCGCCAATGACTTCAGAAGAATAAATAAAATTCCAAGGAAAATACCTATGTTTTGTAATAATACTTCTTCTTCTTGCTTGTTATTATTATTATTTATTGTTGATGACGATCGCCATCATTTTTTGGAATATAAAAATGTGATACAGATAATAACATTGAATGTGACATGAGAGCGGGATTACAAAGATTAAGAGATACAAATAAATCTTGAATATCACCTGATCGTTCGTAAAATTGGTTAATTAAACTCCATGTCAAGAATCCTTCGCCTGACTTTTCATCGAATCTATTGGCAAATTCGGAATCTCTTTTTGGTGGTTGAATACATATTTCTATATCATTTGGTATACTACTATCTCTGGAAATTGAATGATCAATCATATGACCTCTTCTAAATCCCTAAATTATTAAAATTAATTAATTTAATTTTTTAAAATTAAGATCTTCCTTTTTTTGAATTAATTTAAAATACATTGACACTCTTTATTAATAATACTATTAGCAATACAACTATGAAATAAATTAATCTTTTAGATTTCATAATAAAGATACTAATAATATTCTGTGAATAAATGTTACAATCAATTTATCAAATAAATAAATAAATAAATGTTATTATTATTTTGTATTCCAAAAATTTGGAACACACCCCACTTTTTCCATATTTATTTGAGAGTGACATTTATGACAAGACACACATAAACAAACATAATAATAGAATACAACAAACATAATAAATAATGATACTAATGATACTATAGTATGAACAAAATTAATTAATCGATGTTTTATTAATCGTGTCGGGGTTTTGTTTGTTGGTTTGTTCGAGCAAGGTCGGGTTGGTCACTTTACAATATTTATTATTATTACTATTATTATTATTATTGCTATTTAATATTACTAACAACCTTTTAATATTTCTAAAAAGGTTTCAATTAAAGTTGAGAATGGAGATGATAGATAAGATTGAAAGGCATTAGAGATGAGAGTTTGACATTGAGGATTTTTCATCATTAATTTGAGTGTCTCTAAAAAGGCTGACCAGACAAGAGGCAACTTGGTGACCATTTCATTGACTCCGAGGATACTGGCAACCACGTTGTTTTGTTCTTTGGTCATATCGACAATGAATGGCGGTATGTCAAAGAATCGAAGACGACGTGGTGGAAGAGAAGTAGAGAATTCTGTTACTTGAGTAAAATTGGTTTCAAATTGGATGATGGCCAACACCTCTACAAAATTACCCCACCCATTACCAAACTTGGATTCTTTCGAACCGAGTAATGCAAGTTCGCTTGGAAACATAGTGGCAGCATACTCGATCGATGAAGTATGTGCTTTCCACATGACTGTCAATAATTGAGTTTTGGCAGTTGTCAAGTTGGTCGGTGGAGTCTGTTGAAACTGTTGAATTAGAGTGAAATAGTCGACCCAATCATCAACTATATCCTTTACATTACTTGAACATAATACATAGTTGGTGCAGAATTTACCAGCGATATTGGTCGAGTTGATAGATGGCCATGTAATGGTGACTTGTGGGACTAGTCCAACTCGTAGCGCACCCAAATAAGGGATGACAGAGAGATAGTAGTTCATGTCACCCCACCATGCGGTCAGTGGAATAGCCTGTTGTTGGTGATCGTTGAGACGACCCGATTGAAATTGCCAGCCCATCTGGATATCCAAGCCATATAAATAATTGCCCTTATTATCATTACCAAATAGTGTTGGTACATGTGTACCATTTAAAATGGCTTGATACAACCATAATCGATCATCTACAATCCATGGATCTACTATTGTTTTTGGTTGTTGTAATGCATTGGTGGCCAATAAATCTCCAAATACAACTACAACCAAAAAATAATTACTATACTACTATATTTCATTTTCTCTATGATATGATATGGTAAACAGAGTACAAGTATAAGTATATTTATATTTAATTGGTATATATATATATCTACATACAAATATGATATGAATAATATTCTTGATGGTGAGAATGAACAGATTGATTATTAAAGCGTTGTGGTTTAAGATTTATAATTACATCTTCTTCCTTTTGATAATTAAACTAGTTTATCAAAGAATAATTGAAACAGTTATCAACATGCATGATCGTCATCATCACATTTTATGCTGTAATTGGATTACCTGCTGTCTTGACTCAAAACCAACCCCCTACCCACCAAAACTGCTGCACAGGTTGATCTAGAGAGGGAGGGGGTGAAATGCAGTTGATGTATGAAATGAGGGTGATGAGCCTTTAGAAGGATAGGGGGGGATTTCATCCTACACCATAAAGGCTTTAAAGGGGTGCGAGCATTATAATACCGTTAAGGTAAACCAAAAGTTGCCAACGTTGCAATCTCCCTATGTTGCTCGTAACATGTTTGTTCTCTTTTCAGACTGATCTTATCAGAAATAAGATATTTTTGAATGAATGCATTCGGCATCATGACTCGCGACACTTGCTGGTTCTCGGCAGCAGATCTCTGTAGTGCTACTTGTAGTTGTGTCTTTCAATTCATTTCACTGACTTAATTTAAATTAATATGATTTTGAAAAAGACATCTTGGTGCTTTTTCCCTCCAATTTTTAAAAAAGAAAATGTGATAAGTCTGACGTACCAAACTACTCACAAAGTTCTAAATATATGTAAATAATAATAATAATAATGACAAATCAAAAGAATACTAAAAATAATAATAATAATAATAAAGAGGAAGATGAAGCAGCAGCTGCAGCAACCAATAAATTAATATATGAATCTTATATATCTGACTTTGACTTTGAAGGTAAGGGAAGAGATGGTTAGTTAGTTTAGTTATATATATATACTAACATTATTCTACATAGTACAAACAAGATGTCAAGCGATAAGAGCAGAGGCTGATAGTATCATTATGTCACTTCGAAATAGATTCACATTGGATCTATTACAACTACCTCCATCGATTCGTTCAATGAATATGAAAGACTTTTTAGAGTTATATTGTAATACTCAACAACAACAACAACAACAAGAACAAGAACAACAAGAGACTACCACTACGACTACAACAATATCAACACCTGAAAGAAATATACAAGCATTGGCAGAGATCAAACGACAAATGGTCAATGTATTAAGTTCACCAATCATCGTCTCAAAGTAATATATCTATACAGATAGATTAGAAAGACGAGGAGGATCAAGATAGAGCAAACACACGCGATAAATAGAGTAGATAGATTTATCGCGCGATAATAAAAAAGCAAACCAACCTATTAAATTGTACAGATAACCAATCAAAAACAAACATATACAGATACAGATACAAATACAGATACAATATATATGATCATCCATCTAATCATTTAGCCTTCCTTATCCAACGGTAATACCTCAAGGTTAAAATTAATAATTAATTATTTAATTTTGTTATCCAAATCTGGATTCATTCCAAAAACAAACACTGACTTTTCAAGGTTGCAAGAATCTCTCTCATTTTTGTTTATTATTATCTTTGCATCTCTCTTTCTCTTTCTCTATCAATGTAACATTCGAGATTATATATATATATATATATTCGTTTGATGGAAATCATTTATAGTAGACAAATATAAATATAGATATTTAGTATTAGTTTAATAATAATTTATTCACAACATTTTAATTTAATAGAATGGCAGAAGAAGATATACCAACAAGTTCATCACCTGAAACTATAGCATTACCAGGATCTTCAACACCAACACCAACAACAGAAAAGACATTGAATCAACAAATAGAGGAAAAGGAGGGATTAGGTAAAGGTGGTAAGAAGTTTTCTGACGAGCAGTACTCTACACCCTCTGAAATCCTACCGTTTCTCTATTTGGCTGGTGTTGGTGGAACTGAAAGAGACCGTTTAGTGCCATTGGGTATTGCAGTGGTTATCAATGTGGCAGAGGAATTTCAAACACCTCGATTTAGTCCAGAGTCTGATAATATTGTAGAACATCGTGTCTGGATACAAGATATGGTTGGTAAAGACGAGAACCAACACGATTCATTTTATCGAATATTCGAGATATTTGACAATGTGGAACGAAACAATCAAAAGTGTCTTATCCATTGCAAGCACGGTCGGTCTCGATCTGCCTCTGCCGTCATTGCCTATCTCATGTACAAGAATCGTTGGAGTTTACGAAAATCAATGAACGAAGTTAAAAGTAAAAGACCCCTCGTAGGTCCACACCGACATCTCACCTTACAACTCATCGAATGGGAAAAGGTATTCCTTCAAGTTCAAAAATCAACCATTTCAACTCCCGTATTTGCTTTTATTAAAGTAAAAAGAGGTAGAAAATGTATTACAATGTAATAATATAAATAATATAATATATTTTTTGGATCATGCGGTTCCAAATATTTAAACAAACACACACATTCAATAACTAATAAAACTAAACTAAAATAATTAAACAAATATATTTATGAATTTATTAAGTGATGAAAAAGAGAGACTAGCTATGGCTCCAAGCTATTGGATGAGGGAAAACTCTGGAATACTCTCTGGTCTTCTTGTTAAATTATTAAAGAATTTTAAAAAAAACAATAATAATAGTTTTAAAATGATTTAGTAATTTAACAAGATACCAAGCAAGTATGAGTAAAGTGGTGAGCCGATTTACAAATCTATAAACTTTCTTCACCTGAAAGCGGATACTTTATTTAATTTAACATACATTATTGGTTTTGTTTGGTTGTTTGTATCAAATCGATCTCTATGTAGAACTCTTAGTAAGTTAGAGTTTAAAAGAAAAAAAATAACTATTATATATATATATATATGTAGTTACATATTTATTTAAGAAAGAATGATCTTCTCCTCTCTTTTTTTCAAGGTTCCCTTCCTACCCAAATTGCTAAAAATTAAAATTAAAATAAATAAAAAATTCTGAACCCACTTGAAGTGTTGTCGTTTTTAAGAATCATTGTAATATATATATAGATAGAGATAGAAGAGATTAGATAAAAACATAACATAAAGATGATAAAGATTACAATTCTTGTAGTATTAGTATTAGTAGCATTGATGGGTCTAGTCAATGCAAACAGCAGCAGTGTTGTTTCATTAAACCCAGACAATTTTAGTGATGTTGTAAACAACAAGAACATCGTATTGGTCAAGTTCTTTGCACCATGGTGTGGTCATTGCAAGAGACTTGCTCCAACCTATGAAAGTTTGGGTGACAAGTACACCGACTCTCAAAAGTACACTATTGCCGAAGTCAACTGCGAATCATTTGCCACTCTTTGCAACGAACACGATATTCGTGGTTACCCAACCATTAGAATGTTCCCCAAATCTTCAAAGACTCAAGATTTCCAAGGTTCACGTACTGTTGAAGATTTATCTGCTTTTGTTGAAAAGTTTTAAATCACCACTAGTACTTCTTGTACAATCATTCTAAACATCATTCTAAACAACACACAATCATATTCTTTAATATGTATATTCTACAATGGTTTTTTTTTTGGAAGAATCTTTACAATGTACACTTCCAAATGCAATAATAATAATAATAATAATATTATAAACTATCAAGAATAAAAATGTATCATATATAGATAAAAAAACAAACAAACAAACAAACAAATAATAATAATAATATAATATAAATATAAATGGTTGGAAAAAATATTTTAATTTTATTACAAATAATATTTACAAATAATTAATAATAATAATTAATAATAATTAATTGGTGAATTTAAAGTGGCAATTCAGAATCATTATCATTATTATCATTATTATTATCATTATCATTATTATCATCAGAGTCTATTGATGATGATTCTTGATTGGATTGTTGTTTTTTAAAAGAATCTCTGGCATCACTAAAACTGTCCCATAGGATAATATCACCATTCCAATTAGTCGATACAATCTCTGGTGAATGAGGATGCCATGCCAAATCTCGAATTAATCTACCTCCATAATCCCTAATTGTAAAATCTTTATACAATGTTTGTACAAGTGCTCCAGTTAAAACATCATAAACTAGCGAGTAAAGAGTTAGTATCTGTTTGTTTGTTATTTTTTTTGTTTTAATCTTTGATTTACATACTATAAACTCTACCATCAGAAGAACCAGTATAGATATACTTTTGAGCAGTAGTTTCAATGGGAGAGAAATAACATCGAACAAGAGTTTGTCGGATTTGATGCCCACGATACGTTTGTATAGAGAGATCGGGTGTTTTATCAACTGGTCTAACTGGAAATTGTGGGAATTGGTATCGATCGTATGCAGTTTCGCTTCGTAGCTTTGCATTGGTGGTTGATGGTTTGGTATTCATCTTTCTAATATCCCATAGTTTGGCTGTCTCATCCTTGGCATTACTTACAAAATAAGTACCGTCTTCTTTGGAAGATACATGTGTCACACCTCTAGTATGACCAGTCAATACGCCAACAGGTGATATTGTTCGATCCGATATTTGTGACGTGCTGCCACCACCCAGTCCAATCATTCTCTTGTCCCAAATATTAATGTTAAAATCATCAGAACCAGTTGCAAATACATTTCCACTGCGATCTAGGTATGTCACACTATTGATATCATCCAAATGTCCACGTACCTCTAATATCCGTCTAGACTCATTCAAATCATATAGATAAATGAATCCATCCGATGATCCACCCAATATCTCTGATCCACCTGGTGAAAACTTTAATCCAAATATACAAAATCTTTCATCTACATTTGGTCTAAAAAACAAATAATAAATTATTTTTAGAATAATCATCCATCCATCTGTCTGTCTGTCTCTTTTTTGATGTTACATACTCTAAATCCAAAGCAATATGAGTATTATCTTCACCATTTGTATTACAAATATGAATATATGGACTCCATGAAGAATAGATAAAGAATTGTTGGTCTTGACTAAAATCAGTGTCGATGATTGACCAACTCACATATCTAGCATGTACCATATTTCTTTCTTTCCATGTTGTAGTATCATAAAATCTTATCTTTTGATCTAAAAATATCTTAAGATAAGTATACTTATCATATCATTCGCGAATATTAATTATTATCTGGAACATACCTTGACTAGCAGTCATAAATGTTTTGCCATCGTTGGCGTAGCGACAACAGAATACTCTACTATTTTGTCTGACTATTTGTTTTGGATTCTTTCCATCTGGTATATAATGATGTAATAATCGAATTGGTTCTAAATTCCTTTGTCCAAATAATTCTCTCTAATTTAATTTAATTGAATTAATTAATTTTTTGTTAATGCAACATTCTGAGGAGGAGGAGGAGGAGGAGGAGGAGATTCAATTATTATTAATAATAATTATTGAACTCAACTCGATTAAACTCACTCTAAAAAGATAGGATGTTTGGGTTATATTGGATTCTCTTGTTCTCTGTTTAAATATTTGTGATATTCTTTCATTCTATTCAAATTGAGTACAAAAGTTAGAATTAATATTAATGCATCGTTGATTATAGTTGATGAAAACACGTACGGTTAAATCAGCATGTGAAGTATTTGCAGCATTAATGTTCATCATTATATCATTATTACCTCTTCCAACCCTATTTCTTTAAATTGTGTGAATAGATAGATAGATTTAGATTACATATGTACATCTCTTTTCCACATAAAGTATACGTTAACATACATATATGCATTTAAAACTTGTAATATTAAACTTGCATTATCTTCACTGTCATCATCGTCACCACCACCTTGATCTCCAATCATTTGTTCATCATCCTCTTCTACTTCCTCTTCCTCTTGGTCATAGTACATGTCTTCATAATCATCATCTTCGTCAATGTCATCGTCATCTTCAAACTTTTGATCTCCTTCATCTAAATAATCATCGTCCTCATCAATATCACTATGTTCACTTGGTGTTGATGACATTATTTATATTCTATTCTATTTATCTCTATCTCTCTCTCTCTCTCTCTCTCTTCTTTACTAAACAACTGCTAATATATATTTAAAATTTAATTTATCAAACCATGCAAATGAACATGGAATTGTGATGACGATGAATTTCATTTGATTTTCGACAAAGTGTCTGTCCAAAAAAAAGAACAAGGAGAAGGAAGAAGAGGGGCTCAATCGAACCATTGCTCTACTCTACTTTCGAACCAACCAACATATTTAATTTAAATTAAATATAAATCTTCTATTATTAATGATGTATCATTCATCTTCCTATCATATCATTCAAAATTGTGGTGGTGTAATAATAATAATAATAATGATAATGATCAATTCATAATTTTAAAAGATTATATATATCTTATCTCTTGTCCTTGGCAATTGCAATGATTGAGTGAGCTAGTCCAATGATGATGGTTGGCTACTTTAATTGAAAGGAATGTTCATTCATCAACCATCGAACAATTTCATTGCCGAGGGGGCTGGTTGATGAGGAGAGGAGGGGGTCATTGGTACACCCGCCATTTTACTGATATTAGTTGTGGTATTTTCAGTGAATCGTTACCTCGTGATTATAATCAAATTATTTTAAAAAAATGAATTTTCTCTCTCTTGTTTGTGCAAACGGACCAACTCTCCTTTTTTAGTTTCTTTCAGTGCGTTGCTGTGAATGATTATTATCGTCGACATTTAAAAGAGACAGAGACAACAGAGATAGACAGAGATAGACAGACAGAGAAATAAGATTAACGATTAAAGGAGTTTGTTTGTATTATTATTGGTCGTTAGCGCAACTTGTCCAAAAGTAGTCTTGTAGGTATCCCAACCCAAACTCAACCCAACTCACATACACACTCAAACAAGTATAAATAGAACTCGTCGACTGGTCGTCGTTGTATACTATATATATATATATATATATATACACACACACACAGTATAATAACTACTGTCAACAACAAAGTGTCACACGATCCATCTAGATAGCCAGTACATTTTAAATAGGACAAAAACAACAGAGACAGAGAAAGACATTGTTATTCATATTGGAACCAAGATATACGCAACCATATCATCAATATGGTTTGATTGATACCCACCCACCCATCACACCACCACCATTCACTCCCACTCCCACTCCCACCCCTTTCCTCTTACTCCCACAATCGTATGATTTATTGAAAGGAGGGGGGGTTTGCGTTGGTTGAGAGAGAACAACAACAACAATAACAGCAACACAATCAATCAATCAATAATAATCAATAATCATTATATATAACCAACCATCAATACTACCTACCTACCTTCTCCTTTTCTTCCTCCAAAAGTTATATATTATACTTTTATAAAAAGAGACATAATTTTAAATTATCAATCAATCACATGATTTCTGATTGATTATTCAATATAAACGTAACCATTCAATCCAACCAATCAATCAATCAATCAATCAACCAACCAACCAACCAACCAACCAACTACAATAATATCTACTTTTGGTATCGTATAGATTTGAAATAGAGAGATAACATCAAACAATCATACAACAGGAGTACTATACTCTCTCCTTCTCCTCCTCCTTCTTCTCTTATATTTTCTAAACAACATCTTTAATCTATATTCTTTATTGATTTTGTTAGAACATGCTTTTCGAATGTGTATAGTATATAAGTCATCACCACTCACCACCACGATACAGAAATGGATGGACAGACAACAGACAACAACAACAACAACTGATTTCAGATGGATAGATAGGGACAGAGGTGAACGATCGATGTAATGCAATCGTTTATATTATATGCATTATATTAAAATATCTATCTACCACCACCACCACCACCCTTTGTATAAGATATACAACAACAACAAGAGAGGTGTGGGAGTAAGAGTGGTAGTATATAATAGTTGTATATAGTTATAGATAAAGGTTATAGGTCGGTGGTTAGGGTTAGTGTCGACCGTTACCTTTATGCGTTCCACAATAACAACAACAACCCTATTCTGTCCAATGATTGATTGTTATTGTTAACATGTTATGAATTGAATTGATGTTGCTCTCCATCGAGTGTGATACTAAATTATCACAATCAAACACTCACTCCACCTCCCAACTTTACAACACCATAAATACACATAACAAACAAATTTGTTTTATAGTAATAGAGAACAAGACAAACAAACGTCCCTCCTCTTATTTTTCAAACTAAATTCATCAACAACAACATTGTATTAATTAAACATTTATTCAATTAAATTAAATTATACCATCTTCTTATAGATTTAGAGTAGTAGTTAGCTGTAGTAATAGTACATATACATAATATAATATATTTATAAAATGGAGCCAAAAAGAAAATCGATGGCTCCTAAAAAGGGTGGAGGTAAATCATCTCATGCACGAAAACATAGCAGACAGAAGAGCAAGAACAAAAATAACAATAACAACAATAACAATAACAATAATAATAATAAGGCTGGCAAACCTCCCATGGCTCCAGTTGCCATTGGCGACGTTGCCAATGGTATATCGACCGACAATTTGAATAGTTTGGGTAAAACGATCAATTACATAAAGAAACAACAAATTGTAAGTATATTCATTGCAAATCAAGAGTGAATGTATATAGTTGTATTGACATTTGATTTAAATATCTATTAGGAGGAATCACAACAAAATAAAAAAGAGAAACAAAAGCAAAATGAAGAGAGAAAGAAATTGATGAATGAAACATTGAAAAAGAAACAAGAAGAGGAACGATTATTGAAATTACAAGACGAGGAAAAGAACAAGCAATTGGAGAAACAAAAGGAAGAGGCAAAAAAAGAGTTGGATGAAATCAATTATCAGTTGATGTTGCAGGGTGCACCCATCCCATCGACAAGTGGAACTATCAGAGGCAACCCATTGGCTGCAATAGCTGCTGCAGGAGGTATAAGTGTACGTGGATCTAAATCACCACCATTGGATTTGGGAGAGTATAAGCGAAAGACTCTAGGACGTGGTATCACCTCGTTCTTTGGATTGAACCAAACCAATAACCATAGCGCTTCTAATCTTGGTACACATGGCCCAAACTCCTCTTCTGGCGGTGGAAACCCATCAGAACTTAAAAAATACCCATCACACAATTCATTGGGATTAAAGAATGGATCAAACACTATGTTTCGTACCATCTCTGTACCTAGAGTGTCGAAAGGACAAGTGTCACTCCAAGAACTATTCCAACACAAACAAAATAGTAGTAATAATTTGGCAGCTGCTGGCACATTGACATCGTCGGCTGTCGAAAAACTAAGAGATCTCGCCAAACAACCTGCCAATCCTTCAAGACCACTCTCTTCATCTGGTTTCAAACCAATGTGGTTTGGTACATTTAATTTGGCTCAAAAATTTAAAGAAGATAATACTAAAAGACAAAGTGTTGAAAATAGATGGGATGGTAAGAAATTATAACAAAGTAATTGTGTGTTAAAAAGTATACCATTGACTAATTAGTTTCTTTTTATTTATAGAATATGTTAAAACATTATTACCATCTGATTTGGAAAATGTAAAACAAAAGAAACTTCAACGTCAATTAAAGGATGAAGTTAAACAACAAAAAATATTAAATGGTGATGAACTGTCATCTTCATCCGAGGAAGAGGAAGAAGAAGAAGAGGAAGAGGAAGAACAAAACCAACAAATCAATCAACAATTAATAGAGGATATTAGAAAAGATTTAAATGTTGAACATGATTATGAATATTCCGAGGATGAAGAAGATGAATTAATTGAAGAATTGGAACAATTGGAAAAACAAAATAATAATGTTTTAATTGATGATGATGATGATATATCAGAATCTGATGATGATGATTCTGAAGAAGAAGATGAACAAGTACAACCACTACCAACAATTCAACAACAACAACCAATTATTTTAACAACAATTGTAGACAAGGAAAAAGAAAAGGAGAAAAATGTAAAGAGATTATCAACTTCAACTTCAAGTACTACTTCCAATAGTACATTATTACCACCAACTGCAACCTTTATCATTGGTTCACAAGTAATGGAAATTGGTAAAGAAGATGAACCAGAGGAAGAATCAGATGAGGAAACTGATGACGATGATAATCAAGAAGATCAATTTGATGAAGATGGAGCTAAAAAACAGAAAAAGCAGAAAAAGCAGAAAAAGGATAAAACTCAAGAGGTTAAACCATTACAACCAACTGAAGGAGAACAAACTGCTTTGGATGGTGAACAACCACCTGCTGAAGAACCTATTCCCGAAGAACCATATGTTGAACCAAAGGAGGTTACAGATGGAAATATTATCATTGGTGCGTTGCTCAACAAGACTACTCGTCCCGCCAAAGAATACAAACCAAAAGAAGGTGAAATGTCATTGGCCTCACAACGTCCACCTGATATGGTCAATATCTTCAAGTATGGTGTCATTGATATCGACTTTGCCGAGATTTTTGGTGAAGAAGAAGATCTAAGAGGTCACATTATGTGGACTGTTGGTTCATTTGGTGTAGAAGAAAGAGATCCTGATGATTATGCTGTATTTTATACAAAGGATTGTTATATTGTTTTAAATGTATGAAAAACAAAAAGAAAAAGAAAACAAAAGAATGAAAGAGTTTTAAAATATTAATATATTTTATTTCTATTTTCTATTTTTTAGATATCAGATAATAAATTAGATTCAAAAATGTATAATGTACATGTTTGGATTGGTAAAGAAGCACCAATTGATAGAATTGGTACAGCTGCAATGATGGCACTTCAATTGGCCACTCATATGGGTGGTAAAGTAAACCACTATAGAGAAGAACAAGGCAATGAAAGCAAACTCTTCCTCGGATACTATTACAATGATGATTATAATGGAATCAAGCAAAAGAGTGGTGGTCCACAATCAGATTTTAACATTGTACCAAAGATTAGACCTGTTGGAACAACTACTCTCTTCAAGGTTGATATCCCATTGATTGGTGAAAAGAGTGGACGTGTCTCGGTGCGTCGTGTTGCATTGTCTAAAAAGTTTGTCAAATCCTCTCCCCTCGAAGTATGTTATGTCCTCGAAAACAATGATCGTGTCTATATCAAACTTGGTCCAAAATCAACCATCCAAACAAAGAGTTTAGCAAGATCACTTGCAAAAGAATTATCCAATTCATATGCTCATCAAGTTAAAATTATTGAAGTTGGTAAGTGTCAAAAGAAAAAAAAGAAAAAGATACAAAAGTTATTAATTGTTAATTTTCATTTGTTAGTTGGAGAATTAATGGAAAAAGAATTTTATAAATATATGAGTGAACAAAAGACAAAGGAAGATAGAGACAAGGATTACAAGACGACAGAAGAGGAAGAGACGATTGTTAATCTCTACCGAACCTATACCAAGGACACTGGTAAATTGGATCTAGAGTCGATTGTTGAAGAGTACCCAATCGAATATTACGAGTTGAATAACAAGGAAGTGTTTATTCTCGATTGTACAACCGATGTGTTTGTCTGGGCACCACGCGCGGTCAACAAGAAAAAGGTGATGGCTGGTCGCGAGTGTGGAAAGATGTTCTTTAACGAGTACGAGCGTCCTCAATGGGCTCGACTTGTATTCATTACCGAAGGTGAAGAACCACCCCTCTTTAAGCAACAATTCAAGAATTGGCCATCACCAAAACCAATCAACTTTAGTAGTATTGCCGAACCAATCTCCAAACCCAGCTTATTTTCATCGCCACCAAGTTACAACTTTGAAAATATTATCAATAATCTTCAGGATCAAGTCATTGAGCCAGTACTTAAAAACAATCCAAATGATACGATCGATGTGTATACCATTACATTGCCAGAGTTACAATTCTTCAAGGTGGATGGATTCTACAAGGGTCATTTCTACGAAGATGATTGTTACATGATTATCGTTTCGACACGTAACAAGAGTACGTACAAAACGATCACATCAAACGAACCACAAACAACGATATATTGGTGGGAGGGTGTGCATGCCGATCCAAAGGGTTTCCCATCCTTTGTGCACGGACTCTTCCCCATCATCTCTCAAAAGTTTGTAGAGATGGGTCAGTTGAAACCACGTTGTTGTCTAGTCAAACAAAGAAAGGAACCAGATCATTTCCTTGGACTCTTTGGAAACAAATTGGTCATTCACAAAGGTTCAAGATTTGATATTGATATCTCTGATAAAATTTATCAATTTATCTCTTTTGGTCAATATACTTATATTCAACAAATTGATCAAGTATGAATAGAAAAAAACAAAAACAAAAAGACAAAACATAATCAATCAATTTACTAATTTAATTTAATTTTTACTTTAGAATACAACATTATTAAATTCATTTTATTGTTACTTTTTGGTATCATTGGCACGTGAAAAGATAACAATTTGGAGAGGTAAATTTAATAGAGTAACGACAGATGAAGAATTGGAATTGTTTGCCAGTTATTTGGATAAAGAGTACTATGTAAAATACGTGAATCAGTCAAGAGAAGGTGAATTGTTTTGGAAATCATTGCCTGGTATGATCAGAGAACCGGTAGATTATAGTCATAGAGGTCACATACTCTACAGATTCTATTTTAAAAACACAGAGTTTAGTGTCGAGAGAATCAAGAGAATGTATACATCTGATCTTGCATCAGATTATTGTTGTCTTCTTGAAACTAGAACTAAACTCTATTTTTGGATTGGTTCACAAGCTTCTGCAACTTTGTTATATATTTCAAATATTTTTATAAATGTAAATAGAAAATAGAAATAATAATAATAATAATAATAATAATAATTATAACTAATAATTTATAATTTTAGGACTATTGTAAATATTTATCAAGAACAGTTGATTGTGTAAAGAGAGTTTATCAATATCAAGAGTCATTGAATTTCAAACATCAATTCCCGGCATGGGATAATAAGGATGTTATTGTAGACCCATTGGAATTGAGACAACAACGATTGACCGTGCAAAGAACACTCGAATACAGAAAGCAGTGCGAAGAGGAACAACAATTATTACGCGAATACCTCGAGTATGCCAGCAGTCTCGACGATGACGATTATCTCGAGGATTTCGAGTCGTGGGTCATGGAGAAAAAGAGTTTCCTCGATCAAGATGGAGGACATCATATCATTCGTCATAATAGTAATACCAATAATCATCTCAACAACAACAATAATAACCATCACCACCATCATACTAATAATAATCTAAACACACCATCAACCACTCCTACCATTGTAAATGATCCAACCACTCCACCATCAGAATCTAAAAAGAAAAAGAAGAGTAAATTCCTCAATATCTTTACAAAGACAAAATAATAGAAACATAAATAATAGATCAACAAACAATAATAGTAATAGAACAACAAAATCGGAAATTAATTTTTTATTAATAATATATTTCAAACAGACCAAGAAAGACGAACCATTCATTTCTTTCTAAATAAATAAATGATCATTACAAACAAAGTATCAATGTCCTTTCTGATACACTTTATTAAAGGTTGTCCTTTTAAATACAAAAAAAGTTGTGATAAGAAGGTCTCTTGTGGATTGATGGTAGTGAGGCTTATTCTTCAGATGGTGGATTTGAACATTGCTCTATTAGATATGAAAAAAATTAATTGGATTATTATCAGTTGGATCACAAATCTGAATAAAATTTAAGTTTTGATTACATACTCAAGGGATCAAATTGCAATTCCCAAAGATTGTTTCTTGGAGGATTCATCTTTGCTAGTGTTGTGTTTACCAACCAACAAAAAGGAAGGGTTGACCAAAAAGGCAGACAGAGGTTGGAGTTTGTTTATCTTGTTGTCTGAGAAGTCCCCACAGTTGGCCAGTTTGAGATAGGATAACTCCAGATCCAGAGTATCCAGGTTGAGCCCCCACATTGATTTCAATAATTTAATTTCCACAATACGATAGACAGCCGGCATGTATCGATGGTCCAGGTGGGGAACAAACAGGAGGATCCTTTTTTTGATACATTTCAGATGGAATTCTTGATTTGGGAAATTCGACCATGAATATTGGTTTCAAATAGTAACCATCTAGTTGTGGCAAAGGAATGATCTCAACATCAGAAATTGTTTGATCCGACATATCTAGAAGAATCACATCGATTTGATAAGTGACCAATAATAATTGCACTGATCCATACTTTTCCAACACCAATTTCATATTGTAACGGACCCTTATCATCGAATCCAATGAATTCTAATTCCACATCCACAAGCGTAAGTCTTGGCACCTGTTCGTACACGAACAAAAACAGTACGATTAATCATATATTTAATGGCCTCTTGATTAATTATAATTATCATCAAGCTGAAGGGGGTTATGATCTATTGACAGGATGTAAAATGAATCAATAAATTATTAGTAAACTTCTTATTTTCGTAGAAAATGTCCCCACATACCAAGTTCTTGGAGGATCTTTAGTTTTCCTTGATGATAATTATCTTCGTTAATAGAATTGGATTTTAACAAGTCTTGTAATTCTTGGAGACGGGTCTCTCTTGTTTGCTCTAACATTCTCTAATTATTTACAGAACTAAAAAAAAGTAAGAATAAAAAAAAGTTTCTCCCTCAATAAAATGACATATGATTTGGCTTTTCAAATAATATTTATTAAAATTGTATTTTTACATAATAGTACCAACAAGAAGAAAGACTAATCATATTCTTTCTAGAAATAAATAAATGATACCAGTACATACAAAATAAAATAAGGAAAAAAACAAGAGGGTTCCTGTTCAGATACACCAGGCTTTCTTTTGGTATACCTACCTTGGCTTGCAAACCCCCAATTACCTTTTCAAATCAAGTGTTTGGAACAAACAAAAAGTATAGATAGATAAACAATATGAATCAATTGATTAGGGCTACTTGATCTTTGAATTTAAAAATCTTTATGATTTGTCCAATTATTTAATTTTGTTGTTAATTCATGCATTCCTCCAATCAAAAAGGGTTTTTATCTTTTTTAATTTTTTGACAAGTTCAAAATTTCAACTCACTATCATACTTGCTCCCTAAATATTTTGACAATCAAATAACAACCACTACCACCCACCAATAGACATAATAGGTGTTGGAAAGTGTGATGTTGGAGATAACCACCCCCCCACAGACACACTCATCCTAGACCATCCATCATTCATCCAGTTATTACTGCTGGTTAGGTTAATATTCAATTAAAAACAATTGTCTAGACAACACCCAACGAGACGTGATCGAAACCTTCATATCCATCCACTCAGTCTTTTCATTTAGATTTACTTTGTTTACCTATCTATCTATCTATCTATCTCTTGTTAAATTAAAAGGTAAAAAGATATTTATTCATCTCTCCACTGGGACACAAGGTGATGATCATCATCCATGATTATCTCTAATCAATTAAATAATCATTAATCTAAATCCCCATCCCCAAATTAAAATTAAATTATACATTATGTTTATAAAAATATTAATATCATTCTATTGTCCTCTTTTATTTATTGTTTTAGATAAATATATTTATAAAGCAAAAAAAAATGAAGTATTCAGATAAAGTACTATTTGTATTTTATCTTTTAGTTTCCGTTATCTTTATTCATGGTAAATTTATCCCAAAAGATATTATCTTTGTTTTTAGAAATTAATATTCATTCTTTTGATTATAAAATATGTTTCAATAGGATGTCCTGATTACCCACAACCCGTCCCATTGGACCAAAATGATCCTACATTGCAAAAAGCATATGCAGAGGTAGATGCAATGATCCAAGCCAATATGAAGACCTATGGAGTACAAAGTTTTGTAGCAACTATTGTATATGGCGATGATTTAGTTTGGTCAAAGGCTTATGGTAAAGTTGATCCATTAAATCCACAATCCCCTGATCTTACAATTGATAATACGTATGTCATCATATGTTTAAAATATAACGTTATATTTTAAAAATTATTTTTATTTTGTTATTTACCTTTTTTTAACTTTTCAATTTAGTGTAAGAATTGCAAGTATTACAAAAACATTTACAGATTTGATGATGTTCCAATTAAGAGATAAAGGAGTGATTGCTTTGGATGATCCAATTTCCAAATACTATCCAAATTTCAGTATTAGAGATTCGTACCATACCAAGAGGGATATTACATTCCGTGAATTGGCATCACATCAATCGGGTCTACCAAGAGAGGTTCCATGCAACTTTGACTTGCTTCCAACCGACAATTGTACCGAGTCGATAATTCTCGAGAGACTACAAGAACACTTCTTGATTCTTCCACAGTACACTACCACCCATTACTCTAACCTTGGTATGGCCTTGTTGGGTAGAGCTTGTGGAAAGGCCGCCCACATGGAATACGAACAATACGTAGAGGAAAAGATCTTGGCTCCACTTGGAATGCACAATAGTTCATTCGACTATAACAAGATCAAGGATCGTATGGCCATTGGTTTGGAGTTATGGCCAAATGGTACCTATCTCCATGCACCCATCATTGGTTTGGGATGGGGTACTCCTATGGGAGGTCTCTTTGCCACTGCCAGAGACATGGCCCGTTACGCATCGTTCTGGTTGTCCAATGAAAGTCCAGTCCTCGACAGCTCAACCGTCAAGGAAGCTCTATCCGCCATCTACCTAGTCAACGACGGTCAAAGTGCCTACGGAACTCCATGGGAAACATTCTACAACCAAAACAACAATATCTGGGTACGTGAAAAGGCCGGTGCTTTGGATGGATACCGTTCTCAATTGGCTGTTATTCGTGAACTCAAACTTGGTGTCTTTTTCTCATCCATGATGTATCTCGGTCTCCAAGACCTCTGGATGTCTCAAGCTTTAGACATTTTAATCCCAGTCTATGAAGCTATGCTCTATGAAAAGAATAGTACCCCACAATTATTCGAGACCATCCCCACCTCGTTCAAGAAGGCTCCCACTCCAATCCCTCAATCTGCCTTGCACGGAGTCTACGAGTATGAAGGTAGCTTGTTTGTCGTCCAAGATGACACCAACGGTAATTTGATTGCCAACTTTGGTGGAGCACCCAATTTCAACATGACCCTTTTTGCTCAGGACCACCCACACATCTATCGTATCAAGATTGCCGATCCAAGTATCCAATCTTGTATCTTTGTCGATGATGGTAGCAACTATGAATTGGTCTACGTCAAGTATACCGATGGTGCATCTCATCCAGAATCCATGGAAGTAATGGGTCAAACCATGCCATGGGTATCTGAAAATCCAAGTGATGCCCAACTCTTTGAAAAAGTAAAACCAATTAGACCAACTAATTATATGAGACTCTAAAGTAAAGTGATAGAGAGAGATAGGGAGACATTAATGGATTAATAATTGTATACATCTAAAAAAAAAAAAAAAAAAAATAATCTTTTTAAAAATAAAATCCCAAATCAACAAAAAAGAAATTTAAAGTTAATGTTAGATCTACATTTGTATTAATATTGATTTTAAATTCATTTGCAGGTAGTGAAGTAATATTAGTATTAATAATATTATTATTTAGATCTGATCAATAAAAAGAAAGTATGGGTGATGAGAAAGGGAGGGGTAGAAAAGACAAGACATGTTTTTTTATGGCTTTCCGTGTTCGATCATCAATTTATTTCCTTTTATGTAATTTGGTTTTAACCTCACACCAACAACAATGATAATCGAATATGCCCCCTTATTAATAAGTGGGTGTGAACCCTATAACTATCAACCATTCTATAATACTATAGTCTGAGTACTTTTAACGTACGAAAGAACCATCCATCATATGATGATTGAAAATAACACGGAAAATAAAGAATATTAATATTGTTATGTGCTATCATCATCATCATAATCTTGATCTGATAATAATTATGGGGGGAGCATTGTTGATGTCCAAAATACATTGCTTAAATATTAATAAATCCATCATCAGTATCAATCCTTCCAAACAAGATATATCTAGGTATAATAATAATAACAATACTATAACAACAGGGTATGTTATAAAATATAAATAATAATAATATTTTTATTTTTCTCATTAATCTTTCAGGCTCCCAAGTTACACATGTTATGTTTTTTTTTTTGGGTAGGTAGGACCTACTGTAGCTAGAGAGCTACCACTACATCATGTATATACATTTAATGTAGTGAGTATTATTATTATTATCACTAAATCCAATATTGAGAGGAGTAGTAATAGAAAAACAATAATTATTGTAATTTAAAATAATTAAAAAGACATTGTAACAGTGGTCCATTGTTTAATCTACTACTGCTATCTGCTCTATCTATCTATCTCTCTCTATATTCCCACTCTGATATCGGTTTCAAATTTACCAATCTAGATTAGATCATAGTGAGTGTGTTATATCATTCATTTCCTCAGTTTTGCCATGTATGGTAACAAAGCACTTATTATTTCCATTCCATTGAAAACAAACCGTATCATTCTGTTGCCATTTTTGATGGTATTGACAAGACACATAAAGAGAGAAAGGAGAGGTCTAAAATTCTTTAATTGTCAACTCTTCATCGCGATGTTGATACATCCATTCCTTTCGAATCTAAGTGTTACAATAATAATATAGTATATGATATATTGTCCCTAACAACTTGGATGGGTTGGAGATCTTCCCCATTCCACCCACCCCCCCAAACTAACTAAACACACAATATGAGGAGGTGGGGATCAATGCATTGGAAAATAACCATATATGGTAATTTTCAAAATGGAATTATTATTGTTGGTGTACTAGTGACTGTGACTGGGGTGAATTTATGGATCCATAAACAATCAAGATCACATGTACATTGTGTTATTATGTGTATGAATGAACCCATCCCCTCTCCTCTCTTACCATACTTGGTTATATAGACCTTTGGATTCTTCCTCTTGTTCCAGAAGAAATCCCAAATGGAGTAGAAATGGAGGGGGGTCAACACCTAATATTGTGACTCCATTATGATAAGAAAAGATAGATTAAAGATGATTGTGATAGGGTTATATAGGTAGAGGTAGGTAGGGTGTTGTAATATTACCTTATGTATCAAAGCATGTTACATGAGGTAGTCGTAAATTTATTAAAATAATAACACTGTGAAAAAAATCCACATATACAATCCACCCCCCAACCCAACCAACACTACTCACTCTCTTTGTTGTAACAGAAAGAAATAATAATGAATTGTGGATGTGGTAAAAATAATAATAACAAGCAGACACCTGGTGTGTGCTTGTTGTATTACTATTGAATTATCCTGCTACTACATGTAGAAAAAAGATAGTGTGTGCGAGAGTGAGTGAGTAAGTGAGTTGGATACGGGTCACATTGCATACACGTACCCGTAGATGCATCCGCTCCGCATTGTGGAAAGATGATCACCACCCATCACCACCACTACTACTACCACCTCTCCTGCTTCTAGTGCTGTCAATCAACAACCACTACTACTAGCAACCACCTCCACTACGACGACTACTACTACTACTATTCCTGCTACTACCAACAATAGCAATTATGACTTTGTTGATTATATGGTTGGTAAATCTATCAATACATCCATCCATCTCATCCATCCCATCCATCCATCAATCCGTATGTCCATGCATCCATCCGACCATTTCATTCATTCATTCATACATCATTCCTTCCCATGTTCATTTGATTTAATCAACAACAACCTAGCATCATTCATCAAACAACAAGATTTACTTTTCAGTATCAATTTAGATAATTCATTATTCAATCGCAATTTTTGCTCAATATAGTAGGTATTAAAGTTAGTCTTGCAAGATCGATCGTAGATAGAGTTTTTTTATCATATTTAGATTATAATATTACAATATTTTTCCCCTGCTTTTGTTTTTTTTTTAAATTTAATTTTATATATTTATATTCCCCTATCACTTATGAATAGACACAACAACAACAACTTTCAACATCCGATAATTTAATTGATCATATTTCATTCATCAATCAACTATATCCATTTGCGTCGTCTGCTATTCAAATATTGTCAATTTAATCCCCCATAGTATCTATCAAAAAAATTATAAAGTGTAGAAAAATAATAATAATTTAATTTGTTGTTGGTGTTGTTCCAGAGTCTATTATATTTCCACATTTAATTTATTTCCTTTTTTATTCCATACCCATTATCATCAAAATCATACATACTCTTTCCATCCATCCTTTTTTGCATTATTCCACAACATAAATCTTAGGATCGATAGTATCCATAAATCAATCTATATTTTTCTATTACCACGTGGATCATATAATATCTATTTGTTTGTTTGTTTTGTGGTGTCAAAAGTAAAAATAGATTTTAGTATCCCATTCTTTTTTTTATATATTATTAATATTGTTGTTGTTGTTGTAGTCAACAGTACTATTACTACTACTACTTTTTTGGCATCCACATTCTATTTAAAAAAAAAAAAAATACCTTATCAAAAACTAACAAACAATTTTGATTTTCCTCTTCTTTAACTTTAAAGTTTTCTAATTATATATTTCATAGGATCATTTTTTAAAAATACCTTTAATATTTATATTCAATTTACCAATTTCCATTTTTTACAAAACAACAAAAAAAATATCAATCTCTCTATCTCTCTCTCTTTTAAAACTATAATTATTAATCTTACCATTAACAAACAAATAGTAAAACCAAACTCAAACTATACTACTACTATTGAATTCAAAAAAAGTTAAAAGATTAATTCCAATCTCATTATCTTTATCTAACAACCTTTTTATTTTAACAAACAAACTAGTTGTCAGCAGTGTTATATACCCGTTTTTTAAATCTTTTAAAAACAATAATAGTTTATTTATAATTTCTATATTTATTCATTCATTCATTCATTTAATATTATATTATTTCTTATTTATATAATTTATTTATATACTTTATTTTCAATTCAACCATTTTATTCAAATTACTTCTCAAAAAAAAACCAAAAAAAACAAACAAAATGTTTGGAGTCAATAATCCCTATTCCATAATTCAGTCTAGATATCCAATCAAGTTACCCTCTATTATCGATGTAATAAAGGAAAGCTTGGCAACCGTCAAAAGTGTAGAATTAATTGAAGATCAAACCCCTCTCTTTTGGAGTCTTTCTCATGTTTTGACAGAATTACCTTTAATTGGTGATAAGGTAACTACTTCAAAACATTCTACCAAACAAACAAACAAACAAAACTTTGATAATTCTAAAAACTAATCATTTCTAATTATACTTTTAGATTATTCAAATGCATGGATACTCACATCCAGCACATGCAACATTATTTGTATCACCAACTGGAGAAATCCCAAGAATATCCATTCCAGACTACCTTGTTAGATTGGTCAAGTTCTCACCATGCTCTAAGGAATGTTTCATTATGATCATAGTCTATATTGATAGATTAATCCAAAAGGCTGGTTTCATAGTCAACAGTTTTAATATTCATCGTTTATTAATTACTTGTATTATGGTTGCTTCAAAATATATTGATGGTATGACAAACAAGAATGAAATGAAATCAAATAATTATTCTCTAAATAATTATCTAATTTATTCTCTTTCTCTCTTTTTTTAGATATATTTTATAATAATGAATATTATAGTCATATTGGTGGAGTAAATAGAGATGAATTAAACAAGTTGGAGATTGCATTTTTGACATTGTTGGAATTTGATACTTCATGTCCACTACCAAACTATTTAGATTATTTCTCTCATCTCGACTGCTTTGTCTCACATATTCGCCAAATCAGACAAAAATCACAACCACAACTACAACAACCATCACTCACCACTCTTACCGCCTCATCAACTCCTATGCGCTCGAATACCAATATCATCTGTAATTCTACATCTGCCACTACATCTGTGATCTCTCACAGTTCTATCGTTCCAGTAACCGAATCATCAACTAAAATCCAAATGATTGCAAATGCATCAGTATCAAGTAATAATAATAATATTCCAATTGCAAATCATCAAAATAACTCAAATAATAATAATAATGTAACAATGAATAATCAATCAAATACCAATACTTCAAATATATCATCAACATCCTTTTCCTCATCATCATCAGGTAGTAGAAGGAAATCACTAGTTAGAGATCCATCCTATCTTCCAGTTGCTCCAACCATTATATCCAATTAAGAGACAACCAACTCAATCCAACCTCAACCCAACCCAAACAAATAGCTACCTCATCCCTTTAATTAATTTGTTTGGTTCTTTAAATGAGAATCCAAACAAACCCTAACCAACACATAGTCTTTCACGAATCGCCAGTATTTTTTTTATTGGTTCCCTCCTCCTCCCCTCCCTCCCCTCTCTTAATTAATTTAAACAAATAAAACAAACAACAAATAAATCATTTAAAGATGATGGTATTTTTCCGCAAATAACTTTTAAAAAAATACAAGACCCTCTCCTCTATTCATTTCATTAAAAAGTTTCATAATGAATAGTAATAATGAATAATAATAGTAATAGTAGTAATGATGATGATAGATGTTACATTGAATATAGAAAGATACCAACTATACTATTACTTCAAATTATTGGATACTTGGACAACATTGATTTAATATGTTTGCTGTTGACTTGTAGATCATACTATTATGATTTGAAAGATCAGTATTCATCTTCTATTACCTTTAAAGGTTTAGATAGAATACAACAATTGCAACAAAGATACTCTGGTATTAAAAGTTTGTTTATTCATTCAAAAGGACCTTATCAACTCAATGGGTTTACTAGTCTCTACCGAAATGCTATTAGTGATCAGTTGATGGTTGGAAGAGATTTTGGAACTGTTGAGAGTATTAATCGAGTTGGATCGGTTCGTCAAATCATACCAACAGATACTACTTCAACGATTACAACAATGATGATTGGTACAATGGTAGGCATTACCGCTTTCGATCAAGTGATTAGTTTGCCACCAACCATCACACGTCTGTACATTCGTAATGTCATTCAACCTCTTGTCACTGCCTATTTGGGTCTACCCAATTTAAAAGAACTCTATCTTGCTGGGTACCATCCACCAGATATCATAACTATACCCGATAGTGTAAAGTATCTTAGGATTAGATACCAAGATACTTTTAAAGAGTTGGTTGTTCATCAAGGTAACCTTGAAACACTGGTTTTAATATGTACCGATGGTCATCTAGACAAGATTCAAGGGTTATCAAGTAGTTGTATTAAAACAATGAATCTATCTTGTAAGACGTATGGTCTCACCTCGACAACAACACCGAGTGTACTACCATGTACATTGACATCACTCAATATTAAGGTTGGTGAACCTTTACCAGACACCTTTGTATTCCCACCAATGTTAGTGTCACTAACATACGCACCTGCTTGGAATGCCACCACCTATCCACTCAATATTCAAAATTTGGTAAATTTAGAGAGACTGGTTCTGACCGTCCCCGACAGGTTCAATAGAACTGGATTTGAAATTACCTTTCCACCAATCAATCACAGCCAACTCAATTATATCGATGTCAGAAACACAACAACTAAATTACCATTAAAATATTTAAATACATCTTGTCTCGAATCATTACTTGTTCAACATATTTCTCAAATACAGTATGACAATGATAATGATGAGACAACAACAACAACAAAATTAAATATTTTACCAAATCTAAAGAGATTCAAAGGTCAAGCAGATTACTATCATCAAATAGCAACACTTTCAAATAATCTACAAATACTGTCAATACACTATAAATGTCACATGGAATTCCCAAAAGGTTCATTTCCACAACTCAAAAGATTGTGTCTTAATGGGATGTATGTAGCTACAAATGGGTTGTTGATATCTCTTCCAGATAGTTTAACATCTTTTAAATTTAAAACACCTCGTTGCCAACATGACCTTCATAAAGAGTTCCCTCCCAACTTGACATCCATCGATTATATCAAACTATCAGCATACTCGGATAACGATATTCTTTATATTCCATCATCTCTTGAATCATTGGCAATTAAAGCTTATCAAAAAAATGGTATAAATGATTTATATACACTTCCTCAAATTCAAATTATAAATAATCAAAATAATAATCAGAATAATAATAGTTTGGATAATAATAATCAATATTATCTACCACCAAGTTTAAAAAGATTAATTGTCAACCTAGGAACATCAGATGTTACATCATTCAAATTGAGTGAAATCATCAATCGATCAAATGTAGAATCTTTAAAATTATTTGGAAATGCTCATTCAGATCAGAAATACGAATTAGAACTTTCTATTAAAAGATTGGGTGACGATAAAGTATTGATCATTGATAACAATTCAACTTTTGGTGGAATCATTCAATTAAAATTTACTCTGGATACGAACAACAACAACAACAACAACAACAACAACAACAACAACAACAACAACAACAACAACAACAACAAAATATATAATGAATTATATTTGTTGATTAAAGATAATAATCTTGAAATTATCTTTGCATAACACAATTGGACCAGTATTTAGAGAGAAACGGTCCAAACAATGTAACAATCTTTCAAGGTCTCTACGATGGTGGTTCATCACATTCAAGAAAATAATAATAATAATAATAACTAATAAATCGAGATCAAAGTAATAATAATCTATATATGTAAACGGAATTATTCAACTTCAAGGTCACCAACTACTATGATACTATGATCGAAAATGATTCAATAATCATAAACATATCAATCGAGAGGTCTTGGTTTGAGTCAATCTTTAGTTTGTGACATTCAATTAATTTTATTGTATACAAAGTAATAATAATGAATAATAATAGTAATAATGATAATGATGATAAGAATAATAGATGTTACATTGAATATAGTAGTAATGATGATGATAGATGTTACATTGAATATAGAAAGATACCAACTATACTATTACTTCAAATCATTGGATACTTGAATAACATTGATTTAATATGTTTGTTGTTGACTTGTAAATCATACTATTATGATTTGAAAGATCAGTATTCATCTTCTATTACCTTTAAAGGTTTAGATAGAATACAACATTTGCAACAAAGATATGATGGAACGAAGAATATGTTTATTCATTCAAAAGGACCTTATCAACTCAATGGGTTTACTAGTCTCTACCGAAATGCGATTAGTGATCAGTTGATGGTTGGAAGAGATTTTGGAGCTATTAATTGTACCAATCGAGTTGATACTATACATCAAATACCCGTGCCAACAACAGAGACTAATGAATCAAATGCATTGATTACAACACTATTGGTTGGTACACAAATAGATATGACAAAAGAAGACAAGACGGTTCGTTTGCCACCAACCATCACACGTCTATCTATTCGTAAGAATGTACAACCACTAGTCACTGCAGCTATGGGGTTACCAAATTTAAAAGAACTCTATGTAGTTGGGTACCAGCAGTCAACCCCTAACAACAACACTATTCAGCCATCATTAGCAGATACCCTACATCTTGATGGTGCCAGTAGTCTACGATACCTATGCATCCGAAATCAAAGTGCATTTGAAGAGGTATCAGTACCAAGGAACCTTGAAACGCTCGCTCTATTGGGTCAAGCTCAACTAGACAAGATTCAAGGGTTATCAAGTAGTTGTATTAAAACTATGGACCTGTGTTATTGCGAGACATACGGTCTCGATACGACAATGACACCGATACTACTGCCACGTACATTGACATCACTCAATATTAAAGTTGAAGACCCTTTACCAGACACCTTTGTATTCCCACCGATGCTCGTGTCCCTAACATACCAAACCAATGCGAGTGACCCACTCAATATTCAAAACTTGGTGCATTTAGAGAGACTGGTTCTGACCGTCCCCAATATACTTCAAACAAGGATTAATATTATCTTTCCACCAGTCACTCAGAGCAGCATCAAGTATATAGACTTGACAAACACAACAACTAAAATACAACTACAAGATTTAAATACATCTTGTATCGAGTCATTTAAATGTCAACATATTTCACAAATTCAATATGATGAGACAACAACAACAATGACCAATCTATTACCAAATCTAAAAAGATTTAAAGGTCAAGTAGATTATTATCAGCAAATAGCAACACTTTCAACCAATCTACAAATTCTGTCGACCCACTGCATCGCTGAAATAGAATTCCCAAAAGATTCATTTCAACAACTAAAGAAATTAACTTTTGTCTATAATAGAGGACAAGTATTATCGTCTAGACCAGTATCAACCAACATGATCCCTCTTCCAGACAGTTTGACATCTTTCTCACTCAAACGCCCCACATCCGATCTTTATCACCAATTCCCACCAAACTTGATATCGATGGACTATAGTCACGTTGAATATTCAATTATTTATATTCCATCGTCTCTTGAATCATTGTCAATTAGATCTTTTAAAAGATTTCCTAGGGATCGTATATGTTCACTTCCTACATTGAAAATTATAAATAATAATAATCAGAATAATCAAAATAATCAGAATAATAATAATGATAATAATAATAATATTAAGAAAATTAGAAAGAATATTATTAATCAAAATAATCAGAATAATTTAAATTATGATTATTTACCATCAAGTTTAAAAAGATTATCTGTCAATATGTTTTATGATTCTACACCATTTAGAATTAGTGAAATCATTCGTCACTCAAATGTAGAGTCTTTAAGATTCTTTTGTGGAACACAAAACAAACCATTGGAATTGGAACTTTCTATTAGACGGTTGGAAGATGACAGAGTATTGATCATCGATGACAACTCTACATTTGGTGGCATAGTTCAACTAAAATATACTTTGGATATGTATATTGATATGAAAATATATAATGATTTATATTTAGTCATTAAAGATAATAAACTTGAAATTTTATTTGATTATTAAAAATACAATAAACCAAGAAATTCACTTTACAAAAAAGAAGAAGTAATAATGAATAATAATAATAATGAATAATAATAATAATAATAATAATAATAATAATAATAATAATAATAGATGTTATCTTGAATATAAAAAGATACCAACTATACTATTACTTCAAATCATTAGTCACTTGAATAACATTGATATAATATGTTTGCTGTTGACTTGTAGATCATATTATTATGATTTAAAAGATCAGTATTCATCTTCTATTGCATTTAAATGGTCGTTTAATAGAGTAGACACTAGATTCTCTAGTGAAGAACCTTTGATTGTGGCCAACAGACCAAACAAACTCAAAGGGTTCATCAGTCTCTATGAAAATGAAATCGGTGATTGCAGTCAACCAGTAGAGTTTCGAGGATCTTTCACTGTCAATCATAATGGTAGTGTAGATGATGATCTAAATCAAAAACAATCAAATGACAGTCATACCACCACTGTATTGTCGCACACACGTGATGGTCGTCCTATAGTCATGTCGACAGATATCGCCAACATGCCATTGACAACCTCTCTCACCATTCATGCAATCGTTCAATCAGATGTTGATGATGTTGCCACATCTAGGCTACCCCATCTAAAAGAATTACAATTGTTGGGAGACTACACCTTATCAATGATGAGGTTGTGCATCAAAAACCTTCCAGACAGTCTCCGACATTTACATATTCAACGTATCAACTTTCAAGAATTACATGTCCCCCAATCCCTTGAATCTCTTCATTTCAATCCTGAACATACTCTCGATTCCTATAATCTCAATCAGATCAAGGGATTGTCGACCAGCTCAATCAAATCACTCGATATTTCATCATTTAACATGGTTCGTGACCTCGCCACTGTATTCCCACCGACATTGGCTAGTCTCACTATCAAATTAGTTGAACACCCAAGTGTGGATGACCTCATATTCCCATCGTCTCTAATCACACTATCAATCACTTCTTTGAGTAGAACAACCACCACCTTTGGAGTGAACCTGGAAAACCTTACATCACTTGAGAATCTAACGATTAGAGTTCCAAATACAATGGATAAAAAGGATATTTCAATCATTCTTCCACCGACCAACAACAGTCGACTCAAAAGTCTAGACATTAGAAAGACAAATATAACATTGTCAATCAATGCTTTACCAATTTGTATTGAAACAGTAAGGTGTCAAGATATTTCACAAATCGATCTTGGAACGACGAGCAAGGAAGAAACAAAAACAAATTGTCTACCAAATCTAAAGAAGTTTTCTGGTAGGATGGAGTCTTGGAACAACATAGATACACTATCAACCAATTTATACAAATTCTCAACCGTGTATCATCAAACGTTAGTACCAGACGATTCATCTGTCCTCCACTCGGTTAGAAAACTGAACCTTATGATTCCACTCGATTCCGCCAAAAATCCATCACAAACTGAACCAACCCTTCCACATAGCTTGACATCTTTAAAAGCTAGTTCATTCCATGACATGCGCAAGTTTTCAAAACCTCCTCTTGTCTTTCCAGCCACTTTGGTGTCACTCAACTATATTAGTCTATCTTTTACCCAAACTGTCTATATTCCAGTATCGCTTGAATATTTGGGAGTTAAAGCAGGTTTGAAAAAGACTTATAATGCTATGGGTGGTGAATTCATCCTCCCAAAATTTATCATTCTAAATAATCAAAATAGCAGTAATAATAATAGTATTAATAATAATAATAATAATGAACGACCCACAACAACACAATTAGATGTAAACAAATATTATTATCTACCACCAAGTTTAAAAAGATTAGATATTTCGATGGATACACATTGTCCAATACAAATCAGTGAAATCATCTTTCAAACAAATGTCGAGCATTTGAAACTATTGACAAAATTAAATAATACAAGAGACTTGGAATTTGATTTTAAGATTAGAAGATTGGGTGATGACAAGGTTTTAATCATCCAGGACAACTCTGCTTGTGGTGGAATCATCAAACAAAAATATACTTTGGATGTGAACAACAACAACAAAATATATTCAAATTGCTATATCAAGTTAAACGAAAATAGACATGTAGAAATATTCACCCAACCATTGATTGTCTATAGTTGATCCCAAAAATAAATTGTTTTTGTACTTTTTTAGTTTTACTTTTAAAAGGTTGTAATTTGTTTAAAAAGAAAAAATATTTATATAAATTTATTAAAAAGCTATATTACCAAACGCATTGTTGTTGAGTAATATTTAAATTAATTCTTCTTGGCACCGCCGGCTGAACCAGTCTTTTTGCCTCTGTCGTCTCTACGTGGAATCTTTCTATTTCTATTTTTGTTCTTTACATTGTGAGTCTCATAGAAATGGTTACCAACCTTTCCTTTGTTGGTCTTCATTCTCTTTTCCTTCTTTTGTGAAACTGCTCCATCATCATCAGATTCAACTTCTGTAACTAAATTAAATTAAAATTAATATTAATACAAATATTATTATTATTTGTTTGTTTGTTTTTGTTTTTAGTTTACTTACTTTTTTCTTGATATTCTTTTCTTGGGACAACCTTGTTATTGGTTGGTTTTTGTTGTTTCAACTTGGCAACATTGGATAAAAGTACCAAACCCTTTTCTGGCATTTCTTTCTTCTTTGATTTCTTTACAACTACCAATTCATCTTCACTGTCTACTTGCTCTTCCTCCTCTACTTGTTTGCTCTTTGATTTCTTTTTGTTATTTTGTTTGGTTGAAACTTGTTCTTCCTCATCAACCTTTCTCTTGTTATTCTTTTTGTTATTCTTCTTCTTTGGTTGTTCTTCTTCAGATTCTTCCTCTTCTTCTTCATCGGATCCAAGATCACCAGCTGCCAAATCTTCATCAAAATCGTTATAATCAAAATCGCTGTCATCGCTATCAATGTCGTCCAACAATTGGGCAACATCGTCTTCGTCGTCGTCTTGGACAGCTTCATTGTCGTCGTTGACAACCTCTTCGTCGTCGGAGATATTTTCGTCGTTTTGGTACAAGTCGTCCCAATCTGGCTCTTCGTCAAATGGATCGACGTAACCGTCACCTTTGGCATCCTCTTCATCAAACTCTGCCTTGACGTTGATATTCTTGAGCTTTTGGTGGACAACCAAGTTTTTAAATTCGATCTTTTTCTTTTCTCTCTTGATTGGGGTGGCATCGGCGGCTGGAACAGCGATGGCTGTGGCGGTAGTGGCAACAGCGTCAACGTCGGTAGTTTCAGCGACAGCGTCGACATCTTCAACCTTGACTTCAGTCTCGGTCTTGACACCCTTGGTGTTCATCGAGAAGATGGCTGGGGTACCGTCCATCATGGGTGGGGCGGTAAAGTAGGGGATACGACCCTTTTGATAATCGTACAACATGATCTTGGCGACAGCGTTGAGATTGGGCTTGTTACCCTTTTGGAGCTTACCGGTACGCTCGGCCATCTGAGTGAGGAAGTCTTCGTGGTCGGTCCACGAGGCGATAGCGTATGTCTTGACGAGATACTCCTTCTTGATACGTTTGAGCAGTTCTGGGATATACTCGGTAGCGTCGACGAGGTTTTCAACACGGACGACACCCTTGAGGACGAGTTCACCCTCTGTGTCACCGGTGGTTGGCACGACACCTGGACAATCGATGAGATAGATACGCTTGGTCAAGGTGATGTATTGCCACACCTTGGTCTCACCCGGGATGGGGGCGGCTCTACACACCTTCTTGGCCTTGAGTGTGTTGATGATGGACGATTTACCAACGTTGGGGTATCCAACAAAACCGACCGAGATTTGCTTCTTCTCGGGATGGAGACGAGCAAATTGACGCAAGAGTTGAATCAACGAACCCTTACCGAATGGATGTTGCAAACTGGCGTGGAAGGCCAAAGTTGGATACTCTTGTGACAAAATCTTGACCCAACGTGCGGTACACCATGTTGGCACCAAATCACACTTGTTGAGTACAAAGATAAGATGTTTGTGACGAGCATTCTTTTTCAATTGATTTTCCAAATGTGAACTTCTAGTTCCCATTGGATCTCTAGCATCCAATACTTGAATCAATACATCAGATGAATCAATTACCTAAAATAACGAAATATAAAAGTAAATTAAACAAAATAATAATAAATATAAGTTACACATTCTCTTTTCCTTTTCTTTTCATTTCTTACCTTGTATAATTCACCCCAAATTCTCTTAGAGGTACCCTTTTCGAAAATATCTTCACGACGAGCCTCTCTCATATCGGCTTCAATCTTGATGTTGGTGTCCTTGGATGGATCGTAGGCTTGTTCAGAGATCTTGTTGAGCATGCTTTCGAGATCGACGACCGACGAGAGGTTGGGACGCTTACGTTGCTTCTTTGGGCCAAAGGTAGTCTCGAATGTCTCGGTGGTCAAGAGATTCATTTGAGTCTTTTTGGTCGAGTCTTTGAGCAAGCCCATTGGCAACTTGTTGGCGTGCAAAAGAACCTTGTATGGGTTGTGGATGGTAGCAGCCATCTCTTCACGGAAGGTCTCGAGTTGCTCTTGACTGATCGAGTTGGTGTTACCAAAATATCTTTGGTCGGGTGCGATACGAGTGCTGTGACTGGTGTCCTTGGACATGTAGGCACCGCCGAGGAACTTACCGTCACGCGAGTAGTTGGCACCCTCGCTGTACATGGCGAGACGCTTGATCGTCGCCTTTGAACGGAGATGGGTGTGACCCTTGGGCAACACACGATCAGCATTGGTTTGTATGTTGGTCTTTTTGACTCTGTTGGTGAAACTCTTTTGTGAATGTTGTCTTGGTGGAGCCATTTTTTAAAGATCTCTTTCTTGATTTATATATATAAAAGATATATATAAATAAATAAATAAAGAAAAACAAACAATGAAAATTAATAATAATAACACAAGGTTTTTAAAACCGAGAGAAACGAACGAAACGAATAATTAAATTTAATCCGATTTTGCGCAAAATTTTTTTTTTTTTTCAAAGAGAGGTAAAGTCGATTATCTTTCTCTCTACATGTATTTAATTGGGGATATATTGTATGCAATAATTAATAAACAACAAACACAATACACACCAAGGTCAAGAGTAGTAGTTTAGTTTAGTTAGTTTAGTTGTCATGAAAATTATTTTTATTAGAAAGAGAAGTATACAATAATAAAATATAAAAAATACTTTTGTATTTGGTTGTTGTCTTCAAAAAAACAAGTGGTAAATGAAAGTCGTGAAGAGAGGAGTGAGATAGAGTGTAGAGATAATAATAATGGATCTAACACTATCAATCAAATGTAAAATATGTGGAACGTTTGAATCAACATCGATTGAAGAGTTTAGATTACATGGTATCAATCAATGTATGCCGGCGGTTGCAAGGTACTTTGATGTTGGTCGGCTGGTCGACGTAGCAAAATCACTTGAACAACTAGACCAATTAGATGTTATAAACAAGTTTGAAAAGAAAAAGAGAAGAGATATCTTGATAAAGAAGAAGAAGAAGAAGATGATGATGATGATGATGATGATGATGATGATGATGATGATGATGATGATGATGATGAAATCAATAATAATGGTGACTCTATCCTACAGACTGGCAACTGGAATTGATTGATTGTGCAGCAGTCAACAATCAATTTGAAATAATCAATTGTTGTTGACAATAACAATGTCAACGATTATGATCAATTTATAGAGTCGGCGAAATGGAAACCTTGAAATGGTCCAATTCCTTCATTCTCATCGTACCGAGGGATACTCAAATAAGGCATTAGAGTATGCTGCATCCAAAAATTTAGAACTAGTAAAGGTAACTAACTATTGTATATATGGATGTACACGCATAACATTAATATTTATAATTTACATTCCTCAACTATTTTAGTTTATACATTTCAATCGAACCGAATCAATTACTGTGGAGGATCAATACTAAAAAATCAATAGTTTGGTCCAAAATGGAACTGGAGACGAAGAAGATTGGTATGGGAGAATTTTACTAATCCAAGGAGACAAAGAAATATATAGGATCCAACTATTACCAACACTCACCTTTGATTATTAATGAAACCAATATGTATTACTAATGAATCGTTCGCAATAATCAATGATACACCTTAATCATCAATTGACTTTTTTCAATTTCAATTATCAATAATAGATTTTAAACGGAATATCGCGTCAAGAAATTCTGGGATGAATTATTTGATATTCTTGAAAGCTTGGAATACAAAAGTAGTGTATCGAATATTTCATCCCAGAATTTCCAATGGAACTTACTCTAGATTTCCCTTTTTTTTTTTTTTACTTGCAAGCATAGAATCAAAATTCATAAATCAATATCATGAGTATTAATATAAATCATATCAATAAATAATATTATTTTCATATTATTAATTAAAATTAAAATTCTAAACTAGTGTTTGACTTTTTTCTCACGCACCAAGTCAACAAAACTCTTCATTCGTTTCAGTGCAAATTCAATGTATGTTTTTATTAATTTAATTTTAAAATTATTATTTATTATTATTGTATAGTATATACACACACACACATAGAAAGAAAAGAGATAATTTAACACATACACATATAGTATCGATAATTCACTCTACTCTACTATATTATATTTGTTACTATTGTGAACAATAGTCACCAGAAAAGAAGAAAGAAGAAGAGAAGTTCACTTCACTTACTTGCAATTGTAAACAAAAAGGAAGGGAAAGAACTTCTAAAGAAGAAGAAGAAGAAGAAGAAAATAGAGAAAAAGAGATGAGTTCACAACCACAACAACAACAACAACAAGCTGGAGAACCAAAGTATTGGTGTCATCATTGTAAAAAATATATACAAGTTGGTAACCCTGATGAGTTGGTATGTCCAACTTGCGAGTCAGAGTTTATTGAGGAGGTTGAAACACCACCTCCTCAACCACAACAACAACCATCCCCTCCTTTACGTCAAACAACTCAACAACAACAACAACAACAACAACCAAATGTATTTGGTTTCCCTTTTAATATGTTTTCACCAATGGTACAACAAACCAATTCCAATCCCAACAGTAGAACCTCTCAACAACAACAACCATCGACTCAACAACCATTACCTGCACCACAACCACTTCAATTCGATCCAATATCTGCATTATTCCAACAACTTGGTGGCGCAAATACAACGTCATCTACATCTACTTCACCATTTGGTACTACTACCACTATTCACTTTGGTAATGTCGACCCTTCCACTCTGTTTGGAGGTAGAAATGGTAATGGTGTAGAAGGAGACCAAACATTTTTAAGGTATGTTAATTTATTTAGAATTGATCAAGATGATGAAGATGAACAAGATGAAGAGGAAAGATTACTGTTCGAGGAAGAAGAAGAGGAAGAGGGACAATCATCTGGATCTGGAAATTCCAATGCTGATACTACTGATGAAGATGATGAAGACTTACCAAACCGTTTCTACTCTGTAACTTTTCGTTTTAATAGTATATTAAATTCTTTGACTCAAGGTACTGGCATGCCAATGAATGTTTTCATGTCGGGAGGACTTGGAGGACCAGCTATGGTTGGCAATCCAGGTGATTATTTCACAGGTGGAGATTGGCAAGGTTTTCTCAACCAATTATTTAATGCTGCTCAAAAGTATGTAAACTCTAAATCATAAAAATAAATAATAATAGTATTAATTTAATTTATTTTATTTTAGGAATGGAACACCACCAGCATCAAAAGAAGAAATTAATAAATTAAAAAGAGATAAGGTCGACCAAGGTATTTTGGATCAAAAGGTGGATTGCTCAGTTTGCAAAGAGGATTTTGAAATTGGTCAAGACTATCTTGAATTACCATGTACTCATATTTATCATCCAAATTGTATATTGCCCTGGTTGGACATGCACAACAGTTGTCCAGTTTGTAGATATGAATTAAAGACTGACGATAAAAATTATGAAGCACATAAAAAAAATCAAGAAGAAGAAGAAAATAATAATAATAATAATAATAATAATAATAATAATAATAATAATAATAGTAGCAGCACATCAACAACCTCAACATCTTAGTTTGTTGTTGGGATTTATATTTATACATACATATTTATAATAAAGTTATACTTTAATAACTTTTTTTTTTTCCAATATTAAGCGTTGGAAATTCATTAATAATATAGTTTTTTAAAATTATAGTACAATACTTTATTTTTTAAAGGAGGAGAGAGAGATTTGGTATATCTAAATAAGTTAATTTATATTGATGTGTGATGGTGAGTGGATGGTGATTGTTTTGATTGATTATTATTATATATATGTTAATTAAATAAATAAATAAATTTTATGAAAGAAAATAAATTAAATAAATAATGGTGATGTGTTTTGTTGATTTGATTACGATGGTTATTATTACTACTATTATTATTAATACAAAATTATATTATTTGAATCTTAAACATTTGGTCTTTTTGAAATTGAATTTGCAATTTCAGCATTTAAAGAAACATTCAAGGAGGAAACTTGTTTACTCATTGTTGGGAAAAGAGGAGCTCCAGCAGGTGGTTTTCCAATTGGTGGTTTGGTAGTACCCTTTTTATCAGAGTCTGAGGAGGAGGAGGAAGATTTGTTAAGATTGATTGATGAAAATATTTTGTTGAGTGATGGAGGACCTGATTTTGGTTTCTTTTCTTGAAGTGATGAGGTTCCATCGTTGTTGGCAATGACACTTTCAAGATCAGCTTTGCTGAGTGTTGCTCTACCCATGGTCGATCCATTCGAAGCGCGGACAGTACCGTACTTGTCAGTGGTCGACGGACTGCCATTTGGAGGCGATGGTGTTGATTCCATACGCATGTGTTCCATTTTCAATTGTGAAGTTTCCTCTGCCATTCCTTTGAGACGTTCTTCTCTTTGTAACAAGGTCATGTTGTGGAATGTTTGTTGACGTGTCAATAAACCTGCGTTTGGACCACCATTACCACCACTGGCCTGTCTTTGGATCTGTTGTTGTGATTGTGAAAGTGGTGATTCACTTCCACTGGCTCCAACACCAACTCCACTACTACCTCCATTTCCACTAGCTTGTTCAAGCTGACCAGCTCCACCAGCTACACCAATTTCCATTTGTTTGTCTTCTTCGCCAGCGATAGCTTCATTTGGGTTGGATCGAATGGTTGCTCCTCTAACTGCTCTTCCTTTGACTTTAATATTTGCAAAATAATTATCAATGTATGTTTTAGCTTGACCTGCTCTTTCAACTGCTCTTTTTTCCAATTCTTTTTAAAAAAAATAAATAAATTAATTAATATTAACATTTCAAACTCTTCTCTTTGGATATATTTATAAATATATTATTATTAATATGTTTATGTTTTTTGTTTATACATACTATCACTAATATCATATTGATTATTAATATCACCAAAAACTTTTGTAAAATGATCAAACCATATTTTTTTGGAATCTTCATTTTCAGTTTGCAAAGTAAAAGTGGAGCTTCTTAATTCAATCTCGATACAACTTTGGTACATTGGGTTGCTTGGGATATCTACAATTTTAGGTGAAGGGAATAAATCTTCAATCTTTACAAATTTGAATTTCGCTTTACTAAATAATTTATTTGATGATGGCTAAATAATAATAATAATAAAATTAGTACTATATTATATATTGTATGTATATGTATGTTATGTATTATATATATATATACCTTTGAGAAAATCATAATATCATTAAATAAAAATATATATAATTTTTTAGTTTTCTCTTTTGAATGACCAAGTTGAGAAACATAACCTTCATGAACATATCTTCTATCTGCAACAACAAGATTCTAAAAATAATAAATAATTAAATAAGTATGTAAGTAAATAACATTATATTTGTTTGCCTTTGTCTTTGTTTTTGTTTTGTTTGTTTTTTGTACATACTGGGAATTTACCAACTAATTTGTTTTGAACTTCAATTACTTTAAGAGAATTATCAGCTCTTCTTTTAGTATCATTGATAGAGATGGCAACTTTCTTAATGATATCCAAACCTTCAGAGATATGGGTAAAATCTGGATGAGAGGATTCAGTGTGTTTGAGTAGGTCTTGTAGTAAGAGTACGTAACGTGGGATACGTTGGACTGGAGTAATGAGCAATGATTCCAAACGTGATCGTGGAACTGTTTTTTCCTCTGCCTGTTTGATAAAGGATGTGAATTTAATGTCTTTGCTGCACGCCTCGATACGTTGGAGTGAAAAGTCAAAGTTTTTGACATAGTCTGTATAGGCCTTTAGATAGACACCAAGTGTACAAAAGCATTTGCCAAGGATCGAATAGGGAGTCCAACTCTTTAGAATATTTTCAACGTCAAACATTAATTGTGTGTTGATGGCAATGATCGAATCCAAACCACCAAATATAAACTTGACATCATCCTGTGACACTATATCACTCTTTCTCAATGGATCGATAAAATGTGCCGACAATTGTCCCAATGTATTTAAATAAGTTCTTTCAGTATTATAAATCTCTTGAACAATATTCCATCTATATCTGTATAATATTTCTACAAATTAAATCAAAATATTAATATTGTTTTTAAAAGTTTGTTTGTTTGTTTTGTTCTTCTTTCTTACTTAATTTTCTAAATGGTATCATTTGTTTATATCTTCTATAACATTTTTGGATTTTAATGGCTGCTTGTTCTTGTTCTTTGGTGTATGTTTTGGGAGTTGGTGGGAGTTTGCGACTGGGTGGTGGTGGCAATGGCTTCTTGGGTGGGGCGTGTGCACTAGTTGGACCTGGACGATAAATAGAGAATCTTGGGTTAAAGATGGTTTGTCTGTTGAGTTTGGGTTGACCTGGTGCTCCTACTCCTCCATTTTGTCCACCTCCAAATGCTGCAATGACAGCTGCCGATGGACCATTTGGATGTTGTTGCTGTTGATTAGCATTGTTGTTAAGTACTGATTTACGTATTTGTTGTGATGGTGATCCTCCTCCACCTGCATTTGGACTACTACTCAAAGGTGGTCTGTTTCCAGTATTGGGTGGTGCACCACCAACTGGATGATGATGATGGTTGGATGTTGGGGGAGCTGGATTATTAGTTGGAGCCATAACAAAACATCTAGTGACTCTGAATCGATTCCCACCGGCTAACAACTCCAACTCTTTCTTTTCTTGTTCTTTGAGATCGTTGATACGCTCTTTATTGCCCAACCCCAACTCTTTAAGGAAGTTTTCGTGTAACTCCTCCTCTTCTTCGTCGGTTTCGTCGTCCGAGTCCTCTTCCTTGTTTTCAATCAATGTCCCATCCTCGATAAATGAGCTGTCGCCCAATGTACTATTCGAGTCGGACCCATCATCAGACAATCGTTTGGATATGACACTACTAGTGTCTGGTGACAACAAAGAGTTGGATGATGTATTGGGAGACATACTAATTCTAGTTGGACTACTGTTGTTGGGTGATGAATCTCCACCAATATGAGAATGAACATTCAAATTGGACATGGAAGTAGATGAACGTGGTGCTGTTTTTGGTGGTGTCTTGGCAGGTGGTTTTAAAGGTAAACTTGCCAAGTTACCACTACTTGTACTTTTACTATTTACAATTGATGGAGATGGAGATGGAGATGGTTGTTGTTGTTGACCTTGGTTGTGGTCATGATGAAGAAGATTCTCAGACGATGCAGAAGCCGACACTGAAACTGAAGCAACTCGTTTAGGTGGAGTCGTTTTGATTTGTGCACTGCCTCCTCCAACATTACCACCTACACCTACACCACCTGACGCTGACACCAGTCCAGAGGTAGTAGGAACAGTTCCAGGTTTCAAAATATGTGATGTTCTTAGAGGTGCTACTCCAATGACTCTTGGTTGCTGCTGATCACCTCCTTGTGGTAATAAAACACTTGGTGGTGCTGTTTTTCTTTTTGATTCTGTAAATTTTGTGTGTTTGAGTGTGTGTGTTACAATTACAACCAAACAAATTGTGTGTATGTGTGTTTTAAGAAAGATATCTGTTAGGATCGATCACCTTGTGTTATCTATCTTTACTTATATCTATCTTTACTAACTTACCTTCAATCTCTGCATTCATTTTTCACTATATATCGTGAGTGATTGATTGATTGGTTGATTGATGAACCGTGTTCTAGTTTACTCTAAAGTACTCTCTAGTTTGCTAGCTATATATAAATACAAATATAAATATAAATTGTTTTTCTTGTTTTTGTTGATGATAACTAAAGTAAAGTAAAGTAAAGATAAAGAGGGATACGGGTAAATAAAGATGAAAAAAATAAATGTGATGGAACGAATTTTTGATCAAAATGGTTTTCGCACAAAACAACAATACAATTGTTACAAGACGGTAATCAAGCAACAATTCAATTAAAAGTACTATACTTTCGCTTTCTTTGTGGTTGGTGGTCTTTATGTTTGGTTGTTGTTTGTTGATGTTGATTGATATGTTATAACAAGTAAGCAGATTATTAATTGTATTGTTGGTGTTGGCTTATTGCTGTTGTTGTTGTTGTTGTAAATGTATGATGTATTAACAAGAACGTAAGGAAAGGAAATGAAATGAAAGAATGGATTGAAACGGCGGCGGCGGCGGAGGAGGAGGAGGAGTTGATTGATCAAAAGGTTCAATTCAATCCCTTTCTCCTCCGACACCGTCGACTACTAATATGAGCGTGTGAGTCCGCTTCCGTCACCCCTCACCCTCACCCTCTCACTCTCTTTGTTTTCTTGGTTTCGTCTAGAGGGGGGTGTTGTTAGGGTTATCATCGCGAACTGGGATCAACTGTGGTCACAAGTTGCAACCGTTGTTGGATTATCATTATTAATCCATGGACACAAACAAGTGTTATGATGAATAGGAATATATATTTATATATATTTATATATAGACTCTATTTATAGTGTGGCAACGGCCATCCTTGAATTTGAATCGTCATATATTACATTTGTGGGTGATGGTGGTGGTGGAACTTCCAAGTTGGATGATAATGATGATGATGACCTATGCTATAGTATTATTCTCTGTGTGTTTATTACTTTTTTTATGTTGGTGTCCTCTATCTCTGATCAGATGATGGATGCTCTCTCTCTCTGCTATAAATGAAAACAATTTAATTGTTGATGAGTTGTGTGATATTAGTTAAACGATAAGACCAACCAACAATTCGTGGTAAGGGTAGCGCTTGGTTCCTACTGACTACTGCTGTGAGGTGGATAATATAATAAACAAAACTGATCGATCAAAAATTGTTGCTTTCAAATAAAAGCGGTAGGTGCATATTGAAAACAATGCAAACTTTGTTTCAAAGTGGGAGATGAGATTCATACTGCAGCCCAACCACTCGATCAAGGTCAGATAGAACCGAGTCGAGTAGCAGCTAAGATAAAAGCTTATAATCCTATAATTAGTACTAGAGACAAACAAGATAGAATGAAAGTCTTCCTTTCTTGTCTTGGACAACAATCAACTAACTGGAAGTTCGTGATGGATGAAGGACAGGATATCCACTCACACAGGTTTTATCACCACTCATCTTCATCTCTCACTATACACACAGTTATGCATTCTCATCACACACACACAAACATAGCAGCACACACACCACCTATTGTCATTGTCTCATTCATTTCAACTGAAGTGTACCCTGCGTAGTGTGGTACACATACTACACCCCTATCTCACACACTCTAGGATACTGTTGATATCTAAAATCAATGATCAGTGTTGATGATGATATGATATTGTTCTGTTCGTTCATATGTTTAATCATATGAGAGTGTAGATTGAACAACAAATGAATGTAATGTGTTCATTCAACAACAATATAGAATGTGTGTTGTGTGTGATGTTGTTGTGTGGAAATGGATCACTCCTACTACTACTATGACTACCATGGTAATCTATCGTTGTTGCTGTTCTGTTGCATCTTCAACAACAACAACAACAACAACAACAACAACAACAACAACAACTTTGTTGCAATAGTGGGTGAAAGGGGGAGTGCGTATTAATAACAATATGAATGGAATGTGTTTGTTCAAAAATTTTGGATGGCTGTGGAATAATACATTATTCTTATGACCGACATTTTAGAGTAGGATAATATGGTGGATGGGATCCAAATCATACAGGTGGTAGATATGATACAAGTATCGATTATCTCTTGTTACAACAACAAACAACTAAAATGACAATAACATGCATGCATATGACTTTCGAGAAAATAGTAGTAGATTAGATACTACCCTCCTACTACTACTACTACTACTACTACTATTGCATTTATAATCAATGAGTGATTGTAAATGCAATCACCAAATCTGTGAGAGAGTGTGTGTGGGTATATGATATGAGTGGGAGAGAGAGTGATCATCATGACAACTTATTCTACGACTTTGCATTACTTTTGTGTTCAGAAGTAATAATAATAATAATCATAATTATATATGATCATCAATTGAACAGAGAGAGTGGGATTAAAATTAATCAGTAATAATAGTCCATCCATCATATCCATCAGTTTCATTCAGTGTTTGTTTGTTTATATTATATTAATTTATTATCCTTCATTCATTCAGTCAGCTTTAATAATACTATTAGTAAAGTAAAAGAGTCATTCTAAATAATAATATCAATCATAATATAATAATTTTAATCAATCCAGGTAAATTTAAATCAATCCAAGGAATCAAATATTTTTTTATAATCCACATATTTATTTTCATTTCCATTCCCCAAAAAAAATACATACATACATACAGAAAGAAAAAGAAAAGAAAAAGAGATAAAGAAAGAAAGACAGATTATTAAAAAGTAATTATTAAACAGGATAATTTATTATTATTATTTATACACTCGGGATTTATTAATATTAATAATAATATAATCTATCTATATACTTACTTACTTATTTTTTTAATTATTATTATTATTATTATTATTTTTATTATTATTATTATTATTATTATTATTATTATTATTATTATTATTATTATTATTATTAGTGAGACTACTTTATGTGACAATGATACTATTGGTGCTTGGACAGTTGGTCTGGGCAGATGTTCGATTCCCACTTTTATATGATGAAAAAATAGCTCCTTCTCTCATGGTCGAAGTTGGCCAAGGTGTGCAATGGGTACGTAACCAAAACGACCACGAGAAACACACAATTGTCATAAAGAAGATTGGCGGCGACCAAGTTGCATCTTATGAATTTAACAATGATATCGAGCACGTTTTCAACTCGGTCGGAGAGTATCTCTACGAATGTTCCGAGCATCCAGATGCCCCCAAGTTCCGTATCTCTGTTGCCAACCCAACTGCAGAATACCCAGGTGGTGTAACTAGCCAAGATCTTGCCAACAAATACCAAGAATCCATTAGACAAGAAGCCCAACAACAAGCTCTAGCTGCTCAAAGAAATCAACAAGGTCAACAAGATGCTCATAATGCCAATAATGGAAACAATGTCAATAATGCAAATAACGCAGAGAATGCCAACAATGCAAACAATGCAAACAACGCAAACAATGCAAACAACGCAAACAATGCAAACAATGCAAACAACGCAAACAATGCCAACAATGCAAACAACGCAAATAACGCAGAGAATGCCAACAATGCAAACAATGCCAATAATGCCAATAACGCAAATAACGCAGAGAATGCCAACAATGCAAACAATGCCAATAATGCAAACAACGCCAACAACGCCAAGAACAGCGATGATGCAGCCAACTGGGTTATCAAGCAATACACTGATCGTACCAACCTCTACAGACTCCAACAAGAAGAGGCCCATGAAGCCAAGGTATCTCCAAATGCTGGCCCACGTATCGGTCCATTCCCAACCATCCCAGAGAATGTTGTCAACCAAGCCCCACTCAGTCAACAAGAAAGAGAGGAACAAGCTCAACAAGGTGCACAAGAAGCCAACAATGCCAACAATGCAAACAATGCAAACAATGCCAACAATGCCAACAACGCCAACAACGCCAACAACGCCAACAACGCCAACAACGCCAACAATGCAAACAATGCCAACAATGCAAACAACAAGCCAGACACCAAGATCAAACCAGATGCCAACGGTGCCAACAATGCAAACAATGCCAACAATGCCAACAACAAGCCAGACACCAAGGTCAAACCAGACACCAAGGTCAAGCCAGATACCGATGCCAAGCCAAAACCAAGCGAAAATATCGAACCAACTGTCGACGAAAACAACAAAGAAACCAACTCTGATGCCAAAGAAGGTGACGCCAAGGCTGTTGCATCCTCTGTTGTTATTAATATTACATTACTTGTTGCCACTTTACTCGCTTCATTATTACTCTAAAAAAAAAAAAGAATAGAAATGAAAAGAAAATAATTTCATAACTCACAAAACAAGATAACAATAAGAACAAGAATAATAAGTACTTACTTTTCAATCTTTATAATATAATTTAAATATCATTTTAAAAAAATAATAAATAATAATAATAATAATATCCAATCCAATCCAATCCAATCATATCATATCATATCATATACCTTTCCCACAAAACAAATAAATAAATAAAAAAAACATTTTTAAAAAATATATATAAATCAAAAATATATCTGTATAATGTATCAATACAATATTTTATAAAGTTGGGGATGAAGGTAATGAAATATCTACAACTTGTTCACAATCTGGAAAGGTTGGTAGATTTAATTCCATTTCTTGGCATAGTTGAGGTGGCATGAACCTACCACCCAACCAATGTTTTCCTCTGTATTCTCTTGAACATAGTTTTGGTGATGTTAATGACACCAACATATCTGGTTCAAATGTATTATGAATATTTCCTAAAATTAAATAAATAAATAAAATAGAGGTCAGTTTCAAGGATTCAGGGTTGTTGCTTTTTCCATTTCTTACCCTTTTCAATATCCCAACCAGAGGGAATATCAATTGAAGCAATTGGGACTTGTGAGGTTGTGAGATCGGCAATAATGTCTTTAAATGGTGGACGGATATCACCTTTGAAACTGTATCCAAAGATTGCATCAATCACCAATCCATATTGAGATTTAATAGTTTCCTTTGGGAAATGATCGATAAATCCAACTCCTGTCTTTTCAGCTTGTAATACCAATCTCTATAATTAAATAAATAAATAAATAAATAAATAAATAAATAAATAAATAAATAAATAAATAAATATTAACCAAAAGAATGTATACTATTTCAATATTTTAATGTCATATGAATGTAATGTAATCGTCATCGATGATAAAGGAGGAAGTTGGAAATCCAAGTTAGTTGTTTCCCAATCCAACCCGTTTGTCTATCTACAGATCTATCTACCTACCTTGTATAAATCCTTATCAGTTCTTTTGGGGTAATACACATCAACTTGGTATCCAAACAATACTAAATGTCTTGCAGCCACTAAACCATCACCACCATTATCTTTTAAAAAAAAAAAAGTCAGTATGATTGATAGATTAGAGGAAGATCACCAAAACCCGATACAAGATCAAGATCAGAACGTGTTTGGTTTTTGAGTAGAGTGACTTTTTGATTGGTCATCAATCAATTTTAATCTTTCAATCTCTACTCTACTCTACTCTAAAAGTATTATGTCTGTTTGTCTGCAGACAGTGTCAAGATATAGGATAGATCGATGATGATGATAATGATGATAATGATGACTTTTTACTTACTTCCAGGACCACAAATAGCCAACACCTTTTTATTAGCTAATCTTGAAGGTGGATATGATTTCATAACTGAACATGAGGCTGCTAGACCTGCCAATTCCATCAACTATCATCATAGATACAATGAATGAATGAATGAGTAAATGAACACATATATATTCTATTTCTATTTCTATATTTCAATTTACCTGATCAGTACTGAATCCATAGATTGGTCCCAACAACAAGTCATCTACTTTGATTGATTCAGCTTGATTTAAATATTTAATTAGTGATGTCATCCTTTTCATAATAATAATAAGAAATGATTATTACTACTATTATATATATACTAGTAATATAACAAAACGATCAAAGAATGATACATTTTCATCGAACTTGCTTCAATTAAATTTTTAATAAACTTCAAAGTGCTTGTTCGGAATATTATAAAATTACGAACTACGGGGGGTGTACTTTAGTAAAGATGTTGATGATAATAAGATTAACATTATTATTATTATTATTATTATTTCATATGACGATTAACAGATCATTCTCTCTTATTGCCCATTTATGGAATAGGATAGAGTATGTGTGTGGTTTGGGGGTGGTGTGAATCGATGCATCGAAACGAATGAATGGGTGTGCGATTTTTGATTGACCAACAGTCTAGTCAAAATTCATTCTTCTTTCTTTCATTTCGCATTCAATATCTTTATATATTTTGTTTGTTGTATATATATATATTTATATTTATATTGACAATAACTACGACTAACGACTATTGTATTGTACATTCATTTAATTTAATAAAGGATTCGAAACAAAGAAAGAAAGAAAGAAAGAAAGAGATTTAGATTAGTGGTAGTAATGAATAGTAGTAATAGTGACGATGATGGTATTAAACAACAACAACAACAACAACAACAACAACAGAAACAGAATAATGATAAAGATTCAATAAGACAATCATGTGTAATAGTTAGAATTAGAGGACCTTCAGAGACACATAGACCATATATTTCAACGTCTACTGCATCATCATCATCGTCCTCACCGTACCCATCATCATATCCACCATCATCGTCATCATCTTCATCACATCCTATTACAACTCAATCTAATAGTCATGCCAATGGTTCAAATGGACCATCTGCATTTTCCCATTCATTGTATGTGTTTGACTCAACATATTTAATATATATAATATATATATATACTAATACTTTTATTGTTATTTGTTTGTTTGTTTGTTTATATAAGTGATGGTAGAATAACAACAAGCTGTAGTGGATTTATAATTAATTTAGAGAATGGGATAGTGTTGACATCACCATCAATCTTTTTACCATTCTTGACGAGGGTGACTGGAGACACTAGCAATCACTATTCGTTGTTGCCGGGTAGTGACATTGATGTAATGTGTAACAACAATAGGGTGATCAACAACCAAGACATAAAGACGAGCAATCAACTGTCCATCTACAAATTGGCCGACGAAAGAGTATACGACCCGCTCAACCAATGGCATTCGTGCCGGTTCTTGGGTTTTATTGAAGGTGCCGACGCCAACATTGCCATATTCAACCAATTAAAGAGCTACTTTGTGTTAAACAATCAGTTTGAATGTTCGTTGGGATTGGTTGTCCTAAAGGTCAACGAATCGCTGCGGGCCATCGACTCGGCCTACCGAAATGTTTTGTTTGGCAACTCATTGGCCATGCACAGCGGGTCACCCGTGACCGTGGTTGCATCACCGTTTGGGTACATCTCTCCGACGATATTCCTGAATTCACTCTCGACTGGCGTCATTTGCAACTGCATCCAAGAACGAACCTACTCCCAACCCTCACTCTATCTCACCGACGCCAGGTGTTTGCCTGGCAGCGAGGGTGGTGGCGTCTTTGATAACGATGGACGTCTAGTTGGCGTTGTCGCCACCCCCATCAAATCCAAAGACGACAAATCTCCCTTTAACCTCACTCCTCTTATCCCCGTTCACACCTTTATCATGGCATTGGAAAAACTATCAAAAAAGGAAAACATTAATCTATTTCCAGGGACAACAAATATAGGTAGTGGAGGGATGGGTTCTCTTTCATCTTCATTTCCTTCACCTTGTCCTTCTAGTGATGGATTATTGACATCGCTAAAGAATAAGATTGTATTGGTTAAATTTAAGGATACTTGGGGATCGGGTGTAATCATATCAGACGATGGATACGTGTTGACGAATGCGCATTTACTGACACCAACCATCCCCGCATTAAAGGCGTCTACGACGGCTGCATCAATTGCGTCGCTTCAGTCCCCGACAGTGTCTTTATCAGAGAATAGTTATCCACCTTCACTATTTGAAAACTATCAAGTCGATATTCGAGTCAACTTTGCATCGATTGTTGGAAAAGAGGCGGTCGAGGGACACTCTTGGTACAGGGGTGCGATTGAATACATTTCACATACACATCTAGACATTGCATTGCTACGTATTAAAAGACACATTGAATCTGACCGATTCCATCATGTCACTTGCAATACATTGGCCAATCCCAAGCATGGAACCAAAGTGTCTGTACTTGGATTCCCACTTGTCCCACCATCACAAAACCCATCGATTAGTGTCACCTCTGGTATCATATCCAATATTGTTTGTATAGATGGTTGTGCAGTTAGTTATCAAACAACTGCTCCTGTTCATAGTGGTAATAGTGGTGGAGGTTTATTTGATTTGTAAGTAGTAAAAAAAAAAAAGAGAAAAAAGAAAAAGAGAGAAAAGAAAAATCTAGATTCATTAATAATATTTATTATTTATTATTTATAATTTACATTTATTTAATTCTTTAAAGGAATGGTAATTTTTTAGGAGTTGTAACATGTAATGCAAAACAAAAGAATGGATCGATTATTACAGATCTGAATTTTTCAATTCCTACAACCTCTCTTGTACATTTTTTTAATTATTCAAATAAGCAAGGTATGAATTTAAATATGAATATGAATATAAATATATATATGTCAGTCAATCTACTGTTTAATCTGCACACACATCTGATCATTGTGAAAAAATCACACAACGAGATGAAGATTAGAAGTACTAACCCAAAAAGGATATAAGTAATAAGTACTAATGATCATCATTTTTATTTTCATCATCTCTCTATTCTATTATTACATTTTACACTTTTTGGTTTGGAAAATGCAACCAGATTCCAGTGGATTGGATATGATGAGATTGAGTAAAACCAACAAATTTTTGAAAGCACTATGGAAGTTGCAAATCACTTCATCACCCCAAAGCGGTAACCCTCCTCCTCCTCCTCTTCCTCCTCCACCATCCCAAAATGACCAAAGCAAAAATAGCAATAACAGCAGTTATAATAATAGCAATCATTCATCACTAAATTCTCATCACCAGCAAAAGCACACAACATTGGAAGAAACCACATTCCATAACAAGAGAAGAAATTCAAATTTAATTTCAAAATTATAAAAAGTAGTAGTAAATAGTAGTAGTATCAAGAGAGCATGAGGAGCATGAGGATAACGTCATCATCCAACCAACAGTACCACTCACTGTGCACTGACATTGAATCACATAATATAATAATAATAACAATAAAAGGCACTCACAAACACTCAGCAGAGTGAGTGAGTGTATATATATATTTCACTATCAATATCAATCAATCAATCAATCAATACATATGAGCACAGTCGCAACTGGAACTGACGATCGATTCCTATATAGAGAAAAGAGATAAAAATAAATAAAATTGATTCCCCCCTGTTAAACCAGATTGTCAGTTCCAACATTACTGCTCACTGTTGAGCAAATTGTGTATGTATGTCTGTGGTGTGCTGTATGTATAGGTGGTGAATGGTGGTGGTGGTATTATGAGACGAGAAGATCCAGTGTTTTTAGTTGATTCATGCGGTATACTAGTATTCCAGCCACTCTATTCTATTCAAATCTTTTTCTTTTCTTTTTTTTGTTTTTATTCTTCCAAACTTTACAAAGATATGAATGAAAATTTCCGGCTACTGTATCGTCGATGCCCTTTAGTTGTATCGCATTTCCCTCATTTCTTCTATATCTCCACTCCTCCTTTTTTTCTACTCTTTCCTCCTCTCTCTGATCCCCTCCCTCCCCACAACCCTTTATGGCAAACACATTTATAGCTGCTGGTGGTAAGATCAAAGTATTGGTGATATGATATGATCCTATACCAAGCAATGAGGATTACTTGTATAATCTATGGGGGGATGGCTACTACTACTTCTACGCCAACAGCGAGTCGGGGGTAGGGAGGATTCCCCAGCAATGGATGAGGAATGTGGGTCCCACCAACCAGTCGCTGTCGCAGTCGCTTGCGACCACACCCGACACACATCAAGATATACATGATTGCAATCCCGTATAGTCAGAGGGAGGGTCGTTCAGAGAGAGGAGGAAAGAGTAGAAAAAAGGAAAAAGATCTTTACAGAATTTCCTTTTATATTGCTTTTACGGGTAACAGGATGCCCATAAGCAATGGATCGATGGTTAGTGGTTAGTTTGGGAGGGTTGGTTGGTGGTGGTGATGGATGTACAATCCAACAACGTCGTCTACAACAACTGCTGCTGCTGCTGATGCTTGACTTGACATGATATTCATGTTTGTTGTTGGTAAATCAGCTACAAGGAGTAGTGGTCCCCCACCTCGCCGAGTAAACATGATGATTTTTGATGGATGTTGATCATGCTAATGATAAGGGGTAGCTTGGCAAAAAGATAGTAGACCAGTCAACCAACCAACCTATTCACAATGTCACACATCTCAACACTCAAATGATGATGATGATGATGATGATGATGATGATGATGGTTGTCCGAAATGTGGGTGTGGTGGTGTTGATGGGGTGGTTAAAACAAATCACAACAAGAGCAAAAAAGGATTGTCGTCGAAATAGAGTAGGAGGAGGTGTGATGTGTGATAGAGATGTAAAGCTGGAATTATTATTCCCTCCAACATCAACTACTACTACTCTTTCCTCTCTTTCTGTTCTGTTCTTGTTGTTTTGTTGAGGATTAAATAGGTCTACCTTAAAATGATGAAACTGGCCAGTTCGTCGTGGGGGGGGGGGGGATGTTCCCCTAGCTAGTTGTGATCGTCGACAACAATAACCAAACCAATAAATAAAACACAGTCTCTCTAACCTAAGGATCGTTTAGATCAGAAATAATAATAATAATAATAATAATAATAATAATAATAATAATAATAATAATAATTTAATACTCGGATAATATTATTATATAGTATTGCCAGGTTCTACTACCTACCTACCTACACACCACTAACTTTGAACACACCAATTCGTACTGCCTGCAGCTACCTCTATTCTTTAGTCTAACACATATCTCTCCCTCTCTCCCCTTCCCTACTACTTGTAATTATAATATTTAAGAAGATCATCCTCCACTTTTAAATTTTTCAGTTCATTTTGTTTGTTCAAAATCAATTGATTAGATTCAGTTTGTCAAATCTTTTTATTTTTAAATCTATTTCCATTACGTTCCACTCCACTTTATCCATCCATCTATCCATCCATCCATTAACAACCATCAATCAACCCAACCAACAAATAAATTTTAAAAAACAGTCTCTGCTTTTTTTTAATTTCTGTTCAAACTTTCCTCCTCCTTTTCGAACCATCGAACCTTTATTGTTATTGTAGTTGTTCCGATATAATCCACCTATAATCTCTGTCATTTTTGCCTTTTAAAACTTTTGAGGAAATACCAAATTTGCGAACGTCCCTCATCCACCTTCCACCTTCCACCTTTTCAACAACACCAGTACCGTCAGATCAATATCATCATATTTCATTGGTACTGTCGTCAATAATACAACATACACACCCTACCCTACCCTTCTTTTCAATCCACCGATTTAAAGAACTTTCTAAACAAACACGTGTGTGACAGACATTCTACACATTTCTCCAGACTAGGAAAAAAAAAAAAACAAAAGTCAACTAACCCAACAACAACACCAACAGAAAAACCCTTCCAGTTGCCTATTTCCCGCTTCAATTTAAGAGAATAGAATACCCTACCCCAACCGGCAGTCGACAGTCGAAACATATCCCTACGAAACCAAAGGACTTTTTGAAAATCCACAACCATAAATCACAACCAATCGCCAGACTTTAAATCATTGCTTTGTTCAACAACAACAACATCATAATCAATCAATATTGTCTTCATCACTATCTCACCGTTTCTTACACACTCACACTATATAATTTAAACAACCCTTTTTTTTTTCCAACAATCCAATCAATCTGGTCTACGATCTGTCAACCAACCTCTTTACCAAAATACCATCATCATCATCATTAAATCTCACCCAGTGTATTCGAGTTCATTGTTATTTAATACCACATCTCTTTCTTGTTTAGTCTGACACTCATTGTTTTGACAGGTACCACCACCACCCAACCCTAACCCGCTCACTTTGACATTAGCACGAACCCGCCAGATCGCCAACAAGCACTACAAAAAAATATTATTTCTGTATGTATATCCGTATACCATCATCCATTGACATCCCTATTTATGTAGTAGAAAGAGAGAGAGAGACAGACAACGAGAGAGAGGGGGAAAGAGAATGACATCTGGTTGAGTGTCAACAACAAAATAGCAACCACAACAAACAACAACAAGTGATTGATCAATAGTGTCACTACTGGCAACTCAGTCGACGAATGAACAACAAATGAAAGATTGGGATCGATCAGTGAATGCAATCGATTGAATGAATGAATGAATGATGAAGAAAGGAAAGGAAAGGAAATGTAAATTAATTTATTAATATTAATTTTAATTTTGAAATAACGTCATCACATCACAACAGGTTCATTGCCACAACCAGTAGTTTAAAAAGCACGAGCTCGTTTACAATTATTTTTAATCAATCACCATCACCATCTTTTCCATTGCTCACAAAGCTATAATAATAATAATAGTAGCCATCACAACAATATTGCCAACGGCCCATTAATATCTTCATCATCTCCATCCATCCATTCATTCAAAAATGGTAGTCATGTCACTAGAGACCGATGAAATTGCAGCCATGGTTAGAAAATCTGGCACCAAATCAATGGTTTTTGCTTATGATGGAACCCGAAGAAGCCACCTTATCCAAGAAGTATCAAAGACTGGTAAGTTGTTTAAACTTCATTGTTAACCCCCACCCGCCCATCGATGGGATGCCCTTTGAATTTTTTTCAAACAACCCAACATCCTTCCATCATTTTCTCATCCTTTCCTACCCCACCTTCACCTAACATTATAACCAATAATCTGAACTTGATTCATTACATGAATCATCAAAGGTTTCAGGTAAAAAATCAAAGGAGAAGGAGCTCAGGCCAGTTCCCATCGTCGTTGCGCGACACCCAACATCGTCTTCGTTGTCATCAAATTCTCGATTTGGACCTTGTTTTTTGTTTTTTTGTAAAATTAATTAATTGTCCTCGTTTAAATTAATTAGAACCCTTCCCCCAACAACACCCCTCCAACCCAACCGTTCATCCAACCTACCGCGCACTCTTTCATTTGTCAACTGTTTTTTTTTTTGATTTTTATTTTTGGCTTCAAGAAGAATCTTCCCAAACGATTCATTGAAGTATGGGAATGATCATTCATTCCATTTTTAACATTTAGAAAGAGAGAGAGATAATTATCTCCAACAACACTTTAATTTAATTATGATGGTCTTTGAATATTAATCTAAAATCTTTCTTTTGTTGATTTTCCTCTTTTTCTCTCTCTTTTTATTTGTAGAAGGACCAGATAGCGAGAAATTATCGATCGATTGGAACGACTATTCCAAAAATGCATTCAAAAAGATGTTAGAGATTAGTGTTTTGATGTTTGCACATGGATTACAAGAGATTACCTATCCAATGTGGTTCCCAACACTAGGCAAGAGAGGCAAGGAATATACACCAAAGTTTATCTCTTATATGTGGGGATTGAACACTCTCTACAGTGACCCATATCTTCGTGAAAAGTATGAGGCCGATGGCATTAGAATCATCTTTTATGGCGAGTGGAGAGAATTATGTCGTCTTGGTGAAGACCCAGAGTTGGAAAGATTATTGGAAAAGATCCAAGAAGACTCCAAACACAGAACCAAGAATGTTTTATTGTTTGGAACAAATATCTCTTCTCCTGCAACTGTTATGGCTAATCTTGCTATTGATCATTACAAGAAATATAATAAGAGTATGAAATCAAATTAAAAAAAAAACAAAACAAAATAATAATAATAATAATAATAATAATAATAAGTATGATAGTTTAAATATTAACTTTTTTCTATCTCTATTTTTTATTTCTATTTCTATTTTTATTTTTAGCACCAACAAGAGAAGAAATGATTATGGATTATTATGGGTACCCATTATCAGATGTTGATATGTATGTTGGATTCGATAGATTTGTAACCGATGGAAGACCACCAATCATTTCAGAGAATGGAAATGAGAATCTTTATTTTACAGTTTCTCCACACTCCTTTTTTAATATCTCTGTTGTATGTATAAATATTAAAATAATATATATATATATATTTGATATTTAATTATTTATTCTTAATTTATTAATTAATTAATTATTTGTTTGTTCAATATTTATTTATTTATTTAGTTGAGATCAATTTTATTTGATCATTTATTTAATAGAACAGTAGCAAATACTAAAGAGTATGATTTAACTAGATTGGATATCAAGAGTATGCACTCATTCTATTCTAAAAACGAAAAGACTGCTCTTGGAGTTGGTAACATTCAATTAAAAGGTAATTTCTGGTATCCAATGTCTGACATTAAAATGTCGACTTCATTCATTTCCAACTCGTCCGACAAATCATCCAAACACAACAGCAGCAGCAACAACAAGGAACTCTCTCCTAAAAAGATGACAACTTTGACTAAACTTATGAATCAAATCAATGGAGCCAGCCGAAAACAAAAACATTGATAAGAAATCAAAACAAGTACCAATTAATAATCTTGTTGAAGAATATCAAGTTTAAATTAAATAATAATAATAGTAATAGTAATAATAGTAATAATAGTAATAATAGTGATAATAGTAATCAAAATCATAGTATTAATAATAACAAATGTACATTCAAATTAAATAGTAGTAATAATAATCATCATTCACCTAATCAATTAACCATTAACATCCCAGTATTTATTGTAGCAAGTTTTTAAAATCCAATCATTCATCCAACACTACCGTTGTAACATTAAAGTAGTAGTAGCAATTAATAATAATAATAGTTTCTTTTTTTTCAAAACTACTACTCTTCTCTTTTTTTCCAATTTCCAAAGCAATTCAAAATAATAATAAATATTTTAATACAAAAACTATTATATAATTAGGTTATTCCCTATTTATATTTAGTTTGTTTTTTTTGTTAGTTTAAATATTAATATTTTTAATAATATATTATTTGTTTGTTTATTTTATTTTGATTTATTTCTTTTTTTTTCTTTCTTAATTTGACATTTTATCAAATGAAGCACCACCAGAACTTTCATGTGGCATTGCAACTGTGTTGGCATTGAAATGATAGAACAATGGGTAATTGAGAAGATTGAGATAATCGGAAGTGTAGAGATCGGCGTATCTTTGAACTTGCATAGAGAAGAAGGTGGCATTGGAACCACTCTTGAAAAGACTGCCAAAGTATTTGTTGTAGGCTTCGTTCAACTTGTTGGTGGCTTCTTTGATGTGTTGGTGCAACACTGAAATATCGGGTGGAGTGGTCGACTCACTGTCCAATCCACGGTAGATTTCGGCTCTGATAAACTCGAGATTCAACAAATGAATGTTTGTGTTTTTCTGTTCGCCCAAGACACGCAATTCGTGTTGCAGTTCTGGTACGACCAACAAGTTTCTCCATCCATGTGACTTTTTCGATTTGATAATGTCGGCAAAGATGTGGTCACCAGTGTACAAGACACGGTTGCCCTTGGCACCAGTCAACTTTTGGAAAAGTGACAATGAACCGCCGTGGTATACCTTGCCGGCCTCGAAACGGTCCTTGACGTGGGTGATCATCAGGTTGCCCGTGTTAATGTCAACCTCTCGGATGGTCGTGCCCTCTGAGAAGAATCTTGGCTTGTCGGCACCGACAATAATCACATCAAAGTAGTCTCTCCACGACTTGTACTTTGGATTGGTGTCGTTTAACAAATAAGACATCACCTTGTTGGTGTAATAGAATTCACTATTGGTCAACAAAAATACCTTGTTATTATTTTGTCTTAATCTATCAAATAATACATTTGCTTGTGTCTTTTTAATATATCTAAAAAAAGGTAGAGGAAAGAATTTGTTATTAATAATCAAGACTATCAAATCAAGAATATATATTGATTGATTTACCTTGGCATATCATCCAAAACTTTAGATTTAAGAGTACCATCGTTATGAACAAGATCCATAGCTTCTCTGAGATCTTGGAACAAGTTGGAATAGGATAAATCACCTACGTTGTTTCCTTTGATGGCTTGAATGGTTGGCTTTGGAACATCGGCACGTAAAAGTTCCAATGGTGGTGAGTTGGCTTGTTGTTGTTCTTCGGCAAGTTCCTCTGTAATCTTTAAATTGGATTCAGTTTCAAAGAATTCAACTAGATCAGCATATAAACTGGCTTCTGGTAATGTAAATAATGTATTTAATAAATAGAATCTAAATTTGAAATAATAATAAATAAATAAATTAGACATAAATTAAATAAATATTTTGTTTGTTTTCTTATATTACCTTCTACCAATATCATCATTTGGAACTCTCATTGATGGATAATATTCATAAGTTTCCTTTGATGTATAGGTGGTTCTACCATGAATACAGAGGGCAATGTTACCAAAACTATCGATTTTGAGGAGATTACCCAATTCCTTGTCCAAGAACAAACCTCTGATTGGGAACTTTGGATCGTAACGAAGTTTTTTGATGGTGGTTGGGTAACCCAATCCAATCAATCTCTCGAGTACCATATCATAAGCCAATTCCTCAAAATCTGGTGAATTGTAAACTGCAATAGTATAATCCATATCGACTAAAATTTAAAATAAGAGACATAGATAGGATTAATAAAAAGTTCCATCATTCTCTTTTGAACCATTTGTTTTGTTTTTGCATACATCCATAAAATTCGATACGGTCTAATCTAAGATCACGGTTTACAAAGATTCTCTTTAACATTTCTCTCTTGTGGATTGGTGGTAATGAAGATGATGGTACATCCTTGTAGTTTCTTAATTCTTCATCAGTTGGTGGATTTGATAAATCATCTAATAAAAGAAAAAAAAAGGAAATAATAATAATAATAAAATAAATATTAATATTTGGGTTCCAAGATATAGTGATTGATATAAATATTGACATACTCAATGAAAATTGACCCAATTTGTTTGTAGTACCTGGAGAAATGATATTTTCTGATTTCTTGCCGTCTTCCCTATTGATATGATGATTATTATTATTTAGTTGATAATTATTATTATTATTAAAGTCAAAATGATGGTTCATTTTGATTGGTTATTTTAAAGTAAAAATAATAATTATAATTAATTGAATGTTTAATAAGGTATTAAGGTAGAGTAGAAAGAGGTAGGTAGTAGGTAAATAAATAAAATTATTAAAGTATTAAAAAGAATAGAAAAAAAGGTTAATTAACTTTGTTACCAATGTATACAGATATTTTATTTCATCTCTATTCATCTGTTCATGCCATTCCATTCATAATCCTATTTGTTAAACTCTCATTGTTGTTGTCGCCTTCTTTTTAAATCCCTCCAAATGAATATGAAATAACTATATATGCTATGCCTATGCCTATGCCTATACAATACAATACAATGATACATACTCTTGTCTTCTCTTCTCCATCAACATACCAGCACTTGAAGTACGGAGTTGAGTTTGGAGTCTTGGAGCATGTGGAACATCTGGTGTTTGTGACATTATTATTATTAATAATCTTTAGTTATCTATAAGATGATGATGATTCTTTAGAGAGATAGATAGATAGATAATGAATTGATTAAAGGTTGATAGTGAGTGATAGTGATGATTAAATTAAATTTTAATTATTAATTAATTAATCCTGTGGTTAGATTATCTGTATGTATGTTATATTATATGTGTGTGTTAATTAAATATATATTATTATATGATACTAAAAAAAAAAATGGTTGATTTATGAAGATGCATGAAATTAAATATCAATTTTTGTGAAGTTGATCAAACACAAAACCAAACATCTTTGTGTTAAAAATTAATTTTTATTTTCTTTCTTTTTTTCAGCGAATCGATGCTCACTCATACTCCGTTTTAGGGTATTACTCGATTCGATCATTTATTGAATATTTTAAGACACAAACAACAACAACAAACAAACCTTTGTTATTTCAACAACTAGATTGATTGGACTTGGATGATGAAGCTAGGGTATGACATTAAGGCAAATTTAACATATCACAAGATACTCAGAGATGTGTACTTTAAGAAAGACGATCGATGGGTACCTGTAGACGCAGACACTGCACATGTATGCGAGACGATCGCTGACGCTGTCAAGCTGGGTGCATCAGACACACGAGACGACAATGGAGAGCGTATCGTACCTCTACTAGTCAGCAATCGCACCTTGGAGTATAACTCGCAATATGGCTATATCCGACCATTCAACAATGAATACTATCAACGTATCTATGACCGTGACGATGAACTCGAAAGAATTAATAATAACAATAATAATAATAATAATAATGAACAACTGTCATCATCATCATCATCATCAACAACCAATACAACATCACCAACACTCAATCATATCATATCGGAACAACAACATCAACAAGAAGAACAAGACAACGATGATGTATCAGCTACACCAGTCGAAGGTAAATTACAACTTCGAAAGGTCAATTTTAATGGTATTATACGTAATGCAATTGGTGGATTTCATTTAATGATTGATAAGTTTGTTTTGACCAAGACATTGGCTAGATCGGATTACTTGGTACCAAGTATACTAGTGGAACATGGTGTTGTAACTGGTACGTATGGAATGGATGGTGATATGTCGGATAAACCTGATCGTGTGTGGTATCTTAAAGACCCGAGACTCAACCGTTCAAAAGGTATCCAATTATTTAAAAAGTTGGATGATGCACTTGAAATATGCAAGGCAGATCCTTCTAAAAGATACATTGTACAACGAGAGATGGTTCCATTACTACTCAACAATACCTACAAATTTGACATTCGTGTCATGATCCTATTTACATTCTCACCGACCTCTACCAACCTCTATCTCTTCAAGGAAGGTGTCATCAGGTCGACAGGTGCCAAATACGAGCGTGGTAGCACCGACACGCAACAACAATTCACCAACTTTTGCTTTCAGAAAGAGATGAACCCGGAATTTGAAAACATCCTTCCTCTACGAGACTGGGATACACAAGACAAGACATTCAAGAGAATTCAACAGGCAGTGTGCGAGATATTCACTAATTTCATGCCTCGACTAAATCAACTTGGTCACCAAGGATACACCATCTTTGGATTGGACTTTTTAATCGATGAACTCGAGAAACTCCATCTTTTAGAGGTCAACTATTCACCAAGTATGTTTATTGCAAGCAGTGAAAATGTCAAATCTATCTGTAGACGTGCCATCTCTCAAATACCTGCTTTGGCACTTGAACCTATCCTATTCTCAACTACTCCCATCACTGGAGATTGGATTCACTGTTTAGAAAGAGTTCATCTTAAAAAGAAAGTAAATAATGACAACAAAGATGATGATGATGATGAAGATCTTGACAATTTTAATCTATTTTAAATCAAAATAGATTATCTAAATCAAATCAATATTAAATCAAAATATAATTATATTTTATAAATATTATTCTACAATTTATATTATATTTTATTTATTTATTTATTAATTATTATTCTGTTGTTGTTGGTTTGTTGGTTTTATCTATCTAATTCTATTATTAATTAATTTAAAAGTACATTTGATTGATTGATAATAGTGTACAATTATATCTAAATCTATATCTTTGTGTTTTTGATTTAATTCTTTGGAACTTGTTCAACAAATTCACCGTGTTCAGATAAATGATAAGATGCAGCATATTCTAATTTCTTTAATTCTTCTTCCTTTGTATCCAATAATTCAAGTAACCTAAAAAAAAAAATAAGGGATTGTTAGTGTCTTGTAACTTTTTTAAAATATTCTTATATTTACTTGTTATATTCACCAACTGGGAACTTTAATTTGTTGAATAATTTAGCTTGCTTTCTCTTGAATAGTGTATCGGTCAAAGCTTCAAAAGTGTATTCAGTCTTGGTGAGAGTGAAATAGGTGTAACCAATCAAGACGGTTCCAAAACTGACAAAATAGGTGACTGGTTCCATAATGTCCCATGAAAGATCCCACCATGTCAAACGACCAATGACACCAGCTTGGAGTACCAAGTAACCCAAACCAGCCCAAATGATACGATGAGCACTGTTTGTCGATCTTCTATCAATATCTTGTTTGATTGGTTCATATTTGGCTAGGTTGGCCTTTACCTTGTTAATCTCTTCCTTTTTCATTTGAATCAATTTTTCTAATCCAACTCCTTTGTTTTCAATATCCAATACACTATAAATAAATAAATAAATAAAAGAAAGGAAATTAATTATTAGATTACATTGATTCAAATCATTATTGATTGATTGATTGATTGATTGGATTCAACATACTAGTATAAAGATTGATAAACATGATTTGGTTTAATAAAGACGGAATTTGAAATATTTGGTACGGCACTGTTTGGAAGATGAATGATGTTACCAGATTGAGTCAATGCATTAGAGAGTGGTGTTACTTCATTATCCTTGAAACCAGATTCAATAGCCAAATTCTTAAAATCATCAAATGTAATCTTGCTACGTGGATCTAAATCTAATCTTTGTCTTAGTTTTGTGGCATTTGAACCTTTTAGAATAGTTCCAAAATCGGCTGCAGATGTTGTTGATTCTAATAAGGAAGATATGATAAAGTAAAAGTATAAGTATAAAAGTGTTTGTTATAAATTTCATGAATGATGATATGGAGGGTCGGTCGTCGATCATCCTATCAATCGTATTTTTTTTCTGTTAGAAGTCGTGTCTGTGTCACATACTAATTGCTTGAGATGCATCTAATCTTTGGTATAATTGAGCTGATCTTTGTAGTGATGCAGATCTTCTGAATAATTGGTTTACTGCTTGTGCGTACATGTTTTATCTCTTCTCTATATATAATTTACAAACTAAATCTATCTTTGATCATCACTCATCATCATGAATGGGGTTCTGCCTTCCACAGATATTATTCAAAAAAAAAAAAGAAAAACCCAAAGACACTCGAAAAAAAATCACACAAAAAGGGTGTCTCTTTGTCTTTGAATTATTATTTTGCCAAAGATGAGGAAATAAATATTAATAATATTATTCACTAAAGATTTAAGTTTTTTTATTATTAAATTATTTTATTCATTTTTAAACATGAGATTGGTCGTATGTATTCCATCCATAAATTTAAAAATATTTAAATTTGTTCAGTGAAAAAAAAAAAAAAAAGAATCATGTCAGAACCCACATCTTCATCATCATAGTTGGTAAAAGATCATTTAGTTTATATTTATTTATTTTTAATATTTCTTACTTCTTGAATCTAGGAAGAGAAAGATAGATAGATAGATAGATAGTAGAAGATGGGAGCCAATCTAGCCAAAGAGCTTGATAAAGCTAAAGCACAAAACATTACAGAGCTTGACCTCAAAGACAAGGGAATCGATGAACTCCCCTCAAACATTGGCAATCTAGATCAACTCAAAAAGTTAAACCTCTCTAAAAATAACCTTAGAAAGTTACCTACTACTATAGGTATGTCATCAGATACTGATCAGCTGCTGTATTGCTAATACTAATCTAATCATCTTTTTGTTGTTTCCAAAGGTAATCTTCGAAACCTTGTATCACTTAGTTTATTCCAAAACAGTTTGAAAGAGTTACCACATGAACTCACTCAATTAACCAACCTTGAAGCACTCAACCTCAGTATTAACAAACTACCAAGTTTACCAAGAGGTTTTGGTTCATTTAATCATCTCTATTTCTTGGATTTATCTTATAATAGGTATGTAATATATTAATATATTAATATATATAAAGTAAAATGAATATATTATTAATGTTTGTATATATATATACATATATATTTTAGATTGACAGAATTAACAACACAAATTGGTTTGATTACAACATTGAAAGAATTACATCTATCATTTAACAAGTTGACAGAGTTACCAGCCGAGATTGGTAAATGTTTGGATTTGGAGATATTCAATTGCAGTAATAACAAGATTGAATTGTTGCCACCAGAGATTGCCAATTGCAACAAGTTGAGATTGGTCAATATCGTCAATAACAAGATAGTATGGATTCCACCACCATTTGGAAAGATTGAAAAGTTGGAAAAGATCGATATCTCACTCAACCCAATCGACAAGGTATTGCAACCACATGCAATGCGTGGACCCGATGTATTGATCAAATACATTAAATCTGATGAATACGATCAGACCTATTACAAGGAAACTGGTAAACCAAGACCTTCTACCACTACACTCTCAACATCTCCTCCAACTACTCCACCAACTACAGATGAAGCTTCTGCTGATCATCCACCTCATAAACATGAACCTGAAGAAACTTCAACAACCTCTACAGCAGCAACAAGTTCCTAAAAAACAAAAGAGACAAAAAAAAACAAAGAGATCCTATTATTTATTTGTAACATCATCCATCCATCCATCCACCTTACCTTTTTCCATTTCCCAATCAATATCATCAATCAATTATAAACGATCCTCCTTTTTTCCTTGATTAAATTAAAAAATCTATTTTAATTTGTTTTGTCGTTTTTTTTTTTTTTTTTTGAGAACATCGTTGTTGCTTTCTCAAAGCAAATAATATCTATTTTTATATATTACCCTTTACTTTAGTATATATATAGATAGATAGATATAGTTGTTAGGAAGAATGGCAAGTTATGATGCAGTTGTTAAAAAGTTTGAAGTAGCAATCAGTGAATTAGAGATCAAGACACCTTTTGATGAATCATTCACTAGACCTACTAGAATTCATGTAGCTAAAATATCAAAGACTCTTTCTCACGAGGTTACTAAACGTATGATAGTATAGTAAAAGTATTTGTAATCATTTACTAATTTGATTTGATATATCTTTCTCTAGTCGCATTATTATTACAAGAATTAAGAGCCAACCCAGAGTTCTTTGAAAATATAGAGGAATGTGTTGATGTTTTATCGTCAATGTTTAAGGGATTCACAGCCTATGCTTGTGACTCGTTGTACAGATTAGGAAAGAGTCACTTTTTAAGAGTATACAAATCGATATTGGATATGATCCTAGACTACAAGGAGAATGAAGAACGTTTGGGTGACGAAGAAGAGAATATAGTGTCAAAGGATAGAATCGGTACTGCTTGGAAATCATGTGAAATGTTTGAAAAGCTACCTCTAAGCAATTATCATGCCATCGTCGAACGTGGATTGGAAATCTTTGCCACCGTCAACGATGCATTTGAAGAAGTTGATGATATATACGATGCAATTGAAAATTATAAACTTCGTTGTCAAGAAGCTAAAGATAAACAACAAAATGATGAAAATGATGATGAAGATGAAGATGAAAAAGAAAAGAAACAAAAGATACAAGAAAAGAAACAAGAAGATGAAGAAGAAGAAGATGAAGAAGAAGAAGAAGATGATGATGAAAATGTTATATTGGATGATGAAGATGATGATGATTTTGTAATTGATCAAGAAGATGGACAAGATGAAGCACAAATGATGAATGAAAAGGAAATGAATAATGTCGATGATTTACATACGGTCATTGATTTTATCATCGAGATGTTTTATGCAGTTGACATGCACGTCAAAAATATCATTGGAGGCAAGGATCAAGACGATGTATCATACGAATCAACCGAGATTATTGGTCATATGGACAGTGTCATTCAATCATTTAGCCAACTTTCAAGCATTATAGATGATGTGGCCAGTGGCATTTACCCACCTCAAAACGAAGAGTTTGTAGTTGGACAAATTGCATTCCTCGACTCGGAATCTAGAAAACTCAAACAAGTACTCGAAAAGATGGGTGTTCAAAGACCACCAACCAATCATCAAGAAATCATTTCTCAATTAGAAGTTGTTAAATTATCTTAATCAAAACACATACACTCCCTTTCACATCCCACCAACTTACCTATACCAAATTAAAATAATAATAATAATATTGATTTAATAAATAAATAAATACCTATATTATTATTGGTATACATATACACACACACACACACAAATAATCCCTATTTATATAAATAAATAAATAAATAATGTATTTTTTTTTTTTTTTGGTCAATCTCGTGATTGATTTATTATTATTTTTGATTTATTATTTTTGATTTTTGATTGATTTATTATTGAATATATTCATTTTCATTTAAATACCAATCATCACCTTTTTTATGGAAATGAATTGGTACCCATGGCATACCCTTTGCTTTTCTATCGGCTGCCAATTTTCTTTGAGCTTCTTCAACCTTTGACTTTTCTCTTGTCATTTCTTTGGGTGCTTTTTTATCGGCTGCTTCAAAGACACCTCTCCATACATTGGATGAATCAGTCTCGTAGAGGGTATGTGGAGTTTGGATGATTGATGGAGTCATACCCTTTCTCTTAAAGAATGTAGTATGATCATTCTTTTTGTACTCCGAATTGATTGTGATTTCTTGGTCCCAACATCCTTTAATCTTTTGTAATTTCTCCTTTCCTTTATAGACTGTTGCCTCCATAGCATTGTACGAACCATACAACAGTGGTTTGGGATAGAGAGTTGTCTTTATACGATAGTCATGTTTGTTGCTTGTCATCTTGGTCTTGCCAACAAACTCACTAAAGTTTCTAAGGAATCTAACGGCGATCGTTGCCATACTGATTCTGTACTCTTCGTCGTGTTGTTCCAATTTAATGACAAAGTCACCATCGAGTGTGAATTTAAAGTAGGTACCCATAAAGTTGGTACGTGCTGGCATGAAGTAGGCGGCTGATACACCAGCCTCCTTGTTGTAGGCCATGGTACAGCTGATTGGGAATGGGTGGTGTTGAATCTGCTCTGCAATGACTTGAACATGTTGTTTGGCGCCATTTTCAGCGTCTGGCAACGAAGCACTGCCTTGGAGTGTCTCTCCAAGTACTGGATTCAATGGTTTCTTGGTCAAGTCATCGTATACCTTGAATGTCGACATGTAGTAACGGTACACCTGGAACATACGTTCCTTGTCGTCTTTGATGCCGTTTGCCTTGATCAAGAGGTCGAAATGAGCTGCATAGTTTTCTGCAAAGAAACTAAGCGAAGATCTAGGCAAGATGAAAGAACCTGGAACAGTCATATGAGTTAGGTCAGAATTCAACTTAAAATTCTTTAACATCATTCCCAATGCAGCAATATGTGATCCACTACCAACAGCATCATCAATTTCATCAAGATTCATTGTAACCACAGGTGTAGTTGTAGTTGTAGTTGTACTAGTAGTTGAAGTTGTTAAAGTATCTGGTGATTGAGCCTCTGAATGATCCACTTTCAACTCTTCAGGTACTACTTCTTCAACTTCTATAAGTTCCTTTTTCTTTTTATCCTTCTTATCTTTTTTTCCCATTTTCTCTCTATAAAATAAAAGAATAAGATTGAAATGATTAATATCTATGTTTATTATTATTATTATTATGATTCATCATTCGTATATATATATAACATACATGTAATAGATTGATATTCAATAGATCAATGATCAACAACAATGATGAAAACTCAAAACACAATCATATGAAATTTCGGTCGGGGCCAAAAAAGATCTCTAATCTTTTTTGCAACAATTCAATTGTGAATGAATAATTATTTTAAAACAAACTATATTTAGAATTGGATTAATTAATTATTGTTTAATATTATCCTCTTTTCATCTTCCCTACCTATATCTATATCTCTCTCTTTGTCTCCAAGAGTATCTAGAACCAAAAATTAATATAGGTCTTTTTTTTGAATATTTTTTGAAAATTAGATAAATATATGTATATGTATATGTATATTTAATTGTTTATTGTTTATTACTATTATTATTTATTATTTATTATTATTTTAATATAATTTCATTATCATTTAATAACCAATCATCACCTTGTTTATGGAAATGAATTGGTTTCCATTCGAAACCTTTTTCTTTTCTTTCAGCTGCCAATTTTCTTTGTGCTTCTTCAACCTTTGTCTTTTCTTTTGTAATGTCTTTGGGTACACCAGATTTGGCAGCTTCAAATAGATCACCCCAAACCTTGGTAGAGTCTGTATCGGCCAATTCCTTTGGATAGACTATTTTCGATGGGATCATACCCTTTCTCTTTAGGAATGGTGTATAGTCGTCTTTTTTGTATTCCGTGTTGATCTTTAGTTCTTGGTCCCAACACCCTTTAATCTTTTGTAATTTCTCTTTACCATTGTACAAAATGGCTTCCATTGAATTGTAGGAACCGTACAACAATGGTTTTGGATAATACGATGATTTAATACGATATTCATTCTTGTTACATGTCAGTGTAGTCTTGCCAACATATTCACTAAAACTTCTAAAAAATCTAATAGCCATCGTTGCACAGGTACTCTTGTACACTTCATCGAATTTATCCAATTTGATAACTACCTCTCCTTCAAGTGTCAGTTTAACATAAGTTCCCATAAAATTACTACGAACTGGGTGATAATAAGATACCGAAACTCCAGCTTCCTTGTTATAAACTGTTGAACAACTAATTGCTAAAATTAAAAAACAAATAATATTAAATTAATATAAATATTCCATTAATACATATTCAATTATTATTTGTTTGTTTGATTGTTTGTTTATATATATATATATATTTACGTGGATGATGAGATATTTGTTCAGCATAAATATGACCTCTTGATTCATTAAGATCTTCATCACAAAAATCGACATAACCTTGGAGAGTCTCACCGAGGACTGGATTCAATGGTTTCTTTGTGGTATCTTCATGGATCTTTAGTGATGTCAATAGGTATCGATAGACTTGTAGGAATCTTTCCTTTTCATCTTGTATGGTATTAGCCTTGAGTAAAAGATCGAAATGCGATGAACTATTCTCAGAGAAATAGGTTAGAGATGACTTGGGTAACACAAAAGCACCGGGCAAAGCAAAAGATGAGAGGTCAGCTCCCAACGTTAGTTTCTTGGCAAGTGATGTTATTACTGATAGACTTGGAGATCCATTGGCAGTTGCTTCATCTATTTCATCTGTATTCAATACCAATGTATTGGTGGCAGTGGTAGTGGTTGATGTTCCATCAGCAGCAGTATCATCGGTATTTTTAAATTCCTCTGGTATTTCCTCTTCAACCTCTAATCTCTTATCCTTTTTCTTTTTATCCTTTTTTTCTTTTTTGTTATCTTTGTTTCCCATTTCTTCTTCTTTTTCTATCTAAATTAAATATCGTTGTGTTAATAAATTAAATCTATATTTTTTAATTTAATTTAATTAGGAGGAACCCATTTATTTTAATTAATTGAACAATAATTATTGTAAATCTCTTACATTGATTTATGATGATGATGATATTGTTGACGATGACGATAACGATGACGATGATGTTTTAAAACCAGAATAGTGTAGTGTCGTTGTGGGGGGTTAGGGTTTTAAGTGTATGTTTTTTGAATGATGTACAAAAATGATCTAGTCTGTAAAGAGTGATTTTAAAAACAACAACAATGTGATTTAAAGTATAAGTAAAGAGTAGAGATAGAGAATATATATATATATGTATGTGTATAAACAATTCCTAGTATTGTTGTTGTTGTTGTTGTAAGGTAGAATGCAGCAGCAAAAAAAGTAATTAACTGAATTTTACTGTTGAATTTAAACGACACCCGAAATTCCGGACAACGGTTGGCTCCCATGCAATTAACACCAAGACAAGATTTTCCCTTTTATATCTTTTCTTCTTTTGATATTTACTCTTTTTTTTTTTTATACTAATAGTAAATAATAAATAATAATTCTAAAACCTATTATGCTTTGGATAATAATAGTTGATTTATAATTATAATTATCTATCTATTTTTATAGGGTTATATTTATATATATTTATATGTGTGACTTGATTGATTATCTAATCTACAGGTGGTTGCTTGATCTTACCCTTTTTAAAAGAGTGGTGATGATAGTGGTGTCACGTCATTGTGCTGAATGAACGAATGAGAGTTTTGGTAAACTTGATGTCAAAAGGCATAAACAATTAATTGATTATTACTTTTAATGCAAATCATCTGAACGATGTGCATCATAATGTCGTGTGCATTTTGCCAAAATAGTCTTTTTCTTTTTTAATCAATCAATGACGAAACATTAAATCAATCACACACAGACACAGATAATATTAATGCATTAATATTAATATCCGGCATGTGACTCATTACCTGAATATCCAAGCGAAAGATAGATAGATTCTTAAGTAAGTACTTTTTGTAAATATAATACATAATATTGTATATGCTCTATTTATTTATTTATTTATACCTATCTATTGTCGTTGTTGATGTTGTTATTGGATATGAATAGATTATCATTTAATAACCATTCATCACCTTGTTTATGGAAATGTTTTGGTACCCATTCGACACCATTTGCTTTTCGTTCGGCTGCTATCTTTCGTTGTGCTTCCTCAACCTTTGTCTTTTCTCTTGTAATGTCTTTAGAGGTACCTGATTTGGCAGCTTCAAATAGGTCGCCCCAAACCTTGGTAGAGTCTGTATCGAGTAGCGAGCTTGGGAATTGTATTTCGGTGATTGTCAAATCAGTTCTTTTACATAGTGTTGTATAATCATCTTTTTTATACTCTGAATTAATCTTTAGTTCTTGATCCCAACATCCTTTAATCTTTTGTATCTTTTCCTTGCCCTTGTATACTTTAGCCTCGACGACATTATTTGATCCAAAGAGCAATGATTTTGGACAAAATGTAGTTTTGATACGATAGTCATTCTTGTTGCAAGTCAACTCTACTTTACCCAAATACTCTACGAAATCTCTTAGGAATCGAATGGCAATCGTTGGCATGGTCGATTTATACACTTCACCAAATCTGTCCAATTTAATAACCATCTCTCCTTCAAATGATAGTTTAACATAGGTTCCCATAAAATTACCACGGACTGGGTGATAATAAGATACTGATATTCCTTCTTCTTTACTATATACATGAGTACAACTAATTGCTAAAAACAAACAAATATTAATAAATATTAATATATTTATATTTTTTAATATTATTATTATTATTATTTTTACATACGTAAAGGATGATGAAGTATTTGTTCTGAAAATACATGTACTCTTGAAGAGGTTGATCCTTTTTCTTGGTTTGGGATGTCAGCATAGGCTTGACATGTTTCACCGAGGACAGGATTTAATGGTTTTTTCTTTTCACCAGATATCCTTGGAGTACTCATAAAATATCTATATACTTGTAGGAATCTTTCCTTTTCATCTTGTATATTATTGGCTTTGATCAATAGATCAAAATGGGCACAATAATTTTGAGCCACTCTGGTGATAGTTGATTGTGCCAAGATGAATGAGCCAGGAACCACGAATGAATTAACATCAGATCCCACCTTTAACTTTCTAAAGGCATTTGCAATTGCTGACATTCCTAATGCCTCACCCGTACCACTTACAGCAGCATCATCAATTTCTTCCAAACTTGTTGTTGTTGTTGTTGCACCAGATGCCTTTACAATTGGTTCAATTTCCTCTATAGGTTCCATATTTATTTTTAAAGCACCTCTATGAACCATCATTTAATAAAAAATATTAATATTAGTACCAATATTATTTATTTATAGGTTGCCCCATGACATATAGATTCAGAGAGAGAGTGGTTGTTTAAATGTTTTGTTTTTTACCCACATTATATATATTATTTACTCGATGTTTTATATTATTATTAATACTTTTAATGATTGATTGATTGATTATTATCTCTGTTGGTTGTTAAATCACTTTAAATATTAATGAAACATTGTGTTTGTTGAATGGTTAGTTGCTTTGTAGAGAATGATTAAAACAAATTTCAAAAGAAATATGACGATGCCCAATGACACATGCGATGTTTGCCGGTTTTTTTGCATCGCATCAACAAAGTTTTCTGTCGGAGAATGTCGTAATCAAAAAAATGATCTTATACTTTGGGAAAGAAAATTCAGCATCTCAAAGAAATAATTGATTGAGAGAGAGACAGTTTTTGTTTTTTTTTTTTTGGGATGGAATAATAAATATTAATTATTATTATCACTTTGCATTATTATTATTTTGATTTTAAAATTACAACTACAAAAGAAGAATTAAATTTTTTAATTGATTGGACAAATGTGGGAGGGAGGGGTTATTATTATTATTGTTGTTGGACGAGGGAAGGGTCATTGTTGCTACTAACTATTATATTATTATTATTATTAATTTTTTGTTTTTTTTTTTTTTATTCTCTTTAGAGTTTCTATAATTTGAGCAATTAATTGATGTGTTATGCCTGGTTTGGCCTTTTCAGCATTGTCGAATGCCATCTTTAGCTGTGCAAGTGAATTGATTACATTTTCGTCTTGAGTATTGTTGAGTAATTTTGATAAAACGGGATAAATGACAGAGGTGAGGGCAGAGGCACGGGCAGCTGGCTTGGCAACAGCACCATTGGTGGCGGGTGACGATGGGGTGGCGGTAGTAGTGACAGCGACGGGAGCAGCTGCTGGAGCGGGTGTGGTAGCAACAACTGGAGTGGCTGGCTTGGATGTGGAAGATGATCGTGGCTTATTATCATTATTATTATTGTGATCATTGATATGAGTATTTTGCATATTATTTGACAATTGGGTAGTTGTAACTGGAGCTGGTGTACTTGCAACGGGTTTAGCTTGTACAACAACTGGTGGTGGGGTGACAACGGGAGCAGACTTTTGTTTGACGGTAAAGTTCCAACCGTCATCTTCGTCTTGTGAGTTCTTGTCTCTGTCGTCGTCATCGCCACCGTCGTCTTCCATGGCACCGCCATTGAGATGGATCCACTTTTGACGACGTTCAATGAGGTCGGTGAGACAGCTGGTCTTTTTGGCCGACTTGATAAACTTGTTGTTCTTGAGCAAGTCTTTGGCGGTGGGACGGAGATTGGGGTCCTTGTTGAGACACATTGCGCAAAACTCTTTGAATCCCTTTGAAAAGTTACCTTCGAGTTGAGGAGGTGGGTCCTTTGGAATCAAAAACAAGGCACGCATTGGGTGCAAGTCGGCTCTGGGTGGCTCGCCCTTTGCCATCTCCAAGGCTGTAATACCCATACTCCAAATATCTGCCTTGCTATCATACCCAGTCTGTTTAATAACTTCTGGTGCCATCCAAAATGGTGTACCTACAAATGTATTTCTCTTTGTCATTTGATCTGTCAATTGACCACTAACACCAAAATCTAAAAAAATATAAGAAAAAAATGTTATTACATAAGATTTGAATCGATCAAGGTTCTATTACATACCAGCTAATTTTACATCACCATTGGCAGCCAAAAGAATATTGGCAGCTTTGATATCTCTGTGAATCTTGCCTTCAGAATGAAGGTATTCAAGACCCTTTAACAACTCTCTTAAAATGATTGCAATCATTATTTCGTCGATTGGACCTGGCTTCATTAAATCCAATACAGAGCCACCTGCAAGATACTCCATAATAATCCACAACTTTGATCCTTTGAGGAATGAACCATGATATTTAGTTACAAATGGACTCTCGCATTGTGAAAGTACATTAATCTCTTGTTGAATATCTTCAATTTCATCTTCTGCATCATCCAAATCAATAATCTTAATTGCTATGGTTTCTCCTGTTTTCTTATTAATTCTAAAATATAGAAAAAAAAATGAAATGATATAAGTGAAATGGTTAGATTAGAAAAGAAAAGAAAAGAAAAGTATGTATATGCTTGTACAATTTGATCGCTTACCCTTTGAAAACTTCACCAAATGAACCTTTACCAATCTTTTCTTGCTTAATAAATAATTCTTCTGGGTCTCCTTTCTTGCTTGCCTATTGTTATTGTAACAAATAAATATCTTTGTTAGTCTTGCTACTACTTTTTTTTTTATTCTACACTTTCTCTGTTTGTCTCTCTCTATCTTTCTTCATCTATCTCTGTGTTATGCTCTTACCATTTTTAAATTTATATAAACTTGTTGATGTTTGTTGTTGTTGTTGTAGTTGTCTTTACTATTTTAAAATTTACAAATATTTGATTGTACAAAAAATAAAAAAAAAATGATGTATGTATTATCTTCTTTTTAACGTGATGATTGTCCTCGAGGATAATATGAATAAAATGTTTTTTAAATAATTATAAAATACAGGTTATATATTTATAAAAGGTTATATATAACTTGTTGTTATTGTTGATGTTGATAGTATATGAATGTATGTATTGTTACAGAAATATTAATATATGTATAAAACAACTAAATTCAAAAAAGACTAGTCTTGGTAGTAGTACTGATGATTTTTGTCGTGTGATTGATGATGGTTGAAAAAAAAGAAGAAGAATGTAGGTTGTCTGAAAGAGATGTATATAAATAATGTATAAACGACTCTAGATAACTTTAAAGATTACGTATTGTTATTATTATTATTATTATGTCCTGTTTGATTTGGTATTATCTCTTTTTTTTTATCTGTCTATGTCTTTTGTGTGATTAAAAAAAAAAAAAAAAGTTTGAAAAAAAACCCAAACAAAAGTTTTAAAAAAACAAAGAAAAAATAGGAAGATTAGTTTTAGGGAGAGAGGTCTATCTAGCTCTACAAGTAGTGAACAAAATCAAATTTATTAATATATTTGATAGAGAGGGAGGAGACCTAACTAATAATAAGGACACCGATTCTTACAACCCACACCCTTTTCTCCTTTCAAAAGCAATGAATGAAAAACGTGCGTGGGGTTGTATTTTTGACTACACCCCATCACTACTCTCAAAAGAGATATATTCAAAGAGAGAGAGAGAGAGAGAGAGAGAGAGAGAAAGAGATAATGAATGAAAATTACTTATTCATAGTGAGATCTCTAAATGACTAAACATAACATAATGAAATGACCGAGTGGATCAGCTGATCGATTAGTATTCTGCCATTTATGGTCAGACCTTGCACAGATCAAATTTCAAGAAATGCAATTGTTTTTTTATTTGATTCAAAATATCTCTATTAACTTGAAATGGCATCCATCATATGAAGGTTCATTTTAGTTAGTTTAATTGTTGAATAGATAGATAGATAGATAGATAATAATAGAACAGGTAAGTCTCATTAAAAAGAATATCTCATCAAACACACCTCTCTTTACCCCCTCCTCTCTCACCCTACTTTTAAAAAATCAGTCCTCTATCTTTATTCATTCTTCTTCTTTTCAATCATATTTATATATATCTCATTCAATTTCAACATTCATATTTATATACACATATATAAACTTACACTCTACTTTATAAAGAATGGCAACATTGATTGATAATAGATATGGTAAAGCACGTGTACGTGTATTAAAGGTAAACAAGAATGGAGATCATCACTCTGTGTTTGATTTTGATTGTTGTGTATTGTTAAAGGGTGACTTTTCCGATACCTACTATACCGGTGCCAACGACAAGGTTGTGGCGACCGACTCTACCAAAAACACTGTCTACTTGTTGGCTCAATCTGAGCAATTCAAGTCGGTTGAAGAGTTTGGTGTTATTGTTGGCAAGCATTTCCTTGCTACCTATTCACACGTGTCAGAGGTACAAGTCACCATCAAAGAGAATGTATGGGATCGTATGCGTGTCACCTATGAACAACGTGAACACGACCACTCTTTTGTACGTTCACGCGACGTTCACACTGCCAGTATTATCAGTGTTCGTGGTCGTCCCGCTCAAGTCACCTCTGGTATTGAGGATTTGCTCATCATGAAGACTACCGGTTCTGGATTCGAAGGTTTCTACCGCGACAAATACACCACACTCAAGGAGACCAAGGACCGTGTCTTTGCCACCATGGTCACTGCCTCGTGGACCTACAATACCGCCACCAATGTAAACTATGTCAATGCTGTAGCTGAATTCAAAAAGTCAGTCTTTGATATCTTTGCTCTCACCTATTCCAAATCTGTTCAAGAAACTCTTTACATTATTGCAAAGACTGCTTTAGAAAGAGTAAAAGAAATTGGTATGAAAATGAAACAAAAAGACAACAAAACAAAAGAAACAAAGAATTAGAATCATTTAATTAATTTAATAATCTTTTTTTTTTTTTTTAATTAATTTAGATGAAATCAAATTATCACTTCCAAACAAACATGCATTTGGTTTTGATTTTACTAGATTTGAAGGTGTCAAGAATAATAATACTGTTTTCCAACCGGTTGAAGAACCATCTGGATTAATTGAAGGTACCATCAAGAGAGCTGCCTCCAAACTTTAAAAAAAAAAAACAAAATAATTAATAATAATAATAATAATAATAACCAACCAACAAACAATCACACAATAATATATCTTATATATAATAATAAGGATAAATCTATTCATTTTTAAAAAAGTGGAAATAACAAAGTTTAGAATAATAAATCTTTTGTATTAGTAGTACTAAATCTCTAAAAAAAAGACACCCAGGGAGAGTCTAATGGAAAAGTATGTATTTTCTAGAATGGAGACCAAGAATGTACAAATAAAATTTGAACAAACAAATTTTGAACATCGAGGTGAACCAATTTATGAGGCTGCTAGGAGGGTACTCAAAATCATTAGAAATCATCCATTGATTGAGGGAGAAACATGGTACCTTGTAGAGTATCACTGGTATGGTTTATTTGAAAATGAAATATGGAATTGTCATTCGGAAAAGATAGGTTCAATGGACAATTCATCCTTGGTATCAGAGGAAAATAATTCTATCCTAAAACTTGGTGCTTTGGAATCTGAACATTTTGAAGTAGTACCAGGAATAGTATGTTAACAAAAATGATGAATATTCGACCAGACACTGAGAATGTTAAATGTTTCTATTTATTAGGTTTGTAATTATATAAGCAAGACATATGGATGTAAAATAGAGATACCAAGAAATGTATGTAAAAGGAGTTCTGGAGATTTGTTTATCGAATTTAGATACCCATTTAAGATTCTATTAATAAATAGAGTAAAAGGTCAATATTCACTTGAGACTGATTGAATAGAACCTGCTATGAGTTTCAAACAAAGATATTGATTATTTTAATTCGAAATGTACGATTTTATACCCGACAAGGTGGTCTAGTCTCTAAAACATAAATTGATTATTCAAAACCCATGTCTGAATTCAAGTCCAAAATTTTGTTTTATATAAATGTTTGGAAAATAAAGTAGTATATTGATAGAGTTTATTCTTCTTTAACATTTTCGTCGTCACTGTACTTGTTGGTGTTGTTGTCGTTTTGGTCATCATCATTATTATTATCTTGTGATTTTGATCTTGATCTTGATCTACTACTTTCTTGACGAGAATTGTCGTTGTTATTGTTGTCAGTGTCGTTATTGTTTTCCTTTTCATCCTCTTCTTTTACTCTATCTCTTGATCTACCTCTATCCTCTTTTTTTGAAGATGATGATGAGTATCTTTCCTTTGATCTATCCCTAGATCTGTCTCTGTCACGATCTCTATCATCATATCTATCCTTTCTATCATAATCCTTTCTTGTTGATTCTCTGTCTCTATCGTTATAGTATCTATCCTTGTCGCGGTTACTGTATGACGATGAGGATGAGGAGGAGGAGGATGGTCTATCATCATATCTATCTCGTCTGTCATCGTATCTATCTCTTCTGTCATCGTATCTGTCACCACCACCTCTTCGGTCATTGTATCTGTCACCACCACCTCTTCGGTCATCATATCTGTCAACTCCACCACCTCTTCGGTCATCGTATCTGTCACCACCTCCACCTCTTCGGTCGTCATATCGATCTCTGCGATCATCATATCCACCTCTTCGATCGTCATATCTGTCACCTCCTCTTCGATCATCATATCGATCTCTATTGTCGCCGCCGCCTCCGTAATGATATCTGTCGTACGATCCGCCATCTCTTCTATTATCTCTGTTATTGTTGTAGTCGTCGTGATGATATCTATCGCGTCCAGTATCAAAACGTCTATATTTTCTATCATCTTCTAAATTGGCCATCGACGATGATGATGATGAATGATGATAATCTTCTGTTTCTTTTCTCTTTTGTAGTCCATACGAGGAGGAGGAGGAAGAAGTAGGTGGAACAGGCTTGACATCTCCAACCACACTACTAAAACTTTGTTTGTGTGTAGATACCGATGCGGCAGCAGCAGCAGCGGCAGGATTGGTTTGTTGGAGTAATAGTTGTGCTTGTAATTGCTTCAAATTCTCCTCTTGTTGTTGTAATTGTTGTAGTTGTAAGAGTTGTTGTTGTTGTTGCATTAACATGTTTGTTTGTTGGTTATTACCACTGCTACCGCCACCACCACTAACACTATTACTAGCAACACGACTTGTATTTCCCATTCTTGCTTGTGCTCTGTCCAATGCCTCTTTGATTCTATTCTCCTCTGCCATTGCTCTCGACGACATTAATTCAGCATCCTTTAAGAATTCCTCGGGGATACCAGCCACCGAATCTTGTGCGTCCAACAGCAATTTCCACAACTTGTTCATAAAAGAGTCTGTATTATCCTCTAAGAATCCTGTCAACCGAATTTGCATAATCTTTGGATCAACATTCTAATAGAATAGAATAGAAAAGAAAAAGAAAAGAAAAGAAAAGAAAAGAAAGAAATATAAACATCATTTGTTAGTTTTCACATGATATTAATATGTATGTATGTATGTATCTATCTATTTATACCTTTTCAACTAAATCAGCTACATAATTAATTAGAACGTCATCTTCAAAAGAGAGCATTTCGATTACCTGTTTTGTGATCCATTTCCTAAAAGTAGGTAAATTAACTTTAGTTATGTCTAGTTTAGTGTTAAAATGAGGAGGAAACTTCATTACTTTAAGTAGTTTCTTTTCTTTATCTGCAAATCTATTGTCTTGTTCCGAGGATGTACCCTAAAGTTAGATAGATAGATAGTTAGATAGAAAGAGAGAGAGATAGAGATATGATATTAGTAGTGTCACACAACAACAACAAAAGATCAGGTGATCGATCACCTGTTACAACAAACCGAGGTTTACATACTCTAAAAAACCCACTTGCATCCATGATTGTCTATATATTTATCTTTTATCTTTTCGTCACTTGATGATGGTAGATATTCTAATCTAAAATAAGTACTATGTATCTATCTATTTTTAAAGCACTGTGAGGAACTGAACCGACATCTTTCAAAAGTTGAAAAAAATAACACCTTTTTAAATTATTTTTATTTAAAAACATGTTTGTATTTATTTGTTTGTTTGTTGAATGTTTGTATTATTTGTTGAATGGAAGTAAACAACTTCCTTTTTTATTCAAACATCTATTTGCATTGAAATTTGTGATTTCACAATCTCTATAGTTGGAGTAAAGATGATACCAGCAGACTTTGATCGAACCTTTTTTGCACAAGGCAATCAATCTATCTTGATAGAAATGTTTCTCTCTGTTTTGAGACGGGCATTGCTCGATGACTGAAACTGTGTCTCTCAACAACCGCAGGTTATTGAAGTCTGGGTGTTTCACGGTTTTCAGTATGACCCATGGAGGTAAAGAATTTTTACAATTCGAGCCCTTTTCCCTTAGAAGGATCCCAAATCCACTCTTGATAGTAAATATTCCAAAGTGTCTTGGATTAATTCAATGGCTGCTTTCATCCCTGATTCGTTAAAATTGGTAAAACAATCGATTGACAAGATCCAATGACATGATTGATGGATGTATCTTGCGATACATTAGTTGTACACCTTCTTTGTGTGCAATTGTCATTAAAGAAAATGATATTAATAAAGAACATAGCTCATAGAAAATTGATATTAATAAAGAACATAGCTCATAGAAAATGGATCAATGGAAAAAGATTGGTTGGCATCACAAGGTATTCCAACTCCATCACTATTTTGGATGATCAATTGTCCATCTAATAAACAACAGATTCTACATGGATGAATAAATAAACCCGAGCAGAAAAAAGAGCTCCTCATTGTGCTGTGTAGTCTCCCAATCTTTCTACTCTTGGTGAATCAACAACAGCAGCAACAACAATCGCATCAACACAGCAGCCTTTTAACCAATCTGCTCAAAGATGGTAATCTCATAGTTAGATTAAAGGAAAACATCGCAACACCTCAAGGTAAGCGTACATCTTTTTGGTCCAAACCAAATACCATGGTTCATTCACCAAGTTACTCCCCTCTTTCCATCTTATCCATTCCTTTTGTCAACATACCAAATTGCTGCATCAACCAATCACCATCACTCAAATCATTTATCCATTATTATTGCCTCATTGTTGGCCAGAAAATTTCCCAACATAACTAATTTCTACATCAACCAATCACTACAATCCAAATCATTTTTCTTGATCATCCTTCATATTACCAGTACTTTCTTTAAATTTTTAATTCCTTTTTTTTGTTGTCCATCTCTTATTTTTTATAAACTCTTGATACCTTTTTTTTGTTCGATTCGACAATACTTTCTTTCATTTCCATCAGATATTGCAATCCATCGCTATCATTGCTTTTACACTATTTTTTCATTATCCAATCAATGTACCATCTCGTTTTCTTATATCTTGCTTAACATACTCTTTTATTTCTCTTAATATATCAGTAATATTGATCCCTGCTACAATACTCAGGAGATATTTTACCGAGGGCAATACCAGAAGAAGGTATAGCGCACATTCAAGCTCCATCGACTCACAATAGACTTGGTCTTATGGAAACAATTTATCGTCACTCAATATCTGTCAATGTAACTCTCATCAAATCACCCCCATATACAAGAAAGACATCATTTGGTCAGCTATTCCACGAATATACAAGACACAAGGAACCTGAAACTTATCTCAGACGTGTCTCTCTTATTTGGTTCCCCAATTCCACCCCTCAGGAATTCAATGCTGGTTGGATAAAATTTACTGGTCGCACATTTGGATATCAAACTCCAAGAAAAAAGCATATTTATTAAAATAAATGTGGGATTTTAGAAAATAAAATGTCCAATGGGTGAACGACAACACTTTAAAGGCTGATGGTGTGATTAATAGATGACGAGCAACGAGCATAATGATGGGGGGACGAATGACAATCATGTGCGAACAAGACGATATGTGTGAAATAGAAGATAGATGTATAACTATCATTACTTACCTGTGCTGCTGTGTTGATGCGATTGTTGTTGCTGCTGTTGTTGTTGTTGTTTAATTAAAAGTTGTTGAGCAGCCAGATAGAGCTTCTTTGCATGCAAAGAAGCTCGATTGTCTTTCGGTTGGTTAGATATCTATTTTCTGAAATTTTGATTGATATAAGTTACTAATAATAACTCGAAATATAAATTTAATTATTATTATTAATTACTTTTATTTTTTTTTGGGATAGATCAAACCAAATAATTTAATATATTATCATAATAATGATTAATTAAATCAATGGTTTCATAGTACTGTTCACTATGGCCATAATGATTATTACATAATATTGCTTGTGCATTGGTTTGGATGAGTTGGAGTGGTATTAATTTGTTGGATAGAATATAATGAATCACATCGTAATTGGGATACCGACGTGGAAGTGGAATGGTCAATGCACCAAGCGTACACTGTGGTGGTTGACTCTGATGGACAGTGTGGAGATACTTGACTGCATCCAATCGACCATTGGCAGCGGCACAATTGATGGCATCGATCGAGAATCTCTCTGGACAATTATTATATAAAAATTCTAACATCTTAATATTCCCATGCGATGCAGCTCTATCCATCGCAGCAGTAGAACATCCATCCGATCGATTAAAATGTAGAAATTCCAACATCTCCAAATTATTACACATTGCTGCTGAATCCATTGATTTAATACTACTATCTTGTTCTTTTGTTCTATTATAATGTAACCACTAAATAAATAAATAATTATAAAATAAATAAATAAATAAATAAATAAATAAATCAAAGGGTTGGACTACTACTATTTAATACAATACTTTAACCAATTCAAAATGATTGTTCTCACAAGCCAAATCTATAGGTTTAAATGTACTCCATATTCTTGATGTTGGATCTCGTTCGTGAATCAATTGTACGATATCCAATCGACCTGATCGAATTGCATTTTCCATAAACTGTTTTGTGACCTCTAATTGTAGATTTTGAATAAGGAATGTTACCAACTCTATTGTTTGACGACAATCACCACCTTCCATTTTAACATTATCCATAGCTTTAGCTGAGCACCGTTCACTTCGATTATGATATAGAAACTATAATTAAAATAAATAAATAATTAATAAAATGATTGATTTTAATACAGCATGCTGTAATGCCATGGCCATACCTTTATAATATCAAAATGACCATTTGAAATTGCCATATCCATAGCTCTGTGAGTGCATCCCTCACTTCTATTATAATGTAGCCATTCAACAATATTTAACAGTCCTCTTTCAGATGAAATATCCATAGCTTTGTGTGTGCACCCTTCCGAGCGATGAATATGAAGGAATTGAGTTATTTCCAAAGTGGCAGAGGTATCCATAGCATCGGTCGAGCATCCCTCTGTACGATGGTCATGAAGAAACTGTACAATTTTGAAATGACCATTTCGAGCAGCATTATCCATAGCCGATACAGTGCATCCTTCACTTCTATTAAAGTGTAACCATTCAACTACTGAAAAGTGTCCACTAAATGCAGCATAATTGATAGCATTAATACTACATCCTTCACTACGATTCTCATGTAAAAACTATAAATATAAAGATAGAAAGAAAGAAGAGAGTTAGAAATGACATCTGTGTAGATATCATGATGTATATAATAATATTATTGTTACATTGTGATGATCTATATTACATACCTTGATAATATCTAAATGTCCATTATATGCAGCATCATTCATAGCTTTGTATGTGCATCCTGCATCACTCCTATTAAAATGTAAATACTTTATAATGACATCTAAATTTGGTAATATTGGACCAGTATCTGCAATAGAATCTATTATATGCCTGTCACAAGTAGCTTGAGGATATTGTTTTAGCAATTCAAGTGTCGAAAGATGACCATTTCTAGCAGCTGCACCAACAGCACCGTTTAAATTGATATCTGGGTACTTTGTAACGAGTAGTTCCAATATATCTCTATGACCTGCACCTGCCACCTTTAGAGCTAGTTGGTGATAGTATTTGATTGGTACTAGGCGAGGATCATAATCGGGTGACCATTCCAATAAATGAATGAGTGTCGACAATGTTGCATTTGGATGTGAACAATACTTGCTGATGACATACAATCTTCTTTTAAACAATACTTTATCCTTTTCTGGTAGATAATGTTTGATAAAGTCCCATGGCATTGCATAATCACTTATCATTGAAAGATGTGGTATCTTGACAATATCCTTTCCTATCTTTGCACCACCGCTTGCCTCATCATCATAATAACTACCAAGTTGGTGATGATTTGATTTCAATTGCACTGCAGTAAATATAACATGTCTGATATAAGGTACACCAATAATCGTTTGGAATGTTGTAGTTGTTGTAGTTGTTGTATTTGTTGTATTTGTATCTATTCTATTCATCTCTTCTTCACAGTTATTTACTTTCAAAAATGACCCGATTTTTTTTTTTAGAAATATTTGAGACAAAACCAAATTACCAATTAATCAATTCAATTTATTATTCAATAGTATTATCATTTAAATATTTATAAAGTAAATCTATAGTTTCCCAATATCTTTCATGATCAATGGTATCCCTTTTTAACATTTGTTGAATTTCTTTGATTGGCATTAATTGGTTGTCTAAAACATAGTGAATCACATCGTAGTGGGGATACCTGCCTGGATATATTTTAAAAGCTTTCCATGTGCATTGTTGTTGTTGAGATCTAGTCTTGTGTAGATACTTTACAACCTCTAAATAGCCATTACAGGCAGCTCCATCAATTGCAGCGGTTGTAAATCCTTCTGTACGATTTTCATTTAAAAAATTGAACCATTTCCAAATTATTATTCAATGCAGCTGATTCCATTGCTTTAGATGTGCATCCTTCTGCTCGATTTAGATGTAGAAACTCTAACATTTCCATATTATTATTCCTTGCGGCTTGATCCATCGATTTGACTGAACATCGATCGGTTCTATTATAATGTAACCACTTTATAAAAAATATAAAAGGAGTTAGTAAGTATATTTTGTGAGTTGGATATCATTTTCTAATTAAAAAATATAGGACATACTTGAACCAATTCAAAGTGATTGTGAAATGATGCTACATCTATTGGTGACAATTCAGACCATATTTTTGATGTTGGAGCTCGTTCGTGAATCAATTGTACGATATCTAATCGACCTGATTGAATTGCTTTTTTCAAAAATTTTGTTGTACATTTTAATTGTAGATTTTGAATAAGGAATGTTATCATCTCTATTGTTACCTGTTCATTATCCATGTTTATATTTTCCATAGCTCTGTCTGAGCATCCTTCACTTCTATTATCATATAAAAACTAATTAATAAATAAATACATAAATTAATAAAATAAAATAAATTAATTGATAACTACATTGTTGATTAGAATGGCTGCAGTATCCATACCTTTACAATATCAAAATGACCATTTGAAATTGCCGAATCCATAGCATTTGAAGTGCACCCTTCCGTTCTATTTTGATGTAACCAAACAACCATGTCTAACCGTCCTGCTCGACATGCATTTTCCATTGCAAGGCGAGTGCACCCTTCTGAGCGATGGTTGTGAAGAAATTGTGTGATTTCCAAAGAAGAGGAATAATCCATAGCATCAGTTGTGCATCCTTCACTACGATTAAAATGTAACCACTTTACCAATTCCAAATTGGAATGACCATCCATCGATGTAGCAGCATTATCCATAGCAGATGTGCTACATCCTTCACTACTATTCTCGTGTAACCACTCTACTACATCCAAATAACCTCCAGCTGCTGCTGAATCAATGGCACTCTCTGTGCATCCTTCTGACAGATTCATCTCATGTAAAAACTATGGGTAAAACAGAGAAAGAAAGAAAGAGAGTTTGATATTTTAATAATAATATTATTATATCGTGATGATTATTATTGTGATTATATTACATACCTTGATAACATCTAAATGTCCATTCGATGCTGCTCTATCTATAGCATCAGATGTATATGCTTTTTCAGTTCTGTGTTGATGCATATACTTTAAAACATCTAAATAACCATCTGACGCAACTATCTCCATTGTAAACTCATCACAAGTAGCTCTACGGTGATTTAGAGTCAACCATTCAAGTGTCGAAAGATGACCATTGATAGCAGCTGCACCAACAGCACCGTTTAAATTGATATCTGGGTACTTGGTCAATAACAATTCCAAAATGTCTCTATTTCCTACTCCTGCCACCTTTTCAGCTAGTTGTTTACGATGTGCCTTTGGTAGAAATTGAGGATCAAAATCTGGTGACCACTCCAATAAATGCTCGAGTGTCGACAATGTTGAATTTGGATGACGACAATACTTGCTGATTGCAAACATTCTCCTTTTCTTTAATATCTTGTCTTTATCAGTACACAGTGGTAGATAATGTTTGATAAAGTCCCATGGCATACCATACTTGCCTATCATTACAAGTTGAGGTATCTTTACAATATCTTTTCCTTTCTTTGCTTGAATGAAACCTTCTTCTTCCTCTACATAATCTTCATCATCATCTTGAAATACTTTGTAGTTGTCATCCTTTGTATCTCTCTTTAAATCAAACTCTTGTCTTGATATTTCAGTTATTTGATTGAATATTATTCTTTTAATATATGGTACTCTTAAAAGATTTATAATTGTTGTTGTTGTTGTTGTTGTTGTTGTTTGATTTTGTTGATTACAATCATCATGATCTCTCTTTCTCTTCTTTTTATCATTCTCTAATTCATCTTGTTCTTGTCTATTACTATTACTACTATCTGATGATGAGTTATCAGTAGCAGCAACCAATTGAATGACCAGTTTATTACTGTCGATCAGATGATGAGAGACACCAAAGTAGTTTGCAATCGACGGTATACAATGATTGAACCCATGTAATCTAAACTCTTCAATCGATGTTGATTCAAATGTTCCACATATTTTACATTTGATGATGTTACCATCAACTGAGACATTCATAGTTGTTCATCTGATTATCTCCAACTATCTTCAAACATTCATCAACACCCCCGGTTCTCTCTTTTTGTAATAGTGCTACTTTTCATTTTTTTTAATTTATTTAATTAATTTTTGGTATGTATTCCCAACACACTCCAATGAGCTTACTTCTCAAAACATTATACAGATAGACTAGTAGGTGCGCTCAATGAATAGTTGTTATTAATAATTATTCAACAATGGATTTCCTAGGTAGAGTGGTACGGGAAATAGATAAATTACAAATAGATGATCATGATGAGGAGAAGCCTTTTAATACAAATTCTTCAACATCAACTAGTAGTTCCTCTACTACTACTACGACTACAACTACTGATGTGTATGTTAATTATATATTTTTTATTAAAATCACACTCTTTGACTAACTTAACCACCTGTTATATAGAACAACAACTTCAGAAGAATCAGGAGAAAAGAAGAAAAAGAAGAAAAAAAAGAAAAAGAAAAAAAAGAGTTCTTCTTCTTCCTTGGAACCAAAAAATTTAGAAGAAGATAGTTGTTATCCTTACAACTATGGTAATGTTATCGCTGTCTACATTGATATAAAGAAACAATGGAATGAAGCTATATTGGGTAAATATTTAAAAGATGCTGGTTTTATTAGAGGTACAGAGGTATCTGATAGCAACAAGTCTACTCGTATGCAATTACAAATGACTCAATTATATGTTGGATTTGCAAAAAAGATAGTTTCGGAAGCATCACATTTTATTGGTGGTCCTATTGCAACAAAACACCATGTCATTGCCACTGGTGATGATACTGTCGACTTTGAAAATGCCTATTCTATGATTGGATCACAATTATTTGAAACAACGTATATTTATCTACCACCGTCCTACACTGTTATGGCAACTTTGTTCGTAGTGGCAGCATACTTATTGGGGTATCCAGGATATGCTAGTGGTCCTATCCCGAATATTGTCAAATATGCACTTGTCAGGATGAATATGATCATTCCACGCAACAAATCAGAACTATGTACCAAGATTAAACACCTTTTTAATATATACTATGCTATACCAGATCAACATGGACTGGTTGAATGGGACAAGTCAAAGTTGACACAATATCTCCAACACAACAGCATCAGACAATATAGTACAACTAGATACCCACCAAATTCACCCAACTTTCAATGTATCATGGCGATATCTATATTGATCAAAGGCTTTATCATCAAGAATAACCCCACCATCTTTACAAATGAAAAAGATTTGGAATGGGGACTATCAGATGGTTCAGTTGAAGATACACTAGACAGATTAGGTCGAATGTCTATTCCATTTTGGAAATCAAGAGAAAAGTGGGCAAACGACATGCGACTAAATGTTTTAGGTCTTACGATTATAGCATTTCAAACTGGTGTTGTCAATTTCGTGTATCCACCCTTGATTGATGATTGTCTCAAACCAGAGATATTACGTAATTTAGAAAGTAAAAGGTTCCAATTAGATGGTAATATTCCAACTGCATTTCAAAATATTACTAATCTTGCAAGTCAAGTTTAAAGAAATAAAATAAAATAAAAAGAAAGATAATATATTTTTAATAATTAATAGTACTATTTATTTTATTTATTTATTAGTTAAATTAAATGAATTAATATATTATCATAATAATGATTAATTAAATCAATGATTTCATAGTACTTTTCATTTTCACTACAAAGACAAAATACTGATTGTGCATTGGTTTGGATGAGTTGGAGTGGTATTAATTTGTTGGATAGAATATAATGAACCACATCGTAATCGGGGTATCTGCGATGATGTGGAATTTGCAAAGCTAAAAGTGTACATTGTTGTTGATTCATGGTCGTGTGGAGATACTTGACGACATCCAAGTGTGAACCAGCGGCTGCCCAATCCATGGCAAGGGACGTGCATCCCTCTGTACGATTTTTATATAAAAATTCTAACATTTGCATATTCCCATACGATGCAGCGTTGTCCATCGCACTCGTTGAGCATTCACATTTATCCGATCGATTAAAATGTAGAAATTCCAACATTTCCAAATTATTACTCATTGCAGCTGAATCCATTGCATAATGACTACTATTCTCATCATTTCTATTATAATGTAACCACTAAATAATTATAATTAAGTAAATGTATAAATAAATATAAATGAATGAATTATTAAATACAACGACTAACATAACATACTTTAACAATTTCAAAAAGATTATTATCAGCGGCCAAATCGATTGGTGAAATTTCTTTCCAAATTTTTGATGTTGGATAATGTTGATGAAGATATTGTACGATATCTAATCGATTTGCTTGAATTGCATAGATCAAATAAAAAGATGTGCACTCTACATTTAAATTTTCATTAACAAATGTTAAAATCTCCAATGTCTCTTCTGGTGTCTTATACAGTGCAATATCATCAAATGCTCTTGAAAATAACCCTTCTGTTCTATTCTGATATAAAAACTAAATAAATAAATAATTAATTAATTAATTAATTTGGTTTGTTTCCAATTCAATATATTATAAATATATATTGCTATCAATAAATAAATACCTTTATAATATCAAAATGACCATATTTAATTGCTTCTTGCATGGCTTTATATGTACACCCTTCCGTTCTATTATAATGTAACCATTCAACCATGTCTAATCGTCCTCTTGCCGCCGCATTATCCATGGCTTTGTGAGTGCACCCTTCTGAGCGATTATTATGTAGGAATTGAGTTATTTCCAAAGAAGCTGAATTGTCCATAGCTTCAGTTGTGCATCCTTCAGTGCGATGGTCATGAAGGAACTTTAAAATTTTGAAATGGCCATTTCGAGCAGCATTATCCATAGCAGTAGTACTACACCCCTCGCTTCTATTAAAGTGTAACCACTCTACAATATCATAGTCTCCTTTATACGATGCAAATATCATAGCATGAGTTGAACATCCTTCTGTACGATTAAAATGTAAAAACTATAATAGCAAGATAAAGAGTTAAAGATTATGATGATCTGTATTGTATTGTATTGTCCTTATTGCAATTGTGATGATTTATCTATCTTACATACTTTAATTATATCTAAATGACCATTCGATGCGGCATCATTCATAGCATTAAGAGTACATCCTTCACTACGATTCTCGTGTAAAAACTATCAAAAGAGAGAGAGAGAGAGAGAAAGAGAGAAAAGTTAGATAGATGAATGACACATTTGTTGTTATTTTTGATTACATACCTTGATTACATCTAGATGTCCATTCTTTGCAACAACATCCATTGTATATACATTACAACTAGCGTTGTTTATCAGTTCAAGTGTCGAAAGATGACCATTAACAGCAGCTGCATCAACAGCACCATTTGGATTGATTTCAGGATACCTTGTAATAAGTAGTTCCATTATATCTCTATGGCCTGCACCTGCCACCTTTTCAGCTAGTTCTTGACAATATTTCTCTTCTCTATTTTGAGGATCATAATCTGGTGACCATTCCAATAGATGATTGAGTGTATCCAATGTTGCATTGGGATGTGAACAATACTTGCTAATGATATATAATCTTCTTTTAAACAATACTTTATCCTTTTCAGGTAGATAATGTTTGATAAAGTCCCATGGCATACCATATTGACTGATCATACCAAGATGAGGCAATTTGATGATATCTCTTCCTTTCTTTGCATATTTAAGATTCTCATCATATTGATCATCATATGATTTCGATTGTATCAGTGTAAAACTATTGAATACAACATGTCTGATATAAGGTACACCAATAATCGTTTGAAATGTTATTCTATTCTTGTTATTCTTGATTTCTACCATTTCTTGATTTGATACAAAAAATAAAAAATAACATAACAACTCGGAATCAAAGCACGCAAAACAAGTTCAAGAAAACTAAATTAAATTGTTTTATATATATTTTGATTTATTTATTTATTTATTTGATTATTTTAATTATTTATTAAATTACTCTTATAAAAAAAAAAAAAAAAAAGTGGTGTCAGAGTGTTTCAAACAAAGAATTTCAATACCAACAACAACAACATTAAAGGAGAACCCATGTTTTCTATTATCTTACGACATCTCTTTTAATCATAACATGTATAATGCTTTGTCAATAACAGAAATTGCATCACAAAGCGATTTCAAACGATGGTCAGCAAAACAAGTAAAAGAATGGGCTACAAAAGAAGCTCAAGTAAGAGAAGAATATGCCCAGATGCTTCTTGATAATGATGTGGATGGAGAGAGTATAGCAGCGTTTACAGAGGCTGATTTTGGTAAATGTGGCATAGTCGTCGCACCTGCAAAGAAGCTCTATCTGGCTGCTCAACAACTTTTAATTAAACAACAACAACAACAACAACTACAACAATCGCTATCGCATCAACACAGCAGCAGCAGTAGAGGTAAGTAATGATACATCTGTCTTCTATTTAACCACTCATATTCGTCTTGTTCGCACATGATTGTCATACGTCAGATTCCCTCCACTACCACCACCCATCATTCTTCTCGTTTCTCTCGTTTAGTCACTCTGTGTTGTGGTTCAAGTCATCTATTAATCACACCCATCAACCCTAATATTAAAGTCATGTCTTATGATCATCGCGCTCACCCATCTTCCAATGATTTTATTAATATTTAAAATAAATTTTTTTGTTTAATAATAATAATAATGTTTTTTTATAATTATATATTTTTTTCTTGGAGTTTGATGATAAGAAGCACTCATACCAGTCAGCAGTTCACTGTGTATTCTTTCTGATACATTTTATTTGTTCTTTTTTTTGCCATTTATTATTCACATATTTCATATTTATCTATTCATCAGTTATCCATAAGAGAAATCATCTTCACCATCGTCGCCATCTTGTCAATATTCATTCACTCAATCTCTTGTTCATTTCACCGTGAACCTTTTTATTCTTTGTAGTTTATATTCCCTTATCTTATTTGCAACTTACTTACTATAATATTATATCAAACAAATATTCAAGAAATGGATAATGGCTGGAGAGAAAAGGGTATGTTTTTTGTTCTAGTTCCTTGACCTGAAAAAATTAATGACCCTCTGTTTCTATTCTATTCTATTCTATTCTATTCTATTCTATTCTATTCTATTCTATTCTATTCTATTCTATTCTATTTAGACCCAAAGGAATGGGATTTTACAGACATCGATTCTTGGATAGGATATTTCAAGTCACAACGCAGACTAAAACCAGGAGCAATCTTTGATTTTGATTCCAACACCAAATCTTTACCCAAAGGAGAGTCTCTTGTAAAGTGGCCATGTGATTTGTTCAAGGAATACTCGCCTACCTACGGTAGTGAACTATTTGTTAGTTTAAACAGTTTCAAAAGGGACCCCACCCCTTCTCCCCTACAAGGTAACCAGTCACAATCACTATTGCACTATCTTTCATACCATTTCTTCTCTACTGTCATCCCTCACCAATTTTTTTCATTTGTAATTCTCTCCCTTTTGAAACCTTACATTTCTTCATTGCCAATGTTGCAATCACTATCATTGCTCCTCTTTTTACACCATTTCTTTTGATTATCTTTTTGTTTTCATTACCAATCAATGCACCACCCATCTCTTTCCTTTTAACCACTTGCTTGTCGAACCAACCAAACACTAAACATTTGTCATTTTGTTTGTTCATCTTTATATCATTAACCTTTTGTTAATTGATATCCTTGATCGAAATCAAATACCATTGCCCATTCACCAAGCAACGTGACCACTCTTTATCACTCAACCTTTTATTTTTAAGACCCATCTCTTTTTCCATCTTATCCACTCCTTTTGTCAAACATACCTAATTGCTACATCAATCAATCACCATCATTCAAATCTAGTCATTTTGTTTTGTTTGTTCTCATATTACAGGCCCTTCACTTATCTCATTGTTGTTGGTCAATCCATCACCATTCCAAATATTATATCAACCAATCACCATTAATATCACTGGACACTCAAAACCTCTACCTTTTGTTAGTTTGGTTCACTCACCTATCCGGTTAACGACACTTCCTTTATCCATCAGATAATTAAAAATCCCTATCATTGCACCTCTATTTATACCATTTCATTTTTATTATCTTTTGTTTTCAATGCACCAATCATCCTCTTTCCTTTTAACCACTTGCTTCATTGTTGTGCAACCAAGCACTAAACATATGTAATTTAGTTTTGCTTGTTCATCTTTACATATCATTGACCTCTTGTGTTCATTCATATTTATAATCCTTTGGTCCAAATCAAATACCATTGTTCATTCACCAAGCTACATCATTTTGTTTTCAAGCACAATAATAAGCCAGTTTTAACCATTTTTTTTTTAATAGCAAATTTTAATTTATTAAAAACAATCAACTCAACAAGATACTCTTCATCTGAAATCAACTACGTAAAACCATCAATTATAGTCGATCGAGGACGAGAAACAACAGAGTTATCTGTCAACTGCATCAAGGCAATGATCATCCCTACATTCCCAAGTGCAAACACCAATAACACTACGCTGCCTACTACCTTGTCTGCACAGATGTGGGGATCTGGAAAATCGTTCCTTGGTTACAATTTTATTCAATTACTGAATGAAAATCATTTTGATGGTGCTCTCTTCAAAGAGCTTGTTGCACAGGACGATTTTTTGCCAAAGGTTGGTGATCCAAAACTGAAAGATACCTTGGTAAGATTAAAGTCGTTGAAAACGGTCTCGGTCGACCTGATGCCGTTTAGAGGTAGAATGATCACATCGTCAGAAGATTGGGTCACCACAATCATCACGTTACTGTATCGCGTCGTTTTATCCACTTTCAAGCAGTCTTTTGACAAATCCAAGCTTGTTACCTCTGTCAACGAACTCTTTGAATTGGCACCCCAAATCAATTCGTGTTTTGTTCATATCGATGAAATCGACATGACAATCGAGAATGAACAAAACGATATCGAGGCTGCCAGAAAACTCTACGCAATTTGGGAAAAAGTATCACATCCTTTGGTTCAGAGTTCTATTCCTGTTTATTTAACTGGTAGATCACCTATTCTTTTTTCTATTAATCATGGAGCCTATCATAAACATAATATCATATCTCCCCCGAAAGCTAGCGCTTCCCTACTTCTATTGGATATGTTCAAGAAGAATGACATTAAAGATATGCTCCTTGGTCATGGTAATGAATCCCTAGGGACATGCTCAAATATTGATTCCTATTCAGAATCTATCTACAAGGTATATATATATCCAACGAAAACAACTTTTATTTATAAAAATGTATTAACAACTTTGGTTTTTAGTTGACATTAGGAGTGCCACGTCTAGTTGAGGGTGTAGTGAATTATCTATTGACTCGAGATTTAAATCTACCTATTAATGAACAAAAACTAAGAGATCATCTGCGATCTGATTCTATCTATTCCAACGAGCTCAACCCAACCTACTCGTGGTCTCCGGAAATGAAGCTTCTTTATTTAGAACTTTGCAGGGCATCAATATTTAAGGTAAGTTAGACCTATAACATAAATCTTTTAAATACTTTTTGACACTTTAATTTAAGATCCCATTTAGCTTGGATTTGGCAATCGATACGGAGATGTGGCACATTCCAGTAGAGATGAAGTATAAACGATTCAACTATGCAAAGTTCTTTCAGCTATTCAATGTTTATTTGGAACAATATCCATTCAACCGCCGAATGGCAATCGTCTTGATCCCTCCACTCACTCTATCTGAAATTGTAGAAAATGCTCGCGAAAACCGTTTGGATAGTATCCTAAAAGTTGGCTTGCAACTTCAACAGTATATGGATATTAATTCATATGGCATTCGACAAACTGGCATCCCTTTTGAAGATTGTGTTGAATCAATTATTTACACAAGAACCAATCTGGGAATCGAAGCTATGTCAATGGATTGGTTTAACAGAGGAATTAAAAAGGAGGAACCTTCTCAACAAACCACAACTGGATCTGTTGCCCAACTATTCCTCTTTTTATCTGTAAGTATCTATTACACCTACAATCAATCATTATTACAATTTAATTTAATTCATTAATCATTTATCTCTCTCTCTCTCTCTCTCCTCTCTCTCTTTTGTAGGATTCTTGGGTTGGCAGTACAATTTGGAATCCTTCCTCTCACATTTCAACCACTCCATCAATCAAACATTTCCCCAAAATAGTAAACTCACTCAAATCTGTGAACTGGGAAGGGATAAAGTTGGGTTTGGTCACCAATAGAACAGATGGAATTGAACTTGTGCATTGCGACGCTGAAAACTTTGGTGTTCTCTGGTCAATGGCCGCTCCTTTCACCACGTATCGTTCATTATCAAAGTCGGGCAGTTCGGATCTATTCACAAAGATCAATGACAAGCTTGGTATCGCTTGGATTGTAAAAGATTACAAGAACTCGCTACCATCGAATCAAGTTGAAAAAGAAATCAATCTTTTGAAAAACCTACCATTCTCAATCAGATTTGTTGCTGTTATGATTTCCTTGTCCCCTCCAAAAGGGGACACGAGCTAGTAGGTTATAATATTATTCTTTAATCTAATTTTAATACTAATATCTTTTTAAAAACTAGTTTGGGTAAAAAGACAAAGGATATTTTGAGTATTGATGGTGAACACATAGCTGACCTTTACGAAGTTACTTTTAATATCCAGATGGTCGTTTTAACCGTCGCAGGACTAGAATATTTCTTCTCAAAAGAGAATTATGACTTTTTAAAACGTTCTAAAATTTTTGAATAAAAGTTGATTATATAGTATCGCCATTGATCTCTCGTCCTTTTCATATCTTCTCTTTAGTTTCTCTTCTTTTTCTTCAAGCATCCTCTTTTCTAATTGATCCAATCTATCACTTTCTTGATTATATATATAGAGTAATTTATTATATTAATTCAAGCAAATCAAGTAAATCAAGCAAAACAAACAGAACAGCAACAACAAATAATGGTTGATCAAATTTTACCAAATGATTTAATAGAAATGGTCCCAAGAAACAATCTAACAGCTTTAAAAAGAGATTTTTGGATGTTTGAGTGAATTAATAATAATTTTTATTTGATTGATTTGTCAAATTATAATAGATAAAAAACCACCAAATACAAACGCTTAAACAACAAGCCAATGGAAGATCTAAACGTTTGTATATATAGGGTCTTCTTGCATTAATATAGATCTTGTGGTAGAGTGGAGAAGGGAATCTATAATCTTTACCATGAATGAGTATTCCCTTCTTGACTAGACTTGTGGCTGCATCTTTGTAAAGGACTGCAGTGGACTGGTTCAGAGTCAATGATCTATTCTCTGAAATATAGTCCAAAATTTCCTTGGCGGTAAACTTGTCTACACCAACTTTACCTTGACGACATCCAACTGGTTTCTCTCTGCAGCAATTGCCATGATATCGTCATCCCAAATATCAGAGTATGGAAATCCTTTGTTGAGATATTGAATGACATCTAATCTACCTTTTAATGCAGCAACCCTGAGACCCTCTGATGTACACACGATTTCAACATTATCACCAAGATACATTATAACTCTATTGATGAGTTATCAGTAGCAGCAACCAATTGAATGACCAGTTTATTACTGTCGATCAGATGATGAGAGACTCCAAAGTAGTTTGCAATCGACGGTATTGATCCCATGTAATCTAAACTCTTCAATCGATGTTGATTCAAATCTTCCACATACTTTACATTTGATATTAACTGTAAGATTCATAGTTGTAGATCTGAGATTAAGAGATAATTTCAGCAATCAGGTTAGGGTTATATCAAACAACGGATTTTTAATTGCTTTTAAAAATACAAAAAAAGATAATAATATGATCCAATTTATTTGTTGTTATTTTTTCTTTTGTAGTTGTTGTTATTGTAATCTCTTTATCATCTGCAAGAATACATAAATTTTACATATTTAATATCGACCATCACTTTTGGAAAATAATAATATTAGTATTTATTTTGAAGTGATAAAAAAAATTTAATAATACTATTTATTTTTTGAATATAAAGGTATTCTTTTTTATTAGTAACTAATGTTCCTAGAAATAAAATTTAATATTAAAATATTTTATTTATTATAATAATTTTTACTATTACTTTATAGATTTTATTTATTTTTATTATTCATCACCATCTTCATCTTCTTCATCTTCTTCTTTTTCATCTTCATCTTCTTTTTCATCATCTTCTTCTTTATCATTTTCTTCTTCATCTTTATCATCATTGTCGTCATCTTTATCACTTTCACTTTCTTCATCTTCACTTTCATCAATTTCAATACAAGTGTCAGAGATTTTGAATTGACCATGATCTGCGTCGACATTAAGGAATAGCTTTGTGTGTTTGTCTTTTGGTAGGACGATGATTCCACCAACCATTGTATCCTTTTCAATTAGCATAAAACTATTGCTATTAGGACATCTTCGAATTTCAAATTCAAATTGACCATCAATAATCAATCTCGATACATTTGTATGATTGACAATATCTACCAAGTTGACACTATAATCTGACAAACCTTCATTATTGTTATGGTAATAGGTCAGTGTTGTGATGGTGTAGGGAAGGAGCAGTTGTTTGGATTCATAGAGTTGGGTGTGTGTGTCTTGGTTGTTGTTGACGATTTGGATCTTGTCGGTTGCAGTGACCAGTACAATTTATAGCTCATCGTCAATGTCAGTGCAGTCAATGATGTGGGCACGCAGATGGCTGATGGAATACGTTCGGATTCACCATCAAAGTTGTAGTTTAGCGATGTCAGTGTTGGTGGCACTGGTACTGGCACTGACCTGCGAGTAGGCGGTTTATTCTGGTACGACCAAGCCAATACACGGAGATTGGGTGGGAAACGGACAGGAGTACACGATGGATACGCGTACTGACTGAGATACAATTCAACGACTGAATTTGGAATGATATCACTTGTCATCAGACCATGGTATCCATTCAACTCGAGTATTTCGACACCGTTTGGAATGAGTCCTGGTGTTATAGCATCGTCGGTAAATTCAAACAAACGTAATTCTTTCACCGATGACGGGATGAAACCTGGGGCAAGTTTGCCCGATAGACAGTCGACGGTTAGCGAGGTTAGTGTCGATGGTAAAACGAGTGTGTGGCTGGCATCACTACGATAAGAGATGGAGAGCTTCTCGAGTGTGGCTGGGATTAAGTCGGTCTTGAGACCACCAATATTTGACAAGAATAGATGTTTGAGTGTTGGTGGGAGAAGGAATTCGTCCGAGATAGAGGTCGCTGAATCAGAGCTTACCGATAAAGAGAGACTGACCAACGAGGTGAGATGGGTGACATTGATGCGAGGTATCAATTTCTGCATCCATTTGATCTTGAGGTGGAGTAGAGTCTGCGTTCGCAGACTCTCAAGAATGGCACCCAAATCCTTTTCACCAGTTGAATGAATGGTCACCGATGTTATGGTAGATGGCCACGATTTGATCGTTGGATAATGCAATTTGACCTGCATCTTTAACTTTTTGACACTGCAAGGAAAGAAATCCTTATCGATGGTACCTGTGCAATCAGCTGTCACTAAAACCTCGACATGTTCTGGTACCTTGGTCGTAGATAAATCTGCTTGCAAGACTTTCAACTTCCTGCCAAGCGTTGTTTTGACACTTTCGTTGATGAGATTGGAGAATGCATTCATGTGACGATTAGATGGGTCATGTGCTGCCGCTGTATTTTTAAACCATACAATATTGCGAGGAAGAGGATCTGTTGTTGCGTTGCTATGGTCTTTACATATCTTTTCAAACTTTAATCTAATGTTGTTGTAGAATGCTTTACAAGTCATCATCAAACAAATCACATCCACATTGTTTTCAACATGACTAATAATGTTGAGGATTACCAAATCTGATAATTGGTTGATTGTTCCAACACTAGAAGTTCGTTTGGTTTTATTCACTACTGTAGGTACAGCAGCAGTGTTACGAACACTACTACTTCTACGATTACTACTATTTGCACTACTTCTCCTTTTTGGTGGCATTTATTAGTATATAACTACTGCATACTACTACTGTTTGATGTTGAGTTGTTTAACCCGACCCATCTTCTTTTTCTTTTGGACCTGTATTGTCATCAAGATGCAAGGTGGCAAGATTTTATTTGTTTAGTGGAACTCTCTAAAAAGAACACCACTTCACTTTTTATTTATTTTTTTTCTTACTTTGTCATGTGACCACTTTGAAATCGAAACGATCGATTACTTTAATCTAGATAACAATCGGTTTTAATTTTGAATATATTGATTGACTAGATCTAATATTTCATAATAAGAATTCTCTGTGAGATAGTCTATTACAAATGGAGCAACATTCTCTTTTGGAATAATACGATTGTCCAATAGAAATTTTACGACTTGGATATGTTGATCTTCAGCAAATGGACCAACATTTAAAGCATGGTTGCTACATCCTTCAGAACGATTTTTGTAAAGAAATTCTACAATATTTAAATGACCTCCCTGCGCAGCTGCATTCATAGCATAAATGCCACATCCTTCTGTACGATTATAATGTAAAAACTAAATGTAAATAATGAACATGTTGGTTAGATGGATCCCGGTAGATATATGATACAATTGTGCTTATACTCACTTTGACTACTTCAAAATGACCATGCTCAGCGGCATTATGCATAGCACTAGTTGTACATCCTTCAGAGCGATTTTGGTGTAGGAATTGAACAACCTCTAAAATCCTTCCTTCATCGGGGCTGTCATTGTGTGAATAAGCTGTAGGAACAGCATCCATAGTATATCTATTACATGGTTCAGTACGATTAAAATGTAAAAACTAAATGATAGATAGATAGATATTAGAGTATTAGTATTGACAATAATATATTTAAAAATATATATATTTACTTTAACTATATCCAATTGAGCATATGATGCAGCCATGTCCATAGCACTAGACCAAAAACTTAGGTTTGGATAATGCTTATGTAGAAATTGAATAATATCCAATCTTCCCAATTCAATTGCATAACGAATGACTCTGGTTACAAAAGAGAATCCAATTCCATTTTCATAAAGGAATGTCATCATCTCTACTGTTATCTTTCTACAATCCCATAAAACAACTGGTTCAATGATAAATCCTTCTGGTCTATTTTTAAACAAAAACTATAAATCAACAAAAGAATTATTAATAACAATCTGAAAAGTAAAAAGAATAGTAATCCTAAATATTTAAATATTTAAATACCTTGGCTATTTCTAGATTTCCACTCTCTGCTGCTTCTTTGATGGCTTCAATTGTAAATCCCTCAGTTCGTTCTAGAAGAAGAAATTCAATGGCATCCATTTTACCATTCGTAGCAGCATTTTTGATAGCGTTTGTTGTGCATCCTTCAGTTCTGTGTCTATGAAGGAATTGGATGATTGACAAATGGCCAGCATTATCCATAGCATCAGTAGTTGCACCCTCACTACGATGTTGATGTAAAAAGGTTAAAATATCCAAATGGCCTCTTTCTGCTGCTACATCCATACCTCTAGTAGTACATCCCTCAGTTCTATGTTCATGTAAGAACTAAATAATAATAATTTTAGAAAAATATATAAGAATAGGTACATATATTATATATATATATATATATATTTACATACTTTAATAATATCAAAATGACCTTCATACGCAGCACCCTCCATAGCATCAGTTAAACATCCTTCTGTTCTATTAAAATGGAGAAACTATAATAATGAATCATAAATATTAGTATTCATTCATGTTCATTCACTTTTACTTTTATATTATATTTATGTACATACTTTGACAACATCAAGATGACCATTGGTAGCTGCAGAATTCATAGCACCAACTGAGCAACCTTCAGTACGACGATCATGAAGATACTGTACAACGGATAGATGGCCAGCGGCTGCGGCGAGGTCCATTGCATCGGTGGAGCATTTAATGTTTTTGATCTTTTGGTCCAATAGTTGAACGAGTGAGAGTACACCAGTGTCGGCAGCAATATCCAAATAGGTAGATCTTTCAGCAATGTCGTGGTACTTGTCAAGGATAAACTCTAAAATGTCTGGATTACGAGCTCTTACAATGTCACCGATTGGATCCATCCCTCTAGAAAGCTGAGCTACAAGGTCATACTCGGTCGACCATGCCAATAGATTGGTCAATGTCTCCAGGGTTGCATTTGGGTGTCTGCACAACCCAGCGATCACATACATTCTTCGTTCAGACAATACTTTATCCTTTTCAGGTAGATAATGTTTGATAAACTGCCATGGCATACCATACTTGTGCACCATGCCAAGATAAGGCAACTTGACAATATCCTTTCCTTTTAGAGATGTTCTATGAGCACCATTCTTGTTTTGACCTTTCACCACTTGTTTTGTAATCTCTTCAACTTGTTGAAATATTAATCTTCTAATATAAGATACACCAAGTATATCTTTAATTGTTGTCATTATTAAGTATTATTTCTATCTTTGAAAAAAAAATAATAATGATGATAATCTTTGCTCGGTTTCTTGGGTTCCACGCAAGTGACATCATCATCATAGATTCATTTACAAAAAAATCTAATTTTCTTTTCACTTTCTTTTTTCGCTTTTTCCTTCTCAAATTAATTGCATTTATAGGATCACTCATCGACGACTCATTTGTAATCATTACCATAGTAGTATCAAACATGACATGTACATTTATTAATCTTATTAGAGTACCATATATCAGACAGGTAATATTCAATAGTTTTACTGTACTCTATTCTAAATCAAGTGATGATGATGATGAATTTGGACTTGACAAGGCAGCAAAAAAAGGTAGAGATATCATCAATTCACCACGTCTTGCTATGATAAGCAAGTATGCAATGCCATGGGACTTTATCAAACATTATCTACCATCTGAAAAGGAAAAGGTGGTACTTGGTAGAAGAATGCAGGTAATCAAAGAGTACTGTGCACATCCCAATGCAACCTATGATACATTGTTAAAACTATTGGAATGGTCACCAGAATTTGAATATCGCTCTGATTTGGCATTTGGTGTTGTTAAACGAGGTCATATCAAAATACTAGAGTACTGGATCAACAAATTCCCTCAAATCAAATTACAAGATGATTTACTCGTTGTTGCAGCTGTCAACGGTCACCTTCCAATCGTTCAATTATTAAATACATTTCCTTCAATGCAAGATAAAGATTACAGTGAGGAATTGATGATGGATAAAGTTGCAAAGAATGGACATTTATCAGTGGTAAAGTGGTTGCATATCAACAGGAGTGATGTAGGGTGCACTCAAGATGCTATAGATGGGGCAGCATCGAATGGTCATTTAGATGTTATCAAGGTATGTATAAATTATTTAGAAAACTATATTTTTACAATCATCATCAGATGAATTAATCTCTCTCTCTCTCCTATCTAGTTTTTACATGAGAATCGTTCAGAAGGATGTTCAACCAGCGCTATGAATAATGCTGCTTTGAATGACCATTTGCCAATTATCGAATTCCTTCATAAACACAGAACTGAAGGATGCACTGTTGATGCTATGGATCTGGCGGCATTGAATGGTTATCTAAACATATTAAAGGTAGAATCTAATTTAAATAGTACCAATATATATATATATATATTCATTTACTAATTATTATTTCCAACCTACCTACCTACCTACCCTACTCTCTCTTTATCATTATAGTTTTTACATGAGAATCGTATAGAGGGAGCTTCAGAGTTTGCATTAAATCAATCACCTAACCTCGAGATTGCCCAATTCCTTCATTATAATCGCTCAGAAGGATGCACAACACTTGCCATGGATAACGCCGTTATCAACGAAAGCATGGATGTTTTAGAATTCCTTCACACCCATCGTACCGAGGGTTGTTCGATGAGAGCTTACCACTATGCTGCAATGCATGGTCGTCTGGACGTATTAAAGGTAGAAAGAATCTAATTTAAATAGTACCTATATATAAATATATATATTCATGTACTAATTATTATTTCCAACCTACCTACCTACTCTCTCTCTCTCTTTATCTTTATCATTATAGTTTTTACATTTGAATCGTACAGAAGGAAGTTCTTCAAGAGCGATGGATTTGGCCATCCAAAATGATCAAAGTTTAGAGGTGATATCATTTATTGAATCTGCTTTCAAAAAAGGATGTACACATGCTTCCGTTACAAATGCAATCAACAACAATCGATTGGATATTCTTGAGTTCCTCCATCAACACTTTCCATCACCAAATATTTGGGTCGATGGGATTAACAATGCATTTTTTGGACATGTTGATTTAAATGTTTTAAAAGTATGTAAAATATAAAAAAATAATGAATTATATATATATATATTTGTATAATTAATTATTAATTCATTAATTATTATTATTTTAGTTTTTGGTTAATAATCGTACAGAAAGAATACCAGGTGGAAGGGCAATCGATTATGCCGCAAAAGCAGGAGATTTAGAGTCTGTTAAATTTTTTATTGCCAATGGTATGACACCAAATGTTGGATATTCAAATGATAGCACAATGGATTTCGCTGCTTCACATGGGCATTTAGAATTAGTAAAGGTATAAATAATATATTATATTATATAATATTATATATATATATGAGACTTGTGTTAACATTTTATTTCCATTTTAATAGTTTTTACATGAAAATCGCTCTGAAGGATGTACAAGTCATGCTATGACTTTGGCAGCTCGAAATGGTCACACCGAGGTTGTAGAATATCTTTATAAAAATCGTACAGAAGGATGTACAAGCTCTGTTTTCTTTATTGGAGTAGATGCTAAAGACGACCAACACTATCAAGCAGTCAAATTTATTTTGGACAATCACATCCTTCCAAAGGGTGATATTGATGATTCTTTGGCATGCCGACTAGCAGAGAATCATCAATATGAAATAGTAGATCTAGTCAATCAATATATTCAAAAATTAAATTTAAACTAAACTAAAAACTTTCCATTCTTTTAGGAAATGAAATAAAAATGGAAGAAATACAAGGTTGACCAAATCAGGCATCACATAGACATATAACTTAATTATAGGATACTGAAAGACAAGTCATCAATATTAATAATATACAAAAATGACAAGAAAACATTATAATATTATATTATATTCTCTCAATGTCCTTCCAGAGTATGAAAAGATCTTGTTGATCAAAAGAGAAAAGATGAGTGGAGTAATCGTACAACAATCTATCGAAAATAGTAAATCAATAATATATACCGTAACGGTGACGAGTGACACCTCTGATCCATCCACCCACCCACACACAATTGCAAGAGGGAGGTGGTAAAATTGGATCATCATTTTTTAAAATGATAATAATGGCACTCAACACTATTATTAATTTATTTATTTATTTATTTATTTTAGAACGGATATGTGGTGGTGTTTTGTAACAGGTCAATTGAACATCGACGATTCTAATGATTGATTGGTAGAGTTGTATTTTATATAATATTAATATCAATCAATCAATTATTATGTTCATTTTACACACATAATGGTATCATCAAAAGATAGATGATTCAAAAACAGGATACATAGATGGACATGTGATTAGATTGATTGATTGTGAATGATCACTCATTCATTCATTCATTCATTTAAAAAAAATTATTGTTTTAATTTTAAAAATAATTTTATAATCATCTTTCTTTATCATATCATTCATTTCTAAAACCATTTTATAGTTTATAGTTTTTCATTAAAATGATATCATTAAAATTAATAATATCAATTATTTTTATAGTAATTGGGTATTGTAATACTTTGTCATTTGAAAATAAAACAATAGTTTTGGAAATTGGTAATCATGATCAAATTAAAATAATCAATTCACCACCATCCGGCAAGCCAAATGACCAACAACCAACAACAACTATTCTCAACTTGGCAAGTCAACCTTTTAAATCACCATTTTTCAAAATCGACAATACAACATTCCAAGTCTATACTTTTGAAAACCAAACTACCATTTCCCAATCATCGGTAGAATTTAAAAACAACAACAACAACAACAACAACAACAACAACAACAACAACAACAACAACAACAACAACAACAACAACAACAACAACAACAATACTACCAATAGTATCTTGGCTCTTGATACTCAAGTTGTCAATTCCTCATTGACTCTTTCAAATAGTAGTTTAATATCTTTTCCATTTAATTCTACTCATTCCATTATTAGTTCAAGTATGTAAACAATAATAATTGTAATATGGTTTCATATATTTCTAAACATATTTAATATTAATTCTTTTTTAAAAGATCAAAGTTTAATATATTTAGGTGATTCAAAGATTATAAAAAGTGAATTAAATATTCAAAATAATAGTAAATTATTATTCTTTAATCATTCAATGATTGATGGTAGTATAGTTAAATTGGATCAATCCATTTTTGGAACCAATTATCTTGTTTTGACAAATTCCTCCAAATTAATTTTAAATCATTCAAAATTAATATTATTCAATGTATGAAAGAAGATAAACAAAATAATTTAGTTAAGTATATTAATCTTTTTTCATTTATTTATTATGTTTTTAGGAAACATCAACTATAGAAATTAAAACCAATTCAACATTAAATTTAATCAATAATACATATGTATATAATACAGTTGTCATACTTGATAATAATAATTCATTATCATTTAAATCAATGAAAACTTTAAACTCTTCCATTGTACGTTAATTTAAATATGACCAAGTGCTATTCATATTAACCTAAATTAATTTAATTCATTCATTTAAATTTGTTTGTTTCATCTCATCAGAACAATCATCATGTTGTTATTGAAAATTCCACAACCATTTTAAATATTCCACCAATTACAAAAAATAGAAAACCATCGTCGTCATCATCATCAGTCAATGATAAATATACAGTAATATCATCCGATTCAATTATACGATCAAATATGAATTATGAAGTACCATTCAACCATTATTATCTAAACTCTTTGGTCTTCAACTTGACCAATGTTCAACTATTCGTTCCAGAGGTATCCATATTCAATTCCAACTTTACATTTTCAAATGGTCTCATTCAATTAAATATTGGTAATGGTAAATCTTTTATTTTTATTGTAAGAAAGAAACTTTTGAAAATAGAAAAAAAGAAAAACAAGGTAAGAAAAATATTTATTTTATTTATTTATTTTATCATTTTAGAATTCAACCGTTTCAATTAAAGATACTGTCATTTTACAAATGCAATTGATTTTTAATAATAATCCAAAGATTAATATGGTATGATTACAAACTTTAAAAAAATGGAAAGAATAGACGTTTCATTATTCATTTATTAACTTTATGTTTTTATTTTTTAAAAAAGACAAAAACAATTATTGAATCATCACCAATAATTATTAGAAACCAAAAAATAATTACTGGACAGGAAAGGGATGTACTTGATTTATATCTTAGTAGTTCGTCTGTATTTTTGGAGAAAAATAGTTCATTTGAATCATACAATTTTACAACACTGATTGATGGTACTGGTCATTCATTCTGGTCAATCGATCAAACATCATCGATTGAAGGACAAATGCAACTCTATGGATCATTGGATTGCTATGGAACGATGGGTTCAACCAAGAAAGTAAATAACATTCATGTTGTTGGTGCTCTATTCATGACTCCAACTTCAAACCTAAATATTTTTGTAAATGATGAATCAAAATATACAAAATGTGAGTAAACCCGACCAAAATACCTATTATTAAAACATATTAACAAAAAATAATGATTTATTTTATATTTTTGTAGATATAATTGAACAAGGAGGTAAAATATTTGGAAATATTACAATTTATCTAACTATGAAATCAATTCGAGAAGGAGCAGAATATCAAATCATATCAACAACCAATAATCAAGAAAAACAATTATTATTGGATGATGATGCTGTTGTCTTTTTCAAATTAATTCAACAAGTTGTTGTTTTGGTAGAGGATGAAGATGGTGATATGGTAGAGATGCTTGCTAATCGTATTATTGACTATCCATTAAACAATACATCAATTTCGTTGGTACCACTATTGATCAAGGATAATAGTGGAGGATGGAAGGTTATTTTTGCATCACCATTCTTTTTTTACCCAAGACATGGTGAGCATGGATCAAGAGGTGTCGGAGGGTACAAAAACAATGATTCAGTATCCATTGTGGCAGCAGTCGCATCAATACTAGTAGTCATATTATTTTGTTTTGTTGCATTATGCATTTTCATCAATCGACATGCCATCAATAGATTATTGACCAATACCAATCTATTTTCAAAGTATAACAAAGATAATAACAACAATAATAATAATAATAATGACAAAAAGCAACCAACAACAACAAATGTAGCAGACAAATATTTAGATACTATTACTACTACCGATGATATCGGTAATAATAGTGGTGTAGTTATAGACCGTCCAATAGTGAATTACAGTCATACTATTACATTGGAGCAAGAAGAACAAGTTGGTAATTTAGAACCAGTCCAAAACAGTCAATCTTATCCTGTATCTATTATCTTTTAAATAAATTAATTAATTAAAATAGAAATTATAAATATTATAATGTTATAGTTGTAATTATTATTTTATAAACGAACGATTGATTATATCCAAAACCTCATAATTAATTAAAATTCACTTCGATTAAAATGTAAAAACTATAATAATAATAATCATTAATATTAAAATAATAAATAAATAAATATAGTTTAGTTTGTTACGAACCTTGACTACTTCCAAATGACCATGGCGCGAAGCTAAATCCATAGCCTCGGTTCTAAATATTGTTAGAAATGTTGTTGTTTTTGTATTTGTTGTTGTTTCTATATTCACTCTTGAATTATATTTGAATTGAATGAAACTAACCTCTAGATTATAGATATAATGGACTGTAAGCCAAGTTCATAGACGTCTCAAAAAATAATGCGAATAATCCCAATGCTACTCTTACCTATACTGAAGAGTATCTCGATGAAGCTTGTGGTGCTTTCCTTCCAGGTTGTTTCTATTGTCCATGGTCATCTAAATTGACCAGAGAAGTTAAACTATAAATAAATAATCAAATAAATAAATAAATAAATCATTGATTTTAAAATAAAAACATTCTATTGAATATATTTCATTTATTCAAGTAAGAAGCTCAAAATTTTTTCTTTACATGAGTTTATTGGGTTCTTGAAGACTATTTAATTATTATCGAAAGAATGATATTGAATGGAATCGGCTTTGTTTCCAGTTATATTATTTAAAATAAATTCCTTGTCTCTAGGATGATGAGTTGATATGCATTCAATATTGATGGTTTATTCCAAACAATAGATTATCCAACCAACATGTTTAATACCCTCCGTTACTGAGTGTACTTTGATGTCTAAAGGTAAAATGATTCTTGATTGACACATTGATGAGGGAGGGGTTTTCAAATACATACAGATCGATCTGATCCTTTTAAATAAAACTCAATATGGTCATCATTTTGATTGAAAACCCCAAATCAATTGAACCACCCCTTTTATTTTCTGTATAGGTGTGGTGTTTCAATTGATTTTGTAACTTGGTCTCTGTCAATGATTTATATAAAGAGAGTCTATACTGGGTTAAAATTGTAGATTGTCCATCTTATGGAAACCAATAAATAGGTTTTTGGATGACATTCAAATCAAATCAAATCAACTATTTTGTCAGGAATAGAAGCGCAGAGTAGATAGTTATAGTTTGTTAGTAATACCCAGCTAGACAAGAAGAAGATAATAGTTCGTTGAAATGAATTGATCATCATCACGTGATGATTGAGTTTCAACAGCAACAACAAACATTGATGAGCGCAGTTATAAATAGATCCACACACAACTGCGGATTGAACAACAAACAACACTAAACAGATATATCTGTTATCACTCGTGCGATGATCATTGTCAAGAGAGAGAAGAAAAGGAAGAAGGAAGGAAGAGTTCTTTACTATAATACAACAAAACAATATTGTCACCTATCTACCTACCTGCCTACCTACTACCAACCTACCTACCTACCATACAAAGAGATGTTGACGTGTATCATAACACACAACACAACACAACACAAAGCCATCTATAGTTAGCTTCACTATTACTTCATCCATTGTTGTGGTTCCAACAACAGATTCAATGTCAATCAAGGTTGACAACCAAATGCCCTCCTACCTCTCCTCTTCCTAAAAGTAAGTTAACCTCCTACCTTTTGTGTGTCGACGATGATTAATGTTATAGTTGTAATTATTATTTTATATTATAAACGATTGATTATATCCAAAACCTCATAATAGTAATTATCAGAGAGATGGGAAATAAAGTCAGTTGTAATGTGATTCTTTGTGACAATATTGTTATCAATTAGGAATTGAGTGGCTTGAACGTGTTGTGGCAGTGATCCATTGATCCACATAGCATCTGGAGTGCAACCTTCAGTTCTGTGTTTATGAAGAAACTCTACTATTTCCAAATATCCTCTTTGAGCGGCACAGTCTATAGCACCGGTTGTGCATCCTTCACTACGATTAAAATGTAAAAACTATAATAATAATAATCATTAATATTAAAATAATAAATAAATAAATATAGTTTAGTTTGTTACGAACCTTGACCACTTCCAAATGACCATGGCGAGAAGCTAAATCCATAGCCTCGGTTGTGCATCCCTCGGTACGGTGACTGTGAAGGAATTTGAGGATTTCTAAACACCCATATTGCGCGGCAATTTCCATTGCTTCAAATGTCCAAATATCAGAGTTGCTTGGGTAATTTTGGTGTAGAAATTGTATTATATCCAATCTATCCTTTTCGATTGCACATTCAACTGCAGTTATTGTACATCCTTGTTTAAATGTATCATGTAAAAACTGGATAACCTCTAAACTTTGATTTTTTGATACTGCCATATCGATAGCTGATGGTGATCCTCCCTCTGTTCTTTTTTCATTCAAAAACTAATAATAATAATAATATATTAATATTAAAAAATAAATTAGATAAATATCATTATGATTAATAATAACCACTATCTCTATTCCTCTTACGAACCTTTAAAATATCAATATTTCCATTTCCAGCAGCCCAAACTACAGCACGAGTAGTTGCACCTTCAGTTCTATTGGAATGAAGAAAAGTAGTGATCTCTAATGACGACGATAAATCCATCGCATCATGAGTGCATTCTTCGGTTCTGTTTTCATGTAACCATTTTACAATATTGAAATGATTTTGTCGACTGGCTGATGTCATAGCATATTCCGAACATCCCTCTGATCTATTCTCATGGAAAAACTATAGTATAAAAGAAAAGAAAAAAAGTCTAAATAAATACAATGTTGCCATCAAAATCGTTAGTGGTAGAGTAATAATAAAACAAACCTTTAACATATCCAAATTACCAGATTCAGCAGCTCCATCCATAGCATCGAAAGTGCACCCCTCTGTTCTATTGAAATGAAGAAACTATATGAAAATAATAGACAAGTTATTAAATAATTATTCTATCTATCTATATATCTATCTATTTTTTATATATATTACCTTGACAATTTCAAAATGGTCATTAATAGCTGCCCAATTCATAGTTTTAGTCATACATCCTTCAGTTCTATTAAAATGAAGATACTAATAATAATAATTATTGTGTTTGTTAGTTTTGTAAATTAATTATAGTTTGTTTTTTTTTTGTTTGTTTAGATATATATATACCTTGACAACATCTAAAAAACCATGGTAGGCAGCTAGATGTATTGCATTAGTACTACATCCTTCGGTTCTATTTTCATTCAAGAAAATGATTGCATCCAAATATCCATAACTTGCAGCATTGTCCATAGCATCTTGAGTGCATGTAGCACCCTTATTATGCAATACCTTTAAAAAGTCTATATTACAACCAGTACTGGTAATAGCATGATCCAATGAACCTTGTAAACTGATTCCTGGGAATCTCTCCAACATGTACTCTAAAATATCTACATTCTGAGCACTTGTAATACATTTCATAATCTTGGATTGTGAGGTTTCAGGATCACATAACATATTATGAACCATAATTGAATCTTTATAATCTGGTGACCATTCCAATAGATTTTTGAGTGTTTCCAATGACGACTTTTTATGTGAACAGTATTGAGTGATTGCATACATTCTTCTAGTGGCCAACACACTTTCCATCGGTGGTAGATAATGTTTGATAAAGTCCCATGGCATTGCATAAACACTAATCATACCAAGATGTGGTAACTTGACAATATCCTTTCCTTTTAAATAAGTAAACTCGCTTGGAAGGAATACATAATTATCTTGATCTTCCTTTTTTTTAATTGATTCCTTTTGTTTTGATATCTCTTCAATCTTTTTAAATACATTGGTTCTAATAATTGTTATTCTAAATATTGTTAGAAATGATGGTGTTAAAGTTGTTGTTGTATCTGTACATAATATGTTCATTTTTGAATATTTGTAATTGAATTGAATGAGAATAACCTCTAGATTATAGATATGATGGATTGTAAGCCAAGCAGACATCTACTTTCGCTCAAAAAATAATGGGAATAATCCCAAGGAACGATCATTTTGGACATTTCTGTCATTAATCCTCGATCTTTTCCCAGAGTCACTCGTCAGATGATTTTATTTTATATATTTTGTCAAGAAAGAAGTGTAGAGAGAATAGTCTATTGTTATAGTTTGTTAATAATAATAGTATTACCCAGCTAGTAGACAAAAGATAGTTCATTGAAATGAATTGATCATCGTCACGTGATGATTGAGTTTCAGCAACGATGGTGGTCTGAAGGAGAAGTACTAAGAATGAAGTAGAGTGGAACAAGACCCTATTAATAAACAAAAGATCGTAATTTGTCATCAAGTCACACTGCGGATAATGATGATGAGTTTGAACAGACAATGAAAGAGAGAGGATGAAGAGTCGCAGTTATAAATAGGTCCACACACACACGCAACTGCGGATTCGAACAACAAACAACACTAAACAGATATATCTGTTATCACTCGTGCGATGATCATTGTCAAGAGAGAGAAGAAAAGGAAGAAGGAAGGAAGAGTTCTTTACTATAATACAACAAAACAATATTGTCACCTATCTACCTACCTGCCTACTACCAACCAACCTACCATACAAAGAGATGTTGACGTGTATCATAACACACAACACAACAAAGCTAGCTATCTATAGTTAGCTTCACCTACTACTTCATTATTGTGGTTCCAACAACAAATTCAATGTCAAGGTGATCCTCCAGTCTGGCCTACCAAATACCCTCCTACCTCTTCCTAAACTACAAGTAAGTTAACCTACCTTTTATGTATGTGTGTCGACGATGATGATCTATCTCGTCTTTTATCCTATCTATCGTGATCAATCTCCATCTCCCACGGTGCCTCCATCTTCCATCTTGACAAATCCTTCTCTCTCCGCATTCTCTTAATTTTTTTATTCATCGCCACCAAACACTGTGATCACCCACCATTTGCACCAACACACACACACACACAAGTCAATCAAACCAATCATGTGGGGTGTTGCATGCATACCCCCAATCTCCTCTTAAAACCGTCAACACTTTTCACGACATCTTATGGTGTAGGAGACAAAGAAAGAAGAGGAAGAGGAAATGAAGAAAAGGGAGAATCTTTAATTATATATTGTTGTAGCATGCATGGTGGAGTGAGCTATCAACAGTCAATCAATCAATTTCCCTACCTCCCTATCTACTTCTTGTCTGTGTGTTGTGTTTATTTATATATAAATAACCAAGCTTGGACATCACCAACTTCCATATTTAATCACTCCTTCAAATTCATCAAACAAATATTTATATTTATTATATTATTTATCTTATCTTTTATTTATTATCTTTTATGTTCAAATCATATGAACATTTGTAATATTACAAATTGACTAAAAATAGTTTAACTTGCACCCAATACATATATATATATATATATATACATATATAAATATAGAATTCCATCTGTCTGTCTGTCTGTCTCTTGTTCCAACTCTAAACACACACATTTATATATATATTCCTACCCACACCAACTGTTCCGAAAACACAACTTCCCCATTGTACTTTTTACCCTTTTCATTGTCAAGCTGTACCCCCCTATACTTGAACGGTAGTACGCATCGTACGATATTTATTCTCAAGCCAACTATCATCAACATCCAAACCGATCAACTAACCATTTCAACATTCTTTAATACATTCATATAGCTCACCTGTTCCAACTTCTTGAATTGTCATTTAATTACCATTTATTGTTATTGTTGCTACCTCAATACAGTGTTGATTGATGATATTTTATAACTTAAATCATCATCATCATCATCATCATCATCAACATCATCAACATCATACCGATTTGTAATTTTAATTTTTAATTCATCTATTTGTATCGATTCCTCACTTAAAATCTTAGAGGTTGTAATATTATTACTATTATTATTTAATTCAAACCAACATTATTTTTATATATATATCTATAATATTTATTTATTTATTTATTTAAAAAAGAAAAATGAATATTTTAAAATATTTATTATTTATTTTAATTATTGTATTTGTAAATGGAAATAAAGTAGAATGGTTATCAAATGCACCAACCAATTATTTCCAAGATCCTCAAAATTGGGATTCCTCTATCACTCCCACATCGACCGATGATGTAGTTGTCGGATTCAATAATAGTTTTATTATGGTCCAAAACAGCCAAACTGTACAATCATTCCAGTTTCTAAACACCACTGGAAACAATACAATGGAAATTGGAAATAGTGGAGCATTATCTATTTCAAATACTCTGACCATTCAAAATGGTAAACTCTCCATTGCCTCCTCCACTCCATCCTCCATTCCTTCATTGACATGTTCTCAAAACTCTCTACTCCTCAAAAGTAAAGTGGATCTATTATCATTTGCATCTGCATCTTTTAATTATATAAATGTTACAGATAGTATTATTAATCTAAGTATGTCATATAAAAAGAATCAAATAAGTTTATTATTTATTATTTATTTATTAATTTATTATTTTTAGATTCAAATGGAAGTCAAACATTAAAATCAAATGCAACCTATATTTTAAGATCAAAAGTGAATCAACAAGATTCATGTAATAGTAGATTAACAAATGTTATATCATTTACTGGGTCAGATATAAACTCTAATAATTCAAAATTATTTATTGATGTATATTACAACCAAAACACATTTATTTATTGATCCAAGTTTGTTTGTTATTAACCATTTTTTTTTTTAGAATACAGAATTTGTAAATCAACATTTTGGAGTTCGTACAACCAATATTACATTATCTTCAACTATATTAAATTCAAATAATAATTATATTTATGTATGTATTAAACAACAAGAAATGAAGAGAGAAAATGGTCATTTTACTTACTTACTTTATTTATTTATTTAATTTAATTTTAAGGGAAATTCAAATTTAACATTAAAATCAAAATCAAAATTAAATGCAAATAATGTAACATTTGTATCAGATTCTGCATTATTGGTTGATGATTCTACATTGACATTTAATGGAACCTTTTATAGTATTAGTTCAAGACCAATGGCTTTTAGAAATGGAGCCATCATTCAATCACAATCGCCATCCAAAGTTATTTTCGGATTCAGTAGTCGTACCTTTTTTGAAAATACCATGTTTGATATCAATGGAGAGATCATTGCTCAGGATAGTGCCATCTTGTATTTCTCACAAGTCAACAAACTCAAACGTCCAATGTACATTACACTCCGAGACAACGCTAAAATAGTCATTGTCAATTCCTCTCCAGCCCTAAACTCGGTCCTTGATATTCTCAAACAAATTGTTGCAATGCTTGGAGAAACTCATTTGGAAGCTTCAGAGAATCAACAACAAGAGGAACATACAACTACTACTACATCATTACCAGCCAATTCAATTCAACCAACAGATCCAGATGTTTTTACTCAAATTGATCTACACGATAATTCAAGATTAGAGTTGGAAGATGCTCATCTTGATGGTGTTATTATCAACACGAACCGTTTGTCACAGGTAGTCATTAAAAACAATGTAGTGTTGAGCAACTCGCAAGTCAACACGGTTGACTCTGTCATGGTCATCAACACGGACGTCCTACTCAACAACACTGCCCTCTCACTCGACAATGCAACCGTGCTCGTCACTGCTGGCGGTAGTTTGGGCGGTACTGGGCAGATCATTGGAGGTGTGTTGGTCAATGCAACCGGCCAATTGGGTTCAAACGATGTCATCACACGTCTATCCATTTCAAAAAGTGTGACTGGTGGTAAAGACGATTCACATCTCGCCATTCGAATCAACTCGCCAACCGATTACTCGCAGATCAATATATCAATGGATTATGACTTTTATGGAACTGTCCAAGTATACCTTTCACCAGAGGCAGCTATCAAGACTGGATACACATACACTTTGGTCAATTACCTAGGTGGCAAGATTGTGTTTTCTCCCGACTCGATGGGAGTCACCCAATACACCCTCTTGGATGGTGGAAGAACCGTTCCCAAACTACCATCAAACCGTATCTCTGATCAGAATATCATGATCATCTCGGTGGTTGTTAGCATTGCCTTTATTGGGATAATTGCAGGTGGTCTCGTCTACCTTCGTCGTCGTCGTGAAATCAATAACAACAAAAAGGCAGACGAGGAAAAAGAAAAAGAAAAAGATTTCGAATCCAAACCAACTATGAACCAACTTCGTACAAGTAACAGTCATGTTAATATCAAATTATCTCAATTTAATTGAATTAAATAAATCAAAAGACTAGTGAAAAAGACAAAACTATCTAATAATAACCATGTTAATTGATATTTAATACTTAGGATAGTAATTTAACAATAAACCCAATGTTTTCTAACTAGAGGTAGGAGTCCATTGAAGGTTACATTTTATCTCATTGATTTTTAAAAGTCTCTATTGTATTCAATTCAATTGATTGAAATTGAATTGATTTTTGGGGTTTGAATTTGTTTCAACGAGAATATCGCTGGCCAGAAACCTAACCTTTAAAATCTCATATCCAACCAAATTGGTAATTTACACTCATTTCAATTTTATTGTTGACAACCTCAAATCTTCTGTCGATGTTGGTAAGTAAAAATATATATATATTCTCTTTGATGTTACGTTTCATACAATTTCTAATACAAACTACCTATTTCCTTTTCTTTTTTTTGTTGGTTGACAGCTTTGATCAATGGGAGACAAGTTGTACTTGGGGGATACACTCATAGATGACCCATGGCCATTGGGTACAGCAATTTGTTGTTCAACAGAATCGTCAACCAGTGTTGCAATGGGTGTCGAAAATGTTCAACCAGGTACCATATTTTTTGATATTAAAATGAGACTTAGAAAACATTCTCCCGATCAATGGCGGTATCAATGGAGTCAGTTCTCTCTTGGTTCACATTCCAAATTAATCAATTCCCATCCTTACTTTCTTGAAAAAGAAGAATATATAAAACTAATAATAAAAATAATAAAAGTATAATGTTTATATTTAAAGAATGAAAATGGGAAAAGAAAGAATATAAAAAACATTGTGGGAGACTACACATTACATAATTAATTAAATAAATTAATATTAATTTATTTCATCACTTTGCTAAATATTGATTGACAATCTCTTCCACTTCGAAATACTTTGAATTGATTTGATCAAGATAAATTAAATTCTTTGCGACTAGTTTGTTGTCCAAGATGTATTTAACAGTATTGTAATGATGATTACCATGAATAGCCTCTTGAGTGCATCCTTCGGTCCTGTGTTTATGAAGAAATTCTACTATTTCCAAATATCCTCTTCAGATGCACCATCTATAGCATCAGTTGTGCATCCTTCACTTCGATTAAAATGTATAATAATAATAATAATAATAATAATAATAATAATCATTAATATATAAATATTAGAATGATCAAATAAATATAAATAGTATTAAACTGTTTACCTTGACAATTTCTAAATGACCTTTTCTAGCTGCTAGATCCATAGCCAAGTGGGATGAATGCTTTTCAGTGTTTGTGGGTGTGTAGTAATTGAACAATTTCGAGCTGTCCTCCTTTCTTGCAAGCAATGTCGATTGCATTGTGGGTTATCGATGTGAGATGACCGCCAGCGGTGAGTAGTTTATCAAGTATAAACTTTAAAACATTTAAATCACCTCTTTTAATAGCAGATTCCAATAATTCTTGTGTCCGAGTAGAAAGTGTCGATTGTTTTAGTAGATATTCGATGATATCCAATTGTTGAACATTCTTTAAAGCATGCGTTAATCCTCTAACAGAACATCGTTTCTTTAGCTTTTCATGTATAAACTTGATCGTATCCAATCTAACCCATTGTTCAAAATTATAACAAATGTCATCTATAATACTTCTATTATATCCTTCAGTTCTATTCTCAAATAGAAACTAAAATAATTAAAAATAAATAAATTAATTATAATTAATTAAATATATATTTACACTACAATATTTACCTTTACAATGTCTAAATGATTATATGTTGCTGCAAACATTATTGCCTTTGATGTACATCCTTCAGTTCTAGATTGATGAAGGAATTTAATGATATCTATATATATTCCCATTTTTAGCATGGCCTTTGTTGTGGATCCCTCTGACCGATGGGTATGAAGAAATTGAGTAATTTCAAATGAAGGAGAATAATCCATTGCTTTAGTTGTGCACCCTTCACTCCTGTTGAGGTGTAGCCATTGTACAACTGAAAAATGTCCATTCGAATGCTGCCCTATCCATCGCTCTTTGTGCATTTTACATTCCCATGTTCATGTAGAAACTAATAAAATAATAATATATATAGTCAATTGGTTAGGGTTCGAATGATGATTATTAAACAAAGATTTAAATGGACATACTTTGATAATTTCAATGTGACCCTTTTCGGCTGCCAAATCGAGAATATTTTCTGAGCTCCAGTTGGTTGGCATATGGATCAATTCGATTAGGATGACCTTGAGACTGGTGGTTGTCCTCTCGTAGGTAACTGTCACGGTTCGATTGCAACTGGCGATCAATGGCAAATGATTAGTTGGCAGACATTGTCGAGACTGGTGGGGTATACGAAGTTGGTGACAGTGGGTAATCGATGGGTTCCTCTTCTTGGATTGGTGAACCTAGTTTGATTTCCTCTTCTTCTTCTTGTTCTTGGTCGGATAGTCCCTCGTCAGATTGATTGTCTGAGGACTTTTTGAATCGTTCAAGTGCCTGGTATCTTGGATGGAGCTCTTTATCGGAAACAAATCAGTCAGAGTTGCCTTGACGGGTAGTAATATGTTGTATTTCATTCCCATTGGTTCTATAGACAAGTAGTCGAATGAAATTCAACATTTTACTTCTCATCAAGGCAAAGACTAGTCTAGCTGGATCCTCAAATAATCCAACCCCACATTGTATATTATAACTGGACAATTATATATATATATATATATAATAATTTAAATATATTAACCATCTATTTATTTATTACACCATCCTTTTTGATCTAGATAGAAACCAAGCTTAAACGAATCTTGACATAATTATTATGAATTATTGTTATAACCTTGACGTTTCAAACTTTTAAAATAATAATAATACTAGACCCCTCCACCAACCAGGGTATTACTGTATCAGACATGAAATAAAAACAAATTAATTTAATTTAATAAATTTATATTTTATATTTTTATTAGTAGTAAACTTCAGATTATCTGATCATCAAAAAAAAAAAAGAATAATACTAATAATAATAATGAATACAACAACAACAACAACAACAACATTTTACAGTGTATTCAAGAATCAGTATTTGATAAAGTTAATATTTAGATATGTTTCAAAACGTACAACACTAAGATACCCAGACAACTTTAAATATAATATCGAGTGTCTGTCATATGACGAATGGCATGAAGTAGAGACCATCATCCTCAATCGTCACTTTGGTCTATTAAAAGATAAAATACTACTTCAACAATATAGAGACAAGAATAAGAATAGGAATAACATTCATCATGAGCAACATAGACTATTGCAATCATCAACACATTTATATTATTCAGAAGGGTCTATATTGTTGGCATGTGAAACGATTAAAGATGTTGGTTTGTTCAAATTGGTGTATGAATCGAATCGAGAGTTGTTTGTATCGAATGCGCTGATTGAATTTGCGTGCAAGGGAGGTGTGTTGGAGATTGTCAAGCTGCTCTTTCAACAGACCTATCCCAAGAAACTGTCGACTGAGGGGTCGTACAGAGGCGCCTCGCTCAAGGGACATATTCACGTGCTCGACTATTTGTATGAGCAGGGTATCCCCATCATCGATGAGAATGTCACCGACCGTGCCTACCAGAGTCATCAACTGATGGTACCGTCCGTGTCGCAACCCAACAGTCGTGTACACAATTGGATGGTTTCACATGGTATCCAATTCAACACGAATCGATTCAGATACAAACATCTTTATACCATGGGCGACCCTGATATTATCAAGTTGTACAAGGGTAAGCTCTATCCGCCACACATCAACAACCGAGACATCCAAATGATCATGGCCGAGATTGCCAACCACAAGCCCATCACGAGACTACGTCTCATCTTTGCTACACTTGACCATATCTCTTCGGACAAGTTTCCTGCCATCAAAAGAAAGTTCCCTACGTTGTTGGAGCAGTGCAAGATGGTACTCGAGGAAAAAGAACAAGAGATATTGGAAAAGGGAGAGGATGTAGTGTCGATTCTAGACTATCGTCTAACACATCTCACCAATCAACTGACAATCGCGATGGAAAATGAACATGGAGGTATGGAGAACCCATCAACTGTCTATCTTAGGATTATCAAGGAAGAGCTAGAGTTGATCAATATGACAATGATAGACGACAAGACAGACACTTCATTTATCATCAATGATATTCTCAAAGGTGCCAATTTACACTATCTAGTCGAATCGATTGTTACATGGGGGTCGTTGGAGCAACTTGAGAGATTAAGTCAATTGTCTCGAATTGACAATGACGTGTTTAACGACTCGGAGAAATCAAGAATATTGGTAGAGGCAATGAAAAGAGGTGACATTAAAATAATACATCATGTCATGTCTCTATTGTACAAACATTTATATGTAGTCGATAGTGATCAAGTTGATAGCAGCAGTAGTCGTAGTACACCATCATCATCAATTCTAGCACAAGCTACAAAGATCTTGGTTGGGTATGGGTTTGTAGGCAACTATGGTCAATTTGATATACCGATGCTAGAGATATTATCGCATCACTTTGACGAATACGAATTGTCGAATGCCATCAATTCAGCTAGTCAAGCCGAGAATGTTGAAGCGTTGGATTTCCTACTCACCAAAATCAAGCCGTCTGCTCGTCATTTGATTCTCGAGTTGGACGATGGACGTTGGAAACTAATCGGACGTATTCTCGAAAAGATCGATCCAGCCCTCCTCACAATCATCCGGATCAGAGATCAATACCTAACCATTCACAAAGGATCCATTGAACTATTCAAACTACTTCACCGATACGATATTTATGGCTACACCTCTAAAAGCATCCCAGAAGAGAAACTAAAATCAGCAAATTATGGGCATTTAGAGTATTGTACATTTTTAGATCAATTATTGGAATCTGAACGATCGCTACAACAACAGTCATTGTCATCATTATCATTGACAGAACCAATTCAACAAATACAACAACCTTTACAACAACCAGATGAACATCATCATCATATTCAACATTTACAAAAATATGGGTTCATACGTTATGGACATTTAGACATTTTACAATATTATATTCAACATCCTCCTACAACTAATTCAACGACTACAACAACAACAACAACTACAACTATGACAACCAACACGGATCATTCCAACAATAATTTATTTGATTTTAAATTTGCAGTTTTAAAAGCATTAGAAACAGGACAAAGTAGTTTGATAGAGGCAACAAACAATCAACAATTATTGGATACACTAGACACGACTATATTTATTCAAAACGAACAACAAGAAAAGGAAAAGATGGATGAATCTGTCTTGGACCAAATCGAATCTGTATTTTTGTACAAGGTCATTAAATTTTTGGCCAATCGTTATTCTAATCGAATTGATTTATCAACTTTTGAATATAAACATTATAAAGATTATTTTAATTTATTTTTAAATAAATAAATTAAGATATTAATTTTTTTTTTAAAAGTAGTTGTGATCCATATTGTTTAATAATAAAGTGGATCAGCACTATCAAAATCATCCCAGAATCCATTTCTAACATATTCCTTATAGTGATCGCAATTACAATCAGTTTTTGATCCTCTAGATGGAGCCCAGAGATCTCTCTCCCAAGTAACTTTGGTATACCCATAGGGTTCACAAATTTTTAGGCATTTACATCTAATTGATTTAATAGTAATGAATACCTACTACAATACTATTATTTTTAATTTAAAATCAGAAAGAAAAAAAAAAATTCAATCAACTAATATTAAATAGTACTTGATCTCTAGCAACATGTACAAGTTGATTGATGAGTAATACTCAAATATTAATGATGTTCATAAAATTGCAATGGAATAAGTTCCAAATTCAATGAGGGGGGGTAGAGAGTAAATTATTAATCCGCACTGATGTGATGACACCAATGTCGAAATTGGTTGGGGTTTATTGGAATTCATTGTGAATTTGTTGTTATTGTTGTTATTGTTGTTATTGTTATTGTTGTTGTTGTTGTTGTTGTTGTTGTTGTTGTTGTTGTTGTTGTTGTTGTTGTTGTTGTTGTTGTTGTTGTTGTTGTTGTTGTTGTTGTTGTTATTGTTGTTGTTGTTGTTGTTGTTACTTTTGTGGTTGAGTTTTTTTTATAACACATTTGTGTGTGTCAAAGTATTTCAAACCCAAAAGAATTCTTGTTTTGTTTTTTGATTGAATTGATTATTTAGTATAAATATCTATAGATCCTTTGTTTATAAATAAGGACTATTATCGGAAAGTAAGAATTGATCGACAAGTTGGATGATTTCATAATTATCGGGGTGGATGCAATCCTTTAAAATCATATCTTTTGATACTAGTTTGTTGGACAGCATATAATGAGCAGTATCAAAACAGAGTGGAACTGTTGAATCTTGAGTGAAAATACCAAGGAAATACTTGCATCCTTCTGTTCTATTCTCATGAAGAAACTTGATAAAGAAAAAAAAAAAAAAGGCTAAATGTTGGTACATGCATGATATTATATATCAAATGACACTATAGTGCCTACATTCATTTAGTTTGGTTTACATACCTTTACCACTTTTAAGTGTCCATTCAAAGCAGCTCTATCCATTGCTCTTGTTGTGCATCCTTCTGTTCGATTAAAATGTAAAAACTATAATAAATAATAATAATAATTAATAAATAAAAAAAAAGATGATAGTTACAATATTATTTGGTCACACAAACCTCTACAATCTCAAGATTGCCACTGGCTGATGCTTGATCCATCGCATCGGTCGAGCACCATTGAGTATAGTTATTTTCATGAAGAAATCGAATCATATCAACTGTAGATGAGTGTTTACAAGCCTTGTCGAATATATTATGTTTGCATGATAATGCATGTGGTAGATTATCTTGGAAAAACTATGAAATAACAAATAATAATAGTAATAATAATAATAAAAGTTAGTGGTTTGGGAAAATTAAAGGGAAATTAAAATCTTATAAATATTAAAAAATAACAATGTCACTAAATGTAATGTAAATATTTACCTTTAAAGTTTCCAAGCAACCAAAAGAAACTAGTAAACTTAATATTCCTCCAAAGTCCCAATCAACATTTGGATATTGTTCAAGTAAATATTGAATTACATCAACTCTGTTGTTTACTGCCCCACAGTACACTTCTTTCCCATTTGGCACAGCTTTGATGGTTTCATTAAGATACCTGATCATCTCCAAACTAATATCATCTCTCAAACAAGCAATAGAAAATATCTTATTCATTGAACATCCTTCACTTCTATTTTCATACAAAAACTATAAATATAAATGTTAAATAATATTTAATATTATTAATTATTAATTATTCAATAAATATTTACCTTTACAACATCAATATGACTATATCTAATTGCTTCATCCATAGCTTTTGTTGTGCAACCTTCAGTGCGGTTGCTATGGAGAAATGATACTGTTTGTAAATTACCTGCAGCTGCCGCAATATCCATCGCATGTGTTGTGCATCCCTCTGACCGATGATTATGAAGAAATTGAACGATTTCAAAACTATTTGTCATATCCATAGCATCTTCTGTGCATCCTTCACTTCTATTATGGTTTAACCACTCTACAACCGAAAAATGACCACAATGGGCGGCCATGTCCATAGCCATAGTTGTGCATCCTTCACTACGATGTTCATGTAGAAACTAATGAGATATTACATAGATAGATAATTAATGAATAGAATAAACAAATTATTATTTTTAAAATGTACTTTTAAAATTTCAAGATGGCCATATGAGGCTGCCTGATCCATTACCTCGGTTGACCATCCCCCAGTTTGGGTCTCATGAAGAAACTATAGTTGTTAAAGAGTAAGGTATAATTTGTTAGTTAGGGTGAGCTGAGTTGGGCAGTATATATATATGATTTGAAAAAGTTACCTTTACTAATTCAACGCTGCCACTCATTGCAGAAGAAATGATTGCTTTACGTGAACATGGCTCACTTCGATTAAAATGTAGAAACTAATTAGAATAAATAATTAATTAATTAATTAGAATATAAATAATTAATTAATTAAAAAAATATGTGTTTGGTTTATGTGTATATGTGTATGTACCAACATACCTTGACAATATCTAAATGAGAATTTGAAACAGCATATTCGAAAGCATTCTCTGTTCCATTAATCTTGTCACCATAGGTGTTGTGGAGATAGATGACAACATCTAGATACCCCTTTCCACAAGCATCTGCTAAACTTGCTTCACCATAGGTAGTTGGAAGAAAGTCACCTTTAGGTTGACTGTCTCTCAGCATCTCTAATATAGAGACATGTCCATACAATGATGCAGCTTGATTAGCACCACTATAATCGAGATGAGGACATTGTTTGAGAAGTAACATTAATATATCTTTGTTTCCATTCATTATGATGGTAGTGATATCTACTTGTTCTGGTTGAGGATTAAACTTTGGTCCTGACCATTTCAATAACTGTACAAGTGTTGACAATGTTGCATTTCTATGTGAACAGTATTTAGAGATTGCTTGTACTCTTCTCTTTAACAATACATCGTTGTCTTTATCAGTACTACCAATAGTGGGTGGTAGATAATGTTTGATATAGTCCCATGGCATACCAAACTTACTGATCATTTGAAGGTAAGGTAGTTTAACAATATCCCGTCCTTTTAGTGATATCATTGATGCGACCTCTTGACTTGCCCTTTTCGATATCTCTTCAACATGTTTGAATATAGTGTGTTTAATGTACAACACGTTTAATATTGTTATAATCGTTGTTGTTGTCATTATTTATACCAATAAATAAATAACAATAAATAATATAATAATAATAATAATCATGTGACATGCTTGTCTTTTCTATCGTATGATGGTTTGAAAAAATTAAATTAATTAATCTTAATCTTAATTTATTTTCTTTGTCTCTTTTGACATAATAATAATATCAAGGGTGGTCGGTCATCTCATTATTGATTAGAGAGAGAGTGTGTGTGTGTGTCTCTCTCCTTTTCCTTTTTGATAATGAATTAAGGTGACTGCTGTGTAACCTACGAAGAAGCCAGAGAGAGAACGACATCGATGACGATTAATTAGTAGATCAATCAACCCAGTTTGGGTCAAGAGCAATCATGTGATTCTCTATTGTCTTTGCTGTTGTTGTCCTAGTGATACCAATTGAGTATGTTGTTGATCGATGAGTTGTTTGTAGGTGTCTAGTTGTTCGACCAATTGCTTTTCATGATGTACCGATTGTTTGAGATTGTAAAATGTTGATTCAATGTCCAATAGAGCTCTATTGATCTCTTCAATCTCTTGTTTATTGATAGATGATGGATTGATCACTAGAAGTATAAAAGGTTAATATGTTGAAATGCAGTGGTGGTAGGCACATATATATACTACATACTATTTTGATTTCTTAAAGCTGTTAGATACTGTAGATCACGAATCCTATCTAAAAAGTGTTTACTTAATCTTTCATATGATGAATCCATTCCTCCTTACTCCTTCTATAAATCACACACATTACATATAATTAGTAATACAGAGAATGAGAGGACTGATCAAAAGTATGAAGAGGACAAACTCATACAAATCTCCCTCCCAATTTTCTTTACAGAAACTGTCAAAAATTTTAATTTAAATTAATACTGCCCACGAATGTTCACACACAAAAGGAATAATACAGTAATTATAATTATGAGTAGTGCAGGCAAACAATGAATGATCATCAAAAGGTGATTAAAATTATTGTTAACAACATATTATATATTTGAAGAGAGACAGAGAAGAGAGCAGAGATAATGCATAAATAAATAGAATAAAAGGTTAAAAATCTTTTGGAAACGGGCGAGAGGAGGGTTGTTTTTGCTGTTGGTTGTTTGTGAACTCAAAGTCATTCAATTTAAATTTAATTTTATATTTATATATTTATCACCTTTACCTTTGTCATATGGGGATCTATATCTATTTAATTATCTAACGCATCATCCACTCACAACTCAACTCAACTCAACTACTTCAAATACATATATATCATATACATACAACTTTGTTGATTGAATAGTAAATCAAACACTGTATATAGACAGACTCTCGCGACAGTCCTAGAGAATTACGATGGTCAGCGATAAAAGCAGTAGTAGTAATACAGCAGCAACAACAACAACATCAACAATGGGAAAGAGAAACAAATTAAAGTCTGTGCAGACTATCACCGCACCTCACCGTGCCGGTAATGGTCACAACAACAACGACGACGACAATGATGATGATGGTGATGATAATGATCAAGTGTTGACAACTGCTGTCATTGTCGATGATTCAACTACCATCAATGGAACAAGAGGAGGTTTAGGTCAAGATGAAGACCAACAAGAGGAACAAGAAGGTATCGAGTTGGATCAAGACATTGAGTTTTATGATGCTTCTAGCAATAACAATAACAATAGTATTGATAGCAAGAATATAAAGCAAGACTTGGAACACAACCAAACAATATTTACAGAGTTGGTGACAACGACAACGATCGATTGTTGGCGATCACGAGAAGATCCTTTAGAATGGTCAATCAAGATACTACCACTATTAAACGAGTTTGAACAATATACAATCTATGATAATCATCAAAACTATATTCTTTGTGGTATGTCAATCAAGATGAGAAGCATACATACATAATGATCTTACATATTAATACTTGTTTGTTTGTGTGTAGAAATATTAATTCAACAGATGCATGTTGGGGTATCACCCAGTCCATTATTAGTATCATATCTTAGATATGCAATTGCTACAAAGATGGTATTCACTACTCATTTGTGTGACCTTTTGTATCAATATGCTCAACCCGATCGATCAAAACACTTTTCTGCAATGTTAAGTGTCATTAGTGATATTGTAAACCTCCCATCCGACAGTTTTAATTCTCTACCTCCATTTATAAAGAAAAGAAATCAAAGTAATAATAATAACAAACAAGATGAAGAGGAGGAGGAACAAGAAGAAGAGGAGGAAGAAAAGGTTGAATTATTAAAAGATGATAATAATAAGAGAAAAAGACAAAATGGAAGATTACAAGATGATGATGATGAAGATGAAGAAAAGGAAAAAGAAAATAATAATAATGATAATGATAATAATAGTCATTTATTAAAAAAGAGAAAGAATCAAATTGGATCACACGATAATTCAGTTTATGAAAAAGAATTGGAACAACAAGATAATGATGATGGAAAAGAAGATATTCAAATGAATGATGGTGATAATCAACAACACCAACAACATAATCAAAAACAACAACAACAACAACAACAGAAAAAGAAAAAGAATCATCATTTTAGTGAATTCAAAGAAGAAGAGGCAGTACCAAAATTAATGGTAATTTTATTTAAAGGATTGATTTATTATTTCAATAACAATAATAATAATAATAATAATAATGTTGGTAATATTGGTATTGATATGACAACAATATTGGGAAATGGAATAGTATGTTCAAATTTAATTTCGGCGATTGTCAAAAATCAGGCAGTGTCAAGTGCCATTTATTTCTGTCAACATAGTAGTGCACAACTCTACAGAGAGCTATCAGACATGTTTGTGGCAATCGAGCAAAACGCCAATCGAATGGTCATCCCCTATGGAATCAGCAATATATTTAATTTGGAGTTGGTCACCAACATTAAAAGTCTACTCTTTACACCGTACCTACCACACGAAGAAATCAAATATTTGGCCTATGACAACTCCCAACTTCCTATCAATCAAGACCAATCTATCATCTTTCAATTATTATTAGAAGAGTTAATTACTGGTACAAGACTTAGTTGTACTACTCAATCCAATAATAATAATAATAATACCAATAATAATATAGTACAAACAGAAGATACATTTTATAAATTGGTTTGTTATAGAACACTCAAGAATATGACATATACCAATTTTATATTTGAGATTGTTCGAACACTCATTCAAAGATTGTCATTGTGTATGATGGATGGAGCAACAAGTGCACAATTTAAAAAGGTCAAGATGGTATTACTGTATCGTATACCCAAGTTGTACGAGTCGCTCATACACTACCATAACAGTAGTTGTGGCGGCGTTGGCAGTGGCGATAACATCGATACACCTATTGGCAGCATGGAAGGTGCTCTACACTTGGTTCTTCAAATCTGTCCAGAACTTGAAGGTGAAGTCATACTCCCACTCATCTTTATCCTCATTCGAAAGAATTTAGTATCATCTACAGTTATCAAAGACAAATTCCCATCTCTTACAAGTGACATTGAATCACTTGAATATGAAATTCAACAACAACAGCTCAATCATCCATCAGCTCCTTCATCACCAACAACAATAGATTCATTATATTCTTCATCATTTCAAATTCGTACTTTAAATGTAAATATTAATAATAATTGAGAATATTATATATCTTTATTAATCTATTTATTTTATTTATTTTTAGGATATAAAAACAATTAAATTTATATTAAAAATTTAAATGGAGAATCAAATATTAAAGATATTCAAAGAGTTATGGATACTATAAAATCGGGATTAATAACAACATTTGATTTCCAAGATGAATTGGTTGAAATGTTGTTCCAGGTGTTGGACAGTATGGATCCTTACAATAATCGTAAAGCGTTGGTACATTTTATATCAATCTTGTCAGACCCTGCAGTGGTTGATTGTCTAGATGTTCATGGATATATCCTCACATTGTTGGTTATACTCATCAAACAATGTGACTCTCTTGGTAGAACTTCAAATGATCCATCTATTCATTCTTATTTTGCAATTCCCTTTAATTTACTTTATTATATTTTAATTTTATTTAATGTAAGCAAATAAGAAAAGAAAAAGATATAATATTAAAAATATTAAAATATTAATTTATTTATTAATTTATTTATTGTAGTTTAAAAATAATCAATATAATTTAGATTTATTAAAAAGTAAATTAAAGTTGGTTCAAGATATATCATTTGATAATCCATTTATCAAATGGATTTATGATACATTTAGAGATACTGAAGTTGGTTTTGATTCATCGTATCAAGAATCATTACAGTATTTCATTTCATCATTATTGGAAAATAATGTTGATAATATTCAAACCAAAATTTTAAAGTATGAAAGATAGTATAGATCTTCAAATTAAGATTAAATTTTTGTATTAACCTTTTTATTATTTATTTATTTATTTAGTGATCATTCACCATGGCAAATTGTACATAAATTACCTCAAGTATTATTCCTTTTATATAGTTGTTCAGAGAAGAATCTAACAAGCTCCTATGCCATCTCTGATATGATGTCAACGTTTATTAGAATCGTTCCCTATTCATCGATTGTTATCTTTACATCGTTGGCAAAAACACCAATGGCCATTGACACTGAATTGATTCAAACAGTCCTCTCCAACTTTAATACAAATAATAATAATAATAGCAATAATAATAACGGTAATAACAATAGTAATGAAACTGGTGGTGGAATGTCTGAATTGGAAATGCCAATTACTCTATTTAATTCAAAATCAAGAGATTCTTCTTTTCAATTAAATCATCATGTATGAGATTAAGAAATAGATATATATATATATTTACTTTATATTAATATTTATTTTCTTTTAGATACCAGAAACTTTGAATTTAATATTATATCCAGTACTTTTTAAATGTATTTTTACTAATCCAAGTGATAGTAATCAACATCAATCATGTTTATTTAAAAACCAACAGCAACAGCAACAAATGGGAACAGACATTATTATGCAACTATTCCGCTGTCCCAACACAATCACCATGTTACGATTACTTTTCCAATCTATTCTTCAACCTTGTTCCGATCCCAACAACAATGCGCCACCACCCATCAAACTGACCGATATCCCCACCGATCTCTTGCGCGTATTTATTGAAAGAACAGATGTACACCACTTTGTCGATGCACTTGCCACAGTCGTCCTCTCTAGTATCGTAAACACTGTCGATATTTCAGAAAACAAATTTGAAAGTATAACTTCTTCATTTTTACATTTAAATGATACAGTTAAAACGAGTAAGTAAAAGAAAGATAATAATAATAACAAAATAATAATAATTATAATCAACAAAAAAGATAGATATTAATATTTATTTTATTTTTAGTTGAATTGGGAGGATATATATTAGGAACAATAGTTGGAATTGAATCAATATCAATTCTTTTCAATTCTATTATTCCAATCAATTCCAAAACACTTTTAACGTCATCGTTAAAGGGACAATTAATATCATACTTTTGCTTCAACACGCTCATCAATGCCAATGCATCGTTTTACATTTCTCAAAACGATCGATACATCACCTCGGTCTTGGCAAAATTCTTTAACGTCATCAACAGCTGTGCCAAGAAGCTAGTGGTTTGTGAAGAGAAATCACTTCAATCCTATATAACTTCTCTACTCTCTCTATTTATTCACTTGAACAAATCCTTGAAATATAATTTAATCAGTAGTAGCGGCGGTAATCAACTTTATCAACAGACAACAACAACAACAACAAAGACCAGCAAAAAACAATTAAATTACAACAAAAACAACAAGAATCATGATTCAATCTTTTCCATTATACCATCCAACCAATTTGATGAATTATTAATATCAATCAATTCAATATCAAATTATTTCTTAGCAGGTTCCATTTATACCTAATAATATTTAAATTAAAATCAATCAATTATAAATTATATTAAATTAAAATCAATAAATAGAAGAATACTCTATGGTATAAAAGAAGAAAGAAAAGAAAGAGTAGAGTATAATACTCATTTTATTTATTTAGCTTCTCGATTGTGATTTGAAATTAGAATATTCCCATTACAGGTATAAATCGGAGGGTGGTAGTGAAAGAAGAGTGGGACAAGGACAATTAATTTATGTATCGAAAGAAGGTATGGTATGTTTGCTTTTTACAATGAAACCATCCTTGTCCATAAAAGATTTAAAAGATGATCCAATCCCAATCCGTCCGCGTCAGTTGTTGATGACACAAGATTCTTTGCGATTCTTTTTTTTTGCAAAAGAAAAAGAAAAAAAACAAATAATTATATTTTTTGTAATTATCCAAATTTGGGGTGAGAGTAGAATGGTATAAAGTAGTTCACTGCAGTGTGTGATAAGCAAACATTCGTAAATTATCTTTGTAATCTCATTTAGATTTACAACTCATAAACAAAACACAAATATAATGTAATTATATAATTAATATTATTCTTTGTCTTGCCCAACCAAAATTAAACTAAAACTCATTCAAATTTCATTATTTACTATTTATATTATATAACAATTGTAGAAACTATATACATTTATATATATATATATCTCAATCAAATCAAATCAAATTAAATTAAATTAAACAATGGTAGAAGGTAAAAGAATTTTATTAGTATCACGTCCAAGAGGTGAACCAACACCAGAGAATTTCAAGTTGGAAACTCATACCTATGCTAAACCAGGTCCAGATCAAATGTTACTCAAAGTCTTATATCTTTCAATCGAGTATGTATACCTTTGAAAGATTAAAAAGTCAAACTATAGTCAAGACGAATCGAATGTTACAATACATCAATTTGATTTCTGAATGAAGATCACTAACAATATATTTTTTTTTTTTTTTTTTTTTTACCACCAATGTTCGTAGTCCTTATGTACGTAAATTTATTTAAATTAATCATCATCTGGGATGTTTTGAAATATTTAATATTAATGAATTCATGTTTTTATTATTTATTTATTAATTTAGTTGAGAGGTCGTATGAATGAATCTAAAGAGAGTTATGTACCAAGAGTTGAAATTGGTGATGTGATGGGAGGTGGAACAGTTGCAAAGGTTTTAGAATCCAATTTGCCTAAATTCAAGGTTGGTGATTTAGTACTAAGTCCATCTGGATGGCAAGAGTATGAAGTTAGCAGTGGAAAGGATTGTATTGTCATCCCAGCTGCTGCAGCTGAAAACCCATCTCGTGCACTCGGTATCCTTGGTATGCCATCGTTTACCGCATGGGCTGGTACTTTGAAAATCGGTGCTCCAAAACAAGGTGAAACTCTTGTTGTAGCTGCTGCTACTGGTGCTGTTGGTTCTGTTGTTGGTCAAAGTAAATAATAACAAAAAGAGAAAACAAATTTAAAAATATATTAATATTAATATTTATTTAATTATTTTAATTAGTTGCAAAACTTCAAGGATTGAGAGTAGTTGGAATTGCAGGTGGAGCCAAGAAATGTGAATATGCAGTAAAGGAATTTGGTTTCGATGTTTGTTTGGATCATACAAAGGATGACCTTGCCCAAAAGCTAAAGGAAGCTTGTCCAAAGGGAATCGATATTTACTTTGAAAATGTTGGTGGCAAAGTGTTCCAAGCAGTATTACCATTATTAAATATTGGTGCTCGTATTCCACTTTGTGGTATTATCAGTGGTTACTCGGCTACTGAATTACCTGCTGGTCCAGACAGAACTCCATTAGTTCAGGGAACCTTTTTAACAAAGAGTGTTACTAGTATGTTGTTAAAATAACTTACAAAAACATATATTAATATTTGTTTATGGATATTAATAATATTCTTTATTCTTTATTCTTTTCTTAAAGTGAGAGGATTTATTATTTTTAGAGATTTTGGACACCTTTATGGAGAATTTATCAAGGAAATGTCACCATGGGCAAAGGAAGGAAAGGTAAAGATGCTTGAAGATGTAAGAACTGGTATTGAAACTGCACCAGCTGGTTTAATTGGTATTTTGAAAGGTGATAACTTTGGTAAATTGATTATCAAATTTTAAACAAATAAAATAAATGTACACTCTCTTTTTTTTCAATATTAATATTTACATTTATTATTACTTTTTGATTATATATTTAATTAAAATTTACATGGTCGTGATTATCTTGTTGATCATCTTGTTGTTGTTGTTGTTGTTGTTGATTGTCTTTTAGATTTGATCTAAAATCCATTTCATATTGTTTACAATGTGAGATGGTTTGATATTGTTGGATGAAACCGGCAGTGTCACAACATTCGTTCCAGGTTTGGTTGGGATTGGCTGCATGGAAGGGTTGGGTGCTTTCAAGTTGACCCATTTCATCTCTGATCCAAGTGTTGATGGAGAATGTTGGTTGGGTCGATATTTCAATGACACGAGCTCCGTGGTGCCAACCCGAGGGTGGTCCGTAGCTACCGTACCCCGACTTGCGTCCGTATGCCATTTGGATACCATGCATCGACCCGATAAAGTCGTTGGAGTGGTCGTGACCGCAGTGTATAGAGACGACATCACCCATCTCTAAAAAGGCAGAGAATAGACCCGTGTTGACCGAGAAACAGCATACTCCAGTATCCTCTAGATTACCACTGACATTGTAAAAGTTCCACATTTCCAGAAACTCTGGTACTGGAATATGAAGGAATGCTAGTGCCGGTAGTATACGTCCACCATTCTTGGCACGTAGCATTGCCGAAGTCTGACGATACCATTCTACCTGATCGGGATACACGCATCCCCACCCTTCAATACCCATGCAATTGTCATCGGATGAGTCGAAAAAGTAGAGGATTACCTGCATGTCTCCGTTGGCGTCATAGATGGGTAGATAGTAGTTGGTCGTGCCGTTGGCCGTGTACGGACCCATTTGTGTGAGCGAGTAGGGGTACGACGAGTCGAGCTCGACCACTTGCATGCGGTTCAAGTCACCTTGGTCGTCGTGGTTGCCCATTGCCAACGCCCATCTCAACTGATGGTCCATCATGGGCTGAACAATCTTTGCCCACTTTGATTTCCCCCATCCCACGGTCTTCTTATCCCACGCGAACCCAGACAACGCATCTCCAGTCAGCACGACCAAGTCAATATCCGGTTCATTATCCAATACACCACGTTGAGCTATTTCATTCATCATATCCTTCCAAATCGACTCTCCATAATGTAAATCGGTAAATTGTAATATTTTAAATGTACCTTTTGATGTTAATGTCAATGTCCTAAAAAACAAAATAAGATGAATCAAAATTAATATCAAACAAATACACAAATATTTATTTATTTGATCGATCGATCATACTTGTTTGGTGAAGTTAATTTAATGGGATGTGCAGCATCACTATCTAATTTGTTAATATGAATTGTAGTTTCATCTTTATCTTGTGTATTTGTTGTTGTTGAGTTGGTATGTAATATAAATACAGATAATATTAATATTAAAAATAATACTACTATCCTATTATTATTACAACTAGAATGATACATGGTAGTACAAACAAACAAACAAATAAATAAATAAATTTCAAATAAACACAGAATATAAAAAAAAAAGAGTTTAGAAATTTTTAAATGTGTTTTATGTGAGGTATGTAAAATATTATGTAGGGTGACATCGAGCAAATTTCGCCACCAATGAATCTGCGGGATCACTTTTTTTACCAAATTCGAATTTGATCCGGATCATCATGTTAAAAATTAATTTTACCAACTAATATCTCGTGCAAAGCTCGGAATCATTGCCACTATAAGGGGGTTCTTTCTTTATCCGCCCGCCAGTCGCGACAAAAGGTAATCAATGATGACAAATAAAAATAAAATGAAAATAATCATAGTCCCTATTTTTTTTTAATGAACATCAAAAAAATAATGTTTTTAATAATAAAAATAATATTTGTTTTTTATACATGTGACAAAGAGAGAGTTGATAATAAATGATTGATAGATAAGTTGACTGAAAGAAATAAGGAAACCACCTTAGTTTTCATCAAACTCAGAATTTTGAATTTCTTTTTTTTTTTTTTTTTGTTTTCAGCAAGTTTATGAATCGATTCTCTCTTTGTTGTTGCAATATTCTTCTTCTTATTACTTACTTTGCTATCACTATATAGTTATCTAGATAGATAATAATAAGTAGACAGACAGACAGGATGAGTGACATTAATATTAATGTCAAGCAACTCGATGGTAAGGTGTATACACTTAAAGTGACACTAGCTACCAAAGTACCAGAACTCAAAGAACAATTACATGAACTGTCTGGTATCAATACTGCTCTACAAAGACTCATCTACAAGGGAAAGGTATTAAGAGATGATAAGGATTTGGATTTCTACAGTATGTATAGATTAGAAACAAACAACTAGAAATTGAGATATAGAAAGAGAGAGAATAAAAGTATTAATCAATCTTTTTTTTTTTTTGTTTTGATTATTATAGAAATTGAAGATGGAGTTACATTACATTTAACTGAAAGACCACCTGAACCAGCACCAGGTACATCGACTACTTCTACTTCGACTACATCTACTTCTTCTACTTCACCACAAGTACATATTCATCATGGTCTTCCACAGATTATACCAGGTGCACCAAATGGCAATTCGATTCCACCAAATAGTCGTGTCTTTATTCAAGGTGCAGGAGATAACCCTGACATATTGCAAAATGTGTTGCGTCAATTGGGCGGTGCCAACCGTGTAGTGATTGCACCCAACAACCCGGGTACACCCGCACCCACAGCATCGATGTTTGAGAACCAGATTAGAAACTCACTCAACTCGATCAACGACCCAGCCTTGGATCCCAACCGAGTGCCCCAAAACATCCCCGCCAACCCTCTCGACTCGCGTCCAGCCCTTCAACGTCTCATCACTAATCTCGAACTCGCTCAAACCCAGATCAACCAGTTGTTGGAACGCACCAACCAACTTGCACAAGCTCTACCCAACGAATCTACCATGACTGAGCCACAGCAACGCCAAGACTTGCAACAACAGGTCGCTCAACTCGGCCAAGGATACCAACGTCTCGGACAAGCCGGCAACCACTTTTCACAATACCTTTCATCGTTTGTCGTTGGCCAAGTACCAGGTCAAACCCACTTTTCTGTACAAGTATCACAGGTTTCACAAATCTCTTTTGAATATCCAAACGGTATGAATATTAATAATAATAATGGTGGTGAAATGAATGTCAATAATGGTGCAGCTGTTCCAAATATTGGTGTAACAACTACCCATGCTTCACCTGTTCCAGGTGGTCAAACAGATCCATCAAATATATTCCAAATGGTATTCCAATCGTTACAAGGTCAACAACCAGGAGCTGCAGGTGCACCAGCTGCAGGAGGTCAACAACAACAACAACAAGCAGGTCAACAACAAGCAAATAATCCAATGGGAGGATTACAAAATATATTACAAGGTGTTTTGGGTCCAGCTTTGAATGCTGCAGGTCAACAAATTGCACAACAACAACAACAACAAGGACAAGGAGGTCAACAACCAGCAGCAGCAGGAGGTCAACAACAAGCAAATCCATTGGCTGCATTATTTGGTCAATTGGGTGGACAACAACAACCAGGACAACAACAACCAGGTCAACAACAACAACAAGCAAATCCATTAGCAGGATTACAAACAATGCTTCAAGGAATTCTTAATCCACAAGCAAATGCATCTGGTCAACCACAAGCTAATCCATTGGCAGCATTATTTGGTCAATTGGGAGGACAACAACAACAAGACCAAGATGAAAATGGAGATGATGCATTTTCCGATTTTATGAGTCATCTTCCAATGATGATGATTGATTTTAGATTCCTCTACTCTGGAGTACCATCACAAGTGGTTCAAGGACATCGCAACATTCGTAGAATCATTGAAACCAACATGTTGGATGGCGACACTTCAGATTCAAATGTTGAAGAGTTTATTGCCCAATTCTCAGAGGGTCTTGCTCCAGCACTCCAACAACATGCATTGACACCAGATATGGTCAGCCGTGTTCTCCCAGGTCACGATCTCATTGGACGAGTGTTAAGAGTGGTCCGTTCCAACATGAGAAGATTGTTTGGTTTCATTTTGACCGAACCAGGTGAATCTAACCCAATTGCTGAATTGACTACCACTTGGACAAGAGATTTTATCGTTGCTCTTGTCGATGAAATAGCAACTTGTATGCAAGGTGGATCAGAAGACGCATTTATCATTATCAACCGTTTCTTGCAACAAACCATCGCTGGTTCAAACCCATTATTTGGTAGTTTTATTACTCCTGTTACTCATTATATTAGATCAACCTATGAAGCAAATAGACCTTTAAGAAATAATACAAATAATACAAATAATACGAATAATAATAATAATAATAATAGTTCAACAACATCTACTAGTACTTCTACCACCTCTACCACTACAACTACTCCATCAACAACCACAACAACGTCAACTGTAAATAATAACCAAAATACGAATAATATTAATATTAATATTCCAATTGATGGAACAATTCCACAAGAATGGGCTGAAACGATTGAAGTTGATCAAGCCAGACAAGAATCAATGCCACCCAGTGTAGCAAGAGCTCCTCTAACCACCAACTATACCAACCCAACAAAGTTAAAGAAACAAAAGTTATCAACTTCCCCATCATCTGCTGCTTCTACATCATTGTTTGGTGAAAGACTTGTCCAAGCCACTAGAGATACTCCAAATGTTAATACTCAAGGTATGTAATCACATGTGTGAAAAAAAAGGAGGGATGAAAATTAAAAAAAAAAAAACAAAAAAAGTTATCGTCTCTGCACCATCTATCTATTCAATCAACATGTACATGGAAATAATTATTAATTGATTATAAATTTATATAATTCCAATTTTTCCAAAAAAACAAAAAAAACAAAAAAGATCAAACAACAACAACAGATAAAAAAACAGAAAAAAAAAGATATAGAGGAGAATAGATAGATTGGATGGAAATGGATAATATTTAAAACAAAAAGAAACAGAATATATACTAATACAAAACAAAAAACGTAATAATTATTAATACCCGATATATATATAGGTCTATTAGCAAAGGCAGAGTCTGAAAATCTAGTTGAAATGTATCAACAATTAATTGATAAAAGTAAAACTAAACAATAATAATAATTTAATAAATAAATAATAATTAATTAATAATAGATTGATAAATAATTTGGATTTTGAGTTTATATATATATATAAATATTTATTTAAATTTATTTAGCTTTGATTTTGGAAGATGCTGGGGTTGTAGCAGGGGCCTTTTTAACTTGTTTGTTCATCATTGAAAGAGTTGGAGCTGTTAATGATTGTTTTTGTTTCTTTTCTGGTTGTTGTTTAGAGGTTGTGGTGGCAGCAGTTGGTTTTGTTTCTTGTTCTTGTTCTTGTTCCTGGTCTTCATCTGATGATTTTCTTTTCTTTTCTACAATAGTTGTGGTGGCAGCTTGTTTGGCAGATTTTGTGGTTGATGGTTTGGCTGTTGCTGTTATGGTTGGAGTTGGTTTCTTTGTTGAAGCTGCAGGTTTGGCAGCAATTGTAGTAGTAGTATTTTTCTTTTCTGTTCCATTAGTATTATTTGTTGTTGTTGTCTTTGCATTGTTATTATTATTATTTTCTTTCTTATTTTCCACTTCTTTTTCCACTTGTTTTTCTTCTTCTTCATCTTCTGAATCATCAATTGATTCTAATTTTTCAACTTCAGATTCTTCCGATTCTTCCGATTCTTCTGATTCATCTTCATCATCTAATGTAGTTGATTCATTGTCTTTGAAAATTTGTTCATCTGGATTGGTTTGATGTTGATGACTGTCTTGAGCGAGGTATAAAAGTTGGAGGGCGCCTGAAATTTTCAAGAGGGCGTTTTGTCGACTGCATTGTTTGTGTATATCGTTTTTGATGGAACTAAAGAGAGGTTTGCATTCACCGTTCAAGAGATGACCCTTGTAGAGCGAGAGGAGAGTGTCCATGAGCGTGACACCAATGCTGATATATTTCAAGTTGCCGTTGAAACGACGAATAGCGTGCATAATCTCGACGAGTTCGAGCTCCTTGCGGTCCTTGAGCACGATGACGAGGGCGTCTCTTCTGGAGAGCTCGTAGACGACACGGGCAATGACATCGTTGTTCTTCATGACGTTGATGGCAAAATCAAATGCTGCGCGGTGCTCAAAACGCTTGAGTAGCTTGTCGAGCTTACGAAAGTCGGATTGGTTTTCCGAGGTGATAATAGTCGACGGTTGGTTCTTTTCTTGCATGTCGAGTTGGATTTGGTTCTTGCCGCGCTTCTTGGACGCGAGCTTGGCAGCGGCGTGGGGGTCGACGGCGGCAGCGTTGGCACGTGTGGCAATGTGGATGTTGCCGGCTGCCGAACCTGCAAACAGACGGTCGTCGTTCATGGTGAGCGAGAGGATGGGCTCGGGGAACTTGACCGAGCTGACGACATTGTATGTGGTGGCGCTGTGCACCTTGGCCATGCAGTCGAGCGACCCAGTGATAAACTTGGTGCCCTTTTTGTTGAGGTAGAGGGATGTGACTGTCTTGCTGTGGTTGTCGCCCGTGTACACGAGTCTGCCCGACAACAAGTCCCACACCTTGATAAACGTGCCACCTGCAGAGACGGCCATCGCGCCGCCACCGAGCACAAGCAGTGCTTCAACAGGTGCACCGTGATCAAACGTATGCAAACACTCTTCCTCGGCGATATCCCACAGCTTGATGCTATGGTCGTACGAACCACTGAGCACGCGGTTATTGTCGTCGCACAATGCAATCGCACGCACTTGATCGGTGTGCCCACCAATAATCATGGTCTGCTCGCCCGAATCGACGTCCCATAGACGCACGGTACCGTCGTTGGCACCCGAGATGAGACGCTGCTGGTCGTGTGTAAAGAGCAAGCATTGAATGGCACCCTCATGGCCGTGCAGCTTGCGCACGCTCATACGGTTGTCGGTCGTCATCAGACGGATAGTGCTCGAGCCTTCACCGACGGCAAACAGCTTGTAATCCTTGCGGTAGGTGGCCGACACGGCACCCGTCTCGACAAACTCACCCATCACTCTGTCCTTGTCGAGATTGTCTGCTCTCTTGACGTTGATCGACATGACACGACGTCCAAACGTCACAAGCAACTGTTCGTTCTTGTCAAACTCCAAGTGTGTCGCCGGCCCATGTTGATAGGTCTGTGTCTTTGGTTTCTTGAATGCCCATCTTGAACTACCTCCATTATTCTTTACATATGCCGTCGGTGCACTTGGCAACTGTGACAATAATGTATAATTATAATTCTCTATTAAATTCATCGCGCGACCTAAACTAAGAATATATATATTTATATATAGATAATTATGTCAAGATACAGAGATAGATAGATAGAGACAATAGACGTCAATTAAACGAAAAAGAGAGATAAGAACAAAAAAACTAATTCAAATTCTTTTTTTTTTTTTTTTGACAAAAACCGAACGAAACGAATGATAATTAAACCTATTTAAAATAATAATCATTATAATTTACAAGATCAAGATACATAGAAAGAAAGAGAGTGAGAGTGTGTGAGAGATAAATGATTGATCATTGATATATTCAAAGATATGATGAAAGATAATGATTAATTAATTTTTTTAATTTTTTTAATTTTTTTGAGTGTTGTGTGTTTGTGAAGATCATAGTTTGGTTTAGTGCAGAATAGATTAATATATCATAGAAAGAATGGCAATACAATTAGTTAGTAAATCAAGATGTTTTAATGGTGAAGTGAGAAGATATAGTCATCTATCATCAAGTTTACAATGTGAGATGAAGTTTCATGTCTTTGTACCAGATAATTATGATAGTAAAGAGAACCTTGCTGTAGGTATATTCGAATAGAATAGAACTAAATGGTATCATTAGGAGATATATAACTAATAAATGATATATATATCAAGTGTTTATGGTTCCTTAGTGGATTGACATGTACCGATGAAAACTTTATTACTAAAGCTGGTGCAATTAAATCGGTTAGTCAGGGTGGTATCATGTTGGTGTGTCCAGATACTAGTCCAAGAGGTACAAATATAGAAGGTGAAAAAGATAGTTGGGATCATGGTCAAGGTGCTGGATTCTATGTTGACGCTACTGTTGAAAAATGGGCAAACAACTATAACATGTATACCTATGTAACTGAGGAATTGTATAACATCATAAACATTGAATTCAAAACAAAGAAACATTCAATCTTTGGTCATAGTATGTAAATTTAAATTGTCAATCAATCATTCAACTAACCAAGCCAAATTACTTATTATTGTATGTATGATGTAGGTATGGGAGGTCATGGTGCATTGGTAATGGCATTGAGAAACCCAACAAAGTATCAATCAGTGTCTGCATTTGCACCTATTTGTAATCCAACTCAAGTACCTTGGGGAAAGAAGAATTTGGGTGGATACTTGGGTCAAGACAATCTAGAAGCTTGGAATCAATACGATGCAACTGTTTTGGCAAACAAGTATACTGGTGTTGACAAAATCAACATTTTAGTCGATCAAGGTGACGCTGATGAATTCCTCGAGCGTGAACTCAAACCAAGTGCTCTCAAAGAGGCTTGTGAAGCTAATCCACTTCTTTCACTAACACTTCGTATGCAACCAGGTTACAATCACAATTATTACTTTATTCAAACTTTTGTTGATGATCATATCAATTTCCATTTAAATCATTTAAAGTAAATAGTATAATATAGCTAGCTACTATTATATTATATTAAATTTTACAAATACAAATATATATATATATATCACAGGTTATTTTTATTATTATTATTATTTATATTTATATTTATTTCTTTGGTGGTACTAAACCTGGTAAAACTACAGCTCCTGGAATCTAGGAATTAAAAAAAAAAAAAGAATTATTAATTATCAACAACAAATGTTTAATGTAATTAATGGGTCATTTTAAATGTAACATACTGGACTAGATTGAACTGGATTAACCAATTTACCATAGATAGCAATGAATTCATTGAAATCGATGGCACCTGAACCATCCTTGTCGGCAAGTTGCATGTTTGAATCGACGAGACGGTTGACTAAAATATCACCCATCTTTCTGGTGAGTGATTCCTTGACCAATTCCTTTAATTCGGATCTATCGATAGTTCCCGAGTTATCCTTGTCATACTTTTGGAATACAACACGAGCCTCTTCAATCTCGGCTTCAGTGAGTTCAACAGTGACATGCTTTACTTTTGGTGCATTGTCTCCAGTTTCCAAATGCTTGTATGGTGCAGCTCCTGGCTTGGCACGCATTGAAATGGGTAACTCTGGGTTAAGATAAATCTTGCTATACAATGAACAAAATTCATTGAAATCAATTACTCCCTAAAAAATTAATGATGGATTAATATTAATATTCATTGATCAATTAGTCAATCAATCAATCGGTTATAGTTTGACATACATTGAAATCCTTATCAGATGCATTGAATTGTAATTCAAGGTACATTGAAAAGAGGTTATCAGTGAGCTTTCTATTCAAAGTATCTTCCAATACCAAACGTAACTCTTTCTTGTCCAAAGTTCCCTATATATTATATCATCAACAAATTAATATCAACGTCATTCTATGTTTTATCTATGTGTTTAGTAGTGTATCACATACGTTTCCATCAGAGTCAAATTTAGTAAAAGATACTCTGATCTTTTGGATTTGTTCTTGTGTGAGATTGGGGGTCGACTATAAATAAGTATCATTTTTGTAGAGACGCATAAAGTTAGAGTCTTTAAAATAAAAAGTTGTATCAATACAGATAGATATACGTACCATTGTTATTGGGATATAAAATAAAGAGATTAGTTGGTTATTAAAATCAAATGCGATTAATCATTTCATCTTCTGATGATGGAGGTTGGGAGAAATTTAAAATAAAATGAAAAAATTAATCCAACCCAAAATATCTTCAATGAACCGATCGAGGGAATTCCAACCGATGGTTGTTTAAGGGTTTCTAAAAATGAAATTAAATTATGTATGTGATGTGTAAGGTGATCATAGTTTGATTATAGTTTATTATTACTATTCTTATCTACAAAAATATATATTTATCACTCATGAAATAAACACACGTACATTAATATCTGTGGCCCACTACTAAAAACACAAAGACACACAATGATTGATTGATTACGCGAACCAATTGGTTTACCACTAAACAAAATGCCCCGATACCCTTTTTGAAAGGGTTTTAATAAGAGCGAACCTCTTTTTCAAACAGATAGGTTCAACAAAGATAAGAGATGATTAAAGTTATTTGTTTGGTTTTAACCATTCTTTGTTTATCTACTATTTCACTAGTTAGTTCTTTTACTTGTAAGATTTACACTTCCTTTTTAGAACGTTAACGATATAAAATACTAAACTATTTATTTTAAATCGTATTTATAGTTACTCTACAACAAGTAAAAGATACAATTTTAATTACACCAAGTATTCAATTGACTATAAATGCACGAATTTACGATACACTCAATCAAGAGATTACAGCCAATTGCACTGGCAGTACACAAGTGAGAACATGTCGTTTAGGTAATATTCCATCTGGTTTGATCACTATTACTGATGGATTGGATAGTGCTACCACCCCAATCACCCTTGCTCCATATATCACATTTGTTTCAGGACAACTCACAACTTATGCTGACAACTATTATAACGGTCCAGTTAGAATCAATGGAAAGTTCTTTGAACCTAATTATTCATACAAGTATGTTTTAAAAAGAAAAAGAATAATAACATATTATGTAATATTAATATTTAATGTGTGATTCTATTTTTAGAGTAAACTATTTGAATGGTTATACCAATCATTCAGATATTCAAGTTCCAACTTCAAATACAACATTTGCAATAACGACGGGATATATTGGAATCGGAACACATCTAAATGTTTCTGTAACAAAGTTTAATTCATCAGTTAGCGTAGTTTCGACCGCCTACAATACCTCAATGGGTAAACCATTTATCAATGATCAGACATTTAATGCAAAGGTTGTCAATGCAGCACAAGGTATACTTTATTTGAGCAACCTTTGTAATCCAGCCGATTGTGGGGACAATGCCGTTACCATTAGTTATTATAATCAATCATCATTCCAAAGTGTAACATTTTCAAGAGAATTTGTTACATTTTTCATTAGTGAGAATTGGTCTTTTGGCAATGTTCAAGTTAAAGTAGCCGATCAAGTATCAAATAATTTATTCTTTTCTCCATTGTTTGCAAGTATGTTAATATTTCACAATCAATAATCTTCTTCTTTTTCAGTTACTTACTTTTTAACTTATATTTTAGATACTGCTCTAATTACAGATATCCAACCACATCCATTTGTTCAGTCTGGTAATGTTACTATTACAGGTAGATTCTTAAAGGAAACGGATTACTCTGGTAATAATCCATGGAAGTTTATGATTGAAAAGTCTAGTAATAATAATACTCAAGTACTCGATCAATATACCTACCTTAGTAACCAATATCCCTATGTGATTGAATTATATGTACCACCTGGAACTGGTAACTTTAATTTCATGTACCAATTTAGGGGGTTAACATCTTCCCCTTTAAAGTATAGTTATGCAGGTAAGACTCGAGACATTATAATAATATTAATATTAATCATTATTAATTAATTAATTATTATTATTATTTAAAGCTCCATCCATTTCAAGTGTATCAAAATTAAACTATCAACAAGCTGGAAAGATAATTATTGAAGGTGACGAATTCGATGAGACAAATCTTTTGGTAACGATTGGTTCAACTGAGTGCACCAATGCCACTATTGAAGTTAGTGTGTCTAGAAGGAGGGTTGTTTGTTATTTCGATGCTCAAGAGTTACCAACCAACCAGGCTAAAACATTGCCTGTTGTTGTACAAGTCGATGGATTGGTATCTGTACCACCAGGCTCATTTAGTTATATTGGAGGCGAAGGTTCTACCACAACAACCACCACCACCACCACCACTACCGGTGCGTCAGATGCATCAACCAATACTCCCATTCATTTATTCGTTGTTGCCATCCTTGTATTACTATTAATTGTTTAAATAAATCAAAAAATAAATTATTCCTTTGACTTTGATGACGTGAGTTGACGCCCATTAACAAAACAAAAAGATATTTATTTCCTCAACCTATCCACACAACAAACACCTGTATCGAACGAAAGAATGTTCAATCCCATTGTTATTATTCTTTGAAACTTTTATTTCATAAATATCTGTCCCCTCAAAGACCAAGCCCTCCTTCGTTATATTGAGAGGCCAAAAGCCTACCCTCACAGTTATTATTATTTTATTCTCACAAACAAAGAAAATAAGAGAGAGAAATGTTTAAGGTTATTTGTTTGGTTTTAACCATTCTATGTTTATCTACTTCACTAGTAAGTTCTTTTACTTGTAAGTTGTTTTGAGTTATTTTAGAGATATTAAAATTCTTGAGTTATTTAGAGAAATTCTAACATTATCTTTTTTTTGCAATATTTTAACGAATATTAGTTACTCTACAACAAGTAAAGGATTCAATTTTAATTACACCAAGCACTCAATTGACTGCTAATGCACGAATTTACGATACTCTCAATCAAGAGGTTACAGCCAATTGCACGGGTAGTTCTCAATTGAGAACATGTCGTTTAGGTAATATTCCATCTGGTTTGATCACTATTACTGATGGATTGGATAGTGCTACCACCCCAATCACCCTTGCCCCATTTATCACATTTGTTTCAAGCCCACTCACAACTTATGCCGATGCTTCTGGAGCAAGCCCAATCCAAATTACAGGAAAGTTTTTCGAACCAAATTATTCATACAAGTATGTTAAACAAATCAAGTCATACATATTTATTTAATATTTGATATTAATATTGTATTTATTATTAAATTTAGTGTAACCTATACAAATGGATTTACCAATCATTCAGTTACACAAGTTCCAACTTCAAATACCACATTTTTAATTTCAACAGGATATATTGGAATTGGAGAAAACCTAAATGTTTCTATTACAAAGTTTAATTCATCGGTTAGTGTAGTATTGTCAAATCAAAATTTCCTAGTTACTATTTCTCCACCAAATGTCATTGACTATAGATTCGATGCACAAACTGTCAACTCTAGTCAAGGTGTACTTTATTTGAGTAATCTTTGTGCTCAAATTGATTGTGGAAACAATGCCATTTCCATTCTCTTTGGCAATAATGGTGGACAATTCCAAAATGTCTCATATTCAAGACCGACAGTTGCATTCCCTGTAAATGAAAACTGGTCTTTTGGACCTGTTGAAGTTAAAGTAGCCGATCAAGTATCAGATAGTTTTTACTTTTCTCCAATGTTTGCAGGTATGATAGATTAAAAACAAAAAGATCATCCTTAATCTTTTGTTTTTTACTTATTCTTTTTTTTTTCTTTTTTTTAGATACATTATTAATTCAAGATTTGCAACCAAATCCATCTATTTTAGGTGGTAATATTACCATTACTGGTAGATTTATGAAAGAAACTGATACGTTGGGTAATAAGCCTTGGAATTTCTTACTTGAAAAAAGAGGTCATAACACTATCCAACTTAATCATACCTATCTTTCTAACCAATATCCATTCCAAATTGAAATTCAAATTCCATCTGGAACTGGAAACTTTAACATTTTATATCAATATTCTGATACCAATGGAGATTCAGTATCTCAACCATTCCACTTTAATTTTACTGGTAAGCTAATCAATTAATGAATCATCAATTTATTATTATTATATTAATATGTATTGTTTAAATTTAGCACCATCAATTTCAAATGTATCAACATTAAATTATGAGGAAGCTGGAAAGATAACGATTGAAGGTGACCAATTTGGGGAGACAAATCTTTTGGTCAAGATTGGTTCAACTGAATGTACAAATGCTACTATTACCGTTCCATTAAAGACTATTGTTTGTAATTTCGATGCCAAAGAGTTGCCAACCAACGATGCTAAAACATTGGATGTTATAGTACAAGTTGATTTGTTGGTATCTGCACCAGGCGTATTTAGTTATAAAGATGGTATATCCGGAGCATCAACCAATACTCCCATTCATTTATTCTTTGTTGCTATCCTTGTTGTCTTGTTATTAACTACTATTTAAATAAATAAATAAATAAATAAAAAGATAAATGGATGTCCATTCACACCATTTATATTTAATTAAATAATGTAATGTGATGTTTATCGATATTGTTTTAAAAGTTCTAAAATCTCGTAAAACCCATTGAATAATAGGTTATCATAATGTTTTTCAAAATCGATAGGTTCAAGGCACTTGTGAACCAATAGATAATGAACCACATCGTAATGAAGGACTTCTAATGCATGATGAGTACATCCTTCAGTACGATTCAAATGTAAAAACTAAAAGATATAGAGGTAAAAAAATTATTAATATTATTTTTTCGACCAAATAAAATAATTATCCTACAAGGTAGACATACTTTAACAATTTCTAGATGACCATCCTGTGCTGCCATATCCATAGCATTCCTTGAACATCCTTCAGTTCTATTATAATGTAAAAACTAGAAATCAAATAATGATTAACAAATCAGTTAATAAGATTATATATTTTTCTAAAAAATGAGTTTAATAAGATCGATACAAACTTTAACAAGGTCAATATTTCCACTCTGTGCAGCATTATTCAAAGCATCAATTGAGCATCCTTCAGTACGATTAAAATGTAGAAACTAAAATCCATTTTAGTGGAATGGAGATAAAGGTTGGTGTTTAATATTATTGTTTTTAAAATAATTTTGTTAATTTATATACATACTCTAACAATTTCAAGATGTCCTTTCATTGCTGCCATATCCATTGCACGAGTCCAGAATTCCCAAGGTTGATTATAATGCTCGTGTAGGAAATGTATAGCATCCAAGTGTCCAAACCGTGCTGCAATGTTGATAGCTTCTTTTGTACATTTAGGTTTACAATGATGATAAATGAATTTCATCATTTCAATGTTTCCCGTTATATGCTCATAGATACTATCTGAACATTCTTCTGTTCTATTTTCAACTAGAAACTAATAATAAAATAATAAATATTTAATTAATTTTAATTATTTATCTATTTATTATGCCTTACCTTGACAATTTGAAAATTTTTTCTCATTGCTGCTTGATCCAATGCACAAGAGGTGGATCCTTCGGTACGATTAAAATGAAGGAATTGAATGATATCTAATCTGTCCATCATTACAGCTCTAGGAATAGCCTTTTTTGTACATCCCTCAGTACGATGTTCATGAAGGAATTTAACAATGTCATAGGTAGCCGCCCTGTCCATAGCATCAGTTGTGCATCCCTCTGTTCGATTGAAATGTAACCATTTCACTACATCATAACGGCCGTTTTTTGCAGCTAGATCCATTGCAAGTTCACTACATCTATTGGCCTCTTTGTGATTATGAAAGAACTTTACAACATCAAGATTCCCATATGACGCAGCTCTATCCATTGCACCATCATCCCATTCCATGGTCCTATGTAAATCAATAAACTTTATAATATCATTAATAATAAATAAATATTTCTAGATAAATTTGGTTGGTTTCATAAATATATATACCTCTACTAATTCAAGGCTATGACCAACAGACCCATACATTCCATAGATAGAGAATCCTTTTTCATTAAATGGATGAAGAAACTAAAGAAAGAAAGAAAGAAAGAAAAAAGAAGATTATTAATTATATTTATATTTATATTGTGTGTGGACCATAATATATATATACCTTTACAATCTTTTCATGACCACGGATTGCAGCAGTATCGATAACATCAGGTAAACACCTTTCAGTTCGATTATTATAAATGAATTGTAGAATATCGAAATTACCTTTCTCACCAATAACTCTAGTCATAGTATTATCGTGTATTGATATATTGCTATTTAGAGAGGTTATCAATTGTATGATTGAAAGGTACCCATATTCCATTGCATAGGCCATTGCAATGTGGTGAGTTGGCTAATATCTCTGGTCACATTAATATTGGGGTCAAAGAAAGACGCCGAGGAGGATTCCAAGCACTCTGATCTTTTTTCGAAATTTAATTAAAAATTGATGATGATTAATAAAAACAAGAGAAGCATTAATATTAACAAGAGTAGTTAGTTAGTAAAGTTAGAAGTAGTAGAACTTGTTGGGGGTGGGGTAAATAAATACCCGTACGATATGAAACAGATACAACAATAAATTTGATTGTATTTGATCCACCATCATCATCATCGCCATCATCACCAATTAATAATAATATCATTGTACATTTAAAAATTATATAAGAATCATCATCAGTCAGTATAGTAGTAGTAGTATTAGTATACTCTCTCTATCACAATCACAAACTATCTGCGCTAAGATACGACGACCACCACCAATACGACGACAATCAGATTTGTACAAATAACAACCAGCAACATCATCATCATCATCATCATCAACCACCAGAGAGAGAGATTGGTTAACAATATATTCACATAACCACAATGAGTACAACAAAGTAAGTGTCGACAACGTATACGAAAGAGAAGGAAGGAGAAATCCCCTTCTCTTACAATTATCTTATTTACTTATTATTATTATTATTAATATTCTTTATCAGAGTATTCAAATCAACTTCAATGAATGAAGTCAAATTAGGAAGAATAGGTAAGAAAAGAATAGAAACATAAACACAAAAGGAGGAGGAGGAGGATAGATGAAAGATGTTTAAATATAGGGATATGCACTACACAATCGTACACTCCTTGTTCATTGAGACGGAGGGGTCTCTTTGGCAATCTTTATTTTGCAGGTTGACGATTTTTCATTTGCGATTGCATAGACGACACATATATCATCTTTTAAATCTTTCATCAATTCCAACCTACCAAATGAATAGTAATAGAGAGAGAGAGAGAGAGAGAGAGAGAGAGAGAGAGAGAGAGAGAGAGAGAGAGAGAGAGAAAGAGTTATTATGATTTAAAGTTTAAATATTTATTAATGTTTTATTAAATTAATATATTTATTTTTAATAGGGACAGTTGGGGATAGTAGAAGATATCAAAAATTGACGGAAGTGGACCCGTCGATCATTGACGATGGAGATAGTGACGAAGATGACAGTGTGGGATATTACAAGCATGCCAAGGGCAATGAAGACTATGACTTTAGTTCGGTCAAAGGGACACTCACCTATTGTTACCATTTCCTTCGATACACTTTACTTGGTGATTTCCAAGTAGCCTTTAGATATGTTCACAAGAATTCAAAAAAGAATATTAAATCTTTGGTTCTTGGTTTATTAACTGTATTCCTTGTTGTATTATTTATAAGGTAAAAATAGAATAGAAAGAATGAAATACATTATATATATAATTTATTAATATATTTATTTATTTGATTTAATTTTTTTTTAGTTTCTTACAAAATTTAATTCAAGCTTCACCAATTGTATTCTTGAAATTATCAGAGGATCAAACAGGAGAGTTGGATCTTATTTTAACAGGTGATCCATCAGCAATCATGGGGTCATCTGGCAACACATCTTTATTAAATGCTGCTCCCACTTTTAATAATAATAATGGTAAAAATAGTACTGGAAAGAAGATTGGAAAAATGTTAAAATCATATACTTCTACTGCAGCAATGACACCAACCGATATATTATCAACATTGAATAGTTTTGATATATCTAGCTTTTTTGTAAATTCTACATTGTTGACGAGTGCATTGGCAAATGCATCGACTGTACATGGCGTGGCGCCGAGATGGCTGTCGTTGGGTGATATACAGTCGGATGCGAATCACACGATGGAGTCATCGTTGATTTTGTTGGTGATGAATACGACGTTGGAGAAGCATCTCGGGCTGGGTAGAGGATGGACGCTGCCACCACTTGTGGGCAACCAGACGTACATTACTAGTGCGTTTCTGCGTAGAATCCAGACACCGGCCAACGAGAATGCCGTGGTTAACATGCACGTTGACTTTGTCGATGTGATGCAGAGACTGGGATCCAACGCAATCCCGAGCAAGACAGACTTCCAATCGATGATTGCCAACTTGATTGGCGAACCGTTGCCCGAGCAGGTCAATGTGTCGCAGGCGATTGCATGGCTCAACGCGACGAATCCAGACTTGGTCGTGTCGATTATGGAGTTGTTGGGAGACGCGATTTCGGCGGACGGTTCGATGCTGTATCCACCCGAGCTCGTCAATAATCTGTACGATGCGATGCGGTTGGCATTGGTGATTGACAAGCAGCTCGTAGTCGCCGGCGGTATAGATAACCCGGGCGGCAAGTATCCGACGATGTTGGGTAACGTGGCAGTGCTCGAGAGCGAGTTTGTGGACGCGGTCATCCGCGAGCGTCTCACCAACATGTCCAACTACCTCGCGCAGAATCTGACGCTGATCGAGACGATGCTCGAGTTTGCGCTGCCGATTGTCGCGCCAGACATTAACGCGACGGCAATCGTTGCGGTGCTCGACCAGATATCGGCCAAGATGACTTCGTTGGCCAGCAACTTTAAACTCAACGACTATTCCATGTCGCCGGTCATCATGCTCGAGGATCGTGTAAAGATATACACTGCAGCATCAGAGGTGATGGATAAAGGAATGATCGCGTTTACCAACCAAGTGTCGACGATGATTGGGTACAACTACCCGGCCATTTACACGACTCCCTTGGTTGCTACCATCAACCTGTTTAAATACACCAAGTTGTCACTCGACCAAGTATTCAACTGCGTCGCTGCAGTACTGCTCGTACTCGGCGCACTCATGATCTACAGTCTTTTGCTGAGTGACGTCGAAGGTAAAACATTTGAATATGGTATGTTGCGTGCACAAGGTCTGCGTCACTACGCGCTCATCATCCTGCTCATCACACAGGCCGTCTACTTTAGTGTGCCGGGTATCATCCTGGGTCTGTTTATGGGGTGGGTATTTTTCGCAATCGTTGCACACTTTGTGTACGCGTTTGTCATCCTCCCCGTCAACCTCACCTACTACCCCGTCTCGATCGTCTCTGGTGTATTTATGGGTTTCTTTATCCCCATTATCGCCAATATCGCCCCCATCCAGCGTGCACTGTCGCGTACTCTGCGTGACGCGCTCGATGTCTACCACCAAGTCAAAAACGAGACAATGGTCAAGATTATGAAGTTGGAAGAGGTTGGCATCGACTTGCTGCAGACACTGCTGGCTGTGCTCGCTGTCGGCGTGGGGTTCACCGTCTACTACCTCATCCCATACGCATTCACGTTTTACAACTTTAGTTTGTTTTTCGGCATCCTCACAGCCATCCTTTTAGGCATGTTGTTTGGGTTGTCGATGCTTGCGCAGGCCGTCCAGCCACTGATCGAGCGTGCCATCTTGTTTGTGCTCGTGTGGGGACCGGACCGTATGTCATTGTACCAATTGGTCCGCAAGAACTTGTATGCACATTCGAGTAGAAATGCCAAGACTGCCACGATGTTTACTATCTGTCTGACATTTATCATCTTTACGGGATGTGTGTTCCGTCTGCAAGGATACAATATCCAGCAGCTCACTCGACTTGGTGTAGGGTCGGATATTGCTATTTTGGCAACATCCATCAAAGACCCGATTCCAGAGGCACAAATCACAGCGTTCCTCAACTCGGATATGGCCAACAACAGCAACTCGATTATCGCGGGCTATACAACCGTCACATTCCCGCTCAACAAGGTGCTCAATATCCAAAGCACGCATCTGCGGACACTGGCCAATTACCCCGACTACACCGTGCGTGTCTATGGCATGGACAAGAACTTCCTCGACAATTCGTATCTTGCGTTCTATGACGTGACGGAGAAATCGTCTTCCCTCGACTTCCCCTCGATTCCAACATCTGATTTAACAACCAAGAAAAAGAATGTACCCGATGTCATTGAGAGTTTGTATACCAATGCGCGTAAAGATTTGATTTCACTCGACGGCGACTCGATTGTCGCGCCGCCCGCAGTGCAGTCGTACCGTGTGTCCATGTACAATACGAGTTGGGTCAGTGGGGACTCTCCGCTCGCCGTAGCATACCGCAGCTTCAACAACAGCTACATCTACCGCAACTACACTGACATGGTCATGTCGGAAGCATTCCGTCAGGCGTGTGGAGCAGACACCCAAACGCCATTCAATTTCTACGTGCGCTTTAAAGGAAAGATCGACTCGTTGTCACAACTCAACCTGCTTGCCAAGCCACAGGCAATGGTCGAGATGTTCCCCTCATTCCTCTTTTCAGCGTACGGTGCCATGGCTACCAGCTCGCCTGTCCTCCTCTCCAACGACCAATTCCAAGAGATTATGCAGTGGGTTGTCTCCTTTTCAAATGACACGACCGTCCAAATGCCAGACACTATACCAAAATCCAAACTATTGATTAGACTCAAAGAGCAGGATGCTCCACAACTTGACCGCGAGTATATCATCAATGGCATTAAAAACTTTATCAAAACTGATGATATCCAAGTGATTGACACTCAATTCTTGCTTGGTATGACTGATACTGCCGTATTGTTACTCGATATCTTTTTCTACACCGTGTCAGGTGCAGCCATTGCACTTTGCTTTTTCATGCTTTGGATTTCGTTTAGTGCCAACATTCACGAAAACTCTTGGGAGTTTGGTGTGTTGCGTGCTATTGGTCTCACCAGTTTCCAAGTGACACGTATCTATATCTACGAAGCACTTGTACTCATCTTTTCATCGGTCATTCTCGGGCTCCTCATTGGTCTCGGTATTGCCATCACACTGACTCTCCAATTCGACCTCTTTACCCAACTCCCATTCTCGTTCCAATTCCCATACGCCCTCTTCTTTGGTGTACTGTCAGCCTCCATCCTCATTGCCATTGGAGTTTCATATCAATCCTCTAAAGAATATAGAACAAGACAAATTGCTTCTGTATTAAAAGGAAAGTAAATCAAAATAAATAAATAAATAAATAATAATAATTATAATCTAAATAATAATAAATAAATCTAATAAATAATAATAATAATAACTCATTAATTATCCCAATGTAAAGATAGGATAGAGGACAGGAGAGGATAGATATAAAAGGCAATGGATTGGGTGAGATGAGATTGCGTTCCTAAAAACTGATTTGTTTTTTTTTTTTATTTAGCTTTTGTGGAACGAGAGACCATGGGAAAGGGAATGAGTTTGGGTGGTGCTTGATCACTTTGGTTATCCGAATCATCGAATTTTGTGTGTAGTTTAAACAACCAAGCAAACAAGCAAACAAGATCCATCCCATCCTACTCTTCAACACAACACATCATCTTTGCAAAGATTACTATACTAAATTACTAATTACATCAATTAAAGTTAATTAGTTTTATTAAAGAAAGAAAACTAAACAGAGTCAATCAGATCAGATATTAAATCAAAACACAGTTCTAAAGATTAATCATCAACCCATCGACCGACCACCCACTCCCCATCCCACTCCCAACTCACACAGCCAAACCCTAAACAAACTTCTTCATCAACCCCCATTTTTATCTCCCTCTCTTCCACAGTTTTAAAAAAGAAAAGGAGCTAAAAATATATATATAATAACGAGCCGGCTCTCAACAAACAATCAATCAATCAAGTTAACAAGCAAACAAACAAAAGTAAAGAAGAATTGAATTCATTCATTCATTCATTCTTATCTTACATCATCATCTTGTCATCAAGTATATAGTTTGTTAAACGAGAGATTAGTTAGTCTATAGATACAATAATAACAAACAAAATAACAACAAGTAGTAGACAAGAGACAGAGAGAGACAGAGAGAGACAGAGAGAGAAAGATAGAGGAAAAAGTTTTGCGCGACAAGATCAAGATAATTATCACAAGAAACAAACAGCAAAGCGGCACAAAACACGTAATTTTTATATATACAATAACTATCAATATCTTGTTGTTGGTTTTTTCGTAACATAATCGAATCGTCAACAAGCAAAGCAAAGCATAGCATAGCAAAGCAAAGGATAGTCTACTATTTATAGAAGTCAATATATATATAGTCTACTATTGCATATTATTTATATATATATAACAGTATTAATAATAATAATATATAATAATAATAATTATATAATATATCAATCAATCGAAACATGTCATTCAAACTAACTTGGGGACCATTCGATGAAGAGTTTTACAACAATATCAAGACGGGATTGACAAAGACCTTGAATGCAGGTCCACCAATACCAAACATAGTCGATCAATTGGCGGTACATGATTTTCATTTAGGTGATAAGGTAAGCAAAGCAAAGCAAACAAATATAATATATATATATATATATATATATAGTCGATATTTATGACTTGGATGACTTATAATAATAATACTTTCTTTAGCCACCACAATTAGAATTAAAACAAGTTGCAGATGCATCAAAAGAAAAATTTAAATTCATATTTCATGTCAATTATAGAGGCAATGGATTGTTGGAGCTACGTACCAAGGTGCAAGCCAATCCAGTCTATTTGGGTACATCGATAGCATTGACGAGACATGAGAAACAGTTGTTGCAGCAACTCAATATCGGGTCGGCATCCAACCCACACATCATGCCTCTGTCTATCATCATCACCGACATTGTGTTTGACGGTGAGTTGACTGTAGCACTCGTCAACAACAAGTCGATCGAGGCGTCGTTTACAACCGACCCTTTGAAACAGGTTAATATCAAAACATCGTTTGACGAGTTCCCAGCCGTCGCCAACTTTATCAAGTCTCTTGTAGACACTCAACTCCGTAATTTTATCATGAAGGATTTCCCAACCATCGTATCTTCCATCACTGTACCATCTCCATCTTCTCCCAATTTAACTTCAGCTCAATCAATGAATAGTATATCAATTAATCAAAATAATCAAAATAATCAAAATCAAAATAATAATTTAAATAATAGTAGTAATAATATAAATAGTAATAATAATAATAGTAATAATAGTAGTAGTAGTAATAATAATAGTAGTGGGGCAACAAATAATAATAATAATAATGTGAATAATGTGAATAATCAACAATTTTTTAATCAAACAGGCTTAAGTTTTAATTTTAATAATGGAAATGCTCCAGATGAAAATCAACATCAACAACAACAACAGCAACAATTGCAATACCAACAAACTGCCAAACTCCGACAACAACAAAAGAAAAAGAATATTGAACAAGCTGCTTTATTTATTAATTAATTAAATTTGGTATAACAATATTTATTTATTTATAACAACTCAACTCAACTCAATTCAAAACAAACTTTAAATATATTTATTTATCATCATCGTCCAACACGAACCGAACTCCTCCTCATGGTCAATAATAATATATATACATGGAATATTCGAACGAAACGAATCGCATGGGATAATAATATAATATACTTTTTCAACATCAATAATAAATTTTGATGATATCTTTTCAAACAAACAAACAAACAAACAAACAAACAAACAAACAAACAAACAAATACATACACACATACATATATATATTCTATATATTTCTAATTCATTTCCACCTTTTGAAAGATATTTTATTAATTGGTGATCCAGCTGTTGATCCAAACAACAAGTAAGAGAGGCCAAGAGAGCAACTTCCTTTTCAAATTATGAAGCCATGTACATCATCAATCAGTACATTTACGATTTGTTCATACTCAAAAATGAGACAAGAGAATGATTATCTTCTTTAACTTTGTATTGTTGAAGCCATTCATTTTCTTGTCTCTTTTTTTGGCAAACGAATCCAGATTCTCTGGGTATCTGACTTTTTCCTTTCGTTGTTGTTTCATCTTGTAATCTCTCAGCGTTGTTGATAATCCAATAGGGTATTTTACTCAGTTGTAAAACAATCCTATCTCTTGAGTAAATTATAATTATATTATTATCTATATATATATATATGTATAGAGTTACAAACATAAAAATAATGAATGGAAGGGATCACACCAACCAAATTAAATTTTCCTAGTACCACCAACCTATACAAAGATATCTCTTTCATTCTTTTTCGAAATTGAACAAAAGATATTTTAGATGATGTTCTTTTTGACTTTGGTATCTTAATCTTTACCAAACGACTTTCAAATGATAAAGTAGCGTATCTCTTAACTTACTGTATTTGTTTGTTCTAAACAAAATACTATTCTATATTCTATATTCTATATCTATCTATATTATTCTATTATTAATGGCTATAACATTTAAAAGTATATTTAAAGTTTATTATATTAGACAAACTATTTTCAAACAAGTTGAAGAGATACACAAGATTGAAAATGGTAAAACTAGAGAATTATCATTAAAAGGAAGAGATATAATTGATCTACCTTTACTTGGTATGATCACTCTTTATGCAATGCCATGGTGTTTTGTTAAACATTATCTGCCGGCTAGAGAGACACTATTGGTTGAAAGAAGGAATCGTATTATTTCAGATTATTGTGCTCATCAAAATGCAACGTTGGATACACTCCAACATCTATTGGAATGGTCACCAGACTTTGATGCATCGGGGGCAGGTGGTCTAATTGCATCGACAACAAAGTATGGAAAGTTTGATATTGTAAAGTACCTTTTAGAGAAATACGACAACTTGGATATGAAATTTGCAAAGGATACAGCTGCTAAACTCGGACATGTATCAATCATGGAATTACTCGATTCCTATCCAAATACAGGTGAATACCAAGATAATTCTTTAGAAGGGGCTGCTAAAAATGGACATTTAGATTCGGTTGTTTATTTACACAAGATGGGTCATCCAACAAACTCAAAAGCTCTCTTTCTTGCCGCTCAACATGGTCATCTTGAAGTTGTCAAGGTATGTAAACAATAACATACAATGATACAAAATATATATATATATTGACTTTAAAAGTTCATTCAAAATTAGTTTATTCATTTTAATCATAAAGAAACTATCTTTAGGGTAAATCCAATGGATCAAGCCGCTGAAAAAGGGTATCTTGAAATTGTTGAAGTATGTTTGTTTGTTTATAAACACAATTTTCTTAGAGAAAAATACTTATTGATTTAATATTGTATAGTTTTTACATAATCATCATAAAAAGGGATGTACTCCACGGGCAATGGATCTAGCTGCATGGTTTGGCCATTTTGAAGTAGTCAAGGTATGTTTAAAATATATTTTTAATATTAATTAATCACATCCATATCATATATCTAACCAACAAATCTATTTCTATTTTTTTTGTAGTTTTTACATTATAATAGAACTGAAGGATGCTCGACTCAAGCAATGAATAGAGCCACCACATTGGAAATCCTTCAATTTCTTCATGAAAATCGTACAGAGGGGTGCTCGCATGCTGCTATGGATCGTGCTGCCATGTATGGGGATTTTGAAATGGTTAAATTCCTTCATTTTAATAGAACCGAGGGTTGTAGTACTGATGCCATGAATTTAGCAGCAAAAAAAGGTTATTTGGAGATTGTAAAAGTTGGTATCATAATATAATAATTATCTTTTCTCTCTTCTTTCTAACACCCTATCTATCTCTAGTTTTTACATTTAAATAGAACAGAAAAATGGTCAGACCATATTTTAGACAATGCAATTCAAAGTGAAGATCTAGAGTTGGTAGAATATATTTATGAAAACTTTGATGATGATTGTATAAATGGAATTACAGCAGAAGGAGTTGAATATGCTGCTATGAACGGGTCTTTGGATATAATCGAATTTTTACATCAAGAATATCCAACCGCTGATATTTGGACCCCTAAAGCCATCGATTGTGCGGCAAAAAAGGGCCACCTGGACATTGTAGAGGTAAATTAAAATACACACCAGCCAACTATTTATTTTCTATTTATTATTTACTTATATTACTTTATCTATTCCTATATTTTAGTTTTTACATGATAATAGAAGTGAAGGAAGTACATCCAATGCTTTAGATAAAGCTGCCGAGAATGGATTTTTGGAAATAGTAGAATTTCTTCACAAGAATCAAAGCGGTGGATGCACAATTTCTGCGATGGATATGGCAGCAAGTAATAGTCATTTGGATATAGTAAAGGTATACAATATGAATGAACAAATACATGGAATATTTATTAATTTATTTATTTATTTATTTATTTTTAGTTTTTACATTATAATCGTACAGAGGGATGCTCGACCATTGCGATGGATGGTGCAGTTCGAAAATGTGATCTACCAACAATTGAATTCCTTCACAAGAATCGTACAGAAGGCTGTACCTCCCTCGCTCTTTACACATATGGAGGTAAATCCAGACACACTGAAATCATTGAAGTCTTTCAATATCTTTTCAAGCACAACTTGCTAGATAAAGAAATCATTGCTGCAGACCCAAGAATTAAAAGCTTTCATCGTTATAATTATGAAGTTTTACATGCAATTAATAATTAAATAAATAGAAATATTTAAATATTTATTTAATTACTTATCGATTTTCCAAACTTTACAATATAATTTGAATCAATTTTTTTAAAAATCATAAATGATGGATTGTATAATAATCCATGATTTGATTCTACTCGATGTTGTCTGATGATACCACCAGTAAAACTATGTTTTTCAGTTATCATCACATACTTGTTATCCATTTCCAAACGTTTAATATGAAATTCAAATCTTGTATTTTGTTCTTTTGATACTACAAGTACCTTTACATTGGAAGAATTGATTATTTGATCAATTTGAATCATGAAATCTTCATTTTGATTTGTTGTTGTTGGAATATCAACTGATAAAATATTGATATTTGATGGAAGAATGAAATGGTTTGGATCAGAATTATTAATATTATTATTGTTGAATATTTTTGTTGATGGAAGAGAATAAATTTGATTGTCTAAACGACTAGACATCATTTGACAAGTCAACTTTGTAATTGATGTTGGAATATAGAGTATTAATGATCGATCATAATCTGCATAATATTTGTATTCCAATGAATCTAGTGTAGTTGGGTAATGGGGAGGATTGATACCAAAATCTGGAAACCCTAAATGAATCTTTAACTTGACAAGATGTCTAGGTAATCCAAGAGGAATGGAAGGGTCGTGAACAAATATACAAAGGTCAGTGATAGAGTCTTTAAAGTACTCCTTTGGGTCAACATGTCCAATATGTTTTGTAAAATGTAGTTTTTCAATGGTACCATTGGGAATACAACTGATTGGTATATTTGAAATATTACCTCTTCCAAGAACCAATTCTCTTAGAGACAATGGAAAATAATTGTCTGGTAAACGATAATCACAATTTAAAATCTTTAAATGTGTAATGTTGTTGGGAAGAGGAACCAAAGTATCTGCTCCATCCATGTCCAATGAAAAGGTTGTGATTCCAAAATAATCCAAATTGGGTGGAAATGTAATGCTCCTACAGTCTTGTGGATTAAAATCCAAAGTAAGTTGTAAATATTTCAACAAACCGGTACTATTGGGAAACAAGATTTTGTTCATTTCTATTTTTTGAAGAATGTCAGAGATGATTGACAATTTGGTGAGACTAGAGTGATGATGAAGATCCAATGTTGAAAAGTTGACATTTTGTTGGAACCTTAGATACAAAACTTGTAGTGTCAATGGAAATTGAATGTCACATGATAAAGGGAAAACATCTTTGGTAGTGATATATAATTCCGACAGTGATGGCCAAAAAGATGGAAATGTAGGAACAGTTGAAAGGTTTTCAATCTTTATAATTTTAATTCCAGTAAACAAGAAGAAAAATTCTTTGATATCATCTTGATATTCTTCAAGTTTTAATGTCTCTACCATTTCTGGACGACATTGTTTCTCCATGATTGATAAATCTTTTGGAAGAGATCCAATAACTTTTAATTTTCTTGTTGGTGGTATAATAAAATTGGTCAATTTTTCTTGTTGTTGGAGGAGTTTTTTTAAATCAATATTGATTGATTTAAATATTTGATTGGTGATCACATTATTATTACTATTATTATTAAAGTTGATTTTGTTTATAGGAATGATAAAAGACATTTTGTGATTAATCAATATTCCCCTTTTATAATTTAAAAAACAAAAGGGAATTGATTTTGAATGATTATTTCTAAAATGATAATAATAATCCTGGCATGTCATTAATAGACATACTATATCTTGATTATTATCAATGAAATGGATAATTCTAAAAAGAATTAGGTTTGGTAAACCTCCTCCTGGTTTTAAATTAATTAATTTTTCTGTCATTCCAAATATTACAATATTATTATTATATTATTACTTCATTAAACTTTAAATACATATGCTATGTATTTGTATTAATAAATGAAAAAAGGGGTTCCCATTCTAAAACAACCATATTTTTTGGGAATGATTTTACCACATGTTATACATGACATGTGTATTTGGGATCAGGTTCTCTCTGATTAAACCAACTTGTTTAAACACATATATATGACATTGTAAAGGTGACCTATAAATAAGTTTATATAGCATAGGAGACAGAGAGGAGAGAGAGAGATGATTGTGGTTGAAAGTCTAAAACGAAACCGATCGAACAAACCAACATGATAAATGTCGATTGGTTTACATGTTTTACAAATGTGGTGGGTAGAGATAGATATTAGATTTTAGATTAGATGTCTTTTCTAATCATAATAATAATAATATAATTATAAATTGTGTAAAACAAATAAATATGAAAAGAAAAAAAAATAATTAGAGCTCGCTACCTGTTCACATGATCTTCATTACTTTGTATTTTTTTTATTTTTTACAATCATTGTGGTATCAAATATAACAAAATGTCAAGATGATTATATAGTTGTTAAACTATCAAAAAGGAAGGGATATAGTCAAGATTACTTATAATAACCTCATCTTGGTATGATCACACAGTATTATGCAACAGGGTTACAAATCAAAAACAAAACCATTCACATACCATTTCCAGATTCCATCAATGATCGTGGGATGACCATATCAAACCCTATTTTGTATTTATTTTCATTGTTGTTGTGTTGTTTTTAATTAATACCATCTTCCAAAAGTACACCTACCCAGTATGTTTACACTGTGTACTAAAGTGATCAGATCATTTCTATGCTATAATTCAAAAAAAACAAAAGAGAAATGGTAATTATTTCTTTAGAGGATGAAAAAGAGATTAGAGAGTTTTGGATAGATGACAAGGTAGACTTGAAGATTTCTGGTAGTCTACCACATATGATACAGGCTTTAATAGTATCTTTCTCAAAAGACATCCAATTGGATCTTGTTTGTTGGAGATTCTTTGGTAATGTGTCGAAATGGTGTACAATCATGGACATACCACTCTCATTTCTAATTAGTGACGATGTCGCCAGAATATTAGATTATTGCATGTTGACCGTCAGTCATCTTGCCAAACGTTGTTGTCCACTTAAAACGATCACTCATATTACCATTTCACAAGACACTATCGAGTTCCTCTACCAACTGATCAGATACAAGTCTAATGAATCCGAGTACAACCAAATCAAACTAATGTCAACAGATTGTAAATGCGATAAAGATGATTGCAGTTATGAAGGGGAATATTCAATTCAAGAATTTGAAAGTCAAGATGAAAGAGAAGAAGAAGAAGAGGAAATACAAGATTCAAACCAAGAAGAAGAAGAACATCACAACTCAAGCCAGTATGATGAAGAAGAAGAAGAAGATGATGATGATGATGAGAGTCACAACTCAAACCAATATGAAAGAGAGTACCAAAGTCGTGGTCGTGACTCTAGCCAGTATGAAGATGAAAGGAAAGATGAAATGTCAATGCTAGAAAATATCAACAAGTATGAATTAGCAAAAAGGGTCTTGGAATCAATTCAATACATGGAATGTGTAGCAACAGGTGATTATGTGGATGATGGATATTTTCTCTATATTGCAAGTCATTTGCCAAACTTGCGATCATTCACCTTTGATCCAGACAATATCGAACGTTCTCTAGAAAAAAAGACATTGGCTTTCCTTTCTAGAGATACAGAATATCTCAAGAGGAATGACCAATATGAAGAAGAATATATAAATGGTATACCTGCTTCATTAGAAGAGATTTATTTATATCGAGATGCAAGCGATTTAGGTATTCAATGGATATTCAAAATTCTCAAATGTCACTCAAAGACTATTCGTAATTTCTCTTGTTATGTCCCAAGGGATTATGACAATGACTCATCCGAATCATTCTGGAAATCATTTATTTCGAGTATTCGATCACTCAATCTCCACCATGCCAAAGATATGGTTTACCAATTTGGCGACGGCCCTGAAAAATCATTAATCTATGATCATAATATTAAAGAACTTCTCAACACAACACGGAGTAAAATAATTTTTTCAATCCGTGTAAAAGGGTTCCAAAGAATATAATGTATTACTAAGTTTAATATCAATAGTTTTTATATATACCTATTTTAAAGTATAGATTACAAAAGAAACAGGATTCTTATCTATATATATATATATAAATAAGTGAATCGGGGATATAAATACATAAATCGTGTGAACAAATAACAAATCCAAAATAATAAATATGAAAAGAAATAAATAAGAAGAGATGGTCACCTGCACCTCTTCATCAACACTTTTTAATTTTTTGTATTTTTTTTTTTAATTATTATAATATGAACACACCAACTATTAAAAGTTTACTACAATCAGTGTATATTAGACAAGTTATCTTTTATTGGGTAGGAGAGGTATCAAATATAACAAAATGTCAAGACGATTATATTGTGGTTAAACCATTAAAAGGAAGAGATATAGTCAATATACCTCATCTTGGTATGATAACACAGTATGCAATGCCATGGAACTTTATCAAACATTATCTGCCACCCAATAACAAAGATAATAGTAGTAGTAGTAATATACTATTTGAAAGAAGAATGGATGCTATTACTGGTTACTGTGCACATCGTAATGCAACATTGAATATAATATAATAATACATCACTTCATCAGGAGTTCTAAAGTTATATATTTATAATTACATTTCAACCAGTCGGTCAGTCAGCTAGGTAGCTCTCTAGCTCTCTAGCTCTCTACCTCTCTCTTTCTGTTTTATTATTATTTTTAGGCGTTGTTAATGTTGGTATTAGAGTCTACCGATATTGTCACCACTACCGCTACACTACAACTAACTAACTCTACTCTATATCATATAAATGGCTCATTAAAACAAACACTGCTCCCTATATATATATATATATATATATATATATATATAAAATGAATGAGTGTTTATCACGACGATCACGATCATATACAACATATATTTATATTTAATCGTTGTTGTGTTCCTCATCCATCTTGTCATACACACCAACCACACACGATCAGATGAGTAAGAGAGCAAAAGTCAACTGATTGAAGAGTATGATCGATCATAGACCACACTATGATCAGAAGTGTAGGGGTTGGTTGATGCTATACAACACATGTGTTGTTTGTGCGCCTACCCCCCCTTTGTCGTCAGCCCACTCTCACTACAATTCAATCAAAATACAACGATCATTGTTGCTGTTGGAGATAATATGGAAATGAACAATCAAATCAGAATGCCAACCAAAACAAACAAACACAACCACTGTCTTGCAGTGCTCTCTCTCTAAACCCAACCAAACCACCAAAGAGGAAGAGGATTTCTTATTTCAAATTATTATCAGCAGCCTTCAGCAGTAGTACTCTACTATACTATAGTAGTGGAGCGCCATCATCATCATAATTATTCAAGCAACTATAATATCCATCATTATTTTTATCTCTAAAAAAAGAAAAGAAAAGAAAAGAAAAGATTTTGTATTAGAGAGAAAAAAAATAGATTAGGAAAACTTACTAAAACCCAAGGAAAGGAAGTTGTCCTTTTTCAAAATGAATGATATGATTCAATGGTCGTCATCATCATCAAATCATCGAAAATGGTGGCGATTCGATCAACGGATGATCTACACTATAGTTTGTCTTTTGTTGGCACTGCTGACAGTTTCATCATCATCAACATTGGATAATACAAAATATAATAATAATAATAGAAATAATAATAATAATAATAAGATTATATTTGATGATTCATTGTCATCTCAGTTTAATGATTTTAGTTGGGGTAAATATGAATTGGTTGATACACCTACCAATCGTGGATCGAAATCTATTGCCTTCCAATGTAATGATTTCCATACCCTCTATTTTACAAGCAAAAATCGATTTGATATTTCATTAGTATGTAGTAATCAAAAAATTGACTCCATCAAAGTCTGACAGTCATTTTAACAACTATCTATTATTTATTATTATTATTTATTTATTTTTTATTTATATTTAGTATTCAGGAATTTCATTTTATGTTTATCCATCGGATCAAAATAATATACCACATATAACTGTTCAATTGATTCCAGCTTATTTCTATGTTGGAGGAAATCATCGACTGTCAGAACACCAAGCCAGTTTAAAGCTTTTTTCAAAATCTAATCCTGCTCAATCATGTACAGGACTTTCAACTCTAACTCCAAATAATTGGACCAAAGTATGAATCAAACAAACACACATATATATATATATATTACTGTAGAATTAATATTTAATTTAAATTGATTTGTTTTTATTTATTTAGTCATTTATAGGAATACCAAATGATGGAAAAGAATATGATGGATTTAAAATAGCTTGTGATCAATCTCAAGGATATACAATATACATTGATGAGATACAATTTGAATCTTTGGAATACACTACCACCTCTTCAAATTCGGTCAAGACACAACAAGAAAAGATGGAGATTATTCATGCCAAGCAAAAACATCATCGTTCGATGATGAGACAACTGGTCAATGCGACGACACCACTACTTTTATCGGGGAAAATATATAGAGCTACAGAGTCTGAGGCGTGGGAGAGTTTGGGCGGACAGAACGGAGGCCACTCATTTTGGACCAACGACAAGGCGCTGTTTGGCGTCAACGCATGGAGCTTTGTCGATCAAAAGGGTGGACACTTGCACGTGTTGGAGAATGGCGACCTTGTGTTGACTGGCGAGATCTATCCCATCAATCGCGGCCACGATCTATTTGTCGGGTCGTCATGTAACACTTGGAAGGTGCGACTAGAGTTTAAACGCACCAGCAAAGTGCCGTCATCGCCAATGATGGAGTTGGATCCAGAGTCGTATGCAGAGATGGGTGGAGTAATCGATACTTCGTTGTGGACGTATTACGAGTTGGTCGGTGGCGAAAACTCCACGTGGACGGGCAGCAACTGTAACACGGGTAAAAGAATCCGGTTCCTTTCGACGCTGTTTGGCATGCCCCTTCAAATTGGGTGGGGTGCCAACGGAAAGAACTCGCGTTATGGGTTGTCGACAGTCCTCCAATTTGAAACACCCAATGATGGATTCCTACAAGAGTTTCCAATCGAGATTACTCTCAACCTAGACTCAAATGATTTATCAATTGAATCGGAGAAATCTTACTCTTTCTCGTCATCAACCCAAACACCAATCCCATCTCGTTCAAGTAAAAAAGTGTTTAGTTCATATATGCATTCTATTTACGACACGTATTGGCCAGTTACAGAGTTGGCACCTTCATTAGAACAATTTGGAGTGGCAGACCACCAAAAACACCCAAGGTTAAAGCATCATCGTCATCATGGTCAGCACTATGAATTGTCACAGCCAAAATGTATGATTCCACCAAAGTTTGCTTCGGCTGACAAGTGCTGTGCACCTCTAGTGTCGCCTGCGACGGCTGAACCTCTTTTGACACCTCGTCCATATCGCGTGTGTCCAGAGACACCTTCACCTACGACACCGTCGGCCAAGCTTGCTATTGGAGGTCACGTGTTTGTAGACTACAACAATAATGGTCGTTTTGATACTGCCGGCTTTGAACCAGGGTCTCCCTTGGTGTTGGTGTATCTTGTGGATGAGAATGGACACTATGTCTACGATGCCAATGGTAACTTTGTACGTCCCATCCTCACCAATCCAAGCGGTGAATATTGGTTTGACAATTTGATTCCTGGTCTCTACCGAATCATCCTCGCCGACATTCCAACGAACCACCATCTCACTGGTAAGGGTCCGTACGCCATCAACGATGCCACCAGAATATCAACTATCATCACTGTTGGATTTGACAAGACTGGGTTCATCCCCAACCCTCATACCGCCGTACTCCCAGTATTGGCTGATTTTGTACTTCCCAATATAGATTTCCCAATTTTGGAAAGAGCACCTCCTTCACCTCCAACAAGGTCACCTACTCCTACTCCAACTCCTACTCCAACTCCTACTCCAACTCCTACTCCAACTCCTACTCCAACTCCTACTCCAACTCCTACTCCTACTCCTACTCAAACTACTACATTGTCTCCAACAACAACAACTACTACTACAACTACAGGTTCACCAACTACCACGTCTACACCAACTCCAATCCCAACAACTACATCAACTCCAACACCAATCCCAACCACCTCTACTACATCTTCAACTTCAGGTACACCTAATCCATTATCACTTACCTCTACTACAACTACTTCAACTACATCGTCGTCAACAACAGGAACTATACCACCAATTCCAATGTATGGTGTTGGATTCCATGTTTACTTTGATTTAAATAGAAATGGAATACAAGATCCAGAGGAAAGAGGTGTTCCCAACAACTATCTTCGTCTTGTTACACCGAGTGGAGCTGTTGCCAAAGATTTCCAAGGCAATAATGTGGTACCTACTGCCACCGATCTCAACGGTGTATACTACTTTGATAATTTAGCCGAGGGATTCTATATGATACAGGTCGAGGTTTATGGACGTATGCAGATGGTACAGACACCAATCACAGACCCACCCAACAACCGAACCAAACCATTCTACCTCGGATCAAATAACCCCAACATGGTCCAAGTACCAGCTGGATATCCCATCAAGGCTACATCGGTCGATCCCACCATCAACATTGGTATCTACACTCTGCCAGTTGGTCTATCTGGTATTGTTTGGTTTGATGACAATCGTGATGGATCTTATCAAGACGGTGAACTCTTATTGACCGATGTTGAAGCTTCCATCTACATGGATGTTAGTACTCCCATCAACCGTGTATTACAACATCGTCATTCATCTTCCTATGATCAACTCTATTCGTTTATTAACTCGGTCTCTAAAAAAAGAGGTTCTACGTCGAAAAGGGTTGTTGGTGGTCCACAAAGTAAAATTGCTCAAGCCACCGCCGACAATACTCTTGGAAACACAATCAATGATGTGTTTAGTTTATTCGATATTCCAACCTCAACTGGATATAGTGAAGTTACTACTTTTACAAGTTTCACTGGATTAACTGAAAGTGGATTTACTGGGTTGACAGGGATGACAGGATTATCAGGAGATGATGGATCTGGTGATACACCTACATCAACAACTACATCAACAACATCAACACCTTTTTCACGATCATCAACTACTACAGGATTACCAGCAGGAACAGGATTCCCACCAACTACACCAGAATTGTATGAACAAGATGGTGTAAAGACACCATTACCAGATAGATCACCACATGCTCCACCTATATTGGCACCTGCCTATGATGTCAAAGGAAATGAATTGAAACCAGTTAAAACAAGTGCAGCTGGTGCCTTTGAATTTAGTCATTTACCAGACTATTCAGAGTATGTTGTTAGATTTACGTCGCCCAATGCCAACTGGACGATCACCAAGAATACGTTGTTTGGTATCAAGTCATGTCTGGCATTTTCAAGTGGTATCACACCGGCCATCAATATCGCTCAACACGGTGTCATTATTCCAAGCAAGGATCCGGAATATGACGGTGACTATATCGAGTTTCAAGAGACCAATTGTGGATACTACAAACCATACAGTTTCTCGGTCGGTGATCAGCTGTGGTATGACACAAATGGAGACGGTATGTTTTCATTGGGTGAAAGGACAGCACCTGGAATCAAAGCGACTCTGTTGACAATGGATAATCTGCCAGTCATTGATATTCACGGCAAGGAGATCAAACCGGTTATTTCAGGCGATAATGGAAAGTATATATTCAACTATGTGCCAAGTGGGACCTACCACATTGCATTTTCTGAAATACCTCCCAACCACTACTGGACCAAACCATTTGTAAAGGGTGGTGGTCTAAATGAATACTATAGTGTAGTGCTCCCATCCTCTGGATCAACTGCTGCCTTTGTACTTGACCCTCGGTCACCAGACGTTCGTACGTCGACTGGACTTGACGGTGTGCCTGATTTCTACATCAACGATATCGAAGATGCCGGTCTTGTCCCCGGCACTCCACCCCCACCTCCACCCGTGTATGCAGTTGGTCGATACGTATGGTACGACGAGAACCACAACCTTAAACGTGACCCAGGCGAGCCCGGTGTATTTGGCGCCGTCGTTGCTCTGCTCGACGAGTATGGCAACCCTGCCTTTGACCTGGTCGGTAATCCTGTCCAGGTATTCTCCACCAATGCCTCTGGATACTACATCTTTGACAATCTGGCCGCAAGCACCTACCAAATCCAATTCTCCAACCTACCCAAACGATACATGGTCGAGGAAGGTCAAAAAATCAACTTCCTCACCAACCGCATTGAAACGGTCGTCCTTGGCGAGAACCTACCCCTCATCACTGATCCAGCCAGCTACATCATGCCAGGTGACCAGAGTCTACCACTCAAAGCAAAGAAAGTCGATTCCACGGAGAATGTTGGTATTGTCCCAGTTGTTTTGATTGGATTTGGTGATGAAGTATTCTTTTATCGAGAGGATGGTGTACGTGTCGCAGTCAAGAATGTGACTGCCACTCTTACAGATTGGAAGGGTGCAGTGGTGTTTGACGTAGACAAGGCCAGTGCAGATGCCAAGGTCACCAATGTTCGTGGGCAATATAGATACGATAATTTGGCACCGGGTAGATACATCATGACTTGGAGTAACTACCCAGCTGGATTTGTCCCTGTCAACCCAGTATCTGGAACCACGTCATTTGACCTCTACCCAGGTGCATCTGGGGTACGTCTCACCACACCTCGAGACTTTGCACCCAAGTCACTCTATTTCAACCCAAATATTGATCTCGAGTTAAAACCACCTACCGTGTTTGCAATTGGATCGTTTGTATGGTTTGATGCCAACAAAAATGGTTTGTTTGACGACAATGAAAAGCCAGTACCCGATATCAAGGTGACTCTGTATGCTATATCTGATTCAGGCACGGATCTCATTTTGGCACGTGATATTACACACGAACCCATCCCCATCAAGTTTACCGATAGCAGGGGGGAGTATTATTTCGACGGTCTCCCACCCAATGGCTATGTTGTCAAGTTTGACATCGACCACGCCAACCCTCTACAGGCCAACTTGTCATTTACAAGACAGGGTGCACAAGGTGGCGTCAACTCGGATGCCAACTCGCTGGGTTACACACCGACCATCTATCTCTTCCCGTTGGCACCAGGTTTGGAAAAGTCACCGAGCTTTATCAGCGCGCATGCATGGAACCCACGTGTGGACGCTGGTTTGGTGCTGGGTCAAGCTCCGATCGAGTCGTATGCCGTGGGACACTTTGTATGGTACGATGCCAATGATGACGGTATCTATGATCCAAACGACGGTGACAGTCCACAAGCAGGAATTGGTGTGTTTTTGGTCGACGCTAGAAACGAGAGTCCGGCATCGACCATGAATGGTGTGCCCGTCAAGGAGATCATGACCGATGCCAATGGTCGATACATGTTTGATAATATCCCACAGGGTACATACTATGTCCAGTTCTTTAACGATTTTCCATTGATGTGGAGTGACAAGACCAAACCAAATACTGTGACGTTTAGAACACCCGACTTTACTCTGTCACCCACCACTACTCGTGGGTCTGCTCCCGAGGACAATGTGACGGCTGTCTATATCGACGACCAGCAAAATGGAGCACTCATCAACATCACCATGATGGCCATTGGAAATTATGTATGGTATGACACTAATAGCGACGGTATCGCCGACATGCTCACCGAACCACCTGCTGTAAACATCCTGCTCCTCATTATGTATGAATCAATCTTGTTTGCGTACGCCAAGACCGATGCCAATGGTATCTACTACTTTGACGGACTTCCACCTGGAACCTTTTCCATTCTACTCGGTGACAGTGGTGCACAGGCCGAGTCGACCATCCCCAACGCTGGCGACGGTACCAATGACAGTAAAATGATTAATGGCACCATCCCCCTTATTGCCCTCAACCCCTACGACACTCAAAACTATGTGCCGGTCGACCCCGCGATCGATGGTAACTTGGTGGCCAAGCTAGTCAACCGAAACGAAGACATTGGACTTGTCAAATACACAGTCTTTGCAGTTGGTACCTATGTATGGTTAGACGACAATAGAAACGGTATCAAAGACGATGGTGAAAAAAATCTCCCACCAGGTGTCGAAATTGAACTCTTTGTCTCTGACAATATGAGTAGAGTCATTAAACCAGCAGTTGACCTTCACAACAATGTAATCAAGGCTGTCACTGGAGAAGATGGGACATACTATATCGACAATTTAATGACTGGTGATTATATTGCCATTTTCTCAAATATCCCCAAAGACATGGTCTACACTAAAATGGGCTTTTCCAACAAGGCCGCTCAGAATGGGTACACTGCCAAGTTTACAGTCACCCTCGCAACGACCGTCCCAGTCAATGCAAGTATGCCCAAACTGACAGCGACGCGGTGCATGTGTGAGATCAATGCCGGTGTCATGACATACACGTTGATTCAACCAACTGCTATCTCTGGCTATGTCTACTTTGACCTCAACGATAATGGTGTAAAGGATTTGGGTGAACCGCCCGTTCCAGACACTACATTTGTTCAGTTGATCGATTCTAATGGTTCTCCAGCCATTGATTTCCTCGGTCGACCTTTTTTGGCCGTCGTCACAGATGCAAATGGTTACTATGTATTTGATAATGTTCAACCTGGTAAATACTCTATTTTGTTTACAGACACTCCGTCTGGTTACATCTTTAAATATCCAACTTCAATCAGTACACTAGAAGTATCTACACTGATTGCTGATATCTCTGAAAACAATACACTCATTCAACCAACCATCAAGGAAGATCAAGCACCCCTCTCTGTACTCATTCTGCGTCAACAAAATGCTGATGTTGTTAAACAACCAACATTTGCAGTTGGTAGTCAAGTCATTGTCGATCCACTTGGCACGGTACTCACGTATGATGGTAGTGGTGTCACTGTTACACTGACTGTACACGGTCAACCAGCACTCGATATTTTTGGCAAGGAAATCCCCTCGGTCGTCACCAATTCAACAGGATACTATTATTTTGACAATCTACCACAATCTGATGGGTATCGTGTTACCTTTGACAATTTGGATGATTCTTGGGTCTACAGTTTACTCAGATCCGCCAGTATCGACCAAGCACTCAGTCGAAACGTCACACTTGAAGCATTTGGTCTTGCCCCACAAATTGCCAATATTGAACCAACCAACAAAGACTTGTTCCCAGACATTCTCGCCGAAAAGATGAACAACAAACAAAATGTAGTCGTTTCTCCATTGATTCTTGGTATTGGAGACAAAACATTTGAAGATTTGTTGCGTCCAGCCGACGGTCTACAAACTCTATCTATTGCCAACATGAGAGGAGTAGAGGTGACATTGGGTGACAAGAACAAGCAGCCCGTCGCCGATGCCTATGGAAAGGTTGTAGACCCACAAATTACAGGTGATGTTGGAGACTATACATTCTTTGGATTGTTGCCAGGTACATACTATGTCCACTTTGACTTGCCCGATGGATATATATTTGTACCTTCAAGACAAAGTGGTTTGGTCATGCCAGGTACTAGTATCGACTCTGATGCCAATCCAGATGGTTGGAGTAATTTGGTTGACCTCGTCATCAACTTTGCCAGTATCGATACACGTTTTAAAGTTGCACCATCACTTGAAGACAAGGGAACGATTGCAATTGACTTTACCATTGATGCTGGGTATGTCCGTACATCTGCCACCGATGGTTTCATTACTGGTCATTCTTTTATCGATTATAATATGAATGGTATTAAAGACAAGACTGACAAGTATACCGGAGGTATTACAGTCACAATTTATGATGGACCTGTTCGTGTTGCATCACAGGTGACAGCAATAGACGGTACCTATCTATTTAATAATCTTGTAGTTGGAAACACATACCAAGTAGTCTTTACCGATGTACCAAATGGATACAACCCAACTATTGCAAGTGGTAGTGGTATGGTTGGATCAGACGTTCAATATCCAACCGCATCTGCATCGGAAATTAACTTTGGTATCGTTAATAATTTCGAGTATTGTCAGGATGACCCAGTCATTGGTATTTCTTGTTTTGTCTCTGATCCTGCCAACAACCCAATGACACAAGCTGCCGAGCCCGTCTTTGTCACCTTTCCCTACATTGCCAGAACCACACCTCAAGGCAACTTTTTCTTTAACGGTACACAGAGAATGGCTCGTTATGACGATATAAATACTATCTATGGTGTTGCATACGATCGACGTGACCAAGTTTGGTTCTTGACTCCATTCCAAAAATTCAGAACAAAGGTTAGATCGTCGGGAAGTATTTATCGTGTCGCTGGACCAGGCAACTTTACCGAATACATCAATATCAATCTTATCATCAAGGATGCCTATAATGTCAATGGTACCGATGGTTCAAACAAGTATGTCTATGAAAGTATGTTTGGAGATATTGATATTGCCGGAGACTATATCTACACGACCGTCCTCAACAAACGAAGTGTCCTCAAGATCCCACTCAGAACAACACCTACCCTTGCCAACATTGAAATCAAGTCTCCACCCAACCCATGCGTTAGAAGACGTGATTGGAATATCTTTGGTCTTGGTTATGACGGTGTTCACATGCATGTAGGTGGTATTTGTTCGGGTAAAACACGTCAAAACTTTACCGATCTCGAAGCCTATGTGTATCGTCTAGAAGACGATGGTTCATTTACCAATATTCTCACAATCAATATGTCCTATCCAAGAGGAACGATTCAATGTCAATTGTTTTACAACTTTACAACCAAGTCGTATTTCTGTCCTATTCCAGTCCCATCGGACGGTCAGTCGACTTGGAATCTGAACGCATCGGCAGTTTGGGAACCATGGCCATGGATTGAAAATATCAATGAAGTATTTGCTCCACATGGTGCTCTATCTGATATTGTCTTTATAGGCTACCAAGGAGACATGGTACTTGGTTTCAAAGATCGTGATGGTGATGCTGGTCTGGTCGTACCAGCAGGTGACCAGTTGTACGCGTGTAAAGATCCGAATACCGGTAAATATGTCTTGGAAAGCGGTGGCAATTGTGGCAACTTTATAGGTGCGCATAGGGGCGCCACGGGTGTACGAGGGTCTGCAGAAGGACCTGGAGGAGGAGAGTTTTTCGACGACAATTTCAGAGACACCTCCAACAAGTGGGTTCACGACGAGACTGCATTTGGAAACATGGTTCATCTGCCTGGATCCGGTGAGGTTGTGGGTAGTGCCTACGATCTCTATTCAGTGCAAGAAGGTGTTGTACATCATTACAGTACGACCACTGGTAAAAGAAACTATTCATTTAAACTGATCGATACCAATGCCATTTCCAATCAATTTGGCAAACTCAATTCTCTTGGAGACATGGACTTGAATTGTAATGAAGCACCCATTCAAGTAGGTGACTTGGTATGGGAGGATTTAGACCGAAACGGAGTACAATCTAGTACTGAACCGGGTGTACCCAACCTCACCATCTCCATCACCGACGACATGACCAAAGAAATATTCACCACCTCTACCAATGCCAAAGGATTCTACTCTTTTACTCAACTCAAAGCAGAAACCAGTTACACCATCCTCTTTACCATCCCTGGTGGTTACGTTGCCACCACTACTACTCCCACCGGAATTACTACATCTAAACCAAACTCTACCGGTTCCTTTACCTTTAGAACTGGTCTACCAGGAAAAGCAATCCCAAATATTGATTTTGGTATTCATAAAATTTAAAACTATCAATAATATATAAAACACATACCGACAATAAATTAAAATAATTTTTAAATTCATCAATTTATTTGTTTGTTTGTGTTTTTTTTAAAAAATATATATTTGTTATAATAATCTGAAATAAAATAACCAATATAATTAATTGATGATGATTGCTCAAGATGAATGGAAAAGGTTGGTGGTTCAGTCATTAAATTTGATCTTTGTCCATGTTCCAATGTTGCAATGATTTTTTCGAGTGATGATTTGGGTGAAATATCAGACCAACATTCTAAAGCAAAATCGATTGGATTTGAATCTATATCTGGATCTGATGCACGATGATTGTATTTAAGGGTTTTAATATGTAGATTATGATTAATAATGGATAATAAACCAGTATTTGATATACGTGGTCTCATTGGATACCATGAAACAATTTTAGTTACTGTTGATGGAATAATGTTTGTTGGATCACCACCAGGTAATAGAATAATTCCCATGTATAATGTTTGGAGTTTAGGAAATTGAAATATTTGTGTGGCTGCACCCAATAGTAATGCCTTGTTTTCTAAATCAAAAGAAATGGTTTCTAGGTTGTTTTTGATATGAATTGGTAAATGTTGATACATCCAAATGTTTGGTTTTGATAATATCAATTTACGTAGACTTTTCATACTATCGAATCGATTAGTTACTGATATAGGATCCAATTGACTAAAATCCAATTCTATACTTGACAAGCTTAAAGATACAAGTGATGTAAAACTAAATAATCGGTCTAGGTTTACAAGATGATATTTTAATTTGGCAAGTAAGAGATGTGTGATTTGGTTTGGAGTGGGATGTTCTGTATCCAAAAATGTTATGAACCCTTGATATTTCTTGATTGATGGTAATACCTCGGCTGTAACTCGTTTAAAGATGATTGATTCTAATCCTTCTGAGAATAATTGAGTGTTGGTTGACAATGATGATGCGTTTCGCAAGAGTGAATCGGTTCCTTGAAGTGATGGTTTCCTAACAAGTTTACATTCAGACATGGCAAAAGTGATTGGGAATGAATGAGGTCTAGTCTTTATATGATTGAAAATCTTTTTGTTGATAAATGCTAGTTGCAACTGTTTGTATCTTGTTTCTAGATTGTTCCTGTATGATTTACAATTGTATTCATCGTGATGTTTACATTGACTAGTAGTTGTAGTAGTAGTAGTAGAAGGAGAGACTGTTTGATCTTGTTGATTGTTGTTGGTTTGTTCTAGTCTTTCACTTTTACATGAACAAAATGCTGCATTGTCATATCCTATCCAACATATTCTTAGGATATAATATATTAGATAATCTGATAATATTATTATCTTTGGCATGTCTTGAAGTAAATAGAACTGATTAAGCATAAAAACCACTCAAATGGGTATCTTTGAAAACAAGATTTTTTTAAGAAAATTGAAAAAATCGGGCAGAAACCAGAACAATATCTAAACTGAAATATCATTAAATAATTGATGGTATTACTCTTTTCAAGTTTAAAAATAGAAAACGTTTTTTTTAATAAATCTGGACTCTAGTCGTCTGACAATAGAGTAATTATGGTTTATTTGTTTTAATTTTAATTTAAAATAGATAGAGGTTCTGTAGTTAGGGGGCACAAAACACTGGGGGTATAAAAGGAACAAAAATCAATTTGGTGACATGAATTGGAAAAACAGTTTTTTTTTATAAGCATCTCATTTCGTGGCATCCACCTGTAGGGTGGAGCACTACTCTTTCGATTGCGAAGTTTTATTGATTGAAGTCTTTGTTTGACCAGCAATGGGAACTGAGTTTCCAAAGAAGAAACAAGTCCAATCTGTTTTTTGGGGTGCCAAATGTCTGTTCTATTTCCATCCAAGCAAAAATGGCAAGTCTTGGTGGGAGCTATTAGTTCTATTTGTTCATCAATACGACGGGAAGCTTCTTTACCTGTTGAATCGAAGGGGTCTGAACGGTTCTGTGAGTTACGATCCATAGTTCTTTTGTCAGATTAGTGACCAGATCGTGACTGTTGGAGGGAGTGCCCAGTGTCACCATCCATATGTATGTGTGTGTCGAATAATGGTTGGTGGTTGTGTCTACACCATGATTATCTATCTTATATCGTTCTGTTGTTCGTATTGTTATGTTGTTGATTGATGTTTTGATGAGATGTTGATGATGTTCATTTCCAATTGTAATAGTAATGTGAATACTGTTTTCAAACTGTATTGACTTGTTGTAATGATAATTAAATGCCACCTATTAATTATAATTCCTATTGTTTCGATACTGTTTTACTATTGTATTGTGTTGATTAGAGAAGGAGATGGAGGAAGGAGCGAGATATTTTTTTTTGTTATTTTTTTTCTTGTTGGTGATCTTTGATATAGGCAGTGGTTGTGCTCGCTCGCGCCCCTTATTTATAATAATGATAATGATATAAATAATTGAACAAGGGGGCACACTAGGGCAATTAGTTGTGGCTTTTAGTGAGTGTGAAAAGAAATAGTAATGTTGATAAAAGATAGTTGAAGATAGTTGATGATTGAGTGAAGTTCTATAGTACTCTATACGTAATTCTCTGTTTCTATCTCTTTTTCTCTATTACAGAAAAATTCCAAACTCCTTTGGAAAAACAGCGTATAAATACGCCAAAAAACATATTCAAAAATACAATAGTCAATGGATGTTTAGCTCAGTTGGAAGAGCGATTGGCTACGAACCAATAGGTCGCAGGTTCAACCCCTGCATCATTCACAACTTTTTGATTTTTTTATCACTTTTCTTGTTCTACACACCCGTGGCTATCTTTCTAACCTAGTTTCATCAATTTCCATTGAAACCATACAAGAAAAAACCATGAAAAGGTTGGCACATGATTTTTTTTGTTACATATTTTTTTTCCGCCAAAAAAAATCAATATGGCACATAATCTCTCACAAATTTATATGAGTTTTGCGAAAAACCCAGCGCAGTTGTTTTGACTTCTCACATTTACCAGTTTCTTTGCTCCCATTCCCTATATATCCTTGTTCTCTGTACACTTGGTTATCTTTTCAATCTAGTTTCATTCATTCCGTTGAATCCTCATAGGGAAAACATATAAAAGTAGTAGCAATTTTTTATTTTTTTGTTTTTTTCCCATCCTATCTCTCATATCCCTTGCAATCCATGTATATAGTTGTTGGATCAAATTTATCGACATTGTAGGAAGAATAGCTCGATTGACCAAGTAGTTGCAATGTCAAAAGATCTTATAGATATGACAGGTTGACTACAACAATCGAGATTGACTTCCAAGTTGTTGGTGTTATCGACCATAATAATTCTGATTGTCTTAAGTTTTCTTAAATTTTAACGTATATATACGTTGCAACGTATCATACACCGTGTTGGTGGGATTGATTGATCTATTATTTATAAACTCTTATTTGTTGTCATTGTACGAATAACGAGTGCGCAGATGATAGTCCAAAGAAATAGATATACACACTTTTTTTTTTTAATTTATATCTTATCTTTCCCTCATTAAATTTTTTCGTTCAAGAGTGAACCTGTCTCTCTCTCACTTTATTTGTTTTAAACACCAATGCACAAAAATGAATGAATGAATACCATCTTTAATCGATCGAGCAACATATTGGTTCTCACAACGCACACACACACTTTTAAACCATCAAATTGTTTTGATTGATGTGTGTGTGTGGTGTGGGAATTGGTTGATATGGATGGTTTGGTTTACCAATAGCAAGGATCAGATTAGAATCACACCTTGTTTGCTCAACACCCACACACATACACACTCGATCAAACAATCACAATCAGACTTTTTAAAATGACAGTGTTGCACCATCGATCCGATTCGATACAATCAATAGGTTGGAATGAAAGAAAGTGATTTCGGGGGGTAACCCAACCCTCAATGTACCAAGGTAGGTTGGTCATTTGTCAAGAACTATTCAGTCATCAACCCCCAAAATCTAAATGGTCTCTCACTCTCTCTATCTCTCTCTTTTGTCACTTTATAATATTCGTGGGTTATATATATACAAGTAAAAGGAAAGGAAAGGAGACGCCTTCAAAGTAAAGGTACAGGTGGTTGTGAATTGTTTTGAAACAATTTATATTACCTCTTCTTCTTCTTCTTCTTCTTCTTCTTCATCATCTTTGTTCATTCATTTGTTCATTACTGTTTACACTATTGCTAGCAGTGTTTATTGTCAATACCATTTATACTGTTGTTGTGTTGTGGAAATCTATATTATATATTTAATTTTTTTTTAAAACAAAGATAGAATAATGAAATCATCATCATCAATAATAATAAGATTATTATTTTTATTTATATTTATATTTGGACAAATATGTAGTATTAATGGAATGGATGATGGATGGTGGTCATCTAGTTCAGAGGGACCACAGTGTGCAGAGGATTGTACGGTACCGCCTAGTAGCTGGGTACCATCGGCACCGTGTATGCAGTGGGGTTGCAATGGCACGACGGGACAGTGTGGCCAAGTATCCATGTGTCCAACCATCTTGGGATGCTATGATGCCGAATGCACAATGGAAGGATGTCGGTACAACGTATCAACCTGCTACTCTTGCGAAAACCAAATGATGACCGATGGAGGAGACTGCTACGAAAGACTTTGTAATACCACCGATGTCTTGGTCATCAACAAGTGTGCATCACCCGATCCATGTCAATACAGTTCATGTAACGAGGCCACCAAAAAATGTCAGCTTTCAGTCCCACTATGTCAACCCTCTACAACAGACCATTGCACATTACACCAATGTGATGCCACCCAACGAAAATGTACTCAAAAAGAGAATACTTGTGATCAACAAAATCAATCAAATTTAAATTCAAATTGGTAAATATTAATATTTCAAAAAAAAAATAATATTAATAATAATATTAATCTTATTTGTTATATTTTAGTACACAATTTAAATGTATAAATGAAGAAGGAGGATGTGTAGAGAGTGATATTGAACCATTCCCAGAGCACTGTGTAGCAAGTGTGCCAACCAAACCACTTGGACCAGGAGTAGTGGCAGGTATAGTGATTGGCGCGGTTGCATTGGTTGCAGTGGCCGGTGTAGCTGTTTTTAAAGCCGTCAATAGTGTCTCCCAAGCACAGTCCATCTCCAACACCAAAATGAATGGTGCTAATAATAACCCATTATTCCAACCTAATCCAGCTGGAGCTAATCCTCTTTATACAGAACCCTAAAAAAACAAAATATTAACTTAATCATAAATAATAATAATAATAATGTAATGATGACTCACCAACTAGATAGAACTGGGGAATAATATATTTATTTATTCTAGAAAGAAAAAGAATAAATTTTGTAAATTTTTTTTTATCGATTTTTGCATTCTTCTTCTTTTTTTTTTTTGGTTCCTGAATGATTCATTCAATCATTCACAAACTACCCAAATCGAGAGGGAAATCGAGAAAAGTAAAAAATGAGATATTTTTGTAATTACAAAAATGATGGGAAATTAAGGACACCCCCCCAAAAAGTAGGCAGATTTACTTCTTTTTTTCATAACCCCTCATTTTGGGAATGCAATGATGATGAAAATGAATTTAGTAAAGGGAGTGGGATTCCAAAGTGTTAGCTTACACTACTTTAACTATTTAATTGGGACAAAAGTAGGGTACTCTTTGCATTATCATTCATTCACAAACTAGTTATAATCCCATTTGTAAGAATATATAAATAATAATAACACCAACCACCTTTTTTATCTGTGTGTATGTATAAATAACACCACCATTCAATTTAAAGGTTAAGAAAGCGGGAAATTTCCAACAACCACAATGTAATATTTTTTTAATCTGTCCAATCTACATTTGCATTCATTATCACTCTGTCACACATGTAAATACACAAGCAAGTCATAGTGTGTGGATTTATATATATAAATATAGTATGCAATTTTGTAGATAAAAAATATTAAATAGATTTAATATTATTATTCAAATTTGTATTCGAACCGAATCGTCCTTGTTGTTGTTGTTGACAGACAACCTGGTTTGTTGTGAACAGTCCCTTTCAATTTTACTTTTATCTCTATTTCTCTATTTTGTACAAAATATCATTAAATGCAACCAACTTGAACAAAGGAACAACTTTTATCATTATCATTTATCATTCATTCATTTCTTTTATATACTCAAAATTAACAACAACAACAAACTTTATACATAGAACACAATTTTGTTCATTCGTCTTCGTCGTCGTCGTCTTCTTTGTCGTCGTTTTACCATCTATATTATATTATTAATCACTACAAACTAGCTAGCTAACAAAGCAAATAGGTATTTAGTTTTATTTAAAAAAAACATTCTTCTATAAATCAAATTAGGAAAACGTTATAATAATACTTTTTCATTTCATTCCTTGCACAATCCTTTTCCCAAAATACTATTTTCTCTTTTAAAAACTATTTTTTCAAACTAATCCCAAATTTACTCTTTTTTTTTTTAAATAATAATAATATCACAAACAGAAACCTTTATAAACCCTAAATTAGAAACATTCAATTTACAAATTAATTTTAAAACAAACCAAACCAAACAAACAAAATACCATTTTATTTATTTTACATATATTATATACATTTATAAATACCAAAGTAAAAAATGAATCTTAGTAGAACCGCAACCAAATTACAAGTATGTAACAACAACCACAACAACAATGGTTATAATCATCTCTTAACCTTTTATTAACATTACAATTCTTTTCCTTCTTTTCCTTTTCCATTTATTCTTTCCCTTAGGGACTTTCAATTAGATATTATAGTTCATCAAGTAAACCAGTTTATATGAGTTATAATCCAGTACATAGAAGCCCAGTTTTAGAAAAGGGAAAATCAACAACAACAACAACAACAACCAAGAAATCCTCTGTTGGTCCAAATCCAGTCTCTTCTAGTAGCAATAGTCAACAAGTGAAAACATTTGGTGCTCCAAAGACTGACCAATCATTACCAACTCATCAAGTTAGATCTGCTTCATCAACCTATCTTGTTGTTGATGATGCATAGTCAACCAAACCCAACCAACCCAAAACATAACATATATCCCAAAATATAATAAATTTACTTGTACAAAAGAACTAATAATAATTAATAATTAAAACTAAAATGAATGTTTTTTTTTTATTGATGAAAATATCTCTTTCGCATAAAACAGAGAACTCTCTATACCCGATTCATTTCATTCACATTGTAATAACACAAGTTCTTTTAAAATAAGAATGTATTCTTCTTCTTCTTCACCAGATAAAGGTATGATCTTTTAAAAGAATATATATAAAGAATGAAATGATTAATCATTTGTAAAATGTATATTTGGTATTTTAGATGAAAATGATTTAAAAGTTAGTGAATCAACATATAAATTACCAATCATTGATTTGAAATCATTCAAGAGTGGAGAGGATAGAGAAAAAGTAGCAAAAGAGATAAATGATGCATGCAAGAGACATGGATTCTTTTATATTGCTGGACATGGTATAGAGGAAGAATTGATAGATAGATTGGATAGTGTTAGTAGACAATTCTTTGCATTGGATGAACAAGAGAAACTAAAGATTAGAATGGAGTTGGGTGGTAGTGCATGGAGAGGTTACTTTCCGCTGGGTGGAGAGTTGACTTCGAATCGACCAGATTGGAAGGAGGGGTTGTACTTTGGCACCGAACTACAAGATACTCATCCCTTGGTTGTCAGCAAGACACCTGTACATGGTAGAAACCTATTTCCCGACGAATCAATGGTGCCAACCATGTCACAAATTGTATTAGAGTATATTGAAAAGGTTACTCAATTGGGTCATGTCGTGATGGAAGCCATTGCACTGAGTTTAGGGGTGCCATCAGACTACTTTTATAGTCTCTATACCCAAGACCCACTCATTCTCTTTAGAATATTTAATTACCGGTCACAAGTCATTCCCGATGGAATGGATGTTCGTTGGGGTGTTGGTGAACACACCGATTACGGGTTACTCACCATTCTGTACCAAGATGATATTGGCGGACTGCAAGTCAAGGTCGGTGGCGAGGGTTGGATCAAAGCACCACCCATCAAAAACACGTTTGTCTGTAATATAGGTGATATGCTCGACCGCATGACCGGCGGTCTCTACAAATCGACACCTCACCGCGTTGCCCTCAACACGAGCGGGCGTCACCGTCTCTCATTCCCCCTCTTTTTCGATCCCAACTTTTTCACTCAAGTCCAACCCATCGATGGCATCTCCATTGGCCAAGACGACAGCCACCAGCGTTGGGATAAATCCAACGTGCACGAATTTCAAGGTACCTATGGCGACTATCTCATCAACAAGGTTAGTCAAGTATTTCCACAATTAAAACAAAATATTAATAACACTCAACAACAACGATCTGAATAATTTAATTTAAATGAATAAACAAACCAAACAAACACCATTGTAACACCAAACTCACACGACGAATCACAATGATCCAAATTTAATTACCAAGAGTGTGTGTGTGTGAGTCGACTTGTGTCCAGTCTACTCCAGAGATGGAGTGACCAAATTTTGTGGGTAATAAGAAAAAAAATATATTTTAATTTTTTTTTTTTATAGTGGGGGTCACACACACAGTATCTTTTTTTTACCCAATCGATTATTATTGCAGACGAACAAACAAACAACAAATAATTATAATAATAGAATAGTAAAGAATAGTAGTAGTAGTATACTAGGAATAACAAGTCAAAGAGAAGAAGAAGAAAAGAAGACATATTTTAATCTAAACAAATATAACAATATATAAATATATATCTATAGAAAAGAAGAAGATTAACAAGTATCACTTCATCTATCTATTTTTATAATTTATATATACAAAAGAAAGAAAGAAAGAAACATTAAAACACAATGAGTGAACAAGACAACAACAACGATGGTGGATCTAATGATACCAATAAATTGGTCATTGGTTTAAAGAATGGTCTTGTTTTATCGACTGATAACAATAATAACAAAGATACAAGTGGGTCTTCACCAATGAGTAATAGTCCAAGTAATAATAGTAATAATAATAATAATAATACATTTAAACCAGTTGCACCAAATAAATCTGGTAATAGATCAGGTGCATTATCTCCATTTGGTGTAAAAGATAAACAAGTACAAGTATGAAGTAGAAAGAAAGAAAGTATATACCATCATCATATCATTCTAACTTGCTTGTTGTTTTTTTTTTTTTGTTACTTTTTAGAAATCTGTATCATTTTCACCTATGGTTGTAGAGTTTGAATCAACATCATCATCTGTAAATAGTAGTAATAATGTCAAATATAATAGTTTTAATAATAGTGAACTGACTGCTGACAGTATCAGCAATAACAATAATAATAACGATAATACAAATAATAATAACGATAGTACAAATAGTAATAATAATAATAATCAAAATAGTAATAATAATAGTAATATTAAATTGAATAGTTTAAATCAACTTAGTTCACAAAATATCAATAGTTTTATAGATAATTTAAATAGTGTATCAAACGAAAGAAAACAAAAGTTTAACAAACTGGGAGGAAATTCAGAGATATTCCAATTCGATGAAGAATATGAAGAGGAATTACAAGAGATTGAAGATAAGAAACAAGTAGCTCTACCAGTTCAACAACAACAAACTGCAACCGGAGACAATGGATCATCGGGAGTAGAGGCATCTTCTTCATCAACATTGTCTGATGACGATGACGAGCCATCTGCACCAAGTAGTAGAGCTCAACACGATGCCAACCGATCACGTAGTAATGGTCTTGTCCAAGATTTGAAATTGGGTACTTCATTGCCCGTTCAAATCCCTTCTCGAATGGCTCAAGCCTTGAAACAACAACAACAACAATCGGTTCAAAACCAAAAACAATCAACTCTATCTTCAACATTATCATCAACTTCGACAATGCAATTATCTAGTACATATAATAATAGTAACAACAATAATAATAATAATAATAATAATGGTAGAGTAATCGATCCTAAAAACACTCTTGGTAATATGGATTTCAATTATCAATCTGAAAATGAGAAAAAGAAATATGTTACACCAAGACAATCTTGGGTTGATACCTTTAAAGAAAAAGGTGATGATATGGCTGCTTCATTTGCTGTTCCAATGTCTCTAAGTAGAAAACCAAAATCATTTATATAAAACAATATTAAAAAATATTATATATTTATCCATTGTAAAGAAAGAATTTGTAGTTTGGACGATTTTGATTTTTTTACCACTCTTTATTTATTTTTTTGTCAATTATTATTTGATAATAGATAATAATATCTATCTATCTATCTCTATCCTATCTATTTATGTTTATATTTATTGATTGATTGTGATAAAGATGAAAAAATATATTAAAAAGAAAAATTCCATGACTTTAGCAGTATCAATTAAAAAACAATGTATACTTTTTGTATTGTCAATTATAGGATTATTTAGTTTAATTTATTTATTAGGTTATTATGTAATAGTTAGACATCCACCAACTATTCATTCAATTGTAACAAGACAACAAATATATCATAGAATAATAGATTATTATCCATGGGTATCAAGAGGAAGATATAATATACCTATTCAACATTTAATTGATCAAAGATTTAAAAAGTATCATCATGATGATGATGATCATCATCAATCTTCTCCATCTTCTTCTCCTACTTCTACTTCAAATTTAGTTATTAAACATTCAATAACAAATGTTAATAATCAATTAGATCATGATCCATTAGTATCAATCATTGTACCTGTTTATAATCATTTGGAATATCTTTCAACAACCATACAATCAATAGCAAATCAAACTTTTAAAGATTATGAAGTAATCATTATCGATGATGGTTCAACTGAATGGAATTCATTTCAAAAGATTAATACTATTTTTAATCAATTTTCAAATCATCTTGTAAGTAAAATAACTATATACATACAAAAAAAGGTTTATAAATTCATTTAATCATTTCTTCTCTCTTTAGAATTTAACAATATTATTTCAAGATAATTATGGATTATCAACATCAAGAAATAATGGTATTCAAATGAGTAGAGGTAAATGGATATTTCCATTAGATGGTGATGATATGATTCATCCAAAAACTTTGGAATCATTTATTCAAAAGATTTCATCAGACTCGTCAAATGATCATTCTTTATCTACTACAATGATCATTTCAGATTTAGAAGGATTTATTCAAACTGGTATAAATACATTTGAACCATTATTAAATTGGAAGATACCATTGTTTTCAACTAGTAAATTATTGACAAAGAATTTATTTCATTGTTCTGCAATGTTTCCTAAACAATGGTGGACTGATATGGGAGGCTATAGTAATGCTTTGTGGTTTGGATGGGAGGATTGGGATTTTTGGTTACGAGCAGACCATCATCTTCGAGGTGGAATCAATCCATTGGTCATTCACAAAGATTATTTTAAATATCGTATCAAGCCTGGAATGCATTCATTTTGTAAAGATAATTTTAAATTATGTTTTGCAATGTTTCAAACTTTACATTCAAACTATTATACTCTAAATGAAATCATCAAAGCACATAGAATCATAGGATCAAGATATTCAATCATACAACAACCAATAATCAATAGACTCAAAGTATTTCCAAATGAATATATATTACATTTATGGAATGGTTTGGCCTATGAATACTCTTCAACTGATAGAAAAAATATTACATCAATTGCTAAAAAATCTTTTCAATTATCAATTGTAAGAAGAAGAAGAAAAAGAATAGAAAAATGATTTAACTTATTAATTTATTAATTTATTTTGTTTTGTGTTTAGAAAAATAATATTAAAAATGATTGGCAACCAATAGTATTAAATGTAATGTGTGATAGAGGAACAGAATCATTTTTAGAATCAAAAAGAGATTTGTTTGATGTATTTAAACAATATCCAACTTTGAAAGATTCTTTGGTTCAAGTTTATGGAAATATATTTTAGAAAGTTGGGATAACCAACCAACCATTTTTTTTTTTTAGTTTTTGAATTTCATAATCCAATCTTTGATTTCATATAATGACTTTTTATCAAGATGAACAAAGAGTTGGGATGAAAAATCTATATTTTGAACCAAATGGTTGTTCAATAGGTATTTGACGGTATCAAAATACTTTTTTTTTCCCTTTTCAACAGCAAGAGCTAGAGGACGACATCCTTCTGTTCGATGTTGATGTAGGAATTCAACAATTTCTATATGGCCACGAACTGCTGCAACTGACATTGCTGTTTGTGTACATCCTTCTGTTCTATTAAAATGTAAAAACTAAAAAGGAAAATAAAAAAAATAATAAAAAGAAATAATTAGAAAAAAAAAAGAATCATTTAATAATTAATATTTTTTTTACTTACTTTAACAATATCAAAGTAACCATTACCAGCACTTGTATCAATGGCATCAGTTGTACAACCTTCAGTACGATTTTTGTGAAGATATTCAACAATTTTAAAATGACCATTTGATGCGGCCCTATCCATGGCATTGACCGAGCATCCTTCGCTACGATTAAAATGAAGGAATTCAACTGCATCTAGCAATCCTAGGGAGGCAGCATTGTCCATTACAGATGTTGACCAAATATTTGGATCTGATGAATAATGTCCGTGGAAGAAACGAATGGTTTCCAAGTTTTTTGCACTGTTTAATACATTTGCCATACATCCATAATTTAAATTTTTTTGGAGATAAATTAAAACATCCAATCCACAATTATAATAAACTGCATTGGTTTGTGCTAAAGCTGTTGCTCCTTCTGTTCTATTTGTAAATAAAAACTAATTTTAAAAAAAATAAAATTATTAATTTAAATGATTTAGATTAAGAATTGAATGGATTATAACATACTTTAATCATTTCAAGATTATTATTTGATGATGCATTATTTATAGCATTATTTGAGCAACCTTCAGTTCTATTTAAATGAAGAAAGGATAGGATTTCTAGATTTTTGGCATTATCCATTGCTGCTTTTGTGCAACCCTCAGTTCTCGAATTATGAAGATACTTTACAACTTCCAAATGTCCATTCTGTGCAGCGCGATCCATAGCTTTCGTTGTACATCCTTCACTTCTATTTTCATTTAAAAACTAAATAGAAAAGAAAAAAAAGTCTAAGTACAAGGTCTCTAAAATTAAATGTTAATTTTTGTATAATTTACTTTCAAAACTTCAAGTTGACCTTCACTTGCTGCATGATCCATACCATCTTGTGGAAATCTTTCATGGGTTCTATTAAAATGAAGAAACTAAAACAAAAAGAAAAGAGTAAATATTAAATTAAATTAAATACAAAATATTTAATTATTATTTACCTTTATAATTTCTAAATGACCTTTTCTAATTGCAATCCTTTTAGCAAGTTCTGAACATTCTAATAAAGGTTCATTTTCATGTAAATACTAAAATAGAAACAAATAAATATTAATATTTAAAAAAGAGATATATATTATTATTTTTTTAATTATTTACCTTTAAAACATTTAAATGATTATGTTCAACAGTCATATCAAGACCATAATCTGAACATTTTTCAGTTGTATTTTGATTCAAGAATGAAACTATGTCCAAGCAACCACCATGAGAAGCATATTCTTTGGTTCGTCTGAATAATTTGGTTTGATTGGGTTGACAAAGATTGAATTGATTGGTGATGATGGACAGGTAACCTTGAAGAGCAGCTGTATTGACGGCTGTTTCCAAATCGATTTCATCTGAATAGTTTTCTATTAGATGTTCTAGTATTTCTCTATTCTTGACTTTTGCAATATTTAAAGAAGTGAATAGAGAACCTTGATTGTCAAGATTTTCATCAAGATGAGCCCATTCTAGTATACGTTGAAGTGTTTCGACATTTGAATTGGGATGTAAACAGTACTGACCTACTGTATCCATCATTCTATCAAACAATACAGTGTCTCTAGGTGGTAGATAATGTTTGATAAAGTTCCATGGCATTGCATATCTTGATATCATTTCAAGATTACATAATTCATAGATATCTTTTCCTTTTTTTGATTTATTCTTTGGATGATTGAGGTATCTATTAATATCACCAACATGATTAAATATCCTTTGTTTTAAATATAAATTTTTAATTATACTTTGAAATGTTATTATATTTGTTGTTGTTGTTGACATGATTAATGAAAATGAATGAATGATCGTCGTCTTGTTAAAGATTTTATACTAATATTTTTGTAAAAAAAAAAAAGATATTTTTTAAATATTATTAGATATTATTAACTGTCGAAATTTCAAATATATATATTTCCAGATATCAAGGATTTCTCTATTTTATTTGTTTTCAGTACGATTATCTTGGAGGAACTAGTTGGGAGGGAGAAATTTAATTAATTAATTAATTTAGTGTGATTAATATTATGATTTTTTAATTATAACCCTCTCTTTCTTTCTTTCTTTCTTTCTTTCTTTCTAAACATACCTTGAATATGTGAGAACGACCTTGCATCAAAGCAAAGGTAAATGCATCTTTTGTCCAAATATTGGATGATGGATAATGTTGGTGAAAATATTGAATGAAATCTAATCGATCACTATAGATGGCTTCAAGCAATGTACTTTGTTTAAATTCAACACCTAGTTTTTCATGGATATAAAAGATTGTTTCCAAGTCTCCACCATTTGCAATCAAACGATCTATACCTTTTGTTGTACATCCTTCAGTTCTATTAAAAATTAAAAACTAAAATAGATAGATTATTAATTAATTAATTTGGTCAAACTTGAATGAATTGAATAATAATAATAATAATAATTATTATTATTATTAATATTATTATTATTAATATTAATATTTTACTTTTACAAGATCTAAATTTTTACTTTTACATGCAGAATCTAAGGCCTTTGTTGTACATCCTTATGATCTATTGAAATGAAGGAATTTGACTAAATCTAAATTACCTTTCTTGGCGGCTAGATCCATAGCTTTGGTTGAAATTCTTTCATTACGATGTTGATGAAGAAATGTCATAACTTCCAAGTCGGTAGTTTGATCCATAGTGGTATCCATACACCCTTCAGTTCTTTTCAAATGTAAAAATGAAACTACATCCAAGTGTCCATAGATAGCTGCATAATGCATAGCTGAACCTGTGCATCCTTCAGTTCGATTGTAATGTAAAAACTATAAAGACATAAAGTAAATATTAATAAAAGTACAAGTAGATCTTGATATAATTAGTTGGTACAAACTTACTTTAACAATATCAAGGTGTCCATTCTTGGAAGAATAATTCATTGCCCATTTCGTGCATCCTTCAGTTCTAAAATAATGTAAAAACTAGACCAACAATTGTTAATATTAATAATAAGAATGTCAACAAATTGTTTACATACTTGAACAGTTTCAAGACTACCAAATGATGAAGCATGATCGATAGCAGCTTCACTAGTTCCTTCTGTTCTATTGTAATGTAGAAACTATAATCAAATAAACAAATGAGTTAGAAGAGAGAGAAATATAGTTGAATTATGTTTTTTTATATACGTACCTTTACAATATCAAGAAAACCTTTAGAGGCAGCACTTTCCATTGCATATGGCATACATCTTTCACCTCTTTGATGTAAATAGAGTACGATATCATAGTGACCGTTTGTAGCAGCTCTAGTCATTGCAAAGTTACCAAAAGATTCTTGACTACAAGTATCCAACAACTTGATCATTGGCAAGTGTCCGTGTTCGACAGCCAGAATCTTCGCAGGTGCAAGACTGATACCAGAGAACGAGTTGAATCTAGATATAGCATATTCCATGATATCACAGTGTCCCGATTCTGCAAGACTTGCCGTCATGTCCAAATAGTGTTGCATGTGTGTCTTGAGATCATCCATGATAGATGATTGAGCTGGCCAACCCCACTCTACCAACTGTTTGAATGTATCCAATGTAGCATTACGATGACGGCAATACATAGCAATAGCACTCATTCTTTGTTGCAGATTTAGTTGAGCACTAGTATTGCTGCAGCAGAGATAATGCTTGATGAATGACCATGGCATTGCATATAGTTTGATGATTTCATCTAAACCCAATAAAGCTATATCCCTTCCTTTTGAAGACAAACAACCTCTAGTTGTTTCCTTTACTATTTGTTTTGATATCTCTTCAACATGATTGAATATCAGTTGTCTAATAAATGTTTGTCTAAACAAACAAATAAAATTTATCTCCTCCATCATCAAAAAAAAATAAAATTAAATGAAACAATTTTTAGTAAAGTTGAAGGACAGGGGGTGTGAGGTGTTCATAAAATGTTATTATTCTTATTATTGCTTCTTCATCTTCTTTGTTTTCAAAGACCATTTGTACTCCATTAACAAATACTAATAGATCACTCCCAACAACAACAATGTAATGATGATACATGCAATGAACGATGGATCGTTAAGAAGGAGAAAAAGAACATGAAAAGGAACAGGATGAACTAAAGAATACAAGGTCAAAGAAAGATTACGGATTCCACCAACATTGTGTTATTCGAGATTAACATCGATGACCTCTGTCTTTCTTGTCGATAAGAAGGTATCTGCTACAGTCAAAGAGTTCTTCTCTAAAAGACGTGGCTTGTTCATTGAAAGTTGTTTATCGTAGTAAGATGTTGATTGTATCTCTCATCATTACTAGCAACTTTCAATGAACAAGCCACGTCCCGAGTATCTGACACATGCATATACAATGTCTTAAGGAGGAAAGAAGAAATTGATAGTAGGTACCCACACTGTAATCAAGGGCCAAGAGTTAGATTTTCTTTTTGACCCTTTAAAGGTAAAGATCATGTATGTACGTACAAATATCTTCTATGTCTATTACTCTCTCTCTCTCTCTTAATATTACTAACTAATTCAATTTGGTTGTATGACAGTTAAAAGAATTAAAGAACAATACTACAAATCATCCAAATGAAACAATATGAAAAGGGGTTACAAAGGAGGTGCCACCATTACAGCCACAACAACAACACCTCCTCTGTCTGCAGAAATTCAGCTCCAACATCATTAACAAAAAGAACCAATCTATCGAATATAACAACACATAGATTAAAGATGTTGGATAATTTGGTGATCGATCATTTTTATTACAGAGGCTAATCTATCGTACTCGTTGGTAAAATCATTCAAGCCTTTAAAAATCAACGTCTATCGGATGAGGAATTGGAATCGAGCCAACCCAAAGATAATGTTACGAACTCATTTTAAAATTAAAGGCGATCCGTCAGTTAAAATGCTTGATCAGCTCTTCACATTAGAGTATGAAGAGAAAGAGAAAGAGAGAGAGAGAGAGAGAGAGAGAAGAAAAGATAAAAAAAGACAAAAAGAGAAGAATTGTCCTTGTACAATTAATCAACAAGATAAAAAAATATTAGAGTTTGTTGATCAACAGACAAAGAATATTACAGGACTCATTAATGAGGTTTGATCGATGTAGTTTTAACTATGTTGTTTGGCTATAATCATATTTCTTAGTTATTGCTCATGTTGAATGAGTTGATAATTAAAAAAAAAAGGTTGGAACATATATACCTCGACAATGGCTCCAATCTATGACCCTCCCTATAGCTCATGATCGATCATCATCTGGAAACTATGGCCGCTTTTGTTTGGGCCTATGAATGGACCCATCATCAACTTCTTCTTCTTCTTCATCTTCATCTTCAACAACAACAAAATAAAAATAATACGAATTATCATTTATCAATTTTTTTCATTTTCCTCCTCTCTTGGTTGAGAATCTTATCTGTACACTTTTTATATTTATATGAAATAGACAAGACAAGATGAGTGCATGCAAATGGAGTAGAGAAGAAGCAAATGAACTGATATCAACTATCAACCAAATAAAAAGTATGTATCACCACTAAACTACTAAATACATATATGTTTATATGTATGGTTACTATTGATAGTGTCAAATTAACTAACTCATTTTGTATATACTATAGGGGAAAACCCAGAAAGAATATTTAATCATACTCAACTTGCAGCAGAGGCCAAAAAGGTAGGAAACTTTGATAAATTTACAGAGAGTCAAATATACAATAAAATAAAAAGACATCATAGAACCATTCAAGAAAGAAATGACAGACACACTCGACGACTCATCTTTTCTGGACCAAAGTTTGTAAATCCATCAGTTCCCATTGATCAAGAAAAAAGAGTTCCTCGGCCACCAAACAGACCCAACAATTTATAAATCTCGCAAGTAGAACAACATCCAATAAGTCATCATCAACAACCATAGATATCAAATCTATTACTCGCTCGGCTTCTCGTAATCGTATTGCCAATACAAGTACACCTCAAAAGTTATCATCAACTCAATATTTGAATCCAAATGGTACATTTTCTGGAACTGAATCAACTACTACTAGTACACCATCTACTATTCCAATTGTAATCAAAACACCACCTTCACCACCATTGCCATCAAATCAGACTGATACAGATGTTAATATGACTGTATCTAATAACAATAATAGTAAAAATAATAGTAATAATAAAATAATAATAATAGTATGTTTATTTCATTTTATGGTCAAGGTAATGAAACTTTGACCATTTATCTTCCACTTTGTAAAGGAGAGAAGTTCAAACATACCATCACACCAAGTGGTGATATCATAGTCCAAGTGTTTAGATCTGATGATAGTTGTGGATTTACCATAACCCATAAACTACCACATCCAATGGCTGGAACCTATCGAGCCTATTTTAAAAGACCACTAGACTATGGTATGCCAGTTTTGGCAACAAACAAAGTATTCAGAGATATGTATCTACAAGAAATGTGTAGATTTACTTTTAAAAGAGAGATTAAAGAAATATCTGAAGAAGTTGAATTATAAATATTATTATTTCATCTTTAGATTGTATTATTAAAAAACAAATAAAATGAAACTTTAACCATTTTTCTTCCAGACTATAGTTGAGATTATTAAGACCAAGAGACTACTACATCAAAGAAAAGTGTGTGGATTATTATTAAAAAGAGAGACTCAGGATGAAGAAGTAAAATAAATTATAATGTTATAAAAATAAATACAACCTTTTCCAAATTTTGTTTTTTTCATATTTTTAAGATTTTTGTGCAGATGCAAAAATGCCAAAGTTTTGAATCATTCATCAAAAATCAATCTTTCTACTTTTTATTTATTTGTTTGTTATCTCTAGTCATATAGTACATTAGTATAGTTTACTCTCGTATTAAAGAAAAGACAAGATGGGTAGAGTAGTATTAAGATGGAAAAATAAAGAAAAAGCAGTTCTTTTAACAACAATAGAAAATTTAAAAAGTATGTATATTAAATGATGATTACTATTATCTTATATGATTATTACTATTAGTAACACTTTTTATTTCATTTCATTCATTCATTCATTGTGTTTGAAGAGAATAACCCAAATAAAGAATTTACACCAAACGAACTGGCAGTAGAGGTTAAAACGATTAAAATCTTTGATAGATTTACAGAGGCTCAAGTGTGTAACAAAATCAACAACACTTTTAGACCCCCATACTCTAATGAAATACCCCGTGTAGTAAAGAAACAAAAGCACGATGGTGAGTTTGCAGATTCTCAAATGCCTCCCATGTCTCCCAATACAGCAACAAGCATTCAACAGACAGACGATCTAGATCCAATCATTTCTCGTCATTCAAATTATCAACATTTTTCTAATAATCGTACTACCGCTCCAAAACCTGAACCTACAACTCCTGCTCTTATTCCTACTACTACGAGTACAAATACTAGTACTCCTTGTAATGGTAGTACTGCTAGTAAACCTCAAAAGTCATCAACTCAATATGTGAATCCAACTTGTACATTCTCAGAAACTGAATCAACTACTACACCAACCACTATTCCAATTGTGGCCAATACACCACCTTCATCAGCACCATTACTATCTAATCATAATAATAATACAATGCCAGATAAATATATAGATGATATAGACACCCTTGGTTACAACAACAACAATAATAGCATGTTTATTTCATTTTATGGTCAAGGTAATGAAACTTTAACCATATATCTTCCACTATGTATGGGTGAGACATTCAAACACACCATCACATCAAGTGGTGATATCATTGTACAGGTGTTTAGATCTGACTTTTGTTGCGATTTCACTAAAACCAAAAGATTGCCCCATCCATTGGCTGGAACATATCGAGCCTATTTTAAAAGACCACAAGACTATGGTATGCCAGTTTTGGCAACAAACAAAGGATACAAAGAAATGTATCTTCAAGAAATGTGTGGATTTACTTTTAAAAGAGAGATTAAAGAAATCTCTGAAGAAGTTGAATTATAAACACAATGACATTGTACAAATAAAATGGATCTCCAAATTGTCCAAGAACAACAGTCTAGACTACCACACCCTCTCACTCTCTCCTCTCTCGAAATTAAAAATTGGTTGTTGATTTTGTTGGGTTTTAACCCAAAGGTAATAATAACTTTTTCATTATTTCATTGTACAATTTTATCTGTTTAAAAAAGAGACAAGAGAAATGGTTAAAAATGCAAAATGGAGTAGAAAAGAAGGAGATGACCTGATATCAATAGTGGAACAAATAAAAAGTACGTATCTCTAAACATCTAAAAGTATGAAACATAATGTTGACTAACCAATTATTATTACTGATTAATTTGTAGGGGAAAACCCAGAAAGAGTATTTTCAAATCCTCAATTGGCAATAGAGATCAAAAAGGTGGAGACCTTTAGTAAATTTACAGAACCTCAGTTGATTAACAAAATAAAAAGAAATAATAGAAAGGCCCATCAAGAAAATAAGAGAGTAAAGTACAGTGGGGAATTTTCTGGATCAACTACCGTCACCGACAATGTGTCTCCTCCAATTGCTCCATTATTAGAGGAAAAAAGAGTTAGACTACCTCCAAACAGACCTTATCAAGAATTTCTGGATCTTCATAATATCTCACAGTCAACAAAGTTGAATCCAACACCCTATCTCTACTACAGACCTACTACAACTAGTACTCGTAATGTCAGTACTCCTAGTGCACCTCAAATATCATCATCATTAGTTTCATCATCAACTCAATATTTGAATCCAAAGGGTCCATTTTCTGGATCTCAATCGGCCACTACACTAACCACCCATTCCATTCCATTTGTAGATAATAATTCAACCATCCCATCAAATCAAATTACAAAACCTGTTATAGATGATAATATTTTGGACTCTTTTGGTAACAATATTAATAATAATAATAATAATAATAATAATAATAGCATGTTTATTTCATTTTATGGTCAAAGTGATGAAACTCTGACCATATATCTTCCACTTTGTATAGGTGAGACATTCAAACACACCATCACACCGAGTGGTGATATCATTGTACAAGTGTTTAGATCAGATTATAGTTGCAGTTTTACCAAAACCAAGAAACTACCACATTCAATGTCTGGATCGTACAAAGCCTATTTTAAAAGACCATTGGATTATGGTATGCCAGTTTTGGCAACAAACAAAGCATACAAAGATATGTATGTCCAAGAAATATGTGGATTTACTTTTAAAAGAGAGATTAAAGAGATATCTGAAGAAGTAGAATTATAATAATCAACAACAACAAAATCCAATATATCACAAACTAAATGTATATGAAGTTCAAAAAAAACTCGTAGTTCGAGACATTTTTCTGATTAAAAACTATCTTTGAGGGAGGGTGTCGATGCTCTATGATCATCGTCATTGTCTTACCTTTTACTTTTACTTTTAACAAAAGGTCAATTTGAATCATGAAAGGTCGATAATATCTTTCTACTTGACTTAATTTGTTATCTCTTATCTCTAGATATCTATAGTAGTAGTATAAAGTGTGTGAAGTTAATAATTATTAATTAACTTTCATTATAGTAGAAGAAAATGAAGGCGGGTAATGCTAAATGGAGTAAGGAAGAAACTGCTGATCTGTTATTAATCATCTGTCAATTAAAAAGTATGTGAACTAAATATATATATTAAATGATTATCTTTTATATAGGCTTTGTTTATAGCTAACCATTCATTCATTCATTCATTCAGAGGACAACCCAGAGAGAGTATTCACACAGCCTCAACTAGCAACAGAGATCAAAAAGCTTGAAGCTTTTAGTAGATTTACAGATGCTCAATTGGTGAACAAAATCAACAATACTTATAGACCGACAGACTCTGATGGTACTACGTAAAGTAAAGAAACAAAAGTATGGAGATGTGTTTGATTCTAAATTACAACCATTGTCTCCCAATTTAATTAGCATTCAACAGACAGATGATGTTGATCCAATCATTTCTCGACATTCAAATTATCAACATTTTTCGAATATTAATCGTAACTCTCCAACAAAGTTATCAGTTCAACCAACATATACTACTTTGTCTCCTACTCCTCCTACTCCTACTCCTATGAGTACTAGTAGTAGTAGTATAAATGAATCAACTTCTACACCAACCACTACACCAATTATGACCAATACGCCTCCTCCACCAACACCAGTACCAACTACATCACCAACTTTATCATCATATCATATTGCAATGCCAGATAAAGATGATATAGACACTTTTGGTTACAATAATAATAATAATAATAATAATAATAACAATAATAATAGTATGTTTATTTCATTTTATGGTCAAGGTAATGAAACTTTAACCATTTACCTTCCACTATGTATGGGTGAGACGTTCAAACACACCATCACATCAAGTGGTGATATCATTGTACAGGTGTTTAGATCTGACTTGTGTTGTGATTTCACTAAAACCAAGAGACTACCACATCCAATGTCTGGATCGTACAAAGCCTATTTTAAAAGACCACAAGACTATGGAATTCCAGTATTAGCAACAAAGGATACAGAGAAAAGTATCTTCAAGAAATGTGTGGATTTACTTTTAAAAGAGAGATTAAAGAAATCTCTGAAGAAGTTGAATTATAAAATAACAAATAAATATTTATTATAAATTGTACAAATAAATTGAATGTATCTCTAAATTACTATTTGAATCTTTTTTTTTTGACTACGAAACACCGAGTGCTCCCTCTATCGATTAAAAAAATCATTTATTATATACAGTCATTGCATCTTTCTACTTTTTTTGTACATATATTTATTTTAAAAAAGACATAAAGATAAGATGGGTAATGCAAAGTGGAGTGATCTTGAAACATCAGAACTTATATCAACAATCGATAAAATTAAAAGTATGTAAAGAATGAAATGAATATATATATATATATATATATATATTATGATTATTACTCTTTAGTTGGCTAACTACTTATTCATTGATTCATTCATTTGGGTTGTATATTTATTAGAGGATAACCCTGATAAATTATTAACACAGCCTCAAATAGCAGCAGAGATCAAAAAGTATGAACTCTTTGCTAGATTTACAGAGCCTCAAGTGTTGAATAAAATAAGCAATACATATAGATTAGGAGTACCTGACCCAGATACAGTCTCACGTTTACAAAAGAAACAAAAGTACAGTGGTGTGTATGCAGATTCTCAAATGCCTCCCATGTCTCCCAATTCAGCAACAAGCATTCAACAGACAGACGATCTAGATCCAATCATTTCTCGTCATTCAAATTATCAACATTTTGCTACAATTAATCGTAACTCTAATATTAGTAAATCATTACAACAAACAGATATATCTACTCCATCATCTGCTACTCACACTCCAACCCCTGTTTCTACTACTACTGCGACTGCTAGTACTCCTACTCGTAATAATGTTACGACTACACCTATAAAACCATCACCCTTTGTGAATCCATATGAATCAATTAAATCACCAACACCATCAGAGGTTCCAATTATGACCAATACACCAACATTTTCAACACAAACACCAGCACCAGTACCAACTACATCACCAACTGTATCATCTAATCATATTGCAATGCCAGATAAAGATGATACTATAGACTCTTTGAACCCCAATAATAATAATAGCATGTTTATTTCATTTTATGGTCAAGGTAATGAAACTCTGACCATATATCTTCCACTTTGTATGGGTGAGACATTCAAACACACCATCACATCGAGTGGTGATATCATTGTACAGGTGTTTAGATCTGACTTTTGTTGCGATTTTACCAAAACCAAAAGATTGCCCCATCCAATGGCTGGAACATATCGAGCCTACTTTAAAAGACCATTGGATGATGGAATTCCAGTTTTGGCAACAAACAAAGCGTACAGAGAAATGTATCTTCAAGAAATGTGTGGATTTACTTTTAAAAGAGAGATTAAAGAAATATCTGAAGAAGTAGAACTATAAACAGAAAAATGTCTTCAGATTGTATATATTAACAAACAAATAAATTAATCAACTCCTCCAATTATAATGACCAATACGTCTCCACCACCATTATCCTCAACACCAATATCAACCACATCACCACTTTAAAATCGGATCATATTGCAATGCCAGATAAAGAAGATACTATAGATACCTTTAGTTACAATAATAATAATAACAACTATAATAGAAAGTTTATTTCATTTTATGGTCAACGATAATGAACTTTGAAGATAAATCTTCCACTTTGTATGGGTGAGACATTCAAAATATTAAAATTGTCTAAAAACGTTTATGAATCGAAACTCTCCATTGTAGGTAAAAATCCATAATATTGGTTGACAGCTTCAACAATTTCATAGAAATCTTCCCTCTTATTAATTGAGGATGCTAAAAGTGAGAGTAGGCTTCCATCATTTACATAATGTTTTTCGATCGATTCTCTTGACATTATTTTGTTTGACAAAATGTATTTGTAGATATCAGGATGAGTGAGACGAATGGCTCCTTTTGTGCATCCTTCTGTTCGATGTTTGTGGAGGAATGTAACAGTCTCCAAGTCAAATCTAATGGCAGCATTGTCCATAGCCTTGGTCGTGCACCCTTCACTACGATTAAAATGTAAAAACTAATGGATGATGGATGATTAGAGTTGGTAAATTAATTTAAATAAACAGTCACGATACATACTTTTGTAACTTCGATGTTTTTGGCATTATCCATTGCATCGGTTGTGCATCCTTCACTTCTATTTTCATGAATAAACTAAAAGTCAAGTTTAAAAGGTCAAGTTAATAATAAATTATAAATTTCGATCAGTCAATACTTACCTTTACAATATCCAATTTATCAAAAGTAGCAGCCAAGTTTAATGTATTTCTAGACCACAAAACATTAGATTTTGGGTATTTCTTGTGGAAATATTGAATGACATCCAAACGACCGTATATTATGGCATATTCCATACCTCTAGAAGTACATTCTTGGCCAAGATATTCTATAATCTCCAAACTACAATCCTTCTCAATGGCAGAATCTACTGCTTGTGGTGGACATTCTTTAATGCCTAAAAGAATAAACTATATAAATGGAATGAATTTTGTCAGCATCAGGACTTTCAAGAATGTGGTATAGATTATATTTTCTTACCTTTATCAGTTCAAAGTTACCACTATTACATGCATTGATGACAGCTTGTTGGTAACAACCTTCATTTCGATTAAAGTGAATATACTTAACAAAATCCAAATCACCTTTTAAACATGCATTATCCATTGCCAAGGATGTACATCTTTTTCCATTTTTTTCAAGGAATTGGAATATTTCGAGGGTCTTGGCATTATCCATAGCATTTGTTGTGCACCCTTTATTACGACTTTCTAACCATTTAACGATTTGAAAATGTCCTTGTTGTGATGCCAAATCCATCGCTTGCTTTGTAACCCCCTCTTTTCTATTATAATTTAACCATTCCATCACATTTAAATGGCCATTCAATGCTGCCCCATCCATAGCATTAGTTGTACATCCTTCTGTTCGATTAAAATGTAAATACTATTTAAATTGAATATTTAATTAAGTTAATATTATTAAAAAATGGTTTTCTAAAATAAATATACATACTTTGACAATATCCAAGCGTCCAAACATGGCAGCAGAATCCAGTGCCTTTGATGTGCATCCTTCATTACGATTTTGATCAAGATACTTTACAATATCTAAATGGTCAAACTTTGCCGCATTGTCCAAGGCTTGAGTGGTACACTTTAAACCTTTGATTGAGCATAATAGTTTTACCATTGAAAAGTGTCCTCGTTCAGATGCATCATCAATGCTATGACCATACTTTCCATTCAAAACGATATTTGGATATCTTTTTAAAAGAAATTCCATTATATCAGTGTGTCCTTGAATAGCAACATTGTAAAATAATTCTTGATGAACACTCTCGTATTGATCTTGAGGGTCATAATCTGGTGACCATTCCAATAGATGTTGGAGTGTTGACAATGTTGCATTTCGATGTGCACAATATCTACTAATAACATACCATCTTCTTTTCGATAAAACATCATCTCTAGGTGGTAGATAATGTTTGATAAAGTTCCATGGCATTGCACAGCGAGATATCATTTCAAGATGAGGTAGTTTGATTATATCTGTACCTGAATAAGATACACCATCAATATTGTTTAACTCTTTTACATATCCAAATATCATACTTCTAATGAATGGTGACCCAATTAAACTTTTAAATCTTAATGTCATCGTTGTTGAAGATGATAGTTGTACTTTGTTGTTTTGTTGATGGGTCTTTTTATTTAAATCCTGTTGTTGATACTCTTCACCTCCCAACTGATCATTATCTCTTTTTTGTTGTTGTAGTAGTTGTTGTCGTTCAAATAGTTGTTCTAGAGTGACACCAAAGTATCTAGCAATCGATGGTATACAATGATTGATACCATGTAATCTAAACTCATCGATCGATGTTGATTCAAATGATCCACATACTTTACATTTGATGTTAACTGTTAGATCCATCTTTATTTTTATTCTATTCTATTTATCAAAAACAAAGGAAAGTAAAGTGAATGAAATAATTTTGTGCAATGTAAGTGAGATGGTTTGACCTAAAAATATAGATCTTGCAAATTTTTTGTTTTTGTTTTTTATGATCACAAAAATAATTGCCTTTTTTTCGATGGTTTCAGAGGTCCGATCAAATTCCATAATATTTGTTGATGAGATCAATCATTTCATAGTAATCGTCCGAGTCTTCATCTTTGAATTGCATTTGTTTGATACGTCCCTGTTTAATAGATTCCATGGATATTAGTTTGTTGGATATAATGTATTCGCGGATATCGTGAAACCTGGAATCCCATATGATATCCTCGTGGCATCCTTCTGTGCGGTGTTGTTGTAGAAATTCAACGCTGTCCCAATCATCCCCTAATGCAGCATGACACATAGCCATTGATGTACATCCTTCAGTACGATTAAAATGTAACCACTAAAAAAAATGATAACAAGTTGGTACTTTTTTTCTTTTTGAATTAGCTTTTCATTCTATACTCGTTTCATACATACCTTTATCATTTCAACAGTTTGACCATTCATTGTTGCAAAATCCATAGCATCAGTTGTGCACCCTTCTGTTCGATTAAAATGTAGAAACTAAAAAAATGATGGAAAAAAAATGTAAGTTCATTACTGGATTCTCTCGGACAAAGGTACCTACCTTAACAATCTCAATATGTCCGTTACAAGCTGCTTCATCCATAGCCTTGGTTGTGCATCCCTCAGTTCTGTTTTCATGAAGAAACTAACACAAAAAGAAGATTAATAATAATTATTCAAAAAAGAGAGACGCATTTAAAATTTCTTACTTTTACTATATCCAAATGACCATATTCAGATGCCATATTTAATACATCTCTATTCCACAAAACATTAGATTTTGAGTATTTCTTGTGGAAATATTGGATGACGTCTAAGCGAGCATTTTTTATGGCACATTCCAAACCTTTTAAAGTACATGGTTTGTCGAGGTATGATATCATATCCAAACTAAAATTCTTTTGTATTGCAGAGTCTACTGCAGTAGATGGGCATTCTACATTCAAATTGGCGAGTATATACTAGAGAAGTTGGGGGTTAGTTTGTGTTTATATTGTATATTTAAAAACTATTTATCATAAACATTCTACATACCTTTACCAATTCAAAGTTACCACTATTACATGCATTGATGACAGCTTGTTGGGTACATCCTTCAGTTCGATTGTTGCAAAGGAACTTTACAAAATTCATATCACCTCTCAAACATGCATTGTCCATTGCTTTGGAGTACACATTTTGCCATGTTTCCCAAGGAATTGGAATATTTTGAGGGTCTTTGTTCTATCCATAGCATGTGATGTGCATCCCTCGCGACGATATTTATGCAACCACTGGACTATATCAAAATATCCGTTCATAGATGCATTGTTCATTGCCATTTCTGAGCATCCTTCACTACGATTGTGATGCAACCATTGGACTATATCAAAATGGCCGTTCTTTGATGCATTGTCCATTGCCCGTTCTGTGCATTTTCCATTGCCCGTTCTATTGTGATGCAACCATAATACAACATCATAATGACCATTCTCTGCAGATTTATCCATGGCATTAGTTGAACATCCTTCTGTACGATGAAACTCTAAATACTAAAAATAAAAAAGGAAATAATTAATGAATTCTATCTAATGCAAGTTCCATTCAACATGTATGTACATATACTTACTCTAACAACATCCAAATGTCCATTCTCTGCAGCTTTATCCATGGCTTTGTGGGTGCACCCTTCAGTACGATTCTGATCGAGATACATTACAACATCTAAATGTCCATTCTCTGCAGCTTTATCCATAGCATCAGTGTTACACTTTACTCCTTTCATCTGCGATAATAGTTGAACTGTTGATAATTGTCCCCATTCTGATGCAACCGTTATTGCATTACGATTTCCATTTGTTTTAATATTTGGATATATTTTCAAAAGGTATTTCAATATATCTGTGTGTCCTTGAGAGGATATATCGTAAAATAAATTTTGATGAACACTCTCGTATTGATCTTGTGGATCGTAATCTGGAGACCATTCCAATAGTTGTTGTAGTGTTGACAATGTCGCATTTCGATGTGAACAATATCGACTAATCACATTCCATCTTCTCTTTAATAACACTTCTTCTAGAGGTGGTAGATAATGTTTGATAAACTCCCATGGCATACCATACAGAGATATCATTCCAAGGCGAGGTAGATCGATAATCTCTATACCTGAAAGTGATTTATAATTTCCATCAATCTTCTTGTTGTTTAACTCTTTTACATGTTTAAATATCGTTTGTCTAATAAATTGTGACCCAATTAAACTTTTAAATCTAACGGTCATTGTTGTTAAAGTGAAAGGTGAAGTTAAACTTGATGTCAAGGTTGAAGTTAAAGTTGTATTGGGTGATTGTGAATTTATTGTATTGAATGTTGTAACAATATTAGGAAGGGGAGGAGGAGTAGGAAGAGGAAGAGGATGATGGTTGTTGTTATTATTATGATCTATCTTTCTCTTTTTTAATATATCTTGTTGTTGTTGTTGATCTTCCATATATCTTTGATATTGCATTTGTTGGTGTAGTGTTGGCATTAGATAAGATAGATTATCTAATTCATGAACACCAAAGTATCTAGCAATCGATGGTATACAATGATTGATACCATGTAATCTAAACTCATCGATTGATGTTGATTCCTCTGACCCACATACTTTACATTTGATGTTAAATGTTAGATCCATCATACAATACAAAGTAAATCAACAAAAAGTAATCATTCAATAATCGATAATAATAATAATTTCGAAGAAGTCTGCAAAGGTGTGTCGTGTTTTGTAATTTATTATTATTTTTTTATTCACTCACCCTATTTTCTATTATGGACATACAATTATATAGAGCAATATTTAGATCAAAGTATCTAAAAGAAAAGATATACTACGAGTTGCAAGAGAAATGGGTCAATCATGAAGAAAGACCTTACAGGCTATTTAGATTAAAGTACAGCGATTGGGTCGACCCCTTTGACATGATATCATGCGGCTACACAGATTTACTCTTGTACAAGATGAAACAAGTAAAGTCTCTACAAGACGAGTTATACTTTGGTCCTAAATGTATTGAACTAATCTGTGAAAAGGTTACAAATTATAATCAATTTATGTTTATTTATAAATTAAAAAGTAAAAGAAGATAGAGAGGATAGAGAAGAAGAGCATTAATAAGTTATTAATTCAAATCTTTCAGAAAACAAATTTGTATTACCTAGTTTAATAGAGAAAGCATGTCAAGGAGGGAATATAGAAATTATAAAGACGTTGGTAGAACAAACAGAACCTGTACGATTATCAAGAGAAAGATGTTATAATGGAGCAGCACGTGGAGGACATTTAAAAGTATTTGAATACTTGTTTGACGAAAAGAATATAGCAATTACAAGTGCATCTGAATTGTATAGTACCAATTTGGTTGACTTGATTCATGCAACGTCTATTCATGGGAATGCAACCTACTACAATTGGATAGCAACTCATTTACCAGAGATTAAAGATTACTTTAGTCATTTGGAGAGTCCAGATGCTCTATTCAAGATTGGTGATATTGGTCTATTGCAACATTACATCAAGACCGTCCCACTCAACAAATACTATTACGGTAGTACCAACTCTTACACCTATATCTTGGAGCATCCCGTAGAAAAGCATTATGAACTATTCAAAATATTCTTTGGTAAAGAGATGTGTCCCAACTTTAGATACAGAGATACATTTGAATTGTTGGAATCACGTGTCAGAAAATTACATCCAACCATCACGCAAGAACAATACCATCGTGTATTGTCGAGTAGATGTTGTTTCCTTAGCAACCGTCATCTTCAAGAATCTTTGGTACCTTTTGAATTGTCTCTTTCAACCAAAGACAATAGACAAGAAATCATCCAAGATCTCTATCAATTCACAAGACAATTTCACCACCTTTCATGTTCAAACTTTTTTAAATATTTAACAAAACATGATATTACCTTGGTAGATTTAACTCATACTCAATGTATGTAAAAAACAAAAGTTCAAGTTAATCTCTCTCTCTTTGTTTCTAACATTTTTTTTATTTTCTTTAGTAATATTTCAAGAAATTTGTTTTAGAAATGAAAATATTGATGAAGTAATTGAAATTGTTGAATATATACTATCAAAAGTTCCAAATCTAAAATTAGTAAATTCACAATATCGAGGACCAATTAAAACATCATGTAAAGCAATGTATGAATACATGTTGACTCATTTTCCAAACTTTGTGGTTTGCGATTTAGATCCAAAGTTTTATGACGAATTGACAGTGGAAGATGTTGGTACTATGAATCTTCGAGATTCATCCAAACCATTCTTTTATTTTATCACTAAGGAAAACATACCACTCATCGAAGCATTTTCTAAAAAAGGAGGTCAAGTTCTTTCAAGATTCACTCTTCAATCAAAATGCAAGGTTCTAAAGACATTGGCGCAAATGCAATTCTTTAAATTAAGTAATTTAATAGAACCTCGATTCAAACCAGTTCCAACTCTCACATTCTTTATCACACCCGAGACTCTAATGCTTTTTGAAAGTAAATTCCAAAAAGCCGATCTCCAAACACTTCAATCAAAGGCATTGTCAAAAGGCAATTTGTCAGTGTACAAATTCATCACTGAAAAGCAAAAAGATCTCAGATACGATTCTGAATTACCAATCAAACATAATCGTATCAATATCTTAAATCACATGCAAGAATGTCAACCTAAAAAATTTGACTTTAAAAAGGTATTGGATCAAATTATAAGTCATGGATCAGTTGAATTGTTAAAATACTATCAAGAAAAGAAACCAAAAGAAACAAAATTATTCCTTGACCGTTTGGATATTTCAACAAAAATCATTCCTCTTTTAGCTCCATCCTCGAGAGAAATGGTTTTATATCTTTTGGATTATGGATTCGATTTTGATTCAAAATCTCTTTTACGTATGTCAACTATTAAAAGTGATAAATTTTATTTAGAAACTGTTAAAATGATTCAAGAAAAAGAAATGGAAAATATAAAAGAGAAAGAAGATGAAGAAGAAGAAGAAGAAGAAAAGGAAGAAGAAATTGATAAAAAGAAAAGAAAAAAATCTATACCAGTTTCTACAAAAAGAATAGTAAAAAAAAAGAAATAAAATAATACTGGTATATAACTTTTTATTTATTATTTATTATTTAATTTTACATAAGTTTAAATTTAGCTTCTAAAGTTTGAGTTGCATTACCACTAATTCTTTTTGTTGTTGATAAGAAATCGATAATGATTCTTGCTTCTTCAGTTGTGAAATAGGGTTGAATCATTTTCTCTAATAAATAGGTTAGCAGTTCATCTTCATTGGACAATGATTGATAGAATTGTCTTATTCTATCAAAAAACATTTCACGTTTAACAATGATATTGGTAAGATTTTGTTGAAGAGTGTAGACATTTTTACAAAGTTTGGCAACTCCATTGATATTGAGTTGTTTGATGTGGACCAATCGATTGATTAATAATTTACCAATCAATTTGGCAATACCACCAAACAAGAATTGACATTTATCACTTGATAAATAAGTTGACATTGATTCTTCATTTGTTGATAAATCCTTATTCAATTCCACAATAAATGTATCTGGATCTGTTCTTTCTTCATCACAAATATATGATCCCTAAAAAAAAAAAAATTAATATAAATACTTTTTGTTTTGTTTTTTACTTCTTTTGTTTATATACCTTTTTAAAACCTTCTAAAAAGTAAAAACAATGAATTCTGTATTCAATTCTTAAACCAATAAGACAACGTTTAGCTAAATCTCTAAGATCTTGAATGATAAAATCGATTGAACGTAGAGAATCCAATACTTCTGGTGAAAGTTTTTGTAAAACTGGTGGTTGTTTTGATTTGGCAGGAGTCTTTCCTTTTTGAGCTGGTGTTGATGGTTGAGAGGAATCATTATCTTTTGTTGGTGCCATGGTTGGAGTGGCTGTACTATTGATTTGTGGCCAGAATAAATTTGATACTCTATCAGCCAACCATTCCAAACTGTAATTGAGATTGGCCAACATTGTCAATTTTTCAAGATCCAACAATAGTTGACTCTTTTGAACTGGTCTTTCTTGATTGGTGAAAAGATCAGACTCTAGTCTATATTCATTATCTTCTTCTCTTGTATTTTGGAACTTTGGAATCTCTTGTCTCTTATTATCGTATTGGTTTTGTAAATATTTAAAGAGTTCTGGATGATTCATTAATGCTCCAGTAAGTGTTGGTTCCAATTCCTGTGTAAATTTGGTCAAACATTTTTCTTTATATCGTAATAATGATGTTTGTATAATAGCTCCAAATTCTTCAACATAATGACTCATTGCTACAATATCTGAATGTAATTCTGTTATAAATTGATAAATTTGTAATGTACTCTAAAATAAATAAAAAATAAAAAATTAATAAATCTAATTTAATAGAAATATTCTATTATCTATTATTCTTATTTTCTTTTTCTTATTTACATTTAAAATTGGTTTTGTATCACGTAATTTAAAAGCCAATTTAAATCTTTCCAAAGGTTTAAATGCATCTGGACCTTCAATTGCAGCTGTTACACGTTCCTTGTAATCATTTTTAATATGTTGTAAGAAATTACGATGAACAAAATCATCAATATATAATCTAAGTAATCCTTTTGGTGATCCATCATCTTTTGAAAGTCCTAATTCTTGTCTTGGTCTAAAAAAAAAATAAAAAATTAGAAAAAGTATAAGAATTATAACTTTTTTTTTTTATATATCTTACTTTTTACCAGTCATGATTGAATCAATTTGATCAGTAAATTTAACAATCATTGGATAGATTGGAGTTACATTGTATTGAGAAGCTTTAAATATACTAACTGCATTTGTAATACCAGTACTATTATTTAATCCACCACCTGATCCAACACCAATTGTTGGTGATGAAAGTGGACTTGTACTACCATTCCATGATTCTGTTACAATTGAATTTGAAAAACTAAATAACTTTTAAAAAAAACAAAAGTATAAATACAAAAATATATTTCTTTTTCTTTTTCTTTTTCTTCTTTCTTTTTTGCTTACTCTAACTGAAGAAGTTTTTGATTGATCTAAAAGAGTTGAATTGGTTCTTAATAATAAACTTGAAGTATCATGAAGATGAATACGTAACATTTCACGAATTTCTTTTTGCATAATTTCCCAAACCAAACCAACACTATAGAGTTCATCAGAATTGGAAGAATCCTGACCAGAGCTGTTTAACGAGTCGGCAGAGATTTCCAAAGAACCATGGAATTGATGACGTCTTTTGTTTTCTTGTCTCTTTTTAATTGATTCATTGACAATGATGGACAAGGTCATATGATTCTTAAATACCATCATAATCTTGCTGAAAATGGCTTTCAAGAGATCGACCAATGGTATAGTACTATCGGTTTTGTGGATATGATCACCAAGTAAAAGATTAAATGTATGGTCTTGAAGTTGATCGGCTCCATTACTATTTGTCAATAGTCCACCCTCGCCAGGTACTCTTGGTATCGCACGACCCTCTGATTGATATTTAAGTGTGACAGTATTGGAGCATGTATTGACAATATTTCTCAATTCAATTGAAATCTTTCCAAGTATTAAACCTACTGCCGGTTCCAAATAATCCAATACACTTAATGATTCTACCAATAAATTCATAAATAATTTACCATTTGTTTCTGGATTTAAATTTAAATCTTCAATTGACTTTGAAAAAAATAAAATAAAAAATAAATATTAATATTTTTTGTTGATAATTAAATCTTTTTTTTTTCTTTTCATATTTTACATTTGATTGTTTTGAAATTAATTCAAGTTCTAATGGTTGTTCATCATCTTCTTTGGGTGAAGATATATTTTTGTTATTTTGATGATTATTCTTTTGAGTTGTTTGATTTGTTTTAAATTGTGGTGTTGGTAATGGTGAATTACTAATAATAAAAAAGAAAATATTAATATTAATATTTTCTATTTCTTTTTCTTTTTTTTTCTTATTTTCTTATTTTCCTTACATTGATAAAGCTTTTTTAAGATTTGATTTAAAATCAAATAGATCATCTTCATCATCTTCATCATTTTTAATAGATTTTAAATAGACATGATCATTTAATTTATCGACAATGAGATCATTAAATTCTTCCTTTTTCTCTGACAATGATTGTCTTAGATCCATCAATGCATTAACATTGACCAAATCCTTTTCATTTAATGCATTTAATGAATTTACTACCAAATTGGATGCATGTACAAAATGATTTCCTTTTACATATCCTTCTAATAAATCTGGTACTTTTTTTAATTCTTCCCTATAAAAAAATCAAAGGTATTAATATCATCATTTATATCATGACGAATAAACTAATTAATCATACATTTTTTCTAAAATTTGAATCATATAATAATATTCAAGATTTCTTCTCCATAGTCTATCGATATTTGAATTATTGAAATAAATTAATTTGTTAATTTCTTCAACCTCTTTACTCATTGTTATAGCATTGGAATGCGAATCTCCCATATATTGTAATATTCTTGAATAATTATGAATCGATTTGTTAAATCCTTGAAAGTATACTAAAAAGTAGGTAGGTTGAAAATGAAATAAGAGTCTTTTAGTTTTTCTATAGATATTGTTTTGTTTCTTTTTGTTTCTTTTCGTTTACCATCAACAATATCATCAGTATGATCATTTAATTCATCTAACCATCCTTCAATTTGATTTAATTGTTCTGTACGATGATGTGATCTCATGAAATCGAGAGCAGTCTTTCTTGCCTCGAAACTTGGTGCTTGATACATATCTGGTATCTTGTTTAATGTATTCATAATCTTTGCTTCGTGAATGGGTGCATGTTCATTTCTACTCGATAGTGTTGGTGATAGTTGAGGTAACCCAATACTACTCTTCATACTGTCGCTACCTCTATCACTACCTCCTCCTCCTCCTCCTCTAGGCATACCATCACTTCCTACTCTTGAAAAGCCGTCGCTTCCCCCTCTTGATAGACCTTCACTGCCTCTAGGTAATAAGCTTTCAAATCGTGGTGTTCCATCGCTACCTCTACTGTATCTGTTGTTGGTTGGTGTAGATGGTGTTGATGTAGATGTTTGGTGTGGTGGAGACTGTCCTGGTATGATTCGATTAAATGATACTCCATCACTTGATCCTCCTACACTACTACCTCCACCTCCTCGAGGCATTCCTAAACTACTTTTAAAATCCATCTCTCTCTCTAAATATAAAAGAAAGATAGATATATACTAATACTAATACAAATAAAATAGATAGATAATTAATGAATGAATGAAAACGACGACATCCTCCACAGATTTACGGTGTTAAAAAAAAAAATCCGTGTACAATATTAAATTTTTAATCAAACATGTTCATCATTTATCAAGTTTTAATCAAAAGTATAATATATACAATAATTTGAAGTATAAATTATATAATATAATTATATATAATATCATAATACTATTCGGATTATTTAGTTTTCAAAGTGAGAGAATACCGTAATTGTTTTTTTGTTGGTGATGGATGAAAAAGGAAATTGTTTTTTAGTTTTTAGTTTTTTTTTTTTTTTAATTAAAAATAAAAATAATAATAATATTAATATTAATAATTAAATCTTTTCCGTATTGAAAAGACAGTTTCCAATGAAACTATAGTTCTTCTCTTTCTTGGGTTGTTAAATTTAATTTAAATTTTAATATTATTTATTTTTTTAATATTTTGATTTTGTTATAAGAGTTGTCAGAGAGACAGTAGATTGAACAACAAGGTGGATAGAGAAAAAAAGAGTAGAAAGGTTGCAGTTTATAGTAAAATAATAATATTTAAAGATAATAATTAAATCATTCATAATTAATACCAAAAGGATAATAATAATAATAATAATAATAATTTGAAAAATGGTTAAAATAGTTAATGGTAATATTATAAGAGAATCTTCAGTTTTGACTTCAAAGTCGTGTCGTAGAAGACACTCTATCTCTGACATTTTAGATTCTCGATTTGAAACAATCCAAAATTTAAATAATAATAATTATAACAATCCAAAACATCATGTAAGCCAACATGAAAATGTCAAACACGATGAATTAATGCATCGTGGTGGAGGAGGAGGAGGAGGTAGTGTAGATGACCTTCATCACCATTTCAACAACCACAACCACAACCAACACCAACACCAAAAGAATAGTAATAGTCAAGAGATTATTCATCACCAACAACACCAACAACACCAATTGTTGCAACAGTCTAAAAAGGGGTTACCGCATTCGACACGTCTCCGTGACGGAAGCATTGCTCCACCCTGTTCTCCAGCAGTCCAACAAAACTCGTATGATGATGTTGATAACAACAACCATCATGACAATGATCATGCATTGAGTATATTGGATAAAGCTAATACTTATGGAGAGACAGTCCGATATTTCTTGTTGGGTAACATTACTCGTCGTATCAGTCGATACTACAAATACATCGACAGTCGCATGGACCCGATGAAACAACGTGCCATCATATTTGGTATACCCATTCCAGTCGGGTTACTATTCCTCTCCATGTTGATTGCACTAGTCACTGGTGGTATTGAAATACTTTTAGTAGATATTCTATTAATCTATATGGGTACACAATTCAACCGATTGAATTCAAACCAACAACAATACCAACAACAACAACCAGACTTAAACCTTCAACAAACCAATGGATACCATCACCTACACCACAACGTTGCCAATCATCCAATAGGCGGTCACAATAGTCATGCTTGCAATCAATTTGGACACCAATACCATTTAGCTACCAATCCAACCTTTAGACCATTACATTATAACATTCAATCTGCTCGTCGTAATTCTACTTCTGTTGTATGTATCTCTCACTCTCAAAGAGATTCATCATTCTATCTCTATCTCTTCTTACTAACATATAATCTATTTCTACAAAAAATATAAAGATAAGTAGAAGAAGAGGATCCCTAACTACACTGTCTGATTTAAATCATCATAAATATTGAAAATAAACTATGAAAGAACTTGTGCTTGTGAGAGGTAAACGTTTGATAGATTTTTATTTAAAATTATGTATAAAATTTTGGGTGCGTATGATATTCCCGAAAATGATCAAGCAATGAAGATACTAGCTCCTATGACTTCATCTGATTCATCTATCATTAATGCTTTATATCATTCGATTATTTGTCTATCTATTCATAGGAATAACAAGTACAATCATGTTGTTATCAAGAAGAGTATTACGTAGTTCAGTTTCATTTATTAGAGGTTATTCTAGTACTACTACAGGTAGTACTAGTAATAACACTACTTCTTCAAATAATAGTTATCAATCATCATCTACTCAATCATCATCAGAATCTAAACAACAAACACATTTTGGTTTCAAAACTATCAATGCAGAGGAAAAAGAGACAATGGTAAAGAGTGTATTTGATGCAGTTGCTTCAAAGTATGATGTTATGAACGATGCAATGAGTTTGGGTATTCATAGATTGTGGAAGGATGAATTCATGAATACTTTAAATCCAGTACCTGGTTCTCATTTATTAGATGTTGCTGGTGGTACAGGTAAAGAAGAAGAAAAGATAAAAGAACAAAGTAAAAGATGATCTTTACTGACTTACTTTATTATCTATTTTTAGGTGATATATCATTTAGATTCATAGACAAGATTAAATCAAACCCATATTATCTACCAAACCCACATCCTGGACAATTAAGTAGTACAGCTTCACTGTCATCATCTGCCATTGTATATGATATCAATCAAGCAATGTTGGATGAAGGTCAAAAGAGAGCTATTCAAAATGGTTATACTAAAACTTCAGGTAACTAACAAAGATAACATAACAAAGATAACAAAAGGCATAAATATAAGCAAAAGACATTATACTTACTTGCTTACTTATTTGTTTTGTTTAGACCCATCAATTGATTTCATTCAAGGAAATAGCGAACAATTACCATTTGAAGATGAATCATTTAATTGTTATACTATATCATTTGGTATTAGAAATTGTACAAATATCGATGTCGTGTTAAAGGAAGCATATAGAGTATTGAAAAAGGGTGGTAGATTCATGTGTCTTGAATTTAGTCAGATTCCAAACCCAGCACTGCGATTTGCCTATGACCAATATTCATTCAACGTCATTCCAATCCTCGGTCAAATGATTGCCGGTGATCGCGAAAGTTACCAATACCTAGTCGAAAGTATTCGTAAATTCCCAACTCAAGATAACTTTGCCGGTATGATTCGTCAAGCTGGTTTCAAACAAGTTACCTACAAAAACCTTTCCTTTGGTATTTGTGCAATTCATTCTGGTTGGAAACTCTAAAAGAAAAAGAAGAAAAGTAAATATAATTTAATAGTATTATACATTTATTTATTTATTATTTGTTATTTGTTATTTTTTTTATGAGCAAGTTGGATTGTATTGTGAATATTTAATGTAGAAGGTTTAGAACCTATTAATTTTAATTGTACAAGAGTAGATGGGATATTAGTGTAGGTTAAATCCTTGTCAAACGATGAACCAATGGTTAGATACTTTAAACTAGGTGGTAGAGATGAATCTTCAATGGTCGATGCAAACGCAGTTCCAAGGATTAGAGTCTCTAATTGGGAATCTTTAGCAAAAGTTGTAGAGGTGATTGGATGATCATAAGTATCTCCAACATCCAAATAGACAAGTGACAGTGGTAGAATAGTAGAGTCTAATGAATGGTTAAACAAATGTCCAAAAGTAAGATGTTGTAAACCAAATGGTAAAAGATTTTTTGAAATAGGTTGGTTGAACCATGTTCCAAAAGATAGTTGTTTTAGGTCAAATGGAAGAACTTCTATTTTACTATCGAATCTAGACCCAAACTTTAACACTTGCAGCGCGTTGGGAAGCACGTCTACCGTAATTGATTTGTTGAAAAAGTATCCAAACGACAGATAGGTCAGAGTTGGAGGAAACAAACCTTGACCAAGTGGTCTGTTAAAGTCATAGGGCATCTCGAGGTATTCAAGATTGGGTGGAAAGTCACCAGGTACAAATTGATCACTATAACATATAGAGTTTTGACAGAACGTCAATTTGGTGATATTCGACGCTTGATTTAACTCTGCACTGCTAAACGAGACCCTTGGTAATTTGTAACGGAGGTTGAGCGTGGTCAGAGACAGCGGGTAGAATTTGGGTGTTGGCATTTTATCATTACACTGTAGCAGCGTCAATTCCTTGACTAATGGTGGGATGACACAATCTTTGTACGAAAAGAAACTAGTGTTGAGGCGAAGATAAATGGTCGACGCTGGAATTACAAGTTCGTTGCATTGAGAATCCAACGAGAATCTAAAAGTGGTGATGGTCGATGGATAGTCTTGTTGTTTGGTATTGATCAACACATTGCCTTTAATGGACAGTTCTTCTATATCTTGTGGGAATACGAGTGGTTCTAACTGCTCGAGTTGGGCAACCGACAAGATATCGATATCATTTCGAATGACGATTGATCGTAGACGAGGACCCATATCCTCTTGCTCTGAATAACGAGACAGTACCTTTAAAAAGTAAGAGTACCGACTGCGATGTACCGTAATCTCTCTGTAGCAATTGAGTAATGCCAACAGAGGTTTAAAGTCTGGGTCAAAATAGGCATGATCCAATTCTATCAATCTTTTCTTTCTCGTTCCTTTACATGTATCATACAATGATAGTGTATCATCGGAATCTAATAATCTATATATCTTTGCTATTACTACATATGATAATTTATTTATCATTTCTCGAAAAGTATAAAGAGACTATCTTATCTATCTTTTGAATCTAACTAAAACAATTGCGAACCATCAGATCATCTAGATCTCTTTTCGTGGTTCGTGGCCCCAAGATCTTTTTTTTTTTGATACAAATTAAATTAATTTATTTATTAATTATTGTTTTGATTTAGTTGGGATGTCTAAATTGAGCCAAATGATCTTCATTCTTTCTATAACAGGATCCCCAATATTTACATTTTGGTTTACTTGATGATCTAGTCTTGGGTGGTTCAAAGTCTGAATCAAAATCATCATCGTCGTCATCTTGATCTTTAGGTGGAACATAATCTTCATCTGATCCTTCGTCTTCTAGATAATCATCTTCATCAATGAAATCATCGTCATAGTCGTATTCATCTTCATCTTTCTTTTTCTTTTTGACTTGTTTTTTGGCTGGTGCTTTGGTGGTTGATTTTCTCTTTTTATCTTCCTTTTTCTCTTCCTTTGCTGCCAACTCGTTCTCTTCATCTTGTAACTTTCTAGCAAATTCTTCATCATCATCAAAATTATATTTCTTTTTTCCAATTGTTCCAAGTGAAATATTATTATTCTTCTTTTCATTATTTTTCTTTTCATTATCATTATTTTTCTTGTTGTCACTACTACTACTATCAGTCTTGTTTGATTTACTATTATTATTATTGTTACTTGTTGTATTATTATTTGAGTTGATATTTTTAATAGTTTCAACAATTAAAGCATATTTTCTATTAGAGAAACTAATGACATCACCATCGGCCAATTGTGCAGGAGTATCAAATGGTACGGTTGAATAATCGTCTGATCCATTTTCCTTGATGTATAAATGGTTGATACCCAACTTTACAATTTCGATAATAGTTCGAGCACCAACAATCTTTGCAGTAATGAGTGCTTGTCTTCTACTAATAGCTAGATCCATAATTCCTAAAACAGTTCTACCCAATTCTGTTTCTACTCCATCATATAATGGAATCTTTGTACCATCTTCTTTAATTAAATTTGCTACTATTAATTTATCACCACCATCATTACTACTATGACTATTGTTTGAAGTTGTAGTTGTAGTAGTCGTTGATGTAGTTGATGGAGATGAAGTTTGTTGTTGACTATTACTTTTTGTTGATTTTGATTCTAATTTAATAGTTGATTGTTCTTCTTCTTGATTTTCATCTACATGATCGTCTTCATCTTCTTCATCGTCATCGTCATGTGAAGGAGGTAACCAATCGATCAAAGAATTATCCATACTCTTTAAACTATCATTAATCTGTTTTAAAACATTTGAACTGAGGAATGTTTCTAAAATTGGGTTTGGTGTTTCCAATATTTCAATTGGTATAACTCCCATTGATTCAGATTGTATAGTTTCAATCTATAGATTAAAAATAAATTAATTAATTAAATTGATCTATTTTATATTTGTTGCTTTTCTTCATTTTCATTTCTTACAATTGATTTCCAATTATGAGAATGTTTACCACCAATTACAAAAACAACACCTTTGACATCTTCAGCATCGATTTTAGTTGAAAAGATGGTACGGATGATTTCTTCAATGACAGGACGCCAGAATTGTTCGTGTGGCTTTTTGTCATCTTCGTCGTCTTCGGTGACTGTGAGTTGAGTGTTGAGCCACAAGACACCTTGTCTGGCGACGACCTTGAACCACTCACGCGCACTGTCTGTTGGTAGATCAACCTCTCTGAGGACACCTCTGACAGTGTCAATATCGTCGTCCTTTGTAATGACACCCTTGTACATCAGAGCAGCACGTACAAGGTTAATGACAGTCTTGCGTCCATCCAATTTCCATGAATTTGATTGTTGATCACAAAATGCATATCCACTTGCGCTAGATCGCTTTGCAATTGGATTCTGTCCTAAAAATACAACTTTACAATTGATTGGTGACCCAACTGCATTCAATGATGAAAATACATATCTATTATCTGGTAAATATTTTGAATTTCTATTCTTTCCTAAAAATTCATTTAATCCAAGCTAGAAAAGAAAAGAAATAATTATTAATTATTATTATTATTATTCTATTTCTTATTCTTATTCTATTTTACACATACAGTATCAGCACACTTTTCTCCACCTAATCCTTGTAACCAAGATTTTGATAAAACAGATTTAATGTCCAAGTTTTGTGGAGTCAATGAAGGTTTGGTTGGTTTATGATCATCCTTGTCCTTTGGTGGTGTAGATTTCTTTTTGGAAGAAGTATGATGATTATTATCATCAGAGTCATCAAATAATTCATCGTCATCGAAATTGTAAGTCTTTTTAACAGTAGCTTTTGATGATGATGATGATGATGATTTCTTATCACCACTAGTACTATCACCCTTCTTTTTAGAATTTGTTGCTGCAAACTTCTTTGGTCCTTTCTTTTTTAGTAGACCATTTTTTTGTTCTAAACAATAAACAATAAATGTTGGTTAGATTAATCTTTCTCTTATATGTTTTGATACGACATATACGTCAACAACTTACTATAAAGTAGATCTTTAATTTCAGCTTGATCTTTCTTTTCCAATTCTTCAAAACCTTCTAAATCTTCAATATCTTCTGCTCTTTTTGATGTCTTTCTTGCTCTACCTTGTGCCTATAGAAAGAAGAATAAGATGAAGATAGTTATACATATAAATATATATATGTTAGTAAAAGATATTCTTTTTCTTTTCTTTTTCTTTTTCCTTTCATTGTTTTTGCATACTCTAAAGAAACATTCAGAATGAAAGTAATCAGTTGCAACACCATCGTCATCGAATCTATTCGATGGATACATCTTTGCTATTCTAACCGTATCCTTTGGTATATTTGCTTTGCAATCGGTCGACTTGCAAGATGATCTTGCAGTCTTTGCATATTCTACTCTAAATGTTCTATCTGCCATTTAGATGTATATGTATGTATATTTGTCGTGTGTATATGCTTGTATAATATAATCTATTGAAATCTCTCTCTTTGTGTGAGCGTTGAACAACAATAAAACAAGCAGTGAAGCATGTTCAAAAATATCCAACGGTAAAAAAACAAATTCGAAGAAAAAAGGTACCTCCTCTGTGATAGGGTACCCTATCATTATGGATTAGTTAAAGCATTTTGATACATATGTATATCTACTATTTATTACTTTATTATTATATAAATTATATCATAAACTTACTTTTTATGAGAAAAAAAAATAATGGTACAAAATTTTATTATTATTATTATTGAATGCCATGCCATCCATCCATCACACTATTATCTATGAGCAGGAGGGATTTCCAACTCACCCCTTTGGTTAATCTGATAGAATGGAAGGATTAAAATGAAAAGGTTTCATATTTGTGGTGGCACCAATTAAAAAGGTTTGGATCAATGATTTTGATTCACTAAAATATCGGTGTTGATGAAATGCTAGTCGGTTTATATCTACTAATAAATATTGTACAGTGTCACTCGATAATAATGCATCAAATATATCTTGATTAAATTGGTTCTCTGAAATATTCAATATTTTGATCGATTTGTTTTGTTTGAATGCTTGATCCAAATCTTGACTTGGTTCCAAATAATTATCACTAATGTCTAGTGCAACGATTGATTGGTTGGTCAATATTAATTGACAAAATGATGGGATGAATTGTTTAACCAATGTACCATTGGTCAACATCAATGTTGTGATGGTTTGATTAAGAGATAGAGTCGAAAAGAATTGTGGTGAAATCATTTTCGGGAGCTTTGATAATCTAAGTAGTTCAATCGTACTATTTTCTTTCCAAATTGATGTAAATGGCAATGCAAATCTTTTATCATTCACTATTGGTTGGTCTTGATTACTGATGTTAGCTTGGTCTTTTCTTTTTCCTTTTCCTTTTTTTGTTTTTTTTGTTTCTTTTGGTCGACATTTCTTTCATGTGGATTATTCAACCATAGTCTTTTCAAAGTTGTATTGTTGGTGAGATTGGTGCATAGTTGATCCCAGTCTTCTAGAGTATCTTCAATATTTAGGTCTAAATAACATGCCTCACATCTAGCATATCGTAAATCGCTATTTTCCAAATAACAAGTCACTATACCAGTTTTAAGAGATTGAATATTAAAGTCAGAACTTGTCAAAAGAAAGTTAGATCTCTCAATTCAATAAAGTCATGTTGAATGTTGATTTGATGTGTTGGAATAGAGTTTGGTAGTCAAAATGAAAACGTCCACCTTCATCATCTTGGCCATTGCTAAACCCCACATTGAGATGGGTTGGCTTCAAGTCATCATTTTATGACAGTCCTCGATAAGGTATATATTATCGAAATATCCATTGCTTGAGATTGATACGACTGTATTGGGGTCGAGTGGTCCTGTAAAAGATACATTGCGAGGCCATTTTTGTCCTTCCCACACACGACTGTCAACGGTGATATCCAAGTTGACTTTAATCTTTGGAAACAAGTTGATAAACTGTGTGATGGCTTGCATCTCTTGTTGTTTCAAATTGTCTCCAACAATATATATAGATTTTAGGTGTGGTAGTAGAAGAGGTAATCTTGAAATATCAAACTCGATACTACAGTTTAGTGGTAGTTGTGAAGGTCCTCGAGAGATTCTTTATCGATCAATCTCCATTTAAGTGATTCTACTAGGTTGAGATCTTTTGATGATGAAAAGTAAGATTCTTTCAACGGACCAACAATCTTTAAACTTTTTGATGTTATTTGACGAGACACCTTCATCCACCATTTCGATACCAGTGCAATATTACTTATCTGTTTGAATGTATGATGTTTGTTGAATGTCTTTTTAAGTTGTTGATCATTAGATGTGATGTCATCTGAGATGTTATGTACATAGATCCATTACAATAAGAACGATGAGTGTTTTTGTTATTATGAACCAACAAGTCAATGATGATCGATTGAATGTATTGAGATAGTTGTACATGCGCACCACCTAAGCAACCAACATCACTTGTTTGATTATCTTTTGTAGTTGTTGTTGTTGTAGTTATAGTTGTACTGCTCATGATTTGTTTCTTATTATTAGAATAAAACAAAAAAATGATAAAGTAGAAGATCGAAAGACCACATAAAAATGCACAATCAATATATTATTTTTAAAAACACAGGAAACAAGAAAGACAACATTCAAAATGCACGGGACTGCCTCCGATCAAGGAGAACTATATGTTTTTTTGTTGCTTTACTTGCATTAATTGTGCATCCCTCGGTACGATTCAAGTGTAGAAACTATAATAATAAATGATAAAATTTTAATAAAATTAAATTTTAATATATCCATTCATTATATTCAGTGTTTGTTGTTTAAATGTTTTTACATCCCTCGATTACATCGAGGTGACCTGTCGATGATGCAATATCAATGGCTTTGGTGGTACATCCCTCACTACGATTAAAATGTAAAAACTAAAGAAGAAATAAATAGAGGAGTGAGTTAAAAGGATGGAATATATTTAATTTTTAATTTAAATAATGATATAGTTCAACATTATACATACTTTGACGACCTCAAGATTACCTCTAAAAGCTGCTTGGTCCATAGCTTTGGAAGTACATTCCTTCTGTACGATTAAAGTGTAAATACTAATGGAGAAAAGGAATAATAAATAAATAGATAAATAAATAAATTGGTTCCACATATAAATATATAAATATCCGGATTGGTGGATAAATAAATGCTTTGACAATATCTAATTTGTTCTTCTCGGCTGCATAATCAAATACACTTTGCATTGCATCAATGGTCCAAGACGATGCGAATTCTTTAAACATGTATTGAATAATATCTATTCGATCCAATTCTACTGCACAATCCAACCCTAAACCATCAGTCGTACATGTTTGCTCGAGTGACTTTATAACATTCAAACTACAATTTCTTAAGATGGCAAGGTCTACTGCATGGGCCACTGGTATTTCAGTTGTAATATTGTCTAGCATATTCTACACACGTGTGGTATAGATCAACAAATTGTATGATATTAATAACGACAAGTATATCGATTTGATCGTTGTGAATAGATATTATCATCATACCATTATCAATTCAGCATTACCAGATGAACATGCGAATACAATAGCTTGTTCGGAACATCCTTCAGAGCGATTTTCATCAAGGAATTTGACAATATCCAAGTCACCTTTTAACATGCATTATCCATCGCCTTTTAACATGCATTATCCATCGCTTTAGTTGTGCATGTTTTGCCAGATCTATGAAGGTATTTAACTATTTTGAGGGATTTTGCATGATCCATGGCCTTTGTTGGGCACCCTTCTGTCCTATTATGATTTAACCATTCAACAATTTCAAAATGTCCATTCATTGAAGCTGCATTCATTGCATATACTGTGCACCCTTCACTTCGATTATGATGTAAATACTATAGTAGAAAGTTAATAAAAATAAGAAAAAGTAAAAGTACTAGTGGTGAAATCGGTCTATATACATACTCTGACAATATCTAAATGTCCATTCTCGGCTGCTTTATCCATTGCTCTAGTACTGCACTTGGCTCCTTTAATCGATGATAATAATTGAACTGTTGATAAATATCCATGTTGTGAAGCAATATCAATAATTTCATCTTGTTGATTTGGTGTAACGGTGGTGGTGGTAATAGTGTTGATTTTAGAACCAATGTTGATATTTGGATATCTTTTTAAAAGAAATTCCAATATATCTCTATGTCCTTTAGATGCAACATTGTAAATTAAATATCGATGAACACTCTCGAATTGATCTTGAGGGTCATAATCTGGTGACCATTCCAATAGATGTTGGAGTGTTGACAATGTTGCATTTGGATGACAACAATATTTACTAATAATATACCATCTTCTTTTAACCAATACTTTATCTTTATCTGGTAGATAATGTTTGATAAAGTTCCATGGCATTGCACGGAGAGATATCATTTCAAGATGAGGTAGTTTGATTATATCTTTGCCACAACGTGATTCACTTCTATCCAATATTATTCAATTCTTTTACATAACCAAGTAGTTGAAGTTGTATTAGATGAAGAAACAAGAAGTACATTGTTATGATTTAAATTGTTATTATTAATCGCCTTGTTGTTTGATGTTGTACCTTTATTCTCATTTTAATTGTTGTTGTCATGTTGATGAAGATGATCTCTTTCTCTATTTTGATATATCTTCTTGTTGATTATCTTGTAACTGATTACTATCCCTTTCATCTTGTAGTTGTTGTGGTTGTGATAGATCGTAAAACTGAACTCCAAAGTATCTTGCAATTGACGGTATACAATGATTGATACCATGTAATCTAAACTCATCGATCGACTTTGATTCCTCTGATCCACAAACTTTACATTTGATTGTTAGATTCATTGATAGTACTACTATGAATGATAATAACGAATTGACAGGTAAGAAATGAACAAACACCCGTCTTTGAATTCTAAACCAGAAAATGGTTCAAAAATAAATTTTACTTGACATATATATATATAATAATTAATCAAATGGTCCATAATATTGGTTGATTAGTTCAACAATTTCATAGTAATGATGTGCTTTATCATAATCTATTCTCATTTTTGTCATTTCCTTTTCAATTTCGACACGAGGAATTAATTTGTTGGAGGGTGTGGATAGAGCAAGACAAGTCGAACCTTCAGTTCGATGTTTATGGAGAAATTCAACTGTTTCTAAATCATTATTCAATGCAGCATTGTCCATCGCCATAGTAGTACATCCCTCGCTACGATTAAAGTGTAGAAACTATATAAAAATGAGAGAAACAATTTAATTTTAGTTTGCTCCAGCTTTTTTAAAAAAAAAGGATCAATTTAAGAATGTACTTTAATCACTTCAAGATGTATCTATCACATTGACTGTGCAAATATATGATGACTGTCTTGATATATCACTTTATCAGCTGCATCCGCGGATCAGTGACAAACAAATGTATCTTTGAAGATGGAATAGAGTGAGAGAAATTGAATTAATGAATGACATATCATGTTGTCTGATCACTTTTAGATGCGGCATCATCCATAGCCTTGGTTGAAAATCCTTCTGTACGATTCTGATGTAAAAACTGAATAAATAGAGGTTGAGGATGTTAGGAATAATTAGTAATTTAAATATATATATTTTTGTTTTTTGATATAATACTTTGACAATTTCAAGTTTTCCTTTTCCAACAGCAATGTCCATTGTATTTGGTTTAAATATTGATTCTGGAAACTTTTCACAAATAAACTGTAATATGTCTAAATGACCATCCATAGCTGCAAATCCTACTAAATCATCAACCTGTGTCCATAAAATATCTTGTGGATAATGTTGATAATAGTATTGGATAATGTCTAGTCGACCATGATATGAGCTTGCATCACCTAACCCAACAATAGTACATACTTGGTCGAGGTACATTAAAACTTCCAAACTACAATTCGTCCCAATAACCGCATCCACTGCAGTAGACGGACATTTCTCTTTCCAAATGTTGCTGAGAATAAACTTTAAATAGATTATATAGGTTAAACATATTTGTGTGTATTTTATAAGAGATTTAAAATGTTTTGGCATACCTTTATCATTTCAAAGTTACCAATTCTACATGCATTGATGATAGCTTGTTGGGTACAACCTTCTGTACGGTTTTCAAAAAGGAATTTGACAATATCCAAATCACCTCTCAAACATGCATTATCAATGGCGGCAGCTGTACCACGAAAACCATTTTTGTGAAGAAATTGGACTATTTTTAGACTTTTTGCATTGTCTATTGGATTGCCAGTGTAAGATTGGTATGAATAATAATTATTCTTAATTTTATAATAGTGGAACCATTCCAAAATATGTAAATGTCCATTTTTGGCCACAATTTCCATTACACTATTGAGTGTGTATCCTTCACTACGATTGAAATGTAACCACTCTAAGAAATTCCAATATATCTCTATGTCCTTTAGATGCAACATTATAGATTAATCTATGATGGATAGAATCGTATTGATCTTGTGGATCATATTCAGGTGACCATTCCAATAGATGTTGGAGTGTTGACAATGTTGCATTTCGATGTGCACAATATCTACTAAAAACAGCCATTCTTCTCTTTACCAATACTTGATATTTGTCTGGTAGATAATGTTTGATAAAGTTCCATGGCATTGCAAACACTGATATCATTTCAAGCCAAGACAAATTAATGATATCTTTACCTGAAAGTGAACCACTTTGTCCATCAACATGGAGATTCAAATCCTTGTTGTTGTTGTTGTTGTTGTTGTTGTTGTTGTTTAACTCTTTTGCATATCGAAATATTGTATGTCTAATGAAAGTTGACCCAATCAAACTTTTAAATCTTATTGTCATCATTGTTGAAGTTGATAATGATCCACATACTCGACATTTAATAATATTATTATTATTATTGTCAAATGTTAAGCCATCCATCATGATTATACAATGATTATCATATGACTCCCACCTCTTGAATCAAACCTATTTAAATACACCAGGGTGTCATTTCATTCATAAATTTATAATATTTTATCCATCCTTTAATAAATCGATGCATAAATCGATATATAAATATATTAATATATATCTATAATCTCATTAGAATAACTTGAATACTCTATTTTCATAGCTGTGGAAATACACAGATCTTCATCATAATGAATCTAATTTTAGAAAGAAGCATCTGATGAAGATCTGCTAAAAAAAAGAAAGATAATACAATTTATTTTATTACCACACTTCCACAGCCACACAAACCATAAAAGGGTTGGGGGGTTACTTGTTTTTGATTGAATTTATGGGGTGATTGGATGTTCATCTTTTTGGTTTCATTGCCAATTTACAATACCATTTATTAATAATAATTCAATTTCATTTCTTCTTCCAAAGATTTAAATATGGTGAATGCATGATAATTTAAATTCATTCTTTGTGTCTCCAAAATAGATAAATAATTAAATTAAATATAAAATGAACGTAACCTCTCCAATTCAACAAGTTCGAAATGATGTCAAGGTATGTGCACAAAAGCAAACAAACAAGTATCTCCAAAACTATGATGGTACTAACTAATCAATCAATCATCTCTTCTCTTATTTCAATATCTTTTTTTTCTATAGAAAATGTTAAAACAATTTGACACCAACAAGAACAAGACCATTTCATTTACTGAATTGGTATCCCACTTGGAAAAGACTGACAGCAAGAATGCCATTGATACTGCCAATGTCATGTTTATGATCCTTGACTCTGATAATGATGGCATGATTGATGTTTCTGAATTGGCTACTGTATGTCTATATTAAAAAAAACATAGATTTAAACTTGGTTGCCAACCAAATTAATATTAATATTAAATTAATCTTGTTTTATTTTCTCTTTTATTATTTGATAGCAATCTGAATCATTTGATGATCCCCGTGTTCAAGATCGTATTAAATCAGAGACTGCTCGTTTATTAAAGTTTTTCGACAAGAATCAAGACGGACAAGTAAACAGAGAAGAAGCCTTGCAAGCCTTTTCCAAGAGCAAGAACCCAGAAATTCAAGTTGACCGTCTCTTTGCCACCTATGACAGAGACCACAACAACATCATTACCATTGAAGAAATTAGACGTGGAAAGTTTTTGGAAACTTTTGGAGGAAAATAAATAAACAAATAAAACTACCTGTTGACTATTATTGATATTCTTTATTTAGAGAATTTCAATTTTACCATTGTTTATATTTATATATATATTTAGAATTAATTTTATTATTATTAATATTTATTCATCCTCTGAATCTATACCTTTGTGATCATTTAATAGTTGTTTTAATATATCATCAAAACTTTCGACCAACTTGAAACCATCTTGATCATCAAAAGAATCTTTTCTTTTTTGGTAATCACCACTGTACAACTCTAAACTACATGATGGTAACTTTCCTTTTTTAATATATTCAATCATTTGTTGGATGGCCTTTACTTCTTTAATCTTTCGAATGACGAAATATTTCAATCTAATAACCTTGAGTGATGACTTTTGATGTTTGAACAAGTATTGTAAAATGTTGATATCGAGTCTCATGTCTTTTAAAGAGATGCGGCCATCGATTTCAAACTCTTCCAATTGACAACCAACATTGGATATTAAGTATCTAATGAGGTATTGGCCACCAGTCTCTTGTTGTTGTTTGTGTGTTTTGAATGATCTACCAACTACTTTTAGTTTTGTGAGGTTTGGCATTGACCCAACTGATGGGAATGTACAAAACAATCGTTTAGTGATATCTTTGTTTCTCTTTAGCATTTCCTCTTCGCCGGCACCACTGAACGAACTCCAATGGGTGGCGGCACCAACAAGAGTGAGTGACTCTGTTTTTGCAAATACATCATCAATGAGATGGTATGGTGTTGTTCTGATGAGAGCATCATAACGAATGGTGGTAGGCGACTGTTTAAAGAGACATAGTGGTCGACCATAGTTGATTTGTCCTTTAAGGTATTGGGTTGGGATCTGTCCCGCCCAATCCAATCGTTCAAGAACTTGACCTACATTATGATGGAATTGTTTTGATACTGTCGCCAATCTATATAGTACCGTTGTCATTTCATCAAATAAACCAGTCACCGACCATGAATCTTTTTCTTCAAATAAATTTTGTTTGAGGAATGTATCGGTCATGAGTGTATATCCAATAATCTTTTGTAATATATATTGGTTTCTTGTTGGTTGTGGGAAGTAACTATTGTTGTTGTCAGATGAGGAGGAGGGGGAGGAGGAGGAGGAGTAGGTGGGTAGTGGTACCATTTGTTTCTTTAACGATTTAGATTTCTTAGTGGTGGTAGGTTTGATGTACTTGGCTTTTTCTGGATCGTCTTCACATTCATCTTGGTTGTAATAGTTGATTTTATCCATCGAGTAGTAATCATTTTGAGCTGTTGAATAAATTCATCTCGTTTGTCTGCTGGGACAAAACCCGATTGTATCATCATGTCCAAGTACTGGGTCATTTGCGATTCAAATTGATCCTCGACACAAATGTCATACTCTTCCAACAATGGTCCACATGCTTTGACCATGCTCGACGGGTCATTTAGCAATTTATCTCTAAATGCATTGACCTGTCTTACATTCTTATCCTTTTTGTAGTAATAGTAGATAAAGAATTGTATAGCGATAAAGACACGTGCAACTTGGTTTGATGTAGAGTCGAAGCTTGAATATCTTGATTGCTTCATTGTACGGTATACATTTGAGTAAAAGTGGGTGTGTATAGTATTCATTCTCTTCATTGAAGCCTGGTAGAGTGTCTTTGAGATACTCTAATCCAAGGTTATCCTTTTCTATCATTTCAATCACATTGATAGCATTTTGATAATAGTTTACAGATGTGGTAATATCTGATACGTTTCTTCTTTATATAAATCACTTTCATAATTTAAGTTACTTGTCAACTCTTGAACATTTTGTTCAAATATTTCTTTTACTAATTTTGTCTATTGCTCTAGTTTTTACTGTAGACTTTTTCTGTCCTGACATTAACACTTGTTAATTAAAAATTTTATTATTAATATAATATAAATATAAATAAATAAAAGTATAAATAAAATGGTATTAGACAGACATGACTGAAGAAGAAGAAGTTCACCCACCCTCAACCTCCCATTTATATTTTAATTATTTTTTAATTTGTTTTATTTATTTATTTATTTCTTTACTGTACTTTTTTCTATTTTTCTATTTCTTTTTAGTTTGAAACTTGAACTAAATATCTCATTCTAACTTGAGAGACATCATAAACAATATATTCATTCATATTGAGGGTCAAGTCTGTTTGATCTTGTGCGATGACTGGTTGACCGAGTGGGATGGTGACACCGTTGGTGAGGACAATGCTGTTATCAAAATCACTTCCTTCACGTCCTACTCCCTTTGTACTGTTATAGCCAACTGGAGCCGATTCCATGTATTCAGAAGACTTGAATTCTTTGAATTTACCAAGAGCCACTTCGGACAAGAGGAGGAACATGTCATTGGTGTGAGATGAAGAGCTGCAATAGTTGATCGACTTTTTAAAGAGATCGGCAAAGTAGATACCCTTGCCAAACATATAGCCAGTGTGATGAGCTTCGGCTGGAGCAATTTTGAGACCTTGGTGGAGGATAGAGAGGTAGTTGGTGGTCTTGGATCCGTGCCACAAGAGATAGTGGTTTTCAAGGTTACGTGATTTGACATTGAAACGTTCAGCTTCATCCTTGCGTTGCAATCTAAAGATATTGACAATCTTGTTGGATTGTGCACCAGTGTTGACACAGTATTGACGGAGTGCGTCAAATTCGGAAGAGTTGTGTTGGAGTGTCTCGAGTGAGATACCAAGTGCAGAGAAACAATAGTCGTATGGATGAAGTGTCTTGTTGTGACTGGCAGCGAGCAAGATCTTGCTGACAACCTCGAGCTCGTCGAGATCCTCGAGCAACTTCATCTTTTGAGCAACGACATTGCTTTCATTGAGTACCTTCATACGTTCTTGACAGAAATCAGTGTGTGGAATAAGTTCGTAGAATTGGTTGGACAGAGTAACTTGTTCTTCACCGTTGGCTTGGAGGTCGATACCTGATACATCTTCTTTTTCCTTTTCCTCCTTTTCTTCCTTTTCTTCGTCGTCGTCGTCGTCGGCGTGAGAACGACCTTCAGCCTCATCCTTTTTCTTTTCTTGATCGAGTAATTCACGGAGACGTGCGAGGATGGCAATTGCCTGATTAATGACATCACGTGACAAACGACCGAGTGGCATGATATCAGTGTTGATACGCAAGCTCTTGACTTGTGTCTCGATGGCCTTGACATCGCAAAATTGTGCCATCACCTTTTGGACGGGTGCGGGTAACTTGCTGGCGGGATAATCTTCGAGTTTGAAGGGTTGGAGAATTTCCTTTTTCGAGCGGTCAAATCTGTCAAACTGCAACAAATGGTATTTCTTGGCTTGTTTGACAAATGGATTAGAAGAGTCGAATGCGGCAAAGTTGTTGCCACTCTTGGTCTTGAAAATCTTGCCAAATTCAAGTACACCTTCATCCTTTGATGGGAACGATGTCTTTTGGTAGTTACCGACTTCACCAATACGACCGAATCTATTGACAACGATATAAGTGTCGAGTGAAGGGTTGTGGAGCAGTTGTAACTTGTAAAAGGCGTTACGACCATAACGACCGGCCTTGGCATCAACCTTGGTGAGGAGGACGTCATAGATGAGACCATTGTCGACAAAGACACTGCATGTGTCGGCCAAACCAGACGATGGGTCGACAACTGGCTTGAGGGGTTTGGGTGGGTTGGTCTCGGCCAACTTCTTTTGTTCGGCGACGATACGATCAACATCCTCTTGGAAGTTGATGACATTCCAGTTGGTAATGACCGATGTGAGACGGGTTGGTGCGAGATGGGGAGCAACTGGCTTGGCACCAAGTGCAACGAGTGAACGCAACATCTTACCACTGTCTTGGATCGATGCATAGTATGCAGGGGTATGTTTACCAATATCTTCAAGATCAATTGGTGCACCCTTACCAGCGAGTAACTCCAACAACTTGACATTCTCATACGACCCAAAGTCTGTTGGATTGACAATATGGTGGACAATTGACTTCTTGTCAGCGTCACGAGCAGCGAGATCGGGTTTGTTCTTGAGTAGACGTTCGACGATTGGGATTGAATTGACACGTACTGCATGCATCATTGGAGTCAAACCAATAGAGTCGGCGGTGTTGGCATTGGCACCACTATTTAATAACAAGTCGACTAGTTTAAGTTGTTTGGTGAGGACGGCATAGATGAGTGGAGTCACCTTGATGTCGGCAGAGCTGTCATCGTCGGTACGTGATTTAATGTCAAATGGGAACTTGAGTTCGAGTGATGGTTTGTGAGAGAGCAGAGTCGAGAGTTCGGCATCTGGTGCATCATCTTGCTCGGTAAAGTCCTTCATAGTGATCAAACAGAGCGAGAGTGGGGTGTAACCCTTCTTGTCGGCTTGGTTAATGTCGAGCTTTTGACCAAGCAAAAAGGTAGTGTATTGAACGTTGCGGTTGAGACCGGCATAGTGCAATGGGGTACGACCGAGAGCGTCCTTTACATTGGGCGATAATCCAAGAGCCATAAGCTTGCTCTGGACGCGTTCCGACCAGTTGGTAATGGAACTTGGGTAGATACCGATAAAGTGGAATAGATTTCTTTGCTTGTCGCCGGTTGGTGAAACTTCACGCAACTCTCTTACCTTGCTACCCAACAAAGTCAAAGCTAAACGATACTTGTCAGCCTTGAAACTATCATGCAATGCATGGAATGATTCCAAACCACTATCCAACATGATATAAGCAACTCCTTGATCATTGTTTTTAACAACCTTGTAAAACATACCAACCGTTTGAATATTGGTCTTTGTAATCTTTACAATATAATTGTTTGAATCTGAAGAATCCAACTTTTGTTGTTGTTGCTGTTGTTGTTGTTGATGTTGTTGACGAGCATGAGGATTACTAAATGCTCCACCCATATTTCTTGGGACTGCTTTGGTTCTGTGTGAAGCTGGTTGAGGGACAGGTACAGCAGTTTCTTCAACCTTTTTCTCGACACCATTTTGATCAAGTTGAATACGTTCAATCTTTAGGTCAAAAGTAGTCAATGTACCAGTGACAGTAGCCTTTTTCTGGATGAGGGTGATGGCACAATCAGGGTGACGACAAAGGAGGGCAATAGAGAGTGGAGTGTTGTTGTCTTCGTCGAAACGGTTGATTTGGGCACCACGTTGAATAAGATGTAATGCACTGACAGTTGAACCATGTTGAGCTGCATAAAAGAGTGGGGTACGTCCAAACTTGTCGGGTGTGTCAATCTCAATGCCCTTGAGTGAGCACAAAGCAGAGACTGTCTGGATTGGATCAAACACAGTACTATCTTGAATCTTGTTGATACCCATCTTGATGAAACAATAGTGCAAGGCAGTACGACCAAGAATATCGACAGCATTGATTGGTGCACCATATTGAATTAACAAATCTTCCAATTCAAACGAAGAGTTGGAATCGGTATTTGAATAATTGATTGAATAGTGAAGTGGAGTACGTTTCTTGTTGTTTACAATCTTTGGGTCGGCCTTGTTTTTGAGGAGCAAGGAGATTGGATTTTCCTCACCTTCCAATGCTTCATCATTGATGAGATGCTTGTTGGAGGCAACATAGATGAGTGGAGTGTTTCCACTGTCGTCACGAGCATTCACTTCTGATCCCTTGGCAATCAGTGCCTTGATGAGTGGCAAGTGGAGTGACTTGCCCGAACAACATGCCAAATGAAGAGCTGATCTCTTTTTCTTGTTGACCATTTTAATCGATGCACCTGCATCAACCAATGCAATAGCAATTGGGTATTCACCAGTTGAAACGGCAAGATGTAATGGTGAATCTCCACTCTTGTTACTTGGATCGAGATTGGTTGGTTTACAAACATCCAAAATCAATTGAATAATATTAACTTCCTTTGTTAAAATGGCAAAATGTAATATTGATCTATTTTCACATAAAGCAGGAGAAGATGAAGATTTTTTCTTTGATTCTGAATCTGAATCATCATCGTCATCTGAATCATCCATACTATCATCATCATCATCATCTGAATCATTATCCATACTATCATCATTATCCATACTAACATCATTATCCTTTTTATCTTTTGCTTGTTCATTCTTTTCTTGGATATTTTCAATGATATTGAAATCTGGTTTAGTAGATTCAAAAAGACTACGAAGAGCATGAATAAAGGTGATTTTGTTTGTTTCCTTTTGAGTGGTATTTGATTTCCATTCGGCAAACTCTTCTGGTGCGGTGTTTGGATAGTTTTCCAAGAGTTCCATGAGTGGGGTCTTGCCAACGAGGTTGGTTTGGTTGACCAATTCGGTGATACGTGGCTGCTTGACGAGTAGATTGACAATATCAAGGAATTTGAATGGATAGTATTTGAATACACTGGTCAAGTTGTGAAGAATGTTGTTCTTGCTTGGTGTGTAGGTACCAACAACCGATGCACCCTTGTTGAGGAGATAGATCATCATGGGGAGATTGTTTTCTCTAAATGCTACCATTAATGGTGTCTCTCCTTTGGCATTGGCTGCGTTAATGTCGGCATTGGCATTGACCAACAAGTCACCAGCACGTGAATAGAGAGCAACATGGGCAGTGATACTAGCCAACACTTCATCGGGAGTGGTGAATACTTGTTTGGATCCCTTTTGCTTGGCTTGGCTCTGTCTCCATCCATAATGGTAACGTGTCTCTGGTTTGAGTTTGTAGCGGGTGGTTGTCTTTGCCAAATAGTGTAATGGACCTTCTTTGTCCTTGTCAGTGTGAGTGACAGACGATCCACGCTCAACCAAATACTTGATGTTGCCAATCGTGTTTTCAGTGACGACCGATGACTCGGCCATCGACTGGAGTAGAGTCGAACGACCATACTCGTCACATACGTTGGGGTTGGCACCGTGGTCATTGAGATACTGTGTGATTCTAAAATGACATTTGAGAATAGACACAGACAATGGTGTCATCTTCCAATCGTTGGTTTCATTGAGATCAAGTTTAAAAGTCTCGGTAATGTACTTTGTAATCTCGTACCATCCATAGGCAGCTGCGTAATGGAGTAGTCCATTCTTGGATGAATCTTGAATCTTGGCGATCGAGTTTACATGCAAGAGGTAGGATGCGATGAGAAGGTGACCATTCTTGACGGCCAACATCAAAGCAGTACGTTTGTACTTGTCCTTTTTCTCAATATCTGCTCCACACTCTTCGACGAGAATCTTGACAGCGTCAAGGTGACCGGCAATCGTTGCCTTCATCAAGGCAGAGAGACGGGTTGTCTTTTCTTGGACATTGACAATGTTTGTGTCGCCGTCGGCTGCCTCATGCAACACACGGAGTGCACCGAGTTGATTGTTCTCTGCGGCAAACATCAATGCGGTTTGACTCTTTTTGTTTTTGAATAATGCCAAATTAGTGTCTTTGGCAGCCTTGAGGATTGCCTTGATGTTTTGGATACGACCATACTGTGAAGCAATGAGGATGGGGGTGAGTTGGTGAAGGTTGGCTTCATTGGGGTCGACTCCCTTGCCAATGAGGAAGAGAAGGTTACTGGGTGAGGTACCGGCAGCTGCGTAATGGATTGGCTTGTACTGTTGTTGGTCGGGACGGTTTGGCTCGGCGACCGACTCGAGCAGTGTCTTGAGGTGCTTGGGGTTCTCTGTGTTGGCAGCGGCGCAGTGGATGGGCGACATGTTGGCGTTTTGCAATGGTTTCTTGGTGACGGATGGGCCACGGAAGGTGGTGAGTGTGTTGTTGCCAGTGCGCAAAGTCTCGGCGTGCAAAAAGTTAAAGTTGAAACCTGAACGATCGACCAATTTTGTGATGATCTGTTCGGCGAGTACAATGTTGTTGGCACGGACGGCCAAATGCAGACGCTCGTTGATATGGTCTTCCAACTGTGGGAAGTACTTGTACAACTCTTGCAGGGTGGCGAGTGCGACACCTGGACTGGTCAAACAGACGATGGCAAGATGAGTGTCGTCGACCGAGTCGATCGACGCTTGCTCGTAACTCTCACGGTCCTTGAGGAACGCCTCCTTGCCCTCACGTCCACCTCTGCTGACATTGTAGGCGGCCACGTGGTGACCATAGGTGTAACGCGAGTGGCTGCCAGTACCCTCCTCGGGATAGTTGGGGAGAGGGGGACGCTCCTTTTTGGCGTCGTTTTTGAGATCGGTCAAGATGACCTGGATCGCCTGCACATTGTTGTTGGCAATGGCATAGTCGAGTGCCGTCTTGGGGACATCGGGCGACCGCTGCACCAAAAGTGTTCCACAGTCGATACGTGCCACGAGTGCACGTAAAAGGGTGATGTTGTTGGTCAACACGGCACGAATAGCTTCACGTGCCGTACACATATAACAACAAAATTCAAAGGTGGTCGATGTCGACTCGAACGTTGGGTCACTCTCCAAGACGGGAATGTCTGGATTGGGATTACCCTTTTTGGTACGTGCCTTGATTTCTGCCTTGGTTGGTGCCTTTGTACTCTTGGCCTTTCCAGTTGCATCCTTTACCTTTTTAACTGCCTTTTTCTTGGTGTCTGGATCTGAATCTGATTCTTCAGACTCTTCAGATGATTTCTTTCTTTTGGTAGTTGTAGCTTTAACAATTGATTTGGTCACTTGTTTGGCTGCTGCCTTTTTCTTTGGTTCTGTTGGTTTCTTTGATTTCTTTGATGATGATTCTTCTTCTTCAGATGATGATGAATCTGAATCTGAATCTGATCCAGAATCCGATCCAGATTCTTCAGCTGCTGCCTTTTTTCTTTGGTGCAGCTGTTTTCTTGGCGGGTGTTACAACTTTACCCTTTTTGACTGGTGTTGCCGATTTCTTTGAAGAAGTTGATTTCTTTGATGATGATGGTTCTTCTTCTTCTTCTTCAGATGATGAATCAGAATCAGAATCAGAGTCTGAATCTGAATCAGACTCTACAACAACTGTGGCAGCCTTTTTTCTTTGATGGAGATTTTGCAGACTTTTTCTCTACTGCTGCCTTTTTTTCAACCTTTTTTGACAACTGCTGCTGCTGGTTTCTTTGAAGTAGAGGATTTCTTCTTTTTATCATCTTCATCATCATCATCATCATCAGATGAAGATGAGGAATCAGATTCTACAACTTTCTTTGACTTTTTAGAGGTACCATTTCCATTTGTTGTTGTTGCTGTAGTTGTAGTAGTTGTTTTGGCAGCAGGTTTCTTTTTCTTTGGTGATGGAGGAGTTGGTTGTTTTTCCTTTTTCTTGGTTTCTGCAACCTTTTTAACTTCTTTAACTTCCTTTACTTCTTCTTCTTCTTCCTCTTCCTCTTCTTCTTCGGATGAACTATCTCTGTCATCTTCAGCGACAGCTTTGGCACGAGTTAATTCACCTTTGGTGATCTTGTAAAACTGTTGAAGATTGTTCTCCACGTCGACTGGTTTCTCGTCCTTGTCGCGTGGCAATAGTTTTGTGGTAACCAATACTGAATCGACTGGAATCTTGCATGACTGCTTTGATGGTGCCAATTCAAATTCCAACTCTGTTCCTTTTACTTGATTTAACCATCTAACATAAACTTCTGTATCTTTTAATGATACATCTAAAAAATATTAAAAAAAAAAAAGAAAAAAAAGTTAAAATCATGTGATGTGAAGTGAAGTTCACTCTCTTTTTTGTTTCTTTTTACCTTCTAAACCAATAGCTAACCAAAATAAATCTTTTTCAGAATCAGGTCTAACAACAAAGAATGAACCTTTAATATATTTTATCTATAATCGTCGTAGAACAAAGTTTAGTTAGTAAAAGAGAGAATGATTAATCATTAGTGTGTTTTCTAAAAAAAAGGATATTTTTTTTGAGAGTGGTCTTTTGAAAAGACATATGTGTACATACTTTTTGAGAAGTTGGGTCATTTCTCCTTCCAAGCATACTCATTTTTGATTTATGCTTTTTTTGTTGATAATAATAATGTTATAATATATATACAATTTCTTTTTTTTTTTTTGAAAAGAATAAGGGGTCTGTTGATAATTTAACAACAATTTAAAAAAAAAAAAAAAGTTTTCTTTTTTCTTTTTTCTTTTTCTTTTGATGAACCAATATAGTTTTAATAAACTAAATATCCTTGACTACAAAACTAAACTAAACTTCTTTTCTCTCTTTATAAAAAACGTGTGATTTTTGGTAGAGATATGATGAACAAAGTAGAATAGATATGTGAACAAAAGGACAAAAGATATGAAAACTCTCTTCTCTTGATGAATTGTGAAAAAAAGGCGCAATGAACTCAAAAAAAATGAAAAAAACAGCATTTTTGTGAAGAATCAATAGATTTTTATCTTCCAAGTATGAAAAAATGCTGGGAAACAAAATCACATGTCTTTCATAGCACACAAGGAGACACGACCTACAAGTTTTTGATGTTTTTTGATGTTTTTCATGTCAAGTTTGTCCGTGAGAAGACCTTGTGAATGAAACTTTAAATTTATTATAATTACCCATTGAAAGTTAAAGTGATTTGATCAATTCGTTTTAAGAAGAAGATCCTCTGTCCTTTAGTTTTTTTGTAAACCCCACCCATTATTATTATGACCGCAAAAATATACAAATTTGTTTGTTTGTTGGTTTGTTGATGTTCTACATATATATACATTATTATTATTATTATTATTATTATATACGATTAGAAGTATATTACTACAACTAATATTTTAAATTGTGTTTGTGTTTGATTATATCTATCTATCTATCTCTATTATTATTATTATTATATATTATTATTTTGTTATTGATTTGTTATTATTATTTCTTTTTAGAAAGCTTTTTCATAACCATTTGATCTTGTATTTCTAATTAAACCATCTAGGATATGATCGGTAGCCATATGCAAGTCGAAAGCCTTGTCAGATTTGAAATAGATTTTTCTGCGATCCTTTAATTCAATTTCCCATTCGGTCCAATTTTCCTTGAGATTGAATTGTTTGATGCTGACCCAAAGGAATTCATCGAGTACTTGACTTTCATTGGATGTGATAATCTTGATGCCATCTTCGCACACTGCCAATATTCTAGGTTGTGACCATTTGCCTTTGATGAATTCATCGGTACCTAGTAATTGTTGAACTTGGAAACGTGACTCTTTTAATTCATTCAATGGTGCTTGATCATTTAGTATCTTTGGTTGTTTCTTTAAGAATGAGAATGATGGTCTTGCAATTTTCATTTTGATGGATGACGATGTTGAAAAAAAATAATTTTGATTATATTAATGGAAATTGGTAAAAAGAGGAAATGAAAGGATAAAAAATATAACAAGAGGAGGAGGTATGGAAGTTTGAGAGTTTATAAATAAATAAAATAACCTTTTTTGTTGTTATACTAAATTAAATTGAATGATGGTTGGTTTGTTTGTTTGAAATGAAAAGTGTAGGTGAGTCGATAAACTTGGTTTGGTAGTTGTTGGTTTACAAATAATTGTTTTAATTATTTAAAAATGGTGAAACGAAGAAGAAAGAGAAAAAGATGATGATGATAATAATATAATAATAATAATAATAATAAAAATAATGTTGCTGGCTGGATGTACACTCCATCACCAATTCGATTAAATAAAACAGAAACTGGTAGAGAGACAGGAGAGAGGTGAATTAAAACAAAAATACTCAAGAGTGATCACCCACTTACCCCATTTTGATCTCCCATGGTGTGTGGTTGGTGATTAAACCCAAACAGTCACTCACTCTTATTCATTTTTGACAGGCATCTGCCTAATAATACAACAACAGATGAAAGACATCTTTTTGGGGGTAGTGAGGAAATTAAAAATATAAAATTGATTGGTGGTGATGAAAGCGTATGAACTGGGGAGAGGGTACTACTACTATTTCTTTTTGTTGTTTGTTTGATGCTGACCCAACAGATTCATCGCATGCTTTTTTTAGTAGATTTTGCGTGTTGGTTATACATATATATATGTATGTGTATTATTTTTAAAATAAATGTGTGTGTTTAAGGGTAGCTACTCCCTCCACTCTCTCTCCTACTTTCACCGCGTTTGATTGGGGGTATCCTTTTCAAGCAATGGATTAGATCAATCAATCGATCGGTCAATCAAAAAAGAGTAATGCTATTAATAATTTTTTTAAAAACACAATCAATCAAAATAAATATATATTCTATTATTATTATTTAATTTATATAATTAATTTAAAATTTATTTGTGATTTATAATTTTGATTTGAGTTTATAGTTTTTTAGATATCGAATAAAGATTTTGTTTTATCGTTAAAAGTATTAGTTTGATTATTATTATTATTATTGTCTTCATCACTATCATCCATTATACTAGTTGATTGTTCTTTAAAGCTGAAAACATGTTGTTTTGGTTTCTTTTCTGTTGATTTTTTGTTGTTGCTACTGTTATTATTGTTGATACTATAATAATTTGAAGATTGATTATCATTTTCTTCTTCATCACCACTATCATAGAGACCAGGGAATTTAGATGAAGAACCACGGTCATCATCATCTTCAATTTCGAATTTTGGTAACATCTTGTAACGGGCAACACCAGCTCTGAAACGGTGTCTGACGTACCATACAGCACCACCAATAACGATGGCACCGGCAACGATAGAGGCAATAACCTCGAGGGCAATGATGGCACCAGAGCCATCCTTTTTACAGTCGCTTCCATTGTATCCTGGGGCACATGATTCGCAGTGGTCACCTTGGAAGTTGGATGGACACGAACAGGTGCCGACGTGTTGGTCACAGCTTCCCTTTCCGCAACCACCGCAGTCATAGGTGGCCTTGCAATAGGGGTAGCCAGTGTAACCAAACGAACACTTGTCGCATTGGGTGCCATTGTAGGCGGGTGGACATGAACACTCAAAACCAGCTTCAGTGGGTGCGCACTGGCCAATTGGCACGCAGTATTGGGTGATGGTGGGGTCGCAACCACAAGTGTTGATGTGACATTGGTCAACGACACAGGTTGGTGTGCCTGGAACGGGGTTAACATCGGTATAACCAACTGCGCAGGTACCGCAGACTACACCAGTATACTCTTGTTGACAGATACATTGGCTGCCAGAGAATTTACCGGCACCAGAACATGAAGTGTCAATCATCGAGTATTGATGTTGTGGTGGGAGGACAGCAGCATTTCCATTGGTGTCAAAGATGTATCCATTACGCAACTGCAAGAGGTAATCACCATTTGATGCAAGTGAGCTGTTGGCAAAGGTGATGGACCATGTTAGACCGTCGCTGGATGAGCAACTGGCAGATGTAGCAAAGATAGTATTGACATTGTTATTGAGATCCAATAGGACAAATGCTTGTTGGATGATATTGTTGCCATTGGAGCAGGTTACTGGTTGACCATTCTTTCCGTTGAATGGCTCGGAAAAGGCGAGTTGAATGGGGAGATTCTTGAGTGGCGAGAGGTTGTAACCAGAGGCGGGTGATACTTGGCCGGCATAGACAGTTTGAGCGTCGAGAATCAACAACGAGTAGATGAATGGGAAACAAAGGTCGCCATAGATGGATGCTCCTACAAACGAGGTCATTGGTGGATGGGTAATAGTCAATACGTATTGACCGGCATTGAGACGGTTATTGATGAGTGATTGAGTGAGTGTAGTGGTACCGCTAGTGTATTGTGATGACCATTGACCTGTACCAATGACATGTGGATTACCACTGGCACCACTAGTTGGGACTTGAGCAATTTGAATGATAAAGTTGTTGACAATCGAGTTGAAACTAAACATTGCCTCAACATGTGATACACGAGTCAATGTGAATGGAATACTATACTTCCAACCAGTGGTAGTGTTGTCAGTTGCATTTGGTGAGAGGGTATAACCTGGGATCGAAGAGACCAAGTAATCTGATGAATAACCTTGACCGTTAATCTTTGGACTCGAGGGGAGACTTGGATTAAAGTTTGATGGACAAGTGAAATCCTTCATGACCAAACTCAATGGGAGCATGGCAACTTGCATAGCATAGTTTGGACAGTTGTCCTTTAGCTTGCCGCTAAACATCATTGACAAGACCATCGATGTGTCACCACTGGTTGATGCATTGGCAAAGAATAGAGCTGAACGTTGGTTATTGTTTTGGATACCAAGTGTATAGAGTACTGGTTGTATTTGTTGGGTAATTGGATTGACTACTTGATAATCAATAGATGCAGCCAATTGCTCACTGGTGTAGACACTAATTAAAGTTGGTTCACCAATGAAAAAGGTAACATTTTGAACTGGTTGAAGGGGGATGAGGAAGTTTGGACTGTACATGGTCAAAGTTCCACTACCATCGATTGGACCACCGTATGGGATAGATCCATTGCTGTTGAGATCGGTTGGGAGTGGATCCAAGGTGGAACAGTCAATATGGTTGTTGGCTTGGGAAGCATCACGGATATTGACAATCAAATGGTATGGTGTGCAATGTGCGTCAAATTGGTTGACAAAGGCAATTGGGTTGGTAATTTGAATGGTATAGGTACCTGGCTCGAGGATAGCATTGATTTCATTGACGTTACGGTTGCTACGACCAAAGATGTAGCTGTTGGAACTGGTGATTTGAACGTCGAGATCGGCGGTAATGAATTGATAACCAATTTGAACATAGACCAATGATGGAACGAGAATGGTAAATTCAATGGTTTGGACAATGCCACCCTTTACAATATCAGTATAGGCAATGGTTTGTTGATCATTATACATGTAGCTATTGGTGAGTGGTGAAACTACAATCGTTGGTAATACGGTGGTTGGACATGTGGGTGGGAAGGCGGATGGGAGTCCATTCAAATCCTTTGTAACACGATCGGTTGATTGAATGGCTATTTCTAGATCTACGGCAGATGGTAATGGGAATGAAGTGAATGCTTCACCAATGGTGATGGTGTAGAGACCTGGTTGGAGAACAACCAATGCACTACCATAGACGTCGGTTTGGGTAGAGATTGAGATACGTGGGGAGATTACTTCAGTGTAGATATCGGCTTCCTCGGATGGGAGTACGACAGCTTGAACACGGACCAAAGAAGGATACTTTAGGGTGAATTGGACGGTATTGTGAGCGGGAACGTCGTCATACATGAGGTATTCACCTTGGAGATGGACGGCACCGTTGTATTTGAGGTACGAGTAAGTATCGAGAGACTGTGGGATGTAATGGTAGAACCCATCGGTTTGGTTGATAGCAGCGCTAGTCTGGTCAATCAACAACTCAAAGTTGAACGATGAACAACCCATGATCGAGGGGAGTGCAGTGTATGGCTCGTAAATGTAGAGAGTGTAGGTACCACTTGGCAAAGCTTGCACGTCGAGTGTATTTCGGTTGGGACGGACATCACCATAGATCACCTTTTTAGTGTTGGTATTGACTAGTTTGAGACTGAGATCACCGGTTAAAAAGTCAAATCCAACTTCGGCGTGGAAATTGGCTGGATTGTTGAGCTTGAATGGCATGCCATGTGATTGAAGTAATGCTACCGATTGTTGGAAGGCGAGTGGGGTGTTACTATCCATACTAGAGAACCAGTAGACTGGTGGGAGGGTCGATGGTAAATCTTGTGGCCAAAGGTTTTGTCCACCGGTACAAATGGATTGATCAGATGCAGTTTGGTTTGGACCAATGGCAATTTCCATGTTGAAATTGTTGCATACTGCAATCTTGCTTGACCATCTCCAGAATTGGATTTGTAAAGTATATCCTACATTTGGTTTGAGTGCAGTGATAAATGATTCCTCACCATTCAAACCATTGCTACCGGTTGCAACGACAACATTATTTGGATCAACCAATTTAATGTCAATGTCGATGGCATTGGGTGAAGTGTAGACACGCATAATCGAGGCTTGTTGAACGGTAAATGGAATGTTTTGGAAACTAAACATGGTACCGTTGGAGGGTGGGACGATAAAGTTGGATGACTCGTAATGCATGAATCCTTCGAGACCGAGGAAACGGACGCTGTTGAGTGTCTGTGGGATACGTTCACCGGCACACAAGGCAACCTTGGAGAGTGGGACCAGCGAGAATTCAAACTCGAATGGTGTGCAGTTTGGCAGACCGGTGGCATTGTAGTAAAAGTTGGGACGTTCAATCTTGAGGAGATAACTTCCTGGATCGAGGTTGGCATCGATAAAGTTATAGTTATAGTCGTGGAAACCAGAGATAAAGAGGGTGTATTGACCACCGATAAGACGACGGTACAAGTTGACACGGAGATCGCTACGGAGGAAGTCAGAAGCGACGGCAGTGTAAAAGTTGGTAACACCAGACAAGGAGAAAGAGTATTGTGCGACAGCGGTGGTTTGCTTCATGAATGAATAGTAGGTATTACGTGGATTGAGGGTAGATTCAAAGGTGAATGGAACGTGAACGTTGGGGATAAGTGGGACACGATCGCGACCATCGGCTGGACACGATGTAGTGGCAACGAGGGGAGATGGTTCAATTTCAATCTCCATATTCATGAGTGGACAGAAATTGATTGACGATGCGACATAGTCGGTCGAGACAGTGAGCACAAACTGACCTTGAGCCATGGCAACAAACACCATTCCTTGTTTGACATAGGTTTGGTTGGCAACTGGGTCGTAGAGTGATAGGGTGATGGTGGCACCTTCTTGGTCAGCTGCAATTCTAACATAGCTGGTTGTGGCGAGGGTAAAACTGACAGTGTAATGTGTTTGATCCATATAGTAGAGGTCTTGAACGTGGAGATATCCATTTCTCAAGAATTGACTGTTATCAAATGATGATGGCAAGAGTTCACCGTCACAGTTGAAATAATCTTCGTCGTCATTGACAAAGGAGATGTCAATGTTTAGATCAAAGGCAGCACAATCCATAACGTACATTTGTGCTGGGGCATAGATAAAGAGGGTGTAGTTGCCTGGTTGGAGAACTGCATTGAGTACATTACGGTTGATTTCATTGTCACCAAATACACATCCAGTAACACCAGTTTGATCACCTCCCTTGCACTTGGGTTGTCCAATACCACTTTGGAGAACGATTGCGAGTTCACCTTGAAGGAATTGATAACCAATGGCAGCGTTGAGGAGACCTACTTGACCAACTTGTGGTGGTTGAACGGTAAAGGTTGTATTCCACAAATAGATACCTTGTGCACCAGTACCCGAGTATGGTAAAGTGTAGGTGGCGGTAGAGTGAGAGCTGTATGGCTTGTTCAAGACAAAGTAGGCGGGGATTTCGGTCATGTTGCCTGGATGGTCGCAAATGTCCGACCAATTGGCCATATCTTCGGCGAGGTCTGCAGTAGTGTCAATTTGGAGTTCCATGTTGAATGTTTCACAATCAATGGTAATCGAACGATCCCAAAGATAGTACTTAAAGACGAGTGCATAGTTGCCAACTGGGAGAGTGTCGAGCATAACTTCTTCGTGACCAAAGGTGATACCACGATCGACGTTTTGTGCGTACGATCCATCTGGATTGAGTGAATAGAGCCAGAGATCAATATCGACCTTGTGTGGTTCAGAGTAGACACGCATCACCGAAGGTTGAGTGATTTGGATAAAGATGGTATGACTACCACTATCCATATCAATGTAATAATTGTCTTGAATATGAAGACGGTTGTTGTAGGTGAGGTATTCGATGGTAGAGAGTGAAGATGGCATGAGTGGAGCAATACAAAGTGTACCTTCATCTTCAGAACTCATTGAACAATTTGGATAACCATAGTAACCATAGTCACATGAACCACAGAGTTCAGTTGGATCGGTGGTCGTGAAACCTAGATTACAAGTACATTCTGGGAAACCATCTTGATCGTTACATTTACCGTTGCCGTTACAGCTGTCGGCTTGACATTGAGTATTTTGGATACAAGTGTTACCGGCACCATGATAACCATTCTTGCACTTGCTACAATCAGAACCAGCCCATGGATCGGTACAAACACATGACCAGTCGTTATTGGCACTGATACAAGTACCGTGACCCGAGCAATCACATTGGAACATATTGTAAATATGGAGAGCAGACGAGTTTTCTTGGGCAAACTTGACACCGTTGAGTGTTGAGAATTGGGAAGCATCAACATTGAGAGTGTAGAATGCACTGGCGTTGACTGGGAAAAAGGTGACTACCAAAGTGGTCTTGTCCTTCTTTTTGATTTGAGCAGAGTTTGGTTGGACGAGTATTCCAATCTTGTCAGTCTTTAGGTAGACAGCGTTGAGATTGTTGATATAGTCGAGGAGGTTTTGAGCGAGGTTGTATCCGATGGGTTCAGAGAAACGTACGTTGAGGATGAGTGGGAGTGCTGGATTGAGGTTGAATCCACTTGGTGGAAGAATACCCAAGATTCTTGGAGCAATACCGTCTACAGTACTTTCGGCAATAATATGGAAACTGAAAAAGTGACAAATGGAAGAGTTTACAATCATTGGACTTTGAGAGAGATCCTCATTGATGTCGAGGAAATAGTTGCCAGTGGTGAGATTCACTTGGATCATATTGAGGAAGTTGTAGGCAGAGTCGGTCGAGGTTGGGAGTCCCTTTTGACCGGTAGTGACGAGTGTGGTGCTACCATCGACATTGTGAGTTGACAAGGAGAGAGCAAAATCATTATCCAAATAGTCGTATCCAACTTCGGCATAGAGAACGAGTGGAGCAGATACTTCGAGTGACATACGGTATCTGAAAACATTGCTACCTGGACGTAGATTGTTTTGAATACGAGCATAGGTAAAGAGATAAGTGTCTGAACCGAGGGTAACATCTTGTCCGTATGGGAACTCGATTGATTCAGGTGGAACTTGATCAACTTCATTGGGGAGTGGGTTTGGACAGAGCAAGTCATTGGTAATGTGTGTGACAGTTTCAATGGCCAATTCAAAGTGGAAATAGTTGCATGGTGACTTTTTGTTGACACGGAAAAACATGACATCGAGTGTGTATGGGGTCGATTGAGGTTGGAGTAACCAGAGTGACGACTCTTCAGCTTGATTGGAGAAGGAACTGTAGATCAAACTGTTTGGATCAGATCCATTGGTGTAGAGATGGAAATCAATGTCATTGTTGGGGTCGGGTGAAGCATACAGACGCATGTAAACTGGTTCTTTGGGAACGTTAAAGGTGATGTAGTTGTGCTTCTTGTCGGCAGCATTGGAGAGGTAGAAATGGTCATTCATAAAGAGGATCTCTCCATTGACCGAGTTTTGTGGACCGCCATAAGGTGTGGCAGAGTTGGAATTGAGTGAGGATGGGAGCACATTGGTGGTACTGCAAGTTTGTCCGGCTGGTGTACTAGTATTGAGGAAGTATCCTAGTGTATAGGTAGCACATTGTACATTGTTGTAGGGAGAGACAGACGAATAGGGGTCGTATACATTGAGTTGGTATTTACCGGCTGGAAGAACCTCATTGATGTATGCTTGACCACCATCATAGAGAGCGTGGTAGTACTTGACAGTAGAGATACCATTGACAATGATAGTGCTGTTGAGCTTGATGGCAAGCGAGGCAACAGCATCATTGTATTGGACGGTGGTGGTAAAGAGACCGGTTTGATTGATGGTAAACACCATTGATTGTGGTTGTTGGGTAACTGCAAGACTACGCATAAACGTGCCAGAGTACAACTGGTTGCCATTGATAAAATCGGGTAAATCAGTTGCCGATGCATCACATTGTTGAGTGATCGATGGGACAGCATCCAAAGTCGATGTTGGTACAATCGAAATAAAGATGGGGAAATCAACACAGTCTTCGACCTTGGGGAGTGGACCGTTCAATCCATAGTAGGTAAACTTGATGAGATAGGTACCTGGACTGAGGAGGTTGTAGGTGATTTCTTCACCAGTGGTACGTGAAGAGGAGATGGTCTTACCAGTGGCTGCGTTGGCAAGTACTAGATCGATATCAAGTGATGAGTGGACTGGAATATAGATACGGACAAGTGACTTGGTGGTCAAAGTAAATTGAACATTGTCTTTGGCATTTTGAACGTCGGCGAGGACTGTTTGTTGGAAGTAGAGTTGTTGACCAGTGAGGGTAGAAAGGTAACCAATCGAGTTGAAGGTTTGTGGGAAGAGTAAGGATTGACAGACAATAGTATCTTGGTTGGTAGATGCGTCGTCGGCAAGTTGCAAAGCGACACGCAAAGTAAATTCAACACAAGTGTTGATATTGAACTTTCCACTACTTGGTTTGAATGGTTCATAGACACGAAGGTAATAATTACCTTGGGAAAGCAATGTGGGTAAGATATCAACCTTGTTGTAGAATGTTGTACCGGAAATGACAAGAGTACCATCAGCTTGGAACAAAGCAATCATGACATCATTCCAGACAAAGTCAAAAGTGATGATTGCACGGAACAAGGCGTTTTGCTTGGTTACAGAGAATGGTAATTGGGTTGAGAATTGGGTAGTGTTTTGAGTAAACATAAAGTCGCCAGTTTGGTCAAAAACGGTGGCAGAAGCGTTGGGAATCCAGTTGAGGGGTGGGAGAACGGCGGGGTTGCATACGTCCTTTGGTTTCTCGGATTGAGGGGCAATCGAGAGTTGAGCAGTGTAGGTGTAGCAGTCGCTCGAGGGGTACAATGGCCACTTGTAAAAGCTGGTGACCAAAGTGTAGTTTTTGCCCTTGGTGAGCACATACTCGATGGATTCGTCGCCGTTGAATTGGTTGCTCCACACAACACGCTTGCCATTCTCATTGAGGGTGAGATCAACGTCGATAGAATCTTGTTGCGAGTAGGCACGGAAGTACGAGTCGACCGAGACGGTAAAGGTGGTTGTCCAGGCGGGTGCGACAATCAACTTGACGGGTGGCACGAGGAAAGTGTCGGTGATCTGGATCGAGGTGGATGTACCGAGGTAGGCAGGCACGTTGAGACTGGTCGGGAAATAGTTGGCTGTACCCCAACATGGATCGTCGTCTTCAGCAGACTCGATCGACACATTCAACGAGAATGGAACACATGGTGGGAAGTAGGTAGAGTTTTTAGAGGTCGAAGCGGTTGTGACGAGGAAAGTGTAGTTTCCAGGTTCGAGGGTGAGAACGAGTTGATTCAAGTTACGCGAGTGGTCGCCGTCATAGACAACAGTCTGTTCGTCTCCGTCGTCGTCTTGGTTGTCCAATGTCACCGAGAGACGGATATCACCGAGGATAAAATTGAAACCAGCGGCGGCATAAAAGTATGATACCTGAGTGAGATTGAATGTCTGCGACACGATCGTGACTGGATTCGACTGACCAGAAAACATTTGGTAGAATTGTGTACCATTGAAATAGTATTCACCGGCAGCGTTCAAAGTAGACATTCCACTAACATCGGGCAATACATTGGCAGTAATACCATTGCAATAGTTTAGTGTAGTGTAATCGGTAGTTGGTGCAATACCAATTTCAATGTAAAATGTATCACAAAATGTATCAATATTATTACCAAAAAACATTACCTTGATTGCATATTTTCCTGGTGTCAATTGTGCTGTAATATCTTCTTCTCCTCCCCATTTAAATGATGATGTTACAATTGCTAAAAAAAGAAACAAAATTAATTAATTGTAAAATAAATATATTATATATTTGTTTTACTTACAACCATCAGAACTATCAAGGATTTCAACATCAATATCAACTCTATGTTCTGGAATATAAACTCTAATATAACTTGGTGTATCAATTGTAAACTAAATAGAAAAATAAATAAAAAAATATAAGTATTTTGTTTTGTTTGTTTCTATTTTTTCTATTTCTATAATTTACATTAACAATATCAGAACCAGTTAAAAGATCCAAGAAAACATTATCAGCAAAATAAAGATAACCACCATCATCGATAAAACCTGGATCATCAAATGAAGTTGGAAGATTGTAGGAATCACAATTGAGGAAAGTTTCAGTTTCGTGAGCAGATTCAATGTCAATGGCCAAAGAGAAAATGGTGCATGCTCCCGAGAGGGTGAAATCCTTTTCTTGAGTTTGATCATAAATCCAAAGAGTATAATCACCTGGAATTAAAACTGATTTCAATGTTGAATGACCCTTTGTAATATGTTGACCAATAATACAACCATCATTTTGTAAACATGCACTTAATCCTGTTTGAATTGGTGGAATTGTCATATTTTGATTAACAATCATTACACTAAGAAATAAAAAGAGATTAATACATATTCTTCTATTTCTTTTTTTTGTTTCTTTCTTTTTCTTTCTATTTCTATTTACCCAACACTACCACCAGTTAAAAAGTGAGAACCAATGGTAACTTCAACACCCCATTTATCAGTTGCAATGACATCAGATGGAAGAGTAAAGTTGTAACCCTTGACATAGGTGAGATTGTTTGCTTTACCGGTAGCTTGTTGATCAACAAAATTGAATACAGTTGCAGCATCATTGACATCTGAATCATATCTATAAATTCCACTTGAAACATCAAATGTCAATGTTGGGAATTGATTTTGGCTAGCTGGACAAACAGTTGCTGCTACATTGGTATTAACAGTTGCCTAAAAATTAATTTAAAAAGAAGAATGAATAAGATAAGTATTTGAATTGTACAATTTGATTCATTTTTCTTTTGTTTGTTTTGTTTTGACTTACAACTGGGGAAATAGCAGCTTCAATAGTTAAAGTTGGACAAGCCATTTTAGAACCAGAAGCAGCTTTAAAGAAAAGCAAACGTAATTTATATGAACCTGGAGCTAAAGTTGCAAAAACAGTTTCATCTAATCCTGGTGTTGAATCTGTAGAATGCTAAAAAGAAAAAGAAAAAAGAAAAAAGAAAAAGAATTAGGAAATGAATTCATCTATTATTATTATTATTATTATCTTTACTTACAGTGACTGGAGTTTTATTACTAGGATCACTATGATATAACCAAATATCAACATCTACGGTATGTGGTGCAACATAGAATCTAAAGGCACTTGGTACTGTAATGTTAAAGGTAATATCCTTGATAAAACTTAAAAAGTCATAGTAAAAGGTATCTTGTATATGGAAATCTTGATTGAATCCAAGATAGTTGTAAGAATCAAACGATGTTGGGAGTGGTTGATAGGGACATGACTTGTCGGTTGTTACCGGTGCTGCTCCCAAAACAACCGATATTATGCTCGCAATGAGCAATAAATAACCTAGAGGTTGAATTGACCTAAAAGATGATGAAGATAAAGATATATTGTTATTATTAATCATCTTTTTTACTCTATTGTTTATCTATCCTATGGTTTATAAATATATATTGGTTGGTTGGTATTGGTTGATGGATGAATATTGATGGATTGATGGGGAAGAGCGTGATTCTTGACGATCAAAGATTGATGGTCAAGAAGAGAGCTGAAGAGACAGGCGATTGGCGGGTATGAAATCGGACAAGATTTTTCTATTTTTTTGAAAAAACAAAAAAGTGTCAAGACCAACAAAAGGGCATCCGACGGACAGAGAAAGAGAGAGGAAATTTAAAAATAACTATAGTAGTTTGACCTTTTAATGATCATCTGATTCATGAAAAACAAAGAATATTTGTTGTTGTAAACATTGTGGTTTGGTTGTGGTGATTAGTGTGAAAATTGAAAGACGATGGGTGTGTGTGTGTGTGTTTGTGAGGATCCCACCACTCTTGATGATCATCACTTTTGGGTTCTCCTCCTTTTTCATAGTCGACCGAGTGAGTATGAAGATACATCACATCCAAGTACTTGAATATATATAATTGTTGAGTAAAGTTAAAAATAAAAGAAAAAATATCTTCCTTTGCTTTTTCGAATTTTTCATTCTCTTTCGAAGCTGGTGGAATCGACAAATTTGTGAAATGACACATTCGACGTCGTTCACGATCATCGTAATCGTCAAACTCTATCTATCTATCTGACAATACTATCCTATCCTATCTATTATTATTATTATTATTTTCCTTGTTGTTTTTAAGAACTATAACCACACATTGTGAAGTGAACTTGACATTTTGGTTGTTTGGTTGTTTGTGTTTATTCCTCTTACCTCATTAGTTTTTTGTTTTGTTTATACTGCTAAACTAGTACTATTACTATTACTAATTGAGAGGAGGAGTATTATCCTTTTTCTATTTCTTTCTTTCTTTCTTGGTTAAATATCTACTACTAACCTAACTACTCTTGTTGTGTGAAGTTGTTTGTTGTTGTGAATATTATTAAAAGATTCAAGAGAGTCAAAGAGGGGGATAATCGTCGAGTTGACTGCTACTAACGATCGTTTGGTCCAAGACTTTTGAAGCAAGTAAGTAGATAGATAGATAGATAGATAGATAGATAGATGTAGAGATAAAGATATTTAGGACTATATTGAAATAAGTTCAAGAAGTGTTGGTCAAAAAAATTATAAAGGAGAGAGAACTCGACTCTGGGGACTGACAGATTTTTAAAAAAAAAATTAAAAATATTTTGCAAAAGGGCGCCCTCTCCTCTCTCGCTCTGACAACCGTGAAAACTCCAGTGAACATTATGCTTTTGGTTTTTTCCTTCAAACCGGTAGAGGTACAGGTACAGGTAGATAATTATCTTCTACTATGAGTCAATAACAGTACAGTCGGTTGGTTGGTTGGTTGCAACCAAATGCATTTGGTACAATCCTACCAAAGATATTTATCTAACTAGTTATGTATTTGTTCAAACACCAACCAGTGTCCAGTGTTTCAAACAACAAAGAAACAACTTTTTGAAATTATTATTTAATAAATTACAAAACTTTGTTGAATCAATCAAATAAAGAGATAGAGAAATAATAATATAATATTATATATATTATCTTATAGTATTTATTCTACATCTCTCTCTTTCTACAACAAAAAAAAACGAATGAAAGATTTGTGTCAATTTTTGAGTTTTTTTTTGAAACATTGAGTGCTTCAAAGGAGATAATACACAACTTGTGTTCATTAGATTAAATCATCATTATCATCAAACAGAGAGAGATAGAGAATGGGTCATTATATTCCAAAACAAGATCATAACGGTATCGATATACCATACAGACTTCAAAAGGCTGCCTATTGGAGAGAAAACTCTCAAGTATTCTTTAAGTTTACTCCAAAGGTTACTTGCTCTATCATCTTGTTTGGTGTTGTCATCCCAAGCTTTTGGTTCTTTACTTCAAGAGCTCAAGGTGTATGTTATAGATAGAAGAGAAGAAAAGAGAAGATAGATTAGATAGATAGACGATATATATATATAGAAAGAAGGAGGATTATTAATCATTCATTCATTCATTCATTTTATTTATTTATTCGATACTTGTAGAAATACAAAGACCCAATTGACAGAAAGGAAAGATTAATTTAAATAGACAACAGATATAGAATGAATGAATGACAACAATAAGTTCATTCAAAATTGGGATAATAGTAATAATGGTGGGATAAACAACAACAACAAACAACAACAAACAACAGCAATTGATAGATATCATGTCTATTATAACAATTGTGTATCATACGAAAAGAAAGAATAAAATCAACAAATCAATCACTCTAAAAATGATAGATGGATTAAAGATAAATAGATAGATAGAATGTTTTGAATGAACAAAACAAACCTATAAAAATGTATTACATTTTTTTTTATTTAAAAAAAGGAATCTTTTGTTATTAGTCGTCGTCGTTAATCATCGTGATGATCATCGTCGTGTTGATTAGTATTACTACTATTATCACTGTTATTACCACCACCTACACCAAGTAATCTTTTGGCAAGTGATACCATGAATCTGTCACTTGGTTTGGTAGAAGTGGTTGATGTTGGTAAACTGGAAATTAGATTGGTAATGCTTTGGTTCGATGAAGTGATAGTTGAAGAAGAAGAAGAAGAAGAGGAGGAGGAATTAGAGTTTGATGATAAAGAGTTGGATGTTTGATTTTGAGATGGTAATGAAAATGATGGTGGTGAAGGTAACAATGAATTTATACTAAATCCATTACTAATTATATTATTAATAATAATATTATTAATATTATTATTACTACTATTATTATTATTTAGTATAGTGTTGGTTGATTGATTATTATTATTATTATTATTTACATTATCATTTAATAAAGAATTGGTAAGAGATGTAAAAGTATTGGTTGATGGACCACCTCCATCACCTGTACTAACACCTTGAATAAACGCTTTTACAATATCAGGTGCACTTATACCATTTCCTGGGATGGTATTACCACCACCATTACCATTAATATTACCATTGTTGTTGGGTACAACAACATTACCATTATTATTATTTTGATTATTAATATTTTGATTTTGATTTTGATTATTTAAATTATTATTATTATCACTGTTGTTGTTATTTCTTTTCTTTTTGTTTTTTCTATTTTTAATAAGATTACCAATTACATTGGAAGTTGTAGAAGAGATTGTTGGTTTGGTTGCTGGTATGACGATAGGAGGTTGTTGTCTTTGTTGAATAAGTGCCAATTTCTTAGCAGTACGATTACTCCACCAAGACTTGAAAGCTTTCCAAATAAAATGAGAAACAATTGGCCATACAACCAAAATAATAGTAACAACTAATAATTTTCTCCAAACAGTTGGATTCTTTCCAAAAATAAATAAATAAATCTTTTTAAATAATGTCATTGGTTTGTTTTGTGATTGCAATTGTTGTAATTGTAATATTTTTTGTTGTTGTTGTTGATATTCTTCATTTTCATCTACTACTAGATGTTCAGATGATAATAATGATTGTTGTTGTGGTGATTGTTGTCTATTTCCATAGATTTCCATTATACGATGTTTAATAGTATCCATTTCCAACTCCCAATATTGTTCACGTTGAGATAATAGTATTTCATATTGTTTTTGTTTCTCCAATAGTCTATGTACCTCTGCCAAACAATTAGTTAACAATCTTTCATTATTTGCCATATCATCGTCAAATATAATTGATGGATGAGTAGAGGAGGAGGAAGAAGCAGAGTTTAGAGATGAAAGAGGAAGAGGATTATTTCTTTCATTGTCAACACTCTTTTCAAGATTTGATATTCTTTGAATCAAAGTTTGTGAAAGGTTTTTAAATTGATAGATCTCTCTTTTCAATACACCCATACAAACTTCTAAATCTTTTCTATTCGTCACAGACAATACTGAAAAGTCAGAGTTTGAATCATAAAATGCTCCATCTCCTTCCTCCTCTTCTTCATTCTCTGTATTATTATTATTATAGTTGTTAAAGTCTTCTGTTACTACTTTTGTATATGGTATAATTGACTTTTTAACAATCCCTCCTTTTCTTTTCATTCTTTTACTATTATTATTATCATCTGAAGATGAAGATGAAGAACCAGAAGATGAAGTATAATCTGATTGTTGGTGTATTATATTATTACTATTATTATTATTACTATAGTGATTAATGTTACTATGTTGTTGTTGTTGTTGGTGACGTTGATTACTATTATTAAAGTATCTTGGTGATAATGGTGAAGGTGGTGTATAGATATTACTATTCATTTATCAGTTTATATAATCTAACAAAGTTAGTTAGTTACATATATTAATTAACCCTTCCTTTTGATAATGTAATTAGTTGATTGTTTGTTTGTTTATTTATTTGTACAAGAGCCTTTTAAAAAAAAATAGAGAATACACTTTTTTAATGATGAAGGGTGGGGGTTGGGTAGAGTGGTGGTTATGGGCGATGAATTCATTCTTCGATTGGCCCATAAAAACTATAAAAAAATTAAATTAAATTCAAGTTTCACTACTTTTACAGATTTCTCACAAGAGCCAAAGAATCCAAGATGTAGAGTAAGAAGGAGAGAGAACAATATCATATATTTATTTAATTATTTATAATGTCAAATAACAAGCCATGAGAATGTCTTTTTTTGGATGATTCGAAAATGTAATTCATACTTCATTATTATAATAATGATGAATTAAAAATATTAAATATTCTAAATCACATTTTAATGAATGAATCTAAAAAACTATAAATAAAGGATGTCCAACATATATTTTATAATACCCATATACTATTAAAGATAAATCAAAAATGTTATACAGTATGTTTAAAATATTAAAATATTAAAAATAGAAAATAATATTAATTTATTAATTAAATTAATTAATAAATTTTTTTTGTAGAATCATTTTTAATGTTAAATCCTGGTGATTCATTACAAAGATCAACAGGATCATCAATGCGTTCGATGTCCGGTGGAGTATCAGGAGATGCACTAAACCAAGTGGCCGGTAGAAGAGGTGGAAAGAAAGGTGGAAAAGGTGGAGGTGGAGGTGGTGGAGGTGGTGGAAATGTTGATATCGACATTGATATTGACATTGATATTAATAACTAAATCAGAGTCCATCCACTCCTTTTATATATTTAATATTTAATATTTAATATTCCTTATTATTATTTTTTTTTTCTATCCAACCTTTTAATTTAATATTTACTTTTTTTTTTCGTTTCCAAATTTCTTTTGTTTATTTAATTCTTTTATAATAAACTTTATATTCTGGATAAACTTGACCAGATTCATAAACAATATATTCTCTTAATTGAAGTGTAGCCTTTGAACCGTGATTTGCCTTTGATTCACCTACGACACTATTGTAGATATTGACACCATCAGGTCTCTTTGGTTCTGTACGACGACCATGCCAGAATTCACCTGGATTGTTACCACGAAACACGTTTTCGACCAATGTTTCACCGAGGATGACACGACACACCAACAGACACACTTCATCCTTTTGAGTACATTTACAATTGTTTGCTTTGAATCCACTGCTTGTACAGGCACCTGCGTGACAGTACTGATTCGATTTGGAAGAATTCTCGGCAAAATAAAGACCAGCTCCAAACATACCCTCCAAAGAACAAAATCTTGGATCGAATCCAAATTTCGTAATACCAGTAATCGAACTAACATTTAAACCATGGAAAAGGAAACATTCATTTGCATCTTTATCAACATCTGGTCCATTTGATAAATTACTTATTATCTTGTCTACTTTTGTACATTTACCATTATTATCTTGAATAATCTTTTCTTTTCGACTAAAGAAATGAAAATAAAAGAAAATATAAATAAATAAATATAAATCTTATTTCTATTTTTCTTTTACATACTGATTATAACGTAACCAAAGTGAAGCATTTTGAATTCTAACAACTCTAGTAACCTTTAAATCTTTAAATATAATTGGTGAAAGAGTCATTGTATTCTTGTGATTAGAGGCAATGGTTTTTGAAAATAGATCACTCATCCAATCAAATTCAGCGGTATGTGGGTACACATCAACCTCTTTATAATCCATTGATACATCTACCCATGTACTTGGACATTTCAAAGCTTGGGATATTGCCAATGATTGTGACATTGGTGCTGTATTTGCATTTGTACTTCCATTTGTTGTAATTGAGTTGGCAGTTGAAGGCGAAGTTGAAGTAGTTGAAGTAGTAGATGTAGGAGTTGTTGTAGTTGTTGTAGTTGTTGAAGAAGTAGGTTTTCCAGGTTTTGCTTTGCTTGCTTTCTACAATAGAAAATAAAAAAAAAAAGGAATAAGTAAAAATATATATATATATATTTCTTTCTTTCTTTTCATTTCTTACAATTGGATCTTCTCTTTTTAACATTCTACGTTTGTTTTCATCATCGTATCTACGTTGAAGCATATTTTGCATGTCACAAAAACGATCACTGTCAACTTTAACTTTTGGTTTGTTTTTGACGTAGGCCTTTTCCAGTTTCTTGGCAAATGCAGAGTCATATTTAACCCACATATCTTGATGGCCACCACCTGCACTATCACCAGCCCAATACCAAGTTGCATGGTAATCTTCATCATCACTATCACTATCATTTTCACTTGAATCACTGTCGTCACTACTAACAGCTTTTTTCTTTTTCTTTTTTGCTTGTTTTGTTGTTGAGGTTGTTGTAGAAGTGGTTGTCAAAGAAGTACTAATTCCTCCTCCAATTGCTGGAACCAAACCATTTTGACTACCATCACCAACATCTACATCATCGTCACTATCATTTGCAGATCTCTTTGTACCTTTTTTAACAGCAGCTTTTTTCTTTAATACTCTTTGTGGTAACGCTAATTGAACTGGGATATTTGGATCACTTGAAACCAACAACAATAAATAGAATAGAAAAGATTAATAATCTCTATTTTCTTTTTCCTTTTTTCTTCTAATTTCTTACACTTCTTTTCTATCAATGGTTCTTTGTTTTGATGGATCATCATATCTACATTGAGCCATTTGAGTAAAATCAACGTATCTTTCTTTATCAATCTTCATTCGATCAAGTTTATTGTTTCCTTGAAAGTTTTGATAGGCATCCTCAATTTCCTCTGCTACCTCTTCGTCATATTCAACCAATGTATCTTGTGTTCCTTTAGTTGAATCTCCTGCCCAATACCATTTAATTATCTTTGCCGCAGAAGAATTAGTAGTAGTAGATGAAGTTGAAGTAACTGGAGTAGCTACAACTGTCGGTGCAGCAGCAGCAGTAGTAGCAGCAGCATTAGTTGTTGAGGTTGTTGCAGTAACTCCAATTGGTTTCTTTTTTGGTGGCATCCTATTCTATTACTAGTACTAGTACTTTATTTCTTTTTGTAAAAGAGAGATAACAATATTGATGAACAACAAGAAGGAATCAAAAAATTTGATGAACTATGCTTAAAGTGCATTTTACTTCGAAATTCAAAGATTTTTATTTTTGAAGCAGTTCAGATGTGAGCTAGCAGAAATACTATTTCTTTTGTTTTTTTTTTGCTTGGTCAGAGCTTTGGTTGTTATTTGTATTATTATTATTTCCTAATTGTTTTTGTTTAGCAAATCTATGATCATTACCATGAATAACTTCTTTAATATTAAATTTAAATAGTGATTTGAAACCTCTGACCACCGATGTACACATGGCCGATTTAATAACCTCGATGATAATAGTGACATCTGGATTACTCAAATCAACCTTGTTTGTCAATAATTTGGCAACTGATTCAATCACCTCCTCTTTACCACATTTATGACTATTTCTAGTTCTATATTCTATGCTAAACTATAATAGTTTATGAAAGTAAGGGGGGATAGGGGTTAGGGTTAGGGGTTTTAAATTTAAGTGATATTGTTTTGGACCATACAGTAGACTTTGTATCATTATTTCCAAAATGATCTTTAATTAAATTTGAAATGACGGGTGCGAAATCAACCATAACGGTTTGAGTTGATCGTTGGAATGGAATGAGTCTAAAGGTGAATCGAATGTTGAATATATTTTTGGTTGGGTGTTTGGGAATTTCAGAGTCTGGTTTGGCATTGGCCAACATGTCTTTGACCGATTGTGGAAGATTCTTGAATCTCTCTTGTTGTGCTGTCTCGTCTTCATAGGTGTGCACGTGTTTGAAACGATTGTATAGATCGACGATAATAGCTGACCCAAAGTCAACAGGATTGACGTCTTCCTGTACTATACTGATCACATATAATCCTCCACACGCCGAATTGATCAATTCAAATCGCTTTCTTGTTTGTACTAATTCTCCAGTCTCTGTTTTTTTAATTTCAACTTCTTCACCATCATCATCCTCTTCATCATCCTCTTCATTTTCTTTTCCATCTTTTCCATCCTTTCCATCTTTTTTATCATTATCATTATTCTTTGGTAATTTCTCTTTAACTACTAACGGTATAGTATCTTTAAATTCAGGTAAGAATTTTAATGCATACTATAAATAAATAATCAAACAAACAAACAAAAAGAATAAGTAAACAAGTCAACTTGTATGCATGTATGTATATGTGTATGTGTATATTTACAAAATGTAATAAATCCATAGTTTCAGAGATTGATTGAGAATCTCTTGCCTTTTCACAAGCTACCAAGAATCCCTTAACTTGTTCAGATGTTGCAAAGAGACGTGTATGCTTTTTATATCCTCTAAATTTGCCTCGATACAATGTTTGTTTTGAGGCAGCTGATGCAGCAGTTGCAGTCTCAGCTGCATTGTCATTCGACGTCAAAATTGATGTTGTATCTGTAGTAGTTGCAGTAGTTTCAGCAGTTACAATATCTTGATCATCAACTGATCTCTTTTGTCCTTTTTTATCTTCTTCCATCTTGAAGTAGCTACTTGTAGTTGTATGTTTTTAGAAAGATGAATGATTGATAAGTTTCGTTTTCATCGTCAAACTCTAAGTCAAAGATTAGAAGAAAAAATGAAAGTTTCAAAATTAAAGTTTATTACTATCTCACGTGTACAGATAAAGATAAGATAGATAAACATACATATATATACCATTAAAGATGACAATGAAAACAAGATCAAAATCTAAAAAAGAACAACAACTACAACTACAACAAGAACAAGAACAACAAGATGATACAATGAATGAAGATAATCAGCTGACAACTACGGTAGTTGAAGAAGATAAAGAAGATGAAAAGTTAAAGAAAAAAAGAAAAGTTAATACTACAACTACAACTACAACAACATCTACGTCAACAAAAATAACAAAATATGATCAACTAAGTATAGGTTTACAATCAGAGATTAAAGAAGCATTTGATTTATTTAAAAGTGATAATGGTAAAAATAGAAAAGTAGAAGAAAGAAAAGAAAAGAAAGAAATGATTGATTGATTGATTCTAATATTTCTTTTGTTTAGGGAAAATTGATACAAATCAAATAAAGTATGCATTTAGAGCATTAGGAGTTGAACCAGATTCATCTATCAATTCAATGACAAAAGATACAACATCAATGACATTTGGAACATTTAAAGAAATGACAACCAAACTATTACCAAAACGAGAATCACAGTCTACGCTGGAACAAGCATTTAAACTATTTGATAAAGACGACAATGGAAAGATTAGTTTTGAAGATTTAAAATTGGTTGCTGTCAATCTTGGTGAGGAATGTTCAGATGACGATCTACGTGAAATGATTGAATTTGCAGATTTGGATGGTGATGGTGAAATTAATAAATCTGAATTTATTACTGTATTGACAAGTAAGAAAATTATTTAAACATATAATGTAAATAAGAAATAGGTCAAATAATTATTATTATTTAATTTAATCTTTTTTGGTTAATTTAATTTTTTTGGAGTTAATTCTTGATTTACATGTAAATGTAATATTGATCGATGATAGTTTAGAATGACACTTGAGAGGATTAGAGACACCAAGACCATTAAAAGTTGAACCGTTTCAAAGATATATTTAGGTGCAAATACTCTCCACACCATTAAATGTCGACGAAGACCGTAAACCGTGAAACAAATCACTACTGAATTATAAAGGAAAAATAATAAATAAAACATATATCCAATTATTATATCATTATTTGTTTTCCATCTTTTTTTTTGTGAAAATGAAGATGAAGAAGATGAAGAATATTTGATATTATTTTCCTTTTCTTGCATTTCAATACCATCACGATCTAATATTAATTCATTTTCACTATCACTATTATTACTATTACTATTATCTAATTTGTTATTATCTGTTTTGTCAAAGTTGAATTTAATAAATATAATAAAGATTGGAAGTAGTAATGAGAATAGGATGGGGGAACTAAATGTGTTGAGTAATACGAGGAGAGCACCACGCCAATAAACATGTTCTTCAAATCCAATATAAGCAGTTTCAAATTGAATCTTGTTGAAAGAATAGTCATGACCAGTAGAGAAGAAATGATTCAATGCAAGGAATGAATATAAACCAATTGAAACAATCCAATGAACCAATGAAAAGATTACATTATTATTATTACTACTACTGTTATTATTGTTTGAGCTAATTGAATTATTAAGGATATGAATAATAAAATAAATTTGAATGATTGACCAAAGTAAAGTTGATAGAGTTGATGGACCGAGCAGCAAGAGAGCTACCATGAAAAAGTAAACGATAAATTCGACCAATTTAAAGAGTAGTTTTTTGAGTTGTTGACGAAATACCTTTTCATCATCCTTGACCGACGAGTGAGGAGGAGTATAGGATAGAGGACGTAGACTACGAATGACACCAACAATCGAGATGATATAGACCAAACATGGAAACAGCGATTTGACAATAGCATCTTGAGTATTTTGAAAACACCAATACACCATTGTACAAATCATACATAGTCCAGTTAGAATACGTGTATATAATCCTGCTCCCAATTCCAATATACCATCTTTTTTAATATTTATATTAAATGAAAAATATGAAGAGGATGATGATCTATTTTTCTTTTTACTATTGGGTTCTTGTAATAATTTTGAAATTAAGATTTTAAATAAATAATACAAGATTGGGACACACCAAACCCATTGAGTTGAATGATTAACAAATTGATGCCAATCGATAGATGTTGTAGGATCACGTTTAAATTTGATAATGTCACCCAATTGATGTGAGAGGAAACTTGGTGAAGTAAGATGAAGAGTGACGATTAGACCAAGACTGTTGAATAGATCGTGACGAGAGAATTCATTCTTTTTAACGGCCAATAATAGGATGATGGCAAGATAACAAAAAGTCATTAAAAAGTAATTGACCACCTTTTGTTGTGACTCTATAAAACTGTTGCTTGCCAAACTAGCACCATGTAATATCATTGACAACATACCAATCGATCCACACACTATCGCTGCCAATATTGATATGGTTGATGCGAGTGAAAAGAATGAGTAGGAATAGGTCATGTGGAGATGAGATTGTACCAATTTAGTCAATACTCCAAAATTACAAAATAATGCTACTACGCCAAGCATGATTGGTAGCAGACTTTCATTGGTTGATGAAAACATTAAATAGGTTACTGGTGATGAAATCACCCCAACCACAGACATGAGTATGATTGTTTTAATGGGGAGTAGGATGAGTGGAGTAGTTGGTGACATGATACTAGTATAGATAATGGCCATAATAACCAATCCTGTACTAATCAATACAGCTTCACCCCAAACCATTGATTCAGTGTCGAATGTAGCCCACATTTCACGACAATATTCGACAATTTGTGATTGTAATCTACGATATCCACTATATACTTTGTAAAATTGATCATCCTTTGGTTGATTCGTTTCGAATAGTTTAGCATAACCTTTTTCAGTTTCTTCCAGCAGTCTTGAAAATAAAGACAATTTATCTTTTGTAAAATCTTTTGATATTTTTGAATAACTATCAACATATCTATGAATTTGCCAACTATTTAAACGTTGAGCATCTATTAATTTCTTCCATCCACCATTGTCGTTTATACTATGATGAATAAATGGTTCTGGAATAATAGTACCCAAATTTGCATATGGTATTGGTACTCCAAGCAATAACGACAATGTTGATACCAAATCAATTTGACTAATTGTTCTAATATCCTTTCTATCATTATATTCAAATTGATTCCATTTTTCAATTTGATCAGTCGATGATGATGACGATGCAGCAGTTTGATTTAAAGTTATTTTTTTTGAATACATAAATAATCCTGCTTCAGTTTCATCTTTACTTGATCCTCCATGATTACCTTCTGTTGTCATACCATGATCTCCCATTAATATAAATAATGTTTCATTATCTATATTATTTATAATCTATAAAAGAAAAATAAATATAAATCATTTGTTATCTTTTCTTTTTTTTTTCTATTTTTCTTATTTCTCTCTTACAGATAATAAAAATTGATCCATTTGAGATAATTTTTTAATCATTTCAGGATGATAGGGACCATGAAGATGACCGACATGATCAACACCCAATAAATGACCAATGACAACTTGCCAATTATCCGATTTCATTTGAGTGATGGTTGGTAGTAGATTTTCAATGACTCCATTGTCTACTGTATGAAGATCTTTTACGTTGAATGATGGATATGGGTATTGAGCATAGAAATGATTTGGAAATAGTGATACCCAAGTATCATCACCAATAAATATAACCTTTTTTCTAATATCTTTTTCTTCTCTTGTAATGTTTGCGTCACTGTTCTTTTTGTTATTGTTGTTATCGGCTATATTATTATTATTATTATTATTATTATTATCGTTGAATGCCAATTGATTGATTAAATTATCTTCAACGATTGCATCACCACCAAAATTACTACCAACATCGATAAAAGTCGGTAGAGAACCTGTTGTAATACCTTTGATACGTTGCATAGTGACGGTGGGAGAGTCGGCAATGAACCGATACAATAGTGTGTTGTTGGGTTGTTGTTCGAGTATCGAGGTGAGTGACGGTAACCGATTGTGAAAGTAGGTGCTATAGTCTGGTGAATCAGGTGACTGTCTTGCTAAAAAGTCGAATCGAAGTGCATCAATCACTACAATCACCGCCTTTTTAAATGTTGGTTTCGTCCAACACCCGAAATCATCCGATGTCGACGACGACTCTGTTGGTGATGATAGAAGAGGTAGATGTGATTCTACAGTCGGTACAACACGACACTGACTCTTTATTGGTAATTCAAATCTCATCAATAAGAAACCACTAAAGAATAAGTATCCTCCAATACCTATCATCAACATTAAATACACCAAATAATAAGTTAAATTAAATTGTGATGTTGAACATATTGATTGTTGTTGTTGTTGTTGTTGATTATCATCATCCTGTTCATCTTTACTATTATTATTATTATTATTCTCTTTCATATCATATTACACACAAATATATAAATATAAATACACATCAAGTCTAAATGAACGACTGCTGTCAGATGAGTGAGTCATCTGGAGATCTTCACAAAAACAAAAATTAAAAAAAAAAAAAATATAATTATAATGATAAATATTTTATTATAAGGATGATGATCATTCAAATCGAATATTAATATACTAAAGATTTAAATATTTAAAGATAAAATTTATTTATTACTAAAATATAAAATATAAAAATAAATTTACTTTGAGTCATTAATTCATTAAAAAAAAATTTCATTCTTCAATCGTTCACAAAAACAGAAACAAGCTCAAATATCTACTTTGCGCGATGAAGAAGTATCTTTGTCGTTTGAAAGAAAGGAAGGGAAGCACAAAACCAAAAGTACATTCAACTTTAAACATAAACTTTCGTAGTAATACAAATACTAAATAGATAGATAGATAGATAGATAATAAGAAGATTAGAAGAAGAAAAGAAAGAGAGATGGGTAAAGAAGTTGAACATCATGGAGGTTGTCATTGCGGTAAAGTTAGATATACGGTGATGGCACCAACAAAGAATATATATGTAGTCGATTGTAATTGTTCAATCTGTATTAAAAAGGGTATACTACATCTCATTGTACCGAAATCAAAGTTTAAGGTGACTGGTCAAGAAAATCTATCAACCTATACTTTTAATACTGGTATTGCGAAACATTACTTTTGTAAATTTTGTGGTATTGGTCCTTATTATGTAAGTATAGTAAAACAAATAAAGAGAAAAAGAAAAAGAAGAAAAAGAAAAAAAGAAAAGAAAATAACAACAAACAAATTATCTTTTTTCTATTCTTTTTCTAGATACCAAGATCAAATCCAGATGGAATAGATGTAAATGTAAAGACTTTTGATAATTATCATCCAGATTTATTTATACCCGAACCTTATGATGGAGCCAATTGGGAAAAAGCATCTGAATCCACTTCTCTTTCACATTTATCAAAAGATGACTCCTCCTCACCAACTACTACCAACACTACCACCACTAATTAAATAAGAATAAATAATAATTGTATGTACAAAAAAAAAACAAATAATAATAATATTCTATCTTTTTCTATTTATTTTTTAATTTTTAATTTTCTCTAAATTTAAAATTAATAATGATTCCAGGGTCAGGAGATTGTAAAAAACTATAATGATCTTGATAGGAATGATTCATTTTGTTTTGTGATGTTTGAATATCAAAACGATGGATGAGTTTGGCAAGGATGACGACCAACTCTACTTTGGATAGTCTCTTACCTGGACACATTCTCGGTCCGTATGAATAGGGAAACAGCTTAAAGTGTTGACAATTGTCAATGTTTACACCTTTCCAACGATCGGGATTGAATTCCTCTGGCTTTACGAAATACTTGGGATTATTGTAATAGCTTTCAAAAGATAGGCAAATGGATGCACCTTCGTAAATCTCTACATTGCCACAAGCAGGTGAAGAAATGATATTGTCTTGGTTACACTCTAGCATGATGAATGGGACAAGTGATTTGAACCGGAATGTTTCTAGAATCACTTGTTGCAAGTATACAAATTGTGATGCAATCTTGTTTGTAATGACTGGTTCATCACATCCATCGACTGCTAGACTATTCATAACTAGGTCTACTTCATTTCTAACCTTTTTCAATATATCTTGATTCATTGCCAAAAGGTGTAGAGTATAGGATAGAGTACATGTGATCGTGTCGTGACCTGCCAAAACATAGACTGCCAGATTAGCAATAATCTCATCCTCATTGATCGAGTTGGCGTCCAATTGTTCGACCAATGATTTTAAAAATGGTGATGCCGGTTCTGGTTGGTCAGCCTGTTGTGCCGTGCGATAGTCACGGATCATTTGGATAAACTTGTCTAGTTGGCGGTCCGTCCAACTCGGTCTAACCTTCCAATAGGGAAACGGAGACATGATACGCTTGGTGATGACTGGCAGTGCCACACGAATACGTTTGGCAAATTTACTAACTTTTCCAATCGGTACCTTTTCACTACTAATTCCAAATTCATGTCCCAATCCAACCAAATGAATTACATCCAATGCTATTCCACTCATTTCTTGTGAAACATTTATTTCACTTCCAAAATTATTATTATTATTATTATTATCGTTGTCCAAGTGCTGTTCCAATTTCCTAATGAACCTATCAACAATATGATTGATTGGTTGAAATAGATTTGACATTTGAGTCATTGTAAATGCACCAGCAGTTTTACGATGAGTTTTCCAATTATCAGCTTCCGACGCAAATACATTGTGTGCAGTTGATAGAGCACCGGTGGTTGATTTTGGTCTAATATAACTACCGGGACGCATACTACAAACTTGCATGATCATATCTGGGTTGGTCACAACCACCATCTCTTGAAACCCCAATTGTATCTTGTAAATGTCCTTGTCACGATTCTCTTTGGAATGCCAAATGAAAAATTGATTCATCTTTAAAATCCAAAGACAATTGACAAATTCCAACAAACTTTTCCATCTTGATATCTGACTATTTGGAATATGTTCATGTTTTCTCTTTTTAGATATAAATACACAACACAACAACGCGATAAAGATACCAAGTATAAAGTATTCAAATTTTAAAAATTTATTAAAATTTGGTACTGCTTTATTATTTGATATCTTTATAAAATAATTTAAATTTAAATACATATTTAAAAAAAAAATAGATAAAAAGATAAATGGATGATGGTAAAAAATAGTTTGATCAATAAGTGAACAAACCAAACCATTTCTTCATCAATCTTTTTTATTTGATTGATTCAATCAAACAATAAATGTTTTTTTTTTATAAACTACTTTTCCTTTTTTAACCAATAAGATGATGATGATGAACTATTGATTAATCTAGAGATATTTAAACCCTTAACCCCCTAACCCCTAACCCTACCCACCATGTCAATACATCATCAATCGTCCGATAATTTTTGATCCAATTTAATTTTAACACTCACCCCACACCCACTCTATAATTGAGTCAATATTGGTGATATCATTTTTGGTAGCTCATGTTTGTTCAAAATTTGATTTATTAATTATTTAAATATTGTATAGAGATTGTTGTTGTTTTTGTTCTTTATCAAATACAACTTTTAAACCTTTGCTAAAATTGAATCTACAAGTGAACGAGCTTTTAATTAAAATCAATCTTCCCAACATCATCAAGATACAAAACAGTGCGATTGGGATGGCCATTTGAAAGGTTTCGACATTATTTAAAATCAACTCGACGATTGTAAATAATTTCCAAGCAGCATACCCAGGAATACAAATAGAAAGTACCATAAAACATATAAACAATTCTCTATTTTCTTCTCTAATTGATATAACCCCTCCAATACTCCATATTAATGAAATTAAAAATGATAATAAATTTCTAAATAAGAAAATAGAAAATAGAAATAGAATATTAGTAAAGTAAAACATACATTATATAATTATTATATCTTTTTTTGTTTTTTTTTCTTACAAATAATAATCAAAAGAATAAATAAAATAAAAAAATGATAAAGCTAAATAAAAAAGACCGGTAAGGAATAAATCCAATTTGATGGAAGATAGAAAGACTTGATATGATTTGTACCATCTTCTCAATTCGATACTAGTGCCAACCTTTCTAAAAATTCTCCAACCAAAATGAGAGTTTGTAAACCATGCCAAAATATAATTCAGAGGTATGAATGAAATGATGGCACCAACTCTTATATAATGGAATAAATCTCGATCTTGTTGAATTGCAAAAAAGTGATAGATTTCTACTGCCGATACTATTGATTGAACAATAATAAAATTAATTAATAAATATTTGTTTTCATTTAATACCTATTAAAATAAATAATAGTTAGAATAAACTGATATTATACTTTTTGTTTCTTTTTCTTTTTCTTTTTCTTTTTTCTTACAGATTGAATAGAGAAATAAATTAAGATTAAAAATATATAAATATAAAGTAGAAAATAATTTGACCAAGTTGTGTAGGATAGACCAAATAAAACCAAGGTACCAATAAATTCCAATAAAACTAATAGGATGAATACCCTTCCAACAGTGGATACATCATAAAAGTTTGATTTCTTTCTATGTGTTGATACTTCATGAATAAGGATATCAAGATCCATATTGGTGATGGAATAAATTAATTAATTTTTTGTTTGTTTTAGAAAGAATAGAAAAAGAATATTTTAAATATATTTCTTTCTAAATATTTTAAATATTTATGAATGATTTTATATTGTTTTATATGTTGTTGATTTTAAATAAATAAATAAATAAATAAATCCCTTACCTATAAGTTATCGAGTGTTTGGGTGTCGGTTGGAAATGTCAAAGGATGATTTTATATAAAAGTAATTAGGATGGTGAATTGTTTTTAAAAAAAACAAACAATTTGGTGATCTAAACCATGATGTTCTTTTTTGTTGTTTTTCTTTCAACACCAGTTATAATTATTATTATTATTATTATTCATTGTTGAAATAAAGTTTATCAGATTGAATTAAAGATATTTTTTTCCATTATATCACTCTTTCATTGTTTTTTTTTTTTTTAACCAAAAAAGGGTATATCTCCCATCCAATTCACTAATCAATTACATAATTTAATTAAATATAATTGGGTATCACATTATCTCTTGAATCAATGGGGTGGTTGATAATGTCATTGAATGAATGAATACTGTTATCGAAATTAAAGATATATGTTGATTTTTGTACTATTTTGAACAATGCTTGTCAACATCCAAAAAAAAAAAAGAATGATTAATAAGTTATTTTATAAAGACAATCAGACATTTAAATCATGGACTAAACTGTCATACCTTGTTTAGCCAAATTATTATTATTCAAAAAATCGATCGCAGAGAAGACCGTTTACAAGATGCAAAGAATCTAGACACATTCTATAGTAAAAAGAGATAACAGTACTTGATCAAGAAGAAGAAGAAAACATACACGTATGCTACCACGAATGAACAACCGATGTACGCTAAAGAAAATGAATCTTTAAAACCCTCATTCTCTATCTATCTATCTTGAAAGTTGATGTTATATTGTAATATTAAAAAAACTGTCAAAGGTAAGGGGGGAGCTGTTCTAATTAATTTTTTTTTAATTTTTTTAGGGGGGGGGTCCTCCTCTCTCAACTGACACACCACTCTTTAATCATAATAATAGTTAGTTAGTTGTTTCCATTTAATTGTTCTTTCTTTGTATATATATATATTTATATGTATTTCTATTATAGATGATCAGATAAATAATAATAATAATCAAGAACAAAATCATGCAACAATCACATCTTTATAAAATAGTACCAGTCAGACTCTTCCCTGTAGACAAGAAAAAGATTAATTTTATCGCAGTGTTGTCACTCAATGAGGATTTACATTATCTAGTGACTACGGGAGGGAATGTAAGAAAGAACAATGAAAAGAAAAGTTGGAAGTCTTGCTTTAGTGGTACTGTGCTCGATGTCACCAAGACTATGTTTTGTGGTTGGTTTGATTTGACGTCAAGCATGAATGAGGCACTCTTTCCAGCAAGCAAATCTACAGTCATTCTAGTCGAGGCAAGACACTACTTTAGTGCAAACAACGAATCGATCGATCAACACATATTCATCTACCATACATTAAACTCTGGCGTTAAATCGGTCGGTCCAAAACTACCAAACGGTTTAGACTTGAATCAATATTTGGATAGTAAATTGGAAAAGGATAAAGTCTATAAAAAGATAAAGAATTTAGAAAATGAAATATTAAATTTAAAACAACAACTTTTAATATATCAACCTTCTGATACTCAAATGACATCACCAAAGAAAACAACAACAACTCCTGTTATTATATCATTATGTGATGATTTAAAGAGAAAGAGAGATGATAATGATAATGATAATAATAATAATGATAGATTAAAAAATAATAATAATCAACCTACAACATTTAATACAACTACTTCTACAACAACAACTTCAACAACTTCTTCTTCTACAACTTTTATAAAACCATTTTCTCAAGATTATAATATTACAAAAAGATTTAAAAGTTTGATTGGTATGATAAATATTAGACAAAAGATATTTGGGTTTGTTAAAGAATTGACAAACAAGTTAGATGGACGTAGATCAATTTGTGGAAGAGATATCATTAAATTACCAAATATTGAAATGATATCAAAATATGCAATGCCATGGGACTTTATCAAACACTATATACCAACTAAAAAACAAGTACCATTACAACAAAGAGGTGAAGTCATTTATAAATATTGTCTTCATCCAAACGCATCATTGTATACACTCTCTCAACTATTTAAATGGTCACCCGATTATGACCCCAGACAACAATACAAGGGTCATTATGATCATTTGGCATATGAAGTTGCTTGTTATGGAAAGACAGAGGTATTGACATACCTATTCAGAGAATTTCCAAATATTCAAGAAACCATTGGAATGTGTGCCTATGCAAACAAACAAGCGGCACTTGATATTGTATGTAAAGGTGGAAACTTGGCAACCGTTAAAGTATTATTATCAAATCTCAATTGTAGAGATATCACATCTGATGCAATGGATCGAGCTGCTCGAAAAGGCCATTTGGATGTTGTCAAGTATCTCGATAAATTCTTTAAAGAAAATGCAGAGGATGATTTTGAAATTGACGAAGAATGTAGTACTGATGCCATGAACGGAGCTGCAAAAAATGGACATATCAATGTTGTAAAGTACTTAAATGAAAATCGTACAGAGGGATGTACATCTAAGGCGATGGATCTAGCAGCATTGAATGGACATCTCAATGTTGTAGAGTATCTAGGTAATCATCGTACAGAGGGATGTACTACTGATGCTATGGATCTAGCAGCATTGAATGGACATCTCAATGTGATACAGTGGTTACACGAAAATTCAGATGTTGGAGGCACAGAAAAAGCATTACAAAATGCAATTAAAAATGGTCATAAAAATATTATTGATGTATGTATATAATATATATATACTATTCCCATTATTATTAAATATTAATTACTTTGTTTTTTGATTCTATGTTTATAGTTTTTTAAAAAAAATAATATAATTAGAAAATAAAAAAAAAAGATGTGCGCAATCTTCCGACTCAGTTTGCTTTCTTTCTTTTATTTTTCTATTTGTAAAGAATGGATGATATATTAAAAAAGAGAAAGAGAGATCAAGATGATAACAACAACAACAATGATAATAATGATGATAGAGTAAAGAGTGATGATCATCATCATGCTTCTACGGCCACTACTTTAACATTTAAAAGTTTAATTGGGTCAACATATATTAGACATTGTATATTCAATCATGTATACGTAAATCGTAGAGATATCATCAACTCGTCTCACCTTGGTATGATATCTAAATATGCAATGCCATGGAACTTTATCAAACATTACTTGCCATCAAGAGCCAATGTAACATTGGAAGCAAGAATGAGAGTTATTCGTGAGTTTTGTTGTCATCGAAATGCAACAACTGATACACTCTCTCAAATATTGGATTGGTCAATAGATTACGATCCTCGTGCATCTGAAAATGGAGACTTGGAGACCGTTAAACTATTATTAACATTAAATGATGAAATATCTGGGTATACAATGGATAGGGCCAAATTGGATGGTCACATTGAAATTTACCAACTATTAAAGATAAAATACGAGTAGCAACAGCAAGATTGGAGGATTATTCTAAAGAAAGAAGGTTTAGAGATGTCCTGTTAGACGAAGAGTGGGATATCTATGAAAAAGAAGAGGTTATTAGAAACTATCAACAGTGGGAAGAGGACATAGTCTATTATCAACAACATTTTGATGAAATAAATAGACAACATCAACTTGAACCATCGAAATGGTGATGAGCAAATAAACTAATATTTTAAACATTAAAAAAAATTGGTTTTCGCAAGCTTTGATGCTTGAACTTGTTAAGCACAATGCAAGCAGTATTCATTCAATATTGATCGGTTCACAGTTTACACTATTCATACATGTATTATGGATCTAACAGTCAATATCAAATGTAAAGTATGTGGGTCGGAGGAATCAAAGTCAATCGAAGAATTTAGATTACATGGTATCAATCATTGTATACCATCGGTTGCTAGGTACTTTGGTGTAACTGAATTTGATAATCTACATCAACTATTACTGTTAGATAAACATAATCAAAAACAACAACAAAAACAACGACAACATAAAGATAGAGGTATTCATCAGTTGCAAAAAGAAAAAGTATTACAACATGATGATGATGATGATGGAATGGATCGATTGGATGAAGAGATGAGATATTTTCTACAACAACAACAACAAGAACAACAATTAGAGTTTGAAGAAGAAAAAGTTGAAGAGGAGGAGAATCAAAAAGTAAAAAAGAGAAAGAGATATTATCAACACTGTAATAATAATGATGAAGTTAAAATATCTTCAATTAATCATACTCATCCAACAACAATATTAAATACAATAATGTTTGAATCAAAACCTAAAAGTTTAGTTGGACGTAACAAATACATTAGAATAACGATATTCAAACATGTAAAAGAGTTAAACAAGGCTGAAAACATTAGATCTATTTGTCAGATATCCGATTTACATGCTTTGATCAAAAAAAAAAGAAGGTCTGGAAAGATATTGACATGGGAAGATATCAAAGAGTATCTACCACCTCGACACCTTGTACCATTCCAAACAAGACTCGTAATCATTAATGAATATTGTAAAATGAAAAGTTCAACTGTGGAAACACTCCAACTCCTCTTGGAATGGTCACCAGACTATGATCCTCGAGAGCAAGGCTGCTATTATAGAGTAGATGTAGGCCGCGAACTAGTCAACCAAGGGAAAACCAAATTATTGAAATTCCTATTTGACAGATATCCTGGTCTAGAGGAAGTACTACATGAACGTGAATATGATGAAATGGGTAGTCAATTTGATCAAGAGCTAATAGAGTATTATATACAACAACAACGCGATGAAGAAATGGATCATCAGCTGTCATATTATCCACAACAACAACAAATTCAGTTGGAAGAAGAGATTAGAATTTTTAAACAACAATTTGAAGAAAGACAAAGAGAAGAAGAAGAAGAAGAAAAGGGTGATAAAAATCAACAAAAAGAAGAGAACCAAAAAAATATATTAAAAAAGAAAAAGATAGATCATCAACACTGTAATAATAATAATAATGATGACGATAAAATATCTTCTATTACTATTAATCATCCAACTACTCAAACAACCCCAACAACTTTAACTACAATTGAATCAAAACTTAAAAGTTTGGTTGGAAATAACATGGTCACTAGAGTTTTAATATTCAAACACGTAAAAGAGTTAAACAGTAAAGAAAAGCTTAGATCTAAATCTCTTATCGCTGATTTACTAGAATTGTTACTCCAACAACGTTTTAGATTGATACCAAAGGATTCATTGACATGGGATGTTATCAAAGAGTATCTACCACCTCCACGCCATATACCATTTCAAACAAGACTCGATATCGTTGATAAATGTTGTACACTTGAAAATGCAACAGTTGAAACACTCCAACATCTCTTGGAATGGTCACCAGACTATGACCCTCGAAAACAAAAAGACTTTAAGCATCAACATTTACTTTACGATCTGGCCTGCCTTGGGAATACCAAATTATTGAAATTCATTGTTGACAGATATCCTGGTCTAGAGAAAACTCTTGGTGTGAGTGCATGTGCCAACAAACAGTCGGCTATCGATTTTGCATCTGAACAAGGAGACTTGGAGATGGTTGAACTATTATTAACATTAAAAGATGAACCCACTCATGCAATCGAATTGGCTCAAAGTAATGGTCATATTGAAATTGTCCAACTATTAGAACTATATCAAACAATCGATCGATATTGCTCATCCGATTAATATAAAATAAATTAACTATACTTGGGTGTATCCCTTTATTTATTTATTTTTTCAAGGCAGAGAGAGTTGACATATATATGCATGTTTCAACACCAAGAAAGACAAGATAAAGATTTACTGCTCAGAGAGAACATGTAAACTATATAGATATCTACATCTCCATAATAAATTGATTTATTAAAATATTTACTAAAGTATAAAATATTAATATGAAAAAAAATATTGGTTTTTGAAAGCTTTGATGCTTGAACTCTAGCCAAGATCGATTCATTCTTAGTTCACAGTTTTACTATTCATACATGTATGATGGATCTAACAGTCAATATCAAATGTAAAGTATGTGGGTCTGAAGAATCAACATCAATCGAAGAATTTAGATTACATGGTATCAATCATTGTATACCTTTGGTTGCTAGGTACTTTGGTGTAACTCAATTAGATAATCTACATCAACTATTATTGTTGGATAAACATAATCAACAACAACAACAACAACAACAACAACAACAACAACAACAACATAAAGATAGAGATAGTCATCCAGAAGAAGAGAATAACCAACAAGATATATTAAAAAAGAGAAAGAGAGATCATCAACAACAACAACAAAACAACAACAATAGCAATGATAATGATAACAACTCATCAAACAACAAGATGATAGTAGATAATAATAATATTAATTCAAATCATAATCATCTTCTTCTTTCTAATACTATTACAACATCATCAGCTCTTCAATCATCTACAACGACAACGACAACGACAACAAATCTATTTAAAAGTTTAATTGGGTCACCATTTATTAGACATACTATATTCAATCATGTAAAAGATATAACCAATATATTTAATCATCGTGAATATGAACAATTGTGTGGTAAAGATATCATTAAATTACCTCATCTTGAAATGATATCTCTCTATGCAATGCCATGGAACTTTATCAAACATTACTTGCCACCTAGAGAAGATGTATTATTCGAAAGAAGAATGTTTGTTATTACGCGATATTGCTGGCATCAAAATGCAACATTGGATACATTATTAAAACTATTGGAATGGTCACCTGATTATGATCCACAAAATCAAAATGTTGGACATCACCAAGATTTATTCTACAATGTTGCAATTGATGGAAACACTGATATATTGGAATTCCTTTTAAAAAGGTATCCAAATATTGCTATGAATGGAACAATGGTAAACCGAAATGCTATAGACCTGGCATCTTTCAATGGACATTTATCAATGGTTCAACTATTATGTTCAATCAAAGGTCAAGAATGTACTATCGATGCTATGGATAAATCAGCAGAATATGGTCACTATGAAGTTATAAAGTATCTTGATCAAAATCGTACTGAAGGTTGTAGTACAAATGCAATTGATTGGGCAGCAATGAATGGTCATTTGGATATCGTTAGAGTATGTAACTATATATATATATAGAGTCATATAAACGTTTATTTATTTAAATCAAATTTATTAATTTATATTTAATTTTTTTTACTTTTATAGTATCTAATATTTAATCGTACAGAGGGATATACAACTGATGCAGTAGATAAGGCAGCAAAAAACGGTCATTTACATGTTTTAGAATGGTTATATTGCAATAGAAATATCGATGGTACACATCAAGCCATGGACAAGGCTGCAGAAAATGGACATTTTAAAATTGTTAGATGGTTACATTATATTGGGAGTGATGGATGCACAACTGATGCTATGGACAAGGCTGCAGAAAATGGACATTTTAAAATTGTTGAATGGCTACATCTCAAAAGAATGGAGGGATGTACCTCTCATGCGATTGATAATGCTGCCATGAATCCAAAAAATTTGAATATCATTCAATTCCTTCATAATGCTGGGAAACCGTGTACAGCTGCTGCCATTGATAATGCATGTTTAAAAGGTAATTTGGATATTGTCAAATTCCTTTTTGAAAATCGAACAGAAGGTGGTACTCAACAAGCTATCATCAATGCTTGTAAAAGTGGTAACTTTGATTTGATAAAGGTATAGTATGATGAAACTAATACGGATATCCATACAGAGTATTAAATCAACCATTACATCTACTATAGTATCTACTAGTCAATAGGGAGTTGGTTTGTCCACCAGAAGCAGTAGACTCTGCCATTGAAAAGAATTGTAGTTTGGATGTTATCACATATTTAAATAGGCCATGTACATTTTATGGTCTAAAATCTGCAATTGAACATAATCGAATGGATATTATTCAATATATCAATATGAAATACCCAAAATATCGCTTATGGAATAAACGTTTACTGGATTTGGCTGCTAAAACAGGTAAATTGGCTATTGTAAAGGTATGTATTAAATATTATTTTATTATTGATTGAAAACTAAACTAAACAAACTTTTTCTTTTTATTTTTCATAGTTTCTTCATGAAAATAGAACAGAAGGATGTACAACCAAGGCCATTGATTTGGCAAGTAACTCTGGACACATTGATATTATCAAAGTATGTTATGCTTATTAATTTGGTTTCAAGTTTTATATGAACAAACATTATTTATTATTTATTTATTCTATATAGTTTTTACATTTAAATAGGACTGAAGGTGCTACTACTGATGCAATAGATTATGCTCATAGCCTTGAAATAGTCAAGGTATGTAAAAATATCATGTTTAATTATAATTATTACTATAATTGCCAACCTTTTCAATTTCTACCATTTTTTTAGTTTCTACATTTTAATCGTAGTGAAGGTGCAACAACCTTGGCTATGGATTGGGCTGCAAAGAATGATGATTTGGAAATTGTTGAATTTCTCCATAAACATCGAACTGAAGGTTGCACCGAGTCAGCTATATTGGAGTGTGATGACCCTGATATCCACAAATACATCTTGTCAAACAAAATACTATCATTGGAAACGATCAAACAGGGTCGGATCTCTGTACTTCCATACAAACAACAAAAGGAGGATTATTTTGAAGTCATGGATCTTGTTGATAAATATTATGGAATATCTGACTAATAATACATAAATATCTAAACCACATCGATTATTCTTACAGTATTATCTTTTAATTGCATTATCGATTGCAATGATCATTAAAACTTTATTCTTTGAGCAGATAATGTTCACGTGAAGAAAGATATTTTTTTTTAAAAGTATCTCTTTTTTGATCTAGATCTTTTCTTTTTTTCTGTTTGTTGGTTTTAGTAGTCCTGTAAAGCGCTCATGTTGTGTAATCATTCATTCTCATAACTTTTATTCTTTCTTTTACATTTGTATCTGTATACAACAAGTTAGAGGAGAGAGAAATGATTAAAAAATTAATCGTAGCAATCCTATTGTTGGTTGCTTTAGCATCTGCTAGAACTTCCAATTTATCATTTGAAGGTAAGAAATAAAAAAAGAGATATAAAACATACATTCATTTATCCTCTTTTTTTCAACATCATGTTCTAATCATCATCGATCTACCCTTTTCCTTTCTTTTTCTTTTTGTAGAGACTCAATTTAGAGAATTTCAACTTAAATACAACAAACATTATGAATCACATGAATTTGCACAAAAGTTGGCAACTTTCAAGAATAGTTTAAAGAGAATCCAAGAATTAAACGATATGGCTAAAAGAGCAAAGGTTGATACTGAATTTGGTGTAAACAAGTTTGCTGATCTTTCAAAGGAAGAGTTTGCCAACTACTACTTGAACAAGGGTGGTATGGAGAGTACCGACTCAGAAACCTACGCACCAGACTACTCTGACAAAGAGATTAGTAATCTCCCAACATCATTTGATTGGAGAACTCAAGGTGCTGTCACACCCGTCAAAGATCAAGGTCAATGTGGTTCATGTTGGTCATTCTCGACCACTGGAAATGTCGAAGGGCAATGGTTCCTTGCCGGTAACGATCTCACAGGTCTCTCTGAACAAAACCTTGTCGATTGTAGCACCAAGAATGATGGGTGTAATGGTGGGTTAATGCCACTTGCCTATGATTACATTGTCGAGAATAATGGTATCGATACTGAAGCTTCATACCCATATTTAGCCATCCAACAAAAGAATTGTCAATTCAATCCAGCCAATATCGGTGCTAAAATTGATGGCTACTATAATGTATCATCAAATGAAACTCAAATGCAAATTAATCTTGTTAATGTAAATATAAACAAAAAAACAAAAAACAAATTATTTATTTATTTATTTACTCTTTTTCTTTTTCTTTTTTAGAATGGACCATTATCAATTGCAGCAGATGCAGCTGAATGGCAATATTATAAAAAGGGAATATTCTCTGGTATATTTGGTATTTGTGGAAAGAATTTAGATCATGGTATTTTGATTGTTGGTTATGGTCAACAAACTACTGAATTTGGTACTGAATTATTCTGGATAATCAAGAATTCTTGGTCCACAGACTGGGGCCTGTCAGGTTTTATGCTAATCAAACGCGGCACTGGCGAATGCGGTATCAACCTTGCTGTCACATCTGCCTATGTAGATACTCCTCCATCATCTAAAAAAAAATTACTAAATTAATGAATTAAATTAAATTCATTCCATTCATCAATCTCACTTTGAATCTTAAACCCTAATCTTTTTTTGCCAGTCTGAAGCACTTCAAAAGAAAAAACAACAAAAATTTATCTTTAAATACAGAAAGTGAGAGTATGGCTTGGCTGTAGTTTCTTCTTGAAGCTTCACCCTCAGCCCAAAAGAGAACCAAAATAAATATTTTTAAAAAGATAAGTTCATTTCCCTTGTGTGTTCCTGGGTGATGAAAATTTGGGGATGAGTCGATGCCATGTTGCTCTCACTAACCTTCAATTTGGTTTTCCTCAATGAAAAAATTCGGTTGAGTTGTGTGTGTTTAAGGGTGAGATGAGATGTATGGTATTTTTAACCAACCAACCCTAACCCTCAAATTGCCCTATCACATAAAAATATACTGTAAAGTAGAGTGCACATAGTGGCCTACTGGCTGGCTGCTCGGTTATTGTGTTCAACTCGATCTATTCCCCCTCCCTTTATCATTCAACATCCCACAAACAAATTTGTAGTTTGCCAATTAATGAAAAAACTATTTGGAAGAGATTGGCACAGGGTCAATGTCCAAACCAAAACCTTTATATAATATTAATATTTAATATTATATAAATTATATTATTTTTCTATTTGTTATAAATATTATATTATTTTAAGCTTTAAACATGTCACCCCCAAAAGGAACTATAATAACCTATTTGCGTATGCTTGATTGAATTTCTAAAATGTCAATCAAAATTTATTTTAACAATATTATTTTATTTAATTTTATTTTCATTTAGATCCCAACTATGAAGGTGTTGCATTTGAAATGAAGGTGCCAGTAAGACATTCAAATGCAAATTTTGAAATTAGATCGGTAAAGGTTGGTCCAGAGACAACTCTTTGTGTATCGGAAAAATCTGGAAAAGTTGTTAAATTCAAGAGTGGTGATCATCCAGAGATTCGTATTCCATACGAGTCTATCCTCCAAGGTATTGATGTAGTCTTTGAATTTTCAATTGATATTCGTTTCAAACATTCAATTGCTTCGGAACCAGCTGATAACTATGACCTCACCATCAAACCACTCCATTTTGACAACACTGTCATTCAATCTGGTGGTGATTATGTTGGCGTTCAAATCCCTAAACTAAGTCCACCCGATTCTTTGATCGTCTCTCAAATCTCGGTACGTGAGAAACCTTGGCCACATCAAATCGTTGCCAATGGTTCGGTCTACTTTAAGTATAACCCAGTCAACCACGATATCTCATTCCAAATCACTAATGGCTTGCCAGCTAACATATCAATCGTAAAAGATGATATTTGGGGATTTACAATCTCTTTAAACTCAATAAATAAATAAAAAATATTATTATTATTTTTTGTTTTAATAAATTATATAAAGTTTATTTAAATATTTAAATCCCCAAAGTGTGTTGTAATGTTACTATTTAGTAGTAGTAGTAGTATGATAACGATTATTATTATTATATTAATCAATTTCGCCCAAAGATTTCTTTTCTCTTTTTCTCGCGTTTTTGTTATTTTTTCTTTTTTCTTTATAAAAAGTGTTTCCAATAGTTGATCTTTTTTTTTGTTATTTTGTTGTGTGGCCAGGATGAACTATTAGGAAATGATTAGTAAAGGTTGTGTAGTAGTGTTGTTTTGTTGAAAAAAAAGTGTATCTATATTATTATATTATTATATCTATATTATTATTATTCTATTATATTATTCTATTTTTTTTTTTATGGTTCAGTTGAATCACCAATGTCTTCATCATATAATAATACATCGGTTTGAGCTTGTTTGACAACGGGACCTTCGGCAACGATACCAACAATGACGGTGATGTCGTCGAGTTTGCCTCCGTTGTAGAGATATCCATTGAGGCCGGCGTTCTTGGCAAATGGTGTGAAAATGGTGGTAGAATTGCCGACTTCGTAGGCACGCTTAGCAATGACACGGGCCACTGATTGAGCGTCGTGAGCATACTTGTTGGTGATACGGCAAATCTCCTCGTCAAAGAGATTGTCAAAGACACCGTCGGTTCCGAGGACGATAATATCGCCACGTTCGACTTCAAATGACGATGTGATCGAGTGGATGGGACGGTCGATTGATTGGGTGCCGAGTTGGTAAGGCATGTTAAAGGCGTGTTGTTGTTCACGTGTTCTAAAGTAGACTTCGCTGTCACGGATGACGAGGAAACCGCTGTCTCCAAGATTGGCCGACATGAGGTTATCTTCCTCGAGTACAACGATACAGCAAGTGCTGCTACCTTTGATGTCTTGCGAGTACTGGTATCCCTTTTCCATAATGTCGATTGGGTGACGTTGTGGTCCGTCGGTTTCGTTGGCGGCCAACTTGGAACCTTCCATCAGAGTGTTGCTGTATAGCGATGGGTCAATACCGACATCGCCCCAGCCACCGACACCGTCGGCCACACCCAATACCTTTTGGTCTTGACTGATAAAGAAGGCGTCTTCTCCACCCTTGTGACGCTTGTTGGGGTGTGGAATGACACAAATACCAGAGTCAAAGTGTAATTCGAGCATCTCGCCCGACTTTTTCTCGCCATCGTCTGACGAGTTCTTGAGACGGTGCATATTGTCGTTGCCGTTGCCAACGTGGTTACGACGGCCCCACAACTTGGGTGCAAACTCTAGTTGGGCTCCATCTTGTCCCGACTCGTCGTCAAATAGCTCGTCTTGGTCGTGTTGGATATTGTCCAATTCTTCTTGTAGTGGTTCGACATCCATCTCGTTGGACTCTATGATGGTAGTCTCGTCACAAACTGGGCTCTCTTGTTCGGTTGACATTATATTATGATGATGGTTGTTGGTATGTTTGTCATTTTCATTGGTAGACTCGCCCTCCTTGCTCGATGGAGAGGCCTCTGGACTCAAGTTGAGTTGTGCGGCTTCGTCGGCATATTCCTCTTCTTGAGCTGGTGTACTTGCAGCCGATGATGCTGTTCCTTGGTCACATTCGGTTGTTGCTGCTGGAGCATATAAATCTTTAAATGTTCTAACTACTCCCATTTCGTTGGAATTATTATTATTGTTGTTGTTGATTGATTCGGCTACGACAGTGGTGACAATTGGATCGTCAATCATTGCTGCTGTATTGGTTGTATTGGTGTTGGCTAATAAAAAGGTTGGTGATAATAATACACCAAATGTCTTTAATTTGTTATTCTTTTCTTGTTGTTGTTGTTGTTGTTTCTTTTGTTGTTGTTGTTTTTTGTTATTTCCTTGATACGAATATCCGTTATACTTTTGTTCGTTGTTTGAAGAAGTAGAAGTAGATTGTGAAAAGGATGAAAAGGATGGACGACCAAATTCAGAGTTGTTATTGAAAAGGTTGTTGGTCGAATAAGATCTAGTGTATCGGGGTAGAGTTGTGAATCGGTGATGTGTCAAAGTCGATCTTTGAACGTATGAAGAGGATGAACTAGAACTGTGAGTGAAAAGGGTGGTGCCTGTTGATGATGATGCTGCTGCTGCTGCTTTGCTGCTGCTATTGTATAATGAAGAGTCTCTTAAAATCGAATGTATCAATTTGATTTGGTTCTTGTTCATGGTAATGATCGAGGAAAAATGATTATGTTTTGGGCTAGGCCTTTTATCGAGTTGTGTGTGATAATATGATGATTGCGATTTTACTCTTAATCCTCTCTCTATAGTCGTAGATTATCACAAAGTTGTTTTTTAATTATTTGTATGTTGAACTATGTAAATAAATAAATAAAAAAAAGGGAACTGGTTCTATTCTATTCTACTACTGATGAGTTCTGTCGGGTTGGAATGATGATGATGTGTGAGTGTGGGTGTTGTCGTTGGGGGAATGAACAATAATTAGGTCGAAAAAAAAAAAAAATAGAAATGAATGTTTTTTTAAAATCACAAATGAGAGATTCGTCAAAGAACAAGATTTAAAAAATAATATTATTATAGTTAGTTCTTTGTTTGTATAAGTATAGTTATAGTAATATATGAATAATTATATTATATCTCTTTCTTTTGTTCTTATTCTTGAATGATCGAGAGAAGAGGATACAAATAAAATTAGTAAAACTCACAAATTTTAAAAAAAGAGGGAACGTTGGTTGTTGTAATTCTTTGTTGTGTTGTGGTTGGCAATGATTTAAAAAAACACTACTAACTGAACTGATGCGATTGTCGTTGATATTAATATTTAAGCGGGAAGAACTAGAATCGTCATATCATATGAAAATAATAAGGGAAGGGGTTAGGGGTTAGGGTAAAGATATCAAAGAGATGGTATTTTTAGGAGTAAGGAATAGGGAGGGAAAGATACGAGTAATAATAATAATAAATATTTGAGTGTGTTAGTCATAGTCATTACGAATACGAATTATCTCTTCATCTCTTTTATCTTTTATCTTCTTCTTCTTCTTCTTCTTCTAAGAGAGGAGGGAGTATGTTGCAATGAGATCATTTACCTGTTCGTTTAAATAAATAAGATTATCGCTTCTTTTGTTTTTGTTTGTACTTTTACTACTTTTACTTTTACTTTGGGTTGTGGTTGATAGTATTATATTATATAATGAGGGGATAAATATATATATATATATTTTACACCAAACAAAAAAAGGGAGGGGAAAATAAAGATTGGCGTATTTAAAAATAATACAAGAGATAATAGAGAAAAGGAGAGATAAAATAATAATAACAATAAAAATTAGAATGTTCGCTTGTTTGCGATAATTAATTATCAGAGCAGGTCCCGCTTCGCTGCTTGCTCGTTTGTGCAATAAAAAAAATTGAAAAAAAAATCGATCTTTTTGGGTACCCCCCCATTGACATGGGGTCGAGGACAGACACAGACCGATTAACCGCGTTTTTTAAAAATCTTTTGAGATCGATGAGTCCCCAACTGTTCCTTCGACTTTTTTCGCCTCTCGTCAAGCCAACGTATACAAAAAAAAAAATACCGCAAAGTAAATATTTGTTTGCTAAACTCAACTCTCAACTAACTTACTTCTTTGTTGGCAACAAACAAATGTCAACTTGACAATACGGTTGAGAGGAGGAGGGGAAAATCTATCTTCATTTGGACCCTTATTGATTAGATTTATGTAGATCCACTACAGTTCATTATCATGAAATGAACATATCGTTTGAATTTCATCTTACCAAAATAATAATAATAATAATGATCTCTCATATTAAATTATTCATTATTAAATTATATATATGTGTGATTAGATTTATACTCTGTACAATGTTCATACTTGTAAAAAGTTGGTGATTAGTTTTTTTTTTTTTTTTTTTGAAGTAATCGTCTCGTAGTCTGAGTCATTCATCTTGATTTTAAAGTGATGTCATTTTGAAACAAGCGATCATTCTCATTCGTTCATTCAACAGAAGAAGAAGAATGATCACTGCACTCAAATCAATCAATGCAAGTGGTACTTGTATTCAATCAAGTAGGAGATATATGGTGTCATCTTCATCATCATTGATATCATCTTACAACAACATTGATGATCATACGACAAGACACTACTCGACATCATTTAAAAGGAGAGGTGGTGGTGCAAGTAGTAGCAAACTATTTGGTATTGGTTCAAAAAGTGGTGCAAGTAGTAATAATTTAAAACAACAACAACAACAACAATCATCAACTACAAATACAACAACTTCAAATACAACAACTTCAAATACAACAACTACTTCAACAAAAACACAAAAAAAGAAGTCATCTACTTCATCTACCTCATCATTTGCCGATTTATTAAAAGGAGACGAAGATGATATACATAATCTAAGTGATAAAGAAGTAATGAAATTAATGAAAGAAATGAAATCAGACCCTTCAATGAAAATGTTGGCAAAAAAGTTTGGTTTGGATGATATGGATTTAGATTTAAATGAAGATTTGGATATGGATGATATGGATGACATGGATGATATGGATAATTTGGATGGATTAGATATTGATGAAATGTTGGGTATAAAAGAAAATGAAAAAGAAATTGAAAATATAAAAGACAATCAAAAAGACAATCAAAATCATTCAGCTTGGGAAAATAATATAAAAAGTAAAATTGAATCAGTTTCAGATTTAAATGATCCAAAATCAATGGATAATATATTTGAACTGTTATCAAAAGATGTAACATTTGAAGATATGGAGAAGAATGTTAAAGATGAAATGATGGAAGCACCAAACGCCGAGATTGCAGATCGTGTACACCAAATGTCAAATAGATACGATCGTAAAAAGAATTGGCTATCTTTTAAAAGATTATTAAAATCAAAGGCCAATGATTGGCGTCAAATTCCAACCTCTTCACTCAACGTATTACGTAAACGTACAAATCTAGATGAATCAAAATGGTCAAAATTAATTGATTATTATCAATATCAAAAATCAAATCAACAAACTAATCATCAACAAAATAATATAAATAATACTATAAATAATATTGATAATAATATTGATAATAATTTTGGATTTGGATCAAATACAATTATACTTGATAAACCATCAACTACAACTACTTCAACTACAACTACAACAAAAATTATTTCAGATTCAAGAAATGAAATTAGAAATGATATTAGAAAAAAGATTATTGATAATTGGAGAGATTCAATTAGAATTAAAGTTTTGGATAAAATGTCTAAACGTACAATGAGACAATCAATACCAGAGTACAAGAAGAGGTTTATACCAACTGGATCATTCTCTTCGATTGAACAATTAATAGACACGAATAATCCAAAGGGCAATGCATTCCAAAACTTTTTCGAACCTGAACTTGTCAATATGTTACTCGAAGTGGCATCGCTACACCAAAACAAATTGACCTTTGCACAACGTGTCTATTTACATTTATATTCGTTACATTTATTTGTACACCGAAATCTTTTCAAGGGTACATCTCCCTTTTTCGAACCGTTGGCATCGTCGTTTGTACTGACTGGTGAGCAATGTAGAGAGGTGGAGAGATTGGCAGACAATCAAGATTATGGTACATTGGTTAGAATGGCAAGAGATTATGGTGGTAAATCTGTATTTTCAGGTGCCAATAACATCTATGTACACCTATTCAGTCATCTTAAAAGAACTGGTAAAATGTATATCTTTTTCCAAGAGTTGGAGAAACCATTATTCCAAACGGAGACAATGACAAATGGTGATTTTGCAAGTATAGTTGGTGCATTCCTAAGTATTGGTGGACAATCAACTGCAGCAGACATGATACTGGAATTAATGGTAGATGCCAAAATTCCAATCCCAACATCTCTGTTTACAACGTATTTGGATTATTTCTACCAAAAGGAAAACAAAAATATCTCTGGGTTTATGGAAAAGATGGATGAATTGTCAATGTATATTGGTGTTAGAAAGGATATAGACAGCTCAAATAAATTGGTTAATCAAGACAATAATAAGCAAGATGGAGAGGAAATTGAAGATGGAATGGTATATGAAATACCGACATCTGAAGCTACCAGAGACCTAACATTTTACAAATCACTACTTGTACATTGTTATGAAAGTGGATATGTAGAGTTTATAGATCGTATAGAAACACGTATGCAAGCAGAAGGTATTGGAGCAGATTTGGAACTATTCAATGCAAAGATTAAATTACAAGCTTCGATGGGTGTTAAAATGGATGAATCGATTTTTGAAAATGCACAAATCAAAACTCATGGTGATAATCCTAAAAAACGTCCACCTCCACAAGCCAACGGACACACCTATCTAGCTCTACAACACAGTAATTTGGTTAAACAAGGAATTGAAATGTTTAAACAACTTCAAACCAGACTACAACAAAAATGGAAATTTAAAACAAATCAATTTATACTTTCAAATAGAATATTTGGTTTTGCTATTCATCAAAAAGAAAATGAAAAGAAAGTAGAAAAAGTAGAAAAGAAAAAAGAAAAAAAGGTTTTGGATGATATAGTTAAAATTTTAATTAAAGATATGGAAGGATATAAAGATCAAAGACCAATGAATCATGCAATTGTATTGTATGCGGAAGCTTTTAATGGAGCTGATCATGAACGTTTAATCGAGGTATTGGAAGATTTGACGGAAAAGGAATTCTCAAGACCTCTGTTGGATCTTTTGGTTTATGGATACATGAAAAATATAAATCATTCAAACAACAAACAACAAATTCAATCTAGTATTTCAAATTTATCAGCTACTCTTTTATGGATTCAACATCATTTTGGTAATACATTTACAATTGATCAATCAACGATTGATTATATTGATAAACATTTAAAGTTAAAAGGTGATTTTAAATTTAAATTGAATTAAATAAATAATATTTTATTGAATTTCAAAAATGAATTAATGGTTGATTATGATTTATGAGATGTTGATTAATTATATGAGCAACTTCAAAGAACCCCCTTTGACAAAGATTTTGAGTTTGTTTTCTATTTCTATCATCAATTTGTAAAATACCATGATCCAAGAGATATTGTACGGTTTTTGAAATGTCTTGATGGTTTAGTCCATTGATATCAAGTACTGCATGAGTACATCCTATTGCTAAATTGGTATATAACCATTGTACAATCTCTATTCTACCTTTAACTACTGATCTATCCATAGCATTGGTAGTACACCCTTCACTTCGATGTTGATGTAAATATTTTAAAATATTTAAATGTCCCTTTTCAGCTGCATTATCCATAGCAAGTGTTGTGCACCCCTCCGACCTATTCAAATGTAACCATTGAACTACATTTAAATGGCCGTCTCGACTAGCTAGATCCATGGCATTGGTAGTACACCCTTCAGAGCGATTGAGATGTAAAAATTGAACTATATTTAAATGTCCTTTCATCGCAGCTTTATCCATTACTCTAACACTCCAAATACTCGATTGTGAACCATAGTGTTGATTCAAGTATTGAATTACCTCTAATACACCATTCTCTGCAGCCATTAATGGAGCCATATAACTACACCCAGGTCCAATCCTTTCATGAATATAGGTCATCATTTCCAATATATCTTTATGACCTTGTTGATCATCATTCGCCAGTGCTAGATCCATTGCAACAGATGTACACTTTTCACTTCTATTTTCATTTAACCATTGTACAACCTCTAGATTTCCGTATTTTGCGGCTTGATCAATTGCCTCGGTTGTGCACCCCTCTGTACGGTACTGATGTAGCCATTTGACAGCTTCTAAATTGCCAAACATCGCAGCATCATCCATACCAAGTGTTGTACACCCTTCCGACCGATTCAAATGTAACCACTCTAAAACATGTAAATGGTTATTCATAGCTGCTTCATCCATTGCATTAGAGGTACATCCTTCAGTTCTATTCTCGTGTAACCAAATGACTACATTTAAATGGCCGCCTCGACTAGCATGATCCATAGCATTGGTAGTACACCCATGACTAGTATGAAGATGTAACCATTGAACAACATCCAAATACCCATTCGCTGCAGTCATATTCATTGTATTAAATGTACATCCTTCAGTTCGATTTAAATAAAGAAACTAGAAGTAGAAAGAGTTTGAAAATATAAATATAAATATAAATATTATTCTTTTTTTGTTTTTCTTTTTCTTTTTTTTTTAAAAGTTGTTATACATACTTGGACAATATTTAGGTGACCGTGACAAGCTGATAATTCCATGGCTTGACATGAGAATGGTACATTACCAAGTTGATGAAAATACTCTACTATGTCATAGTGACCATGAGAAGCAGCGGTATCAGCTGCATAGTCCAATGGTAGAGTAGGATAATTCTGAATGAGTCTTTGAATGATATCTAAATGACCAACTTTTGCAATATCATTGATTATAAAAGAGGGGGTATAGGCATTTGGTCTGATTGGGTTATAGTCGATAGACCAATCTTGAATCAAATGATCTAGTGTCTCCAATGTAGCATTTCGATGTGCACAGTATTGATTTATAACATCTACTCTTCTTTCATACACTATACTATCTTTATCGGGTAGATAATGTTTGATAAAGTCCCAAGGCATTGCAAACCGAGTTATCATACCAAGAAACGGTAGATTGATTATATCTCTACCTTTAAATGAATCATTTCTAATGATTGTCATATCCATCCTTGCACATTTCTTTGATATCTCGTTAACATTTTGAAATATTAAATTTCTAATATAAACAATTTTAAGTATATCTTGAATAATCATCATTATTAAAAAAAAAGTAAAAAGTAGTAAAAAAAAAAAAATAAATAAAAAAAAGGGGAGAAGAGAAGAAAGGTGTCCTTGGGTTGGTTTGTTATCTTATTTTTTTATTTAATTTAACAAATTCTATTTGTATGTTTTAATTTAACAAATAATTCATAATATATGTATTGACATTTATCTATCTAATCTATATCGATCTAACATTAGTGCATTCAAGAAGAATAAGATGGGGTGAGCTTAAAAGAAGAATAAGATGATGTGATGGGTATTATTTGTTATTTGTTTAATCCCTCATTCCTCTCTTTTTTTTTTTTGTTCGATGAACCTTTTAGTTTAGGACCTCCTCCCTCTCCTTTATCCTATTTATTTTCGGTCAATACAAGATTTTACGGTTTTTTTTAAAAATTATCGTATGCAAATCGACAAAATATCTTCGATTCTAATCGAGATTAGTTGATTTTTTATTTAAAATCTATGTCCCTGGACTCAAACGTAGAGTCGTTTGAAGCACCCTCCATTGACGAAAGGGTAGGTCATTCTTGGTTTGTGATGCTCAAAGGGGCATCAATGCATTTATAAAAAAAAAATCAATCGATGATACAGAAGTGACATCAAACAAAAACACATCACCAACGTTGGGGCTTCCACAAAGGAAAGAAGAAGAGCTGTTTGTTGTTGTGGAACAATCTAGATCATCACACTGCACACGATTCATTATTATTATTATTATTTTGTTATTTTTATCTCTTTTCATTTTTTTATTATCTGTTTTTTGTTGAGATCTCAACAATAACTATAGTTAAAAAAAAATGATGGTGATGATGAAAACTATATTTGTATTTTTAATTTTATTCAATACTATTTCAATTATTGTACAATCACAACAAATAGAAAATACGGTCAATGGACATAAATATCAACTTTTCCTCACCAATCCTCCATTATCATGGCCTGACGCTCAAGCAGAGGCAGTTTTAAAAGGTGGATATCTCGCAACCGTTACAACTCAACAAGAAGCTCAATTTATTGAAGACAATTTATTACGTAAGGAAAAAAAATAGAAAAAACAATAATTGTTTTATTTATTTATCTTTTCTTTTTTTTTTTTTTTTCTTTTTTTTTTTAAAAAATTTTTAAAAACAAGTCCATATGCATGGATTGGAGCTCATGCAAATAGTATTAGTGATAAATCAATTACAAAATGGGAAGCTGGTCCTGAAAAAGGTTTAAATATCTATAATAGAAAAACTAACAAATGGTATGTCAAAAAAAAAAAAAAGATAATTAAATCAAATTAAAGATTATTTATTTATATATTTTATTTATATTCCGTTTATTTATTAATATCGTATTCCGTTTAGTTTATCATATTGTAGATGGTTACCAGGACAACCAGATTCAGATCCATTTGGAAATTCAACAGAAGCATTTGTTCATTATTGGAATGGTAAATATTGGAATGATGTCATTTATAATTGGCCAGCAATTACTGGCTATATCGTAGAATGGGGGGGTGAATTAGATCCAATCATTGTTCCAACTGAAACCGAGATTGGATCCATTACTGTCATGAACATGGTTGGTTTTAATATGGCAGCTACCACTATTGTCTTTGAAAACAGTACTGCTGGTGATACACCATTTACATGTGTTCTTACTACCTCTACTGCCGATACCATCACTTGTACCACTAGATCAACTCGTGGTATTTATGATATTAAAATTTCAGATGGTACAAAAACTTTTAATTTTAAACGTTATACTGTTCTTCGTAGGTTAAAAAAAAAATAGAAAAAGAAAAAGAAAAAGAAAAAAGAAATATTAATATTAATTATATCTTTTAATATTTATTTAGAACCAACAATTACATCTGTAATATTACCAGTACAAGTAACTGGAGGATCAATTGTAACAGTGAATGGATTATCATTTGGATCAGTAGCAAGTGATATTTCAATGAAGCTTTCAACCAAAGATGTAATATGTCATGGTATTGTCATGTTGGTTCCACATCGTTCATTTACTTGTATGCTTGCTGCAACTATTTATGCTGATTGGAATACTGGTTCAGTTCCAATAGTTATTCAATCTGCTTCCATTTCAGTTGCCAATGTACTTCGTTTAAATCAAACTCGTTTTGGTGTTTGTAAGTAGAAGAAGGAAAGAACAAAAAAACAAAAACAAACACTTATTTACTTTTTCTTTTTTAGATTATAATTCAAAATTACTTCAATGGTCAGGAAACGCACAACAAGTTAATTTAATGAGAAATTATTTTATTACAGAAGGTTTGACATCTGATGTATTTAGTCCACTAGATTTAATAGACTATCCAACCATTCGTAATATTCAAGGAGGTAATATTGTTCTACCAGTTCAAAGACAAGCCAATGGTTATACTCTTTTAACTGGTCCAAATGCCGGTCAAACTCTTATTACATTTTCACCTTTATCTTGTAATGCAAACTATCTACCAAATTGTGGTACAGTCTCTCCAAATGTTTTAACTGCTAGTAAGTATAGAAAATCAAAAATAATAATTCAATATATTTATTTATGTAATTTTCTTTTTTTCAATTTTTAGCACAATGGCAAAATTTAGTTTTAATTGTAGCAGATTATAGTATTGATGTAGCAATTAATGCAGTACAATATATTAGATTTAATATACCAACTGCTGCACCATTATTTTTATCAACTTCGTCATGGACATTGCCAACAACTGGTGGATGGATTCAAATGAATGTTGGTAATATGAAATTGACAAGCAGTAATTATATGGTTAGTTGGGGAGGTGTACAAATTGCTAGTAGTATTGTACCATTTACAAATAATCAAACGATTGGTTTATTCGTACCACCTGGTACTGGTGCATCAAAAGCTTTGACTGTTACTGTTGATGGTCAAACCACACCAGCTACACCATCCAATACATTGGCCTTTGTAGTTCCATCTTTAAATTCAATCTCTCAAGGTAATTCAAGTGGTGGACCAATCACTGCTGGTGGTCTTAATTTTGGTACTGACAAGAATGTCATTACTGCCACTATCACCAATACCGATGGATCCAATGCCTATACTGTCAATGCCGACGTTATTTTAAATGCTCATTCAAGTGTACAATTTACTGTTCAACCTGGTTACGGTAGTCGTAGAATTTATCTTACTGTCAATGGTCAAGTTTCAAATACTATTGCCTATAGATATGTAAATCCAAGTCTCATATCTTATACTCAAACTGGTAGAGCTGTAACTTTAAATGTTTTAGATGTTGGTACAAATGTAGGACTATTATCTGTTACTTTTGGTAGTACAGTCATGACTGGTGTGACTATTCCAGCACTTGGTCAAATTACATTTACTCCACCAGATAATGCAGTCAATGCATTTATCACATTTACCTATGATGGATTAACAAGTTCATCAAATACAATTGAACTTGTACCAGTACTAGTTTCAACTACCAATGTTTTGGCTGGTTCTCCAATCAATCTAGTTGGTTATTATTTCTCTGGATCCTTTGTCGTTTCCATTGCCAATTATAATATTCAATTTGGTCAAGTCACTATTGTTGATTCTCAACATGCCACAGTCACTACTCTCTCTACCTATCAAGGTATTAGAACCAATCTAAATGTTTCAACTAGTAGAGGAGTATCAAATTCTTTACCATTTTCATTTGGTCCTGTAATTTTTACTGGTACTGGAGATCCCTCAAGAGCAGGTCACGTCAGTATTAGTGGAAACAATTTTGATACTGATACCATTGTCACTATCAATTCTGTAGATTATACACCACAATATGAATCAAATACCAAGTTGGTTATCACCAATCTTGCCAATGAAACAACAGCTGGATACATTTCAGCCAGATCATCTGGTGTATCTAGTACAGAAATGGTATTTTTATTATTCCCAATCATGACATCGGTCACTCCATTACGTCTCCCAACAACTGGTGGAAGAGTTACCATTACAGGTTATTTCTTTAATTTCCGTGATTCTGAAAATAATCCAATGACTGTAGTTGTCAATGTTGGTACATTTAACTGTCTCAATCCAACCCAAGGTATCAATAATCAAATTTTATATTGTAACCTAAACCCTGGTACAGGTGGCAACCTCAGAGTCTCTGTATCAATCAATGGTTTACCAGCAGCCCAATCTACTTTTAGAATTGGTTATGATTTACCTGTTATCTCTAGTGTATCCCAAACTATTGATAATCCAGATGTAATCATTATTCAAGGCAATAATTTTGGTACATCCAATACATCAACAGATTTAATTATTAAATTGGCAACTGTCACTTTGACACCATGTTTATTTACAGTTGCACATACTACTATTCAATGTAATTTATTACCAACATCTGCATCTGGACCATTGGCCATTACAGTCAAATCACAAGCATCACTTCAACCTTTTCCAGTGGCTCTGCATCCTGTATTGTCTACAGTTTCATCTCAATCATCTTTGGGTGGAATGATTACGATTCAAGGAAAATATTTAACAGTTGCAACTGAAAATTTGGATACTCTAACTACAATGGTTGCGATTGACAATGTTTATTGTTCAGATTCAAAGTTTGAGGGTGGTATTGCTACATGTAATGTTACTCAAGAACAAGCATCTGGATCAAATTCCCCAGTCGTCAAGGTTAAAATCAATGGAGCAGAATCTTTTAATGGTTTAAATTATCAATACCTAGAACCACTATTTGGTGTAGCTCAAACCATTGATAATTTAATATTTGAAGGTGAAAATCTTGGTTCTACTGGTACTGTTCAACTTGACAACCAAGTTTTATCATGTCAATGGACTATTATTCATTCAATGATAAATTGTACATTACAATTGACTAGTGTAAATGGAATTTTATCCCTATCTGTAAATGGATTTACTTCAAATGTAGATTTTAAATTGAGACCAATCATTTCATCAATCCAATCAACTCCAACTATTGGTGGTACAACTATAGTAACTGGAAAATATTTTAATTCTCCAACACTATCTGTAAAGATTGGTTCAACTATTTGTTCAACACCAACCATTGAATCATCTACTACCATTTCATGTCGTACAGCAGTTGGTATTCCAACCGATTCAGTGGCTATCGTATCAGCTGATTCTGTCAATTCAAATATGATACAATTTAATTATATTGCTCCAACTTTGCAATCAGCCATTCAATTAAACCTAAATCAAATTCAATTAATTGGAATTAATTTTGGTAGTAGTGTAGTCAATACTATAACTGTTTTATCAAATGATATACCATTGGTTTGTTATGCATCCAATGAATCGCCAGTATTTTGTAATATTACCAAATCTCAATTAAATGGAAATATTCAAATATCACGTGATCGCTTTTCATCACCACCCATCGAATTTAATATCTATCCATTCATTACTCAAGTTTCAAGTACAAGTACTATTGGTGGTCCCATAACAATCGATGGTACCTATTTACATTTAAATAGATTTAATCAATCAAATACCATAGTCTCTATTAAAGTTGGTAATCTTGATTGTATAAATCCTACTAGTACTGGTCCAGATGGTACACAATTGACATGTCAATTACAATCTGGTAGTGGTAGTAATTTAAGAGTCGCTGTAACAATTGATGAATTACCAAGTATTGGAGATGTATTTTTTAATTTTGGTTTACCAAATATTCAATCTGTAAGTCAAAATAATCAAACCTATGAAACTATAGTTATTAGTGGTGAAAACTTTGGTTCAAATATTTCAAATGTCATTGTTACCCTTTCAAATCAATTATTATCTTGTCAATTGACTATTGATAATATTGAATTGACTTGTCTTTTACTTTCAACAAGTAAATCTGGTACAATATTGGTTCAAGTTGAAAATCAATTATCATCTGCTTATCCATTGGCATTGCATTCAATTTTATCAAATTTAACTTCACAATCTTCAAATGGTGGTATTGTAACTATATCTGGTCAATATCTTGGTATTCAAGATATTTATTCTACCAATTTAACCATTACTATTGGTGATCAAATTTGTCAACAACCATCGTCCCTATTAAATCAAGTTTCATGTATTGTAACAAAAGATCAATTACAAAGTACAATCATTCCACAATTCCAAGTTTATATAAATGGAAATTCAAGTATCAATACTTTACCATTTGTATATTCTGAACCAATTATTTTGGAATATCAACAAAAAGGTAGAGAGTTGATATTAAATGGTTCAAGTCTTGGTTTGGATATCGGTTCAATCAATATCGCCCTTATTGATGAAACTTTAATTTGTCAATTACAAACATTAAATGAAATTGTTTCTTGTCTATTGACTGACAATTCAATGAATGGTCAATTAACATATAAAGTAAATGGTTATACAATTACAGAGGAAATAGTATTGGTACCTGCCATTTCAAATATTTCATCAACCCCAACAACTGGTGGAGAAGCTATTATTACTGGTATTTTCCTTGGTAGTTTCAATAGTGGTGATCAAATTCTTATTGGATCATCAGAATGTAAAACACCAACACCAATTGATAATAGTAAAATATCTTGTCAAGTTGCAAGTGGTATTTTAGATGGTTCATTGGTTACTGTAACTATTGATAACAAACAAACTAGTGATTTGGTTTATTTCAATTATCTTGCTCCAACATTGTCCAGCGCTGGTATCCTTCATATAAATGATAGTATATCATTTTCTGGTTCAAATTTTGGTACAAATGCAAATGACAATATTTTGGTTTATCAAAACGATATATTATTGGAAAATTGTCATCGCAATGATGATACAAACATTAATTGTACAATCAATTTGGATCAATTAAATGCAAAGATTAGTATTGGTAGAAATAATATCAACTCGACCAATAGTATAGATTTAACTTTAATGCCATCAATCCAAACAACATCCATTGTACCTGTATTGGGTGGACAATTAAGTATTACTGGTTCATTTTTAAATCTTGTTCGTCTAGATGGTTCACCAACAACTATTTCAATTCAATCTGGTTCTCGTACTTGTCAATTGGATCTAAATTTGTCTACCAAGAATCAATTCATTTGTTTAATGTCAAGTGGATCACATGGAGAGAATAATCAAATGACTCTAACAATTGATGGTAAAGAAACAATTGGATATTATTCAACTATTGCCCCAACCATTCAACAAGTAACAAGTGTTGAATATTCAGTTGGTGGTTTGGTAACATTGTATGGTCAAGAGTTTGTTGAACCAATCAATTCTATTTTAATTGGAGGTGTAGCTTGTACAAATCCAACTTTATTAGAACTTGGAAAAAAGGTTACATGTCAATTTGATGGTAGTGCAGATCGTGGTGATGGTAAAACTGGTCTTGGTGTAGTGATTGATTGTTCAGGATTAATCAGCCCAATGGCAAATGTTTTCATCTATTCTGATAATCAAGGATGTTTATGCTCATCACCAAATGGTATTTGTCAATCGGGAGTATGTCAATGTAATCCAGGTTATTATGGAATCAATTGTGAATTGAAAGAAATCATCGATCCACAACCACCAACTATTACCAACCCAAGTGATGGTTCCTTTGGAAATTATTCAGTTCATCTTACTCATATTCGTGAATTGGGAGATGATGGTGTACCAATTGTTTCTCTACCCATTTCTTCTGTTCAATGGAATCAAACCTCTGAAAATAGTGGTATTTTTGTTGGAAAGATAAATGGTGAAGATGGATTTACCATTACCATTACCAATACAATTGCTCAACAAGATGGAACCAATATTTTATTCGCTGGTGAAACCATTGTATTATCAAAAAATACTTTAAAACATTCGATTCAATTGGATGGTTGGAGATTTAGAGATAATAATAATACCTCTACTTTACAATTAGTTTATGATATTTCGTCACCATTGGAATCTATAGTACATGGCGATTGTCAAACCGTTTACCAAGTAAACAAAACTCTTCAGAATAATGAAAATGATATTAGATGGGTTTCATTAAATTTGGTCAATTCAAATTTTATTGGTAGATTTTCAAATCGTTATATTGTGGACCAAGGAATGATCAAGATTGGATCTACAAGTATTCTTGGTGCAACTGATACCATTTATGATGAAACTTATTATTTGGTTTCAAATATTACCTATCAGTCACTAAATCATTTTGTCGTTGCTATGAATATTCCTCGACATAATATTACATCTATTGTAGATCCATCCTTTTCATTGGTCATTGGCTCTGCCGAACCAATTGAATCTACTTGTTCAACTTCAAGTTCTTCAAAATCTCTTTGGTGGATTGCTTTGGTAGCTGTTGGTGGTGCTGGTATTGCTGGTGCTTCTGCATTCTTTGGTTACAAATACTGGAAAAAGAGATCGGTTCAAGCTAAAACTAATGTTAGATTGGATCAACTAAGAAATAATTTTAAATAACAAAAAAATATTAAATAATTAAATAATTAAATAAAAGTTTTACAATCAAATTAAAAAGTAACATTTGCAAAGAAAATAAAATAGAGGACAAAAGAGAGAGAGGAAAAAGGACTGTTTTGAATATATTGTGTAAAATGATAAAATGGCATAGAGTAAAATGATAACGGCAAAGTGTAAAATGATAATGGCAAAGTGAAAAGTATAAAATGGCAAAAGTAATAATGGAATTAAGTAATTATAGCAAATGATAGTGGAAAAGAGTTAAGTATAAAATTGCAAAGTTTAAAATGATAGTGGCAAAGTAAAGTAAAATAGAGGACATGAGAGGGAAGGAGACATAAAAAAACAGCAGGATGCGACAGGAGTAGCAAAAAACAGCGGGTACAAAATACCTGATCCAGCCATCACATACCGGAGTAAAAAAATTTTTTTTATATGGGGTCTCATATTACTCCGGTTATTTTCAAAAGGGGGTGCGAGAGTTGGCAGCAAAATACAGCAGGAAAAAGAAAAATATATAAAAAAACAGCAGTAGACAACAGGAGAAGTCCCTTTCTGGGCAGCTAAAAAAAAAAAGTATGCAAGATGTGGGAGTCGAACCCACGAACCCGGAGGATGAGAACTTGAGTCACACTGCTTTGACCACTTACATAACCTTGCATTATGTTTGATGCTATTTTTATGATCATTGTCCCTTTTATACCCACTTACATAATTTTAAGGGCATGGCGTGGCAAGTGAGTCGGGAGTGTGCTACCCCGGGAACGTAAAGGTCATAGGTTCGAATCCTGCCCTCGAACTTTACCTTTGGCGCCAACGTTTAACTTGACCACAATTGGGGGGATTGAGGAGAAAAACCATCCGACTCTAGGGATCTAGAGACAGGACACCCCCACGGAAGGATGACCGGGTTAGTTTCCCCTTCTCAGTAGGAGATTGGGTAGCCAGACTGCAACAAGTAACGGGAAGGTAGTGGAGGACATACTGGGCCGTCGCGATAGAAAGCCATCTGACATCTCAAATACAATATGCAACATGTAAAGACGAGTGTCCACAATGGGGAGTAAATCGGTGCGAGAGTTGAGAGCGGCAGTCGGTCTTGGACGCACCCAAGGCTTAAGGTTTCACCGCAAGTATGGTAATTTCGGAGTTGGTGCCATATTTGCGTCCAACTACAACCATCCTACTGTCTACAAGATCGCACTACCTAGTCATTTGGAGAGGTACAAGACTCTGCGTACACTACATCTATAATCGATCACCTCGACCTCATTCCTCTCATCCTCCTCAACACCTTCATCATCTTCTTCTCTCTCTTCATCTATCAATAATAATATTAATAATATAATAATTTACTAAATAATAATAATAACATAGAATAATTATACACAATATTACAGCCAATAGTGAAAAAAAAAAAAAAAAAAAAAAAAAAAAAGCGATATCTTTAACCAATTTATTTTTAGAACAAGCAACAATCCAACATGCTTGACACTATACAATAAGATACATGATCAACGTCCATATAACATGTATCATAGACATGGACAAACCCCCAGAACAAATTAACTTTAATTCTTCTTGAGATAATCTTTATTTCTTGCTGGTCAATTAAAAAGTATAATTAATAAAACTTTGTAACTTCTGAGTACTACTCTTCCCGATAGGAGAGAACAGGAAAAGAATTACTTTAAAAAAAAACTTACATAATTTTTAGCCTCTGGCCAGGAGGTGCCACCACCTGAATGTGCAATTCGACTTTGACGATGACGATCGCAACTACTCTCTCGACCCAAACGAAGTAGCAATCGTTACCAAACGATTCAAAACTATAATCTATCTTGAATACCTGAAACTAATCCAAAACTGCAAGTCGATTCTAGCTAAATGTCAACCTGATCGATGGTCGGTCACTAATCTCGAACTGATGGCAAACTTTAGTAAATTCTATCTCATTTGGGGCAAACTAGCTACACCCTATCGCATTCCCTCCTTCCTAACTAGAACTAACCACTACCTAACAACTACTCCAAATTAAACAACAATAATAATTAAATCATTAATTTAAAAGTAAACAATATGACTTCAGCGGTGATGAAGAGGTCAAAGATTTTATTAAAAAAAAAAAAAAAACACTTACATAACCTTACCACCAAGACTTGCCATTTTTGCTTGGATGGAAATAGAACAGACATTTGGCACCCCAAAAAACAGATTGGACTTGTTTCTTCTTTGGAAACTCATTTCCCATTGCTGGTCAAACAAAGACTTCAATCAATAAAACTTCGCAATCGAAAGAGTAGTGCTCCACCCTACAGGTGGATGCCACGAAATGAGATGCTTAAAAAAAAAAAACTTACATAACCTTGCATTATGTTTGATGCTATTTTTATGATCATTGTCCCTTTTATACTCGTCTCGCGAAGCCAATGACCACTTACATAACCTTGCATTATGTTTGATGCTATTTTTTGGGTCATTGGACCATTTAATGCTCCCCCCCCCCCCCAAACCACGTCTACATTTGCCAAAACATCCAAGAATTTAAATTAAAGGATGCAGCTATTCTTCCAAAGTCAACACTGACAAATGTGTGGTCATGTCACCGGGCAGTCCAACCAATCTAGCGTACCCACTGATGGACAAGGAAAGCAAGGAACGATACCTAGGCTACTACTTTAACCAGTTTGGTTTGGTACCACACCTTCCAGAGCATATTGACAAGGTAATCAACGATTTGATTAGATGGAAACCTAAACACAACAATAACTATAGAGGTAAATTAGCTTTACTCAAACCGGTTTGTCACAATTTAACTATTTTAAGTCCCTTGAATAACCTATTCACGAGGCAATCACCAGATTGGAAAAGGTTATTGATTTGTTCATGTTCAGCAAAGACCGTGAGTACGACCCAACCAAGCCTACCAAAAGAACCATGTTATCGATTGACCAAGGTGGTCTCAACCTCTGAGACCTCAACGCTAGATTCCGCGCCCAAAAGGCATGGATGTTCGAAAGGTTCCTCCACGAGGTTAATAACAACCGAGTCGCAAAGGTTTCATTTGTCCAATCATGGATGGACCAACTCAACCAAGACAAACCAAACGACCTTGTTCGTCTCTGCCGCAGTGAGTGGGAGAAGCTTACCCAACCCTACGACGTCAGCAGAGAGGCTGTTCCCAAACCAGCAATGGAACCAAACAAAAGAGGAAGAGTACCTCTCAAGCAAGCGTACCTCCAAAGGCTGACCATAGCCAACGAAAAGTGGAATGTGTACGACCCGTCCAGGCCAAAAGACCTTAGCAACCGACGAAAGAGTGTATCCAATGAATGAACTAGCTGCTCTCTCTACCATCGTGCTACCAAAGGGTCGAGGATGAACCATTCACTGAACAATATCTGCGAGCTAGATTGCTAAATGATATGCGACATATTATCAAAGCAAACTGGGACAGGACGTTAGAATTATGCAATCGATGGCACTTGGCTCTGATGAACCAAGCCGATGAAACAATAATACATACCATTACAAAACGAATACAAACTATCATCCTTCTATTATATATCCTACTGTTTACAAGATCTAGTGCGCACTACAAGTACGCTTCATCTATAATCTATCACCTCTATCTTCATTACTCACACCACCATCATCTTCTTCTATTCTCTCTTCATCTATCAATAATAATATTATTATATAATAATCAAATAAATAATAATAATAATAACATTGAATGATTAAATCAACTCAGTATTAAAGCTGAGACTGAATTGTGTGATGATTTATTAAATATTTTTATTCGTTTTCTCAGATGTCTTTCTGAACAAGATCTTTGGGATGACTTTTTGAACAACGATGATGGATCTAACAGTCAATATCAAATGGAAAATATGTGGGTCAGAGGAATCAACATCAATCGAAGAATTTAGATTATATGGTATCAATCATTGTATACCTTTGGTTTCTAGATACTTTGGTGTCTATCAATTAGATAATCTACATCAACTATAAAAAATTATTATGAAATCTTTCAACTAATCAAAAATATATGGAATCAATCAGATCCAGTAACTTGAATCAATAAATTTAAATATAAATAATAATAGAAACAAAAATGTTTGTGTTTGCTAGCTAGACATATTTGAAAGAGATATATATATTTGTGTGGTTCATTGTAACAACTTGAAAATTAGAGGCACGTCACCTGATCGCGCAGCATGCATCAAATTACAAGAGAGAGGATCCAAGATGGTGGTCTCTAGATCTCTCCAACACTCGTCCAATGACAATGGGTCGTCTCTTTGCACGCTATGAATCTCATCATCGACAAGACACAAGCGAATCACCAGAAATGTCTTGACAAAAGAGACGAGATCATCAATTGAGGTGGATTGATGATGGGAACCGTTGGAAAGCGAGATGAGAACTTGTGACGATGCAGTGTAAAATGTTCCTTCATATGGGGATGTAGAGTTGATTGTAACCGATGATGCCCAATCAATGAGGTATGGGTGGCCATCGGCAACCACAATATTTGAAGGTCTAATATCTCTGTGAACAATACCAATCGTGTGAGCATCTACTATAGTTTTTAATAGTTTTTGGTAGTGTGACCATGGATGAATATTTTCTCGAATCAATTGACCAAAAGGTTGAATCAAGATCCATGTCAATCCGTCTGCCTTGATTGTTGGGATACAAGGCAAATGCGATAGCTTTGTCAAAGCTTGTAACTCGGTGTCCTTGTAAACAACATTATTGTATATCTTGACAATTGTTAACAAGTCATGTTGTTCATGTGTCTCTAGAACCGAGTAGACAGACGAAGACATTCCTTTGGCTACGAATTTAAATGATTTGGTAAAGTCGACTTGATCTGAGAATCTTTGAATCAAGTCGGGTGGAATGATCTCTAGATTATTATTATAGAGTTGAACAGACGATTCTTTGGTCGGTGAGATGAAACAGTAGTTGTCAATAAGCCCTTTTGTGATTTCTTTGATTAAATCTGATCTGAATCTCTTTAAAAGGTTCAATTCATATTGTGGTTCTGAAAATGAAAAGAAATAAATGATTTAGTTTATAAACAATGACAATCGTTTTGTAAATATATGTAAATGATGTTTGACATGTCATACCTTGTAGAGTAGGTTGTAATTGGTCAATGTTGTGAATCAATTTTGAAGCGACTCCATATGTAAAGTTGTAGGGAGGTGAGATCAGTCTTTCACGAGTGAGCTCGAAGAGTGTTTCACCATCTACCTCTTGTTTGAATAATGCATTGACAACGTTTTCACTAAACTCTAGTGACTTTATCCAAGCTTTCACATCTTCAATACTAGATGTGTCTGTGATCGTTGATTGAGACATATTTATATTTATATATATATCTTGACAAGATTAATATATTACTTGTTGTTATTCACATTGATAACTTGGTTGATGTTTTTGTTACATAACTGATAATAAATTAAAGAAGCTTCTTGCAAGAGTTGTTAACCAATGATAGATGTCATGTTGCTTTCTATCAGATGTATGATAATTTTAATATTAAAATTTTTTATCATGAAATTAATATTATATGAACCATCATTGCATAGATGCACTCAGATTATTATTTCTTTAATTATTAGTTGAGGTTTGTTGTTTTTTGATATAGTATTATTAAAAAAGACAAAAATTACCCTTCTTCAATAAAGAAGAGAAGAGTATGGAAAATTGTAGTCAGTTATTATTATTACTACTACACTTGACAAAACAATGAATTTAGTAATCAAGTGTAAAATATGTAGATCATTTGAATCAAGGTCAATAGATGAATTTAGACTACATGGTATCAATCATTGTATACCGTCGGTTACAACATACTTTGGTCTTACGCTAGAACAAATACTATTAGAACAACAAAGAGATAATAATGATGATCGGATGCAAGAAGAAGAAGAAGAAGAAGATAATCAACAACAACAACAACAAGATATTGTAAAAATGAGAAAGAGAGATCATAATAACAAAGATAAAGACAATAATAATAATAATAATACAATTACAACAACAACAAAGTCAATAAGATTTAAAAGTTTAATTGGGTCACCATTTATTAGACGTACTCTATTTAAACATGTAAAAGAGTTGAGCAATCTTTATAAAATTAGTAAGAGTGGAGGTGGATCACATTCTGGTAAAGATATCATTAAATTACCTCATCTTGGAATGATATCTCTATTTGCAATGCCATGGGAGTTTATTAAACATTATCTACCCAACAAGGATAATGTATTATTACAAAGAAGAATGATTGTTATTAGTCAATATTGTGCACATCGAAATGCAACATTGGATACATTATTAAAACTATTGGAATGGTCCCCTGAATATGATCCACAAGATCAATTTGATAGTGCTCACCATCAAAATCTATTTTATAATGTTTCAGCTCAAGGACATAGAGATATACTTGAACTGCTTTTAAAAAGGTATCCAAATATTTCAACAAATGGAAACCGTAGGGCAATGGACATAGCATCTGAATATGGACATTTATCAACTGTTCAATTATTATCATCTGTTAAAACAGTCATTTGCACTCCAGATGCAATGAGAGATGCTGCAGAAAACGGCCACTATGAAATTGTAAAGTATCTTGATGAAACTCGTACTGAAGGTTGTAGTACACATGCGATGGATTCAGCTGCCTATTATGGACATTTTAATATTGTTAGAGTATGTATATAGATATAGATAGATAATATAATAGCTAAATATCGATATTAACAATTTATAGTATTTAAATTGTCATAGGTTAGAAGGGTGTACTTCTGATGCCATGGACGGAGCTGCATTGAATGGTCATCTAAATATTCTACAATATTTACATCAAAATCGTTATGAAGGATGCACTATTGATGCCATGAACGGAGCTGCATTGAATGGTCATCTAAATATTCTACAATGGCTAAGAAATAATAGGACAGAAGGGTGTAGCACCAATGCGATGGATAATGCAAAATCACTTGAAATTGTTAAATTCCTTCACGTAAATGGTAAAACGTGCACAACATTGGCCATTGATAATGCATGTTTAAAAGGTGATTTGGATATTGTCCAATTTCTTTTTGAAAATCGTACAGAAGGTTGTACCCAACATGCCATCATTAATGATTGTAAAAGTGGTAACTTTGATTTGATAAAGGTAAAAAGATATATATATATTTAATATAATTGAAATCATTTCCATCTATCTAATCTATCTATCTATTGATAGTTTCTATTAAATGCTAGGAATCAAGTTTGTACACCCGAAGCAGTAGACTCTGCCATAAAGAAGAAATGTAGTTTGGAGATTATAAAATACCTCGATAAAGAATGTACAATTAATGGTTTGAAACATACATTCAAAAATGATCGATTGGATACTCTAGATTTGATTCAATATCTTTATCAACGTTTCCCAAAAACTACTAATACATGGGATGCTCTTACATTTGATTTGGCTGCAGTAGCTGGTAAATTAGATATTGTAAAGGTAAGTATTTAAATATATAATATAATATAATATTTTTTAAAAATCTCTAAAAAAAACTAAACCTTTTTTTTTTTTTCTATTTATTTATTTATAGTTTCTTCATGAAAACAAAAAAGCATGCACAATCAAGACTATGGATCATGCAGCAGAGTTTGGAAATCTTGATATTGTTCAAGTATGCAATTATTACTTTTATACCCTAAAATCCAAATCCATTTTATTTACTAAACAAACATTAAATGTTTCCTATATAGTTTTTACATTTTAATCGTACTGAAGGATGCACAATCCAAGCTATGGATATTTCCAAAAATTTAGAAGTGATAAAGGTATTGTTGTTTTAAAAGAGAGAGAGAGAGAGAGATAAATTAAAAAAATTAATTACATTTTAATTAATCAACTCTATCATTTCTTTTTAGTTTTTACATTTTAATCGTACAGAGGGATGTACAACCAAGTGTATGGATAATGCAGCAAGAAGGGGTGATATAGAGACTGTTGAATGGTTACATAAAAATCGAACTGAGGGTTGTACTGATCAAGCTCTATGGGAATCAAATAACCCCGATATTTACAATTACATACTGTCAAACAAAATAATACCATTGGAATCAATCAAACAAGGAAATATTTTAACGCTACCATATGAAGAAGATTATTATGAACTAGTAGATACTATCAATAAATATTATAACATCTAGATCTAAATTTAGATTAATTAATAAGATAATATTTAGTTTTTTGGGTAGGGTTTTTTGAACTTCAAAAATGAAAGAATCATTTGTTCGTTTTAGTACTTTGTTACTTAATGATGATAGATCAAACATATACAATCAAATGTAAAGTACACACTTAATTGGGTCAATATATATTAGACAATGTATATTCAATCATATCAAAGAAATAGGTAAAAAGATTTTTCCAAAGTATTTAACACTTTCAGGTAAAGATATCATCAAACAACATCATCTTGAAATGATATCTAGGTTTACAATGCCATGGAACTTTATCAAATATTATCTAGCCAACAAAAATAATGTATTGTTGAAAAGAAGGATGTATGTTATTAGTAAATATTGTTCACATCAAAATGCAACATTGGATACATTATTAAAACTATTGGAATGGTCCCCTGAATATGATCCACAAGATCAAGTAGAAGAGATCATCAAGAATTAGTCTACAATGTTGCTATTCAAGGACACAATGATATATTGGAACTGCTTTTAAAAAGGGATCCAAATATCAATAAAAATACACCACGTAATTCTTCTTAGGCAATTATTATTGATGATGTATCTGCTCGTGGACACTTTTCAACAATTCAATTATTATGTCAATTGAAACAACATGGACAAGTAGAATGTACAACCAATGCTATAGATAAAGCAGCAGAAAATGGTCATTTAAATATTGTTAGAGTATGTATAGAAAGATTATTTTAAAAAAAAAACAAGAAAAACTAATTAACTAATTAATTTTTTTTTTAAACTCTATCTTTTTTTTTAGTTATTTTTTAATCATCGTGATGAAGGATGTACAACTAAAGCTATGGATAATGCGGCATTATTTGAACGGACATTTAAATATTTTAGAATGGTTGTATCTAAATGGAACTGAGGGATTCACAAACAAGGCAATGGAAAATGCATCAGCGCAAGGTCATTTGAATGTTTTACAGTGGTTACATCACAAGATACCTGATGAAGGATGGCCGTACAGTACCACTGGCACCAGGACAATGCAAAAAATTTAAAAATTACTAGATTCCCTCATGATAATATTTTAAAAGTAAAATTTATCAAATATTAAATATTAAACGTAGTGAGAGCAAAATTGGGTTTTAATCATTTAGGGGTTGAAATGAATCTAAAACTACTTGATTTTTTGACAATCGATCATATTTCTACATTCTATGATATAATATGTCACTTGTGGAAAAAAAAAAAAAAACATCATCTCTTTCCTCATGTGGCAAATTTTGCTCGAAAAAAAATATCAAGAATAAAATCAAATAGGTGCAAGTAGGTGAAAACTCCCAATAAGGGTATTTTGCTCGAAAAAAAATAAAAATAATCAAAAATAATAAAGTTTTTCGAAGCGTCTCTCAAGTCCTAAATGATGACCACTCTTTCTACGTATTGAATATTAAATAACCTTTATTCATTTCATAGTTTTAGATAAAAACATTCCAGAATGTAAAGGTGGTACAACAAATGCAATGGATAGAGCTGCAGAAGATGGCTGCCTTGATATTATAAAAGTTTGTATTTAGAATATTAGAGAATATTTTAGATTATTAAATTTATTACTAATTTATTTTTTCCAGTTTCTACATGAGAATCATACTCAGGGATGTTCACGTCGTGCAATACATATAGCAGCCCTCTTTGGACATTTTGAAATAGAAAAAGAAAGTATTAAATTTAGAGAGTCAAGTCACGCTTGAATGTTTTTGAGAATAGAATTTGATTTTTTTTTTAACCTTATCTTTCTTTCTCTCACTTTTATTTATACTTAGTTTTTACATTTTAATAGTACCATTACAACCAACAATGAAATGGATAGTTTGTATGGTCCAGATGATATGGATGGCCCTTGTCAAGGAGGTCATTTAGAAATTGTTGAATTTTTACATAAATATGGTAACCTAAAGTGCTCTTGGGAAGCCCTAATAGGTAATGTTCGCTATGATACTTGCAAATACGTAATAGCCAACAAATTGATTCCCAAATACCAGATCAAACAGATAATGACAACCATACAAATAGAAAATTATTATAAAAGAGGTCATGATTATTATGAAATCTTTGATCTAATTTATAAATAATATGGACAATTTTAAATAAATCAAATCAAAAAAGGCTCCAATAAAATTTGAGGATAACAAGTGCTATTTTCAATGATTGTTTTAGTTTAAACTACAAAGATGGATTTAACAGCTAATATCAAGTGCAAAGTATGTGGGTCAGAGGAATCAAGGTCGATCGATTGTTAGATCTAGATTGTTTAAAATCAATGATATCTCAATGATATTTCATTGATATCTCATTGAACTCAATATACTCAATCCTGGTTAGGACAAGTCAAATATGTAAAGTATTTTGGATAAAATACTAACGACTAACCATCGTCAGTTAGTCGTCTGGATCAACAATTATAAAAAGGATTAGAATAATCCAATAAAGAGACATTCGACATTCTATATTCTATATTATATATTCTATATTCATTATTCATTATTACTATAATATTATTCATTCTATTTATTCATCTTTTATTACTGTAATTAATAATCATTTACAATCTAATCTAAAGTCAAAACGGCCATTTACAAGTTGTCAATTTCTAAATCGAAATCGTACCGAAGAATGTACAAGTAGAGCTATCAATTATGCATCAAAGAATGGTCCAATCAACAATAGAGTTGACAATATGTACCCGAACCTTAACCCTAACCTTAACCCATTTATTATACTTAATCCAACAACTGTCCCAAAAAATATACTATTTATTTTTTGAACTTTTTTTTAATTAAATTACTTTTCCTTAACTTTTCCCTTTGACGCTATAATTAGTTTACTCTTTTTTATATCTTAAAATTTATTTACTTTTTCATATTGAGTTGATAGAATATGATTTTAATCAAAACAAAGTGTAAGTAGAATTAACATCCCCATTGATTTATTTTGTTAAATCTGATTATTATAATTTAATTTGCAGGGATGTCTAGGATTTTCCAGGAATCGAGGCATTTTTCTGAAAACATCGTACAATGAGTCAACCAATACTATCTATATGAGTGGTTCACCAGAAGACCAAAAACAACATGGCCAATTGCCACCAAAAACACAGTGTCTGGAGATATATCAACCACTACCTTTTCATTTGATGTTGATACTAGTTGTAATGTATCAATACAACTCTATATCATGGAAAGGGAAGTTGTCCTATTTATATTTTTCAAGTAGATATTGCTGCCAACTCTTCAACATTACTAGCCACGATCCCATTTGTTGAAAACACTCTTTTTGAATTTGTCTTTGATGCAGTCAATGGTGTGATCTATCGTTGGTCACTGAGATAGGTTCCATATGAAAATCTTGGATTCTTTTTACTCAATCTTAATACCTATGACACTGTACCAAACTTATTTCCTCAAGACCAGGATTCACCTGAATATATATTGGTTCTGTCCTAATTAAAACATTAAATAAATACTCTCTCTTTTATTATTACGATCGTTTTGTGGTTGTAGAATAAAACCAATTAGAATAAATCTTTTTATTTTAATTATTTTGAATGATTTAGATAATTTAAATTATTAATAATGATTTGATTTGAAATAGGTTGACATGGATTTAAATTGATAGAGAGGAGTGATTGATTTGTAAATGGACAAGAAAATTTCTTTTTTGAAAGTGCAAGGTAATCAGAAATTGCATTTTCATCTTGTTGCTGTCTGTTGAATATTGATTTTAAAGGATAAAGAGGATTTGATTCATTTGTTTCATTTAAATCTTTAATCCATTCTTCCCATGATATTTTTTTCATTTCTTTCATTTCTTGTTGATTTATCAATTCACCAAATGATTGTAATGAAACCAATGTTTCATTAATTGGATGGTAAATTAAAAGTGAAGAAGAAGAAGAAAAAGATTCATCCTCTTTTAGACTAAGATTTACAATTACCTTTGAAGTCCAATCAACTGGAACCAAATTAAATTGATGATCAGAAGTTGGATATGAACCCATATATAATAAACCTCGAATGATCATTCTAATTAGATCATGTTCATTATCGATACCAGTAGTAGAATCAGCATAAATGATACTTGGACGATGCATGATGATTGGGAAACCTCTCTTGGATGCCTCTTTAATGATTTGTTCTGCTACCAACTTGCTTTGTCTATATCCATTGAGTTGAGAGAGATGTGACAATGATGGTACTGTTTTCTCTGTAATCTCTTTAGTCTCTGATCTTTCAGACCCTTGATCTTCCTCAGAGGCTGAAAAGACACCAATTGTAGAAACATAGGAAATGGGCAAGAGATGCTGACCAGCAATTGCCAATTTTAAAATCTCTTTGGTTGCATCTACATTTGTTGCTTTTGTATTTGCATATGGAACAATTAAATTGACCATTGCACCATTATGAATGATTAAATCTATTGAATTTGCCAAATCAATAAATAGATCTTGATTTAAACCAAATCTAGGTAATGATAAATCACCATAAACTATTATTATACGTGATGATTCAATACCATTGATATTTAATTTATATTTGGTATTGAGATGATCTAGTAGATTATTAGATGTGAATCCAACCTTTCTAACAAGACAATAAATTTTATCAATTCTTTCATTCATTAATAATTGATATAAAAGGTGAGATCCAAGATATCCAGTTGATCCAGTTAAAAATATTGATTCAACTTGTTTAGTATTTATCTTTTTTGATAAAATTTGAATTTCTTCCTCCAATTTCATTTCTTCTTCCCAATTTACCAAAGATATAGAAGAGGATGAAGTATTATTCTTATTATTAATTAAATTTGTAATTTTTTCTAAACTATTTTCTTTGTTTAATATAAAAGATGTTGGAATATCAACATTTATAGTTTCTAAAATAATAAAAATTATAAATTAATAAATATAATTATATATATTTTTTCTTTTTTTTTTTTTTTCTTTTACCTTTAATCATATTACTTAATTTAATAGCAGAGATTGAATCTCCCCCAAGTTGAGTAAATGATAAAGATTCATCATCATTATCAAATTGTAGGACAGATTTCATAATAGTTGATATTTCAGATGCACTTGCAGCATATAGTTCTTCAATTGTTGATTTATAATGTTGAATTAATTTAAAACGACATTTTTTACCAGAAGGAGTAAGTAAACCATTTTGATGACTCCAATCTTGTAAATTACAATCCAATTCAATTAATTTTGGTAATTCATAATTTGCCAATTTCTTTTCTTTTGCAATTGAAAGAATATCACTGTATATTTTCTTTTTTAAATCTTCTTTTTCTTCAATTAGATATTTTTCATATGGTTTAATAATAGCAACCAAATAAGTTTTTTCAATATCACCATAAATTAAAATATCTTTAATAAATTTTGATCCATTAAAATTATTTTCTAATGGTTCTGGTCTAAAAAAATAAAATAAAAAAATTAATATTTATATTTTTCTTTTTCTTTTATATTTTTTTTACCTACGTAATAAATAAACCAGAAGAAAGTTTAAAAGTATGTTTTTTTCTATCAATAATTTTTAATTTACGAGTATCTGGATTAACCTCAACAATGTCACCAGTTTTATACCAACCATCAATAAAACTTTGACTTGTAGCAACATCATTTTTATAATAACCACTAGAGAGAGTTGGTTTTTTGACACAAAGCTCACCTCGTCCAAAAGGAAGATCGGTAGGATAATAATTAAATTCTGGTACTGCTTCCAAACGATATTCTACATTTGGTTTTAATTGTCCATTGATTGAAATACCAAAATCAATATCCTCTGAAAACCCATAAACATCCATCAGTGGTACATGTGGCCAACTCTCTGTTATAAATGATTTAACATTTTCTCCAAGAAATGATCCAAATGTTAAAAATGTTTCAACTCTTCTTCCCAATAAATTTTTAATTAATTCTTTATTCTAGAAAAAATAAATAAATATTAATATTTCTTTGTTTTTCTACTTTTAATTTTACATACAAATCCTTTTGAATAAATTAAATTCCAAATACTTGGTACACCCCCAAATAGTATTTGGATTTAATATTTGAATATCTTGGAATAGGGTATCAATACCACCAGACATGAAACCAATAGCACCACCAGCAAATATAGTTCTAAGATCTAGTCTACGTTGAGCATGTGCCATTGTTTGAAATGACAGTGAATAGGAGGGGTAATTTAAAACAGGTGTAGAGGTGATGTTATAGTTGAATTGTCGGTCATATAAAATGACACCTTTAGGTCCACCAGTACTACCAGAAGTGTAACCTAGAGTAGCCAACTCTTCACCTGTAAATGGAGTATGAGGACGTAGAGGAAGAGTTTGACCAATCTCTACCATTTCCAAATAATTGGTAACTTCTATATGATTGGGAAGTGCTTGAATCAATTCTTGAAATCGAGGTGATTGTTTTCCCTTGTCCAAAACAATGATTACTTGTAATTGTGGTAACCGACCTTCATGGATCAATTCTGATAGTTTATCCATTAGATCATTTGTAATGACTATACTATTAGCATCAGAGTTATCCATAATCTCACTAATCGAATCTTTTGAAGCTTGGTGATGTATTGGAATCACTCGAATACCGTGCCAAACACATGCAATATCTATAATATTCCATTCCATACAATTGATTGCACAAACGGCCAAAAATGATCGTGTATCTATAAAATGACACAATCCATTACCAACCATCAATGATTGTTCATATACTTGTCCATAATTTATCCATGTATAATAATCATTCAATTCTCCACTAGTAGTAGTAGTAGTATGATTCATTTCTCTATTTCCATAACATCTTCTATCTTTAAATTGTTTAAATGATTGACTCAATGAATCATAAAGTGTTTTACCTGGTATACAATAATCTTTTTGATTCACTTTTAATAGAAAGGAATGATTAGGTATAATTGTCTTTTTTGTCTATTTCTATTTCTTTTACATACTAGTTTCTTTTGTAAATTGGTGAGGAAATTTAGCCAAACCATCTTGATGTAATGATGGTTTATCATTACTTTGATGGCAATCTTTACAAAGTGATAAATCTTTACATTCAACACAAACTAGTCTTGTTTCACCTTGATCAAATTGATAATGACATGATTTACATTTAAATTCACTCTTTTTGTTGTTGTTATGATTACTTTGATCATATTCATGAGTATGATGATATTGTTGTTGACTATGACTATGATGATAGTGATGAGACAGTGTATTAAAAGTAGTTGAATCACCAGCTCTTTCACTTGATAATTGTTCGTGACTATGATGATCTTTTTTATCACGACTACTATGATTATGATGATGATGATGAGTTAACTTTAATTTACTACTATTACTTCTTAATAATCCAATTGAACCATTATTACTACTACTACTACTATTACTTTTAGTTGCTGCTGGTATAAGAGAAGGAGAAGGTGATGCTGAAGGTGAAGTAGGTGGACTGTTAATAGGAGAATTACTACTAATCGATTTTTTATTTGATTTTTTAAAATTTATTGGTAAACATTGGAATAACAAAGATGGTGACGAAGTCTTCTTTTCATCCATTATTTTATTTGTTCTAGAAATATAAATATAACTATTATTATTTATGAAAAAAATTATTTATATATAATTTTATTATTGGCAATAAATGATTTATTGGGAAAATATATTTAAATTGGTTCATCATCACCAACATCATCAACCTTATCATCATCATCATCAATTCAATACATTAATTAACATTTTATTATTGACCAATACGAAAATAGATTGGATAATATAATCTTGACAGAGATTAAAAAAAAATAATAGTAACCTCCCCTCAACATCACATCATCACCCCCCAACTCCAATCATTTTGAACAACAACAATAATTATTACAACCACAAAAATGATATTTTTTTTTTTATAATCGATGGATTTACGATTTCCTTTTTTGTATAATTTATGTATTGTCTATATTTTGATTGAGGGGTGGGGAAATTAAATAAATAATTAAATCAATATTCTATTTTTTTTTGTTTATTTGTAAAAGATTTTGTGTGGGTGGTAAGTAATATGTGGATGATTCTGATTATGATTCATCTTGGATTGATTTCCATCAAAGATATAAATGATTAAATATTTCCTTTTGTGTTTCAAACCGATAGATCATGTTGTGATGAAAAAAACAATTGTCGAAAAACGAAAAAAAAAATAATATAAAGTTTTCTCTTGGGTACTTTTCGACCGTTTTTGTCAAAAGGTAAAAAAAAAGTATCTGGTTGGCTTGTCAGTTGGGAATCTTGCTTTTTTTGATCGATACGACCTTCCTTGACATTCATTTTTTAGGTTGCAGACGTTTGTTTTGTTTTGTTGTGTGGTGTGGTCTATAGGGGTGGGGGTAGGACCAGTACTCTTGAAGCAATCACTGTGAGGGGTGGACAGATGGATGGATGGAAAAGAGAGACAGTGGCAATCAAAAAAAACTGACCTGACCCCAAGGCCAGACTCGTCGGGTTGGTGTGCACTACCGCCGCCGCTGCAGCACAATGAGAGGTGTGATGTGAGATAGGATGAAGCCCTAAACATTAAGACAAGGAAATAACCGGTACCTACCTACCTGCCTGTCGTCGCCACCACACCCCACCACTACTTTACAAAAAAAAAACAAACAACAAACTTGAAACCTATACTACTGTCTGCCCATAAAAAGTGATTATTATTATAGAAGTAGCAGAATTTATATATCTCTTTGTACTATTATTTATATGTATCATTAAAAGCCATCAATCAGATTAATAGAAATATAGAAAAATAGAAGTATAGAAATATAAATAGAAATAGTGTAAGTAATAGACAATACAGATGTTGATTGATCACAAATATCTGTTTCTTTTTTTATTCCGATTTATCTCGTGTTACCCACAATCAAACAAAGACAACAACGATGTTTTAAAACACACACATAATAATTAACCGACGCCGACAAGACACACACAATCAATCAAAGAAAGTTGTGGGGGATTGATTTTGTCAGGTCAAGAAAGAAAGTCTCGTCTCTCCTCTTTTTCTGATGAAAAGTATCTATCTTATCGACTTTTATCTACGTTTTTTTCTAATTTTCGAGATGATTCAGTGATGGTGGATGGGATAGATTCAAAAAAACAGCAGAGTTGTTGTTTTTAGCAGCCGATCGTATCCGCGGATGGCTAGCAGCGGCATGGGCAGGGTGTGGTGGTGTCCGTTGAACCGTAGCTGCCCCTTGCCTCCGTTCAATGGGTATTGATGGTGCTTGGGCTTGGCATTGGTTGCGCAATCTATTAGTGCGTGTGTGGTGTGTTCAGTGAGTGTCGGTTAGCCAAGCTTTGTTTGTTGATCAACAATAACGCAAAGGGAGAGTGGTAGTGGTAAACTAAAACCTAACCCAACCGACTCCTTCCTTCCTACCTATCCTATCCTATCCAACACAACACTACCACCACTTACTTTCTAGTTATATCTCTAAGTTTTAAGTTTGGTTGTTCTTGTACTTGTAGTTGTTGTTGCTATTATTGTTGTCCATCCTAACCTATTACTTACTACAACTGTGTTTGTTCATCATAGTTGTGTTGTTGTTGTTGGCTCACCTTCCTCATCTTCCTCACATCCATCAATCACCATCATCACCATCATCACTATCAATAGTAAATCAATAATACAATACAATACAATACATACATACACATATTATAAATTATATATATAACTTTATTCACATCCCTAATGACAATACAATAGAACAGTTTTACTTAACCTCTTTCTCTTCCCCCCATTCTACTATACTATACTATACTATAGTCTCTCTTTCTCTTTCTCTCTTTCTCTATCTTATTTATTTATATATTATTTATTTATTTATTTATTTAAAAAACAAAAAAGTACGAGCCGACTACGAAGACAGCGACTACGAAGACAAAAGACAGGATAGAACGAATGGAAACACTTGAAATCAGAATATTACAAGTAAAGAATTTATATCTAAACAACAAACAACATCATCATCATGTGATTCATCAATCTTCTATTCATCAACACCAACAACAATTGCAATCGAATTATCCACCATCATCATTTCCATCTACATTGTCACCATCAACGACAACATCGAAATTAATTAAACTAAAAGTTGGAACTGGAAGAATTGGAGGATGGATCAAAAAATATTCATCGATTGATTCGATAACACCGAGTATGACTACTGTCAACAGTTGTATTGATATTCATTGGAATTGGTCATTCTCTTTAAAATATAAATCAAAATATCAATATTTATTTATTAAAGTAAGTTTTAAAGAAAGTCAATATTTATTTATTTATTGATTTATTTATTTGTTTATATTAATTTCTTATTGTTTGTGTTTAGATTATGGAAGATAATTTTCTATCAAGTTTAATTGGAGAATGTAAAATTGATATATTACCATTATACAATTCGCCATATCCACAAGTACATTATATAACAGTTCCAATCATTTCAAATATTGGGAATATTGTACCGTATCAACAACAACAACAATTCCAATCATCGTCATCATCATCATCATTATCGATCAATGTTGGAGAACTCTATATGAGTGTAGTTGTTCATTCAAAACAATCACTTTTAAAATCAATTTCTATATCTTCAATTGATCAATCAACAACCTCTTCATCGTCATCATCATCGACAATGGATGATAACGATCAAATGAATATCGATGATCAAGTTGTCCCAACTACTACAACAACTACAACAACTAGTACTACCATGTTGGGGACATCATTATCAACATCTCCAACATCCCAAACACCTAATAATAATAATATATTATCATTTGCAAATTCAGTTCAAAAAAAGGCAGGTCATCTTTTAAAAGATGTATTTAAATTTAGTCATCATAATCACAATCATAGTCATAGTCATCATAATCATAATAACCAACAAAATAATAATAATAATAATAATAATAATAATAATAATAATAATAATAATAATAATAATAATAATAATAGAGATAAATTAAATATAACAAATTATAATGATGATTTAAATCCATTTACAAATAATAATAGTAATAATATGATGATGGTTGAAAAGAAAAATAATAATAATAATAATTGTTTGATTAGAAATAATCATATTATTAATAACCCATTTTCCAACAATAATAATAATAATGTTTCAACTACTACTACTACTACTACAACAACAACATTACCACCATTAAAAATGTTACAATATATGGATATTGGAGATGATTCATCAAGTTTGGTTAAAGAGATGAAAACATTTTTAATTAAAGAGGATTTGAAAAAAAGTGGGTTGGGACATGGTAGTAGTAGTAGTAGTAGTAGTAGTAGTAGTAGTAGTAGTAGTAGTAGTGGTGGTGGTGGTGGTGGTGGTGGTGTAGTAGAACCAATCCAGACCGATCACTTGTCACTGGTGATTGTACAGTGTAATGGATTCGAACAACATTTTAGACGTGACACATTGACAACTGAGGCAACTGAAGAGAGACGGATGTTATCATGTCGTGTTAAAATTGGTATGAACGATATTCCAAAGGAAACCATCCAAAAACCAATTGACCAATTACTCTGGAAACAGTATTTTGACATGTCACTCTCACACCCACTCCAACGATACACGCTCAACACACAGATGATGACTATTCATCTACTCGACCATTCCACCACTCCCCCCACCATCATTGGTGAGACTAAACCTCTTGACCTATTTTCAATCAATCGTGATAGAATCTTGGAATTAAATTTACCTTTTTATTTTTATCGTGATCGTGATAATCGTGATCGTGATCATCGTAATGATCATCGAGATCATCGTAACAACAACAACAACAATTCAGATTTAGATTTATTGGATTTAGATTCAGATTCTTCTTCCTATGATTCTTCTGATTCCTCTCATTCGTCACCGTCATCAACAACAACTTCAACTTCATCATCTCCATCATCAACAATACATATATTATTAAAATATTCAACTGGAACTTTAACATTGGAGGAAGCATCAGAATTGTTTTATCAATCTGTTTGTGCCAATGACAAGGTATTGGTTGATAGTTTACTAAGACACCAAGTCAATATCAACCATGTGTTTAGAGAAAACAAACATCTCGATAAATCATCATACACTACTCCACTCATCAAGGCTGCCAAACATGGAAATATCCCACTCATCAAATCACTTTTAAAACTTGGTGCTCATATCGACCACACTGATTATGAAGGTTACACTGCTCTCATGAGAGCTGTTCAATATGAAGGTATATTCCAACCTTCAAATATCAATGTTATTAAATTATTATTAAATTATGGTTCAAGTAAGTAACAAAACAAACAAAACTAAAAAACAAAAGAAAACAAAGAAATAATCAAAATATTAATATTTCCTTTTTTCTTTTTTCAAGATCCAACATTAAAGAATTTATATGGTGATGATATATTTAAATTTTGTAATAACAAGGAAATGAAATATTTCTTACAATGTATGTTTGTCATGACAAAAAATAATTTATTTAAATTCAATCAAGTTTATTTACTTTATTATTATTTTTTTTGTTTGTTTAATTTAGCATCAATTCAAAATGATTATTATGAAGTTAAAACAATATTATGTAAAAGTTGTAATTATTTAGAATTTCCATTATGCAATGAACAAAAACATAATAATATAAATTCTATTCTAAATTTAAATAAGAGTTTACAAGATGGTAAATGTATTTGTAAGAATAGAAAGAGTTGTTTGTCATGTGGTTGTAGCAGCAGTACAGAAGAATCAAAAAGAATCATTTCCACTACACAATTGGTTTATTTGGCAAACAATTATTCCCGACAAAATGGTAGAGAAGTATTCCAAATTTCACCTACTCATATTGCAAATTGTCCAATTTGTAAATCTTTTGGTTTCATCGATGATAATCAAATGATCACCGATCATAATAATAATAATAGTTCTTCAACAACATCAATGTTTATTTCACATCTTGCATTTTGTCCAATTCCATTACAATTGGAATCATCCAAAGTTATACTATCACCTCGTCAAGTTGATACTTTACTTCAACTATCTAAAAAAGGGTTAATTTCAAAAGTATCAAATATTTATCAACCCCAACATCAACAACAACAACAAAGAATCCAACTATTATCACTACCACAAGAAATTATTATTACCATTCTTGGACATGTTGGTGATGCTCAAGATTTATTTAATTGTCAACAAGTTTGTCATTATTTTAATCAACTTTTACAAGATGACATGTTTTGGAAAATTAAATTAAATCAATCTTGGCAAACTAATAATAATCAAAATAATCAAAATAATAATAATAGTATTAGTACAACATCAACTTCAACCTCAACCAATTATAATAACAAAATTTTATCATTTAAACAAATATTTAAACATTATTTTAAATTACAAGAATGGATTAGAATATTATTATTAGAGGAAACTTTTAAACCAAGATATCAACTTTTAATTTCACCATTTAATAATATTATATCATCATCAACTATGAATAATACGAATAATTCAATGATTGTAGAATTATCATTAACAGCCAACAAATATTTATTCAACAAGGATGGATTGTCATTCAATTTTGATAATCAATTTAAATTGTATTTGGAGTTTTCTGCGGTTAAAACATTAAAGAGTGTAGAGATTCTTGCTACCAATCAATCAACCCATCTGATTGCCGATCTCTGTTCATTGATGGGGTTGCCATCACACATTAAACGAAATGGTGTCAGTCAAGATACCATTGCCAATCATCAGGGTACAGCCACTATCCGATTGTCTCTGCAAATGAAAGCCATCAATTCTTGGATACACAATTATCTCAATCATATGATCCCTGGATTCCACTCTTTTCTAATGATTCGTGATGATGTTGGTGGTAGTATCATTTTGGATTTTTATTATTATGATATTACTTTAATTCATTTAAATAAATAATAAATTTAAATCTACAACCATCACCTTCCCTTCAATCACTCAATATCCGTTGAACATATCAAAAAGAACAACCAACGTTCAATCAATCAACAACGCTGAACTACAAGCGATTGAAACGATACTGTCCACTCTACCCAACTCACATACATAGCGATAAATACCCTACTAGAAACGACTTCCAACATGTCGATCGAGAGAGGAAGAATCAACATAAAATTTTGAGGATAGATGTTATATCACTCAAACTCGATATCCAATTCAGGTTACTCCAACTTGACAGTCAATTTAAAACTATTTGTCAATATATATCACCTCTTGACAAGTTGGAATGATCAACATTAGATATCGAGTTTGAGGTGTCTAAATATGTACGTATAAATCTTTTCTTTTTTGTTTATTTGTTAGACCTTTTCCAAGTGTTTTAGAAAAAATCAAATCGATTCATTTTTCTTTTTCTATCAATTTCCTTTTTTTGAGATTGATTGTATTGATTGTATAGATTGACAATTTCGTAGAGTCCAAGTGATTCGATATGTTCTATTGAACTGTTTGGTATTTCTTTGATCATATGGTTTGTAAATAGGAATGTTAAAACATCAAAAAAGTTTCTAGGTACACGATGGTTTATATCTTCAAGTCTGAGATGTCTAGTCAATGATCCAACATCACATCTTTTACTTTTAGATGTACGATGACTATATATATATAAAAATTCTATCATTTCCAAATTACATTGTTCAATTGCTAAATTCAATGTATTCGTTGAAATGAATCTATTGTTTTGTACTATTGGTTGTAATTGTAAATACTAAATAAAAAATAAATAGAAAGAGGAATTAAATAAAAAAGTAAATAAATATATATAATTTCTATTTAAATACTATCATACTTACTTTTAAAACATTTAAATGATTATTTTGAGTAGCTCCAATTACTGAATCGATTGAACAACCTTCTGTACGATTTTCAAAAAGAAAAGTAACAATTTCCAAATGCCCCGCTTGACATGCATTGTCATTGACTTTAGTTGTCCAAATATCTGGTGATGAAGGATATCGTTGATGTAGGAATTGGATGACATCTAGTCTACCTTTGGATGCAGCAATTTCAACTGCATGATGTGAACATCCTTGTCTCAAATGATCATCAAGATATCGAATCATTTCCATACTTTGATTACCATCTACTGCAAAATCAATTGCTTTCTCTGTACCTCCTTCAGTTCTATTTAAATTTAAATACTATCGGATAAAATAAATAAATAATTAATTAAATTAATAAATAATTAAATTATATTTCTATTTACTTTAATAATATTTAAATGACCATTTTTTGATGCATTATCTATAGCATTTGTTGTACAACCTTCTGTACGTTTTGTATGAAGGAATTTAACCATTTCCAAGTCAATTTTGGCGGCATTGTCCATAGCAGTAGTACTACATGATTGACCAATATTGTGAAGGTATTCTAATATCTCCAAGTTTGCAGCATAATTCATTGCAAATTTAGATGCTCCCGAGTTTTTGTTGTTATATAACCACTTTACTATTTCAAAATGACCATTCTGTGATGCCCAATCAATAGCATTGGTTGTACATTTCTTTCCTTTTGAATCAAGATATTGAATTATATTTAAATGTCCATTCTTTGACGCATTATCAATTGCATCTTTTGAACATCCTTCTGTACGATTTTCAATTAGAAACTAAATAAAATAAAAAAGAATTAGAATATTAGAATTGTTTAAAGATGTCTGTCTGAGAATCTATATATATATACTTTAACAATATTAAAATGACAATTCTCTGATGCTATATCAATTGCTTCTTTATTACATCCTTCAATTCTATTTTGATGTAAATATTGTACCACATTTAAATGACAATTCTGAGCGGCAATTGTCATTGCATAAATCGTACAACCTTCAGTTCTATTTCGATGTAAATAGTCTACTACATTTAAATGACCATTTGCAGCAGCTATATCCATTACAGCTTTGCAACAGAATGCATGTTTTGTAGTATTATTTAAATATTCTATGATGTTTAAATGACCAGCTTCAGCTGCAGACTTGAATGTCTCTTGTAATGGTAAATCTGGATAGGTAGAGATGAGGAATTTTAATAGATCTATATTCCCATGTCCAGCAATTCTACTTGAAAGTGTGTTATAGTGTGATACGACAGAACAATCTCTTGGGTCGTAATCAGGTGACCAATCGAGAAGACTTTGAAATGTGTCTACTCTAGCATTACGATGAGAACAATATGATGTAATCACATTGGCTCTTCTCTTTTTTATAAAATGGTCTCTTGTTGACAAGTAATGTTTGATAAAGTCCCATGGCATTGCATAGGTAGATATCATCCCAAGAAATGGTAACTTTACAATATCTCTACCTTTTAATGATGTTGGTTGATTGATAGATATCTCTTCAACATGTCTAAATATTAATTGACTAATATATCTTTGACGAAAGATATCAAAGAATGACATTATTGAATGATTAGTTATCTCTCTTTGATATAAAAATGACAGTGCATATGATCATTCATTCATACCTTGGTAGAAAGTCAATCCTATACAAAAAAAAGATAAAAAGAATTTAAAAAGAATAATTTAGAATATTTTCATTATTATTTCCTTTTTATGAAAGACAAAAAAATACTCGACGGTATTTATTTATTTTTTTTTAGGGTTAGGGGATTCAACTTTTTATTTTAAATATTAAAAAAAGATAAAAAATGAAGATTAGACTTTTTGAATATGATTTTATTTTATTTTATTTTATTTTTATTATTATTGTGTGTCACTAAAACAAGTTGAAAATGAAAGTTAAGTAATTTTTCTTTTCTGTTATAAAATGGATACATTTATTTGTCCACAAAAAAGTAGGTTCTAACTTCTTCTTCTTCTTCTTCTTTATTCCTACTTCCAAATATGGCCATCCGTCACAATCCAACAATGGCCGATGCTTGCTAATGAAAAATACATGGCAAGCTTGTTGTGCAAGCAATTTATGACAAATATTCTTATAGAGAGCTGGGTCATTAAAGTTTACTTGAACAACAAACAATCGAAAGATTTCCAGATCCGTTTTGGATAACTCTACCAGTCTTATACCCAAAGATATTGAAAGGTAGTAATCGTAAAGGCAATTCAAAAAAACTTCATATCTTGCTCCATTTCTTCATCTTGATATGTGCCTTGATCTCCGTCCATGTCAAAAGAGTCATCTCCTCTTGTACAAGAGACGGCACTTACATTTAAATTTGTAGACTTTGGGAGTATGACAAAACGTGATTCTTGAATGTGTGCACTCGTTTGTGTTCATATTTGTCGCCACATGAAACGCAGCGACCCCAATGGGTCTTGCCATGATGGATCAATTGAATAACGAGGTCAATGTGATCAACATTTGTGTTGAAGATGTGTTGGCAAGACATTCGGCGACCATGTAGTACCGGGTTTCTTCTAGTGCCACCACTACCACCGATACCATTGTTAACAGTACTACCAACACAACCAATACTATCAACTACGCTACTACCAAGGCTACCAGTGCCATCCTGTAGTGAGCTACTGACACTGTTACTACTTATGTTGCAGTACATGTCTTTTTGCTTTTAATTGATCTTCGTATTGTATACTATTAATTTATTCAGCTTACTTTCTCTCTCTCATTTTTATTATTAAAGCATGCTGTTAAAGCAATTAATTTTAAATGATTATCACCCTAATGAGAGCGAGGCAACGAGTGTAGTTGTTCAAAATAGAAAAAAAAAACTAAAAGAAAGTTTTCCATCAAAGTAAATATCCATCATCTTTATTTTATTATTATTATTGATGATTAAAATGAAATGATGAAAGTACTATCATTATTTATAATAGTATTATTAATACTCTTATCAGTTGTACCAAGGAATCAAGGTACAACCTTTTCAAGTTTGTACAAAAAAAAAAAAGAAAGATCATCATAATATGATAGGTCGGTCTCTAACATTCTTTTCTTTTCTTTTAGTTGTATTGATTCAAGAATTTGATTATGTGATTATTAGATCTACAGATAATTTGAATTTCAGTGATAATGTTAGAGTATTGGATACTAGAGTTGTAGAGATTACAAATAATTGTACAAGATTATTATATAACGATGATGATAATGAAAATGCCAAGATCTTTGTGGAACGACTACGATGTCAACTATCACCAAATATACCAAGCGGGTATATTACAGTATTTAACGAATCAACACGTGATATGGCAGTTGCGTACATTGGTCTCGCTCCAATCATACTATCAATCACTCCTAACCAACAAGTTGCATCGTTTGCAGACCAACAACAAAATAGTAGAAGTAGTAGTAATGCTATCACTATTAAAGGACAATTTTTTGAAAATATATATCCCTATCATATATCATTCAAAAGTATCTATACTGATCATATTGGTTTAGAGTATAGACCGATTGATCAATCTACGATTATCATTGACAAGGGGTTTGTAGGGATTGGTCAAGTAGGTATTACATTGCGAAAAGTAATATCGGCAGACTTGCAACCCCTATCACATACAAGTACTGTTAGTATAGGTGCACCTATCTTTATATCAAGTGATTTTAATGCTACAAGTGGATTAGCAACCATCTACTTTTTAAATCTTTGTCATCCAGATTATCCAAATCAAGTATTAATCAGGTTTCAAGATTCCATCATCTTTCAAAATGTATCATATGATCAAGAAAAGATTTGGTTTAATGTTGGACAAAATGAAACAACATCTTTATTTGGTCCCTATAATATTAAAGTTGGTGGTCAATTATCTTTTATTCAATACCTTTCTCCAATCACTAGTAATAATAATAATAATAATTTACAAGATTTAATAACAAATATTACATTGCCACCAATATTTGGAGGTAATATTACATTGAGTGGAAAATATTTTAAAGAAAAGGATTCACTTGGTATTTCAACTTGGTCATTTTACATGATCGACAGTATAGGTTTAAATATTACTCTTCAACCTATTTGGTCAATTCAAAATAATGACAATATTAATAATAATAAGATACTTGTCTTGTCGATTCCAAGTGGACAAGGATCATTTGATCTTTATTATCAATACAACTCTTTTAATTTTTCATATCAATCAAATGTACCTTTTAAATTGTATTATATCTAAAAAAGAAAAGAAAAGAAAACAACAAACAAACAATTGTACAAATATATATATAAATATATATATAAATATTTATTTTATAAAACATGTAAAAATATTAATAAACTCAAATCGACTTGCGAAAAACTAGTTAAATATCTAAATTTTGTATTTATTTGTTCATTTTCTTTTTGTTTGAGATTAATCTATTATATCTCTTTTTTAATCTATATATATAAATGAGTAATCTATCATTCCTTGATCAACAAGATAGAGAAGATATAAAAAGGTAAAAAAGAAAGATAGAGAGAGAAAGATAGATAGATAGATAGATAGAGAAAGAGATCATCATCATCCGATTCATTATTCATTTACTATTCTTTTCTTTAGAAATCGAAACAATGTATCAAATAAATTAGTATTTAGTGTTGAGAATATATGTCAAAAGATTAGAGAATTATATATAATTGCAAGTAAAGATACAACAAATATCAATGGATTGGAAGTAGAAGCACGTATTGGGTTGATGGTACAGGACCCGAAAACATTTAGATCGGGTATTATCATTGAAGATTGGGCAGCATTGGCAAGACGACTTGCGAGAAAGTATGGAGAAGGTAGAGAGACGACAGAGACTGACTATTTGTATACACAGCATCGTGTCACTGTCGATGTAAACGGTCAAGTCATTAAAAGCGAAGCAAAGATTGACAAGACTGCCTTTGATCAATCGACAAGTCTCATCTATGACGTTCGTGTATCAACATCGATCGAACGACAACTTGGACAATTGCCATTGGTACCACCACCCGAATCAAGTTCACAAAGAACCAAGTTTAGACATACTTTTATCGATGTTGACAACCCTCAATGGAAAATCGACATGACACTTGTCAGAACCAATACTGGTGAAGAAACTTATGAAGTTGAATTGGAAATATTTAATACTTATATTATTGACGCTCTTGAAAAAAATACTCTACATAATTTAATTTCAAAATTTATTAATGAAGTAAATAGAATAGAAAAGAAAAGAAATAGAAATGGATTGATTAATTAATTAATTTATTTTATTTTATTTATTTTGATATATAGACAAAAAATATAATAACAATGATTCAACCAGGGAGATTATCATTTCCTGATATTCAAATGACAAAACTTGAAGATCCAAGATTTGTTGATGTTTTAAAAGTAAACAAAAAAAAAAAAACAAATAATATTACTTTTTTTTTATTTACTTACTTTTTTATTTTTAGCAAAAAGTACTTGGGTATATACCAGATTGTAATCCAAATAGAACAAGAGAATTTCCAGGAGCAATGCCAATTAATTTTGGTAAAAAACATTTTCCAACCATTCAAAGAGATATGTATTATGTTTCTGAAAAAACAGATGGTATTAGATATATGATATTAATTTATAAAGGTGTCATGTATATGATTGATAGAAAATTTGATTTTTTTAAAATCGATGGTAATGAGTATGTACAAAAACAAAAAACAAAAAAAAAAAGGAATTTAAATGATTTAATCTTTTTATTTTCTATTTTTTTTTTAGTGAATTATGTAAAGTATTACATGATGATACATTATTGGATGGAGAAATGATTAGACATTTAGAATCAAAAGAACCAATGTATTTTATTTTTGATATTTTGGCAAGAGAAAACACGAAATTTGGAGATAAACTTTTTCAAGAGAGAATGCAACATATTGGTAAAGTTGTAGGTGACTATAGACAAAGCGTAGGGTCAGGAGAATTGGGTAAAACTCCTTTTATCCTCATTGCCAAAAGCTTTTTTGAAAAGAAACATATTTCAAAAATCTTTTCAAGTATTAAAACGTAAGAAATGAAAGAAAGAGAGATAGAGATATTATATTCATTTGGTAAATATTTATTTACTTATCTTTTATTTTTTAGAAATAAAAATGGAGAAAGAATATTTTCAGATCAAAAAAGAAATCATCAAACAGATGGACTTATTTTAACACCAAACAACGCATACAAAGCATATGCAGATCAAAGTCTGTTTAAATGGAAATATTTGGATTTGTGGACAATTGATTTCAAGGTGGCTCAAAACAGTGATAGGAAATGGTTTCTTCATTGTGCGGGTCCCAATAATACCGATATTCCTTGCAAGGAATTAATGTTGTCAACTGAAGACTTTGCACTACTAAGCACCGATTATAAGAGATCACGTGATCAGGGTTGCTTTATTGCCGAGTTTTCATTTGAATTTTCAAAGGGAATTTGGAAGTATCATTTGGTGAGACCAGACAAGAAACGTGCCAATTATATCACTGTTTTTGTTGATACTATGGAATCTATTTGTGAAGGAATCACCAAAGAAGAGTTGGAATACAGATTCTTGTGTGCTGGTGGTCATGACAATTGGGATGTTGAAGTAGAAAAAATGCGTCACCATATTGCTTCAACTCTTACCAATAAACTTAAACAACAACAACAACAACAACACCAACAACAAAAAATTCAACAACCTCAACATCATAGTCAACATCATGGTCAACATCAACAACATCAACAACATCAACAACAAGATGATATTTTTGGTGGAGGTAGTTCATCCAATCACAATTATGATCCTCATGGTCAAAGATAAAAAAAATATAATAAAAATTTTATATATATCTCTTTTATTTTTTAAATTAGATCATTCATAATTTCAGTTAGATCATAACCAATACTTTCAAATGAACGTTTATGTTTACTTTTTGTTTCATTGTCTAATCTTGGTTTGCTTGATAGAGTTTGTTTCACATGATTTAACAATTTCTTGATGGCAACAATATCTTCACCAATACTAATCGCCGGTGAAGTTCCTCTTGATTGCATTAAATCCATTTGACTCTTGAAATTAAATTGTTGTTGTTGTTGTATTTGAGGATTTCTTAAATTTTCTTTCCATTTTTCAATATTTTTAATAAATCTTTGATTCAATAGAGATTGTTCAATTAGATAATCTCTTGTCGTCAAAAGATTTGGAATTGAAAACCATGTTTGATTATTTATAAATTTATCTCGAAGTTGATTATCTTGTGGTATCAATGATGCTAGTTTACTTCTATTATTATTAAATATATTTGAAAATGAATTAATTGAACTAAAATGTAAAAAGGAAAATATTATTAATATTATTATTATTATTTGTTTTTTTTTCTTTTTTTACCATTCAATTGAACTTGTAATAATCCAAGAATTATGATTATGATTATTTTTAAATAAATTAATAAATAATTTTTGTAAAGTTGAATGTAATTGTTGTTGATCCATTTGAGTCAATGATGAATTATTTTTTGCCAAGTTTGTTAAAAATAGAGTAACTATAACCTTGTTTGATATTGCTATATTGATACTTGAATTTAAAATCTCTAAAATTTGTTTATGATTTAATTTTGAAATTAATTTGACAAGTGAACCATAAATTGGTTGTAAGATATTTGATAAAAGTAGAGGATAGTTCAAAAGTGTTGAAATATTTTCAATAATATTATTTTTATGATATAATGCTATATCAATAGATGAAATTGATTCAATTATTGTTAATATATTTTCCTAGATGAAGAATAAAAAATAAATATTAGTTTTCTTTTTTTCTTTGTTTTTTTTTTTTTTTTTTCTTATACCAAGTTTGTTGAATCAAATTTAGATAAATGATTTAATTTTGATTGATAATATTTTAATTTAATAAAACATTGATCAAGTAAATCTACAATTTTCTCTTTAACCAATGGCGATAATATTATATACAAATTTGATCCCAAAGATTCAAGATAGATCATTGCAGAGATTGGTACAACCATTGTATTATGGTCTTGACCAACAACAATTTGTTGTTGAAAATCTTTTAAAAAATGATTATATAATATGATTTGTTTGTTTTGATCCATTACCATTCCAACTAATAATTTACATAAATAATTTTTCTTTATAATAAGGTTAAATATATTTCTATTATTTAAATTTTTAAACTAAAAAGAGTAAAAAAATAAAATTAATAAATAAATAAATATTTGTTTTTCTTTTTTTTTATCATACAAAAGAAATAATTTCTAAATCAATTAATTTTTTTGATTGATCATTACAATGATCATATAAAATAGTCCAAATACCAATTGAAATTTTAGCTATATAATCATTTAAACCAATAATATTTTTTAAAATGAATCGATAAAGTGAAATGTCAGATGTAATCGATTTACTTTGTTTAAATAATCTAATAAAACAAGTAAACAAATATTTTGTAAATGTTTTACTTGATAAAATGACAGGAGTTGTTTCTAGTATTTGAAAACACATTTGAAATAATTTAAATGGTATTGATTGATCTTGAAATAAAATGTTGTTTCCAAATGTTGATAAAATGAAAAATAATTTTCCAATCTTTTGATCTTGTGAATAGGAATGACTATTTGTTTGTTGTTGTAATAATACTCTTGTTATTCTTTCATGTCTACCAAATTTCCATAAAAATCCTGATAAATCATTTACACGGTTTATATAATCTGGTTGTGTTGTTGATTTTTTCTCTTCCATTGATTCTAAACAATACTTGTAAAGATCGTAAAGTGATAGCATTGAATTTGTTAAACTTTCATTATCCAAATAGGAAGAGAAATGTTCAAAAAATATTTGTGTTGTATTTAGAAAAAATATTGATAGTTTTAATGATACTTTGTTTTCTGGTTGATTTGATACCTTAAAGTAAAAAAAATATATTAATAATATGAACAATAATATAATTATATTTAAAATTTAAATTTCATACTCTTTCTAATTGATCTTTACAAGAATTTAATAATTTTTCAAGAGTTGATCTTATATCAATCTTTTCCAATAAATCAAACTTGTTTTCACAATCCAATATAAATATATTTTTAAGTGCCTTGTAAATATTTAATTTTACTGGTTGATTACTATCAATTCCTTCTTGAAATACATTTAATAATTCTTGACAATCTAAATAAAAGAAAAAGGAAAAGAAGAAGAGTTAAAATTTTGTTTATCTTTTTGTTTCTATTCTATTTTTCTTACATTCAACAAGATGTTTTAAATTTTGAGGATTTGATAATTGAAATGAATTGACAGAAAATAAAAGGTTTTTTAAAAGTAATAGATTCTTGTCAATGTTTTCATAGAGTTGATCATTTATCTGTTCCAATGATTGATCGCCAAATTCTAGTGTAATAGATTTAAAAGGTTTTGAAAAATCTTTGATTGGTTTTGCAACTCTGATCAAGGTGACCGATGAAGACAGCAACTGACGTATCATTGCCATTGAAACGGGATAGAATGATCCTAAACGCTCTAAAATCGATGATAACAATAGTACTAGAGTATCAATTGATTTGACCCAAAAGTAAATTGATTGTTCATCATCATGTTGTTGGTGGTGGTTTGATGTCTGACTTGTAACATTAATGTTTTCCAACAAGTTTTGAATATCTCTTACGCGTATTGAAATAGTATCTTTTAATCGTTTAATAAACAATGATAGAAATTGACTTGTAAATGACCATCCCTTATCATTACCCATTGACATTGGTAACAAATTTGTATAATATGTATTTGCCAAAGTCACTACTATATATGATGTTGGTGCATCTTTTGTTTCTAAATATTTCTAATAAACAAACAAAGAACAAAGAAGTAAGTAAGTAAGTATACTATACTATGTATTCACTCTCTACTCTCCTCTACTCTCCTCTACTCTCCTCTACTCTAATCTACTCTAATACATACTCCCAATACTTCTAAAAACACATCTTTATTCTTTTGTAAACCTTGGGGTGAACAATTAGTGTATAACTTATCGAGACTCTCTCTTTGTTGTGTTAGTTCTATATTAGGTTCAAGTAGATTCTTTAAATGCGGTTCCATTCTTTGTCTCTCCTCGTCTCTCTCTCTTTATCTCATTTATCAAAAAGTAAGAGGAATGAAAAAACTACAGAATGTTTTGATGCACTTCCCTCTTTTTTTAGTTTTCCACTAAATCTACTTCTACTTCATTATTTACTTTTTATTTTTCAAAAAGAATGGCGGAAACAAATAATACTACTTCTTTTTCATCTTCATCATTCAATGATATACTTAAATCTCAGTATATTAGATGTAAGATATTCAATTTTATAACAGATATATCAAAGATTGATAAAGAGGTTTATAGAGGTGGTGGAGGTAATCAAGATGATGTACCACGTTGTAGAAAGGTTTGGTTAAAAGGTAGAGATATCATAAAGTTACCTCATCTTGGTTTGATATCAAAGTATGGTATGTCATGGGACTTTATCAAACATTATCTACCAGATAATAAGGATAAACACAAAGACAAGGATAAAGATAAAACATGGTTAAGAAGAATTGATGTGATTACCAAGTATTGTTCACACCGAAATGCAACATTGGACACTCTCAAACATCTATTGGAATGGTCACCTGATTATGAAAATAAGAAAGATTTACGTATCAATATTGGATCGACATCAGATACAGTAAATGCAAGTCTACCTAGTATATCAAGTATTTCAAATAGAGATATATTGGAATATCTAATTGAAAACTACCCAAATATTTGTTTGGATGGTGTAGCTGATAATGCTGCCAAATGTGGTTATCTAGCAATCATAGAATTATTAAACTCTAGTCAAAGAGGTCGTCAACATTTAGATTATTCTGATACAATGTGTATAGCTTCAAAAAATGGTCAATTACACATTGTACAATATTTACATAATTATCTCCCTCGGAAACAATCATCAACTTCAATGATTGATTTATCTTCAACACATGGTCATTTAAATGTTTTAAAGGTAAGAAATATAAGAAATATATATTTATCTAAGAGATAAGAAATAATAATATTAATATTCTAAATATTCCTATTAGTTTCTTCATGAAAATAGATCAGAAGGTTGTTCAATGTCAGCTATTAATGGGGCAGCTATGAATGGTCATATTGAAGTTGTAAAGGTTTGTAATTAAATATCATTAATAATCATTCTTTTATTCATTCCATTCCAATACTATTTTCTCTATATCTATATATAGTTTTTATATTTTAATAGAGAGGATTGGAAAAGAGGTATTCAAAAGAATCATCAATTAAATCTAATGGATATTGTATCAAACTATGGTCATTTTGAAATTTTAAAGGTAACAAACAAAAAAAAACAAAAAAAAGACAAAACTATTCTATTCTATCCAACAAACAATCTTACTTACTTTCTTTGTTTACTTTAGTTTTTAAATGAAAATAGATCAATTCCTGCTACATGCTCGACAAATTGTATGGACTGGGCTGCAAAAAATGGAAGATTAGACATTTTAGAGTATTTACATTTAAATAGGACAGAGGGATGTTCATCTAAGGCTATGGACAATGCTGCTATGAACGGCCATTTAAATGTAGTTCAATGGTTACATCGGAATAGAAGCGAGGGATGTAGTAAAAAAGCTTTGGATAATGCATCTACTTTGGAGGTGGTTCAGTTTCTAGATCAATATCGACAAGAAGGTGCAACAACTAGAGCAATGGATAATGCTGCTACAATTGGTCGATTAGATATTATAATGTATCTAAATGAAAATAGAACTGAAGGTACTTCAATGAATACTATGGATAATGCAATTGAAAATGGTCATCTTGATATTGTCAAAGTAAGTAATAGAAATAGAAATAGAAATAGAAAGTTTAATTATTTAAGTTTATTTAATTATTTATTTAATTTAATTTAATTATTTAGTGGTTAGTTGAAAATCGTAGTGAAGGAGGTTCAGGACGTGCAATGAGTAAGGCAATATTTGCAAATGCAAGTTTTGAAATGATCCATTATATTCATGAAAACTTGAAACAAGTTGGATATTTGACCCCAACCACTGCTGCAAGGATTGGTCGATTGGATATCATTGAATTTCTAGATAAATATTATGGTGATAGTGGTGGTACATGGACAAATGAAATTATGGATATGGCAGCGGCCGTGGGACATTTAGAAATTGTTCAATATCTTCATCAGAATCGTACTGAAGGTTGTACTCTGAGTGCTATTGAAAAAGCAGCAGAATATAATCATTTAAATATTATTAAAGTAAGAAGTAGTACAATAAGAATTTTAAATCATTTTGATATTAATATTTCATTTCTTTTAATATATTTAGTTTTTATATTTGAATAAAAGTGAAGAAAGTATTGAAAAAGCATTGGATCAAGCAATTGTAAATGGACATTTAGAGATTGTTAGATGGATCATTGAAAACTGTACAAGACCAATTATCAAGAGCCCTAATCCTCTATTAGAACCTCCATTCTTTAAAATACAGGTAGTTTATGCATTTGAAATATTTACTTTTTTATTGCAACATGATATGATTGACACGACTCTAATCAACAGTCAATACATTAAGAATATGTATTCTCGTCATCATTTTGAATTGGTCCAACTTTGTAATTCATTATTAAATATAAATACAAAAATTGGAAATTAATAAATACAACACCCAAATTAAATGTGTTTCATTATTTTTTAGTTTATTTGCTATTATAATTAATGAATCCTTGTACAAATAATATATTTAAAGTACCATATTTCCAAAACCAACGCGTAATATTAATATTTTTCTATTTTTATTTCTATTTCTTTTGTTTATAATTACAAATAGAACCAAGAAATTGATGATAATGCATTGCATTATGCTATATTTTATGATGGTTTTGGGATAAAAGTGGTGTCAATCATATCACATGCCAATAAAAAAGAAAGAAAAAGGAAAAAAAGTATTACTTTGTACAGTCCTTTTTTTTTCAAGTAGCAGTAGTCATTTTGAAAGATGACTACAAATATTAATAAAAATATATTTAAAGTACAGTATATAAGACGTGTTATCTTTAATCAACTGGAAGAGATATCAAAGATAAAGAAGGATAATAATAATGATCAATCATCATCATCATCATCATCATCAACATTATGGTTAAAAGGTAAAGATATCATCAAATTACCTCATCTTGGTTTGATATCAAAGTATGGTATGTCATGGGACTTTATCAAACATTATCTACCCGTCAAGGATAATGTATCATGGTTAAGAAGACTAGATGTTATTACTCGTTATTGTTGTCATCGTAATGCAACATTGGACACTCTCAAACATCTATTGGAATGGTCAAAAGATTATGATATTACAAAAAGTTTACATATCAATCTTGGATCAACATCCGATACACTAAAGAAAAGGTCACGTAACATTCGAACCATTTCAAATAGAGATATATTAGAGTATCTCATCCAAAACTACCCAAATGTTTGTCTTAAAGGTATAGCTGATAATGCTGCCAAATGTGGTTATCTACCAATCATAGAGTTGTTAAACTCTTATAATATCCCATTTAATCGATCAAAAGCAATGCATATTGCATCAGTCAACGGTCAATTTAATATCATGAGATATTTACATGACTATCTTCCAAAGAAACAATCATCAACTGTCATGATGGATTATACTTCAAGTAATGGAAATTTAGAATTGTTAAAAGTAAGTAAAGGATGATTGGTTTGTTTTATAATATTCTAACAAACAATAGTTTCTTCATGAAAATAGATCAGAAGGTTGTACAAAGGCATCTATTCATTGGGCTGCAATGGGTGGTTATTTTGAAGTCGTAAAGGTATGCCAGATCGCAGGTCACCCACGCAACTCTATCATTCAATTCTTTCTAATATTATTTCATATACCACCTATCTTAGTTTTTATATTCTAATCGATTATTGGATTTGAAAAGAGGTGGTGACCAGGATATCTATAGAATTAATTTAATTGATATTGTATCAAGAGAAGGTTATAATGAAATTTTAAAGGTATATTCTTGAAAGTAAAAAGATAAACAAATTATAATTACATTTAATCTAAATTACCTTTATTTTTACTAGTTTTTAAATGAAAATAGATCATCAATTCCGACAACAGGTACAACCAATGCTATGGATTGGGCAGCAGAGAGAGGCCATTTAAATATTTTAGAGTATTTACATTTGAATCGTAGTGAAGGTTGCACAAAGTATTCTATGGACAAGGCTGCTGTGAACGGTCATCTAAATGTAGTTCAATGGTTACATTGGAATAGAACAGAAGGAGGTACGACATCGGCTTTAGATTATGCATCAACTTTGGAAATAGTTGAATTTCTAGACAAAAATAGACAAGAAGGTGCAACACCTAAAGCAATGGATCGTGCTGCTTTAATGGGCAGATTGGATATTATAATGTATCTTGATAAAAATAGAACTGAAGGATGTACAACTGATGCTATAGATAATGCAATTAAAAGTGGTCACACAGATATTGTCAAAGTAAGTAAATGGAAAATGATGGAAAATAGAAAATATATCTTTATTTAATTTTTAATTTAATTATTTATTTATTTAGTGGTTAGTTGAGAATCGTAGTGAAGGATTTTCAAGGTATTCAATGCTCTATGCTATTAAAACCAATGCAAGTATGGAAATGATATACTATATTCATGAAAACTCGAAAAGCAAAAAGTGTACGCCAAATGCAGCTACGGCATGCCATGCAATCGAGATGGGTCGATTGGATATAGTCGAATTTTTTCATCAACACTATCGCAATATTCCAATAGTATGGGGAGGTACATACCACGGACATACCATGGATGAGGCCGCAACTAGAGGATATTTGGATATTGTTCAATTCCTTTATCATAATCGTACTGAAGGTAATGTATTACGAGCAATAGAAAGAGCAGCAGAAAATGGACATTTAAATATTATAAAGGTAAATATAATATATATATATATATATATATATATATAATAATAATAATAATTTAATATTGATTGATTGATCTATCTTTGACTAACCAATCTATCTATCTATATATATTTAGTTTTTACATTTAAATAGAACAAATGAAATGAATTTATCAAATGCATTGAATAATGCTATCAATTATAATCAACATAGTTTTATAGATGTAGTAAAATATATTATAGAGACACGTCCAAAAGGACAACGGACAAGATTAGATCCTCCAAAATTTAAAAGTAGAAATATATATGCATACGATGTTTTCTTGGTTTTATTGGAATATGATATGATTGACATTACTCAAATCAATAGTGATTATATTAGATTAATGTATTCAAGATGTCATTTTGAATTGGTTGATCTTTGTAATACATTATCAAAAATTAATACCAAAATTGAAAATGAATCTTGTTTAGATCCTTGGCTCTAAAAAAAAAAACATTATAATAAACCATATACAGATTCACATCTCTTTCATTTTTTTAAAGATGACTACAAATAATATATTTAAAGTACCGTATATAAGACATGTTATCTTTAATCAACTTAGGAAGAAGAATCGATCATCAACAACATTATGGTTAAAAGGTCAAGATATCATCAAATTACCTCATCTTGAAATGATATCAAAGTATGGTATGTCATGGGACTTTATCAAACATTACCTACCCAACAAGGATAATGTATCATGGTTAAGAAGATTAGATGTTATTACTAGTTATTGTTTACATCCAAATGCAACATTGGACACTCTCAAACATCTATTGGAATGGTCACCTGATTATGATATCACTAAAGGTTTACATATCAATCTTGGATCAACATCAGATACACTAAAGAAAAGGTCACGTAACATTCAAACCATTTCAAATAGAGATATATTAGAGTATCTCATCCAAAACTACCCAAATGTTTGTCTTAAAGGTATAGCTGAAAATGCCGCCAAATGTGGATACCTACCAATCATAGAGTTGTTAAACTCTTATAATATTGATATTGGTCTACCATTTAATCGATCAAAAGCAATGCATATTGCATCAGTCAACGGTCAATTTAATATCATGAGATATTTACATGACTTCATCCCAAAGAGACAAGTAGCAACTGTCATGATGGATCATTCTTCAAAATTTGGAAATTTAGAAATGTTAAAAGTAAGTATAGTAAATCTCTATAAATATTATTATTATTATTATTATTATTATTATTATTATTATGTTCTAATATTATATTCCTATTAGTTTCTTCATGAAAATAGATCAGAAGGTTGTTCAACGGCATCCATTCATTGGGCTGCAATCAATGGTCATTTTGAAGTTGTAAAGGTATGTCTCATTTTTGTATAATATGTATTTTTTATTTTAAAAACCTCTTATTCTAATATTCTATCTATAATACCATAGTTTTTATATTTTAATAGAACTGATTGGCAAAGAACAAGTGGAGAGAATGATATCAGGTACATTTATTTAATAGATATTGTAGCAAACAATGGTCATTTTGAAATTTTAAAGGTATCACTGAAAAAAAAAAAAAAAGATAAATTATTATTATTATCCATCAACAAACAATATTACTTACTTTTTTGTTCTTTTTACTAGTTTTTAAATGAAAATAAATCAATTATCGCTACAGGTTTTATATAGAGCTATTAATCATGCGGCAAAAAATGGGAGATTAGATATTGTTGAATATTTACATTTAAATAGGACAGAGGGATGCTCTACCTTGGCTATGGACAAGGCTGCTATGAACGGCCATTTTAATGTCGTTCAATGGTTGCATTGGAATAGAAAGGAAGGAGGAACAACAAATGCCCTGGATTTTGCATCAACTTTGGAAATAGTTGAATTTCTAGACAAAAATCGACAAGAAGGTGCAACAAAGACTGCTATGGATAATGCTGCTTTAATGGGCAGATTGGATATTATAAAATACCTTGATAAAAATAGAACTGAAGGATGTTCAGCTCAAGCTATCGATAATTCTATTAGAAATAATCATCCTGATATTACCAAAGTATGAAAACTGAATAGAAAATAGAAAATATAAATCTAATTATTTAATTTAATTATTTATTTAGTGGTTAGTTGAAAATCGTAGTGAAAGATTTCAAGCATATTCAATGGATTATGCTATTAAACCATTTCAAGAGACAAATGAAATGATATACTATATTCATGAAAACTCGAAAATCAAGTGTACACCAAATGCAACCAAGGCAATCGAGATGGGTCGATTAGATTTAGTTGAATTTTTCTACCAACACTATCGTGCTGCGGCCATGTGGACCTACGGACTTACTCCCCTATCCGACGCTGCATTCAATGGACATTTGGACATTGTTCAATTCCTTTTCAAAACTGGTAATTATGGACATCATATATTAAACGCAATTGAAAGAGCATCAAATAATGGGCACTTAAATGTTATTAAAGTAAATATATTAATAATATATATATATTATTGATTGATCTTTACTAACCAATCTATCTATCTATTTAGTTTTTATATTTAAATAGAACAAATGAAATGAATTTGTCAAAATCATTGAGTAATGCTATCAATTATAATCAACATAATAATAATTATTTGGATGTTGTAAAATATATTATAGAGACTGATCCAAAAGGATATTGGCCAAAACAAGATCCTCCACAGTTTAAAAGAAGTAATACTCAAGCATACGATGTTTTCTCTCTTTTATTGGAATACAAAATGATTGACAGTACTAAAATCAATAGTGATTATATTAGATTAATGTATTCACGCGGTCTTTTTGAATTGGTTGATCTTTGTAATTCATTATCAAAAATTAATACTAAAATTGAAAATGAATCAAACATTACCATTCCTTGGATCTAACCAATCAATCATTATGAGAAAACTAGTGGAAATAAATAGCAATGAAAATTTTTGGTTTAAAAAAGTGTGATCACTGTTTTGTTTTTTAGTATTAATTTTTTTTAAATGTTTAATATATTTAAATTACAATATATAAGATATGTTATTTTCAAACAACTAAAAGAACAATTGGAAAGGGAAAAGAATATTAAACCATCTATTTTAAGGTTACAAGGTAAAGATATTGTAAATTTATCATGGCTTGGTATGATATCAAAGTATGCAATGCCATGGGATTTTATCAAACATTATTTACCACCTCTTGATCAGTCATCATGGTTAAGAAGATTAGATGTTATTACCAAGTATTGTTGTCATCCCAATGCAACACTGGATACATTCAAACATCTTTTGGAATGGTCAAAAGATTATGATATTACAAAAGGAATTCATATCAATGCTGGATCAATGGTACTTAAGTCAAGTCCTCGTAATATTTCAAGTATTTCAAATAGAGATATATTGGAATATCTAATCGATCATTATCCAAATATCAGTTTGGATGGTATTGCTGATAATGCTGCAAAGTTTGGTAATTTACCAATCATAGAGTTGTTAAACTCTAGTGTAATTGGTCGAAAACATTTAAATCAATCAAATGTAATCGATATTGCAGAAAAGAATGGTCATTTTCATATTATTGGATATTTAAATAATCAACCAATCATTGAACATCAGCAATTAACATTATCATTGGAAGAAAGCAAATCATCTATTATTAATAATAGAAAAGAACATTTAGAAAAAGAATTTTATGCAAATAGAAAGGTTCCAACTAAAAACTATCGAACTATAATTTATCCAGATGAAATGGATATGTTTGCTAGATTAGGTTATTTTGATAATGTTAAAGTAAAAAGAAAAAAAATATAAAAGAAAGTAGATAATTTATTATTAATTTAATTCCTCTTTCTATAGGATCTACATGAAAATAGTTTAAAAGGAATTGAAGTCTATTGTACAACAAATGCAATCAATTGGTCATCAATGAATGGTCATTTAAATATTGTCAAAGTAATTTATTATGGTTCAATTTAATTTTTTTGATTTATTTATTAATCAATAATTTGTTTTAGTATTTAAATGAAAATAGATTAGAAGGATGTACAACTGATGCTATGGATAATGCATCATCGAATGGTCATCTAGATATAGTTAAAGTAATTATTTATTCATTTAATTGATTTATTTTTATTTATTTATTAATTTTTTTATTTTTTTAGTATTTACATCTAAATAGAACAGAAGGATGTACAACAAGAGCAATGGAAAATGCAATTATAAATGGAGATTTAATAATGTTTGTTTATCTTTTAGAGAATCGTACAGAAGGACGTTCTTCTAGATCACCTCCAAGATTCAAGCCATATGAACCACCATCATCATCATCGACATTGTATCAAGCCAAAGATATATTTTCTATTTTACTACAATACAATATGATTGATATTACCCAAATCAATAGTGATTATATTAAACAATTATATTTCCAAGGTTTATATGAATTGGTTGATCTTTGTAATTCATTATTAAAAATTAATACTAAAATTGAAAATGAAATATCAATCAAAATACTATCCTTTACAACGATCAAATAAAAAAACAAAAAGAAAAAAAGAAATAAAATTTTTTTAATATTTATTTTAAACAAACTAAACTAAAAAGAAAGGAAACTATCTAAAAACTACTACTACCATCTCTATTTAACTTTTTTGTTTTTCATAAATTAAAATATAGGCTTGTTGATCATTGATTCCACCAAAACTATTATAATAGGCTTCTTTTTGAGAAACGGTTTCAACGTGGGAACCATCACATTTGTACCATTGTTTACGACGACGAACATATAAAAAGTAGTGACCACCTGTAAATGGATCATAGCTATCACCAATGGCACCAGTATGACAAATGATACCTTTGAGACGATACAAGTCACGATCGACTGGTATAAATTTCTTTGGGAATGAAAAACGATCACAAATCTTTACAGTACGTTTTTGATCAAACAAATAATGAGTACGATCGAGTTGAATGATAAAAACCTCTGGCATCAATTCCAAATTGACAATGGTTTGAAATGAATGATCCTCTGTCAAATGTTCCACCGTGTACTTGTAATGTTTTAATGATTCCTCCAAAGATGAAAATCCACGTACTGGTAATATAATATTAACAAACTTTTCATGATTGGTTTTTGATGAAACTATATTTCCTTTTTTATCCAATACTACTGATGATTGTGATAATTCTCCTTGAAATATTTTGTTTATACAAATATCTTGTTCATAATTTGATATTTTTGAAATCTAAAAAATAAAATAGAAAATTAATAAATAGAAATAAATAAAGTTTTATTTTTCTTTTTTTTTACTTACTCTTTCAATTTCTTCAATTAAAGAAAATAATATGATATTTAGGATTTCACCAGAATCTATACAATTTCCAATTCTATTTTGTAATGGATTAACTTCAGTTGTTTGTGATCCCATTTCCATTGATGTAAATATACTTGCTAAACATTGAGTAAAAGGAAATCCAATTTTTCCTCTTAAATTTAATAATATCTAAAGAATTAAAAAAATTAAAAAAAGAAATATTAATATTATTATTTTTTTTCTATTTTTTTTTCATCTATTTTCTATTTCTTACATGTCGAAGAGGATTAATTTGATATAATAAATGAACAATTGAAAGTAGGGAACAATTATTATCATGTTCAGCAAGACCAACAAGACCAGTAGTAATCCAAGATGGACTTGCATCTGATACTCTGAGAGCACCGTCATTATTTACAAGCAGACGAGGTCCATGAATAGAAGGAGAAAAGATTCTTGATCCTTTTTCCCAATAGATACCGGCATTGTTGTTACTCATGACAACATATTTGTATTCAAATTTGATGGGCAATGGAGCATAGAGTTGTCCAATCCAGATGGTATATGGTACACCCACCTGTTTGATTGGAATCATTTGAATGGATCTACTAATATCTGATCCGAAAAAGTTGGAAACCAACAAGACCGAGTGAGCATCTGAACATCCTTCATCTGTCACTACAAAAGTACAAACTTGACTTGGATAAAATGGTACTGGATGAGGATCCAATGGATGTAAAAATTGATATGAATTGGCTGGTACATGTGATGTTGATAAGTTTATAGATTCAGTAATAGAACTAATACTATTACTATTACTACTACTATTACTATCAATACTACTATTACTACAATCATCAAAGAATTGATTAAATTGATTTTGAAGTTGTTGTTGCATTGGATGTTGATTGTGATCAGAATCTTTGATGATACTACTACTATTATTATGTCTATTATTATTGGATAAAGGTGTTGAAGCTTGAAAATCTAAAGTAGGACATACTCCATTACCTCCTCCCCATTCATCACGAATCTCTATAAATAATTCATCATCTCCCGATGATGAAGAATGACTAGGTGATGATGTTCCATCTATACTATTACCACTCCAAATCATAAAAGAAATCTTATGATTACGTTCTGGTTCCCATGATTGTGAATAATCACCAAAGAGAACATATTTGTACTCCAAATCTATAAATTGTGGTGAAATACCTTTAAGTAAAGGTGATAGTGATTGTTGTGTTTGTATATGATATGGATTAGGTGTAGAACATCCACTAGTTGATGTAGAAGATGATGATTGATTATCTATTGATAGTAGATCAGTAGTAGTACTAGTACTGTTCTCATCTAATCTTAAACCAAATGAAGGTTCCAATTTAAATGTATTCTTGTGTGTATTGGTTGAAAATAGACTTTCACATTGATACTCTCCAGTCCACCAATCATCTTGACTCCAAGTCATATTGATTGCTCTATCAACACACCAACTACCCAATCCTGGTACTGACCCTGTCAACTTTATAAATTGTCCATATTCTACTTTTCTTTGAACATAAAATCTTATTATTATTCTTTTTTTCATCGTAATAGAAAATAAATAGAAATAGAAATAGATAGAGATAACTTAAAAAATAATGTAATACAAAGTGTGAAATAGAGGGAAGATGAAAGAGAGGAGTGAGGGGGAGAGAGCTACTAGAAATTTGTTTTTTTTTTTTTTTGTTTTTCGTCTTTCGGAAATTTCATTTTTTATTAAATCAGATTTTTTTTTCGAAATTGCGCGACTTTAGCCAACCGTCTCTCTCGTCGTCGTCATTGAATACCATGATTGTTTTACAAATAATTAAATTATCTTTTTCTTTATCTTTTATCTTTTTATTTATCTTTTTACTCTTATTGTTTAAAAGAACCAAATTTATCTTCCATTTCAGTTAATTTTTCTTGAGCAGAGGTACGACGAAGAGTTTTCCAATCACGTTCAGAGATGGGAGCAGAGGTGGGTGGACGGGCTGGAGCGTGTGGGAGGAGATGCTTTTGGAGCATTTCGTAGGATAGAAGGGTGACACCAAATTGAGGGGAACTTCTAAAGACACGGGCTACACAACCCTTGAAAAAGGCACGGAAACCTTCTTCACGCCAGATCTTTTGGGCGCAGTCACGGATACCTTCGTAGGTTTGCTCGCCAGTCTTGGCCTTTACTTGGAGACGTGTCTTGATGACATCGGCCGGGGTGACAAGAGAGGCGGCTGGAATACCGGCGACCATACCGGCGAGGAAGAGGTGGCGTGGAGCGAGGTTACCGTCCTTGTCGGCGAGGACAGTCTTCATCTTGGCATAGGCGGGGAAGTAGATGGCCGAGAATGGGATATCACGCAAGAGACAGGCACCAGCGCCCTTGTAGAGACCGGTGAGACCGAGTTCACGGACAATCGAGATGGCGCTGGCTCCCTTGCCGGCGGTCTGTACTTGGAGACGGATCTTTACAATTTCAAGTGGGTTGGTAAAGAGCACCTGCGAGGCACCGGCACCACCACCGGCCAATACTTCGAGTGGCAAGTAAATCTCTCCCTTGCTCTTGTCTTCAAAGAGGTTACGGAGCAGGTCGTTGACGGTGAGCTTGATAGCCTTTTCAGGAGCAACACCGACCAATTGTGGAACGAGACCTCTGTAGAGACCGGCAACACCTTCATTACGAACAACCTTTTTAAAACAGTCCCAAGAGTTTTGGTAGACTCGTTGGGATGGGTCGACAGCACGTTGGTTTTGCATACGTGTCTTGACGAGATCGATGGGGTAGACGGCAGTGGCACCAATGGCACCGGCAACCGATCCCAAAGCAAAGTTTTCGACAGTCTCCCAAAGTTGCTTCATCACTCCTTTGGAGTGTGCAACACCAGCCTGTGCGACAATAGTAGCTGGACTATTAGAAGAAGAGGTTGATGGTGTAGGCAATATACTGGTTGGGGCGGTACTAATACCAGTAGTCTTTTCAAACTCGGTCAAGTTGACCTTTCCATCACGATTTAAATCAAAGAAATGGAAAATAAGGTCAACTTCCATTGGAGTGATTTCAATGCTAGTAGAGATACGAGCTTCTTGTAAAAACTCTTCTTTGGTGATATCTTGCTTGTCACGACGAGTACAGGCAGCACGCAACACACGACCATACGATGGAATGTGGAGGAGCAAGTCGTTACATGCTACAAACTGTGGGTACGACACTTCGTTGGCGTGTGGGGTGTCCTTGTTGAGCTCGGCAATCGATTCCAACTTGTTACGAATGTCGTCGGGGATACGACGAAGCTTGACCGAGCTAACAATCTTGGCAAACTTGTCTTTTGGGATGTATCCAGTCTTGGTCGTGTCGAAATGGTTAAACTCTTGCTTGATACGTTCCTGTTGGAAATCTTTCAACAATTGAGTAAATTGTGAATAATTCAATTCACTCTTTCCACCCTTTCCAAAATATAAATTAACCAATTCTGATTCAAAATTAAATGGTACTGATGGATCCAATGATGCTGTTACAACATTTTGGAAATCATCTAAAAAAGAAAAAGAATAGAAACAAAAAAGTAAAAGTATTAATATATATATATTCTAAATTTAAGTTTTATGATTTCTTCATACTTTTGGAGACAGTTCCATTTCCATCTCTATCAAATAATTTAAAAGCTAAAAAGTATTCAGCTTCAGGTTTTGCCATCAATTCATCAAATGTTTTGTATTCATCAAAACTGATGTATCCAGTGTGATCGACGTCGGCAATTTGAAAGAGAATCTTAAACTTGTCTGCATCGAGTGTAGCCTTTAACAATTCATCTCCACGTGCTTCTTTTTCTGGTACTGTCAATGATTTTAAGAAATCATCTGCTGTCATATATCTTTCTCCTTCAATTGTCTAAAAAGTATAATATATTGTACAACATTAGAGAGAGAGTTGTATATATATATATTTTATATCTTTATCTATCTACACATACAGCAGTTGCAAACTTATCAAATGCTTCCTTTTGACGTTTTAAAATGGTTGGATTCTTTTCTTCTTCCATTAAAGTGGTTCCACCAATTGATGCAATAGCAAGAGTTGATGCAAGTGCTGCATATGCATATCTATTTGAAACTAAGTAGTAGAATATATATATAAGTACTTTTGTTGTTGTTGTATATTTGTGATATATCTCTTATTTCTTACAAGTTCTGGTAGCTTCACCTTGTAATAGGTTTCTTGATCTGTTAAACATTCTTTCTTTCTTTAGATGTGAAGATTTTTAATATATATACAAATACAAGGAATTACTAATACAGAAAACAATGAATGAAATGAATGAATAGAGGGATAAGATGCGATGATGCGTTGGTTGGTGTATGTGGGGAAGAGAGTATACTGTAGTGTGTGTGATGAAGAGAGGTTGAACAGACTTGCTTTACCCGCCTCTGCCTCAATAAGAGACCCTCCCCTCATTCTACCAAAAAAAATCAAATTTTTTTCAAACCTGAACTCTGCCATCACTGGTGACCAAAAACGGCATAATCTTGTTACTATTGCGAGATAAAACGACTACCTCCTCTCTTATAACTACTATCGTCGGAGGAGTCATCATGATCATAGTTTGTTAATCAAAACTCCGATATGATATGAAAGTAATCATATCATTTCATACAATATTCCTGGGGGTGTAAAAAAAAAAAAAAAAAAAAAAAAAAGTACTTTAAAATTAAATATACATACAATTAAAGAAAGAGATAAAAATAAAAATAATAATAATAACAAATAATATTAGTTTGTTTATTTATTTATTTATTTATTTTTAAAAAAATGTGATGAGCTGTCATTTTTGTTAATTTGGGTATTTGGATCTAAGATCTAAATCTATTCTTATAATTATATTCTCGTTTTCATAACTTTCATTGTAAAAATAATTTAATTTAATGAGTGTTGACTTTTAATTTTCTCAATTGTTTGTGGAATGGAAGCAAATGAATCGATTCGATCAATGTATTATCGAGAGTTGGTCATTTGTGTCATTTCCGAGCTTGATGTCTTTATGTTTTAAAGTGATGTATTAAGGTAAAAGTAGTAAACAGTCTCAAGCTCGGTTGTGCGATGGTTGAAACACTTATCTATGAAATTTTCAAGGGGTGAACGAGAATTGTCTTCTAGGCTCTACTCTATTCATACCTCATATGACTTGGTGGAATTGAGTGGAAGCAAAGAGTGGAAGCAATTTTTGGTCTCTCATACAGCAGTGACATCAGACAAACCACCAAAACAACGACAAAAAACACGAGTCCAAAAATATCTCGTTTTTTTCATGAATATCTTGAAACCGTCAAATAAATCAATCGTACCCCTTTATAAAAAGGATCGTTTTTGCATTATTCATTCAACAAACAAATATAATTATTTTTATCATATATATAGAGATAAAGAAAAGATGTTTAACCAAAAGATTTTTCTAATTTTCAGTTTAATGGTTGCCGTTTCAATGGCAACCCCAGGTTTATACGGAACCGCCAATAGTGTTTCATCAAGTGAAGGTACTGTCTTTGGTATCTTTGTTGTATGTAGAAACTATAATAAAAGAATATATTCTTTTTTTTTACTTTTACTTACTTTTACTTTTTTACTCTACTTTTCTATAGGGAAATCAATTTAAATCATTAGTTGAACTTGGAGAATATACAGCATATCAAAATGGATCAGATGCATCATGTACAGTTGATGATGTATTTTATGTTTTTGGACTTGATGGCAATGGCGACAATGTATTGCTTTCATTTAATACTACCGACCCAAGCAACTCACCAGCTCCCATCACTGGTAGCACTGATGCTTTGACCGCCTACCCATTGCAAAACCTCTATTGCGTTGCCGATTCAGAGGGAGGTTTGCCATACATGATTGGTGTTCAATCACGTTCTGGTTCATCTGGTTTTGTTATCTCGTACAGCGACGGTACCTACCAAGGTATCCTCTACACATCTGAATTGAACCAACAATACTGGGGTTCGGCCTATGATGCCGTAGGTGGAGTTGTCTATGTCTTTTCAATGGACACTGGCTCGCTCGCCACTATCGTCACTCGTTACTCTTTGGTTGCCAAGGCTGCCCAATCGAGCACCCTCTCTAGCACCAGTCCATCTGGTCTCTATGGCGCCGTCTTTGGTGTCGATGGCAACATCTATGGTATTGCCTCGTCTTCCAACGGACTCCAACTCAACCTCTTCCAATACGCTCCACAACAAAACCAACTCACCATCTTTTCACACAGCTATACCCTCGCACCAGGTACCGAGCTCTACAACGGTCCACAAACCACCATGTCTGGTACTAGCTTTGCCGCTAGATACTTGATCAGCACTCCAACCGTCGACATGTCCACTCTCTTGCTCACCTTTGACATTATCTCTACCTCTCCAACCCCTGTTGTTCTCTCTAATTTCGCTGTTGAATCTTTATCCTATGTTTTGGAGTAAATAATAAATAAAACCAATTAAAATATTATATAAATATTTCAATTCACAACAACAAATAATTTTTTAGGATTTAAATTAGAGTACGATCTTGTCTGAGATTGAAAAGGCAGCACGTGATGCAAATGCCAAAGTATGTGTCGTCATTCCATTTCGAGGTCATAACATTACGAGTTTTGACGAAACAAGAGTAGTACCAAAACAAAATGTATGGGAGTTCCAATTTACTGTTTTCCTATAAAACAAAAATGGGTGTAAGGAACGGCAATGGATGGATGCTAGATAGATAAATTACATACATTTATGAGAGCATATCCACACGACTCTAAGATTCCCCATGTTATCTGGGAAATGATATCGGAACAGTTCAAAGTGTCGAGGAATGATGACGCTCCTTTGGTTAAATGTTCCAGCGATGATCTATAGACTGACTGGAATTGTTGATAAAGTCTATAAACTTGCTCGAGAAGTTTTTGGATGGCACGAGGAAGGCCGCCCATGTCAGACAAAAGTTGGCGGAATGGTTTGCAAGTGATCCATTCATCACCACCAATCCATTTGATATTTTTGACAATGATATGAGTGTTTTCATCTGAAAGGAGGCCAATTTTAATTGGCACTGGAGGATGAGAGGACTTGTAAAGTACGTTTTAAATGCCAACATAAAGAGTACCACAGAAAAAAGGGACCAGAAAAACATCTGATGAACTAAAGTTGAGACAATAATCTCCGACCGCATTGACCATGTCTTGAAAGAACCGTGGGCTGGATTGATCTTCTCGCGCCAATGCTCTGTTACACTCGTCCACCCCAACAAACAAGATTATCTGTTTTGTTTCAGTGTGCTTTTTAATTGCTTGGAAAACAGATCCAAGGGGTACCTCTACACCTGGTTATCCAATCCAGGAAAGAAATAAGAGTTGATAATCCGTAACGCGAGAGCTGTCTCGCCACACAAACCAGTTTCGTATGGGTGTCGATGATCCATTTCCAAATGATACAACCACTGTTTCGACTGGTATTGGTGATTCACTCAATTTGAACTGTTTTGCCACCTCTGCCAACAACCTAGTCTTTCCAATTCCCGGTGCACTAGCACAAAAAGGAATGGGATGGAATTGTTTGTCTTTCACATCCTTATTCTCCTATCTCTCGGAGGCGACCTTCATGACTCTTTTAACAGCATGTTGTCGGCCAACAAAGAAGAGGTATGGTTCCTAGATAGAAAATAAAGGTTAGTATCAAGGGAGATCTGAATAAATTTGATATGATATTTTGTTAATTACCTTTTGTTGTTGTGGCTTCAATTGAATTGTATTCTTTGCCATTTTCTGCACAAAATACTGTTATCTTGTCTAATAAGAAAAGAAAAAGAAAAAGAAAAAGAAAAGATGAGTAAAGATTCTATTTGAATTATTAATAGTCAGTTGTTGTTTGTTAACCTACTTGTGGAAATGACCTTTTGTACAAAAACTTGTAAATTGCAACCATGTATTCTAGAACGGGAATTGATTTCATCTAAAAACACTTTTGTTGTACTGATCTTGGTTACAAATGCTGTCTTATCAACAATTGCTTTGAATGTTTCCGAGTTGTTAAGTTTATCTATTGCTTCATCATTCATATTTCTACTTATTATTCTTCAAACAAGAAAATAATGAAAAACATTTTAATTAATTTTGAATGAGTCCATACTTTATAAAAAAAGAAGCTAGTCTTTTAAAAGAAGGATCTAAAAAGAAAAGATAGAGATTCAATATAACAACAATAATAACACCATGCACCATTAAAACAACAATAGATAGTCAATCAACCTTCTTCTTCTTGTCAATTGTCCTCCTCCTCCCCTCCTCCTCCTCTTTCAATTCCTCTTTGTCGATCTCTTTTAACTTTATTTAGATCATCGATGATGATGATGACGATGATGATAATAAAAGTAAATCAACCAAAGGAAAGGATATCATCAAGATACCTCTTTTGGAATGATAACTACTTTTGCAAATGATCGATTAGACATTCTTCCAAACTCTGATTGAACTCTATTTGATATGGCGGTCAAACGAGATATTATAATGGTATTTATTTATTTATCAAACCAAAATAGTAGAGATTGCTCATCCATCATCAATATTATTATTGAATAGTAATACAAGATGAGCCCACAGGATACTTGAATATCTACACATTCAATAAGAAACTACAAAATCAACTACAATCCATCAGCAAACAAAAAGATAATAGATAATAGATAATAGATTGATACCTACCTTCAATATTACTCTTCAATATTCGAGTAAGTAATACACTCTTTTTATATGTTCCTTTTTTTCCCTTTTTGATATATTAATATTATATCAATAAATACTAAAGTTAAAAAAATAAATATTATATATATTATATTATATATGATGATGATAGGAAGAGAATAAGAATGATTAATGACATATGTAGAAAGAAAGAGAGAGAGAGATAGATAGACCTTAAATTAATTTTGCGACTTGACAGTTTGAACTTGCAGTTCGATTAAAATTAGAGGGGAGCCCAAGAAGTAATCAAGCTTATGTTGCACAGTTTGATTATTATTTTCTTCTTTCTTTCTTTAGTAGTAGTAGTAGTAATAGTAGTAATAGATATCAACTTATTCAGATAGAGATAAAAAGATGGCTTTTCAACCATTAAAAAAGATAAAGAGTAATCATCATGATGATGACAACACCATCATTACAACAACAACAACATCAACATCAATGACAGTAGATAGTAATAATTCAATTGATAATCCCCTTCTTCTTCTTCCTTTTCCTCTTCCTACTCGTCCATCTCTTTCAATTGTATTAAAAGGAAAATACATTAGAGAAAAGATATTTGGATATGTAAAAGAGATAAATGAGATGAACAAGATTGATGATGAATGTCAATCAACCAAAGGCAAAGATATCATCAAGTTGGATCATTTAAAGATGATATCTACTTTTGCAATGCCATGGAACTTTATCAAACATTACTTGCCCAAAAAGGACAGTGTAATGGAAAGTATATCAAAAGTCATTAATAGATATTGTTGTCATCGAAATGCAACAATGGAAACATTCTTGCATCTATTGGATTGGTCACCAGAAGATTTTACACCTCAAAATGAAGTAGTTTCCGAGGTTGCCACTCAAGGACACACTGAAATATTTGAATACCTAATCAACAATTATTATCCAAGACAAATCACTATCAGATCAATGTCACAATCTGCTCGAAATGCATCCGAAAATGGTCACCTTTTAATTGTACAACTATTATCTGCGATGGAAGGTGTACGGTTCTCAAAAGATGCAATGGATTGGGCAGCAGCATATGGACATTTAAATACTGTCAGAGTATGTATAGATTATAATATATATTAAATTATTTTATTTATTAATTGAATCGAATAGTATTTACATGAAAATCGTACTGAAGGATGCACATATGATGCTATGGATTGGGCTGCATGGGGTGGACATTTGGATATAGTCAAAGTAATTATTTAGATAGATCGATTACTTACTATTATATTAAATTATATTAAATATTTTTCTTTTACCAATTAAATATTAAATAGTATTTACATGAAAATCGTAGTGAGGGTGCAACAACCTATGCTATGAATTGGGCAGCTAAGAATGGTCATTTAGATATTTTAGATTGGTTACATGAGAATCGTAGTGAAGGTGCAACAACCAGAGCCATGGATTTGGCAGCTCTGAAAGGTCATTTAAATGTTTTAGATTGGTTACATTTTAATCGTAGTGAAGGCTCAACAACCAATGCTATGGATTGGGCAGCAGAGAGAATGGTCATTTAAATATTTTAGAGTGGCTCCACACCAACCAATCGACTATAGGATGTACCTCTGATGCAATGGATAAGGCAAAATCTCTTGAAATCATTCAATTCCTTCATCGAGCCGGGAAAACATGTACAACTGCCGCCATTGACAATGCATGTTCAAATGATGACTTGGATATTGTTCAATTCCTTTTCCATAATCGCTCAGAGGGATGCAGCGAAAAAGCTATTATCGTTGCATGTCAAAGAGATAATCTTGAACTTTTAAAGGTATGTGATATATAATATAAAGAGATCACAACAATTAATTGCATAAAATTAACATTATAATTATCTTTTATAGTTTTTACTCGACAAAAGGACTAAAAAATGTTCACCTACAACTGTAGACTCTGTCATAGAAGGCAATTGTAGTTTAGATTTTATAAAGCTTCTCAACCAAACATGTACAATCGAAGGTTTAACAAGTGCAGAACATAGACGTGATCGATTAGACATTCTCGAATATTTTCTTCCGAAATTAAATTATAATGTATATATCGGTTGGAGAGGTAGAGATAATGTCATTGGTTAGTGAGTAAGCGATCTCCATATTCTTCTAATCAGCATGTTGACTCGCGCATCCATACAACATAAAGTCTTTTAGATGACACCTGTATACTCAATATTAGAGTGTAATACTCTTTTTAGTCAGTCTTTTTTTTTCTTTTTGTCTTTTATTTTTTTGTATGGTTATTATTATTATTATATTATATAAATATATCAATTCATACAACTTATATATCTAAAAATACAAAGTAATAAAATAAATACTAAAGTTAAAAAAAAATAAACACATATAAAGAGGTCTCTCGCCCACAAACTCTCATCATTATTATTGTCATTGTAAACGCGGCTGATTGGTCAGTCCTTCCAATACTACCTTTAACATTCAAAGTACAGCTCATTTTACAGTTGCCTCTAATGTATCGGTTAGCTTTGGTTCTTCAATGACAATGGATGCATCTCAACTCAATACCCCATTCTTAAATATTGATGGTTTAGTCTCTTTAAAAGCTTCAAATATCAATTCAACATACTAATGAAGATGACGATGAAGATGATGATGGTGATAGGAAGAGAATAAGAATGATTAATGACATATGTAGAAAGAGAGAGAGATAGATAGACCTTAAATTAATTTACAACTTGACAGTTTGAACTTGCAGTTCAATTAAAATTAGAGGGGAAACCAAGAAGTAATCAAGCTTATGTTGCACAGTTTGATTATTATTTTCTTCTTTCTTTCTTTAGTAGTAGTAGTAATAGATATCAACTTATACAGATAGAGATAAAAAGATGGCTTTTCAACCATTAAAAAAGATAAAGAGTAATCATCATGATGATGACAACACCATCATTACAACAACAACAACAACATCAACAACATCAATGCAAGTAGATAGTAATAATTCAATTGATAGTCCTCTTCTTCTTCTTCCTTTTCCTCTTCCTACTCGTCCATCTCTTTCAATTGTATTAAAAGGAAAATACATTAGAGAAAAGATATTTGGATATGTAAAAGAGATAAATGAGATGAACAAGATTGATGATGAATGTCAATCAACCAAAGGCAAAGATATCATCAAGTTGGATCATTTAAAGATGATATCTACTTTTGCAATGCCATGGAACTTTATCAAACATTACTTGCCCAAAAAGGACAGTGTAATGGAAAGTATATCAAAAGTCATTAATAGATATTGTTGTCATCGAAATGCAACAATGGAAACATTCTTGCATCTATTGGATTGGTCACCAGAAGATTTTAAACCTCGAAATAAAATAGTTCCCTTGGTTGCCGGACTAGGACACACTGAAATATTTAAATACCTAATCAACAATTATTATCCAAGACAAATCAATATCGAATCAATATCAGAATCTGCTCAAACTGCATCCTCAAATGGTCACCTTTTAATTGTACAACTAGTATCTGCTATGGAAGGTGTACTGTTCTCAACAGATGCAATGGATTTGGCAGCTTATAATGGTCATTTAAATACTGTCAGAGTATGTATAGATTATAATATTATATTAAATTATTTTATTTATTAATTAAATCGAATAGTATTTACATGAAAATCGTACTGAAGGTGCCACAACCAATGCTATGGATTCGGCAGCTCGGAACGGTCATTTAAATATTTTAGATTGGTTACATTTTAATCGTAGTGAGGGTGCCACAACCGATGCTATGGATATGGCAGCAGAGAACGGTCATTTAAATATTTTAGAGTGGCTCCACACCAACCAATCGACTATAGGATGTACCTCTGATGCAATGGATAGGGCAAAATCTCTTGAAATCATTCAATTCCTTCATCGAGCCGGGAAAACATGCACAACTGCCGCCATTGACAATGCATGTTCAAATGGTGATTTAGATATTGTTCAATTCCTTTTTGAAAATCGAACAGAAGGGTATACCCAACAAGCTGTCATCAATGCATGTAAAAGTGGAAACTTTGATTTGATAAAGGTATGTTTAGAAAAAAAAAAAAAACAAAAAGATCTAATATTTTGTTGAAATCAAACTAACAAACCTATTAAATTTACATCTAGTATATTATTTCAAATAGGAATGAAAAATGTACAACACAAGAAGTAGATACTGTAATAGGGAATAATTGTAGTTTGGATATTATTAAACTCCTCGATCAAGAATGTACAATTGAAGGTTTGAAATATGCATTTGAAAATGATAGATTGGATATTGTTGAATACCTTTACCAGAAATACCCAACATCTACTCGTATGTGGACTGGTGAGGCATTTGATGAAGCTGCCAGACATGGTAAATTAGATTTTATAAAGGTTTGTAATTAGATAAATATATAATAATAATAATTATATTTACTAACTAAACTCTATGTCACTTCTAGACTCTCCATAAAAATAAGACAAAAATCAAAGTTACAACCAATGCAATGGATAATGCAGCTGCGAATGGACATATTGATGTTGTTAAAGTAATATTAATTTATATTTTGAGGATATCCAAAATGTATAATTTCCTGATTGTATTTATTTATTATTTACTTTACTATTATTGTTATATTTATTTAGTTTTTACATGATTATCGTACTGAAGGATGTAGTGCTGATGCCATGTATAAAGCAGAAGAGAATGGTCATATTGAAATAGTAAACGTATGTAATCATAGAAAAGAGAGATATAAACTATATATTAAATTAATTCCCTAATATTTCCTATATTTTAGTTTCTACACTTTAATCGCACAGAAGGATACACCTCTGATGATAATAGAGAAGAACAAGAAAATAATTTAGATTGCGAAGATTGGGAAATCCTTGATCTCCTCATAGATCCTAACTACTATGGAACAAACAACTAATTATTAAATAAAAAAAATTTTAGATTATATAAATATATAAATGATAGCGATAATAAGTGGTAGAGATAACAATAGTAATATGGGGAAATGAGTATAATGAATGAATCATCTTTAAGAGACTACCAGTACTCTTAAATACTCGGTAGTTGGTTACAAGGTTGGATAGTCCCCTCTATCCCACTCTTTATTGATAATAGTTTGATGATAATGATGTGAGACTAGTACTAATTAGGCCCAGATCTGCACTATCTACAGTTATCGTTGAAAGGATAATCAAGACATGTGGCCACCTATAAAATGCTGCTGATAACCAAGAAAGAATATATATCCCTCTCATTACTATCCTTGTGACTTTACAATGTTTCAGTTCTAAATTATTGATGTATAAAATTTTGGGTTGGCAATTTCAATATTTGAGTTGTAGCTTTTCTACAATCATGTTGTAAAGTTGGTTTAGTAGATTAGAAATGTCCCTTTACTATACAACCGATTCGTAATCACTTTGAAATTTAGTACTTTAAATACTTTTACTTTCAGAATGTTCCAATTCATTACTTGGTTGAAAATATCTCTTTCTATTTTTATTAGAACATAGTAATAAAGTACTTCATTATTAATGGTGGTTGTTCACTCTTATCATTCTTACACCTATGAAAACAATCATAATTTGGACATAATAACATTTATTTATTTTGTTGTTTTAGTCATAGCATTTTTGGGAAATAAATTCCTATTATTACAGATTTTTGAGTATATCAGAACCAACTCTATTTTCGTCTTCCTGCATTCAAACATTTGCAACACTTGGCTCCATAGGCTGTTGTGTGTCTGAGGATGACCATATTCGTTGGTTCGTTGGTGGTTTTTTTTTTGAACACAAAATATATAATTTAAATATATTCAAAATGTTATAACTTTGTTTTTCAATACCTCTAAACAATCATCAATAGATGTGTAGTTGGGTATCAATTCAGATGTATTTACCTTTAAAAAATAAAATGAATAATTAATTAATTAATAAATACTATTTAATATTATTTAATTTTTTTTTCTTTGTTTTTTACTTACCAGTTGATAGGGTTTATCCAAATAGATATGTTTACTATTCAAAGTACCATTATGTAACAAATAATAGGCACCCAAGTTTTTCATTGATTGCGGTATTACCAAAATGATGGATGGATAATAATTCAACGTAGTTGTCATCGAAACGATTGATTTGTTTGACCAACTAAATCATTATGGATTAATACCTGATCGTGAAACTTGCTATCACTTGGCATTAATAAAAATGTTCCATTATTATTATCATCATTATTATTATTTAATTTTGAATTTAACCAAAAAAAACAAAATTTGATTTGTTTTTGATTGATAAATGCATATTTGTTTGTTGATTGTGTAAAGTTGTTATATAAAATGTCTTGATTTATATTATTAATATCAATATTATTATTATATAAATATATAAAATAAAATATAAATATAAAAAAGGAATGGTGCATGGATAGGGTGTTTTGGCGCTAGAAACAAATGGTAAACCATCGAAATATTTCGATAATAGAGGGATAACACAAGAATAAATTAATCAAACATCTCTACCTAAACTGATCGAGTGCCCTGTCGTTGCCGGCGGATCCAAAAACAACCATGCTGTTAAACATCTCGACTGGTTCTACCGAACCTGTAATATTCATACAGACACTTCTAGACTGAGATATATTTTGTACCATCTTTTTCCAATCCTATTTAAGTAAATGTTTTTTATAAAAAAAAAAAAAAGATATTAGTTTTAATGATGGTCGTATCGTTTTAATAATATTATTATTATTATTACATCTGAGTCACTTTTGATTGAAATGACACCACTGAATTGGGAATGGCACCACCAACAAGATTAACTTGCTTAAAAATGATCTGTGCGTTGATACGAGGAGAGAACAAACCAAGGATTAGAAAGTCTTTAAAGCCATGGCTTGAACACCTTGTGATTGTTGCTCTTTGGGTGCCTGTGATGGTTCAACAAGAGATAAAGAGTGAGACTTATCGACATTGACATTGATTGATTGTATATTGTTGATGGCCTTTGTCTAGTTTATAAAAAACAAAAAAGAATACATAAATAAGCAAGCAAAAGTATCAATCTTGTTTGGTAATACACATTATTGTTGAATGATATTTACATCCTCTCCTGTAGGTCCAGTGTGTGGTTGATTGTGAATAGATGAAGAGTTCAACTCTTCATCATCGTCATCATTGATTGGTTTGATGTTGGTGGTCGATATATTTTTAGATTTCTAGAAAACTATATATCTAAAAAAATGGTTTTTCTTCTCTTAAGTTATAATGTCATCTTTACGCAAGGACTTAATGCTAATTTTCTCTGTATCGATTTCCAATTTAAATGGATATCCCCGAAGGGTCCAACAATACATTTAGAAACCTATGAATATATGTATCGAGTACAATTCGTCTACTTTTGTTATGGGTTTTTCATGTGACGACTTTTTTTGTAATTTTTTTAACCGACCATACTCGTTTAACTCTTGACACCATCCATGCCTCCTCTGCACGGTCTGTGTTGTTCAATGGAAACATAAATTCTCTTTTTTCTTTTCATCAATGTATGTATACCTCCATTTTTTTTTTTCTATCACCCCCTTTATTTCATTCATACCCCTCCTACTTGAAGAAAGACTATTGTTCGTTCATACATTAGCTAATCTTCTATCACAGATTTGACAATCAACTCATTCTAAAATCTCTCAGACATCTTTTTTTTTGTATATCAGCAGGACACTACAGATACAGATAAAAATACAGATACAAAACTTGATGATTTATAGTTGATAGTTGATCAACTATACAGTCCATTCAGCTCTATTCCTATTAGATGAGCCTCACAACTTTTTAGAGTATTATTGACAATTACTAGTCATTTTGTTTGTCATGTGATCATATGATTTTCAAATTTGGTATCTTTTAGCACGCTCTTTAAACCACATTCAACTATAACAGTGTGCTCAACTACTTTATCTGCTGTGACATCTAGATATTTATATTTATACTGTTAAACCTATCATTTACAAAATTCTTTAATGAGATACAATTTAGTTGCAAAAAGTTCTTCTTGTTCTCATCAAAGAATTTTGTTATATATCTAGATTGTCAACAGAAATTTGCAATCAACACTCCTCATCAGCATGTTTGTTACAATAAGGATAACAGCATAATCAACCAAAGTTCTTTATCATTTGTCCAATCTTGTAGTACAATTGTTTGTAAATAAGGCAGATTATATGTCGTAAAGGCAAACACTATATCTCTTTCTTATATTAAATGATGATTTGGAAAATAAATAAAAATAATAAATCAAGAAATTTCTTCAATAGAACAACTAATGGAAAGAGGATAATATATATATATGTTAGAACCAAGCAGACTTTACAATATCTATGAATCAACACGTTCAATCAACAACAGCGGATTTGTTATTACAGGAAACTACTTTAGGATCAACAAGTCGGCATTCAACTACTATTTGATGCATGTCATCTCTCAAACAAAAGGAACATGGTTGTTCGCTCTTACCATGGTTCAAACAAGGAGATCCAAAAGGTCATCCAAGTAATTCCAACTTATCAACGATCAACAGCCTGATCAAATCAACACAGTTGTTTTAAGTGACAGTTTCCTCTACTCGGATGCAAGAGCTGTCAAACATTATTACTCTCTGGTAGATGGTTATACATTGGGTGGTTTAGAGAGTGGATCGACAACGTAACCAAATTTGGAAAGTTTGGTTTCAAACAAAAAACGAAAGGACAACACACGACCTTTGATACCCACCTTCAGGTTGGAACGGGTATCTAGTTCTGAGTCTAAATGGTCAATCCCTTACCCAAAAATAAACTCCAGCAAAAAGTTAAAGAACAGTCAAAGCAAAGTTAAAAGTTGTTCCCAGAAGATACCTAGTATACAGATGCTTGTTTAAGAGATATATGGGCACTATCAAAAAAAAAAAAAAAAAAAAGAATTACAACATAATTGTGATAGAGGAAAAGATTGTTATGACTTACCTTGTTGTTGAGGTTTGAAGTAGTTTCTTTCTTTCTTTCTTTCTTTAGGTCAATTAACTTTTCTTTCATCTCTTTCTCTTCAAAGAGTCACTGTCTCCTTTTAGAGAAGGGTCTTCAATGGCTTCAGAGTTTGCTTTATCTACATTTTGTTAAAGTAGCTCTTTATCTGCTCTTTTGTTAAGTTGTTGTTGTTGTTGTTGTTAGTGACATTAATATTATTATTATTATTATTATTATTATTATTATTATTATTATTATTAGTATTATTATGACGTCTAATAGAAAGAGAAGAAGAAAATAACTAAACTAATTACACACCCCTTTTGAATTTCACACAAGAAATGATTGAATGAATGAATGTATGTATGAATGTATGTATTTAAAGTATAACAGTATTGTTGTTCATCTTGTCCTTTCTTTTTTCAAAACTATGATTATTATATTTACTAGTAATAGTTGAAATAATAAATAGATCGAACAAAAAATAAATAAACAAGAACAATTTTTTGAACAAAAAAAAATAATTAACTTAATTAAAATTAAAATGGGTATTGTAGGGGAATCCATGGGTTTGATTAAGTATCTCCTCGCCAACTGGCCTGTTGAAGTTCACTTTCTAGTGATCTCTTAAGCAAATAAAGAGAGAAAGAGAAAGAGAAAGATTTGACAAAGAAACTAACAGACAGTGCTGTCTAGACGCATCCAACATGAGCATGCATGGTACCCAGAATAGTTAAAGATTGTGCACAGCTCATATCATCAGTAACATATCACGGCAGCAAATCAGTTTGCTCATTGCCATTCATTCAATACACGTTTACAAAGATCTTCTAAACTGATCACTCATGACTCAATCTAAAAGGAACATCCAAATGGTCAAGGAAAGCTACATACAAATGATATTGCCAACACAAGTTGTCATACCAATTAACCTTGCGTACAGACCTCCAATTGGAAAATACAAAAGTTTGTAGTTTAATAATAGAATAATACATCTTAAACGGTTTATAAACATAAATGGTAGTAAGAAAAAGTAAAAGAGAGGACTGTGGAAAAGAGAGAGAGATACATATTGGACCAAAGAATAGTATACACCAATATATTTGGACATCAACAATCTAGAGTCAAAAGGATAGGTGTATGAGGTATATATTCTTGGTTCTGGTTATATCACATGTATCAGCAGCATTTTGAAAGGTGATCACATGTCTTGATGAACTTTTCAAAGTTAACGTTATTCTTTCTTGGTTCTGGTTATAGTTATCTATGTAGGTATGTATGTCTAGTGTATTAGTGGTGGATGATAGTTGTCCGGTACGAAAACAACACATATTTTCAGATTACCATATATATAAATATATTTTTAGATTTCTAGAAAACTATATATCTAAAAAAATGGTTTTTCTTCTCTTAAGTTATAATGTCATCTTTACGCAAGGACTTAATGCTAATTTTCTTTTCCCACTATTATAAAGCTACTATTCAAGTCTTTTGACAAGACCCAAAGGTTAACCAAACTATGTTGGTCACTATTAATACCAAGTGATTGCAAGTTTCAATAAAAAAAGGTTTTAATCCATTATGACCAGTTGGCAAATCAATCATGCCGATGACAACGAGATTGAATTATTATCCATCATTTTGGTGATGTTGCAATCAATCAAAAGCTTGTACTTTTAACCAGTACTTTGAATAGTAACATATCAACTTGGATACACCCTATCAATTGGTAAGTAAAAAAAAAAAAAAAAAAAATTAAATATTATTAATTATTCATTTTAATTTTTAAAAAAGATAATGACTTTATAATAATTATAAGAAAGTTGTAAAAAAATTAAAAAATTAAAATGAATAATCAATAATATTTAAGAAAGAATCGAAATCAACAACAACCCAATATCATCGTAGAGTGATTAGTTATGGAAAGTTTAGTAGATCATTTGAATTGGCCGATAACATCGAATTTGAATTAATAACAGCCAAACATAATGATGGTGTTTTACAAATCACTGTTCCAAAGAAGAAACACCTCACACCAAAACATATTAAAATCACTAAATAATATCAATTTAATCATTCTCTAAGAGTAATAATAATAACAATGTTATTTGTAAATAAATAAAAATAATAATAGTTTTTATCTAATATTCAATAGTTCTAAATGATTCAAGCTACTGGATCTGATTGATATGATTTATTAATATTATTCTAAATTCCATAATATTTTTTGATTAGGTCAAAGATTTCATAATGATCTTTTTTTTGATTGACTGTACAGTCGACTTGCTCCCCATGTGTAGAAATTTAAACAATTCAAAATTATTTCTTGGTGCAGCATTATCCATAGCATTAATTGAGAAACTTTCTGTTCTATTAAAATGTAGAAACTAAAATGAATCGAATGAATGAATGAATAGTGTTGGTAATATAATAATGATAATAATAAATATATATCCATATTTTCATACCTTGGCCACTTCCAAATCATTTGCATAGTCCATTGTTTCTTTTAGACATCCTTATGTACGATTAAAATGTAAAAACCATAGATAAAGGAAATACATTTTAGTTAATCAATAGAATATAGCTAGGATCCTAGGTAAAGGATATGATGATACAAACTTCAAATTGATTTTCAGGATCATAGTCTGGTGACCATTCCAATAGATGTTTGAGAGTGTCCAATGTTGCATTTCGACGTGACAAATATTTACTAATAACAAACCATCTTCTCTTTGCCAATACACTGTCCTTGTTGGGTAGATAATTTTTGATAAAGTCCCATGGCATTGCATACTTTGATATCATTCTAAGATTAGGTAATTTGGCAATATCTTTACCTTTTCTTGAAATACCATCCATGGTTGAACAGTTTGTCTAATATATGTTGATTTAAATAGATTTGTCATAATTGTTGTATTATTATAATTATTATTATAAAAAGAGAAAGAGAGACCATCATCATCATGTCGATCATAGCAACAACAATGATGATGAAAACATTAATATTAATACAACAACAAACAAGATGATAGTAGATAGTAATAATAATAAATATTTGGAGAAGGAATGAATACATCTCATCTCTGCTAATGAGAGAGAAGTACTGAGAGCGAACAACTGTCTTAATTTTCCCGTAAATCGAATAAGGAAGGTTATTTATTTATTTATTTATTTATTTACAGTCATTTAAATGTAGTTGGCTGGCTCATTCAATATTATAAAGATTCTTTTACACATTTAAAAACAAGAACTACAAATGGTTCTAGAAAGAGGTCTATGTTATTCATGACCCAATTTACAATTGACATGAGACCTTGGAAAAGAAAGTTTCCAATTGCCTTTAGTCCATTCCAAAGTGTTTGTAGAATTGATTTGCATCGATCAAAAAATGATCTCTTTGTCTTTTCTTCTTCTCCTTGCTCTAGGTTGGTGACTATGTTGCAGACTGCTGGAGCTGATCTATAGGTTAGTCTAACTAAATTCTCATGGACTAGTGTATACTGCTTTGCCCTACTACTACTAATACTACTCTCACATGGCATTACCATTTCAACGATCGCTTTTTTCTCTCTTTCCATTCTATTTTTTGCCTCCATCATGCTAGTAATAGCACGAGCAATCTCGTTTCTTCCTTGTTCGGAACCCATTGATGCTTTAACTTCTTTTTCTGTTAGAGTTTCAAAGTTTATAGAGTTGATTGTGATTGCTGTTGGCATTTTGACTTGGTTGGTTGATTAAATTGTATTTGTTTGTTGCTGAGCTTATTAATTCTTTGTTTTCAATCTTGCTTAAGAAAAAAATAAGATAGCTTCAATCGTCACAATGCATTGTTGGTTGACCAGAGGAGGAGGAGGAGGAAAAGAACAAATTATTTTGATTGATTTTAGGAAATGGGGTGATTGACCTGGGTCCTTCCAGATTGTGATTTTTTTTTTTTTGCCTCGTAGTAGCTGCTACTATGAAACAACTTGTTTCATTCTCTCCATCCAAGATATATTTGGATATCTTTTAATTTTTAATTATTATTGTTGTTAACAAATAATAATCTTTCTTCTTCAACAATCTTGGTATATTTTTAATACATATAATATATTAACAGAATATTTCTATTTTTTTTTTGAGAACAAAAGATGAAAGAAAGTTAGTGATGTGATTGACTTTGTTCTTTCTTGATTATACATACATTTTTTAAAAAAAATGACGACTAATATATATATATATATATATGTTAGTTATTTGTTCCTTAATATTTGTTGAGGAGGTTTGATACTTCATAATAATCATCGCTGTCAGTACCATATGGTAATTGATCAATTCTACCATTTTTGATCGATTCAACTGGTAATATTTTGTTTGATAATATGTAATTGTAGATATCGGGATTGGCATGAAATATGGCAATCTCTCTGCAACCTTCACTTCGATGTTTATGAAGAAATTCAACTCTAAATTATTTACTTGTGCTGCTCCATCCATAGCATCAGTTGTGCATCCTTCTGTCCGATTAAAATATAGAAACTAAATAAATAGAATCGTTTAAAATTAAATCTCTCTCTCTCTTCTTTTTTTTTTTTGTTGGGTATTTAATTATAATTATATATATCTCTCTCTATTTACTTACTTTTACAATTTCAATATGATCATTCTCTGCTGCTTGGTTCATCGCATCAGTAGTGCAACCTTCGCTACGATTCAAATGTAAAAACTATTGGTTGACGGCAATAAATAAATAAATAAATAAATGTAAATAATAATGATAATAATAATAATCTATCGAGATATTAATAATTACTCAAATACTACATACTTTTACTACTTCAAGGTGGCCATACTGTGCTGCTTCGTCCATTACCTTGGTTGTGCATTTTCCTTTGGGTCTTTTATGAAGAGTCTAGGAAGAGAAAAGGTTAGTATCGAATTTAATATTTCGAATTAATGAGTTTACATCTCCAAAAATTAAATAGATACCTTTACAAAATCCAATTTACCGTAGCGGGCAGCTTCATCAAATATATCACTAGTCCACATACCAGTAGATGTTTGGTATTTCTCGTAAAGATATTCAACAATATCCATTCTATCATTTTCAAATGCATATTTCAAACCGTCATTGGTACATTCTCGATCGAGGAGTTTAATAATATCCAAACTACAATTCTTCTTTATAGCAGCGTCAACTGCTTTGGTTGAACATTTTTCAGTCCTATTAGAGACAATAAACTATATAGAATAATGGGAATAATAATTGATTATCAGTTTCAAAGTTTAAATTAATTAATTATAATTATAATTACCTTTATCAAATCAAAGTTACCCTTTCTACAAGCATTGATGATAGATCGTACAGTCCAACCTTCTGTACTATTTTGAAAAAGGAATTGAACAATCTCCAAATCACCTTTTAAACATGCATTACTTAACGCTTTGTTTGTAAATGTTTTGCCAGCTCTATGAAGGAATCTAACTATTTCAAGTGACTTTACATTATCCATAGCCGATGGACTACATCCTTCTGTTACTATTTAAAAATGTTAATTTTAATACATTATATATTTATATATAAAACTATATACAATACATACTCTGACAATATCCAAATGTCCATTTTTTGCTGCTTTATCAATGGCATTAGTTGTGCATCCTTCACTCTGACAATATGATAATGTCCATTTTCTGCTGCTTTATCGATAACATCGGTGAACTTTACTTGCTTCATTTGGCATAATAGTTGGACTGTTGAAAGGAGTCCATACTTGGATGCATTATCCATTGTATTTTCTTGATGGTGTCCGTTCATAATGATATTTGGATATCTTTTTAAAAGGTATTCCAATATATCTTTATGTCTTTGAAAGGCAACATGTTGAAATAAATATTGATGACAATCCCCGTATTGATTTTGTGGATCATATTCAGGTGACCATTCCAATAGATGTTATGAGTGTATCCAATGTTGCATTTGGGTGTGTACAATATTCACTAATAGCATGCATTCTTCTTTTCAACAATACACTGTCCTTGTTGGGTATATAATGTTTGATAAAGTTCCATGGCATTGCATACTTTGATAACATTTCAAGACGAGGTAATTTGGCAATATCTCTACCTTGATTTCCATTTTTTAATCCCTTTTTCAATCTCGGTCATTTCTTTTATATGATTGAATATCAAGTGTCTAATATATGGCGACCCAATTAAACTTTTAAATAGACTTGTCATTGTTGTTGTAGTATTATTATTATTAATAAAAAGATTAGGCTCATTATTATTATTACTATCTACTGCCAAAATTTTGTTGTTGGATGTTTTTGTACTAATATTATTCTTGTTTTCATTATTATTATTATTATTATTTTAATTATTATGTTGATGATCTCTCTTTCTCTTTTTTACAATATCATGTTGATTATCTTCTTCTTCTTCAACCATACTTGTTATTTCATCATGATGTTGTTGTTGTTGTTGCTGTTGTTGTTGTTGTAGTTGTTGATCTAACAGTAGTAGTTTTGATAGATTATCTAATCGAGTAAGACCAAAGTACCTAGCAACCGACGGTATACAATGATTGATACCATGTAATCTAAACTCTTCGATCGATGTTGATTCCTCTGACCCACATATTTTACATTTAATTCTAACTGTTAGGTCCATCACAAGTGATAATAAAGAAATAATATTTAAATTACTATACTATAGAAAATGACTGCACTTTATTTTTCAAGAGAGTGTGGGGTATTAATATTTTTGCCTACCAACCACCCCCCCTCCCTGAAATATAATAGCTATTTTAGATCCAATCTGATTTACCATTTATATTTATATTTATATATATATTTATATATAGTATATAAGAAGCGGTTCATAAAAATAATCTGCAGTTTTAATTAATTAGTTATTTAGTTCCATTATCACCATAATAATATTTGTTGATTAGATCAACTATTTCATAATAATCTTCCTTTTCATCTCCACCATATGGTAATTGAGCAATTCGTCCACTTTTGATTAACTCGATTGGTATTAATTTGTTGGACAATATGTAAGTGTAGATATCGGGGTTGCAATTGGAGGATAATATGGCAAACTCTGTGCAACCTTCACTACGATTTTTATGTAACCATTTAACCATTTCTAAATTATTTTCTTGTGCTGCTCCATCCATAGCATCAGGGGTACACCCTTCTGTTCGATTCAAATGTAGAAACTATATATATAAAATAGAATTAGTTGAAAACATTAACAATTGGTTGATTATAAAAATATTTTTTGTCATTCAAGCATTGGCAACTACTTAATTACTACATACTTTTACTATTTCAATATGACCATTCCGTGCTGCTTTATTCATCGCATCTGTACTACATCCTTCAGTACGATAATCATGTAAAAACTAAACGATAATAATAAATGTAAATATTAAATATTTTAAAGGGATATTCTAAAAAATATAAATTAATATTAATATTAATAATACATACTTTAACAACATCAATATGTCCATTTGCAGCTGCTTTATTCATTGCATTGGTTGTAACTTTTAATTTTTTATTTTTATGGAGAGTCTAAAGGAAGGGACAGAGAGTTTAGTTGAGGTAAATATCAATTATTATTATTATTATATTTATATTTATCTAATTACAAACCTTTATAAAATCTAATTTACCATGGCTGGCAGCTTCGTTAAAAGTAATTCTAGTCCACATACGAGTAGATTTTGGGAATTTCTTGTATAGGTATTCAACAATATCCATTCTATCGTTGTAAATTGCACTTGTCAAACCACCAATTGTACATTCTTGATCGAGGAGTTTAATAATCTCCAAACTACAATTCTTCTCTATGGCAACGTCAACTGCTTGCGTTGTACATTTTTCATTCCTATTGGAAACAATATACTAGACAGAAGTAAATTTAATAGGTTTGTTAGCTTGGGTGTTCAACAAAATGGTTTTTTTTTTTATGCTTTACCATTAATATAAACTATAACTATATCTAGCTTGTTTGACCGGTCACACAAATATATATATGTATATATATACATACTCTAACGATATCCAAATGTCCATTTTCAATAGCATCAGTTGTACATCCTTTACCATTTTCTGTAAGATATATGACTACATCCAAATAACCATTTCTTGATGCACTATCAATGGCACGACAAGTACACCCTTCAGTGCGATTTTCCAAAAGATACTTTACAATATTCAAATTACCTCCTGATGCTGCTTTATCCATCGCAGAGGTGGTGCACTTTACTTGTTTCATTGAGGATAATAGTTGGACTGTTGAAAAATGTCCTTTCATTGCTGCAACATCCAATGCCTCTTGGGTTCCATTCATAACGATATTTGGATACCTTTTGACAAGGTATTCCAAAATATCTCTATGTCCTTCATAAGCAACATTATAGAATAGATTTTGTTGACAATCTTCGTATTGATCTTGAGGGTCATAATCTGGTGACCATTTCAATAGATGTAATAATGTATCCAATTTTGCACCTTGATGTGAACAATAATCACTAATGACATACCATCTTCTCTTTGCCAATACACTATCTTCGTTGGGTAGATTATGTTTGATAAAGTCCCATGGCATTGCATATTCTGATATCATACCAAGATGAGGTAACTCGGTTACCCGATTTATCTGTTTTGCTTATCACATTTACATGTTTGAACAAAGTATGTCTAATATATGGTGACTTAATTAAACTTTTAAATAGACTTGTAGAAGTATTATTAATATTATTATTATTATTATTATTATTGGATGTTGTAGGAAGAGGATGGGGAGGAGGAGGAGGAGGAGGAGGAACAATAGGAAGATCATTTGAATTATTATTGCTCTCTACTATCATCTTGTTTGTTGTTGTTATGCTATCATTATTATGTTGAAGATGATCTCTCTTTCTCTTTTTTACTGTGCCTTCTTCTTCTTCTTCTTCAACCATTCTTGTTTCATCATCGTCATGTTGTTGTTGTTGTTGTTGTTGATCTACCAGTAGATTTGAAAGATCGTATAATTGAGTGACACCAAAGTATCTAGCAATCGATGGTATACAATGATTGATACCATGTAATCTAAATTCATCGATCGACGCAGATTCAAATAATCCACATACTTTACATTTCATTGTTAAATCCATCTATATTATCATCATCATTGTACAAGAAGAAGATGACAACTAGCGAGAGAATACCCACTTTTTGAGTTGAACAAAAATTCTTTTATAGATAGTGTTGATTGACAAGTTCGACGATTTCATAAAACTCGTGTGCATCTCTAGAACACATTTTCATGTTATCTATTTCAAAATTTTGAAGTACTATTTTGTTGGATACCAAGTATTTGCAACACTCGTAGTTAAAGAGTCCACTATTTTGTACTTGTATGGGAATTTCTGAACATCCTTCGGTGCGATGTTTGTGGAGGAATTCAACGATTGACATAAATACAAAAAAAAAAAAAGGTTGGTTGATTATTTCCCTTTTATCACATACTTTGAGCATTTCTAGATCACCTTGAGAAGCAACCCAATTCATTGCCATTAAACTACAACCCTCTGTACGATTATAATGTAAAAACTAAATAAATAAATTAAAATTAATATTATTATTATTTAATACTTTGTTCATTTTGATTTTCAAAATCATACCTTTAAAGCTTCAAATTTTCTTTTCACGGCAGCATTATCCATTGCATCAGTTTTACATCCCTCTGTACGATTATAATGTAGAAACTAAATATATTTACATTTTTCATCAAAAGAGATAAAGGTTAGGATGATTGAATTGTAAACTAATCCAATTTAAATATTTACCTTTAACACTTCAAAATCACTAACATCGTCATTCAGCAGTGAATAGTCCATTGCATTAGTGGTACATCCTTCACTGCGATTATAATGTAAAAACTAATAAATAAAAGAGAGGAAAATTAAAGGTTGGTATTTTTAGAAAATATTCTTGGGTCTCTAGGTTTACAACATACTTTAACAATATCAATATTGCCTGCAAATGCAGCATTATCCATAGCTTTAATTGTGCACCCTTCTGTACGATTAAAATGTAAAAACTAAAAGAAAGAGAGAGGATAAAAAAAAAAATAATAAATAAATAATAAAAGTTCAGTTCGGTTGTTGCACCTTCACTGCGATGTTGATTTAAATACATTACAATATCTAAATATCCTTTCTCGGCGGCTATATCCAAAGCTTTAGTTGTACCCTTTGCCTTTTTAGTCAATTGAGATAATAATTGAATAATTTCCAATTGTCCACGTTGAGATTAGAGATACAGTATCAATGATTGATTCTAATTTATATCCATGTGGATTGATAATAGTATTTGGATATCTTTTTAAAAGAAATTCCAATATATCTCTATTTCCTTGGATTGCAACATCATAAATTAATCGTTGATGACAATTTTCATATTGATCTTGAGGATCATATTCAGGTGACCATTCCAATAGATGTAATAGTGTATCCAATGTTGCATTTGGGTGTGTACAATATTTACTAATAATATACATCCTTCTTTTCAACAATACATTATCCTTGTCGGGTAGATAATGTTTGATAAAGTTCCATGGCATTGCATATTGTGATACCATTCCAAAATGAACCAACTTTAAGATATCTTCTCCTTTACTTGATTTACATTGTTTCGTCTCTTTATCAATCTTGGTCATTTCTTTTATATGATTAAAGATACAATGTTTAATGAATGGTGACCCAATTAAACTTTTAAATCTAATTGATAAAGTATTAGATGATTGTTGGTGTTCTATTGTATTATTGAATGTTGTTAGAGGATGGGGAACAAGAAGAGGAAGAGGAAGATTATCATTATTATCTAATATCATCTTGTTTGTATCATGATTGTTGTTGTTGTTGTTGTTGTTAAATTGATGATCTCTCTTTCTCTTTTTTAATGTATCTTGTTGATTATCTTCTTCTTCTTCCAATACATCATGTTCTAATAGTATGACATGTTTTGAACGAGTAACACCAAAGTATCTAGCAATCGATGGTATACAATGATTGATCCATGTAATCTAAATTCATCGATTGTCTTTGATTCATTTGACCCACACTTTACATTTGATCGCTGTTGTTGTTGTTGTTATTATTGTTGTTGAATCCATCAAATAATAACTATTGCATTCTCTCTCTCTCTCTCTTTGGATAAAAACAATAGTGTGAAGAAGACCCAAGCAAAGAAAGGACTATAGTTTTGATGAAAAAAATAATATTAATTTAAAGGATTATTTTTAAATTCTTTTTTTATTTAGAACAACAAAGTTGGATGAAGTATTATTATTAATAAATATTAAAGAGGGAATTGATATGTTAAATAATCTTAAAAAGACAAACGAAGAAGAGTCAACCCTCTTTGGTAAGCACTCTTTTTTTTTTGGAAGTATTTAAAAATTAATTTTTTTATTTTTTCTTTTTTTTTGATTGTTCAACAAAAAGGGTATAGTTCATTTCTCAGAGCACTCTTTTATTTTTAAAAGTATAATTAATAATTGTTAGGAAGTGATAGCCCATTTCGCACTATTGGTGTTCAGCACCGTATGCCTTTGTATCCTGTTGGTAGAGTAGGTATCTATTATTATAAACAAGTATATATATATTGACATTTCTTTTCTTTTCTTTCCCTTCTTTTCACATCTTCTCCTCTATATAAATTTTAGTCAATATATGTTTCTGGTTGGTTGGAGAATATAGGGATTTGCATGATAATCTTTTAAGTATCATAGAGACTCAAAATGATAATCTCATTAGTATTATTGAGATTGACATGAAAATAAGACTAGAAGAATCCTCATGTAATACTATATTTTGGTTTACTGGTGTGGACAGGGCAAGTAGAAATAGAACCAAGTTTCTCGACACAAAAAACAAAATGGATCATAGATTAATGTCCACCATTTAAAGTCATCAAGAAATTATTTGATGAGCATGATGATCCTATCAGATACACAGTGGGAAAAATCATTGATCATTTGGACCCGTCCAAGACACAAGATACTCTTGCCTTTATCAACTCAAAGCCAGAGTATAAAGAGTACTCCAATCACGTCAAAGAGACCATCAAGAGATATGGGGAAGCCGAATTCAACTTGCCAAAAAGACCGGTCATTCATTTTCCAATGCTCGTTGATGAGCATGAAGATCCAATCAGCTATACAGTGGGAAAAATCATTGATCATTTGGACCCGTCAAAAACACAAGAGACTCTTGCCATTATCAAATCGAAACCAGAGTATAGAGAGTACACCAACAAACATGTTAGATCATAAAATATAGCTCTTCAAAAGGTTGTTTGCATCAAACATCCAATTTGTCAACACGCTCCAACGGGACACAAAGGCATAGGTTGTTAGACCAATCATGCGAAATGGGCACTATTAAACCCTGTTAGTCGTATGTATCTTTTAATTTATAATTGTTTTTTTTTTTCTTACTAATAATTAATTTTTTTTTTAATTTTTTTTCCTACCCTCTTGAACTATTATAGTATAACAATCAATAAAAATAAATTAAAAATAATAATAAAAAAATAATATAGAATTTCTTTAATATATAATTCTTTAGTGTCTTTTAAACTTCATTTTCTCTCTCTCAATAAGGAATAATAATATGATGTTTTTTTTTTCTTTTGTTTATTTCTTTTTGTTTTTTTACTTTAGTGAACTATTATTAAAGTATGGTGAGTCAAATAGACCTCTCTTGTCGAGAATAAACTCTATTAATGATTTGGATTGAGTGAAATAAGGGATAGTCTCAAAGCATGGTTTGTATTTTCTAAACTTTTTGTCGAGGAACAAATATTGGACAGTATCACTGGATAACAAGGCATCAAAGAAATAGTATTCGTCTTGTTCCTTGCAAAAATTGAGTCCAATATCCAAGACTGTGATTGTTTTGTTTTCCACAAATGCATCTTCCAATTCTTCGGTTGTCAATAACTCGTTACCTCTGATTGATAGAACTGTAATGGTTGTGTTGGTGGCAATTAGATTGGCAAGCAACGGAACCATGGCATTCGTCACTGTTCCATGGGCCAATATTAATTTGGTGATATTATTATTATCACAGAGTGTACTCCACAAGTTGGAAGACATTACATTAGGCATACTGACTAGAGCCAGATAGTCAATGTTGTTGTTTGGAACCATGCCCAACTTTTCACTACCACCACCACCACTCCAGATTCCATCAAATGCCGATTGGAATATATTTAATTTTTCTTGATCTAGTGGTTCGTGACAGTCATAGTGGTGGTCATAGAGATGTAGTCTTTTGAGACACCTATTGTTGGCAATAGAGTTGCAAAAAGATATCCAATCTTGCATCGATGATTCGAAACGATAAAAGATTGGAGAGTAATCCTCGTTTGGTGGAGGGCCATACAAAGGAATCGTTCCAATATCCAGTTTTAGTGATTCCAAGTGACTGGGTAAATGCTTTAGTTCGCACAACTCTACATGGTCCGTGTTGATGCTGAGATGTTTGAGTGGTGTCGATGATGATGCGCACAATTGCTTGAATAGACTTTTGTAAACCGAGTGCATCTGTCTAAATTGGTCAGTGTACAGATTCAGTGATTGTGGTTGGAGATCTCTGATCATATCGAACAAGTTGTTCTCTTTGGTGTATTGCAACGGACTATCATCATCAGGATGATTTGATTGGAAATCATAGAAGCCGAGCGAGGCAGTGTTGGGAGTAAATCCTTTCAAGGATTTTGGCCATTGGTGGATACTGCTGTAATACTCTTGACCAATCGAAACAAACTCTGTATTGATGACAATGTGAGGATATCGTGTTTGAATTGATTTCAATGACTCCATCACTTGAACATTGACATTGCCATTGCATTGAACGTTGATTGTTTGTAGTTTTGGAGGAAGGTGAATCAATTGAGTTTCATAGTCCATTTTTTTTAAAGGAGGTTCATCCTTTAATGCTAGTGTCCATTTTATTGTGTCGATATTGTTTGAAGAGTAGAGCGAGTGAGGGCTTGAATGTATTGATTGAAGTATCACAGAGTCCAAATGACCTCTAAAATGCACCGATGTTGATCTCTGTCTGACCACATGTAACCACCACTTTGAAACCAATGCAATATCAATGATACTAGTACTTGTGATTGGTTCGACCAATCTCTTTTTCTCGCCATGAAACACTATGTACCAAAAATCACTACCTCGAAATGTATCCTTGCCACCATGGTGATGAGCGTTGTTCAGTCCTCCTAACAACCTACTGATAATACAACTCTGTATATATGGTGATAATTGATCTTTCATTATCAATTATTATTATTATTATTATTACAATCTTTTTTTGATCTAGAATGGTTTTGAAAAAGAGAAAGATATATTCTCTGCAGTTCTAAAACGAACGAAAGAACGAATCGGAGATTACGATCGTTGATTTATTGGCGGGAAAATATTTGATTTTTGGTCGACTCTATGATTTAAAGTCCTTAATATTTATTAATGAGATCAATGATTTCAAAGTAATCTTCCTTTTCATCTTCATATTGTATTGTTTTTATCCTTCCATTTTTAATTTCTCTAATCGGTATTATTTTGTTTGACAATATATAATTGTAAATATCTGGGTGGTTGGACCCCCAAAGTGCTAGATCACTGCAACCTTCAGTTCTATTTTCATGAAGAAATTCAACAATCTCTAAATGATTGTTTTGTGCTGCTCTATCCATAGCCCATCTTGAACACCCTTCTGTACGATTAAAGTGTAAAAACTATATAGTTGGAAAGTAAAAAATAATATGTGCGAAAATGATTAATTGTTTGTAATATGAAAAAACATCGAATACATACTTTAACAATATCAATATATCCACACTTGGCTGCATTATCCATAGCCAAAGTACCGCATCCTTCAGTTCTATTTTCATGAAGAAACTAGAAATTGAAATAATTTACAAACAAGAGTTTAGTTTATTTTTGTTGTGATTATAGTGTTTTCATATTTGTATATAATTAATTACATACCTTTACAATATCCAATTCACCTGATTGGGCAGCTTCATCCAATACATCATTAGTCCAAATAGAAGTAGATGATGGGTATCGTTGATGGAAATATTGCACAACATCTAATCGACCATTCTTGGTGATTGCATTTACCAAACCATGAGCTGAACATTCTTGATCGAGGTATTTAATAATCTCCAAACTACAATTCTTCTTTATAGCAACGTCAACTGCTTTGGTTGTACATTTTTCAGTACTATTTGAAATAACAAGCTGGATGGTGGAATTGCAATGTTTGTTTGGTTAATTATTTTTTAAATATAATAATAATTTTTTTTTTTTTTCATACATACCTTTATCAAATCAAAGTTACCACTTTTACAAGCATTAATGATAGCTTGTTGAGTACCACCTTCTGTACGATTTTCAAAAAGGAATTTGACAATATCTAAATTACCTTTTAAACATGCATTGTCAACTGCCGCAGTTGAGCATGCTGCCCCAGCTCTGTGAAGGAATCTAACTATTTCAAGCGACTTTGCATTATCCATAGCTTTAATAGTACCACCTTCTGAACGATGTTGGAAAAGATATTTGACAATATCTAAATGACCTTTTAAACATGCATTGTCAATGGCGGCAGTTGTACATGGTTCACCTCTTGTATCAAGGAACTTTACTATTTTAAGGTTCGCTGCATTATCCAATGCATCAGATGTGCAATTTTTATCTCCATATTCTCTAAGCCATTTCAGGATTTGGTAATGACCATTCTCTGCACCTTGTCCATAGCCAAAGTACTGCATCCCTCAGTCCTATTGTAATACAACCATTTTACAGTATCGAAATGTCCATTCTCTGCAGCTTTATCCATCGCCAATGTTGTGCATTGGTGATCATATCGATTCTGATTTAACCATTCTAAAATGTTTAAATGACCATTTTCTGCTGCCTTATCAACTGACAATGTTGTACAACATTCAGTTCTATAATTTAGCAAGTACTATAAAAATAAATAATTAATTAATATTATTCAAACTAAATATATACATTCTCTTATATCTGTACATACTTTGACAACATTTAAATGACCATTGGCTGCTGCTTGATCAATGGCTTTGGAGGTACACCCTTCACTGCGATTTTGATCAAGATACTTGACAATTTCATAGTGACCTCTCTCTGCAGCTTCATCCATCTCATTGGTGCTACTTTTTATACCTTTGATTGAACATAATAGTTGAATGGTTGATAGCTGTCCATTAAATGCTGCAGCATACAATGCATCACTATTTCCATTCATAGAGATCATTGGATATCTTTTTAGCAGCAGTTCCAGTATATCTGTGTGTCCTCTTGATACAACATTGTAAAATAAATATTGATGACATTCCTCTAATTCATTTTGAGGATCATAATCTGGTGACCATTCCAATAGATGTTTGAGTGTATCCAATGTTGCATTTGGGTGTGTACAATACCGACTAATAACATACCATCTTCTCTTTGCCAATACATTATCCTTGGTGGGTAAATAATGTTTGATAAAGTCCCATGGCATTGCATAATCTGATATCATTCCAAGATGAGGTAATTTGATGATATCTTTACCATAGATTTGATAATTAATTATAAACCGTGTTTTTCTTTTCACAATCTTGTTTATCTCTTTTGCATGTTTGAATATTATATGTCTAATATATGTTGACCCAATTAAACTTTTAAATAGACTTGTTGTTGTTGTTGTTGTTGTTGTAGAATTAGGAGAAGGAGGAGGAGGATGAGGAGGATCAACTATCATCTTGTTAATGGTGTCATGTTGATGTTGATGATTCACATGATGATCTCTCTTTCTCTTTTTTAATATATCTTGTTGTTGTTGTTGTTGTTGTTGTTGTTGTTGTTGTTGTTGTTGTTGCTTATCTTCTTCTTCTTCTTGCAATTGATTATTATTATCGACACCAAAGTATCTTTCAATCAAAGGTATACAATGATTGATACCATGTAATCTAAATGCATCGAACGACGTCGATTCAAATGATCCACAAACTTTACATTTGATTGTTGTTGTTAAATCCATACTCTTTCGATCATCAAATGTACAAAGTAATATGCAAAAGGTTGCTCATTTTTTTCTTTTGCATATTACTTTGTACATTTGATGATCGAAACTACATCTTTTTTTTTTTCAGATAACAAATTATTGTATTGATTCTAAATGCAATAATATTTATTGACGAGGTCAATAATTTCAAAACAATCTTCTTCATATTGTATTGTTATAGGACGTCCCTTTTTAATTAATTCCACAGGTATTATTTTGTTTGACAATAGGTAATGGTAGATATCGGGGTGGTTTTTGGAACCCCAAAGAGCTTGATCAGTGCAACCTTCACTACGATTTTGATGTAGAAATTTAATCAATTCCAAATTATTGTTTCGTGCTGCATTATCCATAGCATCAGTACTACATCCTTCTGTTCGATTAAAATGTAGAAACTAAATATAAATGATGAAATGGGAATGGATACATTTTAGTAAATAATTCTATTATATAATATATAGTTTAATTTTATCTATCTGTTTAAAATACCTTGACCACTTCTATATCTGATGTCCAATCAATAGCCTTGTAGCTACAACCTTTGGTACGATTAAAATGTAAAAACTATAAATATATAAATGATGAAATAGGAATCCATGGATACGTTTTAGTCAAACAATACAAAAATATAGAGATAGACAAATTAAATAGATGTACTACACGACATACTTTAACAACATCAAGATGATTATATTTGGCTGCCAAATCCATATCATTGGTATTATATTTTTCTGTTCTATTTTCATGAAGAAACTAATAATATTTAAATAAGCAAAAAATACAAAAGTTTAGTGTTGGGTCAAAATTAATTATTAATTAATTAATTATGAATGGTTTGTTTGTTTGTTTGAAACCATCTATAAATACTCCTCTACCCTACCTTTACAATATCCAATTGACCATATCTAGATGCCACTTTTAAAACTGAGTTTGTCCAAATTCGAGGAGATTTTGGGAATCTTTGATGAAGATATTGAATAATATCCAATCTACCATTTTTAATTGCACCTGACAAACCACTCAAATTACATTCTTTATCCAAGTATTTAATAATCTCCAAACTACAATTCTTTTGCATAGCAGCGTCAACTGCAAAGGTTGAACATACTTCTTTCCTAATTTCTATTAGAAACTAAGATTAGATGAAAGGATGTCAATATGTATTTGTGTTGATTATTATATTCTGTTATTTATACATATCGCATACCTTTATCAAATCAATATTACCACTTTTACAAGCATTAATGATACATTTTTCTGTACCACCTTCAGTACAATTAAAATGAATAAACTTTACAATATCCAAGTCACCTTTTAATGCATGATTATCCATTGCTTGGTTTGTACATATCTTACCATTTTCATGAAGGAATTGGAATATATTTATATTCTTTGCATAGTTTAGAGCATATGCTGTGCATCCTTTAGTTGTATTGGTGTTTAGATATTGTATAATATTTAGATGTCCATTTTCTGCTGCTCTATCCATAGCACTAGTTGTACATTCTCTATACCCATTTTGATATAACCATTGAACTACTTCAAAATACCCATACGCACATGCCCTATCCATAGCTGTACTTGTACCTCCTTCACTACGATTCTCATGCAACCACTTTAAAACGTGTAATTGGCCTCTCTCTGCTGCTCCATCAAAAGCATCAGTTGTGCATCCTTCACTGCGATGACTACTTAAATACTAAGTATATATGATAATGTTAATATAATATATAATGTAGTTATAATTATTATATCTATCTATACATACTTTGACGATATCCAAATGACCATTCCTTGAAGCCCAATTAATGGCTTCAGTTGTGCATCCTTCACTTCGATTTTGCGAAAGATATATTACAACTTCATAGTGACCATTCTCTGATGCCCAATCAATCGCTTTGGTGGCACCCTTTACTTGTTTAATCGATGATAATAGTTGAATTGTTGAAAGGTATCCATTAAATGCTGCAATATCCAATACTGTATTACGTTTCGGGCTGTACGTTTGGATTCTATCAATGTAGTTAATGATATTTGGATACCTTTTTAACAGTAATTCTAGTATATCTCTATGTCCTCTTGATGCAACATTATAAACTAAATCTTGATGACAATACTCTACTTGATCTTGTGGATCATATTCAGGTGACCATTCCAATAGATGTAATAATGTATCCAATGTTGCATTTGGGTGTGAACAATACCGACTAATGACATACCATCTTCTCTTTATCAATACTTGATCTTTGTTGGGTAGATAATGTTTTATAAAGTCCCGTGACATCCCATACTTTGATATCATTTCAAGATGAGATAACTTGATGATATCTCTTCCACAAAGTGGTGTTGTACTTGTACTTGTACCTCTATAAATCATGTTGCTTATGCCTATTTCTCGTACATGTTTGAATATCTTTTGTCTAATATATGTTGACCCAATTAAACTTTTAAATAGAGTGACTCTAGTTGTCATCATCGCTGTCGTAGTAGTAGTAGTGGCTGGTGGTTGGTGGTTGGTTCTATTGTTATTGAATAGAGGAGGATGACAATAGTATTATAACTTGAATTCAACGATCTACTATAATCATTCATTCATTCATCGTACAAAAGCAAAGGAAATAATAAAGAAAGGTGGTGTGATGGAACTGATCTTTTCTTTTTTTTCTTTTTTTTGAACTTGGTGTTAATTAAATAAATAATTATTATTTAAATGCCATTATAATATTTATTGATGAGATGATAGATTTCATAATAATCTTTCTTCTTCTTCTTTTGACAATTTTTAATTGATCTAACAGGTATTATTTTGCTTGATAATATGTAATTATAGATATCGGGGTTATTATTGGATTCCCAAAGAGCTTGATCAGTGCAACCTTCACTTCGATTTTTATGTAACCATTCAACAGTCTCTATATCACCCCTTCTTGCTGCATTATCCATACACTTGGTTGTAGCCCCTTCAGTTCGATTAAAATGTAGAAACTATAAAATAGAGAATAGAAAGAAAGGATAAAAAAAAATATGTTTGTAAATAATAATTTATAAATTAAATAATTATTATTAAATAAGTAAATATAGATGTTTACAAATATATATATATATATATACCTTTATCACTTCCAAATCAGTTGAAAAATCCATTGCATTAGTTGTGCAACCCTCTGTACGATTAAAATGTAGAAACTAATATTATTAAAATGTATGTAGAGATTTTAGTAATAAATAAATGGATCTATATATATATATATATATACATACTTTTAAAACATCGAGATGATCATACTTGGCTGCATAGTTCATTGCATTGGTTGTACTCTCTTCTGTTCTATTTTCATGTATATACTATAAATAAATAAATAAATAAAAAGTGTTAGAATTTATTTATTAATTGATTTCCAAACACAAACATATATTTATATTTATACTACCTACCTTTACAATATCCAAATGACCGGTCATTGTTGCCACATTTAATGTAACAGGAGTCCAGATACGAGGAGATTTTGGGAATCTTTGATGAAGATATTGAATGATGTCCAATCGATTATTCTGCATAGCATAATTCAAACCACTAATGGTACATCCTTTATCCAAGAATTTAATAATCTCCAAACGACAATTACTCTGTATAGCATCATCAACTGCTGCTGATGAACATACTTCTTTCCTAATCGAAATTAGAAACTAAAGATAGATGGAAATGATTTTTAATGTTAGTTTTGGTTTATTAAATAAATTATTTCAAATATGATGTATCGTAGCATACATATTTATACATATAGCATACCTTTATCAAATCAAAATTACCAGTTGTACAAGCATTAATGATAGCTGATTCACTACACCCTTCTGTACGATTATAATGAATAAACTTTACAAAATCCAAGTCACCTTTTAAACAAGCATTGTCCATTGCTTGAGTAGTACACGTTTTACCAGCTCTGTGAAGGTATTTAAATATTTCAAGTGACTTTGCATTATCCATAGCATAATCTGTGCATCCTTCAGATCTATTGTTACTTAAATATTGTATAATATTTAAATACCCATTTTTTTTTTTGCAGCATAATCAATGGCATCAGTTGTGCATCCCTCCTCACTACGATTGAGATTTAACCATTCAACAATTTCATAATGTCCATTTGAAGCAGCACTATCCATAGCTTTACTTGTACTTCCTCCTTCGCTACGATTCAAATGTAAATATTCTAAAATATTGAAATGTCCATTCTCAGCTGCTCTATCCATAGCAACTGATGTACATCCTTCTGTGCGATGACTACTTAAATACTATCATTAAATAATGTTAATAATAATAATATCAAACAAATATTAATATTAATATTTATATAAATGTACACATACTTTGACAATATCAAAATGACCATTCCTTGATGCCCAATTAATGGCATTATGACTACACCCTTCACTACGAGTTTGATCGAGATACATTACAACATTTAAATGACCATTCGATGCTGCTTCATCCATACAATCAGTTGTACATTCTATACCCTCAACTGAAGAAGATAATAGTTGAATTGTTGAAAGATGTCCGTTGGCCGATGCAATATGCATTGCTCTAGGGTCACCATTCATAGAGATATTTGGATACCTTTGTAACAGCAGTTCTAGTATATCTCTATGTCCTCTTGATGCAACATTATAGAATAAATCTTGATGACATTCCTCTAATTCATTTTGAGGATTATAATCAGGTGACCATTCCAATAGATGAATGAGTGTATCCAATGTTGCATTTTCATGTTGACAATACTGACTAATAACATACCATCTTCTCTTTACCAATACATTATCCTTTTCAGGTAAATAATGTTTGATAAAGTTCCATGACATTGCATATCTAGATATCATTTCAAGATGAGGTGAATTGATGATATCTCTTCCACACTTTGATCCACGTCCACTCATCATACTGTAGATATCTTTAACATGATTGAATATCAAGTCTAATATATGTTGAATGAATTAAACTTTTAAATAGATTTGTTGTCATTGTTGTTGTTGATGTTGTTGCAATGTAGTTGTAGCAGTTGTATTGATTCGATCATAATACTCTTATAATAATAGTACATCGTGTACTAAAATAAAATGTTCTAGTTTTCTACATAATATTTTCTTAGTTTTGAGTCTGTTTTCCCAATTCATTTAATTAATTAAATAATTTATTAGATGCAAGATGTAATATACACTTTAATTATACATATACTAGATAATTATTTAAACTATTATTTTTAGGCTTTTATATTACATATAAATTTAGAGGAGAAGGGATAGGAGAAGACCCATAAAGACGGTGAATGAACCTACAACGAGAGCTGAGCCAGTGGATGGACAATCGGTTGTAAGATTGGTTTGGGTGTTGCATTCATCGCAAGTGCTCGTTATGGTGGATAGGGTGGTGGCACAATACATATCACTATACATGCTAATATTGTAGGTCTTTCCGCTGAGGGCAGAGACTATGATCCATTGGGTGGGATCTGCCATGGTACCACATAGATTATCAGGGGTGCATTCATCAACAGTGTATTTTTGGGTACATTCACTTGGTCTGCTACCACCACAACCAGTAAGCTTGATATAGGTGACCGTGTCAGCAGAGAGAGCAGAGGCAACGACAAGACAGAGAACAATTAAAACGGTGGCAATGAATTTCATTCTCTTGTTTGTTTATAATATATTTATGTTTAAGAGACTAATGAATGCATTAATGATTGATTGAAGGATCAGAGTATTACCAAAGCTATAGGATGGTGAGTAAAAAAAAATTAAAAAGATCAGGACATAATTATTATTATTATATATTATTATTATGATATATTATTATTATTATATATTATTATTATCTCTATGTATTTAATTAATTTTAATTCCATAATATTTGTTGATAAGATCAACAATTTCATAATTATCCTCTTGGTTTTTTTCATATGGTAATGTTTTGATACGACCATTTTGAATTGATTCCATTGATACTATTTTGTTTGATAATATGTAAGTGTAGATATCTGGGTGGTCTTTGGATTTCCATAGAGCTTCTTCAGTGCAACCTTCAGTTCTATTTTCATGAAGAAATTCAACAGTCTCTAAATCACCCCTTCTTGCTGCATTATCCATAGCATCGGTTGTGCACCCCTCGGTACGATTGAAATGTAGAAACTATATATAGATAGAAAAAGGAAAAAAGAGTGAGAGAGAGAGAGGATAAAAAAAAAAATTAAAAAGTAATGTATTAATATATTTACATACCTTGGTCACTTCTATATTTTCCGCCAAATCCATTGCATTGGTAGAACTTCTTTCAGTCCTATTTTCATGAAGAAACTATATAGATAAATAAAGATAAGTTTAGTTTTAAAATAACAAATAAAGAGTCACTCAAACATATTACATACCTTTATAATATCCAATTTACCTGATTTGGCAGCTTCATCCAATACATCTCTTGTCCACATATGAGTAGAATTTGGGTACCGTCGATGGAGATATTGAAAAATATCCAAACGATCTTTATAGATTGCATATTTCAAACCATTGATTGTACATTCTTGATCGAGATATTGTATGACATCCAAACTACATTCATTCTCTATAGCAGCGTCAACTGCTTCGGGTGGACATACTTCATTCCTTAATTTTAGTAAAAACTATGTTGGAAATGATTAACAATTGTTAGATGTGGTCATAATATATATTATTGTTTTTTCATAATTATCATACATATGGCATACCTTTATCAATTCCAAATTACCACTTGTACAAGCATTAATGATTGCTGCTTCACTATACCCTTCAGTTCGATTATAGTAAAGATACTTTACAAAATCCAAGTCACCTTTTAAACATGCATTATCCATTGCCAATGATGTACATGTTTTACCAGCTCTGTGAAGGTATTCAAATATTTCAAGTGACTTTGCATGATCCATAGCACGAGTGGTGCATCCTACAGATCTATTGTTATGTAACCATTGAACAATTTGGAAATGGCCATTCTCTGATGCCATGTCCATCGCATATTCTGTACATCCTACCTTTGTTTTATAGTTGTTGTCTAACCATTTTAAAACATTTAAATGACCATTCGTTGCTGCCAAATCAATCGCCATGGTTGTACATCCTGCTCTTTGATGAACCTTTAAATACTTTAATAATGTTAATAATAAAAAAATACAAAGAAACAGCTTAAATTGATACTTACTTGGACAATATCCAAATGTCCATTCTTTGCTGCCAAATTAATCGCCATGGTTGTACATCCTTCGGTGCGATTTTGATCGAGATACTTTACAATATCTAAATGGCCTTTCTCTGCGGCTCCATCCATAGCATCAGGGGTGCAGTACATTCCCTTGATTGAACATAATAGATGGACTGTTGATAAATGTCCTTTCTCTGATGCAACATTCAATGCACTATATTTTCCATTCATATAGATATTTGGATATCTTTTTAACAGCAATTCCAGTATATCTCTATGTCCTTTAGATGCAACATTGTAAAATAGATTTTGATGACAACGTTCAAATTGATCTTGAGGATCATAATCGGGTGACCATTCCAATAGTTTTAATAGTGTATCCAATGTTGCATTTTGATGTGAACAATACCGACTAATGACATACCATCTTCTCTTTGGCAATACTTTATCTTTGTTGGGTAGATAATGTTTGATAAAGTTCCATGGCATTGCAAACTTTGATATCATACCAAGATGAGGTAATTTGATGATATCTTTACCAACATGATCTCTTCCACAATATGACTCATGTCTATTAATAATCTTATAGCCTATCTCTTTTATTTGATAGAATATTGTTTGTCTAATGTATGGTGATTTAATTAAACTTTTAAATAGAGTTGTAGTATTTGGAAGGTTGTCATTTGAACTACTATCTGCGATCAATGTTGAATTATTCTCTCTCGTTATTTCATCATATTGTTGTTGTTGATGTAGTTGTAGTTGCTCTAATAGTTGTTCTTGAGTGAAACCAAAGTATCTAGCAACCGACGGTATACAATGATTGATACCATGTAATCTAAATGCATCAATAGACGTTGATTCAAATGTTCCACAAACTTTACATTTGATTGTTGTTAAATCCATCTTTATGCATCAGGTAATATGTATATAAATAGTAATCAACAAAGTTCAAACTTAACAAGTAAATACACATCACATTGAGGATGTGTGTTAACAATTTCAAAAATTTAAATATTAATATTATTTTAAATTTATTTTTAAAGATCACTATTACTACTAGTATGATGAGTAAAGAAATTAGCCATTACTTGCCACATCATATTTGTTTGCGTTGGTTGATTTTGAAGATCGAGGAAATCAACATTCCAAACAGCCAAACCACGCAGATTAAGCTTTGAAGCAATAGCAACCTTGATAGACAGCGACTCTGGGTTATCATACCAAACTTGGTAGAGGTTGCTGTCTGACGGATCGATAAAGTTGAAAAAGGGTGATCCTAATTGATCATCCCACAACTCACCGGTGGTTTGTAATGAGCTGTTGGACAAGAGATCCATGAGATACGAGTATTCATACTCACTACCAGCTGCATCGCTACATGTTGCACCTCTAAATGGTACACGTGTAATATTACACACCAACGATTCGAGTGATGGGTTCTCATTGATACAAGGGTAAATGTATCCGTACCACGGTAACCCCAACACCAACTTGTCACTTGGGATTCCCAAAGCAGTGTAATTCAACAGTCCCTCCAACACCAACATATAAGGTGAGTTTGCACTAGCTGTACACTCCTCTGTATTAAACACCTGACTGCGCATATCATAAGACATGACTGCCAAATAATCACTTGCCTGTGCCAACCCATAGTAATCATAACATCTACCATCAATACAATTTGGTGACCATGCTACATCAACTGAAATCTAAAAAAGTACAAAGTAAAAGTACAAAGTAAAAGTAAGTAAAAGATAGATAGATTAATATTCTACTACTTTGTTTAGCATACTTGATAAAAAGGGAAAGAATTCTTGAATACAAAGTTTGTTTGAGCAACTAGACCTGTTAATAGAGCACTTGTAGTTGATTGATTGGACCATATGGGACTTTCAATGTCAAAGTTTAGACCGTCGAAATAGGTAGATTGAACCAATTGCAGTTGATCTTGAATCCATTGATCTTGATGCGTTTGATTACCTAGTTGACTGATTGGATATTCAGCACCATAAACTAATCTAACACCTTTAGAATGAGCCAAGCACAATAGTTCTGGGGGTACAGGTGTATAAAAGATAGCTATAGTCGTTACTACATCCCAATCATACGATTCAAATGAATCGTTGTATAGTGAATACCCTAAAAACTCTTGTCTAGGTAATACAATGTTTAATGGTGCACAAAGTGATTCATCAGAACATGGGCATGATGACGTTGTTGTTGTTGATGTAGAGTTATTTATACATATTGAAATTACGAGTAGTAGTAAGAGAAAATGATAATGATTCATTTTTGACTACGGGAGGCTATACTACTGACTTTGTTTTGCATGGCTCCTTTTCTTTTTGACAATTTATTTATTTTTTATTACATAATAATTATGATCTTTTTTCATCGTTTCGGATGTCATTATTTTGTTTTACACGAATTTGTAGATGCAACATTTTTGAATACAATATTTGTTCATCAAAAACAAGGTTTATTCAAAAGGTTGATGTTTATTTAAAGAATTAAAATAATTTAAAAAAATAATAAATTAAAAAAAATTGATTGTTGTACATTGGTTGAGAGGTTAAAGTAGATTACCTAGGCCTAGGGGTCCCCATCCACCCAAATTTGAGTAGAGTCAACACCATTAAACCCAAGACCCTTGAGGTATTCCAGAACTGGTGGAATACACTTTACACCCTTTGGGGAGTAATGACCAGAATTATCAGCCAAGCCGAACATAATGCTCTCGAGGTTTGAATTCTCTTTCATTTTGAATTTCCCGGCACAAATGACTGGTTCACCTTTTCCGAGCTGGGAGTGGGCAATGTATGTCTTGTTTCCACCTTTTTCATCATTTTGTAGAACATAGATGATGGCTTGTTTGGGTGTGTATACCCAATAGTATGAGAAACCTATTGGAGTACTATTGAGGATCTCACTTATGTTTTCCTTAAGTCTTACTCCAACCAGATTTCCATTCTCGACTCCTTTTATTAAACCCACACCATCTATAGCTTCGGGGTTAAAAGATCTTTTATGAACCCTGTCACAAAACCATTGGAAAATACCAACAGAGTATGTTTTAGTGTTCAAATCTAAAGGTATTACAACACCTTGTGATTTGGGGTCGATGAAGTTGAGTTTCCATTGTTGGTCAGGATTAAAAAAGTCCACACGATTAGCTTGAACAGCACCAAACTTTGTTGATGATGAAGGGGGTGCCTCTAAAGCATTATCAAATGTGTCAATGAAAAAATAAGTGTCTTCTCGCCCTGTCCAAGTGTTACGCTTCACAGTCCACACATTTCCAGCACCCTCAACTCTATTGACCATTCTAACCGAATTTGAACCAGATTTTGTTGAAAGAATTTGATTGGAATCTCTTCCATAAATAAAAAAGTTTGTTTCACCTTTCAGATGAGCTGGCTCCAGTCTAAATAATTCTGTTGGGTAACTATAAAAAAATCAATTAATATTAATATTCAATTTAAAAAAAATTATAAAAGAAAATACTCTTACCTCATTTGGACATAGGTTTGAAGTGTTCCATCTTTTGATGCTAGAAGGTAGACGTTTTGATACATGACATTGGAGATTTGGAACCAGTTTTTATGTTCATCCATATACTGAATGAATTCCCATTGTTGATATAAATTATTATCATCTGTGTTCAAATGTCTAACCGAAGCATTGTAGCCGTTGCAATCTAGAACCATTTTGGTGGAGATTCCAGTATTTCGAGCTACTTGTACCATCCAATATCTTCCAGTGTTTTCGGGAACAGGCTCGAGGGTCCATTGTTGATAAAGATTGTCTGGTCTATATTCTTTTCTAGCTCTTGAACCTCCCGTATCAGCATCTAACCACCCTCCGTTGGCCCTTCGGTTCAAAATATTATAGGTATTCTCTTTGTTAGGGACTGGGAGAAATCTCCAATGTCGATTGTATTTTCCATCGGCTCTGCTTTTTCGGTCACAAAGTTGATCTTTCAATGCTCCACAATTCAAAACCATCCCAGTTGCGACCTGATAGATGTAATAGTAGGTATTATCGAATACATGAGAGTTATGATCATCCATTATTATTTTTTTATCAATATTATATACAATTCTATTTCGTTTTTGATGAACTCAGGAAATACATACAAATCTCTCTATATTTATACTATTTTCAATCAAACGTAAATGAATAAAAATAGCACTTGACAAAAATAGAAAACAACTTCAAGTGTGAACAACTATTGAGATCTATAGGGCGACCTCTCCCTCCTCCATTATAGATTTTATTTATATGATAATCAAGGTTTAGAGATCTCGTGAGCCTGCATCACCCTCCAAAGAAAAAAAGATTAGAAACCGTTTCTAATTTTGTCAAAGAATTACTACTATTTAACCCTAAATGGTGGTATGTTTAATAGTTTGAAACTTTGCAGCCTGCCATTATTAATTTTATTATTTTCATCAACTCTTTTTGTACCCTAATTATTTTGCAACCTTCAACTTTGAAAACAACTTTGTTTTAGCTCACAGTCATGAAAAGATTAAATTTAATAGTATTTGTTGTATTTGTATTTCTTTGGATAGGGTACTATATAGAGCTTAAAGAGTCAATCGAGTTGTTTTATGACCTAGTACCTCCAAGTAAACTACTCTACTTTATCAAACACCCAAACACGATCACAACAGAGGTTAGCCCGAATGCACTTGCATCAGATATATACAACCTTTTATCTATCTGGCTAATTCAAGTACTAACAATAATATCGTCAATTTATTGTCTCATTTCCTACAGATTCCTCTTTGTTCGTTCGGGCCATGGTCAGTCAGCCGAGTGGTGGGAACATGCTCCATTACTTTCAAGCAGCAATATTGACGTCAATATCACCTACATTCGAAGAAGAGTTAGATTTGCCTACTCTTTACTCCCTCTATGCCAGGTATTAACGTTCATTTGGTCACTTAGGATGGCCGATTCGTTGTGTACCTATTTGTCAATAGGATGCTCTACAATGTTGAAAAACTATTGCTACCAATTGTTAAATAGTTTGGGCTCTAGCTACTATCCAATCAGTTTGTTTATCTTGAATGAAGTGACCCTATATATCAATAGAAATAGTAGTAGTAGTACACCCAACAATAACAACAACAACAACCAACTTGAATTCAAATATCCATGCCAAAGATTATTCAATCTATTATTTTTGGTTGGATTTGTTTATCTTTGGATTGCATACTATCAAGAACATATAGAGAAAATATATATGTTTTTTACAGGACAGCTACCTCCAAGTAAACTACTCTACTTTATCCAGCACCCCGAAACGATCGCAAAAGAGTTTGGTCGAGATACACCTGTATCCCTTATTTACTACATCACTGCAAACTGGCTGATTCAAGTACTAGCAACCATATCATCAATCTATTGTCTCGCTTCCTATAGATTTGCAAGACTTTGTTACAAGTCAGACGAGTGGTGGGAATGTGCTCCAATACTTTCAAACAACATCAACATCACCTACAATAGAAAAAGAGTTAGACTTGCCTACTCTTTATTCCTCCTATGCCAGGTACTAGCATTCTTTTGTTCCCGTGAGACAATCACGAGCTGCCAACGTCGTCAACCACCATCTCCAGACCTCCTCACCTATTATTGTGGACATATGCTCAGTGGACTAGGAAGCATCTATCCAATCTTTTTGATTATCCTAAATGAACTGTCTTTATATATAAACTATAGTTCAACAACGTCCAACAATAATAAATCTAAAATAAAATGATGATATTATTCTAGCTAATTTATTATAGACCATAATATTTATTGATTAGATCAATCAATTCAAAATAATCATCACTTCTTTGATCTTATACAGTATTTTTGACATGCGACCCAGTTTGATCGATTCCAGTGATACTATTTTGTTTGATAATATGTAATTGTAAATATCTGGATGGTTACTGGATTCCCATAGAGCTTTATCAGTGCAACCCTCACTACGATTCAAATGTAGAAACTATAAAATGTAAAATAATAATATTTGGTCAAAATTAAATGTAATAATTTAAATCATTTATCTCTATCTCTATCTCTCTCTCTCTTTTTCTATTTAATATACCTTTATCACTTCCAAGTTTTTGGCACAATCAATAGCATCAGTAGTACACCCTTCTGTGCGATTAAAATGTAGAAACTATAAAATAGTGAGAGAGAGAGAGAGAGGAATAAGTTATAAATATGAATATAAACATCTGGGAAGGAATATGAAAAAACATTGAATACATACCTTAACAATATCAATATACCCATACTTGGCCGCTTCATCCATAGCCAAAGTACTACATCCTTCTGATCTATTTTCATGAAGAAACTAATAAAATAGATTTAGTTGAAATAAATATTAACATGTTCTCTAAAATTACTTACTTTTACAATATCCAATTTATTGTAACTAGCAGCTTCATCCAATAGATCACTAGTCCATAAAAGAGTAGATGATGGGTATCGTTGATGGAAATATTGAACGATATCTAATCGATTATTTTTAATTGCACATTTCAAACCACCAATTGTACATTCTTTATCGAGGAGCTTTATCCAAACTACGATTATTCAACATGGCACTGTTAACTGCTTGTGCTACGGATGAACTTCTTATATTGGTGGCATTGTCTAGTAGAAACTATGTCATGATGTGAACAATATTGACTATAATAACATACCATCTTCTCTTTGCCAATACACTATCTTTGTTGGGTAGATAATGTTTGATAAAGTTCCATGGCATTGCAAACTTTGATATCATACCAAGATGAGGTGAATTGATGATATCTTTACCAACATGTGATGTACTTCCGTTATCTTCTTCATCATACTCGTTTAATTCGTTTACATGACTAAATATATTTTGTCTAATGTATATTGAATGAATTAAACTTTTAAATAGAGTTGTCATTGTACAGAGGAAGAGGAACAATAGAAAGAAGAAGATTATCATTTGAAGAATTATTCTCTACTATCATCTTGTTATCACCATATTCATTATTATTATTATTATTATTATTATTATTATTATTATTATTATTATTGAAATAATGATGATTCACATAAAGATGATCTCTCTTTCTCTTTTTTAATATATCTTGTTGATTATCCTCTTCTTCATCTTCTTCTTTAACATCATCATGTTGTCGTTGTACTAGTTGTTTAAATAGTTGTTCTTGAGTGAAACCAAAGTATCGAGCAACCGATGGTATACAATGATTGATACCATGTAATCTAAATGCATCGGTTGACCTTGATTCAAATGTTCTGCATACTTTACACTTTATTGTTAAATCCATCATAAGTATAATATTCACCAGTACAAGTCGGACCTAAACTATTACGCCCCAAACTAACTATTTATGGTTGATAAATTTTTGGGTTTAAACCATTGAGAGCCATCGTGTCTAGAAATGATTCTTCATAAGCGTTACGTCATCATGGATATTTTAATACTTTGAAGAGATCTGATTGACTTAATAAAGTGACTCTGAATCTTGACATCCCGCGGAAATGCTGCGAAAAAGATCGGTATCATGTTTAAATATCCAAAAAATCAGAGGATTTGTCACAAAAACGTCATAAAATTCCTTGGAGATCAACGAAATGATTGGGATTTTTCTCTCTACACAGATCACTTTTTTTTTAAAAAATTATTATATATATGATTATTTCTTATTATTTAAAACCTTGGATCATCTTTTAATTTCAAATCATTTGAAAAGATAGAACCCCCCATATAAATAAAAAAAATAAATAAATGAAACTAATAATCTTAGCAAATCTACTAGTAGTATTGGTGTTCCTTGTTGGTACCATTGTAAGTATAAAAATTCCTAAAAAACAGAACAATCATATAAGAATCTTACCCAATAACCATTTTTATTTCCCCAAATATTAAATTTCAATTTTAGAATGGTCAATCATCATCATTACCAGTAATGATATTCGATCAACAACCAGACCTTAGCATTCAATATTTAGAAATTGATTTATATTCCGGTATTGTTTTCAAAAAAGTATCAGTTCCCAACCCTGATGGTTCTAAACTCTTAAAGTGGGTTCGTGCAGTTTATCCATATGTTGCATTCTTTACTAGTAATAATAATGGAACCCTTTTCCAAATCCATTCATTAAATATTAATGTATGTCAATATAAAAAAATGAAAATATTAAATAACTATTTTTTTTAATTCTAATTCAAAATTTATTTGTATTTATATTGTTAATTTAGACCAATGTATTAGAAAACACCTATAATTCAACTACCAGCTTTTTGTATCCACCAATTCTGTCTGATCAACCATTTGGATATTTTTGGGGGCAAACAATGACTGCCTATTTCCCAGGTTTGGCTGGAAATGGATTTGAAACTACCTCTTTACTTCCATACAGTTTCAATACTCAATATCCATCAAAGTATGAAATCAAAAGATAAAAGAATAATGAGCATTCAAAAACTAACTTTCTTTCTTTTTTTTTTTTTGATGTATTTTTTAGTTCGCCAATTATGTTGGGACCAGCACAATTAAATGATACCGCTCAATTTAATTCTATTCCAATCTCTGCTTTTGATGGAGTTGATTACTTTTATGTCCTCTTTTCAATTGGTGATCTTACTGGTATTAGTACCTACTCTCTTCAAGGTAGTACATCTAAACAAGTTATCTTAAACATTCCAGGTCGTTCCATCCAAGGTACCGAACAATTGTTTATGTTGTATGGTCAACTATACTATTGTGTCTTGGAGAATGGAGTAGGTATAACTGTATCCATTATGAACCTAGTCAATGGAGAAGTTGAAATCATCTACAAGGATCTCAACCCAGGTTACCAGAGTACATTCCAACCATTTGTACTCAACAAAATTACTGGTACCATCACTATCCTAGTTCAAACACCTGATGATAAAATCTTGGTCACCGTTCTCTCCTATAACCAATCAACAAAACAATACACCATTGATAATGTTATTCCAACAAATTCAAGTTTTATTATTCCATCCATTTAAACAAAAATAATAAATAAACCAACTTTTCACAAATATAGTGTTATAAAGTTCACCAAATTTATATATCTCCAAGTCATGTTTTATAACTTTTGTCCAAATTGTTTGTTTGATGTGAATAAAAAAAAATATTATTTATTTATTTATTATTTATTTTGTTAATTATTTCAAATGGATGTATATTATTATTATTATTATTATTAGAGGAGAGGATAAAACTTTAAACTTCTATTCTTTTCTCTTTTTTTAAAATTGAGATGGTAAAGGAGTATCAGTAATTTCACTAATAGTTTGACCATTAAGAGTGAAATCCAATTTTAATCTGAGAAGAACTGGTTTTTGACCGTGGACAGTATTCAAGATCTTTACGCTTTGAGTAACCTCACCACTGTCATTGGGTGGAACGGTAGTACCACTTGGTGGCAAGAGTTGAATCTTGAGATAGGGTGGAACGGCAGCCTTGACCGAGAGGTTAGTGACGGGTGAAGAGTTAGAGTTGGACACTTGCATGACGATGAGGGTCATTTGTGGTTGCTCGGCTTGTGGCTTACTACACTCATAATTAATGTTTAGACCATGTTTGTTATAGGCTGGACAAGAGAATGGTTGAGTTTGTGGTTGTAATGCTTGTTGTTGTGGTGATACAGTTAAATCACCCATTAAACCAAGTAATGATGATGCCGACTGTTGTGGTTGTTGCTGTCTATTATTTCCATTTGAACTACCAAATGGTGGTGATTGAGCAGTTGGAGCAGGACCAAAAATATCCTCCAACAATGACATGTTTGATGTGCCAGATTGTTGTTGTTGTTGTTGTTGTTGTGGAGCTGGTGAGTTGAGATCTTCCAAAAGTGAACCAAACTTGCTATTATTATTAGCACTGTTGTTATTATGTTGATTTGGAGTACCAACATTTCCATTACCTTGAGATGGTGATGGAGTGTTTGTACCATAAGTTGGTTTTGGTGGCATAGGAGATTCCTCTGTCTTTTCGACAGCTGGCATTCTATCCAAAACCGATGTCTTTAAATCCATAGCAAACAAACTTGAATATTCACAAGCACGTTGTTGAAGTTCCAAATTTATATGAATCTTGAATTGGTCAATCATTGATTTAATTCGTCTAAAAATAAATATAAAAAAGATTATTAATATTATTTTTCTTTTGTTTCTATTTTTTTCTATTTTGTTTTGTGTTACCCTAAAATAGATTGAGAGAATCTTGATGAAAGTTTAATTAAAGCAGTTAAAGCGTATTGACGAGTAGTTTGATTGGTTGAAGAGTTTTTAAGAATAGCTTCAATGAGATCAACGACTTGACCTTCATTGACATTCAAAGCCAAACCTTCCTCTTCCTTTGGCAACTGTGATTTATCAGCAACCAAAAGATCACCATACTCTCCGACGCACCAGAGAGCAACCTGAGTCAATGGTTGTTGAGTGAGATCACTTTGAACGGAAAGATATAATTTTTGAACGGCATATGATGAAAGTTCTGGAGTCGAACAAATCAATTGAACCAAATTTGATGGTACTTCATCTGGAATAAAGTTACCAGCAATTGACATTACTCTTAATATAGTATCAACTTGCCATCTTTTATTTGGTGCATATCTAAAAAATCAAAATAAAAAATAAATATTAGAAAATAATTATATTTGTTTTGTTTCTTTTTGTTTTCTTTACTTGCCTTTCAGTAACAATACAAAGTTTAGCAACCAATTCTGGTTTAAATTGAGAATCTGAAATCAATAAAAAGTTTAATAATTCTCTAACAAGTACTCTAATATTTGATTCATTAACCAATGAATAAATTAAATCTAATGCTCTACATCTAATGGATACGTCGGGATCCTTAAAAATAAAATGAAGTTAAGGATATATTTCTTTTTTTTTTTTCTTTTCTTTTAATTTTTTATATTTACCTTGAGACAATCAACGATAGTATTTCTATGTCTTTGAACAGCTTGAATATCTGTATTGACAACCTTTGACAAGGTATTTAATGCTACATATCTAATATTGTTATCACGATTCAAAAGGAATCTACCCAAGATGTTGATGGCCATAACCTTGAGACCACGTTCCGATTCGATCGACATGATCGTTTGTACACATTCATAGAGGATAGCATTACCAACATTCTTTGAACCTTCAGTGTTTGTGGCAACTTGAGCCAACATATCATTCATAATATCACTTGTCTCTGGATCGTGTTCTCCAAGTATACGTAATAATCTGAGTATCTTGACTTGTAGGAATGGATCAGTAATACCAGATACATCATGTTCTGGTAAATATCCAGAATGTACCAATGTCTTTAAAATTCTAACCAATTGTGGTACAATCTAAAAAAAAAAATAGAAAATAGAAAATAGAAAAGAAAATAATATTAGTTAAATATGTATTATTAATTATTAATCAATTATTATTTGGGTTTTCTTTTACCTTTTTAAATTGTTCAATTTGAGTTGGATCAATTTCACAAATTTCAATGATTAAAGTCAAAGCAGTTAGAATGACACCATGGTTACGTTCAGACAATAGTGCTTTGATCTTTGGCATATAGTTTTCAATCAAGTCTGGCACCTTTTTAAGAATTCTAATGGCACACAATGCAGCTTTTTTTCTAATGTATGGGTTGGTGTTGGTGAGTAACTTTTCAACATCGGGTGCAATATCTCTTGCCATTGCTTGTGAACAAACATTACCCAATGCACAAAGTGAAATACCAACAACAAATTGATTTGGACTTAATAAATCACTAAAATAAATCAAACAAATTAATAAATAAACATTAATATTTATATATTACTCTTTGTATTTTCTATTTCTTTTTATCTTGTTCTATTTACTTACTTTCTCATACAATTAGTACCAAGTAAAAGTACTTCTTGCTTTTCATCCAATAATAACATTAAACCAAGATAACCAATACGCTTATCAGAATAGGATGGTGAAACAATCAATTTAAGACATTCCATCTGACCAAATTGAGTTGGGTATCCCAACATATGAATGTAAAGTAATTTAGCTACATTTCTTTGTCTTGCTTCAACATCTTCTTCCTAATAAATTAAATAATTAAGATATTGATATTGATTGTGTGATAGGTGTGAGTATACATGATCATCACAAAGATATATATATCTTTTAAATAATATTTGTATATATTATATACCTTGATAGCAGTACGAATAGCAGCACACTCCTTTGCAATTTGTGCACGCTCTTCTGCAGCAGTCTTACAACTACGAACAGTCTTAATAAGATCTCTTAATTTCATAGACATCTTTTACCTCTCTTCTTTTTCTAATCTAATCTTTACTTTTCTTTTATCCTTTCTCTATTTTGAATATATATAGATAGATAATTTATAGAATTGAATGAAACGTTTGTTCGTTATTATGATTGGGTAGAAAGATTGATAGATAGAACCTTCAGTGTGATTCATTAAACTAAGAGGAACCAGAGGTGAAGGGGTTATTAAAAAAAAATTAAAAAAATCGATTTTTGAACCTTCCACTGATTTCATTAAAGTTTTTGTTGATGTAAGTTCATTCATATACTGCGTGCTCTCTATCTCTAATAAGTAGATAGATACTCTTATACTTACGTACTTACTTATGGCACATCATATACCACCACTCAACTTTGGTATGGTTGCAGATGATCTTTATCGGTCTGGTCAACCCAATGAATTGAATTTCCCTTTCCTCGAGAAACTACAACTTAAAAAGATCATATTTTTGGCTCCCGAAGACCCCTCTCAACAATTGTAATGAAACAAACACAAATGAACAAATGAATGATCATCATCATCATCATCGCCATCATCATCATCTAACTTTATATAATTTGTTTATAGTGTAAATTTTTGTGATGATCAAGATATAGAATTAATTCATTTGGGTATAGATACAATGACTAATCCATGGAATCCAATATCAGAAGATGTAGTTATATCGGCATTAAAAATCATATTAAATCCAGATAATTATCCATTGGCAATCATGTGTAATCTTGGTCGTCATCGTACTGGAACGGTGGTTGGATGTTTAAGAAAATTACAACGTTGGAATCTTACTTCAATATTGGAAGAATATCGTCGTTTTGCAGGTAGCAAAGTAAGACTTTTAAATGAACAATTTATAGAATTATTTGATACTGATTTGGTTGGTATTCCAGATGATGCTCCTAAATGGTTATAAATATAATATAAATATATAAATAAACAAAACAAACAAAAATAATTGTACATTGTAATTTAAATTTCTTTTTTATTTATTTATTTATTTATTTATTTATTATTATTCAGCTGTTGTTGTTTCGTTAGTTATTGTTGTTTGATTTTACATTGTATGGTGTGTTTTAGAATTAATTAATTATTATTATTTTAATAATTATTATTATTATTATTATTTCGGTGGTAGGTGAGGATCCTTTTATCATGATTTGTTTCGGAGGGGAGTGATTAGTTTTAAAAAAATATCAATAATATATATATATATTATTGAATTTGGTTGGGTTTGATTTGATATTCATTTTATATTTATATTGAATTGTGAATTTTTTGTTTTTAATGAATACGAACATCATTATCTTCATCATAATCTTCTCTTGGTGAAGTGTATGGTGAATCTTCATTCTTGTCATCGTATTGATGATAAGAATCCATTCCTCCACTATTGGTGGTACCCATTGGGATACCGATGCCACCTCCACCTCCAATATTCATGGCACTGTTACCAGATGCACCGTGACTGCTACCTCCATTACCTCTGTTGGGAGAGTAGGGTGATGACCCGACACCAAGTGTCTGTGCACTACCGCTATAATTCATATTTTGTGAAGATGATGATGATGATGAAGAGTGATGGTGATGTGACGATGACGACGACCCTCCATAATGGTGATGTGACCCACTACCACTTCCACTACCACCTTGATGATGATGCGATCCTCCGCTACCACTACCACTTCCACTACCTTGATGATGATGTTGACTTGGAGACGAATTACTACCACTTCCACCACCTTGTTGTTGATTTGGTAATTGAGTACGTTGGTGTCTGGTACGACGGCCGTCTTTGTGCAAGTCTTCTAGTTTTCCAATTCTTATCAGGTACTGACCGTGACTTTGTACTTGTTCACGTGTCTTGCCTGGCAAATGGCTGTGAATGGTCTTCCAACTCTTTCCAAACTTGTTGTATGCTCTGGCAAACGTCTCGTCGTCTTCGGCAGACCACAGAGTGTTTTTGCGCGACCCAGACGTTCTACGACGTTTGACTCCATCCTTTTCCTCTGTATTTTTTCTCTTTAGATCAGAGTCTTGTGAATTGTTACCACTTGCTTGTGGTTGCGATTGTTGTGGTTGTAGAGGTAGAGGTAGCGTCAATTGAATTTGTTGTCTTGCAGTAGCTGCAGGTAGAGGTGGGAGACTAGATGTCAAATGATCATTATTTCCATTGGTAGTCTTTAATATATGTACATCTCGCTCATCATGACTACCACCACTTGTAGCAGTTGATTTTCTACGACGACTACCTTCACGATCAGACATGTCAGAGTCTGAATACCCTCCTCTTGATCGAGAAGATGATCTTGAACGACTAGATGAAACTGATCTATCTCTTTCACGTGATGGTGATCTTGAATATGATCTTGAATGATCACTTTCACTATCCTCTGATCCTGATTCTTTATCTTCAACCAATTTTAATAATCTATAAAAATATAAATAAAAATATTATTATTAAACTATTGTTTTCCTTGTCTTTTACTTTCTTCTACTTACGCCTTTTTATATTTTAATAAAAGTATATTCTTTTTTGTAATGACAGCCTCCAATTCTTTAACCTTTGTTAATAATTGATTATTTTGTCTTGATAAATCACCTCCATTATTATTATTATTATTGCCATTGTTACTGTCATCATTGATTGAACCAAAAGATTTCTTGTCTTGAGATTGTTGAGTTGGAGAAGAGGATGGATAAGAAGCTCTACCCCCAATATCCTTTCCATTGTTTGGTATGGATGCATTCTTGCTTAGGAGTGATGGTGAAAGAGCCATGGATGGTGATGATGTAGAACTATCATTACCACTTCTTCTTTGTTTTCCAGAGGCTTTGTCCTCTCTATCTGATGATCGGTCATCAAATGAACGTTCTCTTTCTCTTCCTCTATTTTCTTGTTGTTGTTGTTGTAATTGTTGTTGCTGTTGTTTTCTCATTCTATCAATATCATTGTCTTGTTTTGAATCGACGTCTGGTGCTCTGAAATCTTGTTGTTGTTGTTGATGGTCGTGATGGTTGTTGCCGTTGGCCATGCCGCCATTGTTATGATGATGATGATGTTTATCGCTGCTACGTGGAGGAGACATTCCTTGTGGAGTTTGTGATGGTGATGAATATGAACCTCCTCCAGAGTTGTTGCTCGACAATACTTTGGATGGATTGGAAATAACCGATGATAATGATCCATTTGATGATGAAGATGATGATGATGCCGATGCCGATGCTCCACCATGACATTCATCTTGATTTTGTAATGAATGAATTGATGGTAATGTCATTGATGGTGATTTTAATATATTCCTCTAAAAAAATTTTTTAAAAAGTAAAAGTAAATTTAATACTCGAATATTAATATTTCCAGAATATATATTATATAATTTATACATACATCTTCCATTTTTTAAAAAATTATTATTATTATTATTGTTTGTTTGTTTGCGTTTTTACCTAAATTATTATTATTATTATTATACAATGATTATTGTTTGTTTGTTTGTTATTGTTTTGTCAAATTATAATCTCATTGACAAATGAGTTGATGTCTGAAGTGTTATGTGATTTTTGATTGATTTGTTATTACTACGGTTTGTTTTGTTTATCTATCTATTACTTTTTTTAAAGATATATGTGATTGTTTTGTTGTTTTCTATATTACAAATAAATAATTATATTTATCCTGTTGAAGTTGTTGGTTGTTTGGAAATATAAATGATTGATTGATTGATTGATGGATTGTTGGTTGGTTGGTTGGTTGGGTTTAAAAATCTTGCGCTGGGTACCTAATTGTTGATTGATGGATTGTGAGTGATGATTAAAGCTTTTAAACTTTCTGTATACGGGTAGATATAGATAGAAAAGAATAGGAGAAGAAACAAAAAGGTAAAGTTCCAAGTTAGTGAATGAAGAATGGATAAATAAAATAAATATTAACACCAACAAAACAAAACAAAAGAGAGAGAGAGAGTGAGAGAGAGACTACTGAAACAGAGATTAAGATGGTTGGTTGAATGGATTGTTGGTTGGCGTCCAAATTCATTCTTAATTCTTTCTTTCAACTGATCTTACTACTCCTAGTAACAATCAACATTTTATCTATCTATCTATCTTATCTTGTATCTGTGTTTGTGTTTCCATAACTAACCCACTGGATCTACTCCCAGTAGTACTTTGTTTGCACTGCCTGTTTTAAATCTCGTCGACACGATCCAACCCCCACCTATCTAATTGTCAATCAATCTACCGCTGCTGTCACTGCTTGTGCTTGTACCTCTACAAAGAGTGAAGTGAGAGTTTTAAACTGACAATTAGATCTTTTTTGAACACCACCCCACTCTACACCACATAATTACACCACACCCACGCATACACACAAACAAACAAATAACACACATGTTAGACAGATACAGAATGTGAAGGAATAATACCAACGACTCTAACTCTTTCGTTTTTGTTGTGTGTTGTGTGTTCTGTGTGTGATATGAACACAACAGTGGTGGTGGTAGTGATGATGGTTTCTTCTTCTTTAAAGTAGATCTCTATCCATTCTTCTTTAAAGGTGGTTGTTGGTACTGGTGCTAGTAGGGTACTATATTGATATTGATACTATTATCTCTTTCATTTCATTTCTACAATTATTATTATTTGTTCCAAAACAATCCAATTGTATATTATCATAATAAAACCATGCACGAATAAGAAATTCAAGTAGTAGAAGATTGCATACGTTGTATTTGTTGTTGTTGTTGTTGTTGTTGTTATTATTGGTTGTTCAAGTTATCTGTCGTTGTTAATTTTTGGCAGTGAATAGATAAGATAGATAGAGAGAAAGAGAGAGAGAGAGAATAACAAATAATAATAATAATTACAATTATTATAATAATTACCTCTTTTAAAGTAGTCTGTTTGTGTTTGTTGGTTGTTCCAATAATAAATAAATATATATATATATATAAAACTACAACTACTCTGTGTACTACTACTACTACTACTACTACTACACCCCTCTTCTGAATGAAAAAACAAATAAATAATAAAAATATAATAATAATAATAATAATTATATTTATAAAAATATAATAATAAAACAAATAAAAAAGGAGACAAAGACAAAAAGAGAGAGAAGAGAGAAAACTGCAGTTTGTGTGTGTGCGTGTGTGTGTTTGTTTAAGGTATGAGTTTCCTCTCTCTATCTCTCTCTCTCTCTCTCTTTGTCTCTGTCTCTGAACAACAGTCCCTATCTCATAGGGTAGAGTACCACTAAAATTATGTTATAATAAAAAAAGGAAATTATTTCTTTTTTAAATCTGTCTAATTTTAAATATATATTTGTGTGTGTAAAAAGTGTAAACACACACTCATTGAGTACACGCATTGAACTTGACTTGAGTACTCAGTGGGTGGTTGAGTTGTCAGTCAAATTAAATGTGGTTGGTATTTAGTGGTATTTAGTGAGTGGTATGGTGAAGTATTGAATCGAATATTCACGTGACAATCTTAGTTTTTTTTTTTTGTCAATCTATCTTTTCTATTAATATTTATCTGTATCATATCTCTATCTCCTATCTCTATCTATCTGTATCTATCTATCTATTATATGTACTGTACATTATTTATCTAATACTACTTTACATTTCTATCTCTATGTATGATGATGATGTTTGATGCTCACACAAAACAAACAAAAAAAAAGATCTAATATTGTTGGTTGGTTGGTTTGTTTGTTTGCACTTACATTAATTATTATTTCTCTCTCTTTTATTTTAATTAATTAAATCCGAGTCTCGAGACGCGTCTGTGTTGTTGTGTGTGTTGTGTGTGTTGTGGATGTGAGTGAGATCTAGAGGTGAGATATAGGGAGGGTGAAGGGCTGTCTGTCTGTGTTGTCGTTAGAGTGTGATAAACTAGATATTTAAATATAAAGATATACAACTCTTTGTATCTGTCTATAATAATAATGCCTGTGATATTAAAATATTAATTGTTGTTGTTGCGTGTTTGTTGTTGTTGTTTGAAAAATATTTAGAAGGAAAAAGGAAAGAATAATTATTATGATATGGTGTAGATAGAGAGAGAGATAGATTAATTGCTATGGATGGGAAGAGGAGTTACAACAGCTGTTTGAAACAAATAATAAATAATAAATAATAATAATGAAAATTTTATTTTAAAACTTGTTTCAAAACAGATTTTTTTTTGTTTGCGCAGACCTCAGTGTTTAAGTTGCAGGGCACCTCTACCCCCATAGAGATAGTAGCTGTTTTTGTTTGTAGAGATACTATTGGTTTTTTGTCAAACAAAAAAAATATTCACATTTTACATGTCCAAAAAAGGAAACGAAGATATAAATTTTGTTGTTTGCTTCTCTCTCTATCTATCTAACTCCTCTCTCTCTTAAACGTTTGTCGCGTCGCAATCTAATATTTAGTAGTTATTATTTATTTCAACGATGTTGTTGTCCCCATTAATATGAGGGTTAGGGGGTTAGTGGATTTTAAAGACCAACCAACCCCCTATTCGCGTTACGTACAACAAGACACTGTTTCGAGATATCTGTTACTGGGCTTTGTGTGTGTTAAGTTCTTTCTTCTCAAAACATCCACGGTATTCGTTAAAAACCCACCATCATCTGATTTTTAGATTGAATGGATGGTGTCATATGAGAGATGGATGATCCTCTCTCTCTTTATTGACTATAATCGACTATTTAAATAGTTTGTAGATACTATTTATATAAATCTCTGTATCCTCGACTTGACTCGACACAAACTACAACCATACAGTCTGTTTGTCCAATTTTAAGGGGGTGATCCACTTGGATCATATTTCGAATTATGTCACAGGAATGGGGGGAGAGCTGGTTGGTTTCCACAACACATATTGAATGATCATTTGTCAATAACAATGTCGACATTGGGATGATAGATAATTGCAGGGCCAGTGATAACAGTTGTTTCTTTACCGGTTTGATGACAGACAGCAATACATTTAGTGTCGAGTAGTATCTTTGATGAACGTGATCCTTCCATAATAGTAACCTCTGCTCTAATCGTATCACCAACATAGGCTGGTTTAATAAAGTTTAATTCTTGTTTTAAATAAATACTTCCTTGTCCTGTGCGATTCAATTGTAATGTTAGATCAAACATCGTATATAATTTTATATCTATGTTCACATACCAGGCAACTTTGTACCAACAAGTGCAGATAATACAGATGCAACCAACATTCCATGGATGATTGGTTTCTTGAATCTAGTAGTACTTGCATAAACAGGGTCTGTGTGAACTGGGTTGGCATCACCTGACACCTCTACAAACATCTTTACATCTTTCATTTCAAACTTTTTGGATAGGTCTGCCTTGTCACCTATTCTTATCTTTATTCTTGTATCATCTACATCATTATTACTACTATTATTACTACTACTATATTTACATTGTTGTTTATACAACAAAGGTGATGATTGTTGGATGCATTTTCTAATGTTTGTGTATCTAAGCATTTGAAACTTGAAGTGTCACTACACTAAGATAATGATCGATTTTTTTCGTTCATTTGCAAAGATCTTTGACAAAAGTGGAAATTAAATTAAATTAATTTTAATTAACTTTTGTCGAATTGATTGACTGATTGATGTTATATATCATATTCATATTCAATTTATTTGATATCTTGTTATTTATTAATATTATTAATGTTGATTTAATTTTAATAAAAGAATCTAAAATACAAGATTAAAACAAATAATAATACAATTAAAAGAGGACCATATTTCTTTAGGAATAGTTTACTGGCAAGATCCAATGTTTGCTTTTCGTATTTGACTGACTCTGCCAACAACATTTCCGATTTTTGATTGACATCACTCAATTTTTCACCTCTTCCAATGATATCTTGTATATTTTTAGACATGATTCTATGTACATCTCTCAATTCATAAGATACATCCGATAGATTTCTTTGTGTTCTAGAATCTTTATACAATTTCTTTGTTTTTGTTATAAATGATTCTAAAGTGGAGGCATGAAATGAAATAAATGGTTAATATTCATCCAAAGTGTTCCAATTACATCATGATCAAAATCCAATTTGTTGTATAAACATACCAAATTTTACAAATTGATAGGGTCTCTTTGCAATAGCTACTTCAGAACCATAACAAGTATCAAACTCTTTATATATTTCCTCTAAAAAGTTAAATGCCATTTTCTTTGGATATGATCTTTCACAAAATGTTAAATAACAAACATCATTCTCTATTAAATACCTAAATAATAATAATAACAATACATATTAATATGTATCTCTCTCTATAGGTGTATAACTCATTCTTATGCACATACGCAAAGTAATATTTATCAGTTTCAAAAGTCATTTCCTTTTCCGATACTCTTGATAGTTTACTAAATATAGTCTTTGCTTGTTGTTTATATTGATCAAATGATTCTGGTCCAGAGTCCATTGATTCAGATAACATCAAACCATCTGATATTCTACATAACATTGCAAATAGTACCATTCTCTCTTTCTTTTCTTTCTATCTTTCTTTCTGTCTCCTCTTTTGTTAATGTTTTGATTACTACTGTATATAACTATATATATATATATATCCTTTGTATGTTGTATTGTATTATAATATATTATCTCTTTTAATTAAATGTTGGGAATGACGAATAATAATGAACATTGAATAAAATCATCATAGGGGTTGAAGTTGAAAAGTCAACACAAACAAGACTTTTTCATTCATTCATTCACTTTAAGGTGCACATGGTTGAATGAATGAGTCATCAAGATAATAATAATAATAATAATCATAAAGAGAAAGATGATAAATATGATAAAGAAGATGATGATAACGAGCAAGAAGATGATAACGAAGATGTAAATGAATATTTAGTGGATTGGTCAAAGAGAAAGAGGTCACGATCAAATAGGTTGATGCATCCTGATAACCCATACCGATTTAATCCACCAAACTTTAAGTCATTGGCAAAGAAGTATCCTTCATTTGATAAATTGTATGTAATGTATATATATATATATATATATACAAGTAAATCAATTATACTTAATAACTAACTAATTAGTAATGTTGTTCTTTTTTAAAGTATATTAAACAAGAATGAAAAGATGATTTATAATATCGATTGGAAAGATCCAAATGCAATTAGAGAATTGACAACTGTATTATTGGATAATGATTTTCAATTAAAGGTTGAATTGTCACCTGATAATCTATGTCCTACTCTAACACTACGTTTAAATTATTTGTTATGGTTGAATGATATAATGAAATCATTTAATCAAACCATCAACAACAAGGACAAGAAAAAGGAAGAAAAGATGTTTGGTATAGATATGTAAGCTACAATGTTAATGTTAAACCATTCAATTTCATGTTATTAATTTTCTTTCTTATTTTAGAGGAACTGGAGCATCATGTATATACCCATTATTGGGTGTAAGATTGTTAAACATGTCATTTTTAGCAACCGATATATCAACCAAATCATTAGAGTATGCTAAAAGGAATATAGAGTTAAATGGTTTCGAGGATAGTATACAATTGAAATTAGTAGATAATCCAAATCAAATCCTTGTTGGTGTTATTGATCAACCATCACAACAACAACAACAAGTAAAGTCATACGATTTTTGTATGTGTAATCCTCCCTTTTTTGATGAATCAAAATATTTAAATCCAAAATCTGTATGTTTATGTCCACAAACCTAGTACTTTTAAAAAGTTTATTAACTTGTTTATTATTCATTTCTACTTTTAGTCATGTATAGCAAGTGAGAGTGAATTAACAACACTTGGAGGAGAATTGGAATTTATAAAAAAGATGATTGGCGATAGTTTGATTATCAAGGATGGTATAATGGTATATTCAACCATGATTGGAAGAAAGGTAAATGTACATCCTGTCATTGAGGAATTGAAACGATGTGGAGTGGATAATTACTCTACTCAAGAATTGGCTCAAGGTAACCAAAGTAGATGGGCTATTTGTTGGTCATTTTCAACTCATCATTATTTACATAAATCAAAACAATTCAAAATGAATCTAACTGGAAATGAAAATGAAAATAGAAATATAAATGGAAAAAGGAATATTCAACAAGTTGAAGAAGAGAAAGAGGGTAGTGGTAAAAAAAAATTAAATAGAAGAGAAAGAAGAGCATTAGAGAGAGATAGACCATCAATACATATATCACTGTCAAATCCAACCCAAACATTTGATGAAATATGTAAATCAATTGAATCAAAACTCAGAGATTTATCGATATCTCATCATGTGACAATTTCAAATACAAATAGTAATAATCATTATAAAGGTCATCTTGTCACATCAGTCACCAAATCAATACAAACTTTGGAATGTACCATTGTAAACAATCAATGGATTCATTTAATTGATCCAGCAATGACTACAAACAAAGATGATCAATCTCATCAACAACAATTTTCATTTTCAATCAACCTTGATTTAAATAGTACAAGTGGACCTATACCAATTACAAAATTGAATCAATGGAATAATCGTAAAAGTGATTCACAGTCACAATCCTCCTCCTCCTCCTCCTCATCCTCCTCATCTTCTTTGGATGATTTTGACAAGATTAAAGAAGATATTTTAATTGGTATAGATATCAAAGTTGGTAATCAGACAGTAGTTCAGTCGTTGGACGAGGAATCAACGATATCACCTCATCACATCATCAAACAGTTATTTATGTTTTTAGTGTCCGATTGGCAACAACAACAACAACAAAACAATCTATTAAAATATTAATAAATACCATTCACATATTCTTGTGTAGGTTGTTGACAACGCATCTCGATGAACCAACCAACCGACAACCAACTCAACTTCCGTTTGTCTGTATACTTTTTTTTTTTTTTTTTTCCAACGTCACTAAAACTCTACAGTGATTTCATACTTTTATTCTATTCTCTCCTCGTTGTTCTTTGTTCGAAGATTATAATGGATCACCATTGTTTGTTACTGACACCATTGTGAATGATACTCATTTTGAACTACTTTTTAATTAACACCAAAAAAGATCTATCCTCATTTTTCTAACCCTTGCAAACCCAAGACACGTTTGTTTTAATTCAATTTTTTAATTTTCACGCTCTCACTCGAATATTATTTGCTTTATTCTTTGTTTATTGATACTACTCTTCTCTTCACTCTCTCTCGCTAGCCTGGTTACTCTTCTTTAATAACAAAAGAGCACTACACTAGAGATCCATTGTCGTCATCGTCATCATCATCATAGCAATTTAAATTGAACAGATAAATATAGTATTGTAGTAGTAGATTAGATTAATTCATTAATACTACACTACAACAACTAATCAATAGAGAGAGATAAGATAGATACATCTTTAAATTAATTCATATACATACACAATACAACACACAATACAACACACAATATTATATATATATATATATATTTATTAATCGATTCAGTTCAATTCTTTATCTCTTTATAGAACACACGATTTGTCTATTTTTCAAACATAAACAATAACAAACAAAACACAGAACAAACACTTTGTACTAGTAACATATCATATACACCGTTTTTTTTTAAATTTTTTTGAAAAAGAATAATATTATTTATATTATACAATACAATAGAATAGTATAGAATAATAGTGGTATAGAGTAAACAACAAAAATAGAGTATTATTACAAAACATTGTTATAACAAACAAACAAACAAACAAAGAAACAAAGAAAGTAAAGGAATATAAAACGAATATAATAGTTTATAATATATATAAAGAAGAAGAAAAGAAAGAACTTGAAAAATGACAGAGGTTATGGTAGATCAAGAATTGTTGACATGTCCAATTTGCTCAGACATATTTATAGATGCATGTGATACTAGTTGTGGACATACATTTTGCGAGTTTTGTTTAAATAGTTGTCTAGAGTCTCGTCCTGACAAATGTCCAGTATGCTCAAAAGATCCATCTCCCGTACATCCAGCATTCACTATTCGATCGATATGTGAGGTATTACAACCTCATAAAACTTCAGAGGATGATGGGTATGTAGTAGTCTAGATAAAAGTATCATAGTGGAAAGAAAAGTACTAATCATCCTACTCTCTATTTCTTAATATATTGTAGTAAAACATTAGAATCTGAAAAGGAAATGGGAAACCAAAAATACTATCAAAACAAGTATGCAGATGCAATTTCACATTATAACAATGCGATTGACAAGGTGACCAATTCATCCGACCCAAAGAATTGTGTATTGTTTAATAATCGTGCACAATGTTACATACATTTACACCAATACAAACGTGCATTATTGGATTGTGAAGAAGCTATTCGTTTAAATGATTCAAATGGTAAATAGTAGATGATTAAAAGATAACTAAAGTTATCAATTGTAACACTAACACTTTTGTTTGTTTGTTTACTTTTAGTGAAAGCATTTATGAGAAAGGGATTATGTTTGAGACAATTGGGAGTGTTTGAAGAGAGTAAATCGGCATATCAAAAGGCAGCACAGTTGGATACATCCAATCAATGGACAGAACAAATTAGAGATGGTTTGAATTCATTACCAATTTTCAACAAGGTATCTTCTTCAGGCAACACATCAAATCAATCTTCACAACAACCTCAACAACAACAACAACAACAACCAAATCCAAACAATTACCCAAGAAGCAATAGTATGCCTTCCAATACTGCCAATCCATACCAACAATTTTATTATCAACAAGGTCAACAACCAGGTCAACCACCACAAGGCCAACAAGGACAACAATTTAATAATGCAAATTACCCCAATTTCAATTCACAATACGCTCGTTATAGTACACAAAACTATCCAGGTCACTATACAGTTAGATCCAATCCACAACAAAATGGAGGATACCAACAATATTATCAACAACACCAACAACAACAACCTCAACCACAACAACAAGCACCAGCTCAACCAGCTCAACCTCCAGCCACTTCAACCACTTCAACAACCTCAACCTCAAATGTAAATAATAATAATAACAGTACTGGTACTACCAACCCTAAAAATACTTCAACTACATCTGAAAAGAAGAAATCAGATTGTAAACAACAATAATAATAATAATAATAATATAAATAATATAAAAAACTCGTAATAATAATAATAATAATAATGTTGGGTGTAAATTTATAATCAACTCTCTCTTTTTTCCAAAACACAACTGGATTGTAATTCTTTTTTTTTCAACTCTCTCTCCCTCCCTCTCCCTCTCTAATATACAAATATTAGAGGTTTATTTGAATGGAATATTTAACTTGATCCATTTAGGAATTAATAAATAATAATAAGAATAAAACATAATAAATAATATGTACACAAAAAACTTTTAAAAAAAAAAAAAAACTTTTTAGTGATTGACCAACGCGTCATTCTGCATACACGTGCATTCGTTCGTTTTTAATTTTTAAAGTAGTAACTCTTATAACTTTATAGATATATTAAGAGAGTTAGTTCATTTATTCATTCATTAATGGGAGTAGGAGGATTAGCAGATTATATTAGTACATATTATCCATCAGTTGTTAGATTCCAACAACAACAACAACATGGTGTAGGAGTTGGAGGAGGTAGACCAAGATATGATCATTTGGCAGCAGGATCATCGTATATGAGTGTTGGACAACTACGTAATAAATTGGGAGGTAGACATTCAAACAATACACGCGGTGCTGAAACTACACACTTGTTTATGGATATGAATAGTATCATTCATACTATATTTAGAAGAAATCCCAATACAGATACATCTAAAATCTACAAACAAATCAATATGCGTATCAAGCAAACTGTAGATGAACACTTTCCCGTTAAAACTCTATTCCTTACTACTGATGGACCTGGTCCAAGAGCTAAAATACCTCTTCAACGTAAAAGAAGATCAAAGGTAAACAAAGATATACAAAACAAATCATATCAAATAGAATACTTAGTTTCATTTCATTTATATATATATATATCTTTTAGTCTAAAGAAGATGGAATAAGTAGTTCATTGATTACACCAGGTACAATGTTTATGAGTGGATTAAAGGATAGTTTAGCAAACTATTTCAAACATTCAAGATCTGTATCGAGTGCAATCATCTCTGCAAGTGATCGTTATGGTGAAGGTGAATTCAAAATCTTTGAATATATTAATAGTAAAACTTGGACCGACCAAGATTCTGTCATTGTTTTTTCAGAGTATGTTGTAAATCAAGTAATATATATATATATATTATTAAATTGTATTGATATTAATACATCATTCATCATTCCTCTTATTTTTTTTAGTGATTCAGATGTTATTTTATGTTCAATGTTGAGTAGTGCACCAAATATCATTGTCAAAGGTACATCATCAACCAAATGTTACCATATTGCTGATCTTAAACAACAATTAATTGCATCTGCTCCATTAATTAATCCAAGTATGTAAAATAATAGATATATTAGATATATGAGATAGATAGATATTAATGTTTATATTTACTTTGACTTTTAATTTAGAACAATTAATAGAAGATTTTGTATTTTTAAATTTATTTAGAGGATCTGATTATTATCCAAGGATGGATGGATTTAATTTTGTTAGATCATGGACTGCCTATTTGGAAGAGAAATCTAAAAAGGGATTATATAATCCAAAAACAAGATCTATCAACAAGGAGTTATTACAAAAGATATTTAATATTGGAGAAGGAGCAGTAGGAGGAGGAGGCGACTCGGTTAATTCATTGAGACAATTATCTTGGAATACTTCTCTAAAGAATTATATTGCAATGACTTGGAGTCATTTGGGATTTAAATTTGGTAAAAATAATATTATCTCTAATAATAACAAGAACAACAAAGAAGGGACTACCTCGACTACGACTACGACTACAGAACCTTCAATCGTCGAAGAGATTGAATCAAAACTTCTAAGACCAACATTTTCAAAAGAGGGTAATGGTCAATATTACATGACATTGGATGGCATTAAACATGGACCATTCAAAGTAGACGCTAAATATGAAAATGTTGATGGATGGGCTGATCTTTCTCCAATAGTGTCACGTGCAATATTGACAGAACCAGACAATATCTTTTTAAATTATTATCAACCTCAATTGTCTGCTGAAAAGTATCAAATCCTCAAATCAAAGAGAACCAGTTTTGCAATGGAGATTGAAGATCAAGAGAATGCATCACCACCCGATGTTGGACAATACATGCAATGTGTCATTTGGTTGATGGAACTACTAAAGGGTAAATGCACAAATTTCCATCATCGATACCTCCCAAAATACTCGCCATCAATCAACCACTTTTCATCACTTTCAAAATTAAACAACAAAGAATTGGATCGATTCGCATTGCCATTGACCCCTCTCGAATGTAATATTGCCCTTACCCATCAAAAAACAATTCACAATGTACATCCAATCTTTCATTCAATCATAAATCATTCAAATCATTTTAGTTTAATTGATTATATCGCTGAACAAGTAAGAAGAAAAAGAAAAAGAAAAAAAAAATCAAATATCAAAAGAAATATTTATTAATTAATTTCTATTTAATTTCTATTTTTTAGGCATGGAATGATGAAGAATCAGTAAATAATTTATTAAAACAAATTAATGAAACTGATACAAGTTTATTAAATGAAAAGGAAAAGAGGTTAATGACATTTTCACCAACCGTCATTTACACAAAATCAGGCAATCAAATATATTATCAAGAGGAGAAATTGGCAAATGAAACCAATAAGATTCCACATATTTATTCAGAAAGAAAACCATATATCGAAGATATTATACCACCAGTTGAAGAAGAGGAATTACCAGATCCATTAAATCAACAATCGTCGGCATTTGAACCATCAACTGCTGAACCATTTAAAACATTTAATTCATTTAAAGAATCTCAAGATAAACTTAGTAATTTAATCAAATCAAATGCTAATCATAGAAAAACAACAATGTTAAATAACTTTAACAAGAATAATAATAATCAGAATAATCAGAATATTAATAACGATACTTTTAATATTAATATCAATATTAATGGTAAAAGTTTAATTGGATCCATTTTAGAATCAAAATCAACCAATATCAAACCAATTCCAACTTCTTTTTCATCATCATCACCTATCATTAATAATTATCAATTGGTTTTTAATTTATTAAAGAAAATTAAATAATAAATAAATATAGTGATAACTTAACGATTAATTTATTATTTTTTGGTTTATTGTTTTTTCTTTGAGAGATATTCATCAAAAGTAGTAATATGAGTTAGGTTTGGAGCAATGGATAAGTCTAATCCAGGAAAAGTACCAAATTCTTCATAGAATTGAAACATGTTACCCATTTCTTTGGCATTTGGGAATGGAAAAGTACCAAATACTTGTGGTGGAATATAGTTGTATTGAATATCGAATCCATAAAATTTGGATAATGATTGGATGATATCATTCATTGAAACAGTGTGACAGAATGGAATCGATGCATTGGCATACTTTGTCTTGTTCTCCAAGATGGCAGAGACAATAGCACCAACATCAGTGACATCGGCCATTGCAATTGGAATCTTTGGATTGAATGGAATAGTGATAGAATAAGATTGACCATCTTCACTCTTTTTTGGTGCAAAAAAGGTTTCAAAATTTTGATAGTAGAATGGAATATAGACAAAACTGACAGTCAATGATGTTGGGTTTTTGGAAGCTTGAAATTCAGCATAAACCTTGATTTCATCTTTTTGATCAAAATGAGTAACTGGCAATGTCCCATTACTAATCTTTTCACAATTAACAAGACTACTAAAAATAAAATGTTCAACTTTCGCTAATACAACTGCATCTACAATTCTAAAAGAGAAAAAAAACAAAAAAGAATAGGAATATTAATAAAATTTGATTCCAACTTTTTAAATAAATAAATATTATTATTTACTTTTTTCCAACTTGACCTTCAGCTTCACCATAGGATTGAGCAGCAGTTACCAAGAAAACAGATTGACTTCCTTGTAATGCTTTGGCAAGTTCTTCGACAGTGGCAGTGGTTTGATCCAATTTGACCAATTCAACACCTTTCTTTTGCAAAGTAAGAGAGGCATCGGATTCAGGGTTACGAGTAATAGCTCTTACCTTGTACTTTGGATTGTTGAGTAATGATTGAGTGACTGATCCACCTTGGAGTCCAGTAGCTCCGAAAACAGTTACAATTTGAGTTTGAATAGTTGACATTTTGAGATGATTGAAAAAAATATTATAAAAAAGAGATAATTAATTATGTTTAGATAAAGAATAGTGGTAGTTGTTGATTTAAATGTTTGATGTTTAAAACAAAGAAACAAAATTTCTTTAAATAGAAAATCATTGGAGTTGGGGGTCTGAAAAAATAAATAAAATAATCTAGAACAAGAGCAAGATGGGTCTTCCTTGATGTAGGTTTCTAAAGATATTTAATTTATGACTTTGAAAAATATGAATTGTGTCACCAGTTTTCATTCAATTATCAATGAGTTTTTTTAAGGCTCGTTGGCCATAGCCGACCCACCCTCACTTTTACTAAAAAACATTAACCCATATTCTTCTTCTTCATCGTAATGATTACATTACATTAAATATTATTGTTTATTTATTTTAAATGATTAATTAAAAAATTATAGGTACTAAAATTAAATAATTTCCTTGAAATTAATGATTGAGACAGTTGTTGTATTTGAGGAGTAGCCAATGTCATTTTAAAAGATGTTACCAAGTGTCTGAGGATAGTGATATTATTGTTGGCAGCGGCTATGATGATTTTATCCATCTGTTGATAGTTTAAATGTTGGGGTGTGATGAGTAGCTCATCATGTAACCCAGAGTAGTAATCACATTGTATCATGTGATGAGCGAGGCGATTAAGAATGTGTGGGTCCCCTTTACCTTGTTGAGCCAATGTTTGTATATATTTGATTGTTTTAATATGTGGACGTTGACATTTTGGATGTATAGCAGTATTGGTTGGCACTGTGACGATCGAGTTGGCAGTATAGTAGTCTGCCAATGCAATATTACCCTTTTCAACAAGACGTAAATACCATCTAATATCGAGCTTTGGTTTTTTCTCCACTTTCTCCATCCATTGTCTTTCTTGTAGTGATTGTTCGTCAATCTCTCTATTCCACTTTAATACTTTTAGATAGAATCGAATGTTACCGTGGGTCAACAATACCAATGGATTGATAGCTTTGACAAGTGGACAGTGTCGATGTATCATTTCAGCTAAATGTAATCTAGATGGTTTCAATGATTTTTGGAGGAGAAGGAGATCATTTGATACTTGAAACCAATTTGTTTTTAGTCCAAGTACATAATCAACCATTCGATATGACCCTTTTTTGATAGCTTTATACATTTGTTCCAATGCAGTTGTTTTGGACGTATAAATATACCCTTCATCGAGTATAAACTTGAATCGATCCTCTACCAAATATTTAAATACGTCAAGATGACACTCTCCAATTGGTGGTAATACAATCTCTGATAGGATATCTGTATGAGTGGTATGGTCAAGTTTATGTAATTGTGGAAGATGTTTGATCACCATTTTAACAGTCTCCAATGATCCCGACGAAATAGCATCAATCAAACATTCTTTTGATTGTTCCAAATCGAGTTGTTGTAGTACCGAAGTCGAGTTTGTAAATATAACTTCTAGAGTATCCACAAGTCCACGACTACAAAGATTTGGAATGGTATTAAATGAAACATTAAAATGTTTTAAATAAACCAACAACTCTTTGACAAACTCTGTATTGGCACCGTGGAGCAAAAGAATCATTCCGATATCGTCTTGAGAAGGCTGAATATTTTTCTCTTGTATCCAATACTTGATCATTTCTACATTGTGACTAGACAGTTCCAACAAGTTTGGTATTTCACATAGACTACTACCGATAATACCGTTGTTATCATTGACAATTGTTTTAATTAAATTCATTCTTTTTAATGAATCATCGGTCAATGAGCATACTTGTTGTAACAACCAATGATATTTTTCTTTTGATGCATTTGGATACTTTTCATAGAGATATTTGTACATGTCGACGGTTGGGTTTGGGATGGGTATGGGGATTGGTTCAGATGTCTGATCCAAGTACTTGATAGTGTCAATATGGTTACCTCTGATTGCCGATAGAAGAGTTTGAGGTGGAACACCATACAACAAACCAGGTCTTTCAAATAGATGTTTGACCATATTTAAGTGACCTTGTTCAGCTGCAATAGTCACCGCATCAATTGCCCATTTCCCACCTTTTGCAATTGCATCCAATTGATGATGATGTTTTGAAAATTCCAATAACCTTTCCAACATGTCAATATTATTATTTGCAGCACATTCAACCAATGCCCTCTCTGTGAATAAACATCCATCCATTTCTTTATCATTTTCATACTTTGTCAGTATATGTTCAATCACATGATAATGTTTGTTTTTAGCAGCTCCATCTATTGCAGCAACTGTAAAATCTACTCTATAGGTTGTTGTTCCTATCTCTCTCAACCCATCAAAATAAATCAATACATCCAAATGACCATTCATTGATGCATTATCATAAGAATGATTTGTAAATTTAATCTAAACAAAATGAAAGAATAAATATAATATGTAAGTAACTATATCATTTGACACATAGTATTTATATTTAAATATATACATACTTTAGTATTTTGGTTAGTATTATTATTAATTAATAATTTGATAATATCTAAATCACCATTTAAAGATGCAGTATCAATGGAACGAGTAGTGAATGGTACATTATGAATATTGACTAGATAATTGACAAGTTGTAGATTACGACTTGAAACGGCACAGTCAACAGCATAGTGTTCATCTTTAAAGGCAGATTCATAGTATTGATAGATTATATCAAATGATTCCATTTTAAAGCATACGGATGGATGATAGAGATGAGGTGAGCAAATTGCAATCACCATATCTAAAGTTGCCCATCCAACTTGTAATTTGTCCAATCCTCTTCTTCCTCCTATTTCTTTACAAAGATCATGTAACAGATTACCAGTTTGATTCTTTACAACCCAATCCAATGAAGGAATATTATTATAATTGAATGATCTTCTATTACCACCAGACAATTGCAATGATATATTTTGAATCTCTTTTACAATCTTTTTAAATATATATTTGTTTTGAAATAATTGTTGTATATTCATCTCTCTCTCTCTCTCGTTTTTAATTAATGATAATAATGAATAAGACATGCATGCATAGCTTGTTTCATTTAAATGTGTGTTTAAAGGTCACATGTTCCGAGAAAGAAGAAGAAAATAAAATAAAGATATTTTTGTTGTTGTTGTTGTTCTTTTGGTCGTGATCAATCATCATTCTTTGTGAGGTATGATATGTCTGAAAATGAATGATTCTTTCTCTCTATTCTTTCTTTGTAGTATTAAAGACAATAACGACTGAAAGATGCATTAGATAGGAATTTAGACAAACTTGAAATAAATTAATGAACTACGACTGCATGCACGATCAGAGATACTTGAAACTTTTGGAAGAGTCCAAAGAGAAAGGTGAAATTGAGCTTGAAAAAAATTAATAAAAAAAATCTTTAAAATATTAGACTTTTTGGTCACACCACCAGGTCGTGTGTGAGCTCACTCTCTCTAACCCTGAATCGCAAGAAGCACATAACCCTTTTGTACTATAAACTAATTATCTTTTTAAGAAGTAGTAGTAATAACAAGTTTGGGATAGAGTATATATATTAGAGATTGATCTTTTATATATCCTACCAAACGACAAAGGCAACAAACACATCTTTACTTTACAGACTAATACTATAGTATAGTATAGTATAGTATTATCTCTATCTATCTATCTATCTTATAACTTTCTTTATATATTATTCATTCACACATTACATATATTTACATTACACATATATATATTTATTTATTATTCACAAGATAATTAAAAGGTAACTTTTAAAAGTTTAGTTTTAATTAAATATGTCTGGGCAGACTCAACAAGCCACTTCGATTGAGGAGTTTATATCGGCTCATCACCGATCGCTTTCACTTTGGTATACAATCAAGCATTCATGGAAGAAAAAAAAGAGATTCATGTCGATCGATCCCATCAATCTCACCACCTATGACACTTCGTCGTGGGAGAACACTAACCAGTGGGCGTGGGAAACAGGTATTGCTGACGTCTCTCCATCGGACAAGCAATCCAATCAAGTAGTCATCACAACCAAAAAGGATGGCAAAAAGAAAGATACCTTAAACTTTGAATCTGATCATCGTTCTGGTAAGACAAAAAAAAGGAGATGAAAAAGATCAATTGTACATTAATTATATTTATATATTAACTTTTTAATATTTCTATTTCTTTTGTACTCTCTCTCTCTCTCTCTCTCTTTTAGAATTATTAACTGATTTACAAAGATCATTATCAGTAGTAAGAGCAGCAGAAAAACAAAACAAACCAGTTGATCAAATCAATTATCGTCATTTGGGACGTGCAGGATATGTGTATGAGATGAGTTTGAGAGAGTTGGCAACCGGATTGTACAAGTCGTACGGTGCCAAGAAACTCAAGCGTGGAGGTCTCTGGTTGGATGTTGTGTTGACTGTCTGTTCATGCTCTGTCGAGGAGCAGGATCCCGAGATTGCCAGAGATCCAAATGGCAAGCACTCCAAGATCCGTGTATCATACTTTTTCAAGGACATTGTCAAGATTGAAAGCTTGGCCGACAATAACAACGCCTATCTCTTTTACATGAACAACGAGGTTGATGCCGCCACCGATCTCTTTATCGTCTCTGATCCAAAGTTTATCGAAAACGTCATGCAATTCTCTAAAAAGTATGTTGGTCACGACGTCAAATTGTTAAAGTCCTCTTCATCACTACAAGACGTACCAAATCATCGTATCAAACGTCACGGTAAAGAAGATGATGACGCCTTGGTTTCAATCATTGATTTCACTGTAAACAAAATTAGTAATCGTCATAATGGTCCTGTTCAAAGATTATTAGCTTTATCAACTACAAAGTAAGAGAAAAAATAGAAAAAGAAAAGAAAATAGAATCATTTATTAATTTTAATTTTATTATTTAGATTGGTTGAAAGAGATTTATTAAATTATACAATTATTACAACTAGATCATATACTACTATTGCATGTTTAGTTAGATATGAAAGTGATAGTCAAAAGTTATCTATTCAATACAAGGATGGCTTATTGAAAACCTATACTTCATCGGCTAGAGATGCATTGATTGCCAGTATCATTGATTTCTGTCGTTCCGTTGGAAATAATAATGCAACCATTTTTACTTCTCAAATTGTTCGTGGTATGAAAATTACTCCTCATCATGTTACTCCAAGTGAAGTATGTAAATCAAATCAAAAGAATATATATTATTTTTTTTTCTTTTATATTTATCTTTTTTTTTTCTTTTTTCTTTTACTTTTTAGGATGTACAAGAACAATATATGAGATTATTTGAACAAAAATCATTTGATTTCGAAACGTTGAGTGTATCACAAATTGCACTTAGTTTGGATGGATTTATTTCAAATATTCCATATGCCGGTCTATCAAATGTATTTGCTGAAAAGAATGGCAAGGTAGTATTAAATTGTATTCAAAAGTTATTGTCTGGTGTCAAGTTGGGACCAAACGATGACAAGAGTGACTATGACCTCATTTCAGTCATTCTCCAAATGCTCCGTAGAATCGTTGCAACTCGTGTAGGTTTTGAATTGTTTACTCATTTCCCTCATTGCAAAATCCCATTAATCAATCTCTTAAAACGTTCCATTCAATGTGTTGAAGATACCATTACCTATTATGGTATTGATTTAATGATTGCTTTAATTCAACCTGGTAAGCTAAAAAAAAATAGAAATAGAAAAACAAACAAATCAAAAAAACAAAATACTTATTCTTTTTTTTTATTTTTTATTTTTTTTATAGCATTTGAAGGAGATTATGAATCAGGACAATGTCAATTAAATAAGAGAGAATTATTCATGTCATTAGATTTAAACAAGACATTGTTTGAATTGATTCAAAGACATTCGGCAAGTGGAACGGGAGCTTTGGTTTTAAATTCGGCTATTGAATTGTTGACTCTATTGTTATGTGAACCATACAGCGAGACTACAGATGCACCCATTTTCAATGATCTGTTGACACGTGTCGGTGCATTGGGACGTGACTTGTTCAAGTTGTTTATGCATCAGTGTCCTGCCATCTCCAAGAATGCAGGTATGTTGATGATGGTTGTCATCAATGAAGGTGATGAACAGTTGGCCAAACAAATGCAGATCATTGCATTGGTTGAAGGTGCTTTGTTGCGTCATTTACACGACTCACTCTTTTTAAAGGTGTTGCCTGGAGTTGTCAACCCAACCAACATTAGAAACTCACAAAAGCGTGAGATGAGCAAGATATTGATCGGTCTTTGGACGGCCGAGAATCCAGTCTGTCGTGCTCTACTTGATCGCGTGTTCCCACGTGGACTTGTGATGTACCTAGACAGCGCTGAAGAGCCACCCAAAGAAGCTGCCCTATCCGCCGCACAAGAGAGCAGTGGTCCCAAAGCCATCAAACTCAGTATCTTTGCCAACTGGCGTATGAAAAAGATCATCAAGACGAGAGAAACTATGGCCAAAGCTGTAATCCGTATCAAACGTGAACAAAAACCACTCAAACAACTCAACTGGCCCATGTTCCTCTTCCAATTTGCTCAAGACCATCGTGACGCCAATCTCATCTGGAATCATACCACAAGAGAAGAGTTGAGAGAGTCAATGGACAATGAAATGCGTCTACTCCAACAAGAACAAGAAGCTGCGGGTCGTGAAGTGGTCGCATGGAATGATGAAGATTTTGAAGTCCCATACCCATCACTTAAAAAGGAGATTGCTGTTGGTGGATACTACATCTCGTTGTTGGTCGATGGTACCTCCAAGGGTATCCGTCTCCAACACCCAGGTAACTTTTTCAGCGAGTTGTGGCAGAATTTCCTACTCAACGAAAGTCCCGATCAAAAGGCATTGTGTATGCGTGCCATGACACTCGTCTTTACATTCTATCATCAACATCCAACCATGGTACACCCATTCTCAAATATTGCTCATCTCATTGATTTGCTCGAGACTACCAACGATGTCGTTTTACGTGATCGTCTTTTATTGTTTGCACGTTCTCTACTCCAAGTAAAGGCAAATGCCAAGTTGTTTATTGATAATCGTGGTATCTACCGTTTGATGGATCTCATCACACTCGTTCACACCCATTACACCTATGGTGAAGAAGGACGTCTCTTGCAAGAATGGTACTATGCACTTGAAGGTGCTGAAGGTAGTGCTCCTCAACGTGTCGGTCCAGTGTCCCGTGTCGAGCTCCTCGAACTGTACACTAGCAAAAAGATCAACCGAAACACTCGTTGTTGGGCACAAGGTTCGGAAAAGTGGAAGCCATTGTCTGCCATCCCCGAACTACGTTGGACCATCATGAACGGTACTACACACGGAAACACTGGTGGTGTATTACCCAAGGCCGAACTCGGTAGTGTCATCCTCGACATTCTCAATGCACTCTGCAGTTTCCGTCCCACTCGTCACCCAACCACTGGTGCAGTCGTACGTCCACTCCCACGTGTCAAGCGTATCATTTGCGAGCCACTCAATCTTCCACGTATCGTCCAAACATTGCTTGCAGGTCAAGATATGCTTGTCGAAAAGACTGCTATCCTTTTAGAGTCATTGCTCATTGACAATGCAGTATTTACGAGTAAATTCTATCTTACTGGTGCATTCTTTTTCATGTTGCTCTATCCCAACTCAAACATCTTGCCAATTGTCAAGTTACTCCAGATTATCCACAACAAGCAACACCTTATCACCAGCGAAGAAGCTTCCAAGCACTCGGTACTCTATCCATTGCTCCCAGAGGCACTTATCTGTTTCCTCGACAATTACACTCCCGAAAACTTTGCTTCCAAATTCCTTTCAGACAATGATGATCCCGAGACCATTTGGAATAGCAATATGCGTAAGCTTATGCGTGAAAAGATCGAGTTGCATTTGGCGTCACTCCCACAACGTCTCCATTCCAACACGACCACCATCTACGAATACGTCCCTATTCCCAAGATCATCTATGCCGAGCTTGAAGGCGAGTTGTTCTGCCACTCGTACTATTTGTCGCGTCTCTGTGACACTCGTCGTTTCCCCAACTGGCCAATCCGTCAACCACTCGAACTATTCAAGAGCGTGTTGATTGTATGGTCCGAGGAGGCCGTCAAGGCTCCACAAGTCATGTCGGTGCAAGAAGCCATCGAAGTGCTCAACCTCAAGGTCACTGGCAAGCCACCCGCCGGCAAAGCACACAATTTCAAGGACGATGAGATTAGAAAGGCCTACTACAAGTTGGCTGCCAAGTACCATCCAGACAAGAACCCAGAAGGTCGTGATATGTTTGAAAAGATCCAAACTGCCTATGAACTCTTGTCTACAGTCAACAATATCGACAATGAACGTGGATCAGACAAGAAGATCTCGTTGATCCTCTTAACTCAGGTCATTCTCTACACTCGTTACATTGACCAGTTCCGTCCCTTCAAGTATCCAGCCTATCCACAACTATGGAAGCTTATCACTGAGCTCATGGCCAACGACAAGTCATTTGATCGCAAGAACAAGACTCCACTCATCTCGCCAGCCACTCACCTTCTCTATCTCACCGTCGAAGCCTCTCCACTCAACTCTGAAGAGATTACTCGTAACAATGGTGTACCTATCCTCGCCAAGTTGTTTAGCAAGTCGGTCGATATTGTCTTTGAGGATCTCGTAGTCCCCACCCTCATCATTCAAACCACACCAGTCTCTCCAACATTCTCTGGCAAGCAAATCAAGGGAGATATCCCCGAACCAAAGGCTGCAGGTCAAAATGCCAACACTCCACCAGGTATCGATCAAGAACCAGCCAACAAGTCTGACCAACCAGCTCCATCTGCTCCACAAGGCCCTTCCAACGCACTCATCACTATCCCTACTTCCAAATTCAACATTAATGATCCAACTTTGGAAAGCGATGTACCTGCCGAAGTTTCATCTTCATTACTTCGTACTTTTGGTGTTATGGCCAAGTTCCCAGGTTCACGTAAACAATTATTTGCAAACAATGAGTCACTCAAGATTTGTGATAATATCTGTAAATGTTTGTATCTCTCTTACAGTCATCCACATATTGTAACCTATGCACTCGAAGCCATCTACCAATTTGCTCGTCAAGACGACGAACTTCAAGCTGCCATTGTTCAAGCTGGTGTTGTATGGCACTTGCTCCGTCTCTTGTTTGGTTATGATCACACTTTGGTCAACAGTGGTGTTGAAGTTAACCTCGACTCTAATCGTATCATGATTGGTAATCTCCATGCTAGAATGTCACTTCGTGCCCTCAGAAGAATGTCTGGTATCAAGAGTGAAGAAGATATTGAAGGTTATGCCGAACCATCTGACAAACCAGAAGACAAGGAAGCTAAAAAGGCAGCTGCCGAAGCTGTCCAAAAAGGAAATACTGGTCCTATTGCAATGCCAGTTCTCGATTCAAATGTTCTCACACTTACTTCTGGTCAACCAACTCCAGTTGCAACCAATCCATTATCAAATTCACCAACACAACAAGGTCAATCTGCTTCCTCTCAACAAGGTCAATCTGCTAGTCCTACCACCGCTACTCCACCAATTGGTAATCAACTAGCAAATACAGCAGCATCAAAACCAATTCCAAAACCAACAGCTCATACTGCTAAAAAGGCAGCACCACAAGTTGATGTTCAAGCATTCTTGGAAACTCCAGAGACTGAATTAAATCTAAAGGTTCGTGAAACGATTACAGTATTCCTCAGTAGTCATATTGTTGTTCGTCTCAAGATGCCAATTGGTACCATCCCATCGAAACACTATCACAAGTTGCTGACAGAGATGAATACCAAACACGAGACTGCCGCCTTTATTTGGAACAGTTCAACCAGAGACGATTTGATGGAATTCTTGAACAAGAAATTGGATGAAGCTCATCGTAATCCAAATGCCATCAATCCATTCTCTACCGAAACCTTTTCCTACAAATCATTGTCTGGTGAACTCAAGGTTGGTGGATACTACCTTCGTGTTTACAATGCTGCCCCAACAGCTCCAACCAATGCTACCACCCCCATTTCCGATCTATTTGTACAGTTGGTAGATTTCTTGGCTCAACAAAGAACTGCCAACGAACTTCCACAACGTGTCGCCGACAAAAAGATCTGGGATATCTATACATTCAAGGTATCAATGTCAATGGAAGCTCTTAGAAATGTTATTCAACATGGTAAAGTTAATCCAAATAACTTTAATCAAAAGGATAGAATGAGATTAATCTTTAATTTCTTAAGGTAAAAAAAAATAAAGAAAAAAGAAAAAGAAAAGAAAAAAAAAGTAAAATATTAATCTTTTTCTTTATTTTTGTAGAATCGAAGATAATTTAAATATATTAAAATTAACATTAGAAGTATTATCATTGGTAACATCAAATATGGAATGTATTCAACATATTGCAAGTGCAGGTAATGAAGCAGAAGGATGTTTGGTATCCAATTTGTTACAACTTTTGGCCAAACCAAAACAACCAATTTTGGACCTCCAACTAAAGGTATTACATTCATTGGTAGCTCTATCACAACATGTAAACGATACTGTTAATCATTGCGGTGTATTGTATCTTTTAGATATTGTATCAAATAATCAAATCCAATTTGATAGTCGTGTTAGAGCATGTGCAGTACTTGGTAGAATGCTCATTGACAAGGTACATGGACCACGTGTTACATTGTTACTCTCCAAGTTTATTCCACCCGTCTTTTCATCGACCATGGGTGAAGACCCACAACAAACCGTCATGGTATTTGATGCACAACACGAGAACCCAGAACTTATTTGGAACAACAACACTCGTGCTCAATTTAGAGAGATTATTGGTAACCTACAAAAGCAATACAATCAATTGCTCGTCAACAGCGGCACACTCAACCAACCATGGAGAATTGCCGAAGACTTTGCCATCTCTTACGAAATGGGTGAGAATGAAATCTTTATCGGTGGTGTCTACATCTCGCTCTTCCTCAAGCAACCAGGATGGTCTTTGCGTAATCCTCGCAAGTTCCTCCTCGAAGTATTTGACTTGCTCATCAAATTGGCCGGTGCCGATGGTGGTCACGATGCCAAGATTCAACAATTGTCGCTCGCCATCATCTCACTCTTCCAACACCACAATGTCATTTCCGATCAACTTCCATCAACCGGTTACATTGAAAAGTTGCTGCCACTCATGAGTCACACCAACATTCAAATCCGTTTGCTCATGATCAACATTCTCCACTCCATGTCTGACAGTCAAGTATGCGTTGACCATCTCGCCAAGATTGGTACACTCTGGAGTCACATGGCCCGTGTCATCTCGTTGCCCAACGAAAACCTCGCCCTCACCGCCGAATGCATTGGCAAGGTGCTCAAGCTCAACCGTTGTGAAAAGAGCTGTCTCGTCGAACAAGCCTCACGATCTGAATTTATCAACAACTCGCTCAAGCTTTTGGAACGTGGAAAGGGTGTCTCACCAGCCACTCAGGCCATCGTTGTAAACTACCTCAAATCATTTGAATTGGATCCACTCCACGGTGCAGGTATCACTGCCATCCTTGATAAATCTGAAATCTGGGCCTCTTATTCCTCTCAAAGTCACGATCTCTTTATCACTGGCCCTGCGACTGGTCCTGTTGGACTTTTGACTGCTGGTACCACCACTGTTGGTCTATTAACTTCAACTGCTTTCAATCCTCAAGTTGGTAATTCAAACAAGGATGAACCTCCTCCTTTACTTTAAAACAAAAAAAATTAAATAAAACAACAGTTTAAATTAAATATTTTCGAAAAAAATCTTTTGATTAACCACACTCCCAAAATTAAAATTAATTCATCCCCCCTGGCAACTGGCAACAAAAATCATACTTGATTGTATCATTACAAAAGAACAGGCTGAAAGTCTCTTGGATTGTCTTGGCCTCAAACCAGCCAATGTCAAAAAGGACTTGGGTATTGATGACTTTGCCATCGCAACGCTCTTTCCTGGGTTGTTTCAATCCCACCCAAGGCTATTCACCAATACCAAGCGGGTCTATCTCCCCCCCCCCCCCCCACTCATTATACAAAAGAAGAAATTGAAAAGAACAAGAAAAAAAAGGAAACAAACTATCAAGCCATGTACAAAAAAGTATGTATATGTATATGTTTTTGAATAATGTATTGTAATGTAATATATTTATTTTTTACTTTCTTTGGAGATTGGCTGACTTTGATAATAATGAAAAGGAAGCAAATGCTGCGATGGAGTATCCGCACCTCCCAGAGATTAAAAAACGATCGTAGATCATAACAAGATATATGGCAAAGATGAAAATAGAAGAATATTATTCGGAAAAGGAGGTCATACATTTAGCCGCTCAGAGTTGATTAAAGAGATTGCAAAGAAATTCCCAAAGTATTCTTCAACTACAACCAATACACCATCTCCTTCTATACCATCTCCTCCTTCTGTACAATCTCTATCTGTACCATATGCTCCTTCTGTACCATCTCTATCTGTACCATCTGCTCCTTCTGTACCATCTGCTCATTCTGTACCATCTCTATCTGATGGTGGCAGATGAACAATTGGTGGTGACCGATAGCTTTTTTTTGTATGTCACAGTGACAAAAGGTGATGTACAGAAGGAGCTGACGGTACAGATAGAGATGGTACAGAAGGAGCATATGGTATAGAGATTGTATCGCACACTCAAAAACAAACCAGATCACCAATACCGAAACGAAAATTCTGGGATATATATCTTTGTTCAAAGTTGAAATTAAAGACTTTATCAAGTATTAGTTTAAAATATATTTAATCTTCTTATCTGAGGAAGACATCATGTTCAATGATCGCATGGGTGGTCAAAAGCATTAATTTTTATTTTAGTTGGAAGCGCTTTTCGCTGAAATTTTGAGCTTTTTTAAAACGCTGATTTTTTCGACATTGGTGTTTTCAGCTTTGGCTGAAAGCTCGTTTTTAGCGGGTCGAACACTGAGATAACTTCAGTTGGATTACCACTATTTATTCATATTGATTGCTATTGTTACTAAAATATATTAATTTTTATTAAGTTATTTGTTATTAATTTTAATTATTGACTTGGAATAGGAGAAGATAAAGGAGGAGTAGAAGTTATATGATGATCGTTTGAAGCGGGTGAACCAGTAGCACCACTATTTGTTGTTTGTTTTCCATTTACAATGTTTCCACTGGCACCGTTAACTTGAGCGAGAGGTGATGAGGAGGTGACAATGGTAGATCTACGAGCCTGAGAGGAAGAGGATGATTTTCCACTACGAATCGTTTCAGCCTTCTTTTTGTGCAACTGCTCAAAGTTGGGGTTGCTGTGAATGTTGCTTTTGATGGCTTGTACCCATGACTCCATTTCTGCCATGTTGGCAGCCGATATAAAGTAGGCGGCATGGTTGGCTTGCACAAGGGTGCCGTCTGAATTTAATTTACACGCTTTCATCTGCTCCTGTGACGAGTGGAGCATAAAGCAAAACTTCTTTTGTACGACAATCGTGACAACGACATTCTCGAGTGGGATAATACCACATGGTTCGTGATCTTGTGGTGTCTTAAAGTAGAGCAAACAATTGGCTTCGAGTTTGAACCAACGTTTTTTCCACGTCTTGATACGACCACCTTGTTTGGTGAGCCAACCCTTTTTCTCGACGTGCTGGTCGGCCTGCCCGTCACGCTCCATCTTGATCTCGTCTGTAATAATACGGTCATACAAACTCTCCATAAAGTCGGGTGGCAAATCATCACCATTATTGATACCACTATTGTTACGGATAAACTCTTGTTTGGTCATCTTCTTTTTAATGTTGGGGTTGTGTGCATCAGTGTTTAGCATAATCACCGAGAACGCCAACACATAGACTGTATCATTGTTGGAAAAGATCTTATTGTCGGGGTTGTGTGCATAAAACTGTTGTGCAAACTTTTCCATCATACGATCGATCTTTTGAGCCTCACCTGGCAGTCTGAACGTCTTGAGGTACTTGCGCAGCGCCACGTCAAAGTCGAGTCCCGCAAAGTCGAGCTCTTCGACAAACGCGTGCAACACTTGCAGATTAAACGACGCAGCTTCTCCCAAGTACTCGCCAATCGCCGGTTTGTTGAGTGTATCTTGTGTCAACAAAAAGTGTGCAACATCTTTGGGTGTCAACTCACACAATCCAGAAGACACGGCAAACTCGATACCCTTTTTAGGTGACTGGTTAAAGAGAGCAACTGCATTCTTGATGAGGAGACGACGTTCGCGTTGTTGTTGTTGGTCGAGATCGTCTTTGAGCTGTTGATCGAGAGCAACTTGCACCTCGTCGGCAACCAATTGACTCGACTCGCGTTTATGTACAATGGCCATAATCTCGTCTGAATTGGTCGTACCAAAGCACTTGCCTAGATCGATCGACTGGCGACTAGACACATTACCAAGATCGGCACCTGCACGCAACAAGACACGTGCCACATCAGTATGTGCCTTTTTGAGTGCATACACGAGTGGTGTCTTGCCAGCGCAGTTTTTAGCGTCAACCTTGGCCTTGAATGAGAGCAACAGGTCAACAGTATCACGTGCACCTGCGGCACTTGCCAAATGCAACGGTGTCGACTGATGCGTATCAATAGAGTCGATGGCTGCACCCTTTTTAAGTAGCAGCTTGCAACAATCCGAGTGTCCATTGTATGCAGCATTGTGTAAAGGAGTTCCCCCCTGATTATCTTTAATCTCAATGTCTGCTCCACTCTTTATCAATGTATTTAAACATTTTACACGTCCATTGAATGCTGCCTTGTGTAGCGGTGATGCACCTTGATTATCCAATATATTGATCGTTGCTCCTTGATCTACCAACATTTTACAAACTGATGAATGTCCATTAAATGCTGCTTTATGTAATGGTGTTGCTCCTTCTTCATCTCTAATATTAATTGTTGCTCTAAAGAAATAATAAAAAATAAAAAAGAGAGATTAGAGATAAAGAATTCTTTTTTGTTCTTTTTGTTTTTTTTTTTTGTTTTTTTTAATTTACTTTTGATTAATTAAAATTTGAACAATATCTAATAAACCATTAAATGCAGCCAAATGCAAAGGAGTAGATTGACGAATATCACGACAATCAATTGGTGATGAAAGTTTTAATAAATGTTCGACAATATCTTTGTGTCCATTGAATGAAGCCTTGTGGAGGGGTGTTTCACCCATATCATCAATCATATCAATATGTGCACCCAACTCTAATAATCGTTTGAGGAGTGGCAAATTACCATTAAAACATGCATGGTGGAGTGGTGTGACACCCTCGACATCGACACAGTTTACATTCTCTCCATTTCTAACCAAAATGTCTACGCAATCTATAAATCCTGCTGCCGATGCATTATGAAGTGGTGATATACCATGAATATCTCTTGGATCTACTTTTGCTCCTTTTCTCAATAATAATGATACACAACTTGAATGTCCACTAAATGCTGCTTGATGTAATGGTGTTATTCCATCCTATAAAAAATAAAAAAAATAAAACATATTAAAATATTATATATATATATATTTCCTTTTCTTTATCTTTTTTTTATGTACATACACAATCTGAATGATTTACTTTAGCATCAGCTTTAATTAATAATTCTACACATTGAGGATTACCACCAGCACATGCATAGTGAAGTGGAGTTTCACCATTGAGAGTGACAGCTTTGGCATCGGCTCTACATTGAAGTAGATAGGATACACACTCTGACGATGCAAAGTGAGCAGCTTTGTGTAATGGTGTACCATTCTTGCTATCTTTGGTGTTTACGTCTGCTGGACCCTTTTCAACGAGCAGTTTGATACACTCGAGATGACCACGTGAAGCAGCCCATTGAAGTGGAGTGTTGTTGCCAGAGTCGAGTGCATGTGGGTTACCCTTCTTTTCAAGGAGAAACGCCACACAACGCGACGATCCACCATAGGCAGCGTGATGAAGGGGTGTTCGCTTCTCTCCATCCTCTGTCTCGACCGATGTGGCCGAATTGTTTAATAAATTGGATAGTCTTTCAATATCATCTATCGACGAGTAATAATGCACTGATGGACGTGCTGTCGATGTTGACTTGTTATCTACCAATGATAAATTACTATGTTGATTACTTGGTGATACCATGATGGTTTTATAAAATAAATAAATATATAAATTAAATATATTTAACCAACCAATTACTACTAATTATTGATTATTATTACTAACTATTATTAATGTTACAATTTGATTCTAAAACTACTACTACTACTAATATTACAACACAACAAACTCTCTATTTCTCTCTATCTATATCTTTTCTATCTATTATCAAAAGTTGTTGTTCAAAACCCTATAGTTGATCATAATATTAAATAATAATAATTCATTAGTAAATTGTTATTGTTATTATTCTTTGTTTGTCTCTTTTTTTGTGTTGATATCAATCAAGGTGATAGATTGGTGATTTAGAAAATAAAAATAAAAAAAAAAGAGAGAAATATAACAACAACAATCACAACACCAATAATAACAACAATTACAATAATATTATCCTCTCACAATTCCCCTTCATACTAATTTTATATTGTTGTCTCTTATTGTTATTATTGTTGTTGTTTGTTGTTGGTCTGATTATTATGACGATGATGAATATTATAAAGTTTATAATGAGATTTCAAATGAGATGGGTGGTAATATAGAAGCAGGAAGGAGCAGACAGGATAGAGGTACAGTACAAATTATATATATTTGATATTGAATGAATGTGATGTTGGTGTATATTGCGAGTATGTATGTCTATGCACCACCTTAGTAAGCACTGAGGGTACAGCAAGCTTTCTTTGGCCAACAACATTCATGTTAGAGTGTTGTGAATAATATTATTATTATTATTATTATTATTATTTTGATGATCCCAAACATAAATCTAGCATCATGTGTCATGTGATTGATAGGTAGGTATATCCCATCTCTTGAATTATATTGACTACTTGTGTGTGTGTGTGTTATCTTAATTAACTGTCTTTTAATAATATTATAATCAATCAACCATCGATTGTTGTGACTGATAATTGACCAACCATATGTTATGTTTTGTGTCCTGTATCCTGTTTGTTGACATATATCACACTCACTCACTCACACACACACAATCGTCGTTACTAAACACTCCTTCCTATATCTAATCTAAATCTATTGTTGTTGTTTTGTAGTTGTATTTTGAGTGAGAATGTATTATATAATACTCACTCTTACTACCAATCTTAATTATACAGACAGTCTAGTCTGTCTACCTGTCTGTCTATTTTATAAATTAATTTTATTTGTAGTAGAATAGTAGAATTTATAAATTACCATTGGATTGTATAATAATAATAATAATAATAATAATAATAATAATAATGTTGTTGTTTGAGAGTGAATAAAACACACAACGATTAATTAATTGACTGGCTCTTGTTATTGTTCTCTTTCAACTCTACCTTTTCCTCTCTCCTCAAATACAACACTATCTATATTATTATTACTGTCTCTTTGTATGTCAACAAACAAATATAAAAAAACAACAACTAAACCATCTATCTCTTTCTTCTTCTTTTTGTTTTTTGATCACACAACTCTATGACGTTGGGTTCTTTACCAATAAATAACAACAGTCTCATTCTGTTAATTTCTCGGTCGATCACACTCTCTCTGGTGTGTTTGTGTGAATGTGTATATTAGTGGGCAATTAGTGTGTATTTGTATTGTAGATGGGTGAGGTGAGAGTGAGAAGAATAAGAAAAAGGAGGGAAGGATAGGGAGTAAGTGTAGAGTGAGTTGAGTCTAGTCTCACATCTATCTATGAAATATAAGAGCCTTACTTTTTGGTTGATCTTCTTCTTCTTCTTTCTAGTCTATACTCCTGTCAGGTTACGCGTTATTATACAGAGAGTTGTCTTTGTTATCTACCTATATACTCTACTCTATCTATCTATCTATCTACCACTCAATACAACCAAACTAACTAACCCCTACTAGTTTTCAAAGGGGATGAAAGGAGTGGAGTTGGTTTTTTTTTTTTCTATTTATTTTTTGGTTTTTTTTTTTTTCTCTACTTGCAACAAACAGGTTGTTGGTATGTATGATCATCTTTATATTTGAGTTCGAGATATATACATATATATATATATATTCCATTGATCTTGATCTTAATGGATCCTATTCTATTATTTTTTTTGCCCATCTAGATTCTTCTATCAAATTAGCATCCTCCCATATATTTCCATCTCTTCTCTGTATATATATATAAATATATATATATATGGAAATATTAATATTCCCATTCCCCCGGTCTTGTGTGAATGTGTGTTTTAAGCTTCTCCTTTGTTTTAGCCCAATGCATCCTGATTTTTTTCAAGCAAAAGAGTTGTTTCGCCCCCTCGTTCCAAAAGTCTTTCGAAAATTCTTTGACAAGAAAGAAAAATTCGTGTGCATCTTTTATTGAGGGCTTGTTTGGATGACCAACTTGGAATGGGAGGATTGCTTTGCCTATTAAAATTTCATTGTCTCTCCTCTCCCTTCCTTCCTTCATTCCTCATCTTTTAACAATCAATCATTTAAAGAAAGAAAGATATTTATTTATTTATTAGTTTATTAGTTTGTTTTAAAGTTAAGTGTAGATATAGATAGGATAGATAAAGAATGCATCGTTCAATATTAGTAGTTATTGGTATTTTTGCCTGTTTGATCAGTTTGATCAATGGAGCTGTTTTTGTATCAAACTCTGCCTCCTCTGACAGTGCTGCAAGTAGTTCAGTTGCTGCTTCATCTGAAGAAATCAGACCATGTGTATTCAAAGCAGGCGAGAATATTGTTGATCTTAACGAACTTACTACCGAGTATGTGTTCATCTCTCTCTCTCTCTCTCTCTATATATATATATATATCTCTCTCTCTCTCCTCCTTCCCTCCTCATGATGATGAATGATAGCAACTGAACAAACAGTCTCTTCTAACCTCAACCTGTTTTTACCTTTCTTCTTCTTTTTTTTTTTTTTAGCACTATCAACTATAGCAATGACTTGGGAAATTTCTCTCTTTCAGGTATGTTGTTGTTGTTGTTGTTGTTGTTGTTTATAATAAGATATTATTATTATCTTTCTTCTTCTTAATTACTTACTTGCTCTTATCAATCAACCAACCAATCAATCTATCTATTTAACCAAATTTGGTTTGTTGCTGATTTCTGCAAACTTTAGTCTGCAGCTTTGTTAGTGGCACTGCCACAGTGAATTGTGGACAGTCTTCCATTTGCTACAAAGATGCTGGTACTGCCAAGACACTCAAGATTGGGTCACATCTCTCAGCACACGAGTTTCAAAACCGCAATGGCTCAGACTTTGGCGTCAAATTTGGTCTTGGTGATCAATGTGGTATGTACAAGATCACCACTGATATCCTCTTTTACTGTCAACAAGGTGTATGTATATCTATCTACATATGTAGTATATGTAAATGAATGTATATGTATTCTAGATATTTATCTATTTCTATTTTATATATAATATAATATAATATAGACATCTGGAACCATTACAAATGCTATTAGAAGTCCACTCCAAGTTGGTGCTGCATGTTATAGAAATTTCACCTTGTCAGTTGGTGCCTCTTATTTCTGTCCACCAGCTCCAAAGGGCGGTCTCTCTGGAGGTGATGTTTTCTTGATCATGTAAGTCAATCCAGCGACAACCATAACTATAATATTATTATTATTATTATTATTATTATTTTTGACCAAACTAACAAACAATCAAATCAAATCAAATCAAATCTTACTAGTTTCTTTGTTGGTTTTGGAGCTTATTTCATTTTCGGAACTGCTATCCAATGTTACAGAGGTAGAAGAGGTACTGAAGCCATTCCAAACCATCATTTCTGGGGATCATTCTTTGGACTTGTTGGTGCTGGTGTTGGTTTCATCAAGAACAAGATTACCGGTGGATCATCCAATGGTAATTACCAAACAGTTTAAACCAAATCGAATGGATATCCCTCATTTGAAAAAATCTGAATAATCATAATAATAATAATAATACATGTATCGACAAATAATAGTATTATTACTACTCTATAATAATAATAATAATAATAATAATAATAATAATAATAATAATAATAATAATAATAATAATAATAATATAAAAATACCCTTTTTAAAAATAAAACTAAAAATAATCTAAAACAAACAAATACAAAGATATCTTTCTTTATATTTTATCTCCCAAACAAACAAATACTATACATTCTTTTAGAGAAAATATAGATAGTATAAATCATAGATAGACAAACCGAGATAAACCCAAACCAAACCAAACCAACCATGATAATCAATAAAAACAAAGACAAACAAACAAGTATGCAATGGAAACCATCAAATTCCCTAGTTTTCGTTTTTTTTTTCGTTCTACTCTTTTTTTTTTTGAGAGAGAGATGATACCGAAAATTTTGGCAGAGTGACGATTAGGGAAAATGATGGTATGTACATAACAAACAAACATAAACATGACATATAAACATAATATATAAACATATTAGTAGAGACTACTGTAACCGAATGATGACAAGCAAAGAAAGAGGGCAGAGTAGAAAGCCCAGAGTAATTTTTGAAAAACTACAGTGAACGATTATCATAACCCCAAAGCATTCAATGATGATTATTGGCCTTTAGTAATCCTACTAATAGTTTTGGTTGGTTGGCTAACTGGCTTGACTCGGTTCGATCTTGATATGGAAATAAATAACCTTGAAAACCACTTATTTAGTTTATGTTTCAAACACTATTTATTCCTATTCACACACGCGTTTTTAGTTGGCAGTGACGACCTTGGTCTTGAGGTTCTATAATAATATAAAAGTAAGTAATAAATGAATATATTAGTATGTCTAATCGCTTCGCTGCTGTCTTTTCTGTAATTACCTTGAAGGAGGCAACGTCTGGGACGAGGGAAGCGACGGTGATCATCTTTTGGGTTTCGTCTTCACCAGATTCGGCTCTCTTTCTTTGGAGAACGACACGGACACGGTTTGGAGTAGTCTTGATACCGTGGGCCCAGATGTACTTGTTCAACTTGTCATCAATGAGGACAACGTTGGTCTTCATGTTCTTTTGAGCGAACTTCTTGATGAGCTTGATGGCACGTGGAGCTCTACGGAAGATGCAGCTAAAATGTAGATAGAAAAGAAATAGTGTAATATGGTGTGATGGAGGTGATTAGTACTGTATCTCTCTGTGCTGTTTACTGTGCTGTATCTGTTATCTCTGTTATTCTGCTAGTACATACATCTTCTTGAGATCCTTTTGGAGGTTGATGGTGTATTCACGGGCAACTGGTCCCTTTTCGGTTCTTTCGACTTTCTTGGTGGACATCTCTGATAACGTGTATGGAGCAATGGAGTAGAACTAAACGTTTGAAGATATCGATATCGATAATTTTCACGCTCTGCCTGCTGCTCGACCTACGCCGCGTCTCCTCTCGGTGCATTGCCAAAAACATATTTTTTTGAAAAATTCACTTTGAATCGAATGAATTTTTGCCCGATTACATTACTCTCATCAAAACTCGTTTTCACCTCTTCATTAAATTAAATTAATTATAATCTACTCTAATATACTTCACACAGATATAGTAACTACTACCTATATATATATATATATGATTCAAAATAGTTAGAGATATAATATGGATTAAATTGAAAGTTTATGAAAAGAGTACCCTCTTCCTTCTCTCTTGTCTCTTCTTTCTCTTTACATCAACTATCATCATATATTATAGTTGTTGTTGGTTTAGTTAGGGTAGGGTATTATAAGTTTACAAATAGTATTTGAATATATAATGTTGATCAGATCCAAAAGTTGTAATAATAACAACAATGAACGAGTACATGGTGATGGATGGGATAGGCCCTACCTCTCTTTTTTTTACAATCTAAAAGGAGATCTCCTGCCCCTGAACCGAGCCGTGTTCAACCAACGCGTTGGTTGGTTTCAACGAGCAACAAACAAACAAACAAACAACCATCTTATGGTGATAGATGAATCTTATCATATGACATTGTTCAAAAAAAAACATAGAGATTGAATAGATAGAGATAAATAGATAAATAGATAGATAGATGAACAACTATTTATATTTATTTATACTTGCAGTTGTTCTTGTTGTTGTGATTACTAGTACCACGCATGTTGTTGTTGTTGAATCAGCACCAGTAACATGTCAAAGAGATTCATTACTCACAGGACAACAGAATCAAGATGTAGATTGGTGGTTAATCATCAAGTTGTCAATGGGTGATTTATACCTCTACTATGATTCTGATATGAAAGAAGAACAATTTTTGGTATGTATAAAACATGTAATAATAATGTATAATAAATAATAATTGTATAATAATAATAATCTAAAATATATTTTTTTAAATTTTTTGAAGCAAGGTAAATTCCTAAGATCAAGGTATAGTGCATTTGGACAAGCATTAAAAACCATTGAAGATGATGCAAATGATTATATTGGTTTTAATGATGATTTTGGACACAGGGATGCCGAGAAAACAAATTCATTTGGTTATTATAATCATGAAAAGGGTATTATTGCTTGGGATGATAATCAAGGTATTTACATTCAACACTCGATTCCAAAGTTTCCAAATGGTGGTGGCTACTTTAAACAAAACAAGGTTGACAGATTTTTCACGATCGATCCAAAACCAGACTATCCAGATGATCAAGACAACTTGGAGTTTCTAAGGTTCGGTCTACTTGGATGGCCATGGGCCCAAGATGGAGGTGGGTATTATTCAATGCTTCCATCTAATATAATGGGTGATCGTACGTGTTCCCAAACCGGGAAGGGTATGTACCCAAAAAACCTTGCTGGGATTGGTCAAATGTTAAAGAATTTTAATTTACCTGGCAATGCACCACACCCTCAACCACAAGATACTGCCAATATATTAAAATCAGCTACCTATGCTCAACATATATTATGTATGTCTTTGGATGCTCAAAATTGTATGTATAATATAATTATTCAAAATGAAATCAATCAAATCAAATCAACACAATTCGATATACATATATGTTTACTTTATTTATTTTTATTTATTTTTAAAAGTTCACAAAATAATGGATTTATTTAAAAATATGATGCCAAACAAGTGGAAAACAATGCCTGAAAAAATGTTGTTTGTAACAAAGACAGGTATACAAGAAGAGTTTGTATATAAACCTGAAGAGTATCTTACAAGAGACGGTGTATATACTTGGTCGATGGATCATAGAGGTGATGCTACAAAGAAGATTTATCTTATGGGCAAATACTTTGGACCCGATAAGAATCTTTGGAATGACGGTTTGTTTTGGGCCGACAAGTCTTGTAATCCACAAAGCAAAGATCAAGCAACAAGGGAAGCCAATCAACCATGTATTCCAACTTGGGTAGAAGGTGGTCTTTCTCCATTAACATTATCCACACACTACTACTTGGGAGCCAAATATGATCCGGAAAAATTCAAATTCCCAAAATTCACAACTACATTTAAACATGGAACCAAGTCACAATTATTCGCTTGGGGTGCTGGTTATGGAGAAGGAGCAGATCATAGCAAGATTGCATTTATTGAAGATCCAAATCATCCAAATTACGATTTATGGAATGTTTGTTTTAGTGGTTCAAATTTAAAACAAACAAAGGGTTCAGTATTGGTATGTTGGTAATAATAATATTTATTTATTTATTTATTTATTTATTTATTAATGTTATTTTGTTTTGTCTTTATTATTAGGTTTGTTTTAAAAAAGATTCATTGGTGAAAGCATTTATTAATCTTCAAGAGGGGGCACAAGAATCAATTAAAAGTTGGAGTGAAGAGACAAAGGGGGCAGATGGAAAACCATGGACGATCTATCAATCATGGGATCCAGAGGGGGACTTTGCCAAATATTATAGGTATCATAGTCCCCAATTGGCATGTAATGCTGTCAGAGGTGTCACGAATCCTCATTTATTGACACCAGAAACATTTTCAGAAGAAAAGTATGATAAGATACTACATTACACAACTATTTTCGAACACTATCTTTGGACAAGACAACCCAACCCTTCAAAAAACCCTATTACAACGTTGGAGAAATTCTATGCTGTTCATAATTTGGAAAGACCTCAACCGGCATTCACTGCTATGATGGGCAGATCCCCTCCTACAAGGAATCCAAATAAAGAATCTCCACTAAAGAAACAGAGAACAGGTCTCTCTCCAACAGAAGAGAAGAAAGAAGAGAAGAAAGAAGAGAAGAAAGAAGAGAAGAAAGTTGAACCAAAGGTAGACTCACTAAGACAACGCTATATGAATCTTCCTAGAAACTTCAGACAAAACAAGCAACTCGAATTAAAAGCAAATGAAGCCAATACAAAACGTTTTGTTTGTGCTGGTGGACAAGTCATTAATATAGTTGGTCAAGCTACTCATCAAGAAACTGTTGATAGATGTAATAGTCAAAATAACGGCGGTCAATAAATAAACCAAATAAATAGGAATAAAGGTCTACTTGATTGAAATTGGGATCAGCCACCCTGTTTCACAAAAAAAAAAAAAACCCAAACCGCCAATTCGTGTTCAACCACGTTGGCTCTCTACCACATCACATATTAACTAGCGCACTACTATGATTATGATATTATTTAAAAGAAGATAGAGATAGACAAGATAGAGATAAATAGATAAATAGATAGATAGATGAATAACTATTTATATTTATTTATACTTGCAGTTGTTGTTGTGATTACGAGTACTCATGTTGTTCAATCAGCACCAGTAACATGTCAAAGAGATTCATTACTCACAGGACAACAGAAATCAAGATGTAGATTGGTGGTTAATCATCAAAGTTGTCAATGGGTGATTTATACCTCTACTATGATTCTGATATGCATGAACATCAATTTATGGTATGTATATTATTTAAATAATAGGTTTGTTTTAATATATTTACTTTTGTATTTACTTTTTATTTTTCTTGAAGCAAGGTAAATTCCTAAGATCAAGGTATAGTGCATTTGGACAAGTTTTAAAAACCATTGAAGATGATGCAAATGATTATATTGGTTTTAATAATGATTTTGGTCATGAGAATCTAGCAAGGAATAATCCATTTGGTGAATATAATCATGAAAAGGGTATGATTGCTTGGGACAATACACAAGGTATTTATATTCAACATTCTATACCAAAGTTTCCAAATGGTGGTGGTTATTTGAAAAAGGTTGATAAGTTTTATACAATCGATCCAAAACCAGACTATCCAGACGATGAAGATAGTTTGGAGTTTCTAAGATTCAGTTTACTTGGATGGCCATGGGCCAATGATGGAGGTGGTTATTATACAACGTTTGCTTCTAATATAATGGGTGATCGAACATGTGCCAATACCAATTCAGGTACCTATCCATATAAACTACCCAAGATTGGTCAAATGTTAAAGAATTTTGGGTTCCCCGATGGAGTACCTCATCCTCAACCACAAGATACTGCCAATGTATTAAAATCAGCTTCATATGCACAACATATATTTTGTATGTCTTTGGATGGTACTAATTGTATGTATAATAATATATTCAAATCAAAGTTAATTAAAAGTACACAAAAGAAAGTATATATTAATTTAATTTAATTTAATTTATTTTGTTTGGTTTAAATAGTCCAAGATATAATGGCATTATTTCAAGATTTAATGCCAAACAAGTATAGTCCAATGCCAGATAATATGTTGTTTGTAACAAAGACTGGTGACTTGCAAACTAACTTTGCATATAAACAATTGAAAGATGTAGTAAGAGATGGTGTTTATAAAAAGGTGATGCATCAAAGAGGTGATGATACAAAAAAGATTTATGCTTTGGCAAAATACCAAGGAAACAAGAATCTTTGGACTGATAGTCTGTTTATGGCAGATGAATCTTGTGATCCAGGTAATGATGATTTAGAAGTTAATCAACCATGTATTCCAACTTGGGTAGAAGATATTCCTCCATTAACATTGACTGCATATAACCTTGGAAAGGCATTTGATCCAGCTAGATTTAAATTCCCAAAATTTACAACTACATTTGTTCAAGGTCAATCATCACAATTATTCGCTTGGGGTGCTGGATATGGAGAAGAAGCAGATCACAGTAAGATTGGTATTTTGGAAGATGAGAATCATCCCAATTATAAAATATGGAATGTTTGTTTTAGTGGTTCAAATTTACAACAAAAAAAGGGTTCAGTTTTGGTATGTTGTATAAAATACATAGTTATATATATATATAGTTAACATACATATATAATTATTTGTATATGTTAATATTAATGTTTGTTATTTTGTTTTGATTTATTTTTAATTTAGATTTGTTTAAAAAAAGATTCATTGGTGGAAGCATTTAAAAATCTTCAACTCAATGCACCAGATACTCAGGTGTCACCTGGATCAGGAACAGTATGGGCAGAGAATATAAGAATGCAGTCTAGGAGTTGGACAGCCAAACGATCATGGGATCCAGAGGGAGACTTTGCAAAATATTTTAAGAGTCATAGTGCTCAGTTGGTATGTGATGCCATTCGAAATACCAAAGTGGCGAATCCAGAATCATTCAAACCTGAAATGTTTGCAGGTCAACCAAAGGATGTACAAATACTATATACAACAATTATAGAACACTATCTATTTACTAGACAGAGTAACCCAACAAATGCACCCATTACAACATTGGAGGATTTCTATACCGGGTTGAATTTAATAAGACCGGTTACAAATGTCCCACCTCCCATGCAAGCACGTAAACAACCACCACTCCCAACTACACATCGTCCATCAGCTGTTACCACTACACAACCAGCAGTTAAAAAAAGATTGGTGTCAGATATGGAGGCACAAACAACATCAGCTGTCAATAATCGAAAAGAAGAAGAAGGACCACCAAAAAAGAGAATGAGATCGGAAGAGAAAAGAGCAGCTCTACAAGGTATTATTGATGATATTGATATATTCACATACGAAATCAAATCAATACAGAAATTGGTTAATTTTGGTTTAGAACAAGCTGATGATGAAGGTGTTGATGATTGGATCAAACCATACATTTTAGAAAAGAATCAAGAAATTAAGAAATTGTGTGATACATTTTATCAAGCCAAGAAATTACAAATGGAAGAGTTGGAAGCAAACACAATCCTCTATGATTGTGATGTTGAATTACCAATTGAAACTGATACAACAAATGCTGATGGACAAGACCCACCCAAACCACAAGATACACCAATGGAAGAGGAAAAGAGTGATCCTATCATTCAACTAGTTGGTCAAACTTCAAAAAAGGATATTAACGATAGATGTAATCAATCTAAATAATAAATATCATTTTATTTAATAAATAATAATATTTATTTATTTTCCATCCTTTTGGATCTTTGCAAAAAAAAAAAAAAAAGAATAATCACGTGCACAGAAAGGCACGTGTTCAGTGGATGGCATAACGATCAATTATCTAGATGATTTATTTAATTAAATAAAAGCATGTAAAGTTTTGAACACGTTAGCTTGTCATCGTTCATAGTTCTTGTCACTATGTTAAAAGAAGATAGAGGTAGAGATAAATAGAGAGAAATGGGTAAATCTTTATATTTATTTATACTTGCAGTTGTTCTTGTTGTTGTGATTACTAGTAACACGCATGTTGTTGTTGTTGAATCAGCACCAATATCATGTCAAAGAGACTCATTACTCACAGGACAACAGAATCAAGATGTAGATTGGTGGTTAATCATCAAGTTGTCAATGGGTGATTTATACCTCTACTATGATTCTGATATGCATGAACATCAATTTATGGTATGTATCACACTCTCTTGATAGATATGTACATATTTACTTACAATTATTCTTTATTTTTATTTAATTTGAAGCAAGGTAAATTCCTAAGATCAAGGTATAGTGCATTTGGACAAGCATTAAAAACCATTGAAGATGATGCAATTGATTATATTGGTTTTAATAATGATTTTGGACATCAGAGTCAAGTAAAGAATAATCCATTTGGTGAATATAATCATGAAAAGGGTATGATTGCTTGGGACCTTGAGCAAGCTATTTACATTCAACATTCTATTCCAAAGTTTCCAAATGGTGGTGGCTACTTTAAACAAAACAAGGTTGATAAATTTTTCACTATCGATACTCAACCAGACTATCCAGACGATGAAGATAGTTTGGAGTTTCTAAGATTCAGTTTACTTGGATGGCCACGGGCCATTGATGGAGGTGGTTATTATACAATGTTTCCATCAAATATAATGGGTAGTCGAACATGTACCAGTACCGGCCCGGGTACAATCTATCAATCAAAACTACCCAAGATTGGTAAAATGTTACAGAATTTTGGGTTCCCCGATAGTGTATCAAAACCTCAACCACAAGATACTGCCAATGTATTAAAATCAGCTTCATATGCACAACATATATTTTGTATGTCTTTGGATGCTCAAAATTGTATGTATAATAATAATAATATTCAAAATCAAATCAAAAAATATACGAATATTTATTTATTTATTTATTTGTGGTAATTTTGGGTTGGTTTATATAGTCCAAGATATAATATCATTATTTCAAGATATAATGCCAAACAAATGGAATGATATGCCAAAGGATATGATGTTTGTAACAAAGACTGGTATTCCACAACCTTATTTTTCATATAAATTACTGAAAGATGTACAAAGAGATGGTGTTTATAAAAAGGTGATGAATCATAGAGGTGATGCTACAAAGAAGATTTATGCTTTGGCCAAATACCAAGGTACAAAAAAGAATCTTTGGGCTGATAGTCTGTTTATGGCTGATGAATCTTGTGATCCAGGTAATGATGATTTAGAGGTCAATCAACCATGTATTCCAACTTGGGTAGAAGATATTCCTCCATTAACATTGACTGCATACAACCTTGGAAAGGCATTTGATCCAGCTAGATTCAAATTCCCAAAATTTACAACTACATTTGTTCAAGGTCAATCATCACAATTATTCGCTTGGGGTGCTGGATATGGAGAAGAAGCAGATCACAGCAAGATTGGTATTTTGGAAGATGAGAATCATCCAAATTATAAAATATGGAATGTTTGTTTTAGTGGTTCAAATTTACAACAAACAAAGGGTTCAGTATTGGTATGTATAAATATAGTTATATATATATATATTTACATATTAATATTAATGTTATTTGTTTTTTAGATATGTTTAAAAAAAGATTCATTAGTTGAAGCATTTAAAAATCTTCAGGTCAATGCACCAGATGCTCAAAGGTCACTTGTAACAGGTGATATTTGGGGAGAGAGGATAACTGGGCAAGTTCAAAATTGGTTAGCTAAAAGATCATGGGATCCAGAGGGAGACTTTGCAAAATATTTCCAGGATCATAGTGCAGAGTTGGTATGTAAAGCCATTAAAAATCCACTGGTGAAAGATCCAGATTCATTCGAACCTAAAATGTTTGCAAGTCAACCATTGAACGTACAAATACTATATACAACTATTATCGAACACTATCTATTTACAAGACTAAAGAATCCAACAAATACACCACTCACAACATTGGAGGCATTCTTGACTGAATTGGGTCTGGTCAAACCAGAAATGCCTGTTCCAGTTCCTCTACAAACACGTAAACAACCACCAATACCAATTATACATCGTGCAAATGCAAATGCAGCTATTGTAAACAACAACAAACCAGCAGCAGTTAAAAGATTGGCATCACAAACAACAAATAATCGAAAAGTAGAAGAAGAAGGACCACCAAAAAAGAGATTCAAAACTGAAGAGAAAAGAGCAGTTATAGAAGGTATCATGGATGAGATGGACGATTTCACAGAGGGGATCAAATCAATACAGAAAATGGTTGATTTTGGTTTAGAACAAGCTGATGATGATGATCCTGATTTAATCTGGATCAAACCATACTTTGTAGAAAAGAATTTACAAATCCAAAAATTGTGTGATGCATTTTATCAAGCCAAGAAATTACAATTGGAAGAATTGGCATCAAAAACTAATCTTTATGATTGTGATGATGATGTTGAAATACCAATTGAAACTGATACAACTCCCGATGATGGACAAGACCCACCCAAACCACAAGACACAATAATGGTAGAGGAAAAGAGTGATCCTATCATTCAACTAGTTGGTCCAACTTCAAAAAAGGATATTAACGATAGATGTAATCAATCTAAATAAATACAAATAAATACAAATAATATTATTAATTTATTTATTTCAATTCCCCTTGTATTCTTTTTAATTTCTAGCTAAATAGATATTTTGGTATATGTTTCAAAAAATATCTATTTTTCATGATTGTTTACTATTATTGAATACCGAGTATAAGAACCTTTATTTCTATTCATTCATCTCTTATTATACTTTTATAATAATAATAATACAAAAATGTTAACATTTATATCTATTTTTCGAGTACCTTATATTAATCAATTAATTTTCACAAATATCAAACACATTTCAAAACAAATCTATTCAACTTTAACAAAACATGATGGAACATTGAATGTATCACAAAAAGGTAGTGATATCATTACATCACAACAACCACTTTTAGCAATGATATCACAATATGCATTACCATGGCATTTTATTAAACATTATATCAATAATAACAAAGAAGAATTATTGTTTGAAAGAAGAATGTATTCAATTACAAAATATTGTAGTCATCCAAATGCTACATTAGATACTCTTATACATCTATTAGAATGGTCACCAGATTATGATCCACAAAAGGATTATTATGCAAGTTATTATACTAATTTAGTTGCCAGTATAGCATCGGTTGGACATGTTGCTATACTTGAACACCTTATTAAACGGTACCCAAACCTAGACTATTATAATGCCTATGACATGGCTGCTGAAAATGGACATCTTCCCATTCTAAAGCTTCTCACTGAACAGACATCTGCTCAATCTAATGATATATCAGGTGCACTCGATCAAGCTGCTAGAAGAGGCTATCTCGATGTTGTAACCTATATTCATCAAACTAGACCAGCATCAAGTAAATCTGAATTCTCAAATGCATTGGATTCTGCTGGTAGTAATGGTCATTTAGATATGTTAAAGGTAACTAACTTACATATACTTATATCCCACCATATTATAATATACATTTAATTAATTTCTTTTTATTTTTTTTAATTACTTTAGTTTCTTCTTTCAAATAGAGTAGTATTTAAATGTACTGAAAATACTGCAAATGGAGCTGCCAATAATGGTCATTTGCATATATTAAAGGTATCTATATAGATATTATTGATTGGTTGTTTGATAGATACAAAGATAAAAAAAAGATGATATATATATTAATATTGTATTTAATATTATTTTAGTACTTGCATGAAAACAAAATAGAAAATGTATTTTCAAAAAGATGTATGGATTTTGCATCAATGAGAGGACATTTTGAGGTTGTACAATGGTTACATAAAAATAGAACCGAGGGATGTACAGTAGCAGCATTAAATAGAGCAACAACTTTGGAATTAATTCGATTCCTTCATTTGAATCGTACAGAAGGTGCTACTACTTTGGCAATTGATAGTGCTGCTTTTTATGGTTTGGATATGGTAAAATATTTAGCTGAAAATAGAAGTGAAGGATGTACACCAACAGCTTATGAAAGTGCTGCATTGGGAAATGTTGAATTGGAAGTATTCCAATATTTACATGAGAAATTTAATTTGGAATGTACAAAACAAACATTACGTACACTGGCAAAGAACGGTAGAGTTGATGTCATTCATTATTTTAACAAACAATTTCCTACATCAAATATTTGGAAACCAAAAATTATGGATACAGCCGCTGAATATGGTCAAATTGATGTTGTCAAGGTAAATATAAAAATATAACAAACAAAAAAATATATATAAAAATATATTATTTATTAATCATTTTGTCACAAATATTAATTAATATCTCTTTTTTTTGTTTTTAAATTAATATACTATTAGTATTTACATGAAAATAGATCAGAGGGATGTACAAGGAGAGCTATGGATGAAGCATGTGGTGATGAAGGGTCACTAGAGATGGTGAAATGGCTTCATTTTAATAGAACTGAGGGTTGTTCAGCCAATGCTATGGATACCGCAGCAAGATATGGTAAAATTGATATTGTAAAGGTAATTATAGTATAGTATTAGTTGGATCCATATATTTAGATTACCAGAATATATTTTGATCAAAAGAATATTAATATTTTTTTAAATATTTCTTTTTTTATAGTTTTTACATTATAATCGTACAGAAGGATGTTCAATTGATTCAATGGGAGCAGCTGCACAATATGGACATTTAGAAGTCATGGAATTCATTCAAGAGAATTGTGAGGACGCATATATGGCAAGCACCGTTTTCTATGACAATAGAAGTCCCTTTAGAAACTACAACAAAATCGTTCAATTTGTGTTGGACAGGAAATTGGTTGAAAAAGAATTTATCGATAAAAGACATACTGTCTATCTTGCTACCAATGCTCATTATGAGATTCTTCAATTGGTTAACCAATATATCAAACAAAATTAAAAGAATCCAATAGATGGTATTGTCACCCAAGTCCAACTGTTTTTTTTTTCCCCACGTACCACACACTTCTTTTCATCATCGTACCCCATTGGAACTGGTAACAAAACACCCCAGCTCAAACACTATCTCTCTCTTCCCAATTAATTAAAATTAATTTATAAATATTAGCAAATCATTTGTCTCAATTAATTACAATATATATCAGATAATAATAATAATAAAATAATGTCAAGTCGAATTAATCTAGATTAGATTTCAAGTGTATGGGAAAAACAACAACACCAACAACAGGTCTATAGACCTGTTACAATACCAATGTTGTTTACTCAAGTAAACAAATCTGTGACACAATCTCATTTAAAAGGTAGATTTGGTCAGTACACAAACGACTCAACTAGTTAGCATTTACTAAATTAATCATCGCACCACACCCACATGACATTGTATTTAACTCGACCAGTAACAAGCACCACCAGAACAAACAACAATAATAATAATAATTTGAAAAGGGTTTACTCATTCTATCACTCAATTCATTTTCTATTCAGTACTGAATGAATAATATTAGATATGGTTTCCTTTTGGTTAATCTCTTTGGTTATAATCATATTATCATTTGTATGTACAACTATCTATCTTTGTTTGATTGGATCAATAATTAACTAATTCTAATTTTCCAAAATTTGTACTTTTACAAAAAGGTGATCAGAAACAAAAAATATAATGAAAAGGATCCACCAGGCCCTTTTTCATATCCAGTAATAGGTATTGGACCTTTTAAATTAGGATGTATTCATTTAGTGTTTAGATACTATTTAGATAGATATGCAAAGGTTGGAAAGGTTTTAAAAATATTTTTATTTGATCAGCCTTATATCACTATTGCCAATCCAACAGTCCTAAAGAATGTTTATTCTGCAGAGAATGGACAATATTTCAAAACTAGACCTCCACCCATCAGACATATTTTAGCTCACAATACAAACAATTCTTTTATTATGGCTGATTATCCACAATGGAAAGAAACACGTAAATTATTAATTGGATCATTTGGTAAATCTAAACTAGCAAAGAATTACTCCCCTTTTATTGATTCTCAAACTCAAGAATTATTAAAAAAGTTTAAACATTATAATGGACAACCTGTAAGCCTAAAAAAACTTTAATTATACTTTATAACAAATTTAATTATATTTCGCTAATTTAATATTCTTAAATTTAATTAGATTGAAATCAATGATTATTGGAAGAAATATTTTATGAATATGGTTTCAAATCATGCATTTTCACATTATGTTTCATATGATGAAGATTTTAATCAAGGATTTTATCACAAAATATATCATGCACTTGAAGGTATCAATTTTGGAATGCTTGTACAATTAATTTTTTCAAGTTCCTATTTTATGTGGCCACTCAATTATTTGATTCAATTTATTCTAAAAGATCATTATACTGCTCTGCTAACTGAATTAACAAATATCTATAATCAACATGTTAAAACTATTGATGATGAAAAGTATGTCATGTAATCTGTGTACAATGGTTAAAACAACAGACTGGTACTAACAAACAAACCATTTATTTATTAATTTATTAATTTATTTTTATAGTCCAAGAGATTTATGTGATTTATTAATTTCAGCAGGAAATGAAAAGGAATATGTTATAAATACATGTTTTGATATGTATACTGGTTTGGAAACATCATTATTTACATGTCAATGGGCAGTTTTAATGTTAAACAATTATCCACTTGTTCAAGAAAAGGTGTTTCAAGAACTCGACGAAATAGTTGGTCGAGGTAATCAATGTTTTATATCACATCGTCCAAATACTCCTTATTTCAATGCATTCCTATTAGAAGTATTCAGGTATAGACCAACCGTCATTTATTCATTCCCAAGAGAATGTACTCAAGATGTTATACTTTCAGATTACTTTTTCCCAAAGAATGTATGTAAATCCTCTAAAAGATTAAAAAAAATAGATAAATGACAGTAGAGATTAACAAACAACAATTTTTAATTTAAAATGTTTAGTGTATGGTAGCAGCAAGTGTAGATGTACTTCATCATGATCCAGATTATTTTGATGATCCACATACATTTAATCCAGATAGATTTATGAATCCTCCGATTGGACAATTAAACAACAAAGAGAATATTTTACTTTTTGGATCAGGTAATAAGATTTGTATTGGAATGAATCTTGTCAATGATGCCATCTATATTGCTTTGACCAATTTACTGTTAAACTTTAAGATCAAAAGTAAATCTGGAGAATACCAATTTTTAGATGAAACTGAAACATCTATAATCTTTAGTTCCCCCAATAATTATTCTTATTGTTTATCTCAAAGATAGATTTAAATAACAAATTAAATTAATAATATTGGTAAATAGTTTAAATCCAATCTTTTTATCATCAATCCACTCCTAAAAATATATTAAATAAATAGAATTAAAAGTATTTATAAAATGATTGTGTCTCTTTTTTTTTTTGGTTTAAACAAACGTTTTAGAAGATAATTAAAACCATATATTGGTTCAATCAATGGATATGTTGATGTGATGATAGAATTTAATAGTCAATACAAAGTAATAATTATTAGATATTGGTATGCTTTGAAAGGTTTGAACCCAATAGATATATATCCATTAATTATTACTTTGTTTTGGCTATTAAATTCTATCATCATGAATCAAACACTTTCTTTTTTTGGAGGTTGTTATTTCTGGAGTATAAGAGTTCATTGTTTGGTCCATATTCTTCCATGTGTGATTCTTTTGAATAGTGTGCAATATTGACTAGTACATTGTAATACCTAAAAGATATGTATAAAAGATATTGAAAAAAATGCAGCTTACGTGTCACAAGAATAATTGCTTATGGTTCAAAGAAGTTGTCTCCTTCTGAGAGAAACTATTCTACTTTGGAAAAAGAAATGCTCTCGGTTGTTTATTCATTGCGTACTAACTATTATAATACAAGTAAATAAATCACGACGAGGGACATCTTGGCCAATCAACCATTGCTAATATCAATCAATTAGCTGTCGTGAATCCACAAGCTATTGCTGCCATTGCATTATATGATGGATCTATTGGGGTTACAATCGATAGCAACGGCTTGAATAGATATTGATTTTACGAAATCAATAATGGTGGTGACTTCTTGGATGGTCTTGACATTGACGAGAAACAATGTGGCTAGAAGCCATTAATTAGTTTGGCACCTTTTTTGATTGGTCTGATGACCTTAAAACGATGACTGTTGATAGTTACTGTCTGGGTGGACATGTCTACATCATACTCTTTAGCAAATCTGGCATAGTCATAGCCAACTTTTTCTATTAAAGGTTCTATCCTTTGTAATTCCTCAAAGAGAGAATTTATTCTTTTGGAAAAGGAAGTAATCTTATGTTCTTATCTGTTGTAATGTTGTATAAATATGATGATAAATTAAATGATAGTAATGTTTAATTCTTTTCTAAATTTTGGTATATAAAGAGCTGATATAGATTTGCTGAGTGTATCAGTTTTGTCCACTTTTCAGAAATATCTGTCACCTAATCAGCAAAACTTATAAATACTCATCTCTATCTGTAATATTCCTACTTGTTATTGCGATGTATCTAAATAAATATATTAAATGTGACACAACAAATTTTAATATGGCGAACGACGATCAATCTTTTTTTTTTAAAAAGCCTAAATAACTTAGTTGTACAAATAAAGGAATATACAATACTTTGTTTAAACATATTATTCATTTTATTTATTTTTTTTAACTAGTTTTTGTAATTTTAAAAGTTTTTTTTTTGTTTTTCTTTTTTTTGTTGTTTGTTTCTGGATTGGGAAACTATGAATTATTCTAATTATTATTATTATTATTATTTTTTGTTGGTATATAGGGTTCTTTGGTTGATTCAATTCTTTTTACACTGGTCTCTCTCTTTTTTGTTTCCTTTTTTTTTTGATTGTTTTGGTTTGTTTTGATTAATGTGGTTTTTGATTGACCAATTCACCAAAAGCACCATCTGTACATCTCTTGAGATCTTTGTAGCTGACGACGAGGAGTGATTGTTCGTCTCTGCTCATGAGCATGATCTTTTCATTGACACCGCTATCGAGTTTGTTGAGTGCGTCAATGACGTGATAGAAATCGAGGACGGGGGTACCATCATCGTAGACCTGGTGAAAGACATAGTCGCGGAACAGCTTGAGCAAGTAGCGGTCGCCAGTCTCGGACCAACGAGGGTCGAGGTCAAACGAGGGACGCTCGTTGATATATCCGAGCTTGACCATGAGTCTAAAGAGACGTCCATTCTCAATCTCTTTGGTCAACTCGGTCTCGAGCTCATCGGTGTAGCTGTGAAGATAGGTGTTTTCCTGTAGCAAGCGTGGCGCAATCATCGAGACAATGTCGTCGATTGTGGGGGGTGGCATATTGGGTTGCGGCTTGCTAAGCAAAAAGATGACAAGGTTTTTGAATTCCTTGCTATACTGCGACGAGATAAACTCGATCGATTTGCTCAAATTATTGTTGGTCGACGCCACTGCCGAGCGACACGCCAACGACAATAACAGTCTCCCAAATATCACGAGATCCTCGTGTTGGAACTGTGCCAAGTTGCGTGGTGTGTCAAAATTGACCACGTCAAAGATACCCACGCCGTTGATACGTATCCTGTTCTTACCGGTCAACAAAATCTTGGATGGATGGATCACACGACACACCAACCCATTACTATGGATCAGCTTGAGTGCCGATGTCAACTGACAAATAAAGCTCCACAACACTGCCTCATTCAATATTCCTCCACTACCATTCTGTGTCAAATATTTTGATTCCAATGTTTCTGATCCTGGATGAAATTCATATGTAAAAAATATTGCTTCAAAAAAACAAATAAAATAAAAGATAAATATATTATATTATTATTAATATTCCTTGTTTGTTTTGTTTTTTTCCTACTTACAACTATTATCACCAAATTCTTTTGAAACAAATATTTCTTTTAATGAAACAATCGATGGATGTTGAATATTTCTCCAAGTGTCGGCAGCTTGCAAAGCAAACTCGCTCGATAGTCGGAATCCCTCGACACGACGAATGGCGTATGGGTAGCCGTCGTTTGTACTGATTGCCTTATATACAGAGGTTGGGTATCCAAACATCATACCAACCTTATCGCGTGAAGTCTCGCTATCCAATGGATACAGTGAATGATATTTATGAAGTATTGGTGGAATATTTTTCATTCTTGGATCTAAATGAATATAAAAATAAAAAGAAGAGTAGTTGAATATTAATGTCTACCAATCCAAATCAAAACCTATATATATGTCGCTTTAGATTTCTTTCTTTCTTTACCATTTGGATCCAAGGTTGCGTAGAGTAAAGACTTTTGTTTTAAAAGATCTTGTCTCAAACTCTCGGACATGAAAAATGAGTTGAGATATCTTCTTCCAGCAGTTTGTTTTGTTCTTGAATTTGTTTGAGAATATGATGGATATGGAGTATACTAAGTTTCAAAAAATAATAAATAATAAATAATAATTATAAATATTTTAAAGTTGTAAAGGATTAAGAGTTGTCTAGAGAGAGGGATATATAGGATCATATTGAATCATACAATTTGGGGAATTCTTGGTTGGTTTGGATTTTGTGATTGTGCCGCATATTGTTGTTGTTGTTGTTGTTGCTGTTGTTGCATTTGTTGAATTTGTTGCATTTGTTGCATTTGTTGTATTTGTTGCATTTGTTGTATTTGTTGTTGAGTATATGATTGTGGTGATGGTTGTTTCTGTTGTTGTTGTAGGACAGATGCAGCATGATTGTTTTGTTGTTGATACATAACATAGGGTTGTTGTTGGGTTTGATCCATATCATAAATCGGACCGTGCCCACCATTATTATTTTCCAACCAAACATTCTGTTGTTGTTCTCCACTATTACTACTACTGTTACTTCCACCACTACCATACATGTTTCTATTTCCAACACTAACACTATTGTTTCCTCCTGGTGGACTCATCATATTTTGAAATGATTGTATCATTGGATCCCTAGACACAAAAGTAAAGCATATAAGTGTTAGATCGTCATCATCATCATCATCGAGATAAAGTATATTGTTATGTTCACATCTCTATATTGTAGTTGAAGATCTTCAAAGATATCCTATCCTATCTATCTAACTGTCTATCTCTGTCAATGTACAATAAAAGTATATATTCTATTGTATACAATATCATATCTGTTGAGCATAATAGTAGAGAAGAGGGATAGATGTATTATAGTAGTTGATGACGATGCATACATGTTTGGTTGCTGTTGCTGCTGTTGTTGATAGCCTCCACCGCCACTTGCAACATTCTTGTTTGTGTGACTCATGTCTCTATCTCTCTCTCTATCTCTATATCTCTTTCTCCTGTTATTTCCTATTTTATGGTTGTTTACGATTGCAATTAGAGCACTCTAATTCTCTTTCCTTCTTCTTTGTGTGTTTACTGTTTTTTGAAAAAGAAAGAATTTTCAAAACAGAATTATTATTTTTTTTATTTATTTTTAAATGATAGGTTGACTGATGGGTGGATGAAAGATAGAATGATTCATTAAAAATTATAATAAATATTTTTTATTATTCTAGAAATATTATTTATTACTTTTATCTGTATATTTATCCCAATTATCTTTATTTATATATTTGATTTTTTTTTTTTTGAACGAATGTTTATCGTTTCCTGCTTCAAACACACTCACACCCCACTTTTTGAATAATGATCATTCTTTTTTTTTTGGTCTACTACTTTATTTATTCGTCTTGGTTTTTATTTTTATTATTTATTTTTAAAAGTTAAAATTTTAAATGATATCTATTTTAGAAGAATTAAATGTTTATATTAATATTTTAACTCAAAATGTAAAATCATTCATCTTTCAAAATAATAGAATCATTATTTATCTTTCCATCATAGTTCATTTACTTGCCATTTTAATTTTATTTTATCTTCCTTTTTTGGGTATGTTTTTTTCACCAACAAGAAGAAACTTTGACTTTAATCATTTCATTCAACTCTCTCTCTCTAATCTTTTGTGTTTTAAATGTATGTTTAGGAAGAAATACATATCTATCAGAAAAGAATTTACAGTGTACTGTAACACCATTCATATCAAACTCTTTGACTTTTGTGAAACAGGCTGAAGAGTATCATAGATCATTGATTGAAGATGACGATGATGAAGTAGCTAATCGAGCATATTGGATACACGATAGATTGATTGAAATTGGGTCGGTGGATGTCCAGATACATAGGTTTAACGCATCAAGGGATCGTGTTGGTATCAATGTGATTGGAGTGTTGCGTGCATCACGAGCCATTGGAACTGAATCATTTGTCGTAACAACTACATACGATCAGAACAAGAGTGAAGGAGGTATAGCCTTTCTACTCGCTTTTATAGAGTATCTTGGTGAAAAGAGTCGATGGAGTTCTAGGGACCTATACTTTGTGTTTACAAGTGAGGGTCGTGACCTTGACATTAGTGGTGTATCTGTTTGGCTCAATGATTATGGTCAATTTAAAAGTACCAACAAGAATATTGGTTGGACAAAACAGCCATTAATGAGAAGTGGTCCTATATTTGGTACGATTGCATTGGATAGGATTGTAACATCGGATGATTTATTTAAAAAGATTATAATCTATCCAGAGGGATTAGAGGGGTCTTTACCAAACCTTGATATGGTTAATGTCTTGTCCACTACATCTTATCTAAACGATGTTCCAGTTGGACTCAGTTCGATGGGTCATTGGGAGCCACCCGTTGGTTCAATCACCGGTCTATTATCTTTTATCCTTCATTCATCCATTTCACTTCCAAGATCTAATCATGCTATCTATACACGTTATGGAATCAACTCTATTGGTATAAGTACTGATGCCTCTCGTAACTTTTTCGATTTTGATTATTACTCTTCACCACTTAGGAATATTCATACAGATAGCAATAATAACTCACTAAATATAATATCACCATCAAAAACATTTATCACTCTTGGAAAGATCATTGAAACTACAATCAGACATTTAAATAATGCTGATGAACAATTACATCATGTATGTTAAACATAGAACATCGTCCATCACAATTATAACTAACAAATTTATTGTTCAAAATATTTAGAGTTTTAGATGGTATATGTTGGGAGGATCGGTATATTTTATAGATACTGGACAGGCATTACTACCAATGATACTATCAACCATATCAAACGTTATATTGATATTAAATATATTATTTAAATATTCTCAAGGACAAAAAGGAAAAGATAATAATAATAACAGTAGCACTAATTCATTTTATTTATCCTTATTTAAATCATTTCTATGGTTTATTCCATTACTACTATTATTGATATCATATCTTTTATTACCTACATTTTTATCAAATATTCTTGGTCTTTTACCAACTATCGATTTAAATGTAAATATTTATTAATTAATTTATTTAACTTGTTTCTAACTTTTTTTTTTTTTTTTAAACTAGATTACAAATACACATTGGATAATTGAATTATTTAATGATATTTATTTATTAAAGGATAATATTGAAAATCAAATAATTGTATCGTCAATCATTTATTTAATAATGTGTACACTATTTTATTGGCTTATTTATAAACCTTTATTTCAAACTTTAACATCTATTCTTACACCCCCGCCATCAACCCAAGATGAAAATGAATCGACCATGAAAAAAGATTCTTTAATATTGATATTATTAGGATGTATGTACTTTTAATTTCAAAAGTTTTCTATCTTTTTTTTTTTTTCTAATCATTATTTCCATTATCTATAGATTTAACATTAATAGGATTAATATTAATGATAAGTAATAATCAATTTGCATGTTTATTTATTGTACTTTCATTACCAGGACATCAATTTTTATTATTATTATCAAACAAAGAATCACATAGTTTTTTGTCACGAATGACAATTATTGTTTGTTCAAGAATATCTATTATAATGTTTATTGGGTGGACCGTAATCAGCGTAGGTTGGAAGAAATCAGTCATTGGAATCATCCATGGACATTATTATTATGGTTCCCAACTATTTCCTTTTATTTTATTTTTTTTAATTCCTTTCAATATTTTCATGTTGTTGTCTAAAAAAATTCAAAAGTAATCTGATTTTCGGTTTTTGATGAAAGATGACAAAAGAGATAAACAACAACAAAGAAAAAGAGATAACTAGATTATTTAAATTTTTATTTAATCAAGTTGTTATCAAGAGACAGATATTTTATTATATAAGATGGATACATTTAACGTGTAAAGTCGATCATCTAGATGATCGATCACAAAAACAACAACAACAACACTCATCAACTGACCACATCGTAACAGTCAAACAACAACTAAAAAGACAACCTTCTCATTATGAGTACACTTATTTTACCAATCCACGTATTGGAAAGGATATAGAGAGTGATACATCACTGTACAAGTTTGTTCGGTATAATCGAGCCGATCTATTCTTCAAATATGCTCATCTAGTGCAACTAGATCAAACACTGGTCAAAGTAGAACAATCAAAGGGTTGGTATTTACATTATTGCACTGGTTTGGTGGAATCTTACCGAAATGTATTGTGGGAGACTGCTACGACGCTATGTTGTAATCCCGACATTATCAAATACCTGGCACTTCAATGTACATTTACCAATCCTCGTAAAGAGTTGTCTAATCTCTTAAAAGGCAAATATTACTATCGATTCAAATTGGACGGTAGTAGTAACGATCAAGCCGAATCAATCAATCGACTACATATACAATCTCTATTATCGTTTATAGATGTTGTATTCATCCTTCACGATAGATTCGCTAAAGACCTACTAGTATTCAAGTATAGTAATAAATTCACAAGATTAATATTCAATCATTCAATCATTTGTGAAACAATCATTAATCATATCAACAAATTATATAATCAACAAGACATAGATATAGATATATCTACATTGACTATTACCCCTCCTTCCTCCCATCATCCTCTTCAAAAACCAACAGATCAATTAATCTTAAAGACTCTATCATTATTGCACCAATATAAAATATGTAAAGTCAATTGGCAACATATTATTAAGAAATCAATCAAATACTCTAATACAAAGATGATAGATTATGTCGTGGAAAATCATGGTGGACCAAAAATGTTGACATCCTCTCATTTAAATTATGCAATTTGGACTAGTAACATTAAAATGATCAATTATATCATGTCGGTTAATAATAATATCAATAGTAATAGTTATACTCTACATTCATCTTTAAATCCAAAAGATGTACAACTCTATGCTCACGGTGATATAAACCAAGAAAAACAAAAACAACATTTTATATCAATCATATTATTGGTATTGGATAAATTTTCCAATCCTCTTGGTGGCAAATGGATATTGGAAAAGATTCATCCTCTTTTACAATCAATATCATTGTTTTATACTTTATTCAACTCCAACAAGGTCACACTCCAAAAACAAAACAATATATCAACTTCAAAAATATTGGGATCAATTGTTCTTTCAAAAGACATTAATTTATTACATCATGTCACATCATCTATTCAATTTTACAATGATCAAATTAATAATCAAAATAATCAAAATAATAATAATAATCAAAATGAAAATGAAAAGATTGAATCCAACAAAAAAACAATTTATTTGGATTATCAATATGCTATAAATTGTTGTTTCAAAATTGGATCAAAAGAATTATTAACTTTTGTATTGGATCTCGCTATTCAACAAAATCATCATCCTCTTTACCAAATTCCTTACAAGATACTTTACATACCAACAACTACAGATTCTATCAAGATTGGAGAATATGTCAATTTGGTTGGATACGCCATGCAAAGATTAAAGTCGACTGTCAATGAAATAGTTTGTGATCAATATTTAATTTGTAGATTACTTTCACATCCTAGTACATTGTTGTGGGAAACTATCCAATCGCTATTCCCAACGATCAACCATCGACCAGGTGATAGTCCAAAGGAGATATACCAATGGTATATGCATGGCTATCTATCTGCAACGCCAAGAATAGCGAAAAGCACCATTCAATGTACCAGATCACTCAACTTTGAACTATTTGACCGTACCATTGGATCGGTACCGATAGGAGACCGTGCCTTCCTCATGGAAAAGTTTATTCAAAATCTAATCTACGTTGTGGATGATTGTAATCGTTTGGATTGTTTTTATTCAAACTCGATCGCTCCTTTACATCATACAACTCTTCCTTTAGAAAACTCTTCACCAGACTTGGTCCAGAGATACCAACAAAGATTAAAGGCAAAAGAATTTATCAACTCTATCTTTTCAAACAAAAATATATTTTCCTATATTTGTTTTGATAGTATTTATATTCCAAATACATTAGTTAATGAACAACATCCAAATAATCAAAATAATAATCAAAAAAATAATCTTACCATTTTGGAATTTATGGGCCAAGTATTAAAAGATAGAGATATGTATGTTTTCAGTGGATGGCAATCACGTTTAAAGTATGAACAAAAGACAAAAGTCTCTGGAACATACACTTTGGCGGATATGGCAAGATCAAACAGAGTTTCATTTTACAAATCTAGTAAGATGAAACAAATTCAAACATTGTATCGTCCTCTTTTCAATTTCTTTGGATCAATTGAATTATTAAGAGCATTGGATGCTGAATAGAATAAATTGTTAAATAAACTTTTGAAAGATATTATTTATTTATTTATTCTTTTTTTAAATATTGTCTAAGGAGATTGACAGACTCATAATCTGTCCATTGATCCATATATGATTTTAAATGGTTTTCTTTAATATCAGTTTTTGATATGAAATTGGTATTGTCTAAAAGGTATTTCAAGGCAGTATTGTATGAGCTGCTTGAAGTTTGACGAGACAAAACCTTTTCTACAATACACCCTTCAGTACGATTCTTGACAAGGAATTCTACTACTTCTACTTTGCCACATGCTACAGCTTTTGACATTGCTTCATTAGTACATCCTTCACTTCTATTAAAATGTAAAAACTAAATAAAAAGGGAATTTGATCAATTGTTAATAATACTGATTATAATCATGTCAAAGAGATGTATTTTTTATATATTTGAACCATACTTTTACTATTTCAAATTTTCCAGCTCCACAAGCATCATCCAAAGCTTTAGTGGTTGCTCCTTCAGTTCTATGTTGATGTAGGAATTCAACTATATCCATAAATCCACTTTTGGCGGCAGTATCCATAGCCAATGTTGTACATCCTTCAGTACGATGAAAGTGTAACCACTAAACCAATAAATAAATAATTCAATTATTAATATTTAATATTTAAAAAGATATCATTTGAATTTAAATTACCTTTAAAACTTCAAATTGATTATTTAAAACAGCATTATTCATTGAATTTTTAGTCCAAATGCCATAGATTGGATATCGTCGATCAAGATATTCAATTATATCCAATCGACCATTTGCAGTGCATATTCAAGAATTGCCAACTCTACATATGATTTGAATTTTTCACAAAGAAATATAGTCATTTCTAAACCAGGTCTCAGAAAAGATATCCTATTAATTGGTTTAGTCAATCTTTCTGTTCTATTTTCAACCAAATACTAAAATAAATAAATGATTAATAAAAGTTGTTTTTTTTTAAAGTTTCTTTCTTTCTTTCTTTCTTTTTCTTTCATATTTACCTTTAAAATCTCAAAATTAGCACTAGTTATTGCAACAGAGATTGCTTCTGGTGAACATCCTTCGGTTCTATTTTCTTGTAGGAATTTGATATTTTCAAATTTAACTCTTTGAATGGCATTGTGCATGGCCATCTTACTACATCCTTCAGTTCGGTGATAATGTAAAAATTGTAAAACCTCTAAACTATACACTGAATCCATTGTCATGGGAAGACATCCTTCAGTTCTATTAAAATGTAAATACTCTACTATATCCAAAGATCCATTCTCTGCTGCTTTTGTCATTGCTTTGTTTGTACATCCTTCTAATCTATTTTCATGTAAATACTAAAAATAGAAAAAAAAAATAGATCAATTAATATTTATATATATTGATAATATAATATTGTTTAGTAGTTCTACACACTTTTACTATTTCAAAATGCCCTCTTTCAGCAGCTTTATCCATAGCATCTGTTGTACATCCCTCTGATCTATTTTCATGTAACCATTTTACAGTTTCATAGTGTCCGAAAAAAGCAGCTTTGTTCATTGCCTCTTTTGTAATTCCTTTTATTTTTTTAAGATGTAGAAACTATAATTATAGTAAAGAAAAGAGTATTAGACTTTAAATGTACATTGTTATGTTGAGGATTATAATGTGTGATACTTTTTTACATACCTTTAAAACTTCAAGTTTTCCTCTACAAGCAGCATCATCGAGTGGTAGAGTACTTGGTTTAAATGTGATTCCCTTATTGTAAAGGTATTCTAGTACAGTTACATCTCCTCTGTATACAGCACTTAACAATCCGTTTAGTTTGATTTCGTCATCAGACTCTTTCTCTAATAGTTTGAGGATTGATAAATGACCACATGCTACTGCTTGAGGTTTGGCACCTTTCAAGTCCATGTTTGGATACCTCTTGATAAGATATTCCAATATCTCGACGTTGCCGCTTGATCCAATTTTGTGTGCCAATTCGTTGTAATAGGGTTGTTTGTCTTGAGGATCGAAATCTGGTGACCAATCATCGATCAGATGTATGAGTGTAGCCAACTTTGCATTTGGGTGACCACAATACCTTCTGATGACATGCATTCTTCTTTCAAACAATACATTCTCTCGAGGTGGTAAATAATGTTTGATAAAGTCCCAAGGCATTGCATACCTACTGATCATTTCAAGATAGGGTAACTTTACAATATCACTACCTTTTGCTGGGTACAGCCCCCCAATCGAATGATCGATGTCTTGACAACACCCGAACTTGTTTGAATATCACATGTCTGATATACGAGTGTCCGAGTAACCCTGCAAATGTTATCGTCATTCTTGAGACAGACACACACAATCGTAAAGATAATAAAAAAGAAAACGTTCGTTCGATAAAACAGGTCTCGGTTTCCAAAAAATATATATTAAAAAAAATAATTATTTTTTTTTTGTTTAATTTGATTCTGCTTCAAAATAAATTATTCGATTCATTAATTAAATTGGTTACTAGTTACAATATTTATTTGTTTATGGAGATTAAATTGCATTTACTATCTTTCCAGAAGCAGATATTTGGACGAGTGCTCCGTATCCAGGTAAAAGAACAAAATATATTTGGCTTATTCTTGTTCAACCCCCTTAAATAAATAATTCATTAAAGTTTCATCAATATGGTTCTAACCTGTTCATTTAGGTAGGATAGTTTTATTCAATCAAATGTTTTTAATTGATTTCTAGAAAGGTGTTGAAACATCTCGCTGTTGTAATTTAATTTCATTGTCATCTAAATCCTCTTCAGAATCTGAATTATAATCGAGTGATTTCATTGTAGATTCTACATCAATCTTTGAAATAGTTCTACTTGCATTACTACCAGCCGATGGATGGTTTGTAGATTCTGTTGGATTTGTCTTTGTCTTGTCTCCACCACTACCTCTAAATCTATTTTGGAAACGTGCCAAAATACCTTGTACCAATCTATTATGAATAAATATAGATCTCTTCCAAATCTTTCTAGACTTTGCACTGAATCCATAAATAAAAAAGCTATACAATCCATAGATACGAAGGAAATAAACATATGCCGCCATCATACCAAAATCAGGTCCTCTCAACGTACAATCACTTCGACCACTAAATAAACATTGTGAAAATGATGGTACCTCTGTATCATAAATTCTCTTTGTAACTACATTATCTGAATAATAATTCCTAAACAATTAAATAAACAAACAAAATATATATTAATAAATAAATATAAATATATATTAATCTATTTTAAATTATATATTTCATCATACCAAAAGAAAAGATAAACATAAGAAAAATAAATGGCGATTACCATCAACATTGGTTTTGCCTCGAGTATGATAAGACTACCTCCTCTTCCAGTAGCTCTAACCACTTTAAATATTTCAATCATCACCAATACAATGAGTACCGATGCAATGGTTAATGCAACTCCCAAAGGTACCCATAAAAATACATTTTCATAAACATCTCCTCCAACTATCCAACACCTAAATAAATAAATTAATATATTTTAATTAATATATATTTTTATACTTGGCTTTTAATATATTTATATTTCTCGATTACATACATAAAGTTTCCCTTATTATAACCATAAACTTTTAAACCAAGTGGAACAAAACTAAAAACAAGTGTAAAGATTGTGATACCAGCAAGATAGTATTTGAAAAGTTCGAGTTTCTTGGTTAAATGAGTGATGGTGTAATAGATTTCTATGGCAATGACACACCACCATGCTGCAGAGTTGAGTGCAGAGAATTGAAATAAAAATGCGTTGAATACACACATACCATCCTCTGAAGAGGTAGATCGAATTTGTGAAGGACATAAAAAGGATTCTGTACTACCACGGCCCATGAAATTGTTGAGTACGCCAGACAATGACATTAAAAAGATTGATGTTAAAAAGAGTGCCAAGTTCTTATCATTGGCAGTTTTGAATTGATTGAGACATGCAAATGTAACAAATGTAAACAAACTACCAAAGAATGATAGATAGGCAATGACATCGTGAAAGGTAAAGAGTGAATCCCACTGATTCTCTGTGAATATTGGTAGTGGACATGGTAACACACATGCACTACTATTCGTTACGTAAAAGTATCCTTCCTTCCCACCTTGCTCGTGTGACATGGTAGAATTGAATAAAAGTAGTGGTAAAGGACACGACTTTTGATTGTACGAGCCATTTACGTATAGTAAAGGGTTGAGACACTGTACCTTGTAATCAAATGTACCTCCAAACTCTGTTAAATTGTATAAACTTCCATTGACCGGATAACTAGGTATATAATCATTACCAAATGCAGGATCACCTTTAGAACAATTAAATAAAGTCTCTGGTATTTGACATTTCTCTGTTGCAGCTTGATAACAATTATTCTGACATGTTCTTCTAGGTAACACCACAACAGTAGATGTATTTGTAACTGTATCATTAACAGTTACATTTAAACATTCTAAAAAGAACTAAAAGCAGCAAGAAAAGAGGTTAATTATAATGAGCATAATAACAATGATAGTATACTATCTATATATATGTACATACAAATGAACAAAGATTGATATAGGTTGCAGTATCAGATTGACATTCTTGAGGTCCGATTAATTGAACCAATTGAAAATATGTTTCTGTTTGTGTTCTAAGGTAGGTTTGATTGGTTGTTGAATTTACATAGATTGAATCTTTAGAGAAGATTAATTAGAAAATAAATAAAAATAGAATAGAATATTTTTCTACTTTGGTGATGTGAAGCACTGCCGTTTTTTTTATTATTATTTTTTATTTTACATATATATTATTTGTACATACTTGGGTTTGCTAGCAAACCTCCACAAAGAGGAAAGTCTGGTCTATCACCTATATATGGTTCACATTTTGCTCCTTGGTCAATTGGATAATAGTAATCACCATTGATTTGATTTGCTAATTGATTACTGTATACTGATGTTGTTAAAGTTGCAAGTATCAAAAATACAACTACTACTGCTTTAATATCCATCTATTATTTATATTTACACTTCACTTTCTCTCGATATTATTGATTAATGAATGAATGAGGAATGAATGAATGATCAATGACTTGATAGTGCTCGTTTTGAAATGGAATCAAGATTTCAGTGGCTAACCATTGTTGTAATAATGCATGGGTCAATTTAGAGTTTACTGCCGTACCTAACACCTTGCTAGTATCTTTGTTTGGCTTTAGACTCGAGTCATAACTCGAGTTAAGGTCGGAGTTTAAGATGAGCGGGTGGTTGACAACAATGACTTGTGGCGAAAATAAGTGTCGCTTCACTGAACAGTCGCATCTGGATAGGTGAGGGTCGGAAAAAAAATCTAAAAAAAACTACTCTGGCAAATTGGGTATGCCCTTGGAAAGACTATAGAGCCCTAAACACCCTACACTTCGTTTTCAACTGTTACCCAATCTCCCAACATCCGTACAAATCCCACAAAGATCCATTTATATATCTATTGTTTGTTTGTTTTGATTTAATTTATATTTTATTATTTTCTATTTTTTTTAATGTTGTTCAGATAAGAAACGTTCAGCTTCAAGAGCAGCCATACAACCAGTACCGGCAGCAGTGATAGCTTGACGATAGATCTTATCTTGAACATCACCACAGGCAAAGACACCTTCAATGTTTGTCTTGGTCGAGTGACCTTGAGTGATGATGTAACCGGTTTCGTCGAGTGTGATTTGGTTGTTGAGGAAAGCAGTGTTTGGAACATGACCAATAGCGTAAAAGAGACCTTGAGCAGCGAGTTCTTCTGGTTCCTTGCCCTTGGTTTGGACAGTGACGTGGGTCAAGAGCTTGCCATCACCACGGGCACTTACCAACTCGGTGTTCCAGACGATGGTGATCTTTGGGTTAGCAAGGACACGTTGTTGCATGGCCTTTGATGCACGCATTTCATCACGACGCACCAACAAACTAACCTTGCTAGCAAAATGTGTTAAAAAGGTGGCCTCTTCGCAGGCAGTGTCTCCACCACCGACGACAACCAAATGCTTGTTACGGTAGATTGGAAGGGCACCATCGCAGACGGCGCAGGCAGAGATACCTCTGCTCCAGTATTCTTCTTCGCCTGGGACACCCATCTTTTTAGCGGTGGCACCAGTAGCGATAATAACAGTCTCGGCAAGGACGGGCTTGTCCTCTTCGTCCTCAATGTATAATGTGAATGGTCGCTTACTAAGATCCATTCTCAAGACGTTCTTGGTCTCGATACGAGTACCACAGTGTACACTTTGCTCTCTCATTCTGTCCATCAACTCGGGTCCAGAGATTTGTTGAGCAAATCCTGGGAAATTTTCAATCTCTGTAGTTGTTGTCAATTGTCCTCCTGCTGCAACTCCTCCTGCCATAAATCCTTCAAACATGATTGGTTCTAATCTTGCTCTAAATATTTATTTAAAGTTAATACTCGTATACTATATATGTGTATTGATTGATAGATAGAGATAGATAGAGATAGATACTACATACCTTCCAGTATAAATAGCAGCAGTGTGACCAGCTGGACCACTTCCAACGATGACTACCTTTTCGATCTTTTGTTCAGTTGACATTCTTCTGATGATATATGATATATTGTTAATATTACTATTATTGTTGTTGACTGTTAATGTCGATGTTGATTTGTATTGATATAAGTTATTGTTGTTATTATTTAATCTAAATAATGATTGTGATTGTGATGATGATGATTGAATGAATTTATTACTGTTTGTAGTTAATAACCTCTTTATCATTATATTTATTAATGTCTGTCTCTTCACCACTTTTGATTCAACCAGCGCTTTTAAAGTTTTGTGGGGTGGCTTGAAAAAATTAAAAAAAAAAAAAAAGCGATTCGGAAAGAACAAGAGAACGGTCCCTAGAATAGAACAATGGAACAAACGTCGATGTAAATACTCAACAATTTTCAAAGTAGTCAACTATCATCATATGATATCTAGATTTGGTTTTAGTATGGTGTATAAATATACCAGTATTCCGTGTGAATAAATAATTTGAATTTCTTGTAAAACTTTTGTTGAAATGGCAACAACATGGGTTAGGGTTATTCGGGTCCATAAACAACATAACGCGATTCTTTCTTCCATGTACATTAATATGTGGGTTCATTGTTCCTTTGGTTTGTTGTTACTCTTGATTTGTTGTCATTTTTTGGTGGTTGTTGTTTATATTATTTATTCTTCTTTTTTGATATTTTAAATACATTTTAATTTAATTTGATTTCTTGTGTTGATTTTAAAATCCTATTATCCTTTTTATAAAGGAAATAGGTATGGTGTTATTGGACAATATATATTGGATGGGATGAGGGTTGAGAGACTATTTTTGATTACTACACTTTGTTTGTTGTTGTTATTATTTAGTTTACTTGTTTACTTTTTGTTGTTTGTTTATTGAGCCATTTTTTGCAAGTGGTTCATGATTCTATTCTTGATCCATTCCTTGTTGTATGGAACGTAAGCATTGATAGAATGAGTGTAAACAAGACATGAAAGATCATGAATGCTATCCAAATATTTGAAAAGTGAAGCAATGTCGTAGGTGATGTTCTTTTGAGTTGGTCTTGACTCTTTTAATTTTTGTTCGTATATGTAACAGATACCTAATATCATCACATCAAGTATTAATCAATCTATTATCTCTATATCTAATCTATCTAATCTATCTATCTATCTCTCTTTATACATACCTTCAACGGCAGCTTCAACAGTTTCATAATCCATAAAAGTACGGGTGGCCTTTCTGCCTTCTGGTTGCATCAATACGATGGTGTGTCTGCTGCTCTGTAATATTGTAGAGTAGTAGTAGTAGTAGTATTCATATTATATTAGTACGTTCTATATAGATATAAGATAGGTGTCTAGATTAATTACCATTATTATAATATTATGTATTTAATTAAAGGGATATAATAAAACTTTTAAAATTCGTAGGTGTTTTGACTTGCAAGTTCAAAGGGGTAGAATGATGATCAGCAGAAAAAAAATTAAAAAAAATCGATTGCCAAGGTTCCCTCTCTTTCTTCGCACTCTATTGATGACTTTGCTGTACTTGTACTTGTTTCATTCTTGAGAGGAAGAGATATATATATATATTTTATATATTAAAGGAAGGGATGTCAACATCAGATATTAATAGTAACGGAGTTAAAGAAGAGAACCCAATCGTATTCTTTGATGTTAGTATCGGTGGTCAGGCAGTTGGAAGAATCAGAATTGAATTGTATGCTGATGTAGTCCCAAAGACTGCTGAAAACTTTAGGTACCTACATATAAATACAAAACATAATAGATATAGTAACTAACTTTCTTTGTTTTTTAGACAATTTTGTACAGGTGAATTTAGAAGAGGAGGACAACCAATTGGATATAAAGGATGTTTGTTTCACAAGGTTTCAAAAGATTTTATGATTCAAGGAGGTGATTTTGTAAGACGTGATGGTACTGGTAGAGAATCAATATACGGCGAAAGATTCCCAGATGAGAACTTTAAACTAAAACATACTGGACCTGGTACATTGTCGATGGTTAATAGTGGTCCAAATTCAAATGGTTGTCAATTCTTTATCTCTTGTGTAAAGACTGATTGGTTGGATGGAAAGAATGTAGTATTTGGTCAAGTTATCGATGGTATGAAGGTTGTTAGAACCATTGAAGATGTTCCAATCAATCCTCAAACAAGTAAACCAAAATATGAAATCGTCATTACTCAATGTGGTCAATTATAATCACAAGAAACAACAATGATAGTCTAGACTAGAGCTTTCAACTGTACATAAACCACTACTTTTTCAAATGCAACGATAATGTTGCAACGTGATAGATAGAAATCTTTCTTTAAATTGGTCCACAACATGTTTGATCAAACCATGACACATGTTTCAATAGATCTATCCAAAAAAGTAGAAGATGATCCACACACGCACACATCCTTTTAATTTCAAGGATTAAAAAATACCCATCAAATTAAATCAAAATTATTAAAAGTAATATAAAAATATTTCCAAAAAAATCAATTATTTATTTATTTCTTTGGTGAATCAAACTTCCTCTTTTTCAAATCTTGTTGTTGTTGTTGTGGTTTCTTATTATTATGATTATTATTTGGTTTCTTATTATTATTATTATTTTGTTGATTTCCACCATTTCCATTATTGTTTGGTTTCTTACCTTTATAATTATTATTTTGATTGTTGTTATTTTTACTATTATTATATTGACCATATTGAATTTGTTTTCTTGTTTGTTCTTTTTTATTATTAACATGAATCTTCCATCTTTCATTGGCTGGAATAGTTGAAACTGATTTTCTTCTAACTTTAACTTCACTATCTTCAGCATACCCATCTGTAATTTTATCCTAAAATACATAATAAATGATTAAATTAGTACTTTTGATTCTTTTCTTTTTCTATTTCTATTTCTTCTTTCTTACAGTAGTTAAATGTTGCATCCAATCAGGAGTATCATAACCAGAATTTCTAATAACATTTGAAATAGATGGGATCATTGGGAAATCATCTTTGGTGTAGAGAGTAATAGCTTTACCTTGACGACCGGCACGACCAGTACGACCAATACGATGAACATAACTAGCAATTGTATTTGGGAAATCGAAATTGATGACATAGTTTACACCCTTGAAATCCATACCACGAGCCATCAACTCGGTACAAATGAGTACCCATATCTTACCGGATCTGAAACGTTGTACAATCGTATCTCTTTGTTGTTGGGTACGATCAGAGTGAATGACATCGACATTGATATTATCGAAAATAAGTTCTTGGAACAATTCAGTGGCACGTTCCTTTGATTGCACGAATATTAAAATAGGTGGTTCCAATCCCTTTTGGAATAATTGTCTCAATGCCAATAATTTACCATCTTCCTTACCAACAAATAATAATTTTTGATCAACATTGATTGATGCTGAATTTCTATAGAAAATAAACTGTTAGTATCATTTTTCAATCTTTTCTTTCAACAAACAAACTACATACTGAGAACCAATTAAAACTTTGATTGGATTTTTCATAATGGATCTAGCCATTTCTTCAACCACTACGTTCATGGTAGCACTGAATAAATGGATTTTAAGTGATGCATTCTTACAAGCATTGATCACACTATCAACTTGTTCCAAAAATTGATCATCAAATAATTTATCTGCTTCATCAAATACTAAATGTTCAACACTAAATAACAAATAATATTAATATAAAAATAAATATATATTTTTCAATATTCTATTCATTTTCTAGTTGATTGCAACTTACTGATTTAATTTTACAACTCTACTTTGAATTAAATTTACAATTCTTTGTGGTGTAGTAATTAAAATATCTATAATATAATAATAATAGTTTGGTTAATACTGGGGGATTAAAGATGTAAATAAATGTTTGTTTGATAGTTACCAAAATTTTTAGAGATTGGAGCCATTTGATCACCAGATACAGTTTTTGATAATACACATATTTTGAATGGTTTACCCTTTGAGAACAGTCTAAAGTTTCTATAGATTTGTTGAGCGAGTTCACGAGTTGGTGAAACAATGACACAACGGAAACCAAGTTTCTTTGGTTCGTGTAGAGATTGAAGGATTGGAATGGAAAAGGCAGCAGTCTTACCGGAACCAGTTGGTGCACAGGCAATAACCTCACGACCACTGATAATGGCTGGAATCGATTGCATTTGGATGGGTGAAGGATCCTTGTATTTGGCAGCACGAATATTCTTTAAAATATATTGACGCATATTGTATGGTTCTTCAAGTAACTCATCAAAACTTTGAATTACATTTGGTATATCTGTTCCAGTAACACTAATATTTAATTTAGTTCTAATATCTCCATTACTATTATTATCACCACCATTTTCTTCTTTTTTAACTTTATCTTCATCATCATCTTCATCGTCACTACTGTCATCTTCATTTTTAATTTTAGTTGGTACATATTTCTTTTGAAATATATCAACATCTTCTTCATCTTCATCTTCTGATTCATTGTAGTCATCCTTGTCTTCTTCTTCATCATCCACTTCTTCATCTTGACTATTTTCTTCATCTTGACTGTTGTCTTCCTCATCCTCATCCTCTTCCTCCTTTTCCTTTTCTTCTTCTCTTTGTCTCTTTTTATTCTTTTCCTCTTCTGCAGCAGCTTTCTTTTGTTGTTCTTTTTGTTGTTCCTTTTGTTTCTTTTCTTGTTCTACCTTTACATCACTCTTTCCAAAGAAATGAAGGTTACTAGATGCTTGATGTACATCTCTTTCTTGTGATTTAATTCCCTACATATTGTTATAAAGATAGATAGATAGAGATATACGTGTTAGAGAACGACTCATCATTACCACCACAACCCCTCTTTTAATATTTACCTTGAACAATTCAACATCTCTTGCATATTTCTGTTTGTTGAATCTAGCACCTGTTCCCAAACTAAAGAATATACTCTTATCCATCTTATTATTAATAATAGCTTCTTCTTTTAATAATAAACAAATAAACGAACAAGACGAATACTACAATCGATTCGTTCGGGTTTTTGACAACTCAAATTCTCTTTTTTTTTTTTTTATTTATTCGTTTCTCCAACTATCCTTCAAAAAAGGTATAACATATGAAACGAGGATTGATCAACTTGTACTAATTATATACATATAAATATATATATTTCTTTGATCTCGTATTTAAAAAGTTTCACCGATAATAGATTATCGAGAAATTATTTTCCATCATTGTATGTTGGAAAACTCAAGCATATTTATGTTTCATGATTGAATACGACAATGAAAAAGGATGGGATATGTGGGATTAGTACAAGAGTTGAGTTCTTCCGTCCCAGCTTTCCCATTTGGGAATTAAAATTAACCAAAAAATCTTTTCAATTTAAATTAACTTATCAGTCCCGCTACACTTTTTGAAATGAAAGAAGCTTGTTTGATGGTGGGCATTACCTTTTCCCCCTCTCTCTTTTACTGCTGAATAACTTATCAGAAGAAGAAGGAGAAGAGGATGATACTTTCTTAATAGCACGTAGTTGAGATAGGATAATAGATATCCATCCATCATTGATGCTTTTTATTATTTCATAAACATACATACATAAACATACAGAGATATATAGATAAATATTAAATCAAAATCTTAAATATACTCGTAAGTAAGTAAAGTTTGTTTGTTTGTGTTAATATTTAAATATATGTTGAACATATGTTAGATACTAGTTAAACATATATTTGAGGAGATAAAAAATGGATACGGTCTGCTCACCTCCCAACCCCCTCCCTTTATCCAACCAATCCTTTTGTTTTTTTTTTAATAATGTTATCTTTTTTTAAAATAATATTTGATATTCCTATTACATTCATACATAATAGTATCATATTATTATTAGTATCATATATTATTTGTTATCATTATTCTTATTCTCTTTAAAAAGTCAAACAACAAATACAATACTACTCAAGTTACTTTACTTTACTTACTTTATCCATTTATTTATTCATTCATTTATTAATAAGAAGAAATGGCAAGAAAAAAGATTAGAGAATACAGTAGTAAATCATTGTTGAAACAACATTTGGCAAGTCTTTGTAATGAAAGACTCAACTTAAAGATGGTACAAGTACAACAGGGATCGTTGAGTCTTGTCGAGTTGATGACTCTTCCAGCACACAGTTGGTTGCAATCGACCAAGTTGGTTGTCAAGCCAGACATGTTGTTTGGAAAACGTGGAAAAAATAACCTTGTCCTTTTGAATGCCACCGTTGTAGAGGCTGACCAATTCATCAAGGAACGTATGGGCAAGTCAGTCACCATCTCTGGCAAGACCGGTCCAGTCACTCATTTCATAGTCGAGCCATTTGTTCCACACGCCGTCGAATACTACTTGTCGGTCGTTGCCAAACGTGACGTCAATACCATCTCGTTTTCAAGTTGCGGTGGTATGGAAATTGAAGAGCTTTGGGATAAGGTTAAAAGTGTCGATATTGCCTACGGAGACTCCATCGATACCGTCAATCTACATGAAATCGTTGATAATACAATTCAAAATAGAGAATATATTATTGATTTTATTAAAAATGTTTATAAAATTTTTGAAGGTAAAAAAAGATATAGAAACAAAAAAAAAAAGAAATAGAAAAAGAAACAAATATTTAAATATTTATTTATTACTTTTTTTTAAATTTAGAATTGTCATTCCATTTTATTGAAATGAATCCATTTACATTGGATCAAGATGGTAAACCATTCCCATTGGATATGAGAGGAGAGATTGATGAATGCGCATCATTCAAATGTGGTAACAAGTGGATGGTTGATGGTGACCCAATCCAATTCCCACAACCATTTGGCAGAGAATTATTCCAAGAGGAAACTTTTATAAATGATATTGATGAAAAGACTGGTGCTTCTTTAAAATTAACTTTATTAAATCCAACTGTAAGTTTAAAAAAAAACAACAAGTATAATATATTTAAATATTAATTTAATATCGGTCGTTTTTAGGGAAGAATTTGGGCAATGGTAGCAGGAGGAGGAGCATCTGTGATTTATGCAGATACAGTTGCTGATTTGGGATATGGACATGAATTGGGTAACTATGGTGAATATAGTGGAGATCCAAATGAAGAGGATACCAACAAGTATGCATCTACCATGTTGAGTCTTGCCACTCGTAATCCAGATGGTCGTCCAAGAGCCTTGTTGATTGGAGGCGGTATTGCCAACTTTACCGATGTAGCAGTCACATTTAAAGGAATCATCCATGCCATCAAACAATATAGTGATGAGATTGTAAGATCAAATTTACATATTTTCGTCAGAAGAGGTGGTCCCAATTATCAATCTGGTTTACAACATATGCGTGAAATTGGTCATAAACTTCAAGTCCCAATCAAAGTTTTCGGTCCTGAAGTCAATATGACCAGTATCGTTTCAATGGCCATTCAACATATCAATACTTCTCCAAATATTGATCCCTCAACTGCTTTAAAAAATCATTCAAATGGAAATGGAAATGGCAATACTAATGGTAATGGTAGTTCAAATGGTAATAGTCCAATTACTGTTTAAAAAATTAAATAATTAAATAATAAAACAAAAATACATTTCTTCTTTTATAGTTTGTTTGTTTAAATTTATATATATTATTTGGTTTATTGAAAAAAAAAAAAAAGAAATTCTTTCTATTCTTATTATTAATTAATTATATATTTGTTTGTTTGTTTGTGTTTGTTTGATTTTGGGTCAAGAATATAATTGTTTTACTGCACTATTAATTAATATTTGATCAGAATCTAATAATTCAATCTTTAGTCTATTATAATGTGGCAATATATCATGAATATCAATAAATAGACCAAAAGATAATTGAGAAAATACATTAAACTCTGATGCAAGTAATTCTTTTTTTGTAATTGGAAATTTCTTTTCGATACTCTAAATAAATAAAATAAAATAAAAAATTAGAATTAGAAACTAAATAAATATAATATTCTTTTCTCTTTTCTCTTTTGTTTTCTCTTTTACTTACTTCAATTAAAGGAGAAAGTGATTCTAAAGCTTTTGGGTCATGAAATTTAGCAGCCAATAATAAACAAGTAGAGGCATGTAATTTACAAGAAGGTTTTGTAATGATATTCTTGAGAATGAGTTTTTCCAAAAAGACATAGGATAGTGCAAGGGTAGACATTTCAATATCAGACATGATTGCAATCTTTTTAAGCTTTCTCTTGAGTTTTCTAATCTTGTAGAGTGTGACACCTGGTTGACTGATCCATTCATGTTTTTGTCTAAACTGTTCGTTTAGTTCCTCTTTGATGGCACCTTTTTTAATGTAGGGAAAGATTGAAATTTTGTAGCCAGGCAGATTCATGACGGTACGATGTTTACCAGTCTTGAGCTCTGAATTGTCGAGGAATAGTGGATCATACTTTAATGGTACACCATTAATGTCTAGATCGTCAGAGGCAATTGGTTGATTGGGTGCAACATAGACCGACCCCAATAAATGACCATACGACGTTTCACCACCCTTTAGACTCTTTAATATTCCAATCTCCTTGGAGGCTGATGTAACCACTTGATTATCAGATGAATTGATTGATGGATAGGTATCATTGGATTCCTTAGATGTACCACTCTTTCCTTTGATCTTTACCTTTCTACTCTCTCCACGGATCATTGAAAATACTGATACTGGATGTCCAGAAACAGTTGTAAAATATATTCTTTGTGTCAATTGAACATTATAATTATTATTATATTCATCACTAAAAAAATAAATAGAAAAGGTTAGAAAATAATATTTTCTTTTAAGTCTAGATTGTTTGTTTTCTACACATACATTGTATTTCTTTTCCTTGATGTAATTTGTTGTTGTTGTTGATTAGTCGAGTCGATTTGATTATTATTATTAACAGGGATATTATTTAAACTTGAA